ACGCCCCAACTCTAGTTAGCAGCCAGAACCGAAGGCATGAGCGTCATCTGCGAGTTTTTCTCTACCATCCATGCCTTCGATCTCTTCCCATCCGAGGACTGCACCGCCTTGCACTGCCCGCGGATCACTCACCTTGACAGGACACGTAAGTCCCAACGAAGGGGTCTCAAGCTCGGAGATATCGCCACGAACAGGGGAACAACACGGCATGAACAAGTCTACAGTTTTGATTAAATAACCCAAACGTGAGTAGTCTATGTATAAGCACGCCGGTCACTGCGGCTTGGCGGTGAACACCTTCCGGAGGTTGTCCCAAACGACCGAGGGCGACTGGGCGGCGTCGATCCGGTGCCAAAGGCCCTTGTTCTTGTAGTACTGCACGACGGGCGTGGTTTGGGAATGGAAGGACTTGAGACGCTTGGTGAGCGTCTCGATGTTGTCGTCCGAGCGCTGGATGATTGGCTCGCCGGTGACGTCGTCGGTCATGGCCTTCTTTGGTGGGCTAGAGAAGACGAAACGAAGGGGTTCGTGACTGAGGTTCAGACACAGAGCCAAAGGGGTTTGTGACGCACTGGAACTCCCTATGGTAGGTGCGCCCGCTTGCAGGGTGAATCAGACGACCAGTGATTCGAGAGATGAGCAGCTCGTCGGGGATCTCGAGCTGCACGACCGAGTCGAGCTTCTCCTTGCGCTCGAACAGCATCGAATCAAGCTTCTCGGCCTGCGGGACTGTGCGCGGGAAACCGTCCAAGACAAAGCTGGGGACGACATGAGTTAACACGTGTTTGTGAGACGACGCGAGGGCAGAGGAGGGGAGCAGGGACGGGTGAAATCGGGTGTGTGAGCCGGACGGCCTCAGGGCTTGACGTGGGGTCGCCCAAGCGCGCGTGGTGGATGCAGCGATGGACGATGGATTTTCGGGGAATGAAATGGGGATGCGAGACGTCCTGACACGTACCCATTCTTGCACGCCTCGTTGTTCTCCAGCTGATCCTTGATTATGCCCACCATGATGTCGTCGCTGACGAGACCGCCCGCGTCCATGATCTTCTTGGCTTCGACGCCGAGCTTCGTCTTCTGGTTGACCTGCTAGCGCAATATGTCACCGGTCGCGAGATGGCAGACGCAAAACTGGTCGTGGATGCGAGGAGCCTGGGTGCCCTTGCCTACAGACCCACAACGCACAGAAATCAACACAACGACGGCACGGTACACGGCGGGCTGCGAGCAGACACGGCGTACCAGCGCCTGGGGGCCCAATGAGAATTGTGCGAAGCTGGCTGGCTGGCGTCCTCGAGGGCGCGGCGGCCTTTGTCTTTGCCTCGAGCGTGCTTATTTTCTGATTGAGCTGCGCGACCAGCGACTGGAGGTCGCACATGAGATGCCTTGAGACGCCAGTGGAAACTCAGAAAAGGGCGACACCTGGCGACACAGACAGACCGAATGCAGGGAAACGGGTATAGAGTGACACGGGAGTAACCGAGTCGTGACAAATGCGTTACGACACAATTTTTGGTCACGCCAATTTAGACGCTGGAGGATGGAGGGAAAGCTGACAAATCGCTTATTAACTTCTGTTCTGAAACCTGGGACCGAAGGTTCCAGGAATGGTAGGCACCTTCGGCTCTGCCAGCTGAACATCCGACCCCCCATGGGCCCCATACCTCCTCCACCGCCCTCTGGAACGTCGCGCCCCGGGTCCTGCGAGGGACCGTCGCGGCGGCCGTCGCCATGGTCGTCGCCGTTGCGCCTGTTCCTGGACATACAGTGGTCCCTCTTGTGGCTGTAGACTGCATCCTTCCGGAAGAAGGGGACTCCACAATGGCCGCATTTGAACTTTGCAGGGTTTCCGTGGTCGCGGCTGGCCTTGTGACGGGCCATGTCGGACGCGCACGACAGCCACAAGTTGCACTCTTCGCAGACGTGGGGATTTGCACTCTTGCGCTTTCGCGTGTTTTCTTCTTCTTTCCCAGGTGTCGCCGTTGAGAGCCTTCCGAAGGACTGCGGTACAGCCTCGGGGGCTGGCTCGCCGGTGGGGTTCTCCACCCTGTAGGTGGACGTCGTCGATTTGCTGTTTGTTCCTTGGAGGGCGCTGCCGGGGCTGTACGACGTCGACCACGAGCAGAGTTCTCCGAAAAAGACTGAGCGATTCAGCTTTCTATCCGCATCCATCCGAAGTGCGAGACGATGGCAACGAGGGTGGTAAAGAAAGGAAAAGCGAAGGCATTGATGGCGTGCGGCGATGCGCGCAAAACAAAGGAGCAAGTGTAGAGAAAGAGGAAGCGAACGGTATGCACTTTCAACGTTCAACTCTCTCAGCTCAGCAGGCTGCCCTTTCTCATTACGCCTCCATGCGCGCTCCTATAGAATGAAAACGTTGATCGTTCCCGGCGTCATTTATGTGTGTAATTGTTCTACCTGGTAGTCGAGTTGATGCCGAGGCCCCCCTCATAGATGTCCTTCGCAATTCGTCTCCGACTCTGTAATCACATTCGCTTAGAGCGTTATTTCGATATCATACCAATTCTACTATCACGCACATTCTTGCGTCAAATTGGCGTAGATGACAGCTCAGCGCGCCTTGACCCCTCTTGATTGCATTGTCGGTCATGTTCGTGACGACCCTTTGAGCTGGATGACGTCACATGCGAGGGTCAAGATGTCCGCGACCACTGTATAATGTCTTCATAACGCCAAGAGCACAGAGACCATCAGCTACATCCGGACGGCTCCGAGGATATGAGCAATTGTGTACATCTCGATCAGTTCAGTTCCTGCGCGCCAAATGTCGTCACAGGTTCATGTATGTACGTCAACTTGTAGCATTCTTTTTTGTGAGAAAAGACGACTGAACGGCTTTCCTGTGGAAGTGGTAGCTGACGAAGGGGATACTGAGTAGTGAGATTGCACACACGCCACTTCTTCGGTCGCTATCGAGCCCTTGTTCTCCCCCACGTGGCATAGAAAGAGGGGGTCTCGGGAACAGACCACAGCAAGACGCCGCTGGTGAAGGGCCGTGGCTTGGGAAGAGTCGATAATCGAACGTCATGCGAAGAGAATCATTTGATACGCCGCTACACGCCTTGAAGATTCACGCTCAGGGTTCAGGGTCTATCAGGGCTAGATCGATCACTGTTCAAATGGCAAAAGAATTCGATTCTTGTTACATTTGGGAAAATTCAGAACTCTTCCATGCTCCAACGAGTAAGCACATACACAATGCCTATATCTTGCAGTGCGATGACAATGGATACAATAGAGGCATCATGCTATTAATCCTTGAAATGGAGGCGGACCGAGACTGAAAGTTGACCTGACTTGAACCGACGTGTCCAAACCTGACAGGGCCTGTCGTCAGAAGTGCAGACGTCGAGCACATGCGTCAGCGTCAGTCCTTGATTCCTGATCTATCTATCAATCTCACAGGTAACGGTCTTTTTTGTCTAGGATATTTGGGACCCTGCAGGGACAGGCAATCTCAAAAAACGCCTGTGATTACTGTGGTAAGTACCCATGGCGCCCCGATGATTCCCAAAAAGTGGATCCTGAATTGAAGGTTCAAAGCATCGAGATTCGATGGCAGCCAATGTGGAATGTGAGCACTCGCACATTGCCTTTCGATCGTGATGGCTGACATGCTGTATGTTATCTGAAGATTCTGATTATCTGGAAACCTCATATCCTAGAAGACACCTCTGTGCTTCTATGACACGGGCTGATTCTGCTCGAACAAATGCACTGCTGCCATGTTCGATTGCTTCTAGATCTAGTTAAATAGACTCCGATCATTGTACAGCATGCTGGCCAGCACCTGGATTTGGACTTGTGAAGCCATCTATTCTATCCACTGTCCATTCTGTCAGCTCAGAGCTTGAAGTTGGTTCACAGCGGTGCGCTAGACCGCCAATAGATGTCGTATGCCAGCTCAGCCGACAGCTAGGACAGGCGCCACTGACGAAATGGTCACAGTCATCAAATTTCTGGGAGTGGTGGTATTTAATCGAGTTTGTTAGCCATCGTAGAACACATTCCTTGGATTTAGTCCTCACTCGCTATGGATTTGTCCCCACGCCTTGTCACTCCTGCTAGACTCATCTTTGAAGCAGCCAACGGAGCCAATGTTACGGCTATTCTCTTCGGCGGTGCTGCCGCCAAACTCCATGGCGCCAAATGCGACACCAAAGTCCGTCACCTGTCACTTTAATTCCTCCATTTGTGCTTATTTTCGTGCGTTTCACCAGGATCTCGACATCAATGTATCCTCTCTTGGATTCACTACATTCCTGCCGAATGAGTTTGTCTGTCACCCTCGCACTGTCGACACCCGCCAGCATATCACCTGGGCAAACACCGTCAAGTGCGATGTAGCTACCGAGCGCACTGAACTCGTGAATGATGCATTTGAGACCTATAGCTGCGTCACAGAGGACGACATTCGCTATGCCTCGGCGAACATTCTTTTGGCGGACAAGATTCGTACACATGGACAACGCCCGTTCCAGGCTCTCGAGAAGCAAGAAAACGATTTGTACGATGTCCTACAGCTCATCGATGTCATGAGGCAAAAGGGAGATAAGATGCCAGACGAGCTTAAGGAATCGATCCTTAGCGAAAACATTCTCAGGGCCTTCCTTGAACGTGTACCCATCGAAGATCATCTGGTATACCGCACTTTCTTGGAGGAGTTGGACGTTATTCTACCGAATTAGGTGCGCTTCTTACGCCTCTTGCGAGCTGCTTTTGGCTGATACAGTATAGCTACTAGGAGGCACGATCATACGTTAGGGGCTGGAAGCGAATGAGCTTCTCGAATGAACGGAGAATCGAAGTGGATTGCGATGTTCTGATTGTTTGTCTGATTGTGTGTATGTACGATAACATGATGAAACGAGCGTGGCGTTTTCTGTCGAACAAGAACCCGGAAGGCCGGCTCTCATCAGACCGAGCAGATATATAAACCTCTCGGTCACGGACTTGATTTACTCTCAACACCCAACCAACCATGGGAATTCACTTCTACGACTCTTGTCCTATGTCTCCAATGACCATGGAGACTCGTCTCAAGCCAGCAAGAGCTATCGCACATGCAGGCGTTCCTTGCTTAGTCTGGGCAGAGGACGCTCTCAGCTTTGCTCACTTCGTCCCCACCGAGATGTTTGCTTTACAACTCCTCATCCCTGACAAGGACATAGAGAGGGCTGCGCAAGCCATCACCTCCAGTTTGCCATACAGGCGACTGACAGAACCTCACAAGGATTGGTTGGACTTCGAGTTCATGGACCCTGATCAATGGAGCTGTTTCCCTAATTCCATCCGGCTTGAGCTGACACTGCCACAGTCGTCACGGCACGAAGATGATCCCGTCGACATCTATATTCACCCGGCATCTTGGTTTTACTTCGATGTCAAGGACGATTCCCGCTCTGTCTCCCTCGTTCCCCCCCTTGCGCCTGCCAACTCGGCTCTGCGATTTCCAACGCGGACAGCGTTCTTGGACTCTTTGATCTCGAACATCCTCGATCCACCCACTGGAGTTCGACACGGCAAGCTGGACGCTAGACTTTTCACTTACATCAGTTACATCAACCTCTACACTCTTCGTGCTTTCCCTCGTGTTCTCCCGAACGGAGACCTCGAACCTGAGCGCGCTGCTGTCTCGGCAAGCCTCAAGCCGGAGAACAGGCGCCTTTGGGAGTCGAAAATCAGGAACACTTATAAGGGCTGGATTGATGAGGTCACTGCTCGCAGAGCCATTCTTGAGGGTATGGGGTGCGTGGGGCTGTTCGTTCCCTGACGAATTCGTTTATTTACAGTCCAATCAGGCGTGTGGCCGAAGCCAGGAAGCCTTTCCCAAAGGATCGTTGTTTCACTTGGAAAAAGTACGTTGGACTCTTCTCATGTTCACCTTTCACATAGTGAATGTAAGCGTTACAGAGGATCACAAGCCAGGGGACTTCACACTTCCACGCTCGTTGGGAGCTCTGCATCTAGCTCGAAGGCCCTGTTGGTACGGTGCGTGGCGAGGTGATTGCAACGTCCGCGCGTCGCTGACAATTCCTCAAGCAATCCAATGCCGACCCCGCCGAATGCTGCGATCAGCCGTGCTTTTACTCGAGCACAGAATATCTTACGGAAGAGGGGATGACCAAGTTGAAGTAGGCTCGTTCCAGCACGCAGATTTCCAAAGTGTCTTTCGCCTAAATGACTACCCGAGACCATGTAACCATGAATTTTTATACCAATCTCACCTCATTTCAAGTTCAATTTTTGCTGGTATTTCTACGTTGCCTGGTTTGAGGGACAGTTCTTTTTACAGCCATACTGTAATGATGGATATCTCATGCATTGCAGGATCACCACAACCAGATTGGCAACAGCGTCCGGTTGTACTGTATCCTACTGCATCCCAGGATATGACAGCCCTTCTCAAATATGACCGCCATAAGAGATCGAGTGTCAATAGATATGATATGGAAGAGCTGCACAGTTGCATATAAACGACGCATAATGTCCAACATAGCTCTATAAGAATATCGGCATCATGAATAAGTCCATGAACCGCCCTGCGTGCACCTCCTGGCCATCTGCGTTGTGCTGCAGTCTTCCTTCGTCAGGGATGGGCCTCGCTCGAAGCGACTCGTGGCCTTACAGAACAAGGCAGCGTACAGAAGTGAGATGGCAAAGTAATCGCAATCTTCAATGACGAACCCGTTGCATATCGGCCAGCCGTAATGGACGTTAATTCTCAAACGCGTTGTCCGCCCATAATTAGCAGACAGACTGCAGGATCTGACGCGGCACACGGTGACGACGCGAGCGAGGCGCATAATGCACGCTTGGCATCTGGCCAGTAAGCCTGTGTAAGTAAGCTCGTGGGGATCACATTGTTTTTGCAAAGAACGTGACGGACACACGGCGAGCGTTGAACGCGTTCGTGTTTTCATGTCATAGGCCACATGTCGAATGTTTACACCCATTTGTGGAATTTTGAAGTTGTTTGTCCAACAGGATGTTATGTGAAACTTGGAAACAGGCTTTTCATGTGAGCATGCAAGGGAAAGGCTTGACGATGTAAAAGAGCCTGCTCAAGACATGCGTCAGAATTAGCGGGCGGCGACGCTCAATTGCGGGCGAAGAGTTTTGGTGCGTTTGTCACCCTTGTATTTTTTTCCTTATAGATGGGATGTAAAATGATGGAGTAGTGAAGAGCTCAAGAAAGGCAGAATCATGGAGTTGTATGGAGATCTGGAGAAGACTACTCACAGCGTCGCCGGCAGCAGTTTCTTTTTCATTCTTCCAACCCATCGCGTCCTATCGCTTCATCAGCCCCATACTTCCAGCACTCCTTCTAGGCCGCAACTCTTGCATCCCGTGGGTTTTCATTACCGTGTGGAACCTTCGCGCCAAAGTCAGGATGCAGGGGCGAAGGCGTCGGAGCGGTATCATGCAGGAACTCACAGCCGATGGCAAGCTAAAAGATGGTTATATCGACGTGTGCAGCACTCCAGATCACTCATACACTATGTTGTAGCAGCAGCAAGGCGCATGCAAAGTTCCCAGAGAGGAGAGCCTAAGCTACTGCGAGCCAGGAGGAGTGAGATTGGTTGGCTTTGCAAACATTATCAGCGAAGTAAGTGGATGCGAGTGACGACATACGGCATGGCGACCTATGAGAACCTCATCAGCAAAAGTGACAAAACGTGGGATGGCTTGGATGGATTGGGGGGTTATATAATCTCGAGAGCCTGCAGGCAAGGTCATATATGGCATTGCATTTGCCGCGCTCTCCTTGGTGGTTCGGCACAATCGTTGCATCAGATTGCAATCTGGAGGCCCCGATGCCAATGTAATATATTCCTGGACTTCATAATATATTCTTATACATGCACACCAACCTCAAAATATATTGTTAAACATGCACACCAGCTCAGAATATAATGTTATACATACACCTGGCCTCAAGATATAATGTGATACATACACACCGGCCTCAAAACTCACCAGTGAGGCATCAGCAAATCAGCCAATCTCTGACTTAGGTCTGAGAGCCTCTGTTTGTTCTGAACTCAGAGATTTCAGAACAAACAGAGGTCAGAGCAAGGCTCTTCCATCAGGAGGTTCTTTCTCTGGATTGGTCTTAACTCAGACCTGTCAGAGTCTATCCAGAATGAAGGTCAGAAGCTTTGTTGGTAGCTCAGACCCTGACTGGAGACTCGCACAGGCATTTCTTATGACAGTCTTACCATTAAAATGATAGTATTATAGGGGAACAGAGGACAATTTGGGGCCCAAAATGGGTGCGCCAGATCATGAGCCACACACAAACCTGATATGTAGCCTAGAAAAGATTGAGTGGGGATTGATTGTCTGAGAGGAATGTGAGTACAGTGAGGGAATTGTACAAGGGTGAAGCAGTGTTCGTGGATATGGTGGTGAGAAAGATGTGTGCAAGAGGCTAGGAAAGTCTTGATACAATGTTAGTATTGAATACTTATAGAAAAAAGACCTGATATACACACTAGAATAGCTCACCATGTTCCAATCTGAAATCCTCTATGTCAGACTCTAATTGAGGCTTAATGCTCTGCACATGGTTGGAGTTGTGGATGACACTATGTGACAATGGTGTTGATTCCATGTCCGTGATGGAGAGATTGTCCCCAGGGTGCTTAAAGAAGGCCTCTGTCTTCATCTTGCTATCATGTAGGACTTGTGTGGCCTTGTGGATGATCTCGTCCCAATGATGAGCTTTCAGCTGGGCAATTTCGATCCCATAGAAATGGGTGTCATCACCATAGTTGAGCTTGGAGAACTTGTGGTGTGGATCTTACACAAGCTCACCTGTGCTTTACAAGTGAAACACGCTGATGAGCATGCACCTGTGCTAGGGTCCAAGGAAGGTATTCAGGAAGCTTTGGGGAGATACCAAACAGTGCTAGACAAGTATTGAAGACACTGACTTGCACTGAACATGGTCAGTCCCCACCCGGCTAACTGCAACCCTCTGAAGGACGTTTAGCAGCACTTGGGCCAGTTTGCCCACACTTCACGTACTTACCATGACTGCACAGAAGTGTTATAATAAGTATTCATGAGATCAGAGCCAGTATTCCGTGTTGGCCAATGTTCTCTGGGAGTCAGTTGGTCTTTATTGCTTATCTTCCCAACTTCTGCATGGTCAGGCAAACACAATCTTGTACCATTGCTTGGCCATCCTGGTTATATGTTACTTCTTTTTTATCTCCATTGGTTCTCCAACACCTGTTCCTGTTACCTATGCTTGGGTAATGGATCCTGAACATTCGGGATTTTGCCATCACTGATTAGCTTTTACCTTATCACCTTTGAAACCCATATGGATATCCCACCGACCTTCTTATCTTCTCTGTTTGCTAGGGCTTGGTGCCCATTTGATGTCTACTCTCATTTCGTATTCAATATATTAATTAGGGGCTCTGTTTACTATAAAAACCTACATATACCTCTGAAATAAACCAGCTTTCACACCCTACAGTTCAGAGCTCATTTGTACTCCTCTTAACCATCAAAATCATCTTTGTCAACTCCCAAAAACTTGTCATCCTCATTGTTCAGCCTCATTTGCATTTGTACTTGTCTCTTTGCTTGTACCCCTTGTCCTCCCTCGTGTATTGTCAGAGTCCCATGTGGCTCTTGAAGCACATAGTTGTTGGTCGTGACACTATCTTCTCATCATCAATCAACTCCCTGACCTAACTCAACCAACTGAACGTTTGATCAGTGTTTGATGCAGTCCCAAAACCATTTGGGTGCTTTAATCTCACCCCCCTTATTACTCTTCAGTGCACCCTCACTTTCTCAAGTCCTAACTAGCAATTCCTTGTATATTAGACACTAGCTCTAGCACTCCCTGCATTAGTGGTTGTTTTGTTGTTGTGCTTAGGACTTAGAGCCACCTCTAACATATTATTTTGAAGCCCATTGCAAGGGATTAGTATTCAAAATTACCTCAAGGAATCTACATCTGGAAAAACACCCTCTTGTATTAGCTCCGGATTATATCTAATAGTGTCTAAAAGTATCTAAAAGTGTTAATAGTATCTAAAAGTGTCTCATTTCCTAATTAGGAGCAACACATTGTGAGCATTGGATTGGTTTCTAATTTCATGATATTAGCACTAATTCTATACTAAGAAGTCTTTGATTATTAGTAGGAACTAGTAAGTACTACTGCTCTATCAGTAAGAAGGTAAAGATGTGGCACATTCTATACTATTTCAGCATATTACTCTCCTTCATATATGCCTATACCATTATCTTGTAGCTCTTTTGCTAACTTTCCAGCTGCTTTTATAAGGGATATAGAAAGAGAGAAATGTGCATTGATGCCCCCAGCCACTTTGTTGGCAGCTTGGCAGCTGCCACAAGAGGCTATGAAGACCTTGGTACCTTGGCCTTGCACACATGATCATTAAAGTTGTCGTTGTTAGCCAATGCCTGCTACTGGTCATTATAGGACACAACATGTGGGTTGGACTTAGGGATATGCTATATGCAGCCTTGTAGACCTTGTCTATTAGCGCAGTGGCTAATACTGTCTTATGCAGCACACAATCATCATCACTATTGATATTATAATTTTTAGCACTATTTATATTGTTTATTGCCTTGTTATACAGAAGATGCTCAAACTTGGTGTTTCCTCTAGCTATTAGGCTGTGGAAAAGACAGTCATATTGGTATGTGGTGCCAGAATGATATATTTGCCTGCCATATAGGAAATATATGCATTAAGCATATTAAGATCACCTCCAACAATCTTGTGCTTATTTATATATAGGCATGCCATACATATACCCTTGTCCCCACCCTCTACCTCACTAGTGGCTATTTGGAAAACCCCTCTCTCTTATTGGATCTTAATTATTCATAATCATGTTTTTGATCAAATTTGTAAATTCAGGTAGCATTGTTTATACTAGTAGAGTCCCATTGAATACACTCAATCATAGTTTTACACATTCTGTTGGGACTGTGTCCTAACATGTGCTTGGCACATGGACAGAAGGGAAGGTCAGGTGTTTCCTCAGACTCAAACTGTTAACGACTAGGACTGTGACTTGACACGTATCTAGGCACGTGACTCAGGACATGGTCATGAGCTACGCATATGACTTGGACTCAGACTGTTTATCATCTACATGCTGACACATGAATGCTTACATACTATGATCTCTTTCTTATTGTGCTTACTAATGTCGATCATGATTGGTTTCTGATTGCATATTGCTGCGGACAGACATTTGATATACTTACTATACATGGTTACATCGAAGAGCCGCGGAGTATAAACAATGACTGCGGCTTACATGCATTGATCGTTGATAGTACTTAGTGTTTAGAAGCACGGACCATATGTCCGTCTCGCCCTAAATAGCCCTGTACTATATATAGGAGAGCTGAGCTTATTAGAAGCCTCAGCTCGTTCACTTTGTATACATCTTGATCTCAGCACTGCGCCCGGCATCTGGCTGCCTTCAGCTCATGCTTTGCAATCTCTGTCAGATCTAAAGAATCATACTCAGTCTGACGAAGCACTGGATTCATCTCATCGCTCTCCTCATTCTCTACCGCCTGCAACCTATCAAGGACTCGCTGCTTATCGAGTTATCCGTTGGGATCCCTCCGAAGTCATCTGTTGTATCGGAGAGGACTTGTTCGTACCAGACGAACATCGACACATGATCAATCAACATCTCCTTCGACTCTTTGAGGAGAAAATCAATACAGACCAGCCCTTCTTGGACCAAGCCCAAAGACGAGCCGTCGTCTTTATTCGCTGGGCCGTCACGATTAGCTTTAGCCCAGGGAACCCTTATTAGTGCATCACGTGCACGTGACTAAGCCTAGCCGGCTTAACACTTGAACGAGCTCTCCATTCCCTGCCCTGAAGACCAAACTGGAACAATACCGAATACAGTCACTAGTAGCAGCCACACAACAACTGCTAGAAGAAAGAAGTCGCAGCAGCATTTTAGCAACCAAAATTAAACAAGAACCCCGCCAAGGAACATCTACAGAAACCAGCACCTACATCAGATACTCAGCGACCGGACGAGTATACGCAGGAGTAGCCTCTTATTGGCTACAACAAATACAGGATTACTTCTTCATTGGAAGAATTGGATTCCCCTTTTTGGGGCTTGCTTCACTAACAAACCCAGAACACCAGTCTCCGCAGTGGGAGATCCAGGACTCAACCTTATTCACACTAGGAATACCGTTGATATCAACGACGGAAGACCAGGAAACTTCCCAACAGAACATATCGCAGAACTTAGAAAGCACATCACCAAGGACGTCGATTCAGGAGGAATCAGACAGGAATTACTTGAGAACAGTCACCAAAGAAACGAATACACAATCTTCATCTTTTGGACCTATACCATCCCGAACTAGGACACACTGGATCCTATTGGATACTCACCCCATCGAACAGAAATCACCGGAACCGTATCAGTTGTCAGGCAAGGAGAGTTCACCCACAAAACTTATCATTTCAGAAATATCATCGCCGGACAAACCTTTGACGAAATCCTTACACTCTTGGACCAGATCAACAACGGGATCAACAAAATTATCAGAAGAGAGCCTACACTCCAAGAAGGACTTAGGGCCGGAAAAAGACACAAAATCCCTTTCTTCTTCACAGAATAAACAATTGAGTCAACAGTACCGAAGGGATACCCGCCCCCATACCACAATAACCCAATCTACATCTTCAAACATCTACCCAAGGACGTCGACCCAGACACTGTTTATTGTGACAAAGAGAACAGACACTTCTACATCGGAGGAATCCTCACTGGATTCTACACAGGAAGCGGGAAGGAAGAATTTTATAAAAGACTCTTCCTCGGAAAAGAAATCCACACCGCACCCAAATTACAGACCACTAAGCTCGCAATCGTCGCAGCAGAGCTTAGAAGAATCAAGCCTAAATCACCGACAAATCGGAATCATAACTCACCGAGACCACACGTTTATAACATACCCAGGGAAGCAACCAGTGGAAATCGAACTTCGCGAAGAAACACGCCCGTTACATCCCCAATACAAGAAACCTCTCCACAAGCAAGCTTCCGAACCCCTGCACCCGACGAAAGTACCCGGGAAGAGCATACTCAAGAACCAGATACAGGTGGAGAGCCTCCTGACGATTACCAGCCCTCGTCCAGTGAGATGTTGACAAATCCTAGAAATCCTGAGTCCAAGGGACCGGCTATGGCCAAGCCCACTCCCTTCGACGGAAACAGAAAACAAACAGAGCAATTCCTCCACGAAATCAATTTAATGATCCTCGCCAGGAGACACAATTTCCTAGATGAATTTACAAAGATAGCCTATGCGCTATCCTATATGAAGGGAGGATCAGCTGGAATATGGTCAAGGAATTTTACAAAGGCCAGGAACACAAATAACGATTGGGACCTCTATGCATGGAAACCCACTACGGATATGACCTCAGTCTGCCAGAAGATTTCAACGGACTTTGAAGAATTCGACAAGACAGCAGATGCCAGAGACAAACTGGCTAGGATCAACCAAGGGAAGGAATCCTTTAACACATACCTTCAACTCTTCAAGCAAATTGCCGAACTAGCAGGGGTTGATCTTGAAACCAAGAAGATGCACTTCTTGCGGGTGTTACGAACTGCTCGTTCAGTAACCCTAAGAGTAGGAGGTTCTTCCCTAGGTCACTCAAGGAGGATGTGTGGAACGATGGTCTCGACTGTACGTGTAGCATAGGAGCCAGAGATGTATTGCGATGTAGCAATGAAGACTGCAGTAGGAAGACTGCAGTAGAATGAAGGTGCTGTGGTAGGAAGACCACAGTGAATGAAGAGAATAGACTGAAGATCCTCAGCCTACTCTATGGGCCTTTTATACTACTTTAGGAAATAGGGCGTGAGAATACCATATATGTATCCGTAGGTATTCTCTAAGTCGTCTCTCTCAATAACGACTACTCTTGTGCTTCTCTGTTTGTCTCCTTCCAGCCAGGAAAGACTAGGAGCTCAATGTCCGATGTGTGAGTAGTTTGTAAGGTGGCATTCTATGCCTGTCGCAATATGGCTCGTGATACTCGACCAACGATAAGGTGATCCGTTGAGAGTGGATGACCAAGGTTACTATCTGTACCTTGTTGTACGCCTCACCTTGTGAGGCCGCTTGATATTTGTGATGATCGTGTTGGAATAGACCGCCGTTAAGGCCCGACAGAACGTGATCATAACAATACCCCCTTTCTACGTCCTATTCGCCTGGTAGGACAGCACCTTGCACTTCATCGCCACTCCATATACGATTTGCTTTCTTGATCCAAAAACTGGTCTCCGGATGCGGCTTCCAGGACATGACTTCGTTTTCTGGGAGGAAGACCGACTTACGTCGTTTGATCCTCTAGGAGTTTTCCATCTCCGTTGAGCTGTTTGTTTCTCGGCCATAACGCAGGGGGTTCCAAGCCCTGGGCCACTAGGATGTTTTTCCTTCACCCATAAGGATTATTTTGCCGCAGTAAACTTCTTCGCGGTCTTACTCCAGCCTCCTCTGGAACAGTATCAAGAAAGGCGTATGAATGCGAGTGGTGTGTGGATGAATAGAAACTCTAGCATGTGGGTTCCTTTTCGTGTCATCAGGTTCTTCTTCTTCCTTCTCCGAGGGCCAAACCTCAGTGTTTCCAGGATAGTCGTTCTATCCTCATGATTTGTTGTTTCCTCAATGGCAACCAGCGGCGTCCACAGACAAGTAGGTTAATCGCTTTATGAAGGCTTAGGCCTACTTCTCCAGACTACCTGAAACCATGCTAAGCATGAGTTGAACGGCCAAGCAGTATTGCTCCCATACGGTGAGCTCATCTCCGGTGAGGGCACCCAATCAAATCCCAAGCAGTATTGTCCCCATACGGTGGACTCATCTCCGGTGAGACAGTTTGCGGCGTCCAGAGTTTGTTTGTCACAAACATGGGCCTATGGTGGGGAATACCACATGTAGTGTTGGGTCCGAGGCAAGGATGTGAAGAGAATTAGACTAGAAGGGCGCCGTGAGGAGCAAGGAGGAGTCTGACTCCTTCTCCAAATTGGCCTGTTCACATGCACAAATAGATCTCAAGACCACAGCTGATAAATTTGTCGGATTGTGAGATATATCCATAGTAGCAGTTTAAACATCTTGCCGGACGTTCTGTAGTTTTTTGTCATTGCGGACGATGACCTAGTTTTACGTTGTTGCGGACACTATTAAGGCACCCTGCGCTGCCTATTATTTTTACTTCTAGGTTGTTGCGGACCTTCTTCATCATCAACATGGAATATCTGTGGGAAAAGATGTTTCTGCACGCCGGAACATCCATTGGTTATGTGCATAGGGCCCTAGACCAGACTTTGTCCCGCAGATTCCACTGAGGCATGATGGGAATGGTTTATACTATATCATACCGGATAACTTATAACGTCTCAATATTATGAGACCGCTCAGTTTAACGCCGTAAGGTAGGCGAGCTATCGTCTGACTATGTCCCTCGAGTCACGATAGGTTTTTCCTTCCGAGGATGAAGGTAGTTTACCATCATTTCGGACGTTGTCAACATATTTTCATTAAAAATGATGTTGACCGATGATCCCTGTACCAAAAGGGATGAATAGTTTAATGTCATCTCAGATGGTTGATGACCAAGGTCGTGGTCAACAACCACAACTCCTATTTGGTAAGGAGCACATAGTTTAATGTCTTTGCGGACGATCAGCACCAGGGTGGCCAATCACAACTCCCATGCGGTCGGGAGCAAGTAGTTTAACGTCATTACGGATGGTCAATGGCCAAGGTCGTGGCCATTAACCACAACTCCTATGCAATAAGGAGCAAGTAGTTTAACGTCTTTGCGGACGCATTGGTTTCCAGGGGCATAGACATCAATGATAACCCCTAAGTCCAAGGGGCACTAGTTTCACATCGTTGCGGATGCACGGTATCTTGTCAAGATCGCCACGCACGATCCCTATGCTTGAAGGGACAAGTAGTTTACCGTCATTTCGGACTATGGGGTGTCCCCACACTGAGGCTCAGCCCATGATCCCTAGAACGAAGGGACAGTAGTTTTACATTGTTTCAGATGCTTCATAGTTTATCGTCATTGCAGACGTCGATGCCATTTTCATATCAAAAATGGCCTCGAACGATCCCTAAGGCTGAGGGACGGTAGTTTAACGTCGTTTCGGATGTATTGGCGGAACAGACTTTTCCAGATGAGTGGCCAGCTCTTGTCGTTCTTCCACAATGTGAGCTGAAGAGAGTCACCTGATCTAGTTCCTTCCCACTAGATCTTCAACTCGAGGCACGTGTCCTAGTTGCCTCCTGACTAGGTCTTGGAGTGGAATTCCTTGTACTTCGACTCCAGGACTAGACTAAGTGCGCCATGAAGAGATGCTTGCTCTTCCATGTCCCCAGACCCCTCGCTTGGATTTGAACCAAGACGACCCATTATTCTTTTACCAAAAAGCAAGTGAATATCGAAGTGCTTCGACCTCTTACAGACAGGGTTCTGCAACACGAATCCTCCCAAAAATCCACGCTTCACCAGAATACAACCACGCTCCTTGGGTCAACGGTAGTTTTACGTCATCTCAGACGATGGTAGTTTTCTGTCATTTCGGACAAGGACTAGTTTAACGTCATTGCGGACCCTAGTAGTTTATAGTCATTGCAGACCAAGCCTTTGGTAGTTTTACATCGTTCCGGATGTAATTTATGGCCTCGCATTCCTTGGAGGAAGCTTGTGTAAGCAGAGATAGCCAGGACTCTACTTATCTCATGCGTCAGCTGTAGGATCCCCTAATGCGGAAATGATCCTGTAAAACGGGAGATCCAAAGTGGGACGTCCTAAAACACCAGTCAGACCTTGACTGTGAGGGTTCACTTAACGAGTTATGCATCATAATTCTTGGCTTCGGGCTTGCAATCGGTTATGTATGGGCACTTTGCTGTACCAAGGCGAAGAGCCGGCTTGTCGACACCTACGAGTAGATATTTGTCATGTAGAGGGTTCCCTAATGCGGAAAAAACCCTGTAAAACTGAGGATCCAAATGGGACGCTTGGTGCATCTGTCAGATTAACTCCTTAACAGCGAGGATGTAGAAAGTTCCATCATAGGTTGTACGTGGAATTATGCCCGCTGTTGTCCTTGATTCATACCATCATTTGAACTAGGACGGATGGTCAGGTACTTCCCCTGCCTTTTTATTATTTCACAGTTTGAGGACATGCAGGTCCAATAGTTTAGACGTCATTCTGGACATGGGTAGTTTAACGTCTCTTTCGGACGAGGTCGTACAGTTTAACGTCTTGAGGGATGAACCTAGTTTTATGTCGTTGCGGACAATACATTAGTTTTGGGTCATTTCGGACCCCTATAGGGAAGGAGTTCCTCAACTTCCTTACCCCCCTTCTTGCCTCTCAATTAGTCCTCTCTAGTAATCATAGGGTCCTTGGTAGCCATCGCCTCCTTCATCAGGTTGATAGTAGGGATCGGCATCGTCATAATTTCCTGGATCATCTAGAGCATCCCATGCATCGAGCTCGGATTGAGTCCAAGAGCAATTTCTTCTAGCCTCCGAATCAGTGCGGCGAGTTCTGCGGCTACTTCGGTTATTCTGTCCCTCGTCTATACAAAATTGAGTACTAGTAGGAGGCGTTCCAGGCCAGTGTCGAACACTCCCGCCAACAGTTGTTCCGCGGCGGAGGGTTGCCTGACTTCCTCGACTCCTCCTTCCTTCATTTCTTTGATAGACAGGCGGTTCCTCCTCGTCGGTACCCCCATGAGATAGGGGAAAATTTCATATCCGGTGAGAGGAGGAAGTCGCAGGATTGCTATGCGCTATATGAATTTCTTGTTGTCTCGGTGGAGGGCATTCCACGACCATGTGCGGAGACCTTCTTGGATTTGGTACAGACGTGGGACGTTCTCCGGGACGTGGTACGTTCCAAGTGACAACGCGGAAAGGATCGGTTCTACTTGGTTGGACGGCGCCCAGTTCTCCGGTGAAGAGGAGAGCTGGAAGGAGCTCTCTGTTGACATACTGGGAGAACTTGTCGGGATGGATGAGGAAAGCTTATGGTCGTCCGTCGTTGTGTTCGAACCAAGAGGCCATGTCAGGGTCAGTTTGGAGGGCGAGCCCTCTGATCTGGAGACTGGCACTAGCCAGTTGTTGAGGTATGTCGCTATTCTCATTTCCGGGTTGCCCTGCCGAGAAGTTAGCGAGTCATTGTAGGGCCATGGCTGTGGCCATTTGTATTACCGCGGAGATAGTGTTTTGCTGGAGGAGCGTGTCCGTGTGTCGCTCCAATTCTCCGGAGTGAGGATCTGTACCAAGGGTAGTTCTTCCCATGGAGCGGGGAACCTGTCCACCAACTGATACTGACGGAGGTGTAGTTCCCTGTATAACTAGTACCAGTTCAGTTTCTCCATGGCTTGGGAGTTGAGCTGCTGTTCTTGCTCGTAGTCCCGAGGGACCTGCAGCTCCAATATTTGTCGTGATTGCAGCAGGAGGTGGAACTCCCACTGGTATTTCGTCAGAGCCCGGTGGGTTTCTGTCATCAGGGTTTTCATTCCGTGATGCATTTCGTGGGCTTCCCTTGGGTGATGGTCGGCGGATTCTTTCTCTTTCCTTGAACTTGGCGTAATCCTCGGCGTTGTCATCCGAGAAGTTATTGAGATGTGGGGTGAGGGTGACGATGGCGGGCTCTGGTTGGGGAGGACTAGTTCCTCTATCAATTCGTCCAGCATTGGCTCGGTGAGGACTGGTTCCTCTGTCCACTCGTCCGACATCTGGATTGGACACCATAAGGACGACATCGGGGGAGGAGTTTCTAGATGGGGATGAAGCATTGTGGTCTTTGTGGAGGAGCATTTGGGTGAGGGAAATGAACTTGAGAAAAGTGGGGAAGATGATCTGTTAGAGCTTTCTTGTTGCTCTTTTTATAGACTTCCCTCCACTTTTCAGGATACTCCCAGATGAGGTTTGTCAGGGTATTGGTCATGAAACTCTTTCATGGCTTCCTCCGCTGTTCCTTTTAGGAGAGTATAGGGTTCCCAGGTGTTATCTGCCTCGGGGTATTCTGCCCACTTGACCAGATACTTGGTTCCCCGTCCTTGCCTTTTTGAATCCACGATCATTTCCACTTCATAATGCTCTTCATCATTCAATACCTCCGGTAGTGGTCTTGCAAAGCTTTCTCTGTGTGCCTTGGTTTCCCTATATCTTGTGAGTGTTGCGGTGTGGAACACTGGGTGAATCCTCCAATGCTGGGGAATTTGAAGTTTATACGCTAGGTTTCCCACTTTTGCCAGTATTTTGAAAGGTCCATATCTCCTAGGGGCAAGTTTGAACTTTGGATGGGTCGTCCGGATATGGGTTTATTCTAGCCATACTTGGTCTCCTTCTTTCCACTGGGGAAGTTTCCTGTGGAGATCCTGGTCTTTGGCATAATTGCTGGCTATTTAAAGACTGGCTGCGGCTTCTTCCTGGACTTCTGTGATTACCTTAATGCGTTCAGCTACCGCGGGTACTCTTGTCTCTAGCGTGGTGTCAGCTAAATAAGAAGGATTGAACCCGTATAGCACTTGGAAAGGAGATTTTCCCGTGGTCGAGTGCTTCCGCGTGTTATGCAAGAATTTGGCAAACGGCAGAAGGTCTACCCAGTTATCTTGGTGGTAGTTGCAGAACATTCTCAGGAATTGTTCGATCTCCTGGTTTACCCATTCTGTTTCTCTATCTGTCTAGGGATGATACGCCATGCTGAGAGCCGTGGTGATTCCTAGCCATTTCCAGAGTTCTTGGGTGAACTTGGCCGCAAATTGAGGGTCCCGATCGGACACTATTTTGGTCGGCAGCCCATGTCAATTGAAAACGTTATTCTGGAAAAGCACGGTTATTTCTTCTGCCGTGATCGTTTTCTTGCATGGGGTGATGACTATGCCTTTGGACAGAACTTGGTCCACTACCTCATTGATTGAGTCAAACCCTTTGCTTTTGGGTAGGTCCGTGACGAAATCTGTTGAGATAAACCGCCAAGGGACGTTAGTGGTTTCCAAAGGTTGGATAGGAGGGTGTGTCTTATGCGTCAAGTTCTTTGTGGGTTGACATACGGCGCATCCGTCCACATATTCATGGACAAATTTGGTCATGTTTTGCCACCAGTAATGTCTTTGCACCATTTCTAACGTTTTGGCTCTACTAGGGTGTCCTACCGCGGGTGCGTCATGATGCGTTTTGACAATAAGCCTTCGGATGGTGTTGTCTCTTGGGACACATATGTGGCCGTTATGTCTAGTAATTCCGTTTTCGTGTGTCCAATGTCCCAATAGCCCCCTCATTCCTTGTGGCCCTACCCGCAAGAGTTTTACGAGGGCTACCCTTGTCAGGGCATCATGTTCTGATTTTGAGAGTCGGATGAGGGAGAAGAGGTCTGAGGATGCGATTTCCGTGGACTTTATGTGCCATGTCGGGGACGGTTCTACCAGTGTTTTGTCAGATTTGTTAAAAAGGTTGGCTGGGAGCAAAATTTGAGCTTTGTTGTCAGATTCTACCCCCTCACTTAGATCTGGACACCTAGACAGAGCATCGGAATGGTTTGTAGATCCTGCTTTATAGCTGAGTGTAAAGTCGAATCTGCTCAAATAAAGGCTCCAATGGGCGTGTCGTCGTGACAAATCTCGCGCTGTTTGGAAATGTTCCAGGTTTTTGTGATCTGTCCAGATCTCGAATGGGTGTCATGCACCTTCGAGGTAATGGTTCCAGTGTTCCAACGCTTTTATAATAGCCAAGAGTTCGCGATCGTGGACATCATAGTTCCGTTCTGCTGGTGAAAATGACCTGGAAAGGAAAGCAACTGGGTGCCAGTCACCATCTTTTCCTTCCTGTAGGAGGGTAGCCCCGTAAGCAATTAGTGATGCGTCCATCACTAGTCGGTATGGATGCATAGGGTCCGGGTAATTGAGAACGGGTTTGCTGATAAACACTTTCTTTAATCGTTCAAAGGCTTCTTGGCATTTCGAAGTCCAATTCCATTTTGCATCCTTTTTGGTGAGATCATGTAGAGGGTGCGCGATAAGTGAGAATTTGTCGATGAAGTGCCTGTAGAAATTTCCTAGACCTAAAAAGGAACGAATGTCTTGGACTGTGCGTGGAATTGGCCAATCTTGTATAGCATCCACCTTCGAGTCTTCCATGGCGACATGGTCTTTTAAAATTGTGTACCCTAGATATTGGAGTTTTTCTTTATAAAACTCGCATTTTTCTGGTTTCAAGTAGAGGTCGTTGTTGCATAAGATCTGGAAAACTTGGTTCAAGACTTGAATGTGCTCCGCCATGGTTTTGGAAAAAATGAGGATGTCGTCCATATATATGGTTATTTTCCGGACTATGATGAGTTCTCTGAAGATCATGTTCATCATGGCTTGGAAAGTGGCCGGTGAGTTGGTGAGGCCAAAGAACATCACCGTGGGTTCGTAAAAACCCAACAGAGTAATGAAGGCTGCCTTCCACTTGTCTCCCTTTTTGATTCATATATTGTTATATCCCCATTGTATGTCCAGTTTGCTAAAAATGGTGGCCCCTTTGATCACGTCCAACAGCTCCTGGATTAATGGAAGGGGGCACACATTTAGAATGGTGTACAAATTCAAATGGCGGTAGTCCTGTACCGGGCGCAGTTTTCCATCTTTCTTTCCTATAAAGAAAAATGGGGCTGCTGTTTGCAAGGTGGATCGATGGATGGTCCCCCGAGTGAGATGTTCCTTGATGAATTTTTCTAGTTCATCATGTTTCTCTGGGCTCAAAGCGTAGATTTTTGGCACTTGAGGTTTGAAAGTCGGTTTCAGGTCAATAGTGTGGTCCCAATAAGTATGTTCCGGGAGTTGCTGCAACTTTTGTTCACTGAAAATGTCCAAGAATTGGTGGTGCGCCTTGGGGACTCTTTCCTTTAGATTGGTAACGACGATTTTGTCTTCCAAATCCTGGTTGAAGCTGGCAAATCCTAATGGTTCGGGAGCCAGTTTCCAAATAACTGGTTCCTCTGTGGCCTGTTTTCCTGAGGGTTTATCTGGGAGATCAGGTTCTCCCTTGTTTGGTGAAAGAGATGGCTTGATTTGGGCCTTTCGTTTCTCTTCTGCGTTAATGAGCATGGGTATGCTCTAGGCACCAATACCCCACTTTTCGCAGCTTTTCAGTATTCTTTGACCATTCGGCACACTTAAGACCGACCGATCCCGATCCGTTCGGCGATCTCAGCCATTTGTCAGGTGCCGACTTTCCATTTAGACCTCCGCACAGTTGTTCGGAGCTGTTCACAGTCATCCTATCCATCTATCATCACTCTTAGCAGTAGGGGCTCTCCACAGACTGTCGCGGCCGATCGCCGATCGGTTCGGTATGCTTCACATGGTTGGCACATTTGGTCGGCTTCGGTGTCCCGAATCGGAGGCAGCCGAGCACTTTGTTGACTCAGAACGGATCTGTCTTTCTATCTCTTATCATCCTTATGCCTTCTGTTGACCTATCCTTTGTTATCTTCAGAGCTCCCAAGTTTCTAAATGGTTTACCTATGTGGCATGTGGTTCTTATCTCCAGGTCCATGTGCACTCACCTTGGTAATCTCTCCGCTTATTTAGACTTTAGAGTTATTGCTTCTTATCTTATAGTGTCCGCAACATCATTCCCTTATCTTCTTTACCTTTGATCACTCTTGGCATGCATTTCCGATTGCTCTATGCCTCTGCCAATCTCCTTATCTTGTACCTGTTCGGACTTACTATAAAAGGGCACCTATGGCCTTGCAATACATCAGCTTTGGCTCCCCCCTTGTTCGGACTCTATTTGTGTGCTTGTGTCTATGAGACTTTGAGCCATTGCTTTCCGATCCTTGTTCGCATTTTGCCCTTTTGTTTTGTGTTGTTGCGTTCGATTGCAGCCCTCTGTCAGAGCCCTCGTCGTCTTGCTCTCTCCCTCTCATCTAGTTTGTCATCCTCTGCCAGTGTCCAGTGTAGCCTTGCACCCATTCCCTTCCCTTTGCGTCCCGATCAAATCTCAACCAAACATCGACCAACCAACCAACCAACCAACTAACCTACCTACTGACCAACCGACCGACCAACTGACCAATCAACCAAACGACCGACTGACCGACCGACCTACCGACTTACCGACTGACCGACCGACCGACTGAGTATTTCGATTTCGGAGTTGTTTGTTCACTACATTCTGAACACTTTTAGTATGCTCCCTTGTTGGTTGTTGCACAGCTTATAGTTCCTTGCACACTAGAACCAGCTCCTGCCTACTATGCTTGTAGAGGTGTTTCTTGGGTGTGTTTCACACTTAGAGGCATCACTAGCATATCAGCGTATTTCCTTATGTCCTGTAAGAGCCATTTCCTTTTGAGGTATGCTCGTAGTCAGACACCAAATGTCCCGCTATGGTCGCGGAGTCCTACATCCTCCGATAGTCTTCGGAGATATTCTAGGCGCTATTTTTCGCGCTCACTGATACATGGTTTATGCCATGGCTCCACGTTTGATAACTGCCCATTGTTTGGTGGTTCTTCCCTTGCTCTAGTAAACCCATGTGGTTGGTGGCATTTCTGGGGGCACCGATCAAAGTTCACTTCACATCACCTCCACTCAATGGAGGGATCGTGGTATTTCAACCAATCTGTTCCCAGGATAAGGTCGTCCTTTCCTAGATTGGAGATAAACATCTGGACACGCTCAGTGTGTGTTTGTCTATGGATGTCCCAAATGATGAGGTTCACATCCAAGGCGGATCGGATGAGACCTGCTTTATTAATAGTGTCATCGACATTCCGGACGCGGATGGGGTTATTGAGTGTGTAGGTGGGGAAACGATGTCTCCTAACCCATGTCTCGTTTACTATGACCCCCTCGCATGCCGAGTTGATGGTTGCCTTTGCTCCAGCATTTTGGTACCTGTTTGACACCTTCATGTTTAGGCGTATGGGGGTAATGATGCGGTCGTTCATTGCTCCAATATGAATACATTTGTCTGCGTCAAACTCAGGCCTTCCTTGACCTCTCTCCTTCGCTGGTGAGGGAGAGGTTAGGAAAAATGCTTCGCGTGTCCCAAGATTACTTCTCTTGCTTCATCCTCTCCTAATTCTCCTAACACTGCTCTGATGCGAGCAGAATGACTGACGCCTCCATTCCCTTGTCGTCCGTCAGGCGACATGACGCGTCGCTGATGGTCCGTCTGGGGTTGTCTGGATGGGGCAGAGTACGGACGTTCCATCGAAGGACCAGGTTGTGGTACCCACTGGTCGTCGCGATGAACATTCTCTGCCTCCATTCCTCGATATATTCCCGCTTGGTTTCCCATAGTGGGTGCGTCGTCTTCTCCTTCCAGATCAACTGCGCAGTTTCCTCTCCCTGTTGTACCCATGCGTCTCTTCAAGTTTCCTCAAACTGGGCAAACGCCTCTACAGGGTGACCAACAGTTAGCACTAGAGTGCCCTAACTTTCCACAATTGGAACAAGAGGTGGTTCGCTTGCCGTCAAACTTTCTCTTTTGACTTTCGGCGTTACGCTTCCTAGTAGCGTCGATGTCCATGTCAACCACCTGGTTATTCATTTTGTGAGGAGTGTTTGTGGAATTATAGCGAACAGCGGGTTGGGTGTGAAAGTGGTTTAGGTAGTCGCTGCGAAAGGAGGTGGAGTTGGCGAGGATGGCCTTTTGAGCAGATCTGGCTCTGAGCTGTCCGTCTATTTCACAGGCCGTATTAATCCAGTCTTGAATAGTGTCCTTTGTTTGGACTTCCTTGTCATATATTTTGTCCATGACGCGCGGGTCTAACCCGCATTGGAAGTAAGGGACTTGCTCCTTGTCAGAGATGTCGGCATCGGCGGCAATGAGGATGAACTGGTTGGAGTACTCATCAACCGTCATTCTTCCTTGGGAGAAGGCCATGAGTACACTTCACGCTTTATTGGTCTTGCCTGTTTCCCTAAACTGGAGTTTGAACTTTGTTAAAAAGTCCCTCCAGGTACCTAGATCAGTGGGAGGGTCCGCTCCAACTGATTTGAGGAGGAAGTTCTTGGCCCAAGCTCCTGCCGTGCCATATCTCATGCATGAGAGCACAAGGGATATCTTGTCTTGATTGGTCTTGTACTGATCAGATTCTGCTGCAAAAAGAAGGAGGCATTGGAGCATGAACTTCTGGGATTCAATGTGGTTGCCTGTGTAATTGTCTGGGAGTTTGACCTTTTTTCTCCCGGGTTGTACTGTCGCAGAAGGGGGGTCTGTAGAAGTCGAAGCTTGTCCCGACATTTCGGCAAGTGGTTCGTTTCGGGGGTTGATCGGTGTTTGGTCTGGTGATGAGTCGGAGTCTGATTGTGAGGTTGTTTCTTCTTGCTCCAAGTCTTCGGGGATTACCGGTACAGGTTCCCTGTATTGGGGTGCTAGTTCCCACTGGCTCTCTATTTCGTTCCAAATGTCCTCTTCTTCTGTTCCATCTTCGAGAGTGAAGTAATAACGCCCATTTCAGTATGAGCAGTTATCGTGATTTGTGTTATGAAACGCTTCACCTATGCTTACCCACCCCTCTCACCTTCTTGATAAGGACTCGTAGGACCTTTCTCCCGACCATACCTCGCATTCCTGTTCCACTGATACTTGGTCCGTGCATCTGCTTGTACATATTTATGGATACTGCAGCGCAGTGTGGAAGCCCTAGGCTATCCACTTCTGTCCAATCTAAGGACTGCTGTTCGCACAGTCTCCTCTGATTCCAAGGCATTAGTCTGATCAGTCCTTTGACTTCTCCCATCATCGCTTGTGGCCTAGGATCTCCTCGTCCCAAACAGCCGTTCGTGACATCTGGATAGCCTCTCTTCACAAAAATCCTACTCCACCTTTTCTTTGCAGCAGAACACCAGCTAGTTACATACGGCGCTAGGCAGTCCCAAAAGACAAGCGTCCATCGATTGTAATAGTTACTATACACTTCGAGCAAACGATTGGACAATTCCACTTTAGTGTGGGTCATTTCAGGTTGTAGAATACTTCTATCTGGTAATCAACCCAGTGGAGGTACAACCAAAACAATTGCACTCGACGTTACGTACGGTACTATACCAGAAGCAGAAATACTATACCCAGCTAGGAAGAGCTGCTGTTGCCTTGACCCTCGAACCTTGATCAGGTCGAGACTAGCGCGGGCTCTTTGATCCAACAAAACGACTTCCCAAGGTTCAGGAAGAAGTGTAGGGTGAGTTCCACACGGAACCGACTACTTGAAACACTCCGACACATTCGTCCATTTCGGACAACCTATCAGAAGAACATCCAAGGGAAACTGGGTTTACGTAGGAGGACAGAATAGCGGAAGAACAGTTGACGCCCCACTAGTACCCTGGGAAGACAGGAAGGCACCCCTCAGAACCGTAGATTCCCCCACCCGAACAAGACCTGCTCTGTCACCAGTTGACATCCCCAAAGAAGAAATCGAAGAAACCCCAATTCCTGCGGGAGTATTAACCCCGGTCGACGAACAAGACCCGGAACCTATAGCAGGACCGAGTCAACCAAACCCAAACCCAAACCCACAACCAAACCCTTTACCAGCTATAGGAACCACAGACAACGAGGACAAAATGTCAGACAAAGGAAACAAGCCAAAAGATTTCGATGGCACGAGGTCAAAATATAGAGAATGGATCTATGAATGTCACATGTACATTCTCACCAACCCGACCAAATATGACACTGATAAGGATAAAACCCTAATGGTGTTATCATATATGAGAGAAGGGACGGCGTCACTCTTCGCCCAGAAGTACTACTTCGACAGGGAACTTCGAGAATACAAGGCAACGGAGACAAGAAAAACATGGGGAACGTTCAAGGAATTCTTAAAGGAGTTAGCCGCTGCATTCAAAGATGAAAGTCTCAAACAGAAGGCGAGACAAAAATTATTCACAATGAGAATGGGAAAACGATCAGCGGACGAATTTGTCACGGATTACCTCATGATGGCAGGAGAAAGCGGATTCGATCTCAAATCCACCGTCGACTATTTCCACCGAGCCATACACCCGGAAATTCTCAAACAAATCTACAGGCTCCCTGATATGCCGACAACCATGGACAATTGGGTAAAATACACCCGAAGGTTCGATAACCAGTGGAGGGAGCTGCAAAGCATAAAAAGCTCCGTACCCTCCACCGCTGTTCGATCCAACAACCCTTTCCGCTACAACTCCTCCAACGCTCCCTCCTCCATGAACAACTCCGTCGTCCCTATGGCCGTAGATTCGGTCCGAACAACCCTCACAGACAAAGAGTGCAACCGCCTCAGGATGGAGGGTGGGTGCTTTTACTGCCGTCAAAAAGGACATATGGCAAACCAATGCCCTGCTAGGGGTTCGTCTAGGGTACATGAAGGGTCAGCTGGATATGTTCAACAAGGTGGTAGAACGATGGGGAACCGCTCGGCTCAGGCCAGCAGCAGGATGGGAGGCGGAGGAGGCGGCTATGGCTGAGCGTTCTCGACAGGAGCTTCAAGCAGTACTCAGGGAGGCACTGCGACGCAAGGTAGAGGTGTGGCGACGACTAACCCGTTCCGAGCCAGACTCGCAGCTCGCCAAGCCCACGCATCCGGACCGGATGCGCCTGTACGTGCGGAGGAGCCTGAGATTAGCCGAGAAGAGATCCAAAAGGTCATAGGAAAAATGAGATGGGACGAACAGGAGGCACTCCTTCAGGAGTTGAATGAGATGAGCAAGCGGAAAGAATCGGATTTTTAAATAGGCCTACGGCTCCGGTGTACCGTAGACCTACTCCAAACTCTCCTGTAAAAACAATCATACAGCTTACCAAATCCAATCAGAAATCGTCTATGAGGATAAACGTGCATCTGAAACATAAGGAGGGAACCACCGAAGCCCGAGTACTGATCGACTCAGGAGCAGAAGGACTTCTCATCAACAAACAATTCTGTTTAAACAACAACATATCAATGCAGAAAATCGACAGACCCATCCCTGTGTTTAATGTGGACGGCACAGCCAATGATGGAGGAAAAATCACCGACAAAGCCTGCCTGCTTATGAGAATAACGAACGAAGAAGGTGATTACCACGACGAACAATGCGAACTACTAGCCGCCAACCTAGGAGGAGAAAACGTAATCCTAGGAATGGATTGGCTGCATGAACATAACCTGTAAATCGACTGGGTAAAGAACAGTCTTACGTTCTCAAACTGCGCTACCACGTGTCTAGTCAGCCGACCTAAATTCACCATACAGGCACTAGTGCCTACCCAGCAAAGAAAAAATAGAACAGTTGGGTATTCCAGAATAGAAGACGACTTGGAAGAAGACGAAGCTGAGGATACCTTCTTTTCCAAATTCTACAAAGAATGGTATTACCAAGATCCACTAGAAGTGCATCCCCTCGAAGCAATTCACATCGGCTCCATTGGAAACAAGTTACAACAACTGGCAGAAAAAGCGAACAAAACGAAAACGGAACGACCTATTGAAGAAATAGTCCCGGCATACGTTCTTAAACGATTCGCCAAAATCTTCAGCCAGGAAGCGTCGCAACAACTTCCAGAACATTCACAATGGGATCATAAAATCGACATGAAACCAGGATGGGAACCGACGGGATGTAAGCTATATCCCCTGACAGAAGAAGAAGAAGACCAGCTGCATGAAATGCTTCAAGAACATTTGAAACGAGGAACCATTAGAATATCCAAATCCCCGCAAGCATCACCCTTCTTCTTCGTAAAAAAGAAGGAAGGTAGCTTACAGCCGGTTCAAGACTATCGGAGGTTGAACGAGTGGACAATAAAAAACAAATACCCACTACCCCTAATTGACAACATAATAAGAACCATCGCCAAATCGAAAGCAAGGATCTTCTCCAAGTTTGATGTAAAATGGGGGTACAACCACATTTGCATAGCAAAAGGTGACAAATGGAAAACAGCCTTCATGACTAAATTTGGCTTGTTCAAATGCCTTGTGATGTTCTTTGGTCTTTGCAATTCACCTGCCACTTTCCAAACTATGATGAACATCATCTTCCATGACCTCATTGTTGCACAGGTCCTTGCAGTCTACATGGATGACATCTTGGTATTTACAAAGACCATAGAAGAGCACAGACGCGTAACGACCCAAGTCATGCAAATACTCTTGGATAACGATTTATTCCTGAAACCTTCCAAATGCACCTTCGGGACAAACACAGTTGAATACCTTGGGTTCATCATTTCCGCGGATAATATATCCATGGACCCGGTCAAGGTCGATGGAATCGCCGCCTGGCCAACCCCAAAGAACCTGAAGGAAGTACAGTCCTTCCTCGGCTTTGGAAACTTCTATCGCAGATTCATCGAAGACTTCGCTACCATGGCCCGACCTCTCAATGACCTCACAAAGAAGGATGTACCATTTGAATGGACTCACGAGAGAAACGAGGCATTTGAACAGTTAAAGCACTGCTTCACATCTACTCCCGTCCTTATTCACCCAGATGGTAATCGGCCCTTCCGCCTTGAAACTGATGCGTCGGACTTCGCTTCTGGCGCCATCCTATCGCAAGAAACGCCCAACAACGGATGGCACCCTGTCGCTTACCTGTCCAAATCTTTCAATGCAGCTGAGTGGAATTACGATATCTTCGATAAGGAGTTACTTGCCGTCATACACGCCCTCGATCACTGGCGCGTGTACCTCGAAGGTGCACGACACCCGTTCGAGATCTGGTCCGATCACAAAAACCTCCTATACTTCTCTACTGCGAGAACTCTCTCCCGCCGCCAAGCACGTTGGTCACTTTTCCTCTCCCGCTTCGACTTCACCCTCGTCCACAAACCAGGCATTACCCACAGGCCCGATGCTCTGTCCAGGCGTCCAGACCTAAAAGAGGGGGTAAAATTTGACAACAAAGACCAGGTATTATTACAACCCCAAATGTTTGTCAAAAGCGCAACAGGACAAGGAACAGTTGAAATGCTTGACAACCAACTAAGACGAAAGTTAAAAGAAGTCACGGCCAAAGATAAAGAAGTAATGGACGCAATGGAGCTTATCAAAGCATCAGGACCTAGAGCACTCTCAAAAGGCTTATAAGAGTGGAATTACGAAGACAATCTCATCTGGCATAGAGGAAAAATATACATTCCGCCAGATGATGAACTTAAAAGACAAATCACAAAAATGTACCATGATTCACCAGCAGCTGGACACCCAGGAAGATGGAAGACCTATGTCCTAGTATCAGACAACTTCTGGTGGCCAGGAATGTCCACATTCATAAAGGAATATGTAACGGGATGCGCAACATGTCAATATACCAAAAACATCACGCATCCCACATGCACCCCGCTTATTCCAAACGAAATACCAGAAGGACCCTGGCAAACAGTCACAATGGACTTCATTACGGATCTTCCCCAAGTTGGACCATATAACGCCATTCACATAACAGTAGACAGAAGCACCAAGGGTGTTGTCTACACCCCATGTGATAAAACCATAGATGCCGAAGGAACCGCTGACCTCTATATGAAAAACATCTGGAAATGATACGGACTTCCAAGGAAGATTGTATCCGATAGAGGTCCACAATTTGCGGCCAGATTCACAAAGGAACTATGGAAAAAACTAGGAGTAACAACAGCACTATCAACCGCCTACCACCCAGAAACAGATGGAGAAACAGAAAGAGTCAATCAAGAGCTAGAACAGTACCTACGAGCATTCTGCAACTACAAACAAACAAACTGGCCCGAATTATTGCCATATGCTGAATTTGCACACAACGTCAGGGAACATTCAGCAACTCACCAATCGCCATTTAAACTCATGTATGGCTATAACCCAACCTTTGTACCTCCGATCACACCAAGATCCGACATCCCAGGCGTAGAACAAAGGTTGGAAAGGCTAAAACAACTACGGCAAGAGACGAAGGCCAGCCTAGAAGTTGCAGCTGAACTAATGAAAAGGAAAACAGCCGAAAACAAAGTCAAATTAGAAGCAGGACAGAAAGTTTGGCTATCGGGAAAAAACATCACCACCACGCACCCGAAAGACAAACTAGCCCCAAAACTGCACGGACCATTTGAAATAGAAAGCAAACTAGGACCGGTGACGTACAAATTAAAGCTTCCGCCAACATGGAAAATACACCCCGTATTCCACGCCTCGTTAATCTCACCCTATCAAAAAACAGCCACACATGGCCCCAACTTCGAACAACCACCACCTGACCTCATAGACGGACAGGAGGAATACGAAGTCGAAGAAATTCTTGACAAGAGGAAACGAGGACGCGGGTATCAATACCTAGTACACTGGAAAGGATACCCAAGCTCCGCAGATGAATGGGTCATGAGAGCAAACCTAGGGAATGCTAAAGAACTTTTGGAAGCATATGACGCGCGACATCATAACTTACCACTACGGGCAGCCCTCGCAAACATCGGACAAACAAAGTCAGAAACATATAAAAACCCAAATTCAATCATTACAATTCCCTCATCCCTTCAATCACTCATTCACTCTCCCAGCGAACATGTCTTCCAGCGAATCCATCTACCTCTCTTCTGAAGACACTCTCGTCGAACGACCCTACGAAGAAACACCCTCCACTGAACCCTCCATTCCTTTGACTCCCGAGATGTCCATAGTAGAAGAACGATCCGTACCATGGGACACAGACAAAGAACAAGCAGCGCGGGAAGCGGAAGAAGGGTTTAGCGAGTATCTGGAAGGACTGGACAAGGACGAACGACGACAAGACGAGATGATCAGACTACTCACGGAGGACTTCAACAGACCTTCACCTTCCCGCTCTCCCTCTCCACCGCCCCTTGTCCGCACACAAAGCGAGGGGATCATATTCCCCGATAGAGAAACGTACCTGACGACTCCCGTCGCTTACATGATGGGGCTTATCGAAGGCACGCCGAACACTGAATTTGTGTCGGGACCAACACGACCGGAGGTACGAAGAGCATTAGAGATCTTAGAAGAGGAAAGGAGTTTTGTCCGACATGCACAACGAGCCTTACAGATCAGAGAGGGAACGCTCATCGCCCGCATTAATGCAGGCGAGAGGAAGCTCATAGGTCTAGACCAGACAACACCTCTTCAGGACACCTTTCATCCCGCCGACGACATCACCCCTGTTACCGAATATCACATGCCGACCATGGCTGTGGTATCTCGTGCCTCGTCTTCGGCCTCAAATGGAGCACCACTTCACCCAATGCCGGGGGCTTATCCCACGGAACGCGGCAGAGGAAGGGACGTCTATAGGTTCGCACAACTATCGCCTCGCTACCACGTCATACCCGCACGACTGGGCTTAATCTGCCCTTCTACCCGAACTCGACTTCCCCTTCCCTTCGTCGAGTATGACTCCAGCGAGTCCGACACCCAGCCCATCATCCTCCGTCCTCGAGGTGCTTGAAGAATGAGACGCTGATGTCCGGTACGACATAAAACTGCCGGGGCAGACGACGGTTCGAATCCGTTGGGCCGGTACCCACTGCCATGATGAGACAAGGGACTCGGCTCTAAAACGCAGTCCCTGCATGGTTGGTAACGAGGTGGGGTATCGTGACGTCCGTACTCAAGGGCTATCGCGTCACGACTCGACTGTGGGCAGCGAGAATCTGTGCCCTAAATATTATTTTGTATGACTCAGATCACATGCATTGCTTATGTTTTTCCTGGACTATTACTTACCGTCTCTGGCACTGACGGCCTAGAAGGGGGGGTAATGTTATGAAACGCTTCACCTATGCTTATCTACTTTTCTCACCTTCTTGATAAGGACTCGTAGGACCTTTCTCCCGACCATACCTCGCATTCCTGTTCCACTGATACTTGGTCCGTGCATCTGCTTGTACATATTTATGGATACTGCGGCGCAGTGTGGAAGCCCTAGGCTATCCACTTCTGTCCAATCTAAGGACTGCTGTTCGCACAGTCTCCTCTGATTCCAAGGCATTAGTCTGATCAGTCCTTTGATTTCTCCCATCATCACTTGTGGCCTAGGATCTCCTCGTCCCAAACAGCCGTTCGTGACAATTTGGAGGGGAGAATCTGTTGTTGTCTTCGTAGACCCAAAAGTCCCCTTTGCGCCGGATAGGGCAGTTGTTGTGACAGAGTTGGTTATTTATACGTCTAGTGCCGGGTGGATACTCCTGGCCTAGGTCTTGCTCCAGGGTGTGTGTGGTAACACTTCCTTGATGGGGGTCTATTTCCCCACTGAGCAAGGTTATGAGAGAGAGTGTGGCAGCAAGCTAGTGCGAGCAAGATAGGGGCAGAAGAGTCTATTCTGGTGTTACAAACTGCTTGTTTGGTAACCCCAAGAGTAGGAGGTTCTTCCCTAGGTCGCTCGTAGAGAGAGGGTAGAACGAGGGTCTCGACTGTACGTGTAGCACAGGAGCCAGAGATGTATTGCGATGTAGCAATGAAGTGGACAGTATAAAGACTGCCTAAGAATGAAGTACTGTGGTAGGAAGACCACAGTGAACAAAGAGAATAGACTGAAGATCCTCAGCCTACTCTATGGGCCTTTTATACTACTTTAGGAAATAGGGCGTGAGAATACCATATATGTATCCGTAGGTATTTTCTAAGACGTCTCTCTCAATAACGACTACTCTTGTGCTTCTCCGTTCGTCTCCTTCTGGCCAGGAAAGACTAGGAGCTCTATGCCCGGTATGTGAGTAGTTTGTAAGGCGGCATTCTATGCCCATCACAATATGGCTTGTGATACTCAACTAACGATAAGGTGATCTGTTGGGAGTAGATGACCAAGGCTATTATCTGTACCTTGTTGTACGCCTCAACCTGTGAGGCCGCTTGATATTTGTGATGATTGTGTCGGAATAGACCGCTGATGAGCATGCACCTGCGCTAGGGTCCGAGGGAGGTATTTGGGAAGCTTTGGGGAGATACCAAACAGCGCTAGACAAGTACCGAAGACGCCGACTTTACCGAACACGGTCGGCTCCTACCCGACCAACGACAAGCCACCGAAGGACGTTCGGCAGCACTTGGGTCAGTTTGCCCACACTTCACGTACTCACCATGACCACATAGGAGTGTTACGATAAGTGTTTACGAGATCAAAGCCAGTAGTCCGTATCGGCCAAGGTCCTCCGTGAGTCGGTCGGTCCTTATTGCTTATCTTCCCAACTTCCACATGGTTGGTCAAATGCGATCTTGCACCATTTCTTGGCTACCCTGGTCGTACGATACCTCTTCTTTATTTTTCATTGGTTCTCCAACGCCTGTTCCGTTTACCTACGCTCGGGCGATGGATCCCGAACGTTCGGGATTTCGCCATTGCTGATTAACTTTTACCTTGTCACCTTCGGAACCCATATGGACATCTCACCTACCTTCTTATCTTCTCTGATTGCTAAGGCTTGGCACCCATTTGACATCTACTCTCATTTCTTGTTTAATATTTTACTTAGAGGCTCTGTTTACTATAAAAACCTACATACACCTCTGGAATAAACCAGCTTTCGCACCCCACAGTTCAGAGCTCATTTGCACCCGTCTCAACCATCGAAATTGTCTTCGTCAACTTCCGAAAACTTATCATCCTTGTCGTTCGGCCTCATTCGCGTTCATACTCGTCTCTTTGCTCGTACCCCCGTCCTCCCTCGTATATTGTCAGAGTCCCGTGTGGCTCTTGAAGCACGTAGTTGTCGGTCGCGACACTACCTTCTCGTTACCAACCGCATTGCCGACACGACCGACCGAACGTTCGGTTGGTGTTCGGCGCAGTCCCGAAACCGTTCGGGCGTTATAATCTCACACTCCCTGATTACCTCTCAGTACGCCTTCAATTTCCAAAGTCACCACTTACAATTCCTTGTGTATCAGATACTAGCTCCAGTACCCCTGCATTAGAGGTTGTTTTAGTGTTGTGCTCGGCATTTAGAACTACCTCTAGCGTATCACCGCCATTAAGGCCCAAGAAAACGTGATCATAACAGCAACCGCACCCATACCCTCTCGCTACCGCTGCCGATCCCCTGCTCGCACTCACACAAGATGAGAGCTCTCGATGCCCTGCACCCATGCTGCCGCCCACCCTGTCCGCACTCGTACCCTCTCGCTGCTGATGCTGATCCCACCCACGCTTGCACAAGATGAGTGTGGGCTTGTCTTCTTTTAATACCGCCACCCACCTGCACCTGCAAGTGTGGGCCTGTATCCTCTTGCTGCCGCCGCCCACCTTGCCTGCGCTCATGCTCTCTCGCTGCCGCTGCCGATCCTCACCGCCCGTGCTCGCACAGAATGAGTGCATGCTCGTATTCTCTTGCTGTCGCCGCCCACCTTACCTGTGCTCATATCCTCTTGCTGCCGCTGCCCACCTCGCTTGCGCTCATACCCTCTTGCTGCCGCTGCCAATCCTAGCCACCCATGCTTGCACAAGACGAGTGCGGGCTTGTGTTCTCTTGCTGCCGCTTCCCCTCCTGCCTGCACCCGTACCCTTTCATTGACCCTCTTGTTGCCATGCGCAGACTGTCGAGCCTCAAACAGAGTCCAAGATGGAGGACTATGTGCCACTCACAATCCGGTGTGCTCATTTTAGATGCAGGGCTGTCCTTTGTTCGTAGTATTTTGCATACAGTAGAATGATAATATTTTGATGGTGATAATGTTGTATGAAATACCTGTGTGAGGCTGCAGACAGGGTCTGAGCTAATGACCAAATCTCTGACTATTGTTCTGGATGAGCTCTGACTGGTCTGAACTAAGACAGATGCAGAAAGGTAACCTCCTGACGGCAGAGTCTTGTTCTGACCTCTGATTGGTCTGAGCCATCTGAGTTCAGAACAATCAGAAGCTCTCAGACCTGGATCAGACATCGGCCGATTTCCTGATGCTCGCGCGAGGGTGATCACTCTATCTGGCATTGTGGACCCCTTTCATAGTTTACAGCCCATTGATGCTCCTGCTCAGATAGTGGAGCATGTTGAGCTCTCAGTACGGGCTGAAGACAATTGTATCACAGAGCTTCCGGAAAACCTGTTCGCTAATCATGCCCCCCTCTTGCGTACTGCTTATTTTTCTGGGTTAGCGATCCCTTAGTCCTCCACAGTCTTTCATAATTTGACCAGCCTCAAGGTGTATGGAAATTCTGCCGAGAACTCTTCGATGCCACCATATGATACTTTTTTCGACGCATTGTCCGAAATGTGTTATCTGGAGACACTTTTGATCTACGACGCCCTCCCTCCCCTTTCTGCTTCGACATCTGGTCAGCCACGAAATACAATCGCACTCTCTCATCTTTCGAACTTGACTTTGGGAGGAGTCTGGTCGTGTTGTATGACATTCCTGGAAATTGTGGAATTTCCACCCCTTTCTGAATTGTTTCTCTCTTGTGACTGCGAAGAAGAGGAGCTTTCTACTCGCTTTCTGCTTCCCGTCCTTGAGAAACAAGGCGGGAAACCGGGACTTGTGCCCCCTCTTCGGACCATTCAGATGAATCGCCCTCCATCCTCAGGGTATATATTTTTCCATGGCTGGCGGCATTGTGATCCTCGTCACTCTTCCGAAGGAGCCACGATTCCAGTTACTTTGAGACTTTATAATAGCTGTCCGCAATGGCAGATCGAATGTGACATATTAGGAGCTTTTTTCACCCAAGAGACGGTGAATCTCTTTATCGATGCAGACCCTCTTTGGGACTTGGCGATGTTTCGCAGTGTAGTTGGACGTGCTCAGTCTGAAGCGCATCTCCCTCTCTAAGTCCATTCTACGACCATTTTGCATTGCTATGAAGAAGGACATGGATACCACAGCTCCAGAGCAGACTCCAGCCGAGTCGTACAGCGAGCATATTCCTTTCCCCAGCCTTAAGGTCATCCATTCACACCCCTTGCGAGTCTCAAACGTGTCCAAACTAGATCGCACTGTAGGTTTCTTGACCCGTGTGCTCAGAAAGCGCACTACATTGCGGGCTCCTATTCGACAGATCGACATTATCCAACCGGATCTGCCGGAAAAGTGGATGGAAGAGCTGAGAGCTGTTGTGCCCAACGTTACTTGGCGTGGAGGACGAGCCGCAGACCGCTTCAAATTCAAGTCGGAATTGTTCGACGCGATCTCCCAGAGAGGCACTAAATGCCAATCAGTTGGTGCAGAGAACCGAGACGTGACTTAAGGGGACAAATCTGTGTCCGCCTTGTAGTTTTATGCCACCGCGTCAGTCGGTGTTTCATAAAGGAAACGGTGTACTTTTTTTTTTTGATCTCGGAAAAGATTACGATTTAATTCAAACGAACATCAGGGTCAGATAAAATCCCAGCGAGTGCGAAGTGAATGGGATCATTTGCGAAAGAAATCAAGCAGAGATATCAGTACCTGGCATAATTTGCAGAGGGTTTGATCCGGGAAGATCCACACGGTTGGAGCCGGAGTGTCGTTCAACAGCGATGATAGTGTCATACACATTATCAACGAAAAAATCTCGACAAGTCTGGTTGTAAGGACAGCATATGACCCCCGCTCCTATGTCAACGTCGCATATGGCTTGACTTGGATCGCAGGATGTCACTAAATGAAGGATGTCTAGGGAGGTCAGGGGTTGTGAGAGCGATGAGAAAGGTATGCAGAAGGGACAACTCACAGGGGGCGCAGATTGAGGATCGCATCTCTTCTAAGATCGTCCTTCGCTCAGTCAGGCAGCTCGTCGTGAACGTGGGGCGAATTGGTGTGGAGAAGCACATGATGAGTTGCGCTTACGCGAAGGCGAATAACAGCAAATACATTGGAACGATGTTGTCACGCGTGAAGGGCCCAAGAGACCAGAATGATTCGCAGAAAGCAAGACGAGAACGAAAAGCAAAGTGAGAATGACAAGCAAAGCAAAATTGACAAGCTGAACAAGGGTGTAAAAGTCAAGCGAGCGGGCCAAGTAGAGCGAGAACAACAGCCAGGATGACATGAAAGACAAGCAGAGCGAGCAAGACAAGCACAAGGATTTCAAAGACAAGAACCAGGACAAGATCAAGTGATTGGGAAATCCAAGCGACGAGCAACAAAGCCAACACAGGAATGCGAGCAAAACATAACCAGCAAGGCAAGAACCACGAGTGAGAGCCAGGAGACAAGACCAAGATATTTCAATAGATAGAGCGTTAACAAGTTGTTGTCCGCAAGCTTCGAGCGAGCCTTTGCAAATCCGCATATGCCAGAGCCAGCAAACATTCGTGGAGATCAAGAATATTACGACTGTACATGTAGACAATAAAACAACAGATGCTTGACTGATGTCCGTGGTAACGAAAGCGGATCATCAAACTCACGGATGATTCACATCCGCTCACTAACGATCCCATCTCTCCAGGAATCACCTTGCGCGCTTGAATTTGGCGTCCGGACCCAAATATGTCAACCTTGGTTTTGACCTGTGCATTCAAGCTGGCCAGATATACTGAGGATGGTGCCAAGATAAAGCAGTACACAACAAAAATCACAAAGAGGAGTGCGGAGGCAGGAAGGAAAGGAAAGTGAAGGAAGACGAGACGGAGAGTAGCACAGAGCAAAGACATACAGAGTAAGCGAGATAGAATCCATAGACCTGGACAGCCATAGGACACCAGCGCGCCGTCAGCCAGCAATCCAGAGCAAGGCGGAAGGCAAAGCTAGAGACACCAGAAAAGCTCGCCAAGATGCCCGAGGTCATGGTCACCCGAATATCGTTCGCTGCCTGGCCTAGGTTGCTTGATGTCGTGCTTGAAGGCGATCGTGCCTTAGAATACAACATTGATCCTCAACTGCGTCGCATAATGATGTGTGATACTTGAACCTTGGAGTGGACGTTGTTGATAAGGTGCTAGTGCTTCATTATCTATAGCAAGGGTTTCGCCGACAAAAGAAATGATGCACAGCCGGATGGAGACGCACCTAGAAATGTAAGACGTATATGCGACTCAGTATTTGCGACAGTGGAAAAAGGTATGAAAGACTCACCGGGGGCGGACACCCCCTAACTGACGACCCGATCTCTTGCAGATTGAAATAGTCGTGTCTGGCGGTGCGGGACCTAAGTGATAGAACGGTTAGGTGGACTTACACTGACAAGATATTCGTTACCAAGATGGGCTGAGAGGGTCGCCAAGATGAACCAAAAGAGAGAGACAAGAATCGGAGAGAAGCAAGAGAGATTGAGAGCGTCGCCGAGATAGACCAGGGCCACCGAGAGTGAATAACAGCCAAAACAAGATAGACGAGCAAGAAGATAAGATTGAGATAGGCCAGGACGAAGACGGAAACGAGCAAAGATTGACATGAGACATCAGAAACCAAGATCAAAGCCACAGCGAGGAAAGGAGAAAGTGAGGACCAAGTAAAACAGAGAAAGCATGCCACAGCGATCAGCAAAAAAAGAGAAGGCCAAGAGAGAAGACAAGGCGAGGACGAGAAGGAGCAAGCCAGACAGAGCAAGCAAGCCAGATCGAAGAGAGAACACAGAGAGACGGGAACCCAAAGCGAGCATACAACACAGCAAAGAGCGAGCAGACCGCAGCCAAGGACATCAAAGCGCAGCAAATAATGATAAGAGACAAGAACCACCAGTGGGAGAAAGAGCAAGAGGATGAGCAAGACAGGCAAGACAGAACCCAGACATGTTGAAGAGACACACCAGCAACCAAACATCGAAGCCACCTCCAGAGAACGATACAGCCCAATGCCACAGACCAAAGCCACAGATCCCAGAGCAGTGTCGCCAGAAGATACAACGCGGCCAGTGAACTTGCTGTCGTGCTTGAAGGCGATTGTGCCTGCGAATGCGTCGTTGAGCATCAATGTATACGAACAGTGGTAAAAAAACGTGTACCTATGAGCTTGACGTCGTGTTTGAGGCGATCGTGCCTGATAACCTAGAGCGCGTCGAGGTTCAATGGGAAAAGTGGCGAACGGCATGGATGAAATGTACCTGTACAGATGAAGGAGGGCGCAGAGAGGATAGTAAGTAATGAAGTGCATGAGAGAGGATAAGGGGGGTGGGGGTGGTGGGGAGGAAGAGTGCGTGATGGAAAGAAAGAGGAGAGAACGGCGAGGCTTTATAGAGTTGGGGGTCACCAATGTCCCTTTGGCACCACCCATCGGTTAACGCGTGCGCCTTCGCTGCCACCGCTATTCGCCACAACATGACAAACGCCACGCTTCTCTGTCCAGCCACCTCGCCCATTATAAAAAGAGAACCGGTGCCTTGTGCGATCGGGGTGATAGGCGTCGTTGATTCGTCGGGGACAAACACGATGCATGAAGGCAGATGAAGGCTCGAGGCTTCTCGGAAAACGCCGCCGCGCGCCACTCATACTCACAGGAATATTGTCCCTGCGGAACTTTTTCATAGACCTAAGTCACATCAGGCCTTCACCAACAAAGATTCTATATGAGATCGAATGGGATACATAGATCAGTAGGGGAAAATTAAATATTGAGAGTCCTCGAGTTCAGAAGGTGCAATATCTTGTCTCTCCTACCTTGGAACCAAACAGTTTCAATGACGCCCACTCCTAATTCTCCAATGAAGGCGAATAGCACAACAACGTCGCGATAGCATTTATTGCTTCCAAATCGAAATAGCTAGCAGTGGGTAGATTTTAGTCCTGCTTTCACGAGTGATTGCCAAATAATGGACCAGATTCATGATGAGACTCGCAGATACATCGTCCGGCCCCGCAGCAAATGTTTGGTCGTTCTTCCAGAGCCGACCTCGTTGACAGACAGAGCCTCGAGCGTGTACTTCAACGTTTACGCAATCGCAAGACAGATAGCATGTCGTTCAGGTGCACAGCGAAGCCGACGTACGTCATTTGATGCATTGCAGTGAGCGCAGTGAAGAGGATCGATGGACCGTCGTTGCGGGGAAGGGTGACAAGAAGGAAGTTCTGCGTTATGGCATGTGAGAACTGTGGATGAAAGAGCAAGCGTACAAAAAGCGGCATCGCCAATGTATACCGGGCGAAAATGTCTGCCTCGTTCTCAACAACGGCAACGCCAACCTCCATCACTGTCATCGTCTCGCACATCTAGCCTTCGAACGGCATGAATGGAGTGGACGAAGTTCCATACACTGAGCTCGATGCTGCTGCAGTGCAGGCGTCGATAGTCTTGTCAGAGCTGACGGTCAGCCGCAATGGGCGAAATCAGCAAATAATTGAGGAAAGATTTACTCCGCCTAGTCTAGTTCATTGTTGAAGGTAGCCGTATGCCAGCAGGGCTCGCGTTCGAAGGACAATATGAGAAGGAATAGATCGATATACTATGAAAAAAGCGCTAGAGTGAACAGACTGTACAACAACCGTAAATTCGTGATAAGTTGCGTGTGATGAACCTCGTGGGAGATGGGCTTATAGACCCCTCGTCGCTGAGGTGCCGTCGTGGTCGACGATGAGCGACCAGGGCGTATGATGGCTTACATAACGATCGGCTTTCGATCCGTCGTGCATTGTCGCGCAATGCCGGGCTGGACGACGTCGACCACGAGCAGAGTCCTGCGAAAACCAGAGTGAGTCAGTTTTCAACCGAATCGATCCGAGCGCAACAGGTTAGTCAAAACAACGAGGGTGGTAAGGAAAGGAAAGGCAAAGACATCGATAGCGTGCGCCGCGAAACAAAAGAGCGAGCGAAGTGAAAAGAAAAACGAACGGTACGCACCTTCAGCTCTATCCACTGAGCAGGCTATCTCCTATGCCCCCCATTCCCCCTCCGCCGCCCTCTGGACCATCATGTCTCGGGCCCTGCGAGGGACCGCCCCTGCCGTTATGTTTCCTGCCTCTGTTTGGGCAGTGCTCTCGCTTGTGGCGATGGACTTCATCTTTACGCACAAAAAGGGCTGGGCAGTCGCCGCATGCAAATTCGCGCTGTCCTCCGTGGCGCAGAGTCGCCTTGTGTCGGGGCATGTCGTACGGGCACGACAGCCGCTTGCTACACCCGTCGGTGCCGTCGCAGACATGAGGGTCTGCCCTCTTGCGCTTTCGCGCGCCTCTCTGTTCCTCCCCAGGTGTCGATGTCCAGGGCCCTCCGATGAACTGCAGTACAGCCTCGGGGACTGGCTCACTTGTGGGGTTTTCTACCCTGTAGGTGGACGTCGTCGATGTCAGTGTAGTTTCTGGGGGGGCGCTGCCATGCGCCTGTGGATGGACCACAAGCATCTGGCCTCGCTCTCCCGCCGTCTCTCTCTCCCTCTCCGCATAGTCGCTTGGCAGCTTGACCGAAAATCGGCCATACCCCGCGATCGGGGGCATGCGCGGCCTCTTGACTATACGCCTCCCCGCCGTCGCGCCGCTCGCTCCCTGACTCCCTCCCTCCTCCCTCCCATCTCTCCCCTCCCCATTTTTCGCCTTCTTCCGCCTTGGCTCCTCCTCCACATGCACGTGGTGCTCCAGCAGCACCGGCTCCGAGGCGGTCTCTGGCGACGGCGGCAGCTCTGGGACAAGCTCCGGGGCCTCCTCGACGAGCACCTGCGGAGGCACCTCGGCCAACACCCGAAGGACGGTGTCGCGCGGTGCCTCCACTATATCTCGCGCCATCTCGCTCCATGGACCATGGATCGGCTGGACGGCGCCCAGCAGCGAGGAGAAGGGTGCCGTGCGGTCTTGGGCGGGTACGTGTGGCGCGATGGGGGTTGGAACCTCGAGGTAGGTCCCATGGAGCGAGCGATATGGGAGTGGCACGTTAGGGCTCGGGTATCTACGGGTGATGTAGGCGTGAGGCGACAGCTGTACGGGAGGGTAGGTATCCTCATCCTAAGAATACAGAACAATGAGTGGCGTGTTGAAAGTCCGAAGCTAAGTTCCAGACTTACCGACTCGTCTGTGTCACCGCTCTCACCGTGTGTCTCGTCGACATCGTGTTGGGAGCACGACGGACCTGCGCCAGGTGCTGCGGATCGATTCGCATGAACGTATAGCAAAATCCTGACGTGATATGCAAATATACAACGCACTGAAAAGCTCGTCCTCAAACGAGTCGTCGCTGTAGTAGTAGGACATGTTGGTATCTTAATGGCGCTGTTGTGGAGGAGAGGCGGGTGACACCTAGTGGTACAGTGAACGGTTGACTTTTTACCTTCGGCTCTCTGATTTTATTATCGAAGAAGCGCCCACTGCCTTCTCAAGAAATCTTCCCAAGGAACGCCTCCGACGCCGGTGTGATGCCTTCCTTCGCATGCTGGAATTAGGCTCCGACCCAAGCCCAAGGTGGGTCCATTGTTCGCATCCCGCAGGTTGTTCATCATTTCTCTGTTCGGCCGTGTCCTCTCTTCCAGCGACAGGCGGGCAATTTTAATTTTCTCTGCCTCGTTCCATCAATTCTGTAAGACAGAACGTGTCAAGGCTGTGAACATCCGGCGGGCTTCTGGGGGTGCGTCCATCGTTATCGTCGTTTATCCGGCCCTCGATAACATCTGTGGCAAAGTCACGCGAGGAGCGGGGTTGCACATGTCGTAACAACCCGCTTATTCCCTTGTTCTCCACAGCTTCTTCTGACCGTCGACTCCCGTCAGCGCCATGCCTTGTATCTGGCACGGGTCGCTGCAGTTGAAATTATGCACCCTTGTCGATAGGTTGTAGACGCATCAGGGTGCTTGAATTTACTGGTGGTCCCATCGCAAACGGCATAATGCAGCCCGCGAGTGGTCTGGAATCGAATATTCTAGTCGCTTATGGTGTCTTCGCACAACATGCAGGGGTAGAAAGGCACACTATTTTGCCATCCTTCATTTCATCGCTTTTTTGAAGACAGTGGATCGTTCTAGCTTAACTGGCTCATTCAGCGTGCTCAGGATTCCCCGTATGGGCAAGTGCAGGCTGGTCGGAATGTCAGGACGAGGGTCTAAGGATGGTTTGATCTTGTCGGAGCGTGACTTGCGATAGCTCCGGTGCGAAGGTGGAGGCGCCCAGTGATAAATTAACAAGCGGGATGACTGATTTTGTCGGCAATATAGGGCTTGCATCCTCCTCGTTGTATGTGACTTGAGCATCGTGGGTATCCATAGAACGGGCACAGCCAACATCTAGTGTGTTCGTGTCGGACTCATGTACTCAGTGAACCGACTATCGAATCGGCCTCTCGGCGCGTACACATCCAAAGGCTTGCTCGAGTGGGGATGCGCATGGATCCGTGCAATTGTGCGACTATTCGCGTCGAGAGAGAATTCATGGGACTTAGGTAGCAGGCTTGAGCCATTGTTTATGAGAAGAAGGTCTGTACGTCGTACTCGACTTCATCGCCTCATCGATAAAAGCGGTCAGATGCTGCACGCTGCAGTACGTTCTGCTGACGCAAGGGAATCGTGCGATCAGAATGTCGTCTTCTCCCTTCCATACGATCCCAACATGTCCTCCCTGAAGGCCGAACGCTTCGGACCTTTCCAACAGACTCTGTGAATGTCAAGGAACTCCCGATGTCCCACTGCTTGCTACTAATGCGCGGCTCCTGCTATTCTCTGCACTTCTATGTTATAGATGTCTCTGTTCGGAAGATATTTCTGCAAGACATAGTTGATGTACGAGGGTAGGGCGAGGTTACTATCCGCTCAGAGGTTTCGACGTTTCAGCAGAGCCAGATAATGTGTCTTTATTCAGGGCTGCTTTACACCTTGTCGACTGCATATTCCCGATGGCTGTAATGCCATATGCCACTCGTTTACTGATGCACACCTGGCTCCACGGATGGACAACTGCTGTTGTTTGCGTGCACGAATTCTGAGCGGCATTTTTTCTTCTAGGCTCAGAAGAGACATCGTCTTACAGAGGTACATGGAAGATGCTTAGGGAGAAACGATATCGTCGTGCAGCGATAGTAGTAGTTTGGCTAGTAATTTGCTGGAGCCGAGAAAGCATCGTTGTAACCATTCCACGGGAATAGGTTTAAGAGATATTATTGATGTCATGGATTGTTTTGAGCGATGAAAAAGACGTCGCTGCTTTTGAAGCCTTGAGGCCTGAGGTGTATGTACGAGGACAAGTTGAAGTTGGCACCGCTGGAGTGGCGCCCGGTGATGGCTTTGGACGTGGATGCAGATGCCGTAAGCGCCGCCTTACTTTGCACAGCACACGTGGCTATATCCCGAATGCTCGAATGCTCGCCCTCTTCCGGCGCGTGCAAGAGAGATGCGACAAAGAACAAGAGCGCAAGACCAGCAAGACTAGTCAGGCGAGGGCCAGGAGACAAGACCAAGATATCTTTCGAGAGATACACTATTACAGAGCTACAGTACATCACCTGAGCTGCCAGGAGGCTCCTAGAGAACCTAGATCTTGCTACCGTATAGAGACCGTCGAGAAACTATCATTCAATCAACATCTGTGGGAACGGAATGCGGATCATAAAACTCACGAACGATTGACATCCCCTCATTGACGACCCCATCTCTTGCAGGGTCGTCCTGCGCAAGTGAAGTCGGCGTCGTGGCCTGAAGACGTAAAGCTTTCCATTGATCGAGATCTTGAAGCAGATGTGACCAGAGATACTGAAGAAGTTGTCCAGATAGACCAGTGCCAAAGAAACCACAGACGAACGAGCAAACAGGCAAGAAGAGAACATAAGCAGCGAGACGAGCGAGCAACACAGAGCAAAGAGCCACATACAATGTAGGCAAGAGAGAACAATTGTAGAGGCATGATATCAGCACACTGTCGGCCAGAGATCCAGAGCAAAACGGAGGACACAGCTAGAGACTCAAGACAAGCTCGCCAAGATGCCTGAGGTGGATGTCACAGAAGATTGTTGGTTGTTTCGCCTAATCGTGCTTCAAGAAAATCGTCCCAATGATTACCCAGTGTTGTGCTTCGACTGTGCGGTGGACTTGTTGTGGCACTTCATCCGGCTGTTCAATTCTTTTGTCGTCCTCACCTCAAGTTTGGAGACGTACCTGTGAATGTAAGACGTGTGGGCGACTCAGAATCTGCGACAACGGAAAGAGGAATGAAGGACTCACCGGGGACTGACGCCCCCTAACTGATCCGATCTCTTGCAGCTTGAAGTAGGTGTGTGGCGGTGCGCGACCTAAGCAATAAAATGGTTAGGTGTACTTACACTGACAAGATATTCGTGACCAAGGATGAGGTGAGAAGGTCGGCAAGATACACCAGAAAAGAACAATAAACAAGAAAGAGATAAACATCACAGACCGAGACCGTCGCCGAGATAGACCAGGGCCGCCGAGTATGAAAGAAGGCCCGAGAAGATAGACGAGCAAGGAGACAAGACTGAGATAAACGAGAAAAGATTGAGGTGAGAAGCCAGAGACCAAGAGCAAAGCCACAGCGAGAGGAGACAGCGAGGACCAAGACAAACAGAGCGAGAAAGACAGAGCGAGCAGAAAAAAGACACAGCCAGGAGAGAAGACAGAGCAAGGATAAAGAGGAGAGCGAGGAGCAAGTAAGACAGAGCGAGCACACCAGATCCAGGAGACAGCCAAGAGAGACGAGGTTACAGAGCGACCAGGGAACATAGAAAGACCAGAGAAGACAGCAAAAAGCGAGCAGACCACAGCCAAGACAGGCAAGACAGAACCCAGACATGTTAAAGAGACACACCAGCAACCAGACGTCTAAGCCACCTCCAGAGAACGATACAGCCCAATGCCACAGACCAAAGCCACAGATCCCAGAGCAGTGTCGCCAGAAGATACAATGTAGCCAGTGAACTTGCTGTCGTGCTTGAAGGCGATCGTGCCTGCGAATGCGTCGTTGAGCACCAAGGATATACGAGCAGTGGTCAATACGACGTACCTATGAACTTGACGTCGTGCCTGGGGCGATCGTGCCTAATAACCTAGAGCGCGTCGAGGTTCAATGGTTGAAGTGATGGCGAACAGCATGAATGAGATGTACCTGTACAGATGAAGGAGGGCACGGAGAGGATAGTAAGTAATGAAGTGCATGAGAGAGGACAAGGGGGTGGTGGTGGTGGGGAGGAAGAGAGTGTGATGGAAAGAAAGAGGAGAGAACGGCGAGGCCTTATAGAGTTGGGGGTCACCAATGTCCCTTTGGCACCACCCATCGGTTAACGCGTGCGCCTTCGCTGCCACCACATTCGCCACAACATGACAAACGCCACGCTTCTCTGTCCAGCCACCTCGCCCGTTATGGAAAGAGAACCGGCGTCTTGTGCGATCGGGTGACAGGCGTCGTTGATTCGTCGGGGACAAACACGATGCATGAAGGCTCGAGGCTTCTCGGAAAACACTATCGCGCGCCACTCATAATCACAGGACTATTGTCCCTGCGGTACTTCCTTATAGACCCGATCCACATCAGACCATTACCAGGATTCTCTACGAGATCCTTATACACAGAACGATCTTCTTCTGTATAAGGTCAGCCACGGAGACTATACGAGATCGAACGGGATATGTACTAGATCAGTAGGGGAGAATTTGACATTGGGGGTCCTCGAGTTCAGAAGTTGCATCATCTCGTCTCTCGCACCTTGAACTAGACAATTCCAATGACGCCCACTACGAATTCTCCGACGAAGGTGAATAGCGCAACGTTGCGGTAGCAGTTATTACTTCCAAATCGATATAGCTAACAGCGGGTGAATTTCAATTCTGCCTCCACAAGTGATTGCTAAACAACGCACCAGATTCATGATGAGACTCGCAGATACATCGTCCGGCCCTGCGGCAAATCTTTGGTCATCCTTCTAGAGCCTCCCTTGTTGACGGGCGGAGCCTCCAGCCTTTACTTCAACGTTTACACAATCGCAAGACAGATAGCATGTCGTTCAGGTGCACAAACAAGAAGTCGGCGTGCGCAATTTGATACAGTGCAGTGAGCGCAGTGGAGAGGATCGATGGACCGTCGTCGCGGGGAAGGGTGGCAAGAAGGAAGTTCTGCGTTATGGCATGTGAGAACTGTGGATGAAAGAGCAAGCGTACAAAAAGCGGTATCGCCAATGTATACCGGGCGAGAATGTCTGCCTCGTTCTCAACAACGGCAACGTCAACCTCCATCACTGTCATCGTCTCGCACATCTGGACTTCGAACGACATGAATGAAGTGGACAGAGTTTCATACACTGAGCTCGATGCTGCGCAGCGCAGGCGTCGATAGTCTCGTCAGAGCTGACGGTCAGCTGCAATGGGTGAAATCAGCAAATAATTGAGGAAAGATTTACTCCGCCTAGTCTAGTTCATTGTTGAAGGTAGCCGTATGCCAGCAGGGCTCGAGTTCAAAGGACAATATGAGAAGGAATAGATAGGTATTTGTAGAAGAGAAGCGCTAGAGTGAACAGACTGTACAACAATAGATCCATGTGAAGCCGTGATAATTTAGATGTGATCAACCTCGTGGAAGATGAGCTTATCGACCCCTCGTTGCTGAGGTGCCGTCGTGCGTGAAGTTGACGATGAGCAACTCATGGCGGTATTATAGCTTACATAACGACTGGTTTCCTGTTCGTCGTGCAATACCGGGCTAGACGACGCGTCGAGTCGATGTCGATCACAAGCAGAGTCCTGCGAAAACAAGAGCGAGTCAGTTTCCAACCGAATCGATCCGAGCGCAACAGGTTAGTCAAAACAACGAGGGCGGTGAGGAAAGGAAAGGCAAAGGCATCGATGGCGTGCGCCGCGAAACAAAAGAGCGAGCGAAGAGAAAAGGAAAGCAAACGGTACGCACCTTCAGCTCTATCCACTGAGCAGGCCATACCCCATGCCCCCCATGGACCCTCTACCGCCCTCTGGACCATCGTGCCTCGGGCCCTGCGAGGGACCGTCCTCATTGTTATGCTTCCTGCCCCTGTTTGGGCAGTGCTCTCGCTTGTGGCGATGGACTTCATCTTTACGCACAAAAAGGGCTGGGCAGTCTCCGCATGCAAATTCGCGCTGTCCTCCGTGGCGCAGAGTCGCCTTGTGTCGGGGCATGTCGTACGGGCACGACAGCCGCTTGCTACACCCGTCGGTGCCGTCGCAAACATGAGGGTCTGCCCTCTTGCGCTTTCGCGCGTCTCTCTGTTCCTCCCCAGGTGTCGATGTCCAGGGCCCTCCGATGGACTGCGGTACAGCCTCGGGGACTGGCTCACCTGTAGGGTCCTCCACCCTATGGGTGGATGTTGTCGATGTTACTGTATTTTGTTGGGGGGCGCTGCCGTGTGCCTGTGGATGGACCACGGGGATCTGGCTTTGCACATCCACCGTCTCTCTCTCTCTCACCGCATATTGGGTCTGAAGCCTCACGGAAAAGCGCCCACATCCCGCAATCGGGGGCATGCGCGGCCTCTTGACTATGCGCCTCCCCGCCGTCGCGCCGCTCGCTCCCTGGCTCGCTCCCTCCTCCCTCCCCTCGCTTCCCTCCCCATTCCTCGCCTTCTTCCGCCTTGGCTCCTCCTCCACATGCACGTGGTGTTCCTGCGACACCGGCTCCGTGGTGATCTCTGGCGATGGTGGCAGCTCTGGGACAGGCTCCGGGGCCTCCGCGACGAGTACCTGCGGAGGCACCTCGGCCAACACCCGAAGGACGGTGTCGCGCGGCGCCTGCACGATCTCCCGTGCCATGTCACTCCATGGACCCCGGATCGGCTGGACGGCGCCCAGCAGCGAGGAGAACGTTGCCGCACCGCGCCTCCGATGGACCTCGATAGGGTCCAATGCATCCACTAGTGTTGAGATGGTCGAGATGGGGACGTGACATGGATCCTCCTTCGTGTATGCGTGAGTGGTGGGGACTGGAACAGGGAATGGCCATGCGCGCGCTGACTCGTTGTCATCGTTCCAGTGGGTGGCCTGGCTAGGTGCGTATGGCGCGAAGGGCGTCGGAACCTCAAGGTAGGTTCCAGGGAACGGATTCAGTCGTCCCCCACGTGCGATGTAGGCGTAGGGCCACGGTTGTGCAGAAGGGCTCCCGTCCTGGAGAAAGTACGTGCCCTCATCCTAGGAATGCAGAGCAATGAGTGGCGTGTTAAAAATCTGGAGCAAGGTTCTAGACTTACTGACTCGTCATCTGTGAGGTCGCTCTCACGATGCCTCTCGTTGTCGATAGCATGGGAGCGCGACGGGCCTGCGCCAGGAGCTGTGGGCGGGTTCGTGTTAACATGTAGCAACCTGTTCGAATGATATGGACATGCAGAACATACTGAAGAGGTCTTCCTCAGTGTCATGGCCGTAATCGTGGCACCACGACATTGCTAAGCCGGTGGATGATGGTGTGTAGGTTGTGTTGTTTAGTGGCTCAACAGCGCTGTGGTGGTTGATAGGGGAGAGGTGGGTAAGACTCAGCGGTACAGTGAACTGTTAACTTTTCACCTCGCTCGATTAGGCGGATATACCGTCGAGGAAGCGCCCACCGCCTTCCCAAGGAATCAGTCCAAGGAACACCTCCGACGCCGGTGTGATGCCTTCCTTCGCATGCTGGAATTAGGCTCCGACCCAAGCCCAAGGTGGGTCCATTGTTCGCATTCCGCAGGTTGTTCATCATTTCTCCTTTCGGCCGTGTCCTCTCTTCCAGCGACAGGCGGACAATTTTTCTCTGCCTCGTTCCATCAATTCTGTGAGACATAACGTGTCCAGGCTGTAACCATCCGGCGGGCTTCTGAGGGTGCGTCCGTCGTTATCGTCGTTCATCCGGCCCTGGATAACATCTGTGGCAAAGTCACGCGAGGAGCGGGGTTGCACATGTCGTAACAACCCGATCATTCCCTTGTTCTGTACCACTTCTTTTGACAGTCGGCGCTCTTCGGCGTCATGCCTTGTATCCGGGACTGTATCCGGGACAGGCCTCCGCAATTGATATTATGCGCGTTCGTCGATAGGTTGTAGGCGCATCAAGATGCTTGATTTTACGGAGGGGTCATTGCAAACGGCACGATTCAGCCTGCTCGTGTTCTGAAATCGAATATTCCGGCCGATTGTAGCGTCTTCGTGCATCACGCAGGGGTGGCAAGGCACAGTATTGTGCCATGTACTCAGTCGACCGACTATCGAATTAGTTTTCTCGGCGCGTACATATCCAGAGGCTTTCTCGAGTGAGACTGGGAAGGCACCTGCACGCCCGATCGACCATTTCCCGTGTCGACAGAGCATCCATCAGCGGCACCGGAAAGTAAGTTTGAGCTATTGCTCATGAAGAGGGTCTAGATGTCGTACTCAATTTGATTGCCTCATCGATCAGTGCGGATGTTATGGATAGGTCTGCATGTCTCAGTACTAACCGCCAACGCGATGTTAATGTACGATCAAAATATTGCCTTCTTCCTTTCATCCCATTGTACGCTCTGGATTCTCCCAACAGACTCTCCGCATTTCGAAGAATACCAGTGTCCCGCTGCTTGCGATAAGGGAGCATTCCTATGATCGACTCGCGTTTTCAAGCTAATAGACGAGGTTGGAGCGAGGATAGAGTCGCATCGAAGGATGCAACGTCCCAGCAGAGCTTTGAACCAAGCCAAATTCAGCTCGGCATGGGAGCATTACCTCGAAGATGTGAAGGCAATGTTCACGATAGTGCTCTCGAATTCCTCAATACCCCATTATATCATGTTTACTGCACGTCTCCGATAGATGTATCTCCGTATGTTACAGCTGGAGCAAGAGGCTTGGGAGGAACGATTGTCATTGTTGTGCAAATAATTCGCTGGATTCGACAAGCACCACTGTGAGCGTTTCACGAGAATAGGCTCAAGAGACAATAGTGATGTCATGAAAAATCTATGGCCTGTTTTGAGCGGTGAAAACGAAAGTCGTTGCTGCTCTTGGGGTGAGGACAAGTTCAAATCGGCGCCGTCGGAGTGGCGCTCGATGACATTAGACGTCGATGTACCTTGCGCGGTAAGGCAGGACCCCCGCGAATCACGCCAGAGGTCCGAGCTGGATCCGGGGGAAAAATGGGCACGTAAGTGCCGAGTTCGAGGGAAAATCTGGGGTAAACTGGCAGGATAAAGATCAGAGGTCCGAGTTTTGTCCGGGGGCTGCGCGTGTTTGAGTAGGAGGTCCGATCCTGTTCGGAGATTTGACCCGGATCTGACCTCGGGATATATCACTGATATATTGCAAAATATATTACTATTGCACCCAAGCCCAAGCATCCAATACTGATCATGTATTTCCTAGAACAGAACCAAAAAAGCTAATACATTTACGAAGAAAGGCTTGCCTCATTTCACAATCAGCGCCGAAGTATCCAAGGTGTATCCTCTTCAAACAGTGGCTCATCAGTAAATGGGCAAATTTGATTACCACGATTATAGAGCTTAGCGGCACTTACCAGCCTTGCACAAGTGTTGCTTGCTTAAAGGATCACTCTAAGCTGTTGTAAGAGTTCAGAGCTTGCTCAAGCTCTGCGCACTTACCTGCTTGTCTTGTAAGTATGATAAGAACGAAGGGTCATCTTGTAAGTTGAATAAGGATTGATGCTCACATTGTAAGTAGCATAAGAATTCAATATGACCAAGTAAGCACTATGAGGAATTTGGATTGTGAGAAGACGGTGTGCTCAAGAAAACAAACTGTATGGGGGCTACATACTACATGCTAGGAAAATGCTTTGAAAGGCTTTCCCCTGTCGTTCCCTGTCTGAACATACAAACAGTGTCCTGTAAGGAAATTTGGATGGTATTCCATGCAGAGTCAGTGCATGCCTCCTCCTTGCAGCGGATCTACTAGCTTTGTGAGATGAAAAGCATCATCAGTATGATGTCTGGAAACCAGATACATACTAAAAATCCTCTTCCTCCCAGCTTCCTGTATATACTGGAAATTGTCAAGAGTCTAGGAACCTGCTGAATCAATGAGACTTGAGCATCTCGGGCTTCTTTAGATGCTTCAAATATTTGCTGCTGTTGGATTTGAAAGTGAGGATTTTCACACAGCCCTCCGGCACCACCTGGGACCCAAGGCGGCCAGCTTGGTCATCTATGGTGCCATCTGGAAAAACCTCCTCTCTTAATGAGATCTAATTATTCAAAATACTAATCTAAGCTAATTAGAATATATTATCCATAATCAACTTTATGACCAAATTTACAATCAAGGGGATATTGTCTATATTATTACAGTCCCATTGAAATCTACAACCCAATTACAATTTTACATATCCCAAATCCAAATTATATAAGTGCTACAATTTTATTTTTACTGTATTTCTTATTTTCAATTGGTTTACTATATTATTGTCTGGTGTCTAAATTCGAATATTAAAAGCCCTGATTTTTAGGGTATTTATTGACCCTTTTATATATAGAATAGATAAAAGATAAATGTGTAAGAAAATCAGAAATATTGAGATTGTCTTATTTATATTAACATATTTAGGTTATCAGATAAATAGTTCAGATCTTGTGGCTTAGTGGTTTAGAGCACTAGTTTGGGGTGTGCAAGCATAAGGTTATTGGTTCATTTCTAGTGATAGGCAAGTTTATAATAAGGTGCAACTTTAGTTTGATTAGTAAGCTCTATACATACTCTATGATTGGAGATGTAGTAGTAGTGGAGAAACCGTAGAACTGGGTTGGTTGATATTTTTCCGAAAATCCATATAATAAATTAGCTTTAATTATCTCTAATTAGATCTTATAATATCAGGATTAGAGGGGGGGTTAGCTAAAAATCCTTAATAGTAATTGGTAAAATATAGATATATTTATGCTTAACAATGGTTAATTCAATATGGAGCTTTTCTCTGATGGAGCTGACTTCAAAATTTGTAGAAGGTTGCATCCACACTGTATCCTCAATCCGCTAGTGCATCTAGCATGGTGTACTATGTGAGCAGTACTATTACCTGAGAAACATAACTCAAATTGCCACTTACTTTTTGGGATAGCCAGGAATCTGACAAGACTGATGGCATCACAATAAGCCTTCCTGACATTGTTATGTATATTACTGTTAGATATATACAGTGAATAGTACTTATTCTGCCCTATTGCAAACAGAGACAGCATCAGGGAAAAGCTCCATATTGAATTAACCATTGTTAAGCATAAATATATCTATATTTTACCAATTACTATTAAGGATTTTTAGCTAACCCCCCCTCTAATCCTGATATTATAAGATCTAATTAGAGATAATTAAAGCTAATTTATTATATGGATTTTCGGAAAAATATCAACCAACCCAGTTCTACGGTTTCTCCACTACTACTACATCTCCAATCATAGAGTATGTATAGAGCTTACTAATCAAACTAAAGTTGCACCTTATTATAAACTTGCCTATCACTAGAAATGAACCAATAACCTTATGCTTGCACACCCCAAACTAGTGCTCTAAACCACTAAGCCACAAGATCTGAACTATTTATCTGATAACCTAAATATGTTAATATAAATAAGACAATCTCAATATTTCTGATTTTCTTACACATTTATCTTTTATCTATTCTATATATAAAAGGGTCAATAAATACCCTAAAAATCAGGGCTTTTAATATTCGAATTTAGACACCAGACAATAATATAGTAAACCAATTGAAAATAAGAAATACAGTAAAAATAAAATTGTAGCACTTATATAATTTGGATTTGGGATATGTAAAATTGTAATTGGGTTGTAGATTTCAATGGGACTGTAATAATATAGACAATATCCCCTTGATTGTAAATTTGGTCATAAAGTTGATTATGGATAATATATTCTAATTAGCTTAGATTAGTATTTTGAATAATTAGATCTCATTAAGAGAGGAGGTTTTTCTAAATGTCTACCATATATCTCTAGCACATAGCCTCAAGTCTCTGTGACTAGTGATGACTACTTCCAAGCTAGCATAATGTTCTGATAGGCACCTGCACTGTGTAATCTATAGCTTATGGGGATCTCCACCCTGTGGGTGGACGTCGTCGATGTCAATGTAGTATCTTTGAGGGCGCTGCCATGCGCCTGTGGATGGACCACAGGGATCTGGTTTTGCACTCCCACCATCTCTCTTCCTCTCGCCGCATAGTGGCTCAGCAGCCAGACCAAAGACAGCCCACACCTCGTGATTGGGGGCATGCACAGTATGCACCTCTCCGCCTTTGCGCCGTTCCCTCCCTGGCTTTCTCCCTCCTTCTCCCCCTTGCTTCCCTTTCCTTCCCTCGCTTTCTTCTGCCTCAGCCCCTCCTCCATATCTACGTAGTGCTCCTACGGCACCGGCTCTGAGGCAGTTTCTAGTGACTGCGGCAGCTCTGGGATGGGCTTCGGGACCTCCTTGACGGGCATCCGCAGAGGGACCTTGGACAACCCCCGAAGGACGATGTCGCGCGACACTTCCACAATCTCCCATACCATGCCTCTCCATGGACCCTGGATCAGATAGATGGTGCCTAATAGTGAGGAGAAGGGCACAGCGCCGTGCATTAGAGGGTGTTCCTCGACCTCGATAGGATACACCAGTGTTGAGAAGGTAGATGTAGGGATGTGGCATGTGGCCGCCTCCATGTAAGTGGGTGTGGCGGGAAGTGGAACCGGGAATGCCACGGGCATGCCATCTGGTTGTTGTTGTCCCATTGGATGGCCCGGGCAGGTGCGCATTGCACGAAGAAGGCTGAAACTCAAGATCAGTTTTAGGGAGCGAGGGATGTGTGAGTGGCGCATAAGGCCTATGGTGTTCACCATGGGCGATGTAGGCGTAAGGCCATGGCTGTATAGAAGCCCCCCTGACCCAAGGAAGGTGAACGTCTTTGTCCTAGGAGCACCCAAGTATGAGTGGCATGTTGAAAGGTCTGAAGCTAGATTCCAGACTTACCGACTTGTCTGTGTGATTGCTCTCACCGTGTGTCTCGTCGACATAGGGTTGGGAGCATGATGGACCTGCGCCAGGTGCTGCAGGTCGATTCGCATTAATATGTAGTAAAGTTATGAAATGGTATACAAATATATAACGCACTGGATAACTCCTCATCAAACGAGTCATTTCCGTAGTAGTCAGATATGTTGATGCATCAGCAAACTGGGAAGCGTCTGTACAGAGCTGGACAGATGCTCCAGAGCCCCTAGATGCCCCTAGCAAGTCCCCGATTAGACAGACACTATGACTTTTGGCCAGTGTCTGGACATATCTGTCCAGATACACTATATATGGAAGTGATTAGATAATTGATGTCAATAGATGACCACAAAAATAATCTGTACTAAGCAAGGATTGAACCCAGAACCTCTTGAACTGTTCACTGGCTAAGAGCAATGTGAGTACTAGAATTATCCACTCCACCATATGGCCATGATATCCTTCCTCAACAATTAGCTTATATTGCACTCTTTGGGACTTCACAGAATTTGAGATGCCTAAACCCTGTGATGCATCATCTATTTTCGCATTTTTAGCATCTATCCATGGAAGAATGATGGCATATGATACATCATTCGAATGCTATGATACAGGGAAGTATCCTAATACCACTCATGAGCTGAAATCTAACAGATAGCATCAATGCCAATTAAAATCTTTGAAGTCTAACAAATGTATTTCTTGATTTTCCAGTACTGTGGGAATCTTACATACTCTGCCTTCCGGAAATGTGCTCCTAGTCAGCTTATTGATAGAGCACCTTATCTGCCCAGATCTAGCCATACACAGATATCTAGCCAGATATCCCCAGATGACCTAAGCATCTAGGAGCATCTGGGGCTCTGGGACTGGCTGGGACCGGTTACAGGTTTGCTGATGTGTCTTGAAGGTGCTGATGTGTAATTTGTAGGGGAGAGGCAGGTAAGACTTAGTGGTATGGTGAATGGTTGACCTTCCACTCTCTTCGGTTCTCTAGATATGCCATCGAAGAAGCGCCCACTACGGCTCAGACATCGCTGTAATGACTTCCCTTGCATATTGGAATTAGGTTCCGAACCAAAAGTGAGGCGGCCTCATTGTTCCCATGCCACAAGCCAGCATCCATTGTCTCCTTTTGGGCATCCTTTCTTCCAGCGGCGGGCGAGCAATATTCCCTGCCTCGTTCCATCAGTCCTGTGAGGCAGAACGTGTCCGCGCTGTGCCCACCCGGCGAATTTCTAGGGTGCATTTGCCTTATCATCATTCATTGGACCTCAATCACATCTGTGGCAAAGCATGGTGAGGAGTGGGGTTACGTTTGTCACAATATCCCACTTGATCCTTTGTTCAGCACAGGTTCTCTCCACAGTCGATGGTACTACATCTGTGAAGATCTGTGACCAGTTGCCTCAATTGAAATCATACGTGTTCGTCTATAGGTTGTAGGCGTATCAGGGTGCTTGATTTCGCGAGTGGGTCCATCACAAACGACATGATTCAGCTCTCTTGTTCTCTTTCGAATCTTCTAGCCGTTTATAGTGCCTTCACACAACACGTAGGGGTAGCGAGGCACCCCTTTATCACATATTTCTTTTAATTGCTCCACTGGGAACAGAGCATTGATGAGGCATGTTCAGTTCAAAATTTCACTTGAGATGCCCCGTTGAGGCGATTGCAGGCTAGGCGGACATCACAGCGATAGCCGAGGGATGAAAGCCAATTCATTATCTAGTCTCGTGCGGGTACGACTTACGATAGCTCCGTTTCCTTCCGCAAGCTCTAGTACGAATGGTGGAGGCATTCCATTGGCAATTTACAAATGTCATGACTGACCTTCGGGCACTCCAGAGCCCCGTTGTATGTGGCCCGGTGCTCGTTGCACCCTCCCCACCTATGCCTGCCTACTATACTGCTCCACGTGTGCTTGCCCATGTCATTACTGAGTTAATCATGGGCCCGTTTTCTTGGCGAGTCCATTCTGGAGCCCAAGTAAACTCTCGCGCGCTCTGCGGCTTATTGTTCACCTCAGTAGAGAATCCATGACTAGAACCAGGATGTAGGTTTGGTTCATTGTTCAGGACAAGGGAGTCTAGATGTCACAATTAGCTTCATCACCTCATTGATTGGCAAGGTTGGATGTCAAGGGTAGATCCACATGCTGCACTATGTAGTGCCAATGCGAGGGTATTGAATTGTCAATGAATCACTGGCGCCCCATCATCCCACATGCTGCTCTTTCTTTCTGCATACGCTCTGGCCTTTGCAAAGTCTTCTCGATAGTTGATGGGATTCCCATTATCCTGCTGCTACTACGATGCCATTGTCGGTGTTACATTCATACTCAGGGCAAGCCTACGATACGTTGTTGCACTCGCACATTGTTAGGCATCAAATAGTGATGGTAGAATGGAGGGCGGAATATCTAACTAGAAGAAAGAAAAGAGAAACAACCTAGAAGGGACAGGACATTTAATTCCGATTTTCTACATATTTTTCGAGTATTTTACCACTTAAACTTGATTTCCTATCCCTTTTCATACTCATAATTCGCTTTTGGGACAGATTCCAGAGCCTAGGGTCTATTTCAGAAAGGGCTAGACCATGGCAAGACAATAAGGAATGGAAAGAAAGCAGTGGAATCTGGTAGAATAGAAAGGAGCTTTAGTGGAAGGATGGAGAATGTTTAGGAAAGGGGCAAGGTCTAGGGCATTCCAAGCTGAAAGGAGGGGAAGGTTCTGAGCAGTTCTGAAGGAAGCTGAAGGAACATTCTACCACATTCTGAGCCTTTCTTTTACTTTCCTTTCTGTTCCTCTGCTTTCCTCCCTATTCTTTTTATTTCTACAGCATTCTTTGTGACTCACAGTGACTCTACTCAGCCTGTATATACTAGGAAGGAGATTCCCACTTGAAATAGTATATAAGGAGGCTGATTGTCCTGCTTCAGGCAGAGACCATCTCTCCCTCTTACTTTTACTCAGTCAGTCAGTGCCAGTCAATAAGTTCTTTGAGTGATATCAGTTGGAGATAAGCTGCAAGACTTGTAGGGATACTAGACAAACTAGTAGCTCGCCTTCAATCTGTGTAGCACCTCAGCAACTTGAATCACAAAGTTCTTAAGCCTCTCCTCATTATTCTCAACATTTACAGAGTATTGTCTTTGTTAGTGGTCTGGCACCACTTCAGAAATTCGCTAAATAGCTCAGGATATTCTCATCGTTGCCTATAACTGTGACCAACATCTGTGTATCGTGCCAACACCAGAAGGTATCATCTAGAACAGCAATCAAACGAACACTAGGTACATCCGGAAAAACAGGAAACCCCGATTGTATCTAGGGGAGAAACCATTCCTCACCGCGACAACGTTTGGTTAATTTGTGATGTTCCCCGCATCTCTGCGTTGCAAATATGTCTATTTTCCTCGATTGGTTCCGCATGCACAATAACGGAGGAGAGTGAAGCAAGATAATCATTCCGTCAAGGTCAAAACCCATCTCCACCCAACCCGACATGCAATAATCACTATCACAAAACAGCAACGGACAATGGAGATGGTGCACCTTCATTCGGCTCTATTCTGCACCATCAATGCCTCGTTAATTGAGTGTTTTTGACGGATAAAATACCATGTGCCACATTTGAACTTGATTGACAACTGCCACTATTCCTGACATTCAAATTATCTGAAAAGCATGTTAATAAGATACTCTGTGTGTGTACCTGCATTGACTCACCAAGCGACTTGAAAATGTCTTAAGAAACGGAAATTGCCATTGTCCTGTAGGAGTCGTAGTATCGCAAATGAGATGCTGTATTCGACAAAGTACCTCAGCAAAACTTGGATTATCTCCATAGAATAGCTATGAGAGATAATTTTAAGGTCATAAACGAGCCATGGGCCGTTTCTTGCGGTGAAGTAAATGTCGTCGTTGCACTTGAGATGGGTGTAAAGGACAAGTTGAAGTTGGCGCCGCTAGAGTGGCACCTGATGTGATTGGACGTCGGTGCTGGAGCTCTCGAAATTTCACTTGCTCTTCATGTTGTTGACAATGACAGCTCAATATTTCTTAACTATGACTGAATTTCTGTTTTCAAAATATGCAGATACAGCGCGATGCTAAATCTGCGATGTACGGCTGACCCAAGCCGGTTAAGTCACGTGTCAGTCTTAGTCATGTCATCGATTCATCGAACACACGCTGCACTCGCGCTGCCTCTCCAAGCTTCCAAGCACCACCCAGGACCAAGCGTAGTTCAAGCCCATTTGACATTCTCAAATCGGAACTGTGAGCCAATACTGCCTTTCGATACACGGACAAAACCTTGTGATGCACCAAAAGCCATTCTCCAGATGAGGTGAGCCTTGTGATATCCCGAAGTTGGCATTATCATATCAACCTGAATTTCCACATAGTGCAATCGATTACTGGAGTCCTCCTGCACAACTGAGACTGGATCTGCTTTCAGATCTCAGTGTCACTGCATCTGTCAATGATCCAAACATTTACAGGATCTTTGATGATGAAGTAGCCTTTCTGCGCAACACGATACGTGCAATCAACGCGTGGCGCAATGATATAATTCCCATGTGTCATCTCCCATCTGAGACTTTAGCGCATATATTCTATTTTTTGGCAGTAATCGATCCCCCGTGGATACGCGACCTGGGATGGATCAAAATCTCACATATTTGCAGATACTAGAGAGAAGTTGCTTTGGAGCATCAGAAACTGTGGTCAATAATCAATCTTGACCTTGGCAAATCATGTGTTTTGGAAATGTCTACATGTGCAAAATAAACAGCTATTGCTTTTGAAAGCTCCTATAATCAGAGCAGGCGTGATGCACGCCCTTTGATCTTGCCCCATTGGATTCACACAAACTCGACCATTCTATCTGATATATACCGCTTCTCAGACCTGCGTCTCCTTGCAACTCCTGCACCAATGATGGAACGTATCGATCTGGCAGTAGCTTCATACATTGATATCATGGAATTTCCAGGTAGCCTATTTGCCAACCATGCCCCACTCCTGCGCACTGCCTCTTTCACCGGGTTTGCAGTTCCTTGGTCTTCTCCTGTCCTGCATAATATGACCAATCTTACCGTTATCTTATTACAAGATACTGCTTTGACATCTCCTTTGCCATCATATAATGATTTTTTTGACAACATGCCTTACCTGGAGACACTCACGAATCACTTTGCCCTCCCTGCTCTTCCCCCTGCATCATCTGGTCAAATGCGAAGGAGAATTACACTCTCACACCTCTCGAGTTTGGATCCAAGGGGGTTCTAGTCACGTTGCATGGCAATCTTGCAAATTGCGGAATTTCCGACTACTACCAGAATCACTCTCGCTTGTAAATGCAAAGAAGCTGAGCTCTCTACAAGCTCGCTGCTTCCCATTCTGGAGAGGCAAAGTGGTAAAACGGGACTTGCGGCCCCTCTCTGGATTATTCGCATGACTCGCGACCACATCACAGGATGTATTGAATTCTATGGCTGGCTGCGTGGCCCGGATTTTTCTCCCGACGTTTCCTCGGCATTCATTGCTCTGACACTTCACGATGCATCTCCGTGGCCTCTGATTAGTTGTGATATTTTACGAGCTTTGTTCACACAGGATACTGAGACCTTCTCCCTGGATGCAGACCCCCGCTGGACCCTAGCTATGTTTCGTGATGTAGTTAGACGTGCTCAGAGTTTGAAACACACCTCCCTCTCTGAATCTATTCTACCACTATTTTGCACAGCTATGAAGAGGAATATAGACTCCACAGCTACCGAGCAGACGCTAGCCAACTCATACAGCGAATGTATCCCTTTCCCTAGTCTTGAGGTTATACAGTTGCATCGCTTCCATTCCTTACCCATACCCACTCTATATCTCTTGACCCGCGTGCTCAAACAACACAGTGCATTGCGGTCTCCAATTCAGGAGGTCGATATCATCGAATGGGACCCGCCAGAGCAATGGGTTGGCGAGCTGAGGCGCATCGTGCCGATTGTCAATTAGGGTGGAGAGTGGAGACGTCGGCCATGGTGATATACCTAACTTCGCCTCCAGACCGTAATTGCTTCCACATACGAATTTACAAGGAGGGTGTATTTCGTGTTTCAGACGGCAAAAATTGTGATGTAATCTGATTAAATTTCGTGCCGTACAGCTCCCATAAAAGGAAAAGTTGCATTTGGATTCTCAACCTTCGAACACTGTCCACTGCGTTGATCACCTCAAAGTTGAATCTGCATCTTGTGTTTCTTTCCTTGCTTTCCTCTATTGAGACTCTTTGATTTTCAAAATTACTGACATGGCGGCCACCGTGGAGGACCATACCGGCCCTAGCCGAACTAACGAATCTGATCAGTTTCCACTTGCCTCCGTATCTGCGCGTAACAGAATATCCATCGACGCGTTTTACGCGCCTGAAATGGTCGAGTTCTGGGCAAAGAAGTATCAAGATGCGAAGAACGAGCTTGATCTGCTCAAGGTTCGCATATGCATCACATTCTCCTCTTCTGAAGCTTCGTGCCGGGATTCTGACAAGGCAGTGACTGTGTGTCTGATACAGCGACACCTCTTTACGCAGCCTGATAGGAACGAGCTCCAGCAGGAGCAGAAGAGCCTAAAGACGCTCGTATCTCAATTGAAGTCAGAAAGTCGCGCCCGGGCTGCCCACGAAAAAGAGTTGACCAAGACAGTCGTGAAGGCGCAGCAGCAAAAGGACAAGTGGCGGGAAGAAGTTGTGCGTTTCGAGAAGGAAAGGACAGAGACGGTCAGAAAGGTCGCCGATCTGGAGGCGCAGAACGAGGCGCTCAAACAGTAGGTGTGATACTCTGCATCTAAGCCTGCGTGGTGTTCATCAGAAACGCGTCTCTAGATCGAGGACTTCTATGGTCAATGTAATGCTCTGGCTGCGGAGGCTGATCAAAGTAGGAGGGCCGAGGTCGAGGTAATTCACGCCTGTTTCATTCATTGATCCTGTGTTTCTGGAGGGCATCAAGCCTGTCCAGCTTCCGGAGACACTGTTGGACGTGCTTGGTCCGAAGGTGTCGCTCATGGTGCGTATTGAGGAGTTTAGTTGTAGCTTTCTCTTCATTCCACATATTTCAACTCGTATGCATCGAATTGTCATGTAAAGCTCAGCGGCGATAGACCATCAATGCAGAGGTGTGTATCTCTTCACGTGCATCGAAGGTGAAGATGAACGTGCATGAGCTCAGCGATATCCACTTCATTCGTCGTCCGCCGATCTGCATGCCCCTTCGCGTAGAAGAATGTGGGATGCATGGACACTGGTTTTATCCAACAGCACAAGTACGGGAAAACGAGCTGGTTGACCTGGTGATCGAGAGTACACCAAACATGGTGAGCGCACTTCGAAATATGTGGCCCTACTGTAAATTCTCAAGGATGATTTGTAGTGGATGTACTTAGGGAAATACCTATGCGCGTTTATGCCGGGAAGCGAGATGAAGTTGTCAGAGTGGATGACTTTGAACGAGATAGTCTGTTCGACTCAGCCCTTGCTTGATGCTGATACCTATTTTTCTAACAGACAAAAGTGATACACTGTCGGCAAGTAGCGAGTGCCGGCCTGCCTCCAGATCAAAGCGCGTCGTTACCGGCTCAAATGACTATGAAACGGCGCTACGAGACGGGCGAGTGGAGCGTCCCGTGCTTCAGTCTACGGTGTGTGGGCTTTAACGTCGATCTGTACAACGGTCTACCTCTCGCGGTAGAGGAGCTTATGAGGCCCATGGCTGCGCTGGAAAAGAGGCCGGTGGGACCAGATGCTGAGAACGACGCAGTGAACAAGAGAATCAGGATCACACAAAGCCCTGGCCGGCCTTTGGGGAATGGCACAGACGTCAGCCCAGCACAGAGTTCTTCGCTGACGTATGATCCGCATCCTGAGCTGAATCCAGAAAACATCCTTGCGGGTCCTCATTCCAGCTAATCTGCTTATGGAGTCGCTGGTATCGTGCAGCCCCTTGAGTGGAGATGATGTCTACAGCGATTGCTAGAATTTTTGCTGTTAGTAGAATATAGAGAGAACGAGCGCGATGCTGAAGAGAGGCCTCTAGTACGTTCCCAGAGGAAGTGTGGAGTGCGAAGACTGTGCGAAGTCAGAAGCGGAAGCAAATCGCTGAAGAGGCACATAAGATAACCACGTGTGACACCAGGAGCCGACGTTTGAACAGTTCTCCCGTTTGATAACTCAAGCCGTGACTCTACCACTTTGACCATGAAGTTACTCTATCCCGCCTCCAATGACTTAGCTTCGCTCCCCGAAGCGTCTACATCGACGAAAATTTCGCGCTACGTCCCGTGCGAGATTTGCGAGGGTTGTTGCTTGGGGCTCCGGCCTCCACACGGGTCTGATGTGGTTCGCGACGACCTACCGAAACAGCCGGAGAATTCCTTGTCCAACCTTGTAGAGTATGATTCGGACGACGAGGATGGTCCCACGGAATACCTCCATCAGTGTTCTTGCGGGCATGACGCGAAAGAGCATGGTGCGGACCCGGACAAACTGGGCAGAGAAGAGTTTGGGCGTCGGGCGGAGATTGCTGTGCGTCTCGAGCAACGATTGGAGGTGCGTGATCCGTGGCTTGATTGGCCTGCTTCTGGAGCAATTTAAGGCGGATTTTCGCAAACCTTCGCGTCCGTGCATCAGGTGCGGAGTTTGAATGACTTTTGTGCAATGTCTTGCGAGCATTCATCGTCCCTGTAATCCATCTGTACACAGGCCAGCGGGAATCTGCTGGATTTTGACTACACAGACGCAGAAATGGAAACTCTCCGATCACAATTCAAACTGCCCGAGCCCGCCGCGAGTCCCCTGACAGAAGCAGTGGCGTCACCCGGTAAGTTCCCCGCAATCGCCACGAGGCACACACTCTCAACAACTGTGGCTGCGTTCCGTTGTTCGATGCGCATCTAACTCGGCTGAGCATGTATCACTTTACAGCCCTTTCTTCCGCAGACAAACTACCACCTTCATCGGTCTCTTCGCAGCTTGACGAGGAACTCTTACAGCCACCCGCAAAGAGACGACGTATTTCCTCATCTTCATTGAGCGACGCAGAAGACGACGAAGACGAGAACAGGCCCCTTGCATCCCGAATGGTGGGGACACACGTTTCTAGCAACGGCACTCGTCCGCATGGAAGACGCAGCGGCAAGAAGACATCGAGTATGAAGTCAAAAGCACAGACCGCTCCGGCGTCAATACCGCCACCCACAGGCGAACAACAAGCAGAGATGAACGGGGAGTTTTCGCAGCTGAATGGACATGAGCCACCGGTCAAAATGGAAGACCAACTAGACGAAGGGCAGCTGGATCTGTTAGCAACAGGCGTAACCGTCGACACAGCCAGTGCCGCTACGATCTCTGTGAGTCTCCTCATGGACCATCCTCCTTCACACTGACGTTCTCTTATAGCCTCCCCTGAAACCAGAGAAAATCTCGGCAAAGGAGCTGCGAAAGGGTGTGATCAAGATCCTACCTATCGAGAATGATGGACAGCCACGATCGTTCGTCATTTTGACGAACCTGAAGACGCTTTTTCAGAAACAATTACCTGTGATGCCCCGCGAATACATTGCTCGGCTGGTTTACGACTCCAACTCGAAATGTCTCGCCATTTGCAAACGAGGATATAAAGTCGTGGGCGGTATTTGCTACCGTCCGTTCACCCATCGCGGCTTCGCCGAGATCGTTTTTTTTGCGACGGCATCAGCAGATCAAGTCAAGGTTTGTCGTTCGATCGTACTCTCATCTGAGTAAAAGCTGAAGACACATCTCACAGGGCTACGGTGCCCTGCTAATGGATCATTTCAAAGCTCATATTCGACGGACCTACCCCGACATGATGCATTTTCTGACATACGCAGATAACTTCGCAGTTGGATATTTTAAGAAGCAAGGTTTCTCAAAGAACATCACGCTTGATCGGGCCATATGGGCAGGTTATATCAAGGACTACGAGGGTGGAACGATCATGCAATGCACGATGCTACGAAAGGTCGATTACCTCGCCACGAAAGAGATCGTAGCACAGCAGAGGGAAGCGATCTTGGCAAAGATCAGGCAGATGTCGAAGAGTCATATTGTGTACGAGGGGCTGCCACAGTTTCAGGATGGGAAAGGGGAAGGGCTCGTCATCGATCCCAAGGACGTGCCAGGTTTGAGTTAGTGTACTGACTTCTTTTTCTGTTGCGGGGCAACTGACGAGCAACAGGGGAGAGCGGGTGGATACCCAATATGAATGTCCCGTGCGTGTATTCTTGTTTCGGATGTGTTCTGTCAGTCACTCACGTCATTTCAGTGCACGCCCCTCGACTAAGAATTTTGAGCGCAGCGCAATGGAATCTATTCTGTCAGACTTGCAGGCCCACCCTCAGGCCTGGCCCTTCAAGGAACCTGTCAACGCTCAGGAGGTGCCGGATTACTACGATGTAATTCAAAATCCGATGGGTCAGTCCTATTCCTTTTCCTGCGCCATTCTGGTCGACCAATCCCGCTCACGTCAACTGTTTCGCGCAGATTTCTCAACTATGGAGCACAAACTCGAGACGGGGCAATATCAAGATCTCGACGCGTTCATTGCAGACGCTCAGCTTGTGTTCGACAACGCTAAGGTGTACAATCCCGAGGATACCATCTATTATAAGGGCGCGGTTAAGATGGAACGAGTGCTGATGGATCATGTCAGTCGCGTGCGCGAAATCAGCTGAACGGGCCCTATTTGTGTAGGTTGTTCTATGGACTTGTTCGTAATGCCGGTATTTTTATAGAGCTTAGTTGGACATTGTGCTTCGTTTGTCTGCGGCTGCGTATGCGCAAAATCTTCACAGGATTGCCGTGCAGCTCTTCCATACCGCGCAATTCTTCCAAGCTGTGCAACCGTTGACGTCTATTTTCATCCGATCTCCTCTGACAACAGTCGGCACGAACATCTGATAAGTACAGTGCTAGACGCTGCTGAAAATTTGATCTGCAGTCCCTTCATCTGCCATGACTCTCCAATTCTTTGAAACATCCATTTATCATAACAAGTGATTACAACGTCTGCCTGCCACTCGGAATTCCTGAGGCAACCTGATGCCGGCCCTGCTTGGTGGTTCGAAACATCGAACGCGTTGCTGGTAGAGTACGGTGCATGGTCCAGGATAGAGGTGCCCTATGGCTATTGGTGAACGAGACAAGATTGACATTAGAAGTCTCAGGGAAGGACATATTGAGTGGAACATGAGATGTTAGACATATAATCACATATACATGGAGGAAGGATCGAAAAGCATAGAGCGTAAGTTGTGATGGAAAACTAGCATGTCAAGTTACCAAGCGTACTAGTCTTCCCCATTGGATTCGGCCATAAAGGGGAGGGACGCTGGCGTCGCATTATCCATACCCGCAGAGCCACTGCCGCGCTTTATGTTAGCCCTCAACAACGAGCTACGTCGTGCTGCAAATATCAGGCCTCGTGCTTCAGTAAAGAATTGATCACAGCCACGCAGCTCATCGCTGACATCATTCTCCATCCATCCGTCCATCTCGAGATGCTGCTCGATGATTGCTATGAATCGATCCGAAGTCTTGAGGATTTCGAGGGCAGAGTCCCGAGATTGATCCATGTCTCGCATCCGTTGTAACACTCTCGGGGCACTATAGAGTGGAACGAATAATTTTCGAAGCGCCTCGATGAGGCTGGCATGCGGGGTGCTTAGGAACTTTTCGAGGCCTAGTTCAGACAATGCAGTAGGCCCGATTGGTTGAAAAAACTCGTATTTTCCACGTCCTCCGGATGTTCGCCCTTGCACGGTGGCAGATCTGCTGTCGAAATGCTCGATGAATGCTTTCTTGAGATCCTCACGTTGTTCCTTAGGAAGGTGGCTGGCCCTATAGCGGACACTGGTGTATAGCAAGACGTGAAGACCAGATTCCAGTTCATCACGAAGTTCATGGCGCGTGCTGTCAGGATCCATGAGCCGGGCCGCCGAGATGAATTGCCAAGTTCCCTGCAAACAGGAGTTCAGTTTTTGAGGCGAGTTACATGGCTATCTTATGACGCACCGTTTGCCACTTCGTCGTCGGTCCCTGCGGCCCCTGAGTGTCAACCCTTTGATTATCCTCGCTTGGCAACCTCATAGCTAGATCCCAGTCAATCAAGATTCCCTTGCCTGAATCAGATATCAAAATGTTGCCGGCACTGAGATCCCCATGTCGCACGCGTGCCAATCTAATTGCCAGATCGTGTGCTGCACAGAAAGACGTTGGTAAGCATGCGAGGTGTCAAAGACATCGTCGACTTACCTTTCATCCCATCGCACGTAGCGCTAGCGAGCTCTTTTGACGATCTAAATTGGCTCAAGGGCCGTCCGATGTCCCCCAGAACTAACCGATGGAGCCTGTGTCGCCTCGGAGGATTCGTCGTCTTGCAAAACCACTCTTTTGAACTGTACTCGTGCGTCCGTGTGTCTTGACCCAGGATGTCTTGAGAGCAGATCATCGTCGGGATCCCGGTCACACCTGATCGTTCGAGGTGCCGATAGGTGGCTCCTTCATTCTCAATCCCATCTTCCAAGTACCGCCAGCTGTTCTTCAGATACACAAGTTTCTGTCGCGTGATGTCATATGCAATGTACCCGTCGGTGGCTCTCCCAAACGGGCTGCCGCTCTGCCAATGAGGTTTCGACGCGATGAAATAGTGTTTCCTGTGCGTGTCGTCGTCCGTGATACAAAACTGGTGAAAGGTGGCATCAGACGAGTAGAGGCATTGAGCCGTCTCTTCGTCCTCGCCTAGGAGCCTAGCCAGAAACCTGGCTCGTTCGTCAAATGCTTTCTTCGCCCTCTTGATGTCTCTCGCCATGGGCTTTGTGAGCGACGTATCTCGTCCACGTTGCACGTCATTGAAACGGTTGAACTTCCAAAGGAACATAATCAGATGAGTAGGGTCTCTCCTCCAGTTGACTCGTTCAGTCACAATAGCTCCCGCGCGATCCCATCGAATGAAGCGAACATAGTCACCAAGCAAGACCATAGTGAACAGGAAGAACCGGTTTTGCGCCGAGAGCTGCAAGCCTGCATATGAACAGATTTGTCCTCGATTCATGGTCGCCTCCTGCGAGCGATGTAAGACTGTGTTTGTATCGCCAGAGGTCGCGCTGGGAGCGAGATCCTGGAATGGGTCCTTAGTCTCTGGCTTGCGCTCGATGCACAGTTCCATCAGCTCAAAGTCAGTTACATCACCGCCTTGCATAGATCTCTTGTAAGCAACCATGTCTGGCTTGCGTTTGAAGTCTGCATCCAGATCGTCAGTCGTGTTGACAAATCTCAGCTTCTGGCAAATTCCAGATGCTTCGACAGCATCTTTCTGTGAATACGATATAATCAACATCGGTCTCTAATAACAAAGGAGAACATATACGCACAAAGTGATCCTCAAATTTTCCAACCCTAGGTATGTTCTTGAAGATTTGGGTGGCACGCTTGGGAGGTTTCTTGTCATCCTTCGTCTTCATGAAAGCGTCAAAGAATTCTGTTATAGGCATAGGTCCGTGAAAGTCGTTCTCAGTCTCTTCAGCAAGTAGAGCGTATTCGGCCGGTGCCTTGGATATTTCCATCGCACTGAAACGTTGAGTGCTGGCTATCTTGTGCGAAGACATGTCAGGAGCAGTAGAACAGGTGTTGAATGAATCACTTACAGGGATAGAAAAAGTGCTTAAGTACTGGGGACTAATGCCACAAACTGTGGCCCCGAGTTTCGAACAAGCTTGTGATGGTGACCTCTGCTGGTGAACGTTTGAACCAACGCTGCAAGCCACGAAGCCACGGAACTCCGCGACATAGACACGTGATCGCTTTGTGGCCGAGTTACAAGGCCGCTTGCAAGAACCTTTGTGGTGGCAGACGAGCCGTCATTGCGATCACTGAGCTACACAATACTTCATTCTATGAGCAGAGCGCTACACACATCAAATTAGTGATCGCTCCGCAGCCCAGCCTCTAGATACCATGGCCACGACCGGCAACGACCACGCTTGTCACGGCGCAAATGTAATCGGAGTGTGTTTGAGTGGCCTGCGACAATGGAACGATCCATCACAAGTTAAGTACAGACGACGCGCCACCGTTAGATACGGATATCCGGAGACCACGTCGGAGGTTGAGAGAATCGTCAACGTTGCTGCCTTCGGGAGACTAGCGCCACCACGCACCCGCGCTACTCTCGATGGACGCAGATCGGCACCAATCTTGGCGATAGATGTATAGCGTGCACGACTCCATCACCAAGCGTACCTCATTAAGAACGTGTTCAAGAAGGCACTCTGAGTTATCATTTGCTCGACACCGAAATCGTGGAGGACAGCTGAGCCTCTGCTCTGACAGCGGATAGCGAAGTGTGTCTCCTGGTGTGCGCCTCCTGGCCATCCACTTTGTGTTAATCTGCGGCCTTCCTGTGTCAGAAATGGGCCTCGCTCAAAGCGACTCGTGGCCTTACAGAATAAAGGTAGCATATAGGAGTGAGATAGCAAAGTAATCGCCATCTTTCTTCACGAACCCGTTGCATATGAGCCAGCCGTAACGAACGTTAATTCGCAGACACGTTGTCCGCCCATATCTAGCACACCGACTGCAGGATCTGTCGTGGCACACGGTGACGACGCGAGCGAGGCGCATAATGCACGCTTGGCATCTGGCCGGTGGGCCTGCGGAACTAAGCTCGTCAGGATCACATTGTTTTGGCAAACAACGTGACGGACATACGGCGAGCGCTGCGCGCTCGTGTTTTCATGCCACAGCTTGTACTGTATATTTTCAGGCCACGTGTCGAATGCTGTTTATTCCCCTGTATGCTCCCATTCGTGGGAGTTTGAAGTTGGTTTTCCAAAAGAATGGGATTTGAAACTTGAAAATAATCAAAGCCAGGAGAAAATGCTCACGCAGGCACTTTATGTGGACGTGCAAGGAAAATGTTTGACGGTGTAAGTGAAATTGTTCGAGATATACGTCGGAATCAGCGGGCGGTGACGGTGCGTAGTAGCTGTTGCAGTCGAAGGGCATTTGTTATCCTCGTATTGTTTTTGTACAGATATAATAAGCAGCGCAGAGCGGAGGGAAGACGGCATCATGAAGTTGAATGAAGACTTGTAGGAGAAGACTACTCACAGCGTCGCTGGCTGCAATCTCTTTTGATTCTCCCTAACAGATCACGTCCCTCATCAGCCCTACCCTCGACCCCTCCTTCTGGTCCGCAACTCCTGCATCCCGTGGTTCTTCATGACCATTGAGAACCTTCACGTCTGAATGCAGAAGCGAGGGCGCGGTATCATGCAGCAACTCGCAGACGATGTCGAGTCCAAAGGCGGCAATAGCGACGTGTGCAATAACAACAGAGCGCATGTGAAGTTCTCAGAGAGGAGAGCCTGAGCTACTGGTATTAAGAAGGTGTGTGGTTGCGTCGCGTTGCAAACATTGTCATGGAAATTAAGGGGGTGTGGAAATAGGACAAGATGCGACGACGTACGGCATAAAAACCTAGAAGAAGCTTTGAGCGTTACATGTCTTCGGTGTAACTTGAGTCGTGGAGGCTCTCTCAAGTCATATTCTCTAGCTAGAGAGCACAGCGTCTTATGTGTTCCAGGTCTAGCCTGCAGCAGATTTAAATATGGGTCGGCGGTACCTAATGACGAAGAAAATAGTGCATAAACTTGTGCGCATCAATGAGGTGATCCTGGCTGAGACTGGCCTACGAATATTTTCTGCGTATAGGGTCAGCAACAGAGACTCCTCGGGACTGGCCTTGCCTGGTCAGGTTCTGTCAGCGACTCAGCGCAGGAGAATGTAGCGAATGTAGTCTAGGAACGATGCCAACGCTTGCCGACGATCAGTGCGAGTAGAAAAGGTTGGAATACCTGATTGGGGACAATTTGAGCACGGACGAAAAATCGAAAAGCCTGCGGAATCCGGACAAACATTGAAGCTGGTGAAGAGCGTGCCTCCTCCTGCCTCCTCGCATCGTCAGAATCTCTCTTTATAACTCTCCATCTACAATTCTTCCACCGCCATGGGCACCCCTGTGGTCAATGAATATCCCAGCCTATTCCATTCGTATCTCTACGTTTCGAACCATCTCTAAGCGACTGAAGTAGCACACACATCAGGCTCTGAGACTATGAGCTTGGTGCAACTATTCGTATCAACAGAAGTTGCCCATGACACGGTCGCTGAGCTTGGGGAACTTGAAAACATGCAGTTCAAGGATGTGAGATTAGGACTGTCGAATTCACGTTATATGAAGCTAACGATGAGCTGCACAGCCGAACCCCAACGTCAATCCCTTCCAACGATCATTCATAGGCGAGATTCGTCGCATCGACGAGATGGCTCGTCGCGTTCTTTTTTCTCTACTCAAATTGAGAGGGAAAAAGATAAGATACCCGTGCGCCCGCTGTATGATTCGGCGCCTCTCATCACCGTTGGTCCGCGAGCAGCTCAAACAATGGACGGCTTAGACGTTACATTTGCCGAGCACGAGTCGAGGCTAGTACAGATGAATGAGAGCTACGAACTGCTTAGTGGTCGATTGAGGGAGCTGGTTGAGGCTAGGCATGTTCTGAGGGAGACAGCTGTATTCTTTGACAGGGTAAACACGCTTACAAAAACACAAGGAATCGCCTCATAGCTAACTCTTTCTTATAGGCTGAAAGCAACCAGTCTGATATCAGGACCTCATTCGACGACAGCTCGGCACCCTTGTTGCAGCACGATGACCGCGAGAACCAGTTCTCCATATCAACTGTCCAGTTTGACCTCGAGTAAGTGGTTCTCGCCTTCAGTCGTCATCTTATCCCAAGCATCTTTTTCAGGTTTGCTGCTGATACAATTGATCGCACTCGTATCCCCACATTTGAGCGCGTGCTGTGGCGCGTGCTCCGCAGTAATATTTGCATGAACCATACCGACATTGCCAAGCCCTTCGTTGACACCGCGAGTAGTGTCGAGACTCAAAAGAATGTCTTCATCATCTTTGCTCATGGAGACGCTCTCCTCGCCAAGATCCGCAAAGTCGCCGAGTCTATGGGCGCTACACTCTACCCCATCGATGCCAACGCGGACAAGCGCGTTGAGTCCTTCCGTGAAGTCAATGGCCGCATTGAAGATCTCGAAATGGTGTTGTCCAACACGGGATCCACGAGAAGAGAGGAACTGTTGAGGATTGGAGAGGGTCTGGCCAGCTGGCAAGATGTCGTGAGGGAGGAGAAGATGATCTATGAGACGTTGAATCTGTTCAACTATGATCTGAGGCGGAAAACGTTAATCGCAGAGGGATGGTGCCCAACAAGGGGTATCACTATCATTCAGTTGGCTTTACGCCATGCAACTGTATGGAACCCTTTCGTTGATTCACCTTAAGTACTCACACCGGACTGAGGAGGAGTCAGGGACAACCGTCCCGCCAATTTTGCGCGAGTTGCGCACCAACAAGACTCCGCCGACTTTCCAGCGCACCAACAGATTTACGGAGGGCTTCCAGACCATCATGGACAGCTATGGTATCGCCACTTACCAAGAGGTCAATCCGGGTCTATTTGCTGTCATCACCTTCCCGTTTTTGTTCGCTGTGATGTTCGGTGATATCGGGCATGGCACCATCATCTTCTTCGCTGCGCTGATAATGATCCTCAACGAGCGATGACCTCGGGGAAATTTTTGGCACCTTCTTTGAGTGAGTCGTTAGCGCGAAACTTCTCTTCCCGTGAAGCTCATCATCGATGTCTAGTGCTACAAAATGAACTTTCGATCGTTCTTGGCGTCGTTCATGGGTGTTAATCGTTCTAGCTGGTCGTCAAATTGACTCTGAGGCCTCTCTTTACTACCACCTTCGCTCTTTGTCTCCAAGTCCCAAACCATATTCGCTTCAAGCGCCCTCTCAATATTTACACCAACTTCATTCGGCGAATGCTTTTATCCCACTCAATCTTCGGCTACCTCGTCGTTTGCATCTTTACAAATGCACGATTGACTGGAGTCAAAGCCCGACTGCCCCTCTTCTTTGTTGAACATGCTCATTTCCATGTCCCTTTCTCCTGGCTCTATAGAACCGTGAACACAGCTGTACGCTGGCCAGGGTATCATTTGGACTGTGCTATTGTTACTCGCATCTGTTTGCGTGCCATGGATGCTTGTCGTGAAGCCATACGTGCAATGGAAGGAGATGAAGAAGATCCAGAATCAGGGCTACGTAGGCCTCGCCCATGGTGACGGACCACAGGAAGACATGGTTAGGCGGAGCGATGATCTAGAAGGCGAGGAAGAAGGAAATGGGAGAGCTATCGCAGAGGAGATCGATGAGGAGCACGTATGTGTCCCCACTTACCTTGAACTTGATGATTAATGACGCATTTCGTTCTTTTCCAGGACCAACATGATTTTGGTGAGGTCGTGATTCATCAAGTCATCCATACCATTGAGTTCTGTCTGGGGTGTACTTCACTCACGGTACCATATTTTCGTCTGTGGGCGCTGTTGCTTACGCATGCGCAGCTTTCTGAAGTGATGTGGAACATGAAGTTGGGAGGCGTTTTGGCGAGGGAATGGAGTTGATTCAGACCGAGGCAATCTAGACTGAGAAGTGACTGAGGGATGAGTCGCTAGTCTGGTCATTGCTGAATCCTGACGGTCAGCCGTAAAAAATTGGACAGAAAATAAAATTTACATCGCCCGGTCGGGTTCAGATCTCAAAGTTGTGGCATGCAAGTAGTGTTTGTTGTTTGAGTGAGATGAATGGTGCAAGATAAATAATGATGAAAAGGCTCTGACAGACTGTACAAGAAAGCTGTGTGGGGTGATGGATAGGATCCATCTTCCTCACAAAGAGGCCGCCCAGATGGTAGATAGTAGGATCAACCTTGTAAGAGGTGGAGGTCGGCGACGGCCCTTACATAATAACTTCTTTCCCAATCGTCGTGCAATGCTGGGCTCAACGTCGACCATGGATCCCTGTAAAGACACACAGCATGTCAGCTTCTCATCCGAATCAATCTGAGTTCAAGAGGACCTCAAGAACGACGAGGGTGGTAGGGAGTGGAAAGGAAAAGGCATCAATGGGGTGCAGTGTGAAACAAAAGAGCAAGCGAAGAGAAAATGAAAGCCAGGATGGAAAGGTACGCACCTTCACCCCTGCTAGCTGAGCATGCAACCTCCCATGGGCCCCATGCCCCCTTCTCTGCCCCCTTGACCGTCGTGTCTCCAGTTCTGTGAGCGACCGCCATTGCCATCATGCTCGTCGCTGTTGAACCTATGCCTGTACTTGCAGTGCTCTTTCTTGTGATGGTGGACTGTATCCTTCCAGAAAAAGGGGGCACCACACTTGTCGTATTTGAACTTTGCGAGTTTTCCGTGGTCGTGACCAGCCTTGTGATGGGCCATGTCAGACAGGCACAACAGCCACATGCCGTACTCGTCGCAGACGTGAGGGTCGGCACTCTTGCGCTTTCACGCGGTTTCTTCTTCCTCCCCAGGTGCCGCCGTTCAGGACCTTCCGAAGGACTGCAGTACAGTCTCAGGGACTGGCTCACCTATGGGGTTCTCCACCCTGTGGGTGGATGTCGTCGATGTAAATGTAGTTCTTTGGAGGGTGCTGTCATGCACCTATGGACGGACCACAGGGATCCGGTCTCACACCCCCACCATCTCCCTTCTCCTTGCCACATAATCCTGTGGCCTCATCATCGAAAAATTCCCGCACTCCTCAATGGGGGCCCTGCGTTGCCTCCGGATGACCTGCCTCCTCCCCTCCACGCCACTTCCTCCCTAGATACCTCTCTGACCTTCCCCTTCCCTCTGCTTCTCATTCCCGTCGATCACCTTTGCCTTCTTTTGTAGCGGTCCTTAGTCTGCATCTTCCACTGGCTCCTGTGGCATTGGTGGTGGGGTGAGCTCTGGTGCCGGCGCCGGCTCTGCGATAGGCTCCAAGGCGGGCACCTGCGGAGGCACTTCCGCCAACACACGACTCACGGATTCGCGTGGTGCCTCCATGTTCTCTCTCGCCAGCTCGTGCCACGGGCCTCGGATTGGGTCGACCGCCACTATCAGCAAGGAGAAGTGCAGGGTGTGGATGAGCTGAGGGAACTCCTGGATCAGCTCAAGCGTGCCTGCCAGGGTTGAGAAGGATGAGTTGGGGATGCAGCTGGGGATTATCTCAGTGTGCGTGCGAGTGGCGGGTACTGTGGGTGGGAGGGGCCCTGCACCCGTATATGCACCGTGGCATCTCTTCCATCAGACCCACGTATCCACTACAGGCAATGTACGAGGATGGCCATGGCTCCGCAGGAGGGATGACACGTCCCCCGAACTGATGCAGGTCGACGCCCTCATCCTATGAGTGCATAGCAATGAGTGACGTGTTGCTCGTTTCAAGCTAAGTTTGGACTTACGGATTCCTCATCTGTGAGTTTGTTCTCACTGTGTGAATCGGTGGCATAGTTTTGTGAGCACTACGGGCTCATGCCAGGAGCTGTGAGCGAGTTCATTTATTTGTATTGAGGCTTTTCAATGAAACACGAACATACAACTCACTTGAGAGGTCCTCGTCGTAGCATCAAGTCATTGCTAAGCAGGCGTATGCCAGTGTCTGAAGAATGTGTTGAGTGGCTCAACAGCATTGTGGTGGTCGGTAGGGGGGAAGTGGGCAGTGGAACAGTGAACTATTGAGTTCTCACCCCCTCCGACTCTGCAGATATGCCATTGAGGAAGTGCCCACCGCCTTCTTGGAAAATTCATCTATGGAATGCCTCAGTGATGGGTTCCCTTGCGTATTGGCATTAGGTTTCGAATGAAGAGCGAGGAGGGCTCATGGTTTGCATACTGCAAGCCAGAGTCCATTCCCTCCTTTTGGGCCTGTCCTCTCTGCCAGCTACAGGTGGGCAATTTTCTCTGCCTTGTTTCATCAATCCTAGAGACCAAATGTGTCCAGGCTGTGATCATCAAACAGATTTCTAAGGTGCATTTGTTGTTATCGTTAATGAGCATGCACCCGCGCTAGGGTCTGAGGGAGGTATTTGGGAAGCTTTGGGGAGATACCAAACAGCGCTCGACAAGTACCGAAGATGCCGACTTTTACTGAACATGGTCAGTTCTTGCCCAACCAACGACAAGCCACCGAAGGACATTCAGCAGCACTTGGGTCAGTTCGCCCACACTTCACGTACTTACCATGACCACACAGGAGTGTTACGATAGGTGTTTATGAGATCGGAGCCAGTATTCCTTATTGGCCAATGTCCTCCGTGAGTCGGTCAGTCCTTATCGCTTATCTTCCTGACTCCCATATGGTCTGTCAAAACATGATCTTGCACCATTACTTGGCCACCCTGGCCGTACGATACCTCTTCTTTATTTTCATTGGTTTGCTAATGCCTGTTCCATCGACCTACGCTCGGGCAATGGATCCCAAATGTTCGGGATTCTGCCATCGCTGATTAACTTTTACCTTGTCACCTTTGGAATCCATATGGACATCTCACCTACCTTCTTATCTTCTCTGATTGCTAAGGCTTGGCACTCATTCGACATTTACTCTCATTTTCTTGTTTAATATTTTACTTAGGGGCTCTGTTTACTATAAAAACCCTATATACAACTCTGGAATAAACCAGCTTTTGCACCCCACAGTTCAGAGCTCATTTGCACTCATCTTAACCATTGAAATCGTCTCCATCAACTCCCAAAAACTTGTCATCTTTGTTGTTCGGCCTTGTTCGTGTTTGTACTTGTCTCTTCGCTTGTACCCCTCGTCCCCTCCTCAAATATTGTCAGAGTCCCGTGTGGCTCTTGAAGCACGTAGTTGTCGGTTGTGACACTACCTCCTCATTATTGACCAAATCGCCAACACGACCAACCGAACATTCGGGCAGTGTTCGGTGCAGTCCCGAAACTATTCGGTTGCTATAATCTCACACTCATCGCTCCTGCTCCAGTGCACCATCAATTTCTAAAGTCCTCACTAACGATTCCTTGTGTATCAGATACTAGCTCCAGCCCCCTGTATTAGAGGTTGTTTTGGTATTGTGCTCGGCACTTAGAGCCACCTCTAGCATATCATCATCATTCATCCGACGTCGATAACATCTGTGGCAAAGCCATGCGAAGAGCAGGTTTACAGATGTTATAACAACCCACTTATTCCTTTGCTCTACACAGCTTCTTTTGACAGTCGATGTGTCATTCCTTCTATTTAGGACAGGCTATCACAATTGAGATTATGCGTGTTCGTTGATAGGTTGTAGGCGCATCAGGGTGCTTGATTTCCAGGATGGTCCCACTGCAAACGGCATAATTCAGCCTGAGCATGTTCTGGAATAAAATCTTCTAGCCGCTTATGGTGTCTTCGCACAACACGCAGGGGAAGCAAGGCATACCATCTTGCCATTGTTCATTTTGTCGCCTCTTGGGATTAGAAGATCGTCATAGCATCACTAGGTCATTAAGCGCTTCTGGGCGAGTCAGTTAGGTGGACTGTCATAACGAGGGACTAATGATCCAGGGTCTGATGTCATCGAAGTGCAACTTACGATGGGCCTGTTTCACCCCAACACGCTTTTGTGCGAATAGCAGATGAGCTCTGTGGTTGATTTATGAGTGGGATAACCAAGTTGGTCGGTGCTCTTGGGCCTGCACCCTTTTTGTCTTATGTGACTTGATCTTGGCTGCATCTGTTCCGTCTATAGCTGCCCATGATGCTGTCTCATATATCCCCAACTTCTCACCTGACATATGTGCTCAGTGAACTTTTAGGAGTACATATCCAGAGGCATTTTTGAGTGGAAATGGGAAGAGATCTGCTTGCTCGGCCGAGCATTGTTGTTGTTGACAGAGCATTCATGAGTGGAGCCGGGATGTGAGTCATTCAGGCTCTTGATGATAGGGTCTGAATGCCATGCTCAATTTCATTGCCTCATCTATCAGTGTGACCGGATGCTGACCATATATCTGCATGCCCCAGTACCTACCTCCGACAGTCCGCCGACATGAAGATGTCATGCAATCATAATTTTGCTTTCTCATCTTTATCCGATCCCTTCGTCTCCTCTCTCTGAAGGTCATAAGCTCCGCTGTCCCCCAGCGCACTCTCAAGATTCCATGAATACACCATGGTTGTGTCGCTTGCCGCTTGCCACAAAGGGGCAATTCCATCCGACATGGGAGTGGCTCGCATTGTTATCTCTACTTCTGTCTTTACACCACATATCCTGTGTTGACTGAATGTCTTTGATTGCTTTAGTGCTGTATGACACAGCTGGCTTGACCGATGGACAGGTACTGTGATATTCACACACATTTTTAGATAAATTGTTGTTGAGTGTCTCTATTCCCAGAAGAGATAGCCAAGAAGCTTGAGAAGGAACATTCACAGCGATGGTGGACATTTGACAATTAAATTGGTAGATTCAAAGGAGCACTGTTATTGTAAATGTTAGAAGCATAAACACTATTTATATATGTCATCAAAGAGCCATGGATGTATTTGAGTGGCGAGACTCGGAGGACAAGTTCTAGTCAGCGCCGCCAGGGGGGTGCCCAATCTGATTGGACATTGATGTTGGATGCAACCTTCACATCATCTGAAGTATGGAGCCACTTCGCTCTGCATAGGGGGCTTTATTCATAGGAATGGATATATGCACTTCCACCAGTATGGTTGAATTCTTGCTTTCAGAATTGTTTATGTAAAACGTGATAGTAAATCTGTGACGTGGTGACAGAAGGGCGGGCAAGGCTATGTGGTAGTCACAAGTTTCAAGTGACTCCCTCATAGGACTAAGCGCAGTCTGTGCCCAGCTGTGCCTTATGATATTGTCAAGTCCAACTCTTCAACTATTTCTTCTTTCTGAGACACAGGTAATGCCTTGCAATGTGTCAAAGGTTGCTCTCGATACTAAGTGAGTATCGTGATATAGTGGATCTTGGACTATTGCGATAGTGATCTGACTGTTGGTCCATCCCACATAGTGCAATCAACTACTAGAACCCTCCCCTGCAATTGGGACTCAATGCACTCTCCAATCTGGGTGTCACTGCACCCGCAAGTGACTCTGGCATTCTCAAGGCCATTGATGATGAAGTAGCCTATCTATGCACTTCAATACACGCTATGAATAAGCTGCGCAATCATTTCATTTCTATAAGCCGCCTCCCATTAGAGATTCTAGTGCATATCTTTTCTATTCTAATGGTCATCAATTCCCCAAGAAAAAAATACCTAGGATGGATCAGGACCTTGCATGCTTGCTGTTATTGGAGACAAGCCACCATTGAAAACTCAAAGCTTTGGGCAAACATCCCTCTTGATCTCAGTGAAAGGTAGGGTTTGGAAATGTCGAAGCATGCGAAAAAGGCATTTCTTGTTTTTAAAAGCACCTATATGGAAAGGTCTATCAACTTAATCGTGCCGCATTGGCCTCACATGAAGGTGATCATTCTGTGTAGTCCCGTGAACACATTTCCAAAATTGCAGTTTATGGAAGCTCCTGTGCCAATGTTGGAACATATTGAGCTGACAGTGGAGGCTTATAGAAGTTTGGTGGAACTTTCTCAGGACCCATTCTCTGTGTTGAAGGTGCAACTCGCTCGGAGCACTATGGAGCAGTTTCGGGGTTTACAGAAGTATTGTACCTTACATTTGTTATTCTTTTGGTACTGGAACTGCTATCTTCTGTTATATACTTGTGGTCTCATGTCCGGGCTTCCTCAGACCTTCGCGTTACTCGTGCGAGGCTGAGGTGAGCCCCATATAGTTTACCTTTCCATATCTATTGCTTACCCTATTGTAGTTAGTTATATTCTAGGTGAATATATAGACCTTTGCATTACTCGTGCAAGGCTGAGTCTGTTCTACTCTAGATTTCTACAGGTTATGGGCCCTGCCTTAATCTGCTAAGTCACTCTACTCGTAACCTTTTGTAACAAGCCTTGATACCATGTCTGCTGTTTCTGTCTCTACCAACACCCTCCCATCAAATGTGCCCAAGCTGGACCCAAAGGGAACCAACTGGGTCATCTTCTCAATCCGCTTCAAGGATGCTATCACCACAAAGAAGAAGTGGGGCCATTTTGATGGCACTGCTCCCTGCCCCTCATTCACAGTTGCTACGGGTGCAACCTTATCCGAGAAGCAACTCACCACGATTCAGACTTGGAATGATGATGAAGCATCTGCCAAGTATCTTCTCTCACAACGACTCCCTGACTCAACTGTTATTCGTACCAACAAGATTGCTATGATAGCCACACACTGGGCCTCCATTGTTACTGACTACACTGCAAAGAGTGCATTTGCTCAGACCGCACTTCGCAAAGAGTTCCTCGACCTGTGCATGCCTCGTTCTGGCGATGTCGACACCTTCTTCAAAGATCTAGCTGCAAAGAAGGAGAAGCTTGCGACATGCGGTGTAGAGATTTCCGATTAGGACTATCAGTCGACTGTGATCCGGTCACTCCTGACAAAACTTAGCCAATATGCGAGCAGTCTCCTTGTATCTGCTCGTCTTATTGGAGGATCCTCGGCAGAGAAGAAATTTGATATTCAAGTCCTGATGGACCTTGTGGTCGAGGAGTATGAGCATCTCACGCGTGAACAAGGGGCAAACACTGGTGGCAGTAACAGCAGCTCGAATGCAAATGATGTTGCCTTGTTAGTGATGGGAGGCAGTGGAGAAAGAGGAAAGAGCAAGCGACCATTTCAGGGCGCGTGCTGGAACTGCGGTGAGAAGGGTCACATTTGGGACAAGTGTCCTAAGCTGAAGAAGACTGACGGCAGCTCATCAAGCAAGTCTGGCTTGAAAACCACCGGGTCTGCAAATGTGGCCGTCGACTATGACTCCAACAGCGATGGCTTCTGGATAGCTGAAAGCATGTCTGGTGCATTGGAGGTAGATGACGACGAAGGCCACGGTTCAATGCTGAGTCTATACTCAGTGTCAGGCAGTGATGCCAGTGACAGCGTGCCTACATTAGATGATGATGAAGGGGGCTGGTTCTCGGAGATGGAGGAAGATGAGGGCGGAGAGTTCGAGGCATGGGCTGGAGATATGTGTCCGGAAGTGTATGGTGATGTTGCGCGGGACCTGGCCAGTTCCATCAGCGGCGTCAACCCCGACTCAGTGCATAATGACACCTCTGTCACCAACATGACTGACGAGCCAGAGTTATCTGCTGCTGTTTTTCCAGGTGTCAATAGTGCAGCCTACAGCAGGCATTGCCACGCTATCTTTGATTCCGGTGCCACGTGACACCTCTTCCCATACTGTGACGACTTCGAGACCTTCATGGAGATCCCCCCAAAGCCTTTCCAGTCCACAGCAAAGACAAGTTTCCAAGCTGTTGGGAAAGGGGAATTAGTCATTGACATTCCAAATGGTGTCAAAGCTTCTCAGGTAAGACTTACCGAGGTGCTCTATGCTCCCAAGGTGGGCTACACTCTTGTGTCGGTTGGATGCCTCAATGAGCTTGGTTTCTTGACCACCTTTGTGAATGGTGTATGCACAATCTGCACACCATCAGGCAGAAAGATCAGGGAGGTGCCATACTTGCAACATGGTATCTATGCAGTTATGCAGGGGTCAGCTTATGAGGAGGCAAATACAGCAGTTGAGAAGCTCACCATTGATTAGCTTCATGCCCGTCTTGGCCACATCTCTCCAAATATTGCGCGTCGGATGGTTGAATGTGGTTTTGTGACTGGAGTCTGGCTCGACACCCCAGACACCACACCCTCATTCTACGAGGTGTGCATGTATGCCAAGGCTACGTGCAAGCTGGTCCCAAAGTGACGCAATAGGGAACGTGCGAAAGCACTTGGTGATGAGGTGCACTCGGATCTCTGGGGTCCTGCCCCTATCGCAACAAGGCATGGCCGCCAATACTGGGTCACCTACACAGATGACCACAGCCATCTTTCGCATATTTACTTTCTGCACAAGAAGAACAAGACATTTAGCACTTACCAGAAGCTCACCGCGTGGTACAAGACCCAGCACAACATGACAGTCAAGATCCTGCACTCTGACCGAGGTGGCGAGTACACCAGGAAGGAGTTTGTTGCATTCCTCGAAGATCACGGCATGACACAGCGGCTGACAGTCCACGACACGCCCAAACACAACGGTGTTGCAGAATGTCTCAACCATATGATTGCCAAGCATGTACATGCGCTGCTGCACACAAGTGGCCTTCCCCACTTCCTATGGGGTGAGGCAGCTCGTCACGTGGTCTGGTTGAAAAATCAGACACCAACGAGCATGCTGCCCGATGGTGCCACGCCATACGAGATGGCTACGGGGAAGAAGCCGAGCCTTTGGGGTGTGCTAGAGTAGGGCAAGAAGGTGTGGGTCAAGTCCAAGGCTAAGCCCACATCCAAGTTGAGTGGTAGAGTTGAGGAGGGCAGGTGGATGGGTATTGACATATGGAAAAACACCCCCTTGTATTAGCTCTGGATTATATCCAATAGTGTCTAAAACTATCTAAAAGTGTTAATAGTATCTAAAAGTGTCTAATTTCCTAATTGGGAGCAACACATTGTGAGCATTGGATTGGTTTCTAATTTCATGATATTAGCACTAATTCTATACTAAGAAGTCTTTAATTATCAGTAAGAAATAGTAAGTACTACTGCTCTATTAGTAAGAAGGTAAAGATGTGGCACATTCTATACTATTTCAGCATATTACTCTCTTTCATATATGCCTATACCATTATCTTGTAGCTCTTTTGCTGACTTTCCAGCTGCTTTTATAAGGGATATAGAAAAAGAGAAATATGCATTGATGCCCCCAGCTACTTTGTTGGCAGCTTAGCAGCTGCCACAAGAGGCTATGAAGACCTAGGTACCTTGGCCTTGCACACAAGATGATTAAAGTTGTCATTGTTAGCCAATGCCTGCTACTAGTCATTATAGGACACAACATGTGGGTTGGACTTAGGGATATGCTATATGCAGCCTTGTAGACCTTGTCTATTAGTATAGTGGCTAATACTGTCTTATGCAGCACACAATCATCATCACTATTGATATTATAATTTTTAGCACTATTTATATTGTTTATTGCCTTGTTATACAGAAGATGCTTAAACTTGGTGTTTTCCTCTAGCTATGGGGCTGTGGAAAAGACAGTCATATTGGTATGTGGTGCCAGAATGATATATTTGCCTGCCATATAGGAAATATATGCATTAAGCATATTAAGATCACCTCCAACAATCTTGTGCTTATTTATATATAGGCATGCCATACATATACCCTTGTCCCCACCCTCTACCTCACTAGTGGCTATTTGGAAAACCCCTCTCTCTTATTGGATCTTGATTATTCATAATCATGTTTTTGATCAAATTTGCAAATTTAGGTAGCATTGTCTATACTAGTAGAGTCCCATTGAATATTACACTCAATCATAGTTTTACATATTCTCAGTCCAAATTGTATAAGTGCCATAATTTATTTTTATCCTATATAAAGTGTATTATTGATTTTCCATTGGTTTATTATCTTCTTAGCTGGTGTTTAAACTAAATCCTGAAAGACCTGACTTTTTAGGTATTTATTGACCTATTTATTTATAAGATAGAGGAAAGATAAATGTTAAATAAAATCAGAGATGTTGAGGTTGCCTATATTATGTCTACTTATTTAGATTACCAAGTTCATATCTTAGACCTTGTGGCTTAGTGGCTTAGAGCATCTGTCCTGGGTGCTTGCATACATGAGGTTGTTGGTTCAACTCTGGCAGAAGGCAAGTTTGTTATAAGGTATATTCTGTGTTTAGGTATTGAACTAGTGCTCTAATAAACATGACTTTGTAAGAAGGCTATGAGGTCTGTGATGCTTGATTTATTATGATTTTTCCGAAATTTCAAGTTATAATTAATCCTAATAATTCCTAATTTAGGAAAATTATGTCTAATTAGAACAGGTTTAGAGGGGGGGTAAGCTAAAAATGTCTAACCCTAATTGTTCTTAATTATGCATAAATAGAACTAATTAGAGCTTAATACAAAGGGGTGGTTTTCCAGAAGTTAGCAATCAGAGAAGATAAGAAGGTAGATGAGATGTCCATATGGGTTCCAAAGGTGACAAGGTAAAAGTTAATCAGCAATGGCGAAGTCCTGAACATTCGGGATCCGTCACCCGACCATAAGTAGACGGAACAGGCGTTGGAGAACCAATGAATAATAAAAAGAGGTATCATATGACCAGGGTGGCCAAGTAATGGTGCAAGATCACATTTGACCGACCATGTGGAAGTCGGGAAGATAAGCGATAAGGACCGACCAACTCACGGAGGACATCGGCCAATATGGCCTACTGGCTTTGATCTCGTAAACACTTATTATAACACTCCTATGTGGTCATGGTGAGTACGTGAAGTGTGGGCAAACTGACCCAAGTGCTGCCGAATATCCTTCGGTGGCTTGTCGTTGGTCAGGTAGGGACTGACCGTGTTCGGTAAAAGTTGGCGTCTTCGGTACTTGTTGAGCGCTGTTTGGTATCTCCCCAAAGCTTCCCGAATACCTCCCTCGGACCCTAGCGTGGGTGCATGCTCATCAGTGCTGTTTCGGGCTACACGTTCATCATTGATGGAGGTGCTGTCTCATGGAGTTCAAAGTGACAGGAGATTGTCTCTCTCTTGACAACCAAGAGTGAGTACGTATCCGCTATGCACGCTACGAAGGAGGCTCTCTGGCTTTGATCCCTCATCAAAGAGGTTCTTGAGCCCATTCCCAAAGTGACAGTCCTTTTCTCCGACAATCAGTCTGCCATTGCTCTTACCCAGGATCACCAGTACCATGCGCGCACGAAGCACATTGATGTGAGGTATCACTTTATTCATTGGGTTATCGAGGAAGGGAAGTTGAGGTTGGTTTATTGCCTGACGGATGACATGGTAGCCGACATGTTAATCAAGGCCCTGCCATTGGCTAAGGTTAAGCACTTTGCAGTTGAGCTTGGTCTCCGTGCAGCTTGAGGGGGAGTGTTGAAGGTGCAACTCACTTGGAGCACTACAGAGCAGTTTTGGGGTTTATGGAAGTATTGTACCTTACATTTGTTATTCTTTTGGTACTGGAACTGCTATCTTCTGTTATATACTTGCGGTCTCATGTCCGGGCTTCCTCAGACCTCCGCGTTACTCGTGCGAGGCTGAGGTGAGCCCCATATAGTTTACCTTTCCACATCCATTGCTTACCCTATTGTAGTCAGTTCTACTCTAGGTGAATACATCAGCAAATCGGCAGATTTCTGAGATGGTCTGAGATGTCTGTTTTTTGTCTTAAAGCTCTGAGGGCTTCTGCCGCCTCTGGGCATTCTGAACTCAGACACCACTCAGAACAAATCAGAATTATAACTAAGAAACAGGGAACAGGCAGTAGCATAATTGTACAGTACTAAAATGCGAGCCAGTGTGCATGATGGTCTACAAATTTGTTAACAAAGTAAGCGGCATATGCATCAAGCGCACTAGATGGGTCAACAGCATGCGGCGGTAGGAATTCTTCCCCATATACAGGAATGAGGTGTGCGGCCCTCACAATAGACTCGAGATGAATAACCGAGGTGGCATGATTTCCGTCGATGTCAAGGTCAGGTTCAACAATCCACATACTAGTGTCCTCATTGGGATCATCACCAATGGCCGAGAACCACTCAACGAGAGCACAAGGGTAAGTCCGCTGATGAGCATGTACCCGCGCTAGGGTCCGTGGGAGGTATTCGGGAAGCTTTGGGGAGATTCTGAACAGTGTTAGATGAGTACCGAAGATGCCGACTTGCACCAAACACGGTCGGTCCCCACCCGACCGACCGCAACCCTCCAAAGGATGTTCGGCAGCACTTGGGTCAGTTCGCCCACACTTCACGTACTTACCATGACCACACAGGGGTGTTACGATAGGTGTTTACGAGATCGGAGCCAGTCTTCCGTGTTGGCCGATGTGCTCCGTGAGTCAGTTGGTCCTTATCGCTTATCTTCCCGACTTCCACATGGTCGGTCAAACACGATCTTGCACCATTTCTTGGCTACCCTGGTCGTACGATACCTCTTCTTTATTTTTCATTGGTTCTCCAACGCCTGTTCCGTCTACCTACACTCGGGCGATGGATCCCAAATGTTCAGGATTTCGCCATCGCTAATTTAACTTTTACCTTGTCACCTTCAGAACCCATATGGACATCTCACCTACCTTCTTATCTTCTCTGATTGCTAAAGGCTTGGCGCCCATTTGACATCTACTCTCATTTCTTGTTTAATATTTTACTTAGAGGCTCTGTTTACTATAAAAACCTACATACACCTCTGGAATAAACCAGCTTTCGCACCCCACAGTTCAGAGCTCATTCGCACTCGTCTCAACCATCGAAATCATCTTCGTTGACTTCCGAAAACTTGCCATCCTCATCGTTTGGCCTCCTTCGCATTTGTACTTGTCTCTTCGCTCGTACCCCCGTCCTCCCTCGTATATTGTCAGAGTCCTGTGTGGCTCTTGAAGCACGTAGTTGTCGGTCGCGACACTACCTTCTCGTTACCGACCGCATCGCCAATACGACCGACTGAATGTTTGGTCGGTGTTCGGCGCAGTCCCGAAACCATTCGGGTGCTATAATCTCACACTCCCCGATTGCTTCTCAGTACGCCTTCAATTTCTAAAGTCATCACTTACAATTCCTTGTGTATCAGATACTAGCTCCAGCACCCCTGCAATAGAGGTTGTTTTAGTGTTGTGCTCGGCACTTAGAGCCACCTCTAGCGTATCACCGCCCATGGAACCAAAAACGGAAGAAAAGGCGCACACGGACAGCATTCAATCCACGGAAACCCTGGTGCTCTGCATCCATCTGTAAATAAACACAGTCGTAACGGCTGGGACCATGACGCCACGATGGTGTTGCCCGTATAACCTCGCGCCGCATGCCTCCAATGCCAGATGGATCACTTGGTGCGTAGAAAATGGCTGTTGCAGAATGATAAACGCTGACACGACGATCCGTCACGATAGGGCAGAGGTTGAGGGCAATAGTGGAAGCTGGAGGGCCATTTGGGTGGAGCTGTTCAAATAAAAATTGCCATGTAAGCTCTAGGAGTCGAGGATGGCCAATATAAATGCCGAGGGCATCTAGAGTCTGTGCATAGCCTGGTTCTGTTGCAGACAATAAATAATTAATCCAAAATACAGGCATGCTACTCACATTGTTTCTTCGTGAGGACCACATAATTTTCGACGGTGTGCCCTGCCACAGCACCCACATCCTCATCTCCTTCGTCAGCATCCTCGCAGCCTTTGTTGGCCGCCCCGCAACCTTTATCTAAATCTTCATGGCCTTCATTGGCATCCTCGTGGTCTTCATTGACATCCTCGTGGTCTTCATTGGCATTCTTGTGGTCTTCATTGGCATTGTCGAGACCTGCCTCTGCTTCATCTTCACAAGAAGTATAAGCATCTAAAGTGTCATTATTGGAAGCAATCAGGGAATCAGACTCACTTAGTTGTATAAATTCTGCATAAGCAGCATCTAGGCAAGTCCCAAACAACATCCCTCGACTGTGGAAGTCAATGCGAGCCGCCGCCAACTTGTCGAGATGCTGGTTTGCGAGGAGCATCTGGCCTAAGGGGTTGTTTTGGTTCGAGCTCCTCCATGGCTCTTTTACTGCCTTGATGTGTTTGGACTCTGTGATTGACGAGCACAAGCCATTTGGGGCCCCAAAGCGTTGTATATGCCTGACATAATGCTCCAGTGCATGCTGCCGTGGAAGGCAGAAGTCATCACAAACACCTGTCGCCTTGAAGATCTGGCGATGCTGTCGTAACCGGGCTAGCGCATCCTCAATCTGGGCGAGAGTAGCGCGGTCTATCTCATCACGACGGACAAGATAACATACTTCGAGAAAAGCGGCCAGTGTTTTGACCATTTGTTGCGGGACATGGCCAGCAATGGCAGGCAAATAAACCTGCGAGTAGATATCTGATTCATTTCTTCATACAGCTCATCATAAGCATTATAAAGTTCAATTTTACCTTCATAAGAGCCTTGGAGTCGTCCCCGGTCCATTGCTTGAAGTCACGACCTTGATGAAAGTGACGCAGGCCCGAAAAGGTAGGAACAGCTTCTATTCTTAGGGCAATGATTAGTCAGAAGCACAAGCTCCATAATCTATGATGAACCTCACCGGCGATCAATATCATCCATAATCTCATGTCCACGTGTTTTGCCATGCGTAAGAATAAGATAGTCGCACACCCACGTTACAAGATGATCCTTCCAGCAGCCCTTAATGATCTGGTGAAGTAGATCCGGTGAGATAAGCTGATGGATGTCAGTGCGAGGGAAATCATTGGTGAATGGCTACAACAGACAAACTTGTTGTTAAAAACAGATGAGTCACGTACTACCGCCTCACTTACAATAAGATCTGCGACAATTCTATAGTCGTCCTATAGTACTCCTGGAGTAAGGAGGTCTACAAGGAGTTCAGTATGTTCACGGCTTTGTGGTATCTACAAGGGACCATCTAGCTCCTTTGCGGGAGTTGTACAGCTGCAAAAAAGTGAGTAGAAGCAATTAAATCAAATAACGGCAGGCTGACACTTACATTGGACACCACCCCTGAACAATGCATGCCAAGAGCACTTGCTCAGGGTAATCTGCAATGTACAGGCCAAGCCCATAGATCACTCGACGATAATGACCATCCCAGCATCGGGTAACCTCAGGAGTGGTCATCACCAGCTTCAGGCATTGAAGGATTGCTGACAGTGATGAATGGAATAGTTGTCGTTGGAACTTCCGGAATAGAGCGCTGTTTGAGTATTTCTGTTCTGCTACAAGAAATTTTTCAGTATCTTTGAAGGTAGCGGTCGGCATGAGCTAGGTGACTTACTTTTTGGGACTGCAAGGAAGCTGATTAAGACGAGGGCATTACGGTGAGCACCTCTTACATGATTGTGAACATTTCCGATTGATCCATAGAGGGGATAATATTCATTTTGACTGGTAGCGACAGAGACCGTAGTCTTGTCGCTTCCAGGAATGATTGGCACAAACATAGACCCATGGTTTGTGGGGTCTTCTGCAATAGTATTCTATAAAAAAAATCAGGTCAAGACTGTGACAGAAACAAGATAGACCTACACATTGCTCAAATGCGAAGTCCGCTCCCATGAGATTCTTTCAGATTCGCTCCCCATTCTTGTCGAATTCCTGATAAGGGCAGTAATCAACATCACCTTCGAAGTCCGGGTTGCTGATCATGTTTCAAAAGAGCACATGCGGAGATCGGAACCAGACATCATACTTGTCGAACATCCATGGCGGTGTGACAGCAGCATTAGGAAGTTGGCCGGTGTATGATACATGGAATGATTGCCATGGAACATCACTGACCTTGATAGAATCAAGAACTGAGTCCAAATCTCCATGACTAGAAAATGGGGGCTCAGCATGATGCTTAAGTAGCGATGCAGCCCATAGGTCCATCAGTTCGTCTATGCCATTATTTGACATGTGCTGCCACCTGAAGAGAAACTCCCCTGTTTCGAATTCCAGACGGTCATGAAACGGAAACCAGTCATTGTCTTTATCAACACCATCTTGCTCATGACGTGGTGGCGGAGGTGTTCCAGGAGGGAGGTTATGTCCGTGAATATCACAAGGAAGGGCTGGAGAGTATATTGGTCATATATTAATGAGTAGAAACAAGATAACGACGCACCATTGATGTCTCGGTGATAAATGCGCTGTGCCCCTCTTGGAGGTTCGGCAATGTCTTCCATAGGTACTTCTAATGGTGCTGCTAAATCTGCAAGTTCGGGTGATGGCAAGCGCTCTGTCAGTGGAGGAGATAGAGAAGCAGATGGTAGTCGAATATGAGCTGAATTGTGGTGCTGAGTGAGCCCTGACATGTTGCGGAACTCCTTGGGGCAGTCAGGGCATTGAAGACGATACGGCTGGTGCTTGTGACATTGCGGCGGCATTTTCTCGAGTGAAAAGGGAGCAAAATGAAGTGCAAATTAAATAGGAAAGGTACTGGTACATTGGCTCTTGACAAGCGAGCAAAAACGGAGGCAGACTTGGGTACCATGGGTGGTATCGGACATTGAAATCTCTGTTGAACGGGCAAAACAAATACAAAGTTAATCCATCAGAAAATTGATAGCGCAATAGTGAACTCACTTTCTGCCCATACAATACCTTCTTGTGCTTGTTTTCTCCCTAATCCACTCATCACTCCTATTCTGCTGCCTCATCGGCACCCTCACCTTATTTTATTTTCCATGGTCCTCACAACTCGTCCAACAAATGCTTCACGGCATCCTGGTGCAATCATCCTGGTGAATACCCGTAAAAGACGCTCCAAAGCTGAAATGGCCAAAGAGAAACAGGTTGCTGATGCCGCTGCTGCCGCATCTGCTGAAGAGAAAAGCAATGTAATCAGCAAGATCGCAATGCTAGAAAAGCGGCTCAACAACGAGGAGCGTGTCAAGCAACAGCAGGTGGCTCGGCCCCAAGGCCGTCTTGCCAATTCAAACCCATCCTGGCCTGCAAATCAATCAGCGATAGTTCAGACACATCGAGGTCAATATCCGAGTACACATTTTTTACTTGATTTTCACCTGACATTGTTGTGAATCCATACCAGATGACCAAGCCATAGACGAGAACAATCAGCAGAGCGATAAGGATATGGTGCTGATCACTCACAAGCATGTGAAAGCTCCAACAAAGATCAGTCGAGCTGATATTCAAGCAGCTACTGATCGGCCCCTTGTTGCTTTGGCCAATCCAAGCACAAAATTGAGATCTAATGCTGATAAGAACATCGTCTCAACGGGGAAGAGAGGGGCCAGTGCAGTCAGTACTAGAGACAATGAGTAAGATTTAGATGGATGACCTGATGCCTATTTCCTGATCCTCTCTTGCATGTAGACGTGTTGTAAAGAAGGCTAAACCGGCACATCCCTCAGGGCTCAAGGGGAGCTGGTGTGACCAGTCGAAAGTGGGACTCACAAGACCGAAAACAGCTGACACCACCAAGAAGCCTCCGACCATGGTTTTGAGGTCAACTAATGACATCCAAATGACAAGAAATGACCTACCGTCAGAGCAACTGAATGAAGGTGCACCTGAGTATGCTCCAGGAGGTTTTGCTGAGGATGAGGAGGATGAGGATGAGGAGAGAGCAGTCGTCAGAAAGGAAGCAAAGCGCACAACATCATCAGTAAGCGCCTTGATGACAATCTGACCTATGTCACCTCGACTCACGATGCACCTGTTCTTGTCTGGATATATAGACTATTGTCAAGATAGAACCCAACCGCACCTCAAAACCCAAGTATCCACAGGGAGGTCAGCCTAGGATGGTCAAGAAAGAAAAGGCAAAGATCGAAGATCTTCCTGCCGGCAGCTATGGGCGATGGCTAACCAAGTTCATCCCTAGCTGGTAGGCCGTCATTGGGTCACAAGAAGACTCATGGAACGTCAGTGATGGTTTTCAGCTTGCGGGGCAAATGCAAAAAGTCTGGGATGAGGTTTACCCAGACATCCCCCACACCATTGAGGCTCGTGGCGACACCTTTCATTTGGTCTGTGAAGTCTTCTCCTTCCGATTCTGTTATGAGGCTGATGATTAGTAGGCTCAGCAAAAAGTCTACGAATGGCGTAGCTTCTTTGGAAGCATAGCGATTGATGTTGTGACCGGCTATTTCAACAGGGAGAACCTTCACACTTCAGAGGCTCGAAAACAGTATGTTGAAGATGCTGATGAGCATGCACCCGTGCTAGGGTCCGAGGGATATATTCGGGAAGCTTTGGGGAGATACCAAACAGCGCTAGACAAGTACCAAAGACGCTGACTTTTACCGAACACGGTCGGTCCCCACCCGACCGACAACAAGCCACCGAAGGACGATTCGGCAGCACTTGGGTCAGTTCGCCCACACTTCACGTACTTACCATGACCGCACAAGAGTGTTACGATAGGTGTGTACGAGATCGGAGCCAGTATTCCGTATCGGCCGATGTCCTCCGTGAGTCAATTGGTCCTTATCGCTTATCTTCCCGACTTCTGCATGGTCGGTCAAACGCGATCTTGCACCATTGCTTGGCCACCCTGGTCGTACAATACCTCTCCTTTATTTTTCATTGGTTCTCCAATGCCTGTTCCTGCTACCTACACTCGGGCGACGGATCCCGAACGTTCGGGATTTCAACATCACTGATTACCTTTTACCTTATCACCTTCGGAACCCATATGGACATCTCACCTACCTTCTTATCTTCTCTGATCGCTAAGGCTTGGCGCCCATTCGACATCTACTCTCATTTCAGGTTCGATATTTTACTTAGGGGCGCTGTTTACTATAAAAACCTATATTCAACTCTGGAATAAACTAGCTTTGGCTCCCCCCTTGTTCCGATTCCATTTGTGTGCTTGTGTCTATAAGACTTTGAGCCATTGCCTTCCGATCCTTGTTAGCATTTTGCCCTTTTGTTTGTGTTGTTGCGTTCGATCGCAGCCCTCCGTCAGAGCCCTTGTCGTTTTGCTCTTTCCCTCTCATCTAGTTTGTCATCCTCTGCCAGTGTCCAGTGTGGCCTTGCACCCATTCCCTTCCCTTTGCGTCCCGATCAAATCCCGATCAAACATCGACCGACCAACCGACCGACCTACCAACCAACCAACCAACCAACCAACCAACCAACCTACCGACTTACCGGCCAACCAACCAACCAACCAACCAACCAACCTACCGACTTACCGACCAACCAACCAACCAACCAACCAACCAACCAACCAACCAACCAACCAACCAACCAACCAACCAAACGACCAACCAACCAACCAACCAACCAACCAACCAACCAACCAACCAACCTACCAACCAACCAACCAACCAACCAACCAACCAACCAACCAACCAACCAACCAACCAACCAACCAACCAACCAACCAACCAACCAACCAACCAACCAACCAACCAACCAACTGAATATTTTGATTTTGGAGTTGTTTGTTCACTACACTCCGAACACTTTTAGTACGCTCCCTTGTTGGTTGTTGCACAGCTTATAGTTCCTTGCACACTAGAACCAGCTCCTGCCTACCTGCGCTTGTAGGGGTGTTTCTTGGGTGTGTTTCGCACTCAGAGGCATCACTAGCGTATCAACGCAGCATCATCCACAACTCCAGCCGTGTGCAGAGCATCGAGCCTCGATCAGAGTCCGAGATAGAGGATTTCGGATCGGAACTTGGCGAGCTATTCTAGTGCGTATATCAGGTCTTTTTTCTATAGGTATTCAATACTAACATTGTATCAAGACTTCTCTGGCCTCTCGCACACATCTTCCTCACCACCATATCCACGAACACTGCTTCGCCCTCGTACAATTCCCTCAACATACTCACATTCCTCTCAGACAATCAATCCCCACTCAATCTTTTCTGGCCTACATATCAGGTTCGTGCGCGACTCATGATCCGGCACACCCGTTTGGGCCCCGGATTGTCCTCTGTTCATAATAGTTTTCATACCGTATAATACTATCATTTTAATGGTAAGACTGTCGTAAGAAGCACCTGCGCGAGTCTCCAGTCGGGGTCTGAGCTACCAACAAAGCTTCTGACCTTCGTTCTGGATAGACTCTGACAGGTCTGAGTTAAGACCAATCCAGAGAAAGAACCTCCTGACGGCAGAGCCTTTCTCTGACCTCTGTTTGTTCTGAACTCTCTGAGTTCAGAACAAACAGAGGCTCTCAGACCTAAGTCAGAGATCGGCTGATTTGCTGATGTACATAGACCTTCGCGTTACTCGTGCGAGGCTGAGTCAGTTCTACTCTAGATTTCTACACTCTGGCCATGCCCCCCTCTTGCACACTGCTTTGTTTTCCGGGGTAGTGATTCATTAGTCTTCCTCAGCCTTTCATAATCTAACCGGCCCTCGAGGTGCATCACAATAACACTGTGGGTTCCTCAATCCTATCATTTAACACTTTTTTCGATGCATTGTCTAAAATGTGTTATCTTGAGACGCTTAGCATGCAGAACTCCCTCCCTTCCCTTCTTGCTTTGTCATCTAGTCGACCACAAGGGACAGTTGTACTCTCACACCTTTCGAGTTTGAAATTGAAAGGGTCTTGGTCACGTTGTATGGCCTTCCTCGAAACTGCGGAATTTCCACCGCTTTCTAAAATGACTCTCTATTGTGACTACAATGAGGGGTTATACAGGCACTCCCTTCTTCCAGTTCTTGAGAGGCGAAGCGGGAAAATGAGACTTGTACCCCCTCTTCGTACCATTCGGATGACTCGCCATAAATACTCACACCAGATTTCTGTTGTTGGATGGCTGCATTGTAATCCTCAACACTCTCATCACTCTTCCAAAACAGACACGGCGCCATTTTCTTTGACACTCGAATATGAACCTGGCCAACAACCGACGTTCGATTGGGACATCTTAGGAGCTTTGCCCACCCCAGTAACTGTGATTCTTTCCTTGGTTGAAGACATCCCTCATAACCTGGTGATGTTTCGCAGCGCAATTGAACGTGCTCAGGGTGTGAAGCACATCTCCCTCACTGATTCCATTCTACCATTGTTTTGCACAGCTATGGATACGAAGACAGATGCCGAGCAGACACCAGCCGACTCGTTTGTCGAGCACTTGCCTTTCCCCAGCCTTGAATCCATACATTTACATGACTTCCAATCCTCACCCACATCCACTCGAGATCTCTTGACCCGCGTACTCGAACAGCGCAGTACATCGCGGTCTCCTATCCAAGAAGTCGATCTCGACTGGAGCGTGCCGCAGAATTGGTTTGATGAGCTCAGAATCATCGTGCCGATTGTGTGTTGGCGCGAATAAACAAGAAGTGACCCAAGGGGATAGATCCGGATGAATATCGGGATGCTCTCATATACGAAGCGACGTACGATGCAGGGAATGCTGTACTGTGTGTTCTTAGTCTCAGATAAGAAGAAATTTCCATGCAATATAAACGGGACTATGTGGGACATTTGGTGCGAACTATTGCAGAACTAATGTGGACATCCGCTTATACTCCTGTAAGACAAAGCTACCAGGGACATGGCAGCAGCTATGATCTCACCAGAAGAAAGTGTAATGCAGGGAAAACCACCAGGTTCGTACGGAAAGGTTCACTCAATAGTGGTTCAATTATCTTATCATATACATCGTCAAAGAAGTCGTTGATAGCACAGTGGGCAATGAGACCATCGTCTGCTCAAACCCCTCCGCCTCAATCAGAATCGTAGGCATATTAACTGGCGAATCAATGGCCAGGTGTAACTAGAGAAAAAGAACGTGGGGGCGGTCAGGGGCTGTGGAAACTGCATGCTGAAGGGACAAATTACAGAGAGTGCCAACCTCCTTGTTGACGATCCCATCTCTTGCAGGATCGTCCTTTTTGAAGGTAGGTTGTCAAGAGAGAATGTCGCCACAAGTGAAGGGCCAGAGGGGACCAGGATAATTCGCAGGAAGCGAGATGAGAATGGGAAGCACAGTGAGAAAGAAAAGCGGAGGGAGAACGACAAGCAGGACGAAAATATAAAGCGAAGCGAGCAAGCCAAGAGGAGCGAGCAGAAGGTGACAAGTAGGGAAAGAGAGACAAGCTAGAGGGTGTGAAAGACAAGCGCCGAGACAGTTGTAAAAGATGAGAGAACAAGCGAAAAGAGACGAAAGCAGAGGAACCGTCAAACCATTACAACATCAGACTGGGGCAAGCAGGGTTGCATCGACGAAAGACGTGATGAACAGCCGAGTGGAGACGTACCTGGAAATGTAAGACGTGTGGGCGACTCAGTATTTGCGACAGCGGAAAGAGGAATGATGGACTCACCGGGGACTGACGCCCCCCAACTGGCGACACGATCTCTTGCAGTTATAAGTAGACGTGTGTGGCGGTGCGCGACCTAAGCAATAGAATGATTAAGTGTACTTACACTGACAAGATATTCGTGACCAAGGATGAGCTGAGAAGGTCGCCCAGATATACCAGAAAAGGGAAATAAGCAAGAAAGGGAGAGAAGCAAGAGAGACCGAGAAGGTCGCAGAGAGAGACTAGGGCCGCCGAGCATGAAGAAAGGACAGAGAAGATAGACGAGCAAGGAGACAAGACTGAGATAAACGAGCAAATATTGAGATGAGAAGCCAGAAACTAGGAGCAAAGCCACAGCGAGAGGAGACAGCGAGGACCAAGTCAAACAGAGCGAGCAAGCCAGAGCGAGGAGAAAAAAGGACACAGCTATGAGAGAGCACAGAGAGGTGAGAACACAGAGCGACCAGAGAAGACAGCGAAGAGCGAGCAGAACACAGCTAAGGACACTAAAGCGCAGCAAATAATGATAAGAGACGAGAACTACCAGTGAGAGCAAGCAAGCAAGACAGAACCTAGACATGTTGAAGAGACACACCAGCAACCAGACGTCGAAGCCACCTCCAGAGAACGATAGAGCCCGATGCCACAGACCAAAGCCACAGATCCCAGAGCAGTGTCGCCAGAAGATACAACGTAGCCATTGAACTTGCTGTCGTGCTTGAAGGCGATCGTGCCTGCTAATGCGGCGTCGAGCATCGATGATATACGAACAATAGTCAATAAGGCGTACCTATGAACCTGACGTCGTGCCTGGGGCGATCGTGCCTAATAACCTGGAGTGCGTCGAGGTTCAGTGGTGGAAGTAACGGCGAACGGCGTGAATGAGATGCACCTGTGCAGATGAAGGAGATCTTGGAGAGGACAGTAAGTACCGGAGCGCATGAGAGAGGACAAGGGTAATGGAGGTGGTGGGGAGGAAGGGAGAGTGGTGGACAGAAAGAGGAGAGAACGGCGAGGCTTTATAGACTTGGGGGTCGCCAATGTGGCTTTGGGGCCATCGGTTGACCCCCGACATTCGCCACGCTTCTCGGCCCAGCCACCTCGTGATCGGCGTGTGCAGTCGGCTGATGGTCGTTGACCACGATCATCCCGGCACGAAGTGCCGCAAGGGTGGTTTTGCGTCTCGTACGCGCCACGCCACTCATGGTCACAGTGGTATTGTACTTGTTTTTCAAATCCTGGATGATTGCAGCCCTTTCCAGCAAAGATTTATACGAACTGGAACGGAATACGTGGATCGGTAGGGAGAGCTCTCAAGTTTAGAAGGTGCATCATCTCGTCTCTCATACCTTGAACCAACAACTCCTATGACGCCTAGTACTTCGAATCCTGCAATAAAGGCGAATAGCACGGGAACATCCCGATAGTCGTAATTACTGTTAAACCTTAACAGTTAAGAAGGGCTCAAATTCAATCCTCTTTCCACAAGCGATTGCCTAACAACGCACCACTCTGGGAAGGACGTACGCAGGCTGATCTATCGATTCTCTCAGTCGTGCAGGACTGCATGGAGTACACTAGCCACTTTGGAAACAGACAAGGATCCACACCTACGCCGAGAATTCAGTGATAAATCCTTTGATACTAGAGAATGCCTCTCACCAGACATAGGCTCGTCTAGAATCAGCACGTCCGCACTGGCGACTAATTCCGACCCTCCGCATCTCAGAACCCCTTCGAATTCGCCGCCTGCACTGAGCCCAAGTTATTCTGACGCGCCGGGCTGTTCCATGACGTCCTACACGAGCTGTTTTTTCTCCTAGAAGATCATCAAGACGCATTCAACAGCGAATAGGGTCGAGCGAATAGGGTCGAGCGAATAGGGTCGAGGGAAGGACGCGATGTTGTACGAAATCAGGGTGAAGTTCGTGCTTGAGGGAGGCAGTCACAGATTTTGTCTTGTACGATCTCTGTGCCCTCGTATCATGTGATCTGGGCCCATTTTATCGGAAAAGTGTCATGATAGGTGCTGGCTTCGAGGTTGCCTGGCTGTATGTATGCGCATGTTTCCGTGCAGACACGAATAAGCGTCAATGTCAAGCATAGCTGCCGGGTGGTATGTGAAGACTATGTGAAGCCGGGTGGTACTGCACCTTGAGCAGTCCTTGAGCGTCTCCCCGACTGATTAAAAACCCGCCTGGTCATTTAGACTTCTGAGTCCCAGCAGAAAACTTTCGTCGAGCGGCCTCGCTGTTGTTGCGGCCGCTTTACATGGGGCGTCGATCGTCCCGAACTGATCGCCCTTGAAGCCCGCCGCGAATCGAGCCTACCTCCCCATCTCTTGTCGACGACCTTAATTCGTCCAGGCTTGTGTGCAACTCGCTCCTTCTCCAGCTTGATGCACTGCTCCTCCGACATCAACAACCCTCCGAGTCTCCACTTGGTCCACCGAGAATACATTCGAAACCTTGCCCTCAACAACTGCACCCTCAGCCTCTACCAGTGAGATCGCCTTACCCATCTGACATCAATGCAGAAAAACAGAGTAGCACACCCACGAATGCTTCGCTGAGTTCGATGCTTCGTTTGTCTCATCAGAGCTAATGGTCAGTTCCAATGGATGAAATCTGTACGAAATCGAGATAGTTACTCTGCTCAGTTTGGTTGGAATTGGCTGTATACCAGGACGGCTCGAGTTCGAAGGACGATATGAGAAGAAATAGTGATCCGGAAACAGAGCCGGAGAGAATAATATGTACAGGAAATTTCCGTGATAGAAGTGATCAACCTCGTGAAAGATGACCTTTTCGAACTCTCGCCGCAGAGGCCCTGAGGCCTGGCCTTGAGGTGCCGTCGTGGACGCGATGCATGATGGCTTATATAACGACCGGTTTCCCATCCGTCGTGCAATGCCGAGCGGGTCCACCACGACCAGACCTGCGAAAATACAGAGCGAGTCAGCTTCCTATCCGCATCGATCCGAAGCGCGAGACGATGGCAAGAACGACGAGGGTGAAAGGAACGGCAAAGGCATCTATGGTATGCGGCGCGAAACAAAGGAGCGAGCGAAGAGAAGATGAAAGCATACGGTACGCACCTTCAGCTCTATCCACTGAGCAGGCTATCTCCTATGCCCCCCATGCCCCCTCCGCCGCCCTCTAGACCATCGTGTCTCGGGCCCTGCGAGGGACCGCCCCCGCCGTTATGTTTCCTGCCCCTGTTTGGGCAGTGCTCCCGCATGTGGCGAAGCACTTCATCTTTGCGCACGAACAGGGCGGGGCAGTCGTCGCATGCAAACTCGCACACTCCTCCATGGCGCAGAGTCGCCTTGTGTCGGGGCATGTCGTACGGGCACGACAGCCGCTTGCTACACCCGTCGGGGCCGTCGCAGACATGAGGGTCTGCCCTCTTGCGCTTTCGCGCGCCTCTCTGTTTCTCCCCAGGTGTCGTTGTCCAGGGCCCTCCAATGGACTGCGGTACAGCCTCGGGGACTGGCTCACCTATGGGGATCTCCACCCTGTGGGTGGACGTCGTCGATGTAAATGTAGTATCTTTGGGGGCGCTGCCATGCGCCTGTGGATAGACCACAGGGATCTGGCTTTGCACCCCCACCATCTCTCTTCCTCTCGCCGCATAGTGGCTCGGCAGCCTGACTGAAAACAGCCCACACCCCGCGATCGGGGGCATGCGCGGCCTCCTGACTATGCGCCTCTCCGCCTTCGCGCCGTTCCCTCCCTGGCTTCCTCCCTGGCCCTCCCCCTCCCCTTCGCTTCCCTTCTCGTTCCTCGCCTTCTTCCGCCTCGGCCCCTCCTCCGCATCCACATGGTGCGCCTGCGGCACCGGCACCGAGGCGGTCTCTGGTGATGGCGGCAGCTCTGGGATGGGCCCCGGGACCTCCTCGACGGGCTCCCGCGGAAGCACCTCGGCCAACACCCGAAGGACGATGTCGCGCGGTGCCTCCACGATCTCCTGCGCCATCTCGCTCCATGGACCCCTGATCGGCTGGACGGCGTCCAGCAGCGAGGAGAAATGCGCCGCGCCGCGCCTCCGAGGGACCTCAATACGGTCCAATGCATCCACCCGTGCTGAGAAGGTCGAGACGGGGACATAGCGTAGAGCCTCCTCCGTGTATGCATGAGTGGCGGGGACTGGAACCGGGAACGGCCATGCGCCCGTCGACTCGTCGTTGTCGTCGTCCCAGTGGGCGGCCTGGGCGGACGCGTGTGGTGCGAAGGGGGTCGGACCCGCGAGGTGGGTCACAGGGAGGGATGGATGCGGCAGTGGCACGTAGGGATTCAGGTGTCCCCCATGCACGATGTAGGTATAGGGCCACGGTTGTGCAGAACATTGGGTGTCCTCGTCCTAGGAATGCAGATCAATGAGCGGCGTGCTGATATTCTGTAGCTAAGATTCGGACTTACCGACTCGTCGTTGGCACAGGTCTGGAAGCGTGACGGGCCTGCGCCAGGAGCTGTGGGCAAGTTCGTGTTCATGTACTCAAATGACATGCACATGCAGAACATACTGAAGAGGTCTTCCTCGGCGTCACGGCCATCATTATAGCACCACGACATTGCTGGGAAGGTGGATAATGTTGCGTAGGATGTGTTGTTGAGTGGCTCAACGGCGTTGTGGTGGTCGGTAGGGGAAAGGTGGGTCAGACTTGACGTTACAGAGTAGGAAGCGCCCACCGCCTTCTACAAGGAAAATGTTCAAGGAACGCATCAGAAGTCGTTGTGATGCCTTTCTTCCTCTGTTGTAATCAGGCTCAGACCCAAGCGCAAGGTGGGTGCATTGTTCGCATCCCGCAAATTAGTGATATATTCTCCTTTCGGGCGAATTATTTTTTCCAGCGACAGGCGGGCAATATTTTCTTCATCCCATCAGTCGTGTGAGACAGAATGCGTCCAGGCTGTCATCATTCGGCGGATTTCCGGGGTACGTTCGACGTTATCGTCGTTCATCCGATGTCGATAACATCTGTGGCAAAGCCATGCGAGGAGCGGGGTTACACGTGTCGTAACAACCCGCTTACTCCCTTGTTCTGCACAGCTTCTTTTGACAGTTGACTCCCGTCAGCGCCATGCCTTGTATCTGGTACGGGCCGCTGCAATTGAAATTATGCGCCGATTGTTGTAGGCGCATCAGGGTGCTTGATTTTACGGATGGTTCCATCGCAAACGGCATAATCCAGCCCGCTTGTATTTTGGAATCGAAACTTCTAGCCGCTTCTGGTGTCTCCGCACAACCCGCAAGGGGTAGCAAGGCACAGCATTGTGCCATGTTTATTTCATCGCTTTTTAGGGAGTAGAGGATCGTTGGAGCATGACGGGCCCATTCAGCTCGATCAGGATTCCGTGTATGGGCGATTGCAGGCTCGCCGGAATGCCACGACGCATGACCGTGGATTTAGGGCCTGTTCTCGTCTGGAGTGCGACTTACGATAATACCGGTGCGAAGGTGGGGGCGCTCAGTGATGAATGCACAATTGGGATGACTAATTTGGTCGGCAGTCTAGGGCCTGTACACTCCCTGTATGCGGCATCGTGGACAGCCATAGGCGGAACAGATACATCCAACCATCGGCGTATTTTCCTTGAACTGCCCATCGGTTTGGTCCTCTCGGCGCGTGAGTATCCGGAGGCGTCCTCAAGTGGAAATGGGAAGCCACCTGCTCGTCGACCATTGTCAGTGTCGACAGAGCACAGCGAAGCTTGAATGTGTGATCGAGCTATCGTTTATGAGGAGATGGTCTATGTGTCATACCTAATCTCATCGCTTCACAGATAAGAATGCTTTGGTACGTACTGCTTTGCGAGGGTATCTTGCGATCAAGAACATGGGTTCTCATTTTCGTCCGATCCTTTCATTCTCTCTGTCTACAGGCTGTACACTCGAGTCGGACTCTCTCAACAGACTCTGCAGATGTCATGGAATCCTCAATGTCCCACTGCTTGCTACAAATGGACAAGCTGATACGATACAAGCGCGGCTCCTGTTATTCTCTGCATCGTTGTGTTATGAATGTCCCCGTTCGGCAAATATTTCTGCAAGACATCTTGATGGACGAGGTGGAGATTATCACCTCAGAGGGTTCAACGTCTCAGCAGGGCCAGATAGTGCGCCTTCATTTAGGACCGCTTTACACCTTATCAACTGCAATTCCCGATGGTTGTAATGCCGTATGCCATAGCTGACTCGGCGGATGGACAACTGCTGATATTTACGCGCGCAGGTTCTGAGAAACATGGTTTTTGAGTGCGTCTAGGCTCAGAAAAGGTGTCTTATCACAGAAAGACAAGGAAGACGCTTTGGGAAGAACGATTGATATTGTCGTGCAGCAATGATGGGCAGTTTGGCGTGATTTGCTGGATCTGAGAAAGCATCGCTGTAAGCATTTCTCGAAAACATTTTTAGGAGACAGTAGTAATGTCATGAACGAGTCATGTATGTATGTAGGAGGACAAGTTGAAGTTGGCGCCGCTAGAGTGGCGCTCGAATGACGTGGATGCGCCTTACTTTGCACGGCAGGGCCACGTGGCTATAGTCGGCCGTTCGAGTGCTTGGGTTCTGCGTCTTCACAGGCAGTCCACACCCACATGCCGTCGAATCAGACTCTTGATCCATCTCTTTCTTCTGGGATACAGGTGAAACCTTGTGATGTGGGAGAGGTCGTTATCGAGACCAGGTGAGTATCCTGATCTGCTGTATTTGGGACCATTGCGATGGTGCAGTGATCTGACCAGTCCATACAGTGCGATCGACTACTGGAGTCCTCCCTTGCAATCAAGACTGACTACGCTCTCCCATATAAGCGCCACTGCATCCTCAGGTGATTCAGATGCTCTCAGGGTCTTTGATGACGAATTAGCCTATCTATCATTGCTGATTTCGCCCAGTGAACTTGAGGTCATGCTTGAAGGCGATCGTGCCAATGAATACAGCATTGGGCTTCGACTGTGCGGTGGACTGGTTGTGGCACTTGAAACTTGAAGTAAGGGCGACAGAATCATGAACAGCCGGATGGAGACGTACCTGGAAATGTAAGACGTGTGGGCGACTCAGTAATTGCGACAGCGGGAAGAGGAAGTAAGGACTCACCGGGGGCTGACGCCCCCTAACTGGCGACACGATCTCTTGCAGCTTGAAGTAGGTGTGTGTGGCGGTGCAGGACCTAAGGGACAGAATGGTTAGGTGTACTTACACTGACAAGATATGACCAAGGATGGCCTGAGAAGGTCGCCAAGATACGCCAGAAAATAACAACAAGCAAGGAAGGAAGAGAGGCAAGAGAGACCGAGAGCATCGCCGAGATAGACCAGGGCCGTCGAGCATGAAGAAAGGACAGAGAAGATAGACGAGCAAGGAGACAAGACTGAGATAAACGAGCAAATATTGAGATGAGAAGCCAGAAACCAGGAGCAAAGCCACAGCGAGAGGAGACAGCGAGGACCAAGTCAAACAGAGCGAGCAAGCCAGAGCGAGGAGAAAAAAGGACACAGCTATGAGAGAGCACAGAGAGGTGAGAACACAGAGCGACCAGAGAAGACAGCGAAGAGCGAGCAGAACACAGCTAAGGACACTAAAGCGCAGCAAGTAATGATAAGAGACGAGAACTACCAGTGAGAGCAAGCAAGCAAGACAGAACCTAGACATGTTGAAGAGACACACCAGCAACCAGACGTCAAAGCCACCTCCAGAGAACGATAGAGCCCGATGCCACAGACCAAAGCCACAGATCCCAGAGCAGTGTCGCCAGAAGATACAATGTAGCCAGTGAACTTGCTGTCGTGCTTGAAGGCGATCGTGCCTGCTAATGCGTCGTTGAGCACCAAGGATATACGAGCAGTGGTCAATAAGACGTACCTATGAACTTGACATCGTGCCTGGGGCGATCGTGCCTAATAACCTAGAGCGCGTCGAGGTTCAATGGTTGAAGTGATGGCGAACAGCATGAATGAGATGTACCTGTACAGATGAAGGAGGGCACGGAGAGGACAGTGAGTACCGCAGGATAGCATGAGAGAGGACAAGGGTAGTGGTGGTGGTGGGGAGAAAGAGAGAGTGGTGGAGACAAAGAGGAGAGAATGGCAAGCCTTTTATACACCTCAGGGTCACCAATGTGGCTTTGGGGCCATCGGTGAACGCTTGGACCTCCGCTGCCACCAACATTCGCCACACAATGTCCAAACGCCACGCTTCTCTGCCCAGCCACCTCGCCCGTTATGGAAAGAGAACCGGAGCTTTTTGCCATCGGGATGATAAGCGTCGTTGACTTCAATCATCTCGGGGACAAACACGATGCACGAAGGCGCGAGTCGTCGTAAGGTGGCTTTGGCTTCTTCAGAAACCACCGCCGCGCGCCACTCGTAGTCACAGGTATGTTGTCCCTGCGACACTTTCTCGTAAGCCTAATTCGACATTCGAGTTCAGAAGTTGTATCATCTCGTCTCGCACCTTGCATAAAGCAATTGCAATGACGCTCACTCCATGAAGGCGAACAGCACAAAAACGTTGCAATAGTATTAATTACTTCTAAATCCGAACAGCTAACAGTGGGCCAGATTTAATTCTCCTTCCACAAGCGATTGCCAAACAACGCACCAAATTCATGATGAGACTCGCAGGTATATCAGCAGGGATGCCCTGCAGTACGCCCCAACTCTAGTTAGCAGCCAGAACCGAAGGCATGAGCGTCATCTGCGAGTTTTTCTCTACCATCCATGCCTTCGATCTCTTCCCATCCGAGGACTGCACCGCCTTGCACTGCCCGCGGATTACTACCGCGGCTTGGCGGTGAACACCTTCCGGAGGTTGTCCCAAACGACCGAGGGCGACTGGGCGGCGTCGATCCGGTGCCAAAGGCCCTTGTTCTTGTAGTACTGCACGACGGGCGTGGTTTGGGAATGGAATGACTTGAGACGCTTGGTGAGCGTCTCGACGTTGTCGTCCGAGCGCTGGATGAGTGGCTCGCCGGTGACGTCGTCGGTCATGGCCTTCTTTGGTGGGCTAGAGAAGACGAACCGAAGGGGTTCGTGACTGAGGTTCAGACGCAGAGCCAAAGGGGTTTGTGACGCACTGGAACTCCCTGTGGTAGGTGCGCCCGCTTGCAGGGTGAATCAGACGACCAGTGATTCGAGAGATGAGCAGCTCGTCGGGAATCTCGAGCTGCACGACCGAGTCGAGCTTCTCCTTGCGCTCGAACAGCATCGAATCAAGCTTCTCGGCCTGCGGGACTGTGCGCGGGAAACCGTCCAAGACAAAGCTGGGGACGACATGAGTTAACACGTGTTTGTGAAACGATGCGGGGCAGGAGGGGAGCAGGAGACGGGTGAAATCGGGTGTGTGCGCCGAGCGGCCTCAGGGCTTGAGGTGGAGTCGCCCAAGCACGTGTGGTGTATGCAGCGATGGACGATGGATGGTCGCAAAATGAAAAGGGAATGCAAGCCGTCCTGACACGTACCCGTTCTTGCACGCCTCGTTGTTCTCCAGCTGATCCTTGATCATGCCCACCATGATGTCGTCGCTGACGAGACCGCCCGCGTCCATGATCTTCTTGGCTTCAACGCCGAGCTTCGTCTTCTGATTGACCTGCTAGCGCAACATGTCACCGGTCGCGAGATGGCAGACGCAGAACTGGTCGTGGATGCGAGGAGCCTGGGTGCCCTTGCCTACAAGCAATGAGCACAACAATGCTACGGCACACGACGGGCTGCGAGCAGACACGGCGTACCAGCGCCTGGGGGCCCAATGAGAATTGTGCGAAGCTGGCTGGCTGGTGTCTGCCGTTGGACACCGATGTCTCTCGGGCTTCATAAGACAAACGGCAGAGCAGCGGCAGTCTGTGATCGTGCAATGGGTTGCGAGCCCTTTGCTCGACATACATGAAGAAAAGAAAGCGGGCTGACGCCGACTCTCGCAGCGATTCTAGATTTCGTCGTCGAGAGACATTGTCTGGCCTGAGATTGCCGCTGGATGCCGAGGGCTGGACATTGGAGATATTTGTGACGTGCGTGACCCTCTGGCCGATAAAATCGAGTGAATAAGCCTCCTCAAGCTCACTAGCTGTTCAAAATCCCAGAATGCATCCGAGATGTCATCAAATTACAGGAGCCAAGCTCTGACCTGCTCTGACGAAGAGATGAATTTCATTGAATTGTCGGAGGTGCAAGATGAGCGCGTCACGGTGACACGACACGACGCGGTTCAGCGCAGCAGCGTTATCTAAAAATAGACCACGCTCATTGACGTGGAACTTGGAGCAGCTGAGCTCGTCCACAGCTGCAGCACATTGTCTCTCCTCTCCCCTGGTACTGAACCAGCATACAACTCACTCACCATGCTGCTCACTCTGCTCACTCCTCCTGCTGGGCATTGCTGCGCTGGCACAGGACAAGTCGAACACCGGCAACTCTGTCCTCGTCGTCCTTCAGCCAAGCTGAAAGAGAGAGGATTTCTCGATATTCTTTGGTGGTCTTGAAAGTGAGGCTCCCTTGACGTTTTTGCGAATCTGCGTGGTGTGCTAACCCCACGTCAGAACAGGGATACGACCTGACATTCCGTGCTCCAAAGGACGAAAGCCCTCATCCAGGATGATATACCCTCCTTCGCACACGTCATCCTGTTTGCCCCGGATACCAAAAGTAGGTGTCTCCAGACTCTACATGTCCTACTGCGCGCTTGCGCCTCCTTGCGTACAGCATTCGCGCAGGACATCACCCCCAATCCCTAATCACGCTGCTCTCCTCCAATACCAACCTCCTCATCGCTCTCTCCCCCAAACAATCCCCTTTCACCTCCTTGGCCGCTGAATTCTCTCTCATCCTACCCCCACCCGGCACCCCGCTCGTCTCGCACTTCCCAGAACGCAGCACCAACGTCACCACCATTCCCATCCCCGTCCCGCCGCACCCCATCCTCACCCCGCAAACAGCGCCCATCTGGTTGTCCGGCGTGCCCCACGCGTTCGGAAACAACCCGCTCCTGTTCCCCATTCTCAAGGCACCGGCGGAAAGTTTTGCTGCGGACTCGACTGCGGACTCGGCCGCGGATACGCTCGTCGAGGCGGCAGAGAAGGGCGGCGAGGGTTTGTGGGTTGGCAGCGCGCTCGGTGTCGTCACTGGCTTCCAGACGCGCGACGAGTCGCGCGCGATGTGAGCCGGGGGTGTCGAACTGTTCTCAAACAAATTCATAACGAAGGAGATTTCAAAGTGCGTGTCTTGCCTGAGGATGTCGTGTGGATTGCTTACCTGGGATGTAGGGGCATCAAGTCCGGCAACGAACAATTCGCAAAGGATATTACGGCTTGGACGTCCCAGGAGAAGCCCATTCTCAGGATAGACAGCACCGCGCACCATCTTTTGAACGAGACGGAGCCCCGCGAGCACTACACGATCAAGGGCCAAATCGTAAGCTCAACCCGACACCATATTTTCCCTATTCTGCATATCAATAACGCTTTTACTTGCCTCAAACCCTCAGGTCCACGACGCATACGTGTCCCAATACAACGCAAAGACATCCGCATGGGAGCCCTACTCCGGCCTCACCGACCTACAGCTCGAGTTCACGATGCTTGATCCGCACATCCGCACCGCGCTGCCTGCCGTCCCTGGCGTGCCCGGAAAGTACTCCGTCACGTTCCGCGCGCCCGACCGGCACGGCGTGTTTAAATCCGTCGTCGACTACAAGCGACACGGCTGGACGTTCCTCGCTAGCTCGACGACCGTGCCCGTCGTCCCGCCGCGCCATGATGGGCACCCGCGCTTCTTGAGCGCCGCGTGGCCGTACTATGCGGGGGCCATCAGCACGAGCGTGGGCTTTTTGCTGTTCTCGGCGCTTTGGCTCGCGGGAGACGACAGAAGCGCTAAGAAGGGCGGCGCGAAAACGGAGTAATGGAGACGCGGCGGTCAGGTCTGAGTCTGGCATATCTGCTTTAGCAAAATATATATTTATTAAAAGAGGTGATACTCATCAAGCAGTCGTGGGTGAGCCGGTATCTACTCGGTCGAATCAAAGTAAAGCTACAACACATCCTCCATACTCAGGGGAAGAAAGGTACGCACTGCATTGCCGTGACTTCGTTAGAGGACCTGCGTGAGGATGTAAGGAAATCAGTATCCATTGATGAGAGGCAGAAGGACAATGAAGAACTCACCGGGGGCGGGTCAGATCACGCCCCCGAGTCAGCAAGATGATTCTCAAATCAGAAATCGTGGAACATAGCTGTATACTCGTCTCGGACGAGACGGACCCCTTCGCTATTGAGCGTCTTTCTGCGGCGGGTGGATCCCTGGAGAGAAACCTGAACAAACGTCATCACGTCCCGCTCTCACCCATTCTCGCAACTGAATCCCCGGGCCAGAGGGACCCAACGGCAGGCAAAGATAACAGAAGGCGCGGTTGGTGGTCCTGTTCATCCATCTGCCATCTCGCGTGTGAGTGCGACACTTGATATCCGACGGGTTGGAAGGCTCACCGGGCTGCACTCCAGGTCACACTTGGCTGATGGCGGGCGATCCATGACGTGCAGCTCTTGTCCATGACGGTTACCGAATCCCCGGCCGGGGAGATCCAACGACAGTCCGAGACAAAAGAAGACGCATTTCGCGGCCTTGGTCACCACCAGCGAACGTCAGTGTCGTGAACGGTAACTGGGAGAAATGCATTACGCACCAAGCCATGCATAACTAGCCGTAGTCCCCGATACTTACCTCACTCCAACGGTCTTGAAAGAAAACAAAACTACATACTATACCGGGACCATGTAGGGCGATCCATGACATGCAGCTCTTGCCAGCGACGGTTACCGAATCCCCGGCCGGGGAGATCCAACGACAGTCCGGAACAAGAGAAGACGCATTTCGTGGCCCTGCTCATTGCGTCAGTATCGTCGCAGTTGATCAGATGGGCGAGAGACGCACCAGGGATCTTTTGATACCCAACACCTCCACGCTTTAACAGATAATAGAAACAGACACTACACCGCGAGCAGTCCAGGCGAAACTTGAACGACTCTTGCCAGTGACCGTTACGGAACTCGAGGCCGGGGAGATTGATCGACAGTCCGAGAGAAAAGAAGACGCATTCCGTCGCCCTGCCCATCGTCGTCAGTATCGTCGGTCAACAGTTCATAGCAGCACAGAGAGCGCACCAGGTCATTCTCGCTGCGATTGAATGATGGAATGAACATACTAATGACCCATCGTCGAACAGAACCGGTTTGGACGGGCTTGACGTGGATTATCGCCTTTCGCCGGGATCGTGCCTTGAGCTTACCCTGTCCTGGACTCCGCGGGTCGTCGGGTTCGAAATCGGCCTGGTCGTGTAGCCTCTCCAATCCCATCAAGAAACTTCCTTTGAGAGACAGGTCGGGTATCGTCCGTCGCTGTAGGGTGTCCTCGTTCTTGTCCTTGGATAGTCCCTGCCTTTCCGTCCCTTTACCTTGCGGCGACTCTGCCGGGATGACACATTGTACCTCGCTCACAACAGCCTCCTCTCCCTCAACAGTATCCTCACCATTGACCAAAGCAACCGCAGCAACCGCTCCGACCTGCTCCATCGACTCGACAGCCACCACATCGTTCTCAACCGTCGCCTCAACCTCACCATCGACCGCAGCCTCGACCTCAACCACCGGCATCGCCTCGGGCACCTGGACGAGGTCAATTGAGGACGAGAGAGAAGCATACTCACGAGTGAACCGGCGCCGGATCATCCTCTCTGTGCGCGCAATGCTGGCCGCAGCCGCTTGAATCTTGTTAAATCCGAAGAGCTGCAAAGAAGTGGGGTGTGCCGCGGAGAAGGCCGCCTCGGGACGGTGGGCATCGAGGGCGTAGATGGTGATGGGGCCGGCCTTGGAGCTAAGGCTGACTGCGAACCACCTGCGCTCTACTTGGACCTTCTCGGAGACCGTTAGTGAAATATGAATGGGTGTGTGGGTGTGGGTGGGTGGCACTGGGGAGCGCATGATGGGTGTGTCAGAAATACTGGGCAAGAGCGCGGTATCTCAGAAGGCGGTTCAGAAGAACGTCCCTTGAAGGAAAGAAGGGTGAGCAAGCAAGATTTTATACCCCTCCGGAGCAGGGATTGATTCAGACCAAGACAGTCTAGACTGAACAGTCCAGTGCGTGAGCAGCGAGTGAGCACAGCGCTCAGGGATGAGTCGCTGAGCTGGTCATTGCCGAGCCCTGACGGCCAGCCGTCAAGATTGAGATGCAGAGAAAGATTTGCATCGCCTAGTCTGGTTCAGACCTCAAAGTCGTGGCATGCCATGAGTGTTTGGGTGTGAAGAAGGATGTACGAAATGATAGATATTGAAAGGGCCATAGAGCCTGACAAACTGTAAAACAAAGCTGGACGGAGTAATAAATGGGATCAACTGTCTCGCAAAGAGGCTTCCCAGGTAATAGATAAGAGGAATTGAACCTTGTATGATAAAAAAGACTGCTCGCCGCTGAGGTGCCGCCGTGGAGAGGCAGATCGAAGATGCAGAACGTTACATAACGACCGGTTTCCCAGTCGTCGTGCAATGCCGAACTCAACGTCGACCACAAGCAGGACCCTTGCGAAACATATCGCGCGTTGGCTTCTCATTCGAATCGATCCGAGTGCAAAGAAACTTCAAGAACGACGAGGGTAGGGAACGGAAAGGAAGAGGCATCGATGGAGTGTGGTGCGAAACAAAAGAGCGAGCAAAGAGAAAATGAAAGACAAGTTGGTATACCGCAGCCCTCCGGGCACCACCTGGGACCTCACGCACATGAGATGCCTTGAAACGCCAGTGGAAACTCAGAAAAGGGCGACACCTGGCGACACAGACAGACCGAATGCAGGGAAACGGGTATAGAGTGACACGGGAGTAACCGAGTTGTGACAAATGCGTTACGACACGATTTTTGGTCACGCCAATCTTGACGCTGGAGGATGGAGGGAAAGCTGACAAATCGCTTATTAACTTCTGTTCTGAAACCTGGGACCGAAGGTCGCAGGAATGGCAGGCACGTTCAGCTCTGCCAGCTGAACATCCGACCCCCCATGGGCCCCATACCTCCTCCACCGCCCTCTAGAACGTCGCGCCCCGGGTCCTGCGAGGGACCGTCGCGGCGGCCATCGCCATGGTCGTCGCCGTTGCGCCTGTTCCTGGACATACAGTGGTCCCTCTTGTGGCTGTAGACTGCATCCTTCCGGAAGAAGGGGACTCCACAATGGCCGCATTTGAACTTTGCAGGGTTTCCGTGGTCGCGGCTGGCCTTGTGACGGGCCATGTCGGACGCGCACGACAGCCACAAGTTGCACTCTTCGCAGACGTGGGGGTTTGCACTCTTGCGCTTTCGCGTGTTTTCTTCTTCTTTCCTAGATGTCGCCGTTGAGAGCCCTCCGAAGGACTGCGCTACAGCCTCGGGGACTGGCTCACCGGTGGGGTTCTCCACCCTGTAGGTGGACGTCGTCGATTTGCTGTTTGTTCCTTGGAGGGCGCTGCCAGGGCTGGACGATGTCGACCACGAGCAGAGTTCTCCGAAAAAGACTGAGCGATTCAGCTTTCTATCCGCATCCATCCGAAGTGCGAGACGATGGCAACGAGGGTGGTAAAGAAAGGAAAAGCGAAGGCATTGATGGCGTGCGGCGATGCGCGCAAAACAAAGGAGCAAGTGTAGAGAAAGAGGAAGCGAACGGTATGCACCTTCAACGTTCAACTCTCTCAGCTCAGCAGGCTGCCCTTTCTCATTTCGCCTCCATGCACGCTCCTATAGAATGAAAACCTTGATCGTCCCCGGCGTCATCTATGTGTGTAATTGTTCTACCTGGTAGTCGAGTTGATGCCGAGGCCCCCCTCATAGATGTCCTTCGCAATTCGTCTCCGACTCTGTAACCACATTCGCTTAGAGTGTTATTTCGATATCATACCAATTCTACTATCACGCAGATTCTTGCGTCGAATTGGCGTAGATGACAGCTCAGCGCGCCTTGACCCCTCTTGATTGCATTGTCGGTCATGTTCGTGACGACCCTTTGAGCTGGATGACGTCACATGCGAGGGTCAAGATGTCCGCGACCACTGTATAATGTCTTCATAACGCCAAGAGCACAGAGACCATCAGCTACATCCGGACGGCTCCGAGGATATGAGCAATTGTGTACATCTCGATCAGTTCAGTTCCTGCGCGCCAAATGTCGTCACAGATTCATGTATGTACGTCAACTTGTAGCATTCTTTTTTGTGAGAAAAGACGACTGAACGGCTTTCCTGTGGAAGTGGTAGCTGACGAAGGGGACCTTGAGTAGTGAGATTGCACACACGCCACTTCTTCGGTCGCTATCGAGCCCTTGTTCTCCCCCACGTGGCATAGAAAGAGGGGTCTCGGGAACAGACCACAGCAAGACGCCGCTGGTGAAGGGCCGTGGCTTGGGAACAGTCGATAATCGAACGTCATGCGAAGAGAATCATTTGATACGCCGCTACACGCCTTGAAGATTCACGCTCAGGCTTCAGGGTCTATCAGGGCTAGATCGATCACTGTTCAAGTGGCAAAAGAATTCGATTCTTGTTACGTTTGGGAGGATCAGAACTCTTCCATGCTCCAACAAGTAAGCACATACACAGCACCTATATTCTTCAGCGCGATGACAATGGATACAATTGAGGCATCATGCTATTAATTCTTGAAATGGAGGCGGCCGAGACTGAAAGTTGGCCTGACTTGAACCGACGCGTCCAAACCTGACAGGGCCTGTCGTCAGAAGTGCAGACGTCGAGCACATGCATCAGCGTCAGTCCTTGGTTCCTGATCTATCTATCAATCTCACAGGTAACGGTCTTTTTTGTCTAGGATATTTGGGACCCTGCAGGGACTGGCAATCTCAATAAACGCCTGTGATTACTGTGGTAAGTACCCATGGCGCCCCGATGATTCCCAAAAGGTGGATCCTGAATTGAAGGTTCAAAGCATCGAGATTCGATGGCAACCAATGTGGAATGTGAGCACTCGCACATTACCTTTCGATCGTGATGGCTGACATGCTGTATGTTATCTGAAGATTCTGATCATCTGGAAACCTCATATCCTAGAAGACACCTCTGTGCTTCTATGGCACGAGCCGATTCTGCTCGAACAAATGTATTGCTGCCATTTTCGATTGCTTCTAGGCGTAGTTGAATGGACTTCGATCATTATACAGCATGCTGGCACCTGGATTTGAACCCTTCTATAATATCCACTGTCCACTCTGTCGGCTCAGGGCCTGAAGTTGATTCACAGTGGTGCACCAGACCGCCAATAGATGTCGTATGCCAGCTCAGCCGGCAGCTAGGACAGGTGCCACTCACGAAATGGTCGCAGTCATCAAATTTCTGGGAGTGGTGGTATTTAATCGAGTTCGTTTGCCATCGCAGAACACATTTCTTGGATTTAGTCCTCACTCGCTATGGCTTTGCCCCCACGCCTTGTCACTCCTGCTAGACTCATCTTTGAAGCAGCCAACAAAGCCAATGTTACGGCTATTCTCTTCGGCAGTGCTGCCGCCAAACTGCATGGCGCCAAACGCGACACCAAAGTCCGTCACCTGTCACTTTAATTCCTCCATTTGTGCTTGTTTTCGTGCGTTCCACCAGGACCTCGACATCAATGTATCCTCTCTTGGATTCACTACATTCCTGCCGAATGAGTTCGTTTGTCACCCTCGCACCGTCGACACCCGCCAGCATATCACCTGGGCAAACACCGTCAAGTGCGATGTAGCTACCGAGCGCACTGAACTCGTGAATGATGCATTTGAGACCTATAGCTGCGTCACAGAGGACGGCATTCGCTATGCATCGGCGAACATTCTTTTGGCGGACAAGATTCGTACATATGGACGACGCCCGTTCCAGGCTGTTCAGAAGCAAGAAAACGATTTGTACGATGTCCTACAGCTCATCGATGTCATGAGGCAAAAGGGAGATAAGATGCCAGACGAGCTTAAGGAATCGATCCTTAGTGAAGATGTTCTTAGGGCCTTCCTTGAACGTGTACCCGTCGAAGATCATCTGTTATACCGCACTTTTTTGGAGGAGTTGAACGTTAATCTACCGAATTAGGTGCGCTTCTTACGCCTCTTGCGAGCTGCTTTTGGCTGATACAGTATGGCTACTAGGAGGCACGATCATACATTAGGGGCTGGAAGCGAATGAGCTTCTCGAATGAACAGAGAATCGAAGTGGATTACGATGTTCTGATTGTTTGTCTGATTGTGTGTATGTACGATAACATGATGAAACGAGCGTGGCGTTTTCTGTCGAACAAGAACCCGGAAGGCGGGCTCTCATAAGATCGAGCGGATACTATATAAGCCTCTCGGTCACGGATTTGATTCACTCTCAACACCCAACCAACCATGGGAATTCACTTCTACGATTCTTGTCCTATGTCTCCAATGACCACGGAGACTCGTCTCAAGCCAGCGCGAGCTATCACACATGCAGGCGTTCCTTGCTTAGTGTGGGCAGAGGACGCTCTCAGCTTTGCTCACTTCGTCCCCACCGAGATGTTTGCTTTACAACTCCTCATCCCTGACAAGGACATAGAGAGGGCTGCGCAAGCTATCACCTCCAGTTTGCCATACAGGCGATTGACAGAACCTCACAAGGATTGGTTGGACTTCGAGTTTATGGACCCTGATCAATGGAGCTGTTTCCCTAATTCCATCCGGCTTGAGCTGACACTACCACAGTCGTCACGGCACGAAGATGATCCCGTCGACATCTATATTCACCCGGCATCTTGGTTTTACTTCGATGTCAAGGATGATTCCCGCTCTGTCTCCCTCGTTCCCCCCCTTGCGCCTGCCAACTCGGCCCTGCGATTTCCAACGCGCACAGCGTTCTTGGACTCTTTGATCTCGAACATCCTCGATCCACCCACTGGAGTTCGACACGGCAAGCTGGACGCCATACTCTTCACTTACATCAGTTACATCAACCTCTACACTCTTCGTGCTTTCCCTCGTGTTCTCCCGAACGGAGACCTCGAACCTGAGCACGCTGCTGTCTCGGCAAGCCTCAAGCCGGAGAACAGGCGCCTTTGGGAGTCGAACATCAGGAACACTTATAAGGGCTGGATTGATGAGGTCACTGCTCGCAGAGCCGTTCTTGAAAGTATGGGGTGCGTGGGGCTGTTCGTTTTCTGACGAACCTCGTTTATTTACAGTCCAATCAGGCGTGTGGTCGAGGCCAGGAAGCCTTTCCCAAAGGATCGGTGTTGCACTTGGAAAAAGTACGTTGGACTCTTCTCATGTTCACCTTTCACATAGTGAATGTAAGCGTTACAGAGGATCACAAGCCAGGGGACTTCACACTTCCACGCTCGTCGGGAGCTCTGCATCTAGCTCGAAGGCCCTGTTGGTACAGTGCGTGGCGAGGTGATTGCAACGTCCGCGCGTCGCTGACAATTCCTCAAGCAATCCAATGCCGACCCCGCCGAATGCTGCGATAAGCCGTGCTTTTACTCGAGCACAGAATATCTTGCGGAAGAGGGGATGACCAAGTTGAAGTAGGCTCGTTCCAGCACGCAGATTTCCAAAATGTCTTTCGCCTAAATGACTACCCGAGACCATGTAACCATGGATGTTTATACCAATCTCACCTCATTTTAAGTTCGATTTTTGCTGGTATTTCTACGTTGCCTGGTTTGAGGGACAGTTCTTTTTACAGCCATACTGTAATGACGGATATCTCATGCATTGCAGGATCACCACAACCAGATTGGCAACAGCGTCTGGTTGTACTGTATCCTACTGCATCCCAGGATATGACAGCCCTTCTTAGATATAACTGCCATAAGAGATCGAGTGTCAATAGATATGATATGGAAGAGCTGCACAGTTGCATATAAACGACGCATAATGTCCAACATAGCTCTATAAGAATATCGTCATCATGAATAAGTCCATGAACCGCCCTGCGTGCACCTCCGGGCCATCTGCGTTGTGCTGCAGTCTTCCTTCGTCAGGGATGGGCCTCGCTCGAAGCGACTCGTGGCCTTACAGAACAAGGCAGCGTACAGAAGTGAGATGGCAAAGTAATCGCAATCTTCAATGACGAACCCGTTGCATATCGGCCAGCCGTAATGGACGTTAATTCTCAAACGCGTTGTCCGCCCATAATTAGCAGACAGACTGCAGGATCTGACGCGGCACACGGTGACGACGCGAGCGAGGCGCATAATGCACGCTTGGCATCTGGCCAGTAAGCCTGTGTAAGTAAGCTCGTCGGGATCACATTGTTTTGGCAAAGAACGTGACGGACACACGGCGAGCGTTGAACGCGTTCGTGTTTTCATGCCACAGGCCACATGTCGAATGTTTACACCCATTTGTGGATTTTTGAAGTTGTTTGTCCAACAGGATGTTATGTGAAACTTGGAAACAGGCTTTTCATGTGAGCATGCAAGGGAAAGGCTTGACGATGTAAAAGAGCCTGCTCAAGACATGCGTCAGAATTAGCGGGCGGCGACGCTCAATTGGAAGAGTTTTGGTGCGTTTGTCACCCTTGTATTTTTTTCCTTATAGATGGGATGTAAAATGATGGAGTAGTGAAGAGCTCAAGAAAGGCAGAATCATGGAGTTGTATGGAGATCTGGAGAAGACTACTCACAGCGTCGCTGGCAGCAGTTTCTTTTTCATTCTTCCAACCCATCGCGTCCTATCGCTTCATCAGCCCCATACTTCCAGCACTCCTTCTAGGCCGCAACTCTTGCATCCCGTGGGTTTTCATTACCGTGTGGAACCTTCGCGCCAAAGTCAGGATGCAGGGGCGAAGGCGTCGGAGCGGTATCATGCAGGAACTCACAGCCGATGGCAAGCTAAAAGATGGTTATATCGACGTGTGCAGCACTCCAGATCACTCATACCCTATGTTGTAGCAGCAGCAAGGCGCATGCAAAGTTCCCAGAGAGGAGAGCCTAAGCTACTGCGAGCCAGGAGGAGTGAGATTGGTTGGCTTTGCAAACATTATCAGCGAAGTAAGTGGATGCGAGTGACGACATACGGCATGGCGACCTATGAGAACCTCATCAGCAAAAGTGACAAAACGTGGGATGGCTTGGATGGATTGGGGGGTTATATAATCTCGAGAGCCTGCAGGCAAGGTCATATATGGCATTGCATTTGCCGCGCTCTCCTTGGTGGTTCGGCACAATCGTTGCATCAGATTGCAATCTGGAGGCCCCGATGCCAATGTAATATATTCCTGGACTTCATAATATATTCTTATACATGCACACCGGCCTCAAAATATATTGTTAAACATGCACACCAGCTCAGAATATAATGTTATACATACACCCGGCCTCAAGATATAATGTGATACATACACACCGGCCTCAAAACTCACCAGTGAGGCATCAGCAAATCAGCCAATCTCTGACTTAGGTCTGAGAGCCTCTGTTTGTTCTGAACTCTCTGAGTTCAGAACAAACAGAGGTCAGAGCAAGGCTCTGCCGTCAGGAGGTTCTTTCTCTGGATTGGTCTTAACTCAGACCTGTCAGAGTCTATCCAGAATGAAGGTCAGAAGCTTTGTTGGTAGCTCAGACCCCGACTGGAGACTTGTGCAGGCATTTCTTATGACAGTCTTACCATTAAAATGATAGTATTATAGGGGAACGGAGGACAATCTGGGGCCCAAAACAGGTGCGCCAGATCATGAGCCACACACAAACCTGATATGTAGGCTAGAAAAGATTGAGTGGGGATTGATTGTCTGAGAGGAATGTGAGTACATTGAGGGAATTGTACAAGGGTGAAGCAGTGTTCATGGATATGGTGGTGAGGAAGATGTGTGCAAGAGGCTAAAGAAGTCTTGATACAATGTTAGTATTGAATACCTATAGAAAAAAGACCTGATATACACACTAGAATAGCTCACCATGTTCCAATCTGAAATCCTCTATGTCAGACTCTAATTGAGGCTTAATGCTCTGCACATAGTTGGAGTTGTGGATGACGCTATGTGACAATGGTGTTGATTCCATGTCCGTGATGAAGAGATTGTCCCCAGGGTGCTCAAAGAAGGCCTCTGTCTTCATCTTGCTATCATGTTAGGACTTGTGTGGCCTTGTGGATGATCTCGTCCCAATGATGAGCTTTCAGCTGGGCAATTCCGATCCCATAGAAATAGGTGTCATCACCATAGTTGAGCTTGGAGAACTTGTGGTGGGGATCTTGCACAAGCTCACCTGTGCTTTACAAGTGAAACACGCTGATGAGCATGCACCTGTGCTAGGGTCCAAGGAAGGTATTCAGGAAGCTTTGGGGGAATACCAAACAGTGCTAGACAAGTATTGAAGACACTGACTTGCACTGAACATGGTCAGTCCCCACCCGGCTAACTGCAACCTCTGAAGGACATTTAGCAGCACTTGGGTCAGTTCGCCCACACTTCACATACTTACCATGACTGCACAGAAGTGTTATGATAAGTATTCATGGGATCAGAGCCAGTATTCCGTGTTGGCCAATGTTCTCTGGGAGTCAGTTAGTCTTTATTGCTTATCTTCCCAACTTTTGCATGGTCAGGCAAATGCAATCTTGTACCATTGCTTGGCCATCCTGGTTATATGTTACTTCTTTTTTATTTTCATTGGTTCTCCAATACCTGTTCCTGTTACCTATGCTTGGGTAATGGATCCTGAACATTTGGGATTTTGCCATCGCTGATTAGCTTTTACCTTATCACCTTTGAAACCCATATGGATATCCCACCGACCTTCTTATCTTCTCTGTTCGCTAGGGCTTGGCGCCCATTTGATGTCTACTCTCATTTCGTATTCAATATCTTAATTAGGGGCTCTGTTTACTATAAAAACCTACATATACCTCTGAAATAAACCAGCTTTCACACCCTACAGTTCAGAGCTCATTTGTACTCCTCTTAACCATCAAAATCATCTTTGTCAACTCCCAAAAACTTGTCATCCTCATTGTTCAGCCTCATTTGCATTTGTACTTGTCTCTTTGCTTGTACCCCTTGTCCTCATATATTGTCAGAGTCCCATGTGGCTCTTGAAGCACATAGTTGTTGGTCGTGACACTATCTTCTTATCACCAATCAACTCCCTGACCCGACTCAACCAACTGAACATTTGATCAGTGTTTGATGCAGTCCCAAAACCATTTGGGTGCTTTAATCTCACCCCCTTTATTACTCTTCAGTGCATCCTCACTTTCTCAAGTCCTAACTAGCAATTCCTTGTATATTAGATACTAGCTCTAGTACTCCCTGCATTAGTGGTTGTTTTGTTGTTGTGCTTAGGACTTAGAGCCACCTCTAACATATTATTTTGAAGCCCATTGCAAGGGATTAGTATTCAAAATTACCTCAAGGAATCTACATCTGGAAAAACACCCCCTTGTATTAGCTCTGGATTATATCTAATAGTGTCTAAAACTATCTAAAAGTGTTAATAGTATCTAAAAGTGTCTAATTTCCTAATTGGGAGCAACACATTGTGAGCATTGGATTGGTTTCTAATTTCATGATATTAGCACTAATTCTATACTAAGAAGTCTTTAATTATTAGTAGGAAATAGTAAGTACTACTGCTCTATCAGTGAGAAGGTAAAGATGTGGCACATTCTATACTATTTCAGCATATTACTCTCCGTCATATATGCCTGCACTATTATCTTGTAGCTCTTTTGCTAACTTTCCAGCTGCTTTTATAAGGGATATAGAAAGAGAGAAATGTGCATTGATGCCCCCAGCCACTTTGTTAGTAGCTTGGCAGCTGCCACAAGAGGCTATGAAGACCTAGGTACCTTGTCCTTGCATACAAGATCATTAAAGTTGTCATTGTTAGCCAATGCCTGCTACTGGTCATTATAGGACACAACATGTGGGTTGGACTTAGGGATATGCTATATGCAGCCTTATAAACCTTGTCTATTAGTATAGTGGCTAATACTGTCTTGTGCAGCACATAATCATCATCACTATTGATATTACAATTTTTAGCACTATTTGTATTGTTCATTGCCTTGTTATACAGAAGATGCTCAAACTTGGTGTTTTCCTCTAGCTATTGGGCTGTGGAAAAGACAGTCATATTGGTATGTGGTGCCAGAATGACATATTTGCCTGCCATATAGGAAATATATGTATTAAGCATATCAAGATCACCTCCAACAATCTTGTGCTTATTTATATATAGGCATGCCATACATATACTCTTGTCCCCACCCTCTACCTCACTAGTGGCTATTTGGAAAACCCCTCTCTCTTATTGGATCTTAATTATTCATAATCATGTTTTTGATCAAATTTGCAAATTCAGGTAGCATTGTCTATACTAGTAGAGTCCCATTGAATACACTCAATCATAGTTTTACACACTCTCAGTCCAAATTGTATAAGTGCCATAATTTATTTTTATCCTATATAAAGTGTATTATTGATTTTCCATTGGTTTATTATCTTCTTAGCTGGTGTTTAAACTAAATCCTGAAAGACCTGACTTTTTAGGTATTTATTGGCCTATTTATTTATAAGATAGAGGAAAGATAAATGTTAAATAAAATCAGAGATGTTGAGGTTGCCTATATTATGTCTACTTATTTAGATTACCAATTTATATTAGATTTTGTGGCTTAGTGGCTTAGAGCATCTGTCCCAGGTGCTTGCATATGTGAGGTTGTTGGTTCAACTCTGGCAGAAGGCAAGTTTGTTATAAGGTATATTCTGTGTTTAGGTATTTAACTAGTGCTCTAATAGACATGACTCTATAGAAAGGCTATGAGAACTGTGATGCTTGATTTATTATGAATTTTCCGAAATTTCAAGTTATAATCAATCCTAATAATTCGTAATTTAGGAAAATTATGTCTAATTAGAACAGGTTTAGAGGGGGGGGTAAGCTAAAAATGTCTAATCCTAATTGTTCTTAATTATGCATAAATAGAACTGATTAGAGCTTAATACAAAGGGGTGTTTTTCCAGATGGCCCTTTGTGCAACCTAGAGAAAACCCTATTACTCTTGGGTTACTAAATAAGCAGTTCATAATACCAACTGGACCAATAGTTCTTCAAGACATTGGTAAAGGATACATGACAGGGTCATAGGTATAGTAGATTGACAAGATAGGCATTTACATGCTATAGGCTTAGGGCTTATGGGTAAGCACCTCATTGCACCTAGATGGATTAGTGTGACTAGAAAAGTACAAGAGTAGGTGCTGGCTAGAAGAGATGGTGACCACAGCTCTCCTAAGATGGTGTTAAGACCTGGTCTTCATACGTGATGTGCTAGGAGGCTCCTGAGTCACTGAGGGATGTGCCAAATCCAAGTGTATCCAATAAAAGCACTAGTGGCTAACTGTATGCATAATTCAGAATGTATGAGAGACTCATAATAATATTATGTCTCCAAGAAGGCACAAAGGCTCTCCCACAGATATGAGGGTATAACCTAATGTGGGCCTAGGTGATAGTAGATATGCTGTCTACTAAAGTCAAGATAGAATACTGCTAGTCCTGTATAGAACATAGCCAGTATCAAGATGATGACTGAGTGGTTGAGAATAGTGATAGAGAAAAGTGCAGGTCAAGTCAAATCAATGCTCAAGCAGATGTTCTATTAATAATCAAGAGTCTGGCTTATTGGCAAAGACTATGATATAGCAGAGATATGGCTAGTACCAAAGGTCAAGGGTAAAAACAGGTAGGGGAGTAACAAAGGTGAATAAGCTAGCAAGACAGGTCTCTGGCTTATTTTATATATATGTGATCTACTTTAGGACACGATCTACAGAAGGTCTATGCTTAAGGCACTGAGGCAAATAGAAGTAAATGATCAATGATTGAAGTGATATAATCTATGATGTAATCAAAGAAGCATGATGCAATCAATAATGTCAGTGATATAATTGATTGTTAATTCAGGAACAAAAGATAAGATAAGATAACTCAATGTCTGTTGGTAAAGTCAAGGGGTCAGTTACCAGGTACAGATCATATCTATTAGTCATAGACCATGTGTCATATGATTAGGTGATTATATATTATGTATTATGAGCTGGCTCTTAACACCAGCTAGGTCTAGAATTCCACAGGTGAATAAAATAATACTAGCAAGGTATGAAGTATAGATATTAGTGTTCTATTACCCTAATCAGACAATAAGTAAAGTGTAATAAAAGAATAGACATAAGCATAGACTAGTAAGTATGTACTATGGTCTAGAAAGTGTTATTTGCATGAACACTAACTAAATATTCCTCAAAGAGTCTAGGAAACCTATATACAAGCTATTACACTAAATTGGGCAAGTATGAGGAAGCCCATGCATCAGATACTCAAATGATAATTATATATGAGAGATAGGTTTGAGTGATGGCTTATTTAAGAGATATGACAGTTAAAGTGTTGTTTTATTCATCCTATACAAAATTAAAGTCCCACATGCAATATTATTCATAACACTTCTACATAGAAATTTTGTGTGTAAAATAATGAATAGAGCCACTTTCTGCATACAAGTTCCTTACTCAGGCTCCAAGCTGTGTCCTAGTTGCTCTAGACCACTTGTTCCAGTCCTTGCCACTAGTTTTGGACCTTTTTGTAGACACCCTCATTAATTAGAATGACAAGCACAAGTTATGCTCATCATTACTTATAATAAGCATGACCTCTGACTATCTCTCCCCTGCATTTGCTGTATCTCCATAAATATATATCTTTCCAGAATCAGATTTTTATATAGAATACAGTAGTGCCATTATAATGCAATGTTACCCTATAATCTAAGTAATCATATAACAAAATAAATCATGAAAATAATAAAAGAAAGCTTATTGTATTTTATGTAGAAAATAGGCTCTTAGAATATATATATATATGAATTTTAGTTTGAAGGATCAAGAGAAAAAGCAAAATGTTTGTGCTTATTATTAGGACTGGTGGGCACAAGGTTACACATGCCATTAGAAGTGCATCTGAAGCTCTCAAAAGCATTAGAAGTTGAAACAAGCTAGAACTACCATACTTAGTCAGCTGGATCCATAAAAGTCTAATATGATATAAGCAGTGTCAAATTCTCATAAATTGCATGACTGGAAAACTAGCACCACTGTATTCTACATGAAAATCCAGTTCTAGAAACATATACATTTATGAGGATATAGCAAATGCAGGGGAGGGACAGTCAAAAGTTGTTTTTATTATAGGTAATGACAAGCACAACATGCACTTGCTATTCTAATCAATGTGGATGCCTCTGAAAAGGTCCAAGACCAGTGGCAAGGAGCAGGACAGGCAGTCTGGAGCAATTAAGACACAGCTCAGAGCCTGAGTAAGGAATTTGTGCATGAAAAGTGGCTCTATCTATTATTTTACATACAGAAACTTTTGTGCAGAAGTGTCATAAATGATTTTTCATGCAGAGCTCTAATTTTGTGCAGAATAAATAAAACAACCTTTGACCACCATACCTCTTGAATAAACCATCACTTAAACCTGTCTCTTATACATGATTATCATTTAAGTGTCTGGTGCATGGGCACCCTCACACCTGCCCAATTTAGTGTAATAGCTTGTACATAGGTTTCCCAGACTCTTTGAGAACTATTTAGCCAGTATTCATGCAAATAACACTTCCTAGACCATAGTACATACTTACTAGTCTATGCTTATGTCTATTGTTTTATTAAACTTCATTTATTGTCTGATTAGGGTAATAGAACACTAATATCTAAAGTTGAAATTTCAATCGTCAATATTTAAACAAGGGGTTTCCGGAGTCATATGCCATGCCGCTTATGTCAAAGTGCGGCATCCGATTGCGAAATAAGCTGTCCACTCCCTGTTGCCATACGTGGCACCGGACATTGCCTCAAATATCCCCTGGGGATATCCGTGGTATATTAGGAATATACCACAAATATACCACAAATATCCCCAGACCCCCCCTCAGTACATTCGTGGTATATCCGAGGTATAGTCACAAAATCCCTCGAATATCCCCAGGGGATATTCGGGGCTGGGCATATTCACGGTATATTTCAGGTTTATTCATGGTATATTTCGGGTATATTCAAGCTCATTATCATGAACCAATTGCTTGAAAATGTGCTCCATAAATAGAGAATAAATATATTAACAAATCATAATACTAATACATGCTATTGAAGGCTACATGACAATTCTAAGGCTTGAAAGATCTACAAAATATACTTGAAAAGGCGAGAGGTGCGAATCCCGGCTAGATGTTCCCCCGCATACGCAAGCAGCCACGGCGCGCATCAGGGATGGGACGACCAGCGCCTTGACGCAAGAATCTATTGCGGTGGCGGGAGCGGTGCGTCCGCGCGTGGCCTCGAATTCGAGGAGTACATTTTGGGGGGTGCGTCGGGCTGCGGCACCGCGCTGTCGAACACGAGCACATCTGGTAGCACGCCACGCGCACAAACGCAGCCGCTGGCGAGTGCATCGGTGCCGGCAGCGTAGAGGCGCATCCTGCGGAGGAGCGGGGTGAGCATGCGTGTCGAGGCTGAGAAGATCAGTGCGGGGAGAGACAAGGTCGCCAGGAAGGGTTGCAGCTTGGTAGGGGTGGCGAGTGCAGGGAGCGAGGGGGATGGAAAGAATGCGGTGTAGTGCGGGGGTCAGTACTGCCATGCGGGGGGTTAGCACTGTGACACGGAGAGCCCAAATGAACACTGGCCTCACTGATGTTGCTGCTGCTGCTGCAATATCTTGTCTCTCCCACCTTGTAACCAAAAGTTTCAATGACGCCCACTCCTAATTCTCCAAGGAAGGCGAATAGCACAACAACGTCGCGATAGCATTTATTGCTTCCAAATCGAAATAGCTAGCAGTGGGTAGATTTTAGTTCTGCTTCCATGAGTGATTGCCAAATAACGCACCAGATTCATAATGAGACTCGCAGATACATCGTCCGGCCCCGCAGCAAATCTTTGGTCATCCTTCCAGAGCCTACCTCGTTGACAGACAGAGCCTCGAGCGTGTACTTCAACGTTTACGCAATCGCAAGATAGATAGCATGTCGTTCAGGTGCACAAAGAAGCCGGCATACGTCATTTGATGCAGTGCAGTGAGCGCAGTGAAGAGGATCGATGGACCGTCGTTGCGGGGAAGGGTGACAAGAAGGAAGTTCTGCGTTATGGCATGTGAGAACTGTGGATGAAAGAGCAAGCGTACAAAAAGCGGCATCGCCAATGTATACCGGGCGAAAATGTCTGCCTCGTTCTCAACAACGGTAGTGTCAACCTCCATCACTGACATTGCCTCGCCCATCTGGATTCCGAACGACGTGAATGGAGTGGACAGAGGACCATACACTGAGCTCGATGCTGCTGCAGTGCAGGCGTCGATAGTCTTGTCAGAGCTGACGGTCAGCCGCAATGGATGAAATCAGCAAATAATTCAGGAACGATTTACTTCGCCTAGTCTAGTTCATTGTTGAAGGTAGCCGTATGCCAGCAGGGCTCGCGTTCGAAGGACAATATGAGAAGGAATAGATCGATATTTTATGAAAAAAGCGCTAGAGTGAACAGACTGTACAACAACCGTAAATCCGTGATAAGTTGCGTGTGATGAACCTCGTGAGAGATGAGCTTATCGACCCCTCGTCGCTGAGGTGCCGTCGTAGATGAAGTCGACGATGAGCAACTTATGGCGGTATTATAGCTTACATAACGACTGGTTTCCTATTCGTCGTGCAATACCGGGCTAGACGACGCGTCGAGTCGATGTCGACCACAAGCAAAGTCCTGCGAAAACCAGAGTGAGTCAGTTTTCAACCGAATCGATCCGAGCGCAACAGGTTGGTCAAAACAACGAGGGTGGTAAGGAAAGGAAAGGCAAAGACATCGATAGCGTGCGCCGCGAAACAAAAGAGCGAGCGAAGAGAAAAGAAAAACGAACGGTACGCACCTTCAGCTCTATCCACTGAGCAGGCCATCTCCTATGCCCCCCATTCCCCCTCCGCCGCCCTCTGGACCATCGTGCCTCGGGCCCTGCGAGGGACCATCCTCACCGCTATGTTTCCTGCCCCTGTTTGGGCAGTGCTCTCGCTTGTGGCGATGGACTTCATCTTTACGCACAAAAAGGGCTGGGCAGTCGCCGCATGCAAATTCGCGCTGTCCTCCGTGGCGCAGAGTCGCCTTGTGTCGGGGCATGTCGTAAGGGCACGACAGCCGCTTGCTGCACCCGTCGGTGCCGTCGCAGACATGAGGGTCTGCCCTCTTGCGCTTTCGCGCGCCTCTCTGTTCCTCCCCATGTGTCGATGTCCAGGGCCCTCCGATGGACTGCGTTATAGCCTCGGGGACTGGATCACCTGTGGGGTTCTCCACCCTATGGGTGGACGTCGTCGATTTTAGCGTAGTCTGTTGGGGGGCGCTGCCATGCGCCTGTGGATGGACCACAAGCATCTGGCCTCGCTCTCCCACCGTCTCTCTCTCCCTCTCCGCATAGTCGCTTGGCAGCTTGACCGAAAATCGGCCATACCCCGCGATCGGGGGCATGCGCGGCCTCTTGACTATACGCCTCCCCGCCGTCGCGCCGCTCGCTCCCTGACTCGCTCCCTCCTCCCTCCCATCTCTCCCCTCCCCATTTTTCGCCTTCTTCTGCCTTGGCTCCTCCTCCACATGCACGTGGTGCTCCAGCAGCACCGGCTCCGAGGCGGTCTCTGGCGACGGCGGCAGCTCTGGGACAAGCTCCGGGGCCTCCTCGACGAGCACCTGCGGAGGCACCTCGGCCAACACCCGAAGGACGGTGTCGCGCGGTGCCTCCACTATATCTCGCGCCATCTCGCTCCATGGACCATGGATCGGCTGGACGGCGCCCAGCAGCGAGGAGAAGGGTGCCGTGCGGTCTTGGGCGGGTACGTGTGGCGCGATGGGGGTTGGAACCTCGAGGTAGGTCCCATGGAGCGAGCGATATGGGAGTGGCACGTTAGGGCTCGGGTATCTACGGGTGATGTAGGCGTGAGGCGACAGCTGTACGGAAGGGTAGGTATCCTCATCCTAAGAATACAGAACAATGAGTGGCGTGTTGAAAGTCCGAAGCTAAGTTCCAGACTTACCGACTCGTCTGTGTCACCGCTCTCACCGTGTGTCTCGTCGTCATCGTGTTGGGAGCACGACGGACCTGCGCCAGGTGCTGCGGATCGATTCGCATTAACATATAGCAAAATCCTGACGTGATATGCAAATATACAACGCACTGAAAAGCTCGTCCTCAAACGAGTCGTCGCCGTAGTAGTAGGACATGTTGGTATCTCAATGGCGCTGATGTGGAGGAGAGGCGGGTGACAATTCGTGGTACAGTGAACGGTTGACTTTTTACCTTCGGCTCTCTGATTTTATTATCGAAGAAGCGCCCACCACCTTCCCAAGGAATCAGTCCAAGCAACGCCTCCGACGCCGGTGTGATGCCTTCCTTCGCATGCTGGAATTAGGCTCCGACCCAAGCCCAAGGTGGGTCCATTGTTCGCATCCCGCAGGTTGTTCATCATTTCTCCGTTCGGCCGTGTCCTCTCTTCCAGAGACAGGCGGGCAATTTTCTCTGCCTCGTTCCATCAATTCTGTAAGACAGAACGTGTCAAGGCTGTGAACATCCGGCGGGCTTCTGGGGGTGCGTCCATCGTTATCGTCGTTTATCCGGCCCTCGATAACATCTGTGGCAAAGTCACGCGAGGAGCGGGGTTGCACATGTCGTAACAACCCGCTTATTCCCTTGTTCTCCACAGCTTCTTCTGACCGTCGACTCCCGTCAGCGCCATGCCTTGTATCTGGCACGGGTCGCTGCAGTTGAAATTATGCACCCTTGTCGATAGGTTGTAGACGCATCAGGGTGCTTGAATTTACTGGTGGTCCCATCGCAAACGGCATAATGCAGCCCGCGAGTGGTCTGGAATCGAATATTCTAGTCGCTTATGGTGTCTTCGCACAACATGCAGGGGTAGAAAGGCACACTATTTTGCCATCCTTCATTTCATCGCTTTTTTGAAGACAGTGGATCGTTCTAGCCTAACTAGTTCATTCAGCGTGCTCAAAATTTCCCGTATGGGCAAGTGCAGGCTGGTCGGAATGTCAGGACGAGGGTCTAAGGATGGTTTGATCTTGTCGGAGCGTGACTTGCGATAGCTCCGGTGCGAAGGTGGAGGCGCTCAGTGATCAATTAACAAGCGGGATGACTGATTTTGTGGGCAATATAGGGCCTGCATCCTCCTCGTTGTATGTGACTTGAGCATCGTGGGTATCCATAGAACAGGCACAGCCAACATCTAGTGTGTTCGTGTCGGACTCATGTACTCAGTGAACCGACTATCGAATCGGCCTCTCGGTGCGTACACATCCAAAGGCTTGCTCGAGTGGGGATGCGCATGGATCCGTGAAATTGTGCGACTATTCGCATCAAGAGAGAATTCATGAGACTTAGGTAGCAGGCTTGAGCCATTGTTTATGAGAAGAAGGTCTGTACGTCGTACTCGACTTCATCGCCTCATCGATAAAAGCGGTCAGATGCTACACGCCGCAGTACGTTTCGCCAACGTGCCGAGCTGTCGTCTAATGATGTCCTGATATCAGACTGGTTGCTTTCAGCCTATAAGAAAGAGTTAGCTATGAGGCGATTCCTTGTGTTTTTGTAAGCGTGTTTACCCTGTCAAAGAATACAGCTGTCTCCCTCAGAACATGCCTAGCCTCAACCAGCTCCCTCAATCGACCACTAAGCAGCTCGTAGCTCTCATTCATCTGTACTAGCCTCGACTCGTGCTCGGCAAATGTAACGTCTAAGCCGTCCATTGTTTGAGCTGCTCGCGGACCAACGGTGATGAGAGGCGCCGAATCACACAGCGGGCGCACGGGTATCTTATCTTTTTCCCTCTCAATTTGAGTAGAGAAAAAAGAACGCGACGAGCCATCTCGTCGATGCGACGAATCTCGCCTATGAATGATCGTTGGAAGGGATTGACGTTGGGGTTCGGCTGTGCAGTTCATCGTTAGCTTCATATAACGTGAATTCGACAGTCCTAATCTCACATCCTTGAACTGCATGTTTTCAAGTTCCCCAAGCTCAGCGACCGTGTCATGGGCAACTTCTGTTGCTCATAGTCTCAGAGCCTGATGTGTGTGCTACTTCAGTCACTTAGAGATGGTTCGAAACGTAGAGATACGAACGGAATAAGCTGGGATATTCATTGACCACAGGGGTGCCCATGGCGGTGGAAGAATTGTAGATGGAGAGTTATAAAGAGAGATTCTGACGATGCGAGGAGGCAGGAGGAGGCACGCTCTTCACCAGCTTCAATGTTTTTCCGGATTCCGCAGGGTTTTCGATTTTTCGTCCGTGCTCAAATTGTCCCCAATCAGGTATTCCAACCTTTTCTACTCGCACTGATCGTCGGCAAGCGTCGGCATCGTTCCTAGACTACATTCGCTACATTCTCCTGCGCTGAGTCGCTGACAGAACCTGACCAGGTAAGGCCAGTCCCGAGTAGTCTCTGTTGCTGACCCTATACGCAGAAGATATTCGTAGGCCAGTCCCAGCCAGGATCACCTCATTGATGCGCACAAGTTTATGCATTATTTTCTTCGTCATTAGGTACCGCCGACCCATATTTGTATCTGCTGCTGGCTAGACCTGGAACACATAAGACGCTGTGCTCTCTAGCTAGAGAATATGACTTGAGATAGCCTCCACGACTCAAGTTGCACCGAAGACATGTAACGCTCAAAGCTTCTTCTAGGTTTTTATGCCGTACGTCGTCGCATCTTGTCCTATTTCCACACCCCCTTAATTTCCATGACAATGTTTGCAACGCGACGCAACCACACACCTTCTTAATCCCAGTAGCTCAGGCTCTCCTCTCTGAGAACTTCACATGCGCTCTGTTGCTATTGCACACGTCGCTATTGCCGCCTTAGAACTCGACATCGTCTGCGAGTTGCTGCATGATACCGCGCCCTCGCTTCTGCATTCAGACGTGAAGGTTCTCGATGGTCATGAAGAACCACGGGATGCAGGAGTTGCGGACCAGAAGGAGGGGTCGAGGGTAGGGCTGATGAGGGACGTGATCTGTTAGGGAGAATCAAAAGAGATTGCAGCCAGCGACGCTGTGAGTAGTCTTCTCCTACAAGTCTTCATTCAACTCCATGATTCCGTCTTCCCTCCGCTCTGCGCTGCTTATTATATCTGTACAAAAACAATACGAGGATAACAAATGCCCTTCGACTGCAACAGCTACTACGCACCGTCACCGCCCGCTGATTCCGACGTATATCTCGAACAATTTCACTTACACCGTCAAACATTTTCCTTGCACGTCCACATAAAGTGCCTGCGTGAGCATTTTCTCCTGGCTTTGATTATTTTCAAGTTTCAAATCCCATTCTTTTGGAAAACCAACTTCAAACTCCCACGAATGGGAGCATACAGGGGAATAAACAGCATTCGACACGTGGCCTGAAAATATACAGTACAAGCTGTGGCATGAAAACACGAGCGCGCAGCGCTCGCCGTATGTCCGTCACGTTGTTTGCCAAAACAATGTGATCCTGACGAGCTTAGTTCCGCAGGCCCACCGGCCAGATGCCAAGCGTGCATTATGCGCCTCGCTCGCGTCGTCACCGTGTGCCACGACAGATCCTGCAGTCGGTGTGCTAGATATGGGCGGACAACGTGTCTGCGAATTAACGTTCGTTACGGCTGGCTCATATGCAACGGGTTCGTGAAGAAAGATGGCGATTACTTTGCTATCTCACTCCTATATGCTACCTTTATTCTGTAAGGCCACGAGTCGCTTTGAGCGAGGCCCATTTCTGACACAGGAAGGCCGCAGATTAACACAAAGTGGATGGCCAGGAGGCGCACACCAGGAGACACACTTCGCTATCCGCTGTCAGAGCAGAGGCTCAGCTGTCCTCCACGATTTCGGTGTCGAGCAAATGATAACTCAGAGTGCCTTCTTGAACACGTTCTTAATGAGGTACGCTTGGTGATGGAGTCGTGCACGCTATACATCTATCGCCAAGATTGGTGCCGATCTGCGTCCATCGAGAGTAGCGCGGGTGCGTGGTGGCGCTAGTCTCCCGAAGGCAGCAACGTTGACGATTCTCTCAACCTCCGACGTGGTCTCCGGATATCCGTATCTAACGGTGGCGCGTCGTCTGTACTTAACTTGTGATGGATCGTTCCATTGTCGCAGGCCACTCAAACACACTCCGATTACATTTGCGCCGTGACAAGCGTGGTCGTTGCCGGTCGTGGCCATGGTATCTAGAGGCTGGGCTGCGGAGCGATCACTAATTTGATGTGTGTAGCGCTCTGCTCATAGAATGAAGTATTGTGTAGCTCAGTGATCGCAATGACGGCTCGTCTGCCACCACAAAGGTTCTTGCAAGCGGCCTTGTAACTCGGCCACAAAGCGATCACGTGTCTATGTCGCGGAGTTCCGTGGCTTCGTGGCTTGCAGCGTTGGTTCAAACGTTCACCAGCAGAGGTCACCATCACAAGCTTGTTCGAAACTCGGGGCCACAGTTTGTGGCATTAGTCCCCAGTACTTAAGCACTTTTTCTATCCCTGTAAGTGATTCATTCAACACCTGTTCTACTGCTCCTGACATGTCTTCGCACAAGATAGCCAGCACTCAACGTTTCAGTGCGATGGAAATATCCAAGGCACCGGCCGAATACGCTCTACTTGCTGAAGAGACTGAGAACGACTTTCACGGACCTATGCCTATAACAGAATTCTTTGACGCTTTCATGAAGACGAAGGATGACAAGAAACCTCCCAAGCGTGCCACCCAAATCTTCAAGAACATACCTAGGGTTGGAAAATTTGAGGATCACTTTGTGCGTATATGTTCTCCTTTGTTATTAGAGACCGATGTTGATTATATCGTATTCACAGAAAGATGCTGTCGAAGCATCTGGAATTTGCCAGAAGCTGAGATTTGTCAACACGACTGACGATCTGGATGCAGACTTCAAACGCAAGCCAGACATGGTTGCTTACAAGAGATCTATGCAAGGCGGTGATGTAACTGACTTTGAGCTGATGGAACTGTGCATCGAGCGCAAGCCAGAGACTAAGGACCCATTCCAGGATCTCGCTCCCAGCGCGACCTCTGGCGATACAAACACAGTCTTACATCGCTCGCAGGAGGCGACCATGAATCGAGGACAAATCTGTTCATATGCAGGCTTGCAGCTCTCGGCGCAAAACCGGTTCTTCCTGTTCACTATGGTCTTGCTTGGTGACTATGTTCGCTTCATTCGATGGGATCGCGCGGGAGCTATTGTGACTGAACGAGTCAACTGGAGGAGAGACCCTACTCATCTGATTATGTTCCTTTGGAAGTTCAACCGTTTCAATGACGTGCAACGTGGACGAGATACGTCGCTCACAAAGCCCATGGCGAGAGACATCAAGAGGGCGAAGAAAGCATTTGACGAACGAGCCAGGTTTCTGGCTAGGCTCCTAGGCGAGGACGAAGAGACGGCTCAATGCCTCTACTCGTCTGATGCCACCTTTCACCAGTTTTGTATCACGGACGACGACACGCACAGGAAACACTATTTCATCGCGTCGAAACCTCATTGGCAGAGCGGCAGCCCGTTTGGGAGAGCCACCGACGGGTACATTGCATATGACATCACGCGACAGAAACTTGTGTATCTGAAGAACAGCTGGCGGTACTTGGAAGATGGGATCGAGAAAGAAGGGGCCACCTATCGGCTACTCGAACGATCAGGTGTGACCGGGATCCCGACGCTGATCTGTTCTCAAGACATTCTGGGTCAAGACACGCGGACGCACGAGTACAGTTCAAAAGAGTGGTTTTGCAAAACGACCAATCCTCCGAGGCGGCACAGGCTTCACCGTTTAGTTCTGGGGGACATCGGACGGCCCTTGAGCCAATTTAGATCGTCCAAAGATCTCGTCAGCGCTATGCACGATGGGATGAAAGGTAAGTCGATGATGTCTTTGACACCTTGCACGCTCACCAACGTCTTTCTGTGCAGCGCACGATCTGGCATTCAGATTGGCACGCGTGCGACATGGGGATCTCAGTGCTGGCAATATCTTGATATCTGATTCAGGCAAGGGAATCTTGATTGACTGGGATCTAGCTATGATATTGCCAGATGTCGATGATCAGGGGGTTGACACTCAGGGATCGACGACGAAATGGCAAACGGTGCGCCAAGAGATAGCCATGTAACTTGTCTCACAACTCAACTATTGTCTCTAGGGAACTTGGCAATTCATTTCGGCGGCCCGACTCATGGATCCTGACAGCATGCGCCATGAACTTCGTGATGAACTGGAATCTGGTCTTCACGTCTTGCTATACACCAGTGTCCGCTATAGAGCCAGCCACCTTACTGTGGCGCAATGTAAGTTGCTCAAGAAAGCCTTTATCGAGCATTTCGACAGCAGATCCGACACCGTGCAGGGGCGAACATCCGGAGGACATGGAAAATACGAGTTTTTTCAAGTCACCGGGCCTAGTGCCTTCTCTCAAGACGGCCTTGAAAAGTTCCTCAGCGAGCCGCATGCTAGCCTCGTCGAGACGCTTCGAAGATTGTTTGTTCCCCTTTATAGCACAGAAAGACAGTTAAAGCTTATCCCTAGCATGGAGCAATCTCGGGACGCTGCCCTCGAAGTCCTCAAGACTTCGGATCGGTTCATAGAGATCATCGAAGAGCACCTTGAGATGGACGGATGGACGGAGAATGATGTCAGCGATGAGCTGCGTGGCTGTGATCAATTCTTTACCGAAGCACGAGGCCTGATATTTGCGGCACGGCGTAACTCGTTGTTGAGGGCTAACGTGTAGCGCAGTAGTGGCTTTGCGGGTGTGGCTAATGCGACGCTAGCGTCCTTTCCCCCTATGGCCGAATCCAATGGGGGAGACTAGTACGCTTGGTAACTTGACATGCTAATTTTCCGCTCTATGCTTTTCAATCCCTCCTCCATGTATATGTGATTATATGTATAACATCTCATGTTTCACTCAATATACCCTTCCCCAAGATCTCTAATGTCAATCCTGTCTCGTTAACCAACAGCCATCGGGCACCTCTATCTTGGACTATGCACCGTACTCTACCAGCAACGCGTTCGACTTTTCGAAGCACCAAACAGGGCCGGCATCAGGTTGCCTCAGGAATTCCAAGCGGCAGGCAGACGTTGTGATCACTTGTTATGATGAATGGATGTTTCAAAGAATTGGAGAGTCATGGCGGCTAAAGGGACTGCAGATCAAATTTTCAGCAGCGTCTAGCACTGTACTTATCAGATGTTCGTGCCGACTGTTGTCAGAGGAGATCGGATGAAAATAGACGTCAACGGTTGCACAGCTTGGAAGAATTGCGTGATATGGAAGAGCTGCACGGCAATTCTGTGAAGACCTTGTGCCTATGCAGCCACAGACAAATGAAGCGAAATGTCCAACCCAGCTCTATAAATATACTGGCATTACGAACAATTTCATAAAACAACCTACACAAATCGGGCCCGTTCAACTGATTTCGCACACACGACTGACATGACCCATCAGCACTTGTTCCATCTTAATCGTGCCCTTATAATAGATGGTATCCTCGGGATTGTATACCTTAGCATTGTCGCACACAAGCTGAGCGTCTGCAATGAACATGTCAAGATCTTGATATTGCTCCGTCTCGAGTTTGTGCTCCGTAGTTAAAAAATCTGTACAAAACAGTTGACGTCATCGGTACTTTCCCTCTCTGGAATGCTGGAATTGCCTTATATGGGTACTTTCCAGCTGTTCCAGTGCGCAAGTTCTCAGTTTCCAGCAGATTCGCTGGACATTCCAGAAAAGTACATGTTCGGCATTTCCAGCATGCCAGTGCAACTCCGGCTAGAGTTGACTAAGCATGTCAAAATAAAGAAGGCCGGACTAAGATTTGAACCTACGAGCTGTTCCATGATAACAAAGGAATTACAGCCACTGCACCAAATGAATGATAAATATTGATGTGGTAGAAAAAATATGAATAAATTAGCTGGACTTGGTGAAAATTTCAATCTCTTCTTAGAGAGAACTACAATATTTCATTTTTTTGGCACTTCTCACTTACTAGAAATGCAACATATTACAAATGGGGATAACTTTATGTGATTGAGGAGTCCATCAAGATTTGTTTTAAGCTTATATCTCATGTGCTTTAATCAAAAACACAGTATGCCTTTAATAGCCTAGTCCCCAGATAGTTCCTCAAGACTGCATTTTTAGATCTGAGAGCATCTGTAGAGTAAAATAAATCATAGACTTTTACTTATATAAGACATGCTACATCCTTAATCAGTGAAAAGTGCCAAAAAAGCAAAATATTGTAGTTCTCTCCAAGGATGTGTTACAAATTGCTGATTTAGTACCTTAAGAGTAACAGGTTCTTCCCTAGGTTACACAATGGACTGAGTGGGTGAGGAATTCTTGACTGTATTAAAAGATTAATACAAGAGTAGTTGCAGATTTATACTATAGGAAGACAGTGGTAAACAAAGTGTCCATATAGAAAGATATGAACAAATGAAGAGAATGGACTAAAGTTTCTCAGCCTATTCTATGGGCCTTATTACTATATAGGGCATAGGGTAAGAGTCTGTATGCTTTTCCAGGTTCCTAACCTAGGAAAGCATGAGTTGCCATCTCTTTTAGTCAGTGCCTACTCTTGTACTTCTCTAGTTGCACCAATCCATCTAGGTGCAATGAGGTGCTTGCCCATATGCTCTAAGCCCATGGCATATGAATGCCTATCTCACTAAGCCACTCTATCCATGACCCTAGCATATGATGCTTAGACCATTAGATAGACTGCCCCTGCAAAGTCCTGATAGGTCAAGTTATAACATTACCCCCTCTCTAAGTTCTAACCCCTGGGAGGACTACTTGCTGCTTACAAGCCTCATCATTTTTCCACTAGCAATTGGTTTCCCGGCTCAAGGATTGGAATGCATCTTTCTGATACAACTTTGTTTTCTAGAGTGAATACCAACTTATGTTACAAACTGCTCATTTGATAACCCCAAGAGTAGGAGTTTTTTCTCTAGGTCGCTTGTAGAGGAAGAGGGGAACAATGGTCTTGACTGCACACGTAGCACAAGAGCCAGATGTGTATTGCAATGGTGGGCAATAAGATGAAGGCTATAGTATGAAGACTGCAGGATAACAAAGAGTATTGTAAGAGGATAATAATGAATGAAGAGAATAGACTAAAGAACGTTAGCCTATTCTATGGGCCTTTTATACTACTTTAGGAAAGGGCATGAGAATCCCATATATATATACCATAGGTATTCTCTAAGTTGTTACTCTCTAAAAATGACTACTCTTGCTTCTCTGCTTGTCTCTTTCCAACCAGAAGAACAAGGAGCTCCATGCCCATATGTGAGTAGTACAGGCCACTGTCAGCCATCTACTGTATCTAGCCTATGATACTCAACCAATGATAGGTGCGTCCGCTGGAAGTGTTACGAACTACCTACTGTACCTTTTTTATAATTCCCATGATTAGTATAAGGACACATAGGACCTTTCTCCCAACTATACCTCATGTTCCTGACCCATTGCTAGTTGGTCTGTGCTCTTGCTTGTACTCGTGCCCACGAAAAGTGTTTGAACAAGTGACTGTGACATGACATGTCTCCTAGTTTCTGACTGTCTCCTGAGAGCAATTGTGAATGGATCAACAATTTGATAGTCTTTGTGAAGAGCTAGGAATGTCTTTTATACAATACAGTAGTTAGAATCTTGTATGCCAGCCTTTTGCTGCCTGAACTTGTGCAACTCTCTCTGATATCTTCCTAGTATGTCTCTGAATCTCCTCCTCTGTAATTTCTTCCCATGCATGCTGTGCTGCTAACCATAGGTTCTCGAGAGAATTACTAGCATCTGGGGTATCAGCAACACGGTTTTTGAGCAGCAGTCATAATGGCTCGATAGGGTTAAGATCAGGTGAAGATGGAGGATGTGTTAGGGGTGTGATGCCCAGTTTCAACCGAGCAGATTTTGCGAGGCGGCTTGTGTGGGCTAGTGCTCCATCTTCGACAACAAGCATGAGACATATCTGCTGCTGCTCTATCCTGTCAAAAAAATCCTTTAGAGGCCCTTCAAGAACCTGTGCAACATACTCTTTTGCACCCAAGCCTCCACCTCGTCTTCGTCCTTTCTCACTCATGGTTGCAGGCAGGAATTCCAGCTTGATCAGCGGACCTTTCACACCATGTGCAATACACCCCCATACCATGATGGATTTGTGACCACTCTTGAAGGTTGGCTGTATGTTCTCGGGAAGAAATTCTTCACCTGGTAATCTTGCCACTCTCTTGTGCCCTGGCCTCTTTCCTAACTCCAACTTTGCCTCATCAGTCCAGATAACCTTATTCCAATCCCTTGTCATATTCTCCTTTGCCCAAATGAGATGTTTCCGGATAGCCGCTGGTGATAGGAAGGGCTTGCGATGTGCAACTTGGCAGTGATAGCCAGCAGAAGTTGCTATGGTGCGAACTTGTCGGGATGTTATATGTTCAACATGCTCATAAATAATGGGATAAGGGTCCAGATGGTGTGTACGGATCTCACAAAGGACCCTGTGTTGTGTGCAGCCATCAATGATATGTGGCCGGCCAGATCGAGGGAGACTGTGTCGGGTATGGAATTGGTTCTTGCGAGTGACAGTATAATGGCATGCCCTGACAGAAGCACCAGTCAAGGAAGCAATTTTTTGATATGAGTATCCAAGATCATGCAAAGCAAGGATTCAACCTCTTTTTGAGGGTGTAAACTCAGTGGTTCCAGCAGGAGGCATGAATTTCTTAAGACTACTAAGGCTTGGCAACTTATATAGAAGCTTCACATGACAGTGTTCAAACACTTTTCGCGGGCACAAGTACATATTTATAGCAGCTGCGGTGCAGTAGGGGAAGCCCTAGGCCATCCACCTCTGTCCAATCTAGGAACTGCTGTTCATCAGTCTTCCCTGATTCTCAAGCATTGGTCTGATCAGCTTCACTCCTTCACATCTATCAACCTTGTCATCATCCTCCTTATGTCTATACTAATCTGTGGACTAGGAATCTCTCATCCTGAACAGCCGTTTGTGACATTTGGATAGCCTTGCTCAAATCCTACTCCACACCCTAGTTTCGCATTTTCTTTCACAGCAGAACACCGGCTACGTACATACGGTGCTAGGCAGTCCCAAAAGACAAGTGACCGTCGACCATAGTAGTTACTGTACACTTCAAGCAAACAATTGGGTGATTCTACTTTAGTGTGGGTTGTTTCAGGTTGTAGAATATCTCTATCTGGTAGTCAACCCAGTGGAGGTATGACTCAAACAATTACGCTTGACGTTACTTACTGTACAATACTTTACAATACCTGGCCAGAAAGAGCTACTGTTGCCTTGATCCTCAAACCTTGATCAGGTTGAGGCTAGTGCGGGCTCTTGTGATCAAATCATCATGACTTCTAAAGGAAAGGGAAGAGAAGTAGGGCAAGTTCCGCATGGACCCGACTACTTAGAACACTCGGACTCATACATCTACCTCAGATGAACTATCAGAAGGAATTTGAAAGGAATCTGGGTTTATGTAGGTGGACCAGACAGCGGAAAACCCGTTGATGCTCCATTAGTAGCCTGGGAAGATAGGAAAGCACCTCTCAAAACAGTCACAACCCCAACCCAAACCAAACCTGCACTACCCCTGATCGATACCCCTAAAGAAAACACACCAGTTGACATTTCTAAAGAAGACATCGGAGAAGAAGTCATCCTGGCAAGAGTATTAACCCCTGTAGATGAAGAAGACCCAGAACTGACACCAGGACCAAGCAACCCAAGATGCCCAGACCCAAACCTAGACCCAACACCAAGTACAAGAACAGCAGACACAAGCAACGAAATGTCATCAGACAAAGGAAACAAACTAAAGGACTTTGACAGAACCAGGTCTAAATATCAAAAATGGATTTACGAGTGCATATGTATATCCTGGCTAACCCAACCAAATACACCACAGACATGGATAAGATCCTAATAGTCCTATTGTACATAAGGGAAGGAATGGTGTCATTGTTTGCTCAAAAATACTACTTTGACAGAGAACTTTGAGAGTACAAGGCAGCAGAGACCAAGAAGACATGGGGAACGTTCAAAGAATTCCTAAAGGAACTAGCTGCTGCATTCAAGGACGAAAGTCTAGAACAAAAGGCACAACAAAAGCTGTTCACCATGAGGATGGGAAAATGCTCAGTGGACAAATTCATCATGGACTACCTCATGACTGCTGGACAAAGCGGATTTGATCTAGAATCCACCATTGACTACTTCCGCCAAGCCATACACCCGGAATTCCTTAAACAAATTTACAGACTTCCGGAAATGCTGACCACGATGGACAATTGGGTAAAGTACACCCAAAGATTCAATAATCAATGGAGGGAGCTCCAGAGCATAAAAAGCTCTGTCCCCACCACAATGCCCTGTCGCAACAACCCCTTCCGCTACAACTCTTCCAATGCCCCCACCTCTATGAATAACTCAGTCGTACCCATGGGCATAGATGCTGTCTGCACCCCCCTTACTGACGACGAACAAGCCAGGCTGCATGCCGAGGGTGGGTGTTTCTATTATCAACAGAAAGGACACATGGCAAACCAATGCCCTGCCAAGATCTTGTCTAGGGTATATGAAAGGGGAATTGGACATGTTCAACCGAGTGATGGAAAAGTGGGGTACCACCCGGCTCAAGCCAGTGGAGCATTGGCTGGCCAAGGAGGAGGCTATGGCAGAGCGCTCCCGGCAAGAGCTCAGATTAGTGGCGAGACAACAACTTCAGGCAAAAGTAGAAGTGTGGCAATGACTAACCCATTCTGGGCTAGACTCGCAGCGCGCCAAGCCTATGCATCCAGAGAGAATGCATCTGTACGTCAGAAGGAGTCTGAGATCAGTCGGGAAGAGGTACAGAGGCTTATAGGGAAAATGAGATGGGATGAGCAAGAGGTGCTCTTTCAAGAATTAAGTGAAGGAAGTAAGCAAAAGGAATTGGATATGGATTTTTGAACCGGCCTACATCCTTAGTGTACCATAGGCCTGCCCAGAACCCTTATGTAAAAACAGTTGTATGACTTACAAAATCCAATCAAAAATCGTCCATGTGCATAAATGTACAGCTGAAACACAAAAAGGGAACCACCGAAGCAAAGGTATTGATTGACTCAGGAATAGAAGGACTCCTTATTGATAAACAATTTTGTCAAAAACAAGGGATACCACTTCAAAAAATTGACAGATTTATTCCAGTATTTAATGTAGATGGAATGGCAAACGAAGGAAGAAAGATCACGAACAAGGCATGCCTCCTAATGAGAATGACAAATGACAAAGGCGACTATCACGATGAACAATGCAAGCTACTTGCTACCAACCTAGGAGGGGAAGATGTAATTCTAGGAACAGACTAGCTGCATGAGCACAGCCCACGGATTGACTAGGTGAAGAATCACCTTACGTTCTCCACCTGTGCTGGAACGTGCCTAGTCAGCCAACCAAAATTCACAATACAAGCATAACTCCTATCATGACAAAGAAGCACAAGAATGATTGGATACTCCAAGATAGAAGACAAACCAGAAGAAGAAGAAAACACAGATGAGACCTTCTTCTCCAAATTCTACAAAGAATGGTACCACCAAGACCCATCTGAAATGCACCTGCTTGAAGCAATCCGTGTTCAATCCATCCATAGCAAATCACAGGAGTTAGCAGAAATAGCAAACAAAAAGAAAGATAAATGCACAGTAGAAGAAATAGTCCCTGCATATGTTCTCAAATGTTTCGCCAAAGTCTTTAACCAGGAAGCCTCACAACGACTCCCCAAACATTTGCAATAGGATCATAAAATTAATATGAAACCCGGATGGGAACCAAGCAGCTGTAAACTATACCCCCTAACTGAAGAAGAAGAAGACAAACTGTATGACATGCTGCAAGAGCACTTAAAAAGGGGGACAATACAAATATCAAATTCCCCACAAGCATCCCCATTCTTTTTTGTAAAAAAGAAAGAGGGAGATCTCAGACCGGTCCAAGACTACAGAAAACTCAACGAATGGACAATAAAAAACAAATACCCGTTACCCATGATTGACGATGTAATCTGAACCATAGCCAAATTGAAGGCAAAAGTCTTCTTGAAGTTTAACATCAAATAGGGATACAACAACATCTGCATGAGAAAAGGAGACAAATGGAAAATGGCTTTCCTTGCCAAATTCGGCCTATTTGAATGCCTTGTTATGTTCTTTGGACTTTGTAACTTGCCAGCGACGTTCCAAACTGTGATAAATATCATCTTCCATGACCTCATCATCACACAGGTTGTAATGGTATACATGGACAATATTCTCATCTTTGCAAAAATAGTGGAAGAGCATCAATGAGTGACTATTCAAGTTATGCAAATACTTTTAGACAACAACTTATTTTTAAAACCTTCCAAATGCGCATCCAAAGTCAACACGGTCAAATACCTTGGTTTCATCATCTCCGCGGATAGCATAGCCATGGACCCGGTCAAGGTTAAGGGAATTTCAAAGTGGCCAACTCCAACAAACTTAAAAGAAGTACAATCTTTCTTAGGCTTTGGAAAATTCTATCAAAGGTTCATACAAGACTTCCCCACTATAGCACGACCCCTGAACAACCTCACCAAAAAAGACACTCCTTTCACATGGATAGAAGAATGCAATGCAGCATTTGAAGCCCTCAAATTCTGCTTCACATCAACACCAGTGTTGATTTATCCTGATGGAAACCGACCATTCCAACTTGAAACCGATGCTTCCAACTTTGCATCTGGCACCATCTTGCCGCAAGAAGTCCCAGGCGATGGCTGGCACCCAGTAGCCTACTTATCGAAATCTTTCAATGTGGCCAAATAAAACTACGACATTTTTGATAAAGAACTACTAGCTGTCATCCACGCTCTTGACCACTGGCGTATCTATCTTGAAGGCGCATGGTACCCATTTGAGATATGGTCCGATCATAAGAACCTCCTTTACTTCTCCACCGCCCAAACTCTATCCCGCCGACAAGCATGCTGGGCACTCTTTGTTAGGACCGTGTCCTAACACGTGCATAGCACGTAGGCGGAAGGGAAGGGAAGGTGTTTTCTTGAACTTGGACTGTTAATGACTAGGACTGTGACTTGACACACATCTAGGCACGTGACTCAGGACATGGTCATAAGATATGAACATAACTTGGACTTGGACTGCTTAACCATTTATATGCTGACACATGAATGCTTACATACTATGATCTCCTTTCTTATTGTGCTTACCAACATTGATCGTGATTGGGTTCTGATGGAACACTGCTATGGACAGACATTTGATATACTTACTATATATGGTTACATCAAGGAGCCGTGGAGTATAAACAATGACTACGGATTACTTAGTGTTCAAAAGCACAGACCATATGTCTGCCCTACCCTAAACAGAATGTACTATATATAGGAGAGCTGAGCTTCTTAAAAAATCAGCTCATTCACTTTGTATACATCTTGATCTCTGCACTGCACCTGGCACCTGGCTATCTTCAGCTCATGCTTCATGATCTCTGTCAGATCCATAGAATCATACACAGTCTAACAAAGCACTGGATTTGTCTCAATGCCCTTATCATCCTCTACTGCCCGCAATGTATCAAGGACTCGCCGCCTACAGAGTCATCTGCTGGGATCCCTCTGAAGTCATCTGCTGCATTGGGGAGGATCTGTTCGTACCAGACGAATATCAACACATGATTAATTGGCACCTTCTCCACCTCTTCAAAGACAAGGTCAATACCAATCAGATCTTCCTAAACCAAGCACAAAGATGAGCCATCCATCTGGAAAAACACCCCCTTGTATTAGCTCTGGATTATATCTAATAGTGTCTAAAAGTATCTAAAATTGTTAATAGTATCTAAAAGTGTCTAATTTCCTAATTGGGAGCAACATACTGTGAGCATTGGATTGGTTTCTAATTTCATGATATTAGCACTAATTCTATACTAAGAAGTCTTTAATTATTAGTAGGAAATAGTAAGTACTACTGCTCTATCAGTGAGAAGGTAAAGATGTGGCACATTCTATACTATTTCAGCATATTACTCTCCTTCATGTATGCCTGCACTATTATCTTGTAGCTCTTTTGCTAACTTTCCAGCTGCTTTTATAAGGGATATAGAAAGAGAGAAATGTGCATTGATGCCCCCAGCCACTTTGTTGGCAGCTTGGCAGCTGCCACAAGAGGCTATGAAGACCTAGGCACCTTGTCCTTGCACACAAGATCATTAAAGTTGTCATTGTTAGCCAATGCCTGCTACTAGTCATTATAGGACACAACATGTGGGTTGGACTTAGGGATATGCTATATGCAGCCTTATAGACCTTGTCTATTAGTACAGTGGTTAATACTGTCTTGTGCAGCACACAATCATCATCACTATTGATATTACAATTTTTAGCACTATTTATATTGTTTATTGCCTTGGTGTTTTCCTCTAGCTATTGGGCTGTGGAAAAGACAGTCATATTGGTATGTGGTGCCAGAATGATATATTTGCCTGCCATATAGGAAATATATGCATTAAGCATATTAAGATCACCTCCAACAATCTTGTGCTTATTTATATATAGGCATGCCATACATATACCCTTGTCCCCACCCTCTACCTCACTAGTGGCTATTTGGAAAACCCCTCTCTCTTATTGGATCTTGATTATTCATAATCATGTTTTTGATCAAATTTGCAAATTTAGGTAGCATTGTCTATACTAGTAGAGTCCCATTGAATATTACACTCAATCATAGTTTTACACACTCTCAGTCCAAATTGTATAAGTGCCATAATTTATTTTTATCCTATATAAAGCTATTATTGATTTTCCATTGGTTTATTATCTTCTTAGCTAGTGTTTAAACTAAATCCTGAAAGACCTGACTTTTTAGGTATTTATTGGCCTATTTATTTATAAGATAGAGGAAAGATAAATGTTAAATAAAATCAGAGATGTTGAGGTTGCCTATATTATGTCTACTTATTTAGATTACCAAGTTTATATATTAGACTTTGTGGCTTAGTGGCTTAGAGCATCTGTCCTGGGTGCTTGTATATGTGAGGTTGTTGGTTCAACTCTGGCAAAAGGCAAGTTTGTTATAAGGTATATTCTGTGTTTAGGTATTGAACTAGTGCTCTAATAGACATGACTCTATAAGAAGGCTATGAGAACTATGATGCTTGATTTATTATTATTTTTCCGAAATTTCAAGTTATAATCAATCCTAATAATTCGTAATTTAGGAAAATTATGTCTAATTAGAACAGGTTTAGAGGGGGGGTAAGCTAAAAATGTCTAACCCTAATTGTTCTTAATTATGCATAAATAGAACTAATTAGAGCTTCATACAAAGGGGTGGTTTTCCAGATGTCGTCTTTATATGCTAGGCAGTCACCATTCACTTTAGCCCAGGGAACCCCTCTTAGTGTGACAAGTGCACGTGATAAGCTTAGCGGCTTAACACTCTTCCTATTGTGCTTTGATTTCACATTAGTACATAAACCCGGTACCTCCCACTGACTGGATGCTCTGTCTGGGCGTCCAGACCTAAAACAGGGGGTGAAATTAGACAACAAAAACCAGATATTATTAAAATCCCAATTATTTGTCAAAAGCGCCACAGGAAGAGGCACAGTTGAGATGCTAGACAGACAACTCATGCAAGAGCTGAAGAACATTACAGCAAAAGACAAAGAAGTGATGGAAGTGATAGAAGTTATCAAAGCATCAGGGCCAAGGACACTCTCCAAAGGACTACAAAAATGGAACCTAGAAGATGACCTCATCTGGCATAGAGGCAAAATATATGTTCCGCCAAATGATGAATTAAAAAGAAAGATAGTAAAGATGTACCACAACTCACCTGTGACCAGACATCCAGGGCGATGGAAGACATATGTCCTAGTATTGGACAACTTCTGGTGGCCCGGAATGTCAACATTTGTAAAAGAATACATAACGGGATGCACCACATGTCAAATGACAAAAAATATCACACACTCTACATGTGTCCCACTAATCCCAAACGAAATACTAGAAGGACCCTGGCAAGTGGTGACAATGGACTTTATTACAGATCTTCCGCAAGTCGGACCATATGACGCAATCCACGTAGCAGTAGACAGAAGCACCAAAGGAGTCATCTACACCCCATGCACAAAAACCATAGACGCAGAAGGAACCACCGACCTCTATATGAAAAACATGTGGAAACAATACAGACTCCCAAGAAAAATCATCTCGGACTGAGGACCACAGTTTGCCGCTAGGTTCACTAAAGAACTCTAGAAGAAATTGGAAGTAACAATAGCACTATCCACTACTAATCACCCAGAGACAGACGGAGAAACCAAAAGAGTAAACCAAGAGCTGGAACAGTACTTCTGAGCATTCTGCAATTACGAACAGACAAACTGGCCTGAACTCCTACCATATGCAGAATTTGCACATAATGTCAGAGAACACTCAACCACACATCAATCCCCATTCAAACTCATGTATGGCTACAACCCGACCTTTGCACCCCAAATCACCCCAAGATCCGACATCCCTCGCATAGAACAAAGACTAGAAAGACTAGAACAATTACGAGAAGAAACCAAAGCCAGTTTAGAAGTTGTGGCAGAACTGATGAGACGAAAGACCACCAAGAACAAAGTCAAACTAGAAGCAGGACAGGAAGTTTGGCTCTCAGGAAAAAACATCACCACCACACACCCAAAGGACAAATTAGCTCCTAAACTACATGGACCGTTCTAAATAGAAGAAAGACTGGGACCAGTCACATATAAGCTAAAACTCCTGCCCACATGGAAGATACACCCCATGTTCCATGCCTCCTTAATTATACCATATCGAGAAATGGCCGCCCACAGCCCTAACTATGAACAACCATCTCCTGACCTCATAGAAGGACAGGAAGAATATGAAGTTGAAGAAATTCTCGACCAAAGGAAACAAGGACGCGGATATCAGACTCATCGAACAAATGAATCACGAGAATGAACCTGAAGAATGCCAGAGAACTTGTAGAAGCCTATAACATATGGCACCCTAACAGCATGCCCCTGAGAACAACCCTCGCAAATATCGAACAAACAAACTTAGGAACATATAAAAACTCCAACTCAATCCTCCAAATCCCCTCATCACTTCAACAACTCTACTCCATTCATGACGATCTTCCTCATCTTACACATGTCCTCTAACAGACCCCTCACCATCACCCACAACGACAGTACCCTTGTCGAAGAGTTGGCACTGATGTCTCTTACCAACTCTCCCTCTCTCACCTCCAAGCCATCCATGATAGAAGAACGATCCGTACCCTGGGATTCTGATGAGGAGCAAGCAGCACAAGAGGCAGACAAAGTGTTTGATGAATACCTCAGGAGATTAGACGAAGATGAAAGGCTTGAAGAAGAGATGAGGAGACGACTTGAGAGTTTTGAGAGAACATTGCCCCTTTGTTCCCCTTCCCCCCTATAGGTGACAGACGTCACAACACTACCCATAACCTCACCTCCTCACTCTCCCTCCCCATCACCTTTAATCCAAAAAGACAACAGAGGAATTGTTTTTTCTGACAAAGAGTCGTACCTGACTGCCCCTGTCACATACCTCATGGGGCTCATAGAGGGCTCACTGAGCACAGAGTTCATGTCAGGACCTACCCGACTGGAGATACATGGGGCATTAGAAATCCTGAAAGAAGAAAGGGCATTCATACAACATGCGCAAAGGGCTTTGTAGACACAAGAAGGAACCCTCATTGCCTGCATCAATGCAGGCGAGAGGAAACTCATGGGACTTGACCACGTTGAACCCCTTCGTGACACATTTCACCCCGCCGATGACCTCACTCCTGCCAATGAGTACTATATGCCGTCCATGGCTGTGGTATCTTGTGCCTTGTCTGCGGCTTCAAATGGAGGTCTGCTTCACCCAATGCCAGGGACTTATCCCACTGGCCCCAACCGAGGGGTCTATAGGTTCACACGTCCTTCCCCTCATTTTCAGGCCATACCCCTGACCTTTGGGCTCCGCCACCCACCTTCTCGCACTTGACCCCCTGTCATTGAATATGATTCTAGTGACTGTTACGACTGCTCGTCGGTAACCCCAAGAGTAGGAGGTTCTTCCCTAGGTCACTCGTGGAGGATGTGTGGGACGATGGTCTCGACTGTACGTGTAGCACAGGAGCCAGGAGTGTATTGCGGTATAGCAACGAAGTAGACAGTATGAAGACTGTCTAAGAACGAAGGTTCCTGTATGTGAAGATACAGGAGAACGAAGAGAATAGACTGAAGAACCTCAGCCTACTCTATGGGCCTTTTATACTACTTTAGGAAGTAGGGCGTGAGAATACCATATATGTATCCGTAGGTATACTCTAAGTCATCTCTCTCAATAACGACTACTCTTGTGCTTCTCCGTTAGTCTCCTTCCGGCCAGGAAAGACTAGGAGCTCAATGCCCGATGTGTGAGTAGTTTGTAAGGCGGCGTTCCATGCCCGCTACGCAATAGGCCCATGATACTCGACCAACGATAAGGTGATCCGTTGGGAGTGGATGACCAAGGTTACTATCTGTACCTTGTTGTACGCCTCACCGTGTGAGGCCGCTTGATATTTGTGATGATCGTGTCGGTATAGACAGCCGTTAAGGCCCGACAGAACGTGATCATAACAGTGACTCTGACACACTCCCCCTCATTGATCACCGCCACACTCTCTAAAGATGCATGGACAATTGTCCGGTATGACGTTAAACTGCCAGGGCAGATGACAGTTTGAATCTGTTGGGCCAGTACTCACTGCCATGATGAGAAGAGGGACTCAGTTCCAGGATACAGTCCCCATGTGGTTCTAATGAGGTGAGATACCATGGCGTCCATACTCAAGGGCTATTGCACCATGGCTTGATAGTGGGCAGCAAGAATTGGTGCCCTAAGTATCATTTTTCTATGATTGCAACAGACTTTACATGCATTGCTTATGTTTTTCTTGAACTCTTTTACTTACCGTCTCTGGCACTGATGACCTAGAGGGGGGGAGTAATGTTATGAACTGCCTACTGTACCTTTCTTGTGATTCCCACAATCCGTATAAGGACACATAGGACTCTCCCAACTATACCTCGTGTTCCTGATCCACTGCTAGTTGGTCTGTGCTCTTGCTTGTACATATTTATAGCAGCTGCAGTGCAGTAGGGAAGCCTTAGGCTATCCACCTCTATCCAATCTAGGAACTGCTGTTTACCAGTCTTCCCTGATTCTCAAGCATTGGTCTGATCAGCTTTACCTCTTCACACCTATTAAACTCGCCATCATCCTCCTTGTATCCATACTGATTTGTGGGCTAGGAATATCTCATCCCAAACAGCCATTCATGACACTTGACAGGTAAGTGTATTAGCCGTAATCTGGCATTATGGATCCCAGTCAGCTGCAGTAGGGCTTGTTTGTCCTCTGCTAATAATGTGGCAGTCATGAGGAGAAGTGGGACTCAAGGGGGAAGTCAAGCACGGATATGACCTAGCTGTGCATAGGCCTCACAAAATGTACAGCTCCAAGGAAGTACAACATGCACTTCATCAATGCAACACAGAGCTAATTGTTCTTGAATCTTGTCGGTTTGCAAGATTCTATCAAATTCTGGGGAATATAACCGTTCAGGGGAGATGATGACCACAGGATGCTTATACTGTGCAACCTCCCTGAGAAGGTTTCGTCCTTTCACCTGAGCTGCTTTGATGCTCTGCTTGTCTAGCGACACGGCGTGGATGCCCATTGTAAGCATTTCTTTCACCTAAGGTATGTTAGTCCTTCATGCATAAGTCCAGGTCCTTGAATGGCTCACCTGACTGTGGGCTAGGTCAGCCAAGGGGCTAATTATGAGTGCAATACCATGTTGAACAAGTTTGCAGCCAGAGCAAGGGATGTCTGGATTATTAAAGAGCTCTTGAACAAAGAGGAGGTGCAGATAGGTGACGGCAGTTTTTCCATTACCATATCCTGCAATTATAAGCTGATTATGGCCATCTAGAATGTTTGCAGTGGCCTTGACCTGCCACTCATAAGGACCATCTGGCCATTCAGATAGCACCTTCTGAAGGGTATTCTAGATTACTCAAAGGCCTTGTGGTGTTGACCAAATGTCAGTTTCCGGCATCCATTCGGAGCGGATAAAGGGGAGAAGCAGCAAGTGGTCAAGTATTAAATTAAGTAGGAGGCCAAGTATAGCTACATGTCGCGCGATGCATCACGTCTTTGTTTACTACAAAGGCACATGACTTATCGACACGGTGTATGACTATGACACTTACGCGGTAACTGAGTTTCACGAGAAATATGATGACTAGAAATAATCCGAGATGCCCGAAGGAGGGCTGCCTGCCAGGGTAGCTAACTTTGACTACGTGGCACCGGACATTGCCTCAAATATCCCCTGGGGATATCCATGGTATATTAGGAATATACCACAAATATACCACAAATATCCCCAGACCCCCCTCAGTACATTCGTGGTATATCCGAGGTATAGTCACAAAATCCCTCGAATATCCCCAGGGGATATTCGGGGCTGGGCATATTCACGGTATATTTCAGGTTTATTCATGGTATATTTCGGGTATATTCAAGCTCATTATCATGAACCAATTGCTTGAAAATGTGCTCCATAAATAGAGAATAAATATATTAACAAATCATAATACTAATACATGCTATTGAAGGCTACATGACAATTCTAAGGCTTGAAAGATCTACAAAATATACTTGAAAAGGCGAGAGGTGCGAATCCCGGCTAGATGTTCCCCCGCATACGCAAGCAGCCACGGCGCGCATCAGGGATGGGACGACCAGCGCCTTGACGCAAGAATCTATTGCGGTGGCGGGAGCGGTGCGTCCGCGCGTGGCCTCGAATTCGAGGAGTACATTTTGGGGGGTGCGTCGGGCTGCGGCACCGCGCTGTTGAACACGAGCACATCTGGTAGCACGCCACGCGCACAAATGCAGCCGCTGAGGAGTGCATCGGTGCCGGCAGCGTAGAGGCGCATCCTGCGGAGGAGCGGGGTGAGCATGCGTGTCGAGGCTGAGAAGATCAGTGCGGGGAGAGACAAGGTCGCCAGGAAGGGTTGCAGCTTGGTAGGGGTGGCGAGTGCAGGGAGCGAGGGGGATGGAAAGAATGCGGTGTAGTGCGGGGGTCAGTACTGCCATGCGGGGGGTTAGCACTGTGACACGGAGAGCCCAAATGAACACTGGCCTCACTGATGTTGCTGCTGCTGCCGCAATATCTTGTCTCTCCTACCTTGGAACCAAACAGTTTCAATGATGCCCACTCCTGGTTCTCCAATGAAGGCGAATAGCACAACAACGTCGCGATAGCATTTATTGCTTCCAAATCGAAATAGCTAGCAGTGGGTAGATTTTAGTTCTGCTTCCATGAGTGATTGCCAAATAACGCACCAGATTCATAATGAGACTCGCAGATACATCGTCCGGCCCTGCAGCAAATCTTTGATCATCAGTCCAGAGCCGACCTCGTTGACAGACAGAGCCTCAAGCGTGTACTTCAACGTTTACGCAATCGCAAGACAGATAGCATGTCGTTCAGGTGCACAAAGAAGCCGGCGTACGTCATTTGATGCAGTGCAGTGAGCGCAGTGAAGAGGATCGATGGACCGTCGTTGCGGGGAAGGGTGACAAGAAGGAAGTTCTGCGTTATGGCATGTGAGAACTGTGGATGAAAGAGCAAGCGTACAAAAAGCGGCATCGCCAATGTATACCGGGCGAAAATGTCTGCCTCGTTCTCAACAACGGTAGTGTCAACCTCCATCACTGACATTGCCTCGCCCATCTGGATTCCGAACGACGTGAATGGAGTGGACAGAGGACCATACACTGAGCTCGATGCTGCTGCAGTGCAGGCGTCGATAGTCTTGTCAGAGCTGACGGTCAGCCGCAATGGATGAAATCAGCAAATAATTCAGGAACGATTTACTTCGCCTAGTCTAGTTCATTGTTGAAGGTAGCCGTATGCCAGCAGGGCTCGCGTTCGAAGGACAATATGAGAAGGAATAGATAGATATTTTATGAAAAAAGCGCTGGAGTGAACAGACTGTACAACAACCGTAAATCCGTGATAAGTTGCGTGTGATGAACCTCGTGAGAGATGAGCTTATCGACCCCTCGTCGCTGAGGTGCCGTCGTAGATGAAGTCGACGATGAGCAACTTATGGCGGTATTATAGCTTACATAACGACTGGTTTCCTATTCGTCGTGCAATACCGGGCTAGACGACGCGTCGAGTCGATGTCGACCACAAGCAAAGTCCTGCGAAAACCAGAGTGAGTCAGTTTTCAACCGAATCGATCCGAGCGCAACAGGTTGGTCAAAACAACGAGGGTGGTAAGGAAAGGAAAGGCAAAGACATCGATAGCGTGCGCCGCGAAACAAAAGAGCGAGCGAAGAGAAAAGAAAAACGAACGGTACGCACCTTCAGCTCTATCCACTGAGCAGGCCATCTCCTATGCCCCCCATGCCCCCTCCGCCGCCCTCTGGACCATCGTGCCTCGGGCCCTGCGAGGGACCATCCTCACCGCTATGTTTCCTGCCCCTGTTTGGGCAGTGCTCTCGCTTGTGGCGATGGACTTCATCTTTACGCACAAAAAGGGCTGGGCAGTCGCCGCATGCAAATTCGCGCTGTCCTCCGTGGCGCAGAGTCGCCTTGTGTCGGGGCATGTCGTACGGGCACGACAGCCGCTTGCTGCACCCGTCGGTGCCGTCGCAGACATGAGGGTCTACCCTCTTGCGCTTTCGCGCGCCTCTCTGTTCCTCCCCATGTGTCGATGTCCAGGGCCCTCCGATGGACTGCGTTATAGCCTCGGGGACTGGATCACCTGTGGGGTTCTCCACCCTATGGGTGGACGTCGTCGATTTTAGCGTAGTTTCTGGGGGGGCGCTGCCATGCGCCTGTGGATGGACCACAAGCATCTGGCCTCGCTCTCCCGCCGTCTCTCTCTCTCTCGCCGCATAGTCGCTTGGCAGCCTGACCGAAAATCGGCCATACCCCGCGATCGGGGGCATGCGCGGCCTCTTGACTATACGCCTCCCCGCCGTCGCGCCGCTCGCTCCCTGACTCCCTCCCTCCTCCCTCCCCTCGCTTCCCTCCCCATCCCTCTCCTTCTTCCGCCTTGGCTCCTCCTCATGCACGTGGTGTTCCTGCGACACCGGCTCCGTGGTGATCTCTGGCGACGGCGGCAGCTCTGGGACAGGCCCCGGGGCCTTCGCGACGACCACCTGCGGAGGCACCTCGGCCAACACCCGAAGGACGGTGTCGCGCGGTGCCTCCACTATATCTCGCGCCATCTCGCTCCATGGACCATGGATCGGCTGGACGGCGCCCAGCAGCGAGGAGAAGGGTGCCGTGCGGTCTTGGGCGGGTACGTGTGGCGCGATGGGAGTTGGAACCTCGAGGTAGGTCCCAGGGAACGGATTCAGTCGTCCCCCACGTGCGATATAGGCGTGAGGCCACGGTTGTGCAGAAGGGCTCCCGTCCTCGAGAAAGTCCGTGCCCTCATCCTAGGAATGCAGAGCAATGAGTGGCGTGTTAAGAATCTGGAGCAAGGTTCTAGACTTACTGACTCGTCATCTGTGAGGTCGCTCTCACGGTGCCCCTCGTTGTCGATAGCATGGGAGCGCGACGAGCCTGCGCCAGGAGCTGTGGGCGAGTTCGTATTAACATGTAGCAACCTGCTCGAATGATATGCACATGCAGAACATACTGAAGAGGTCTTCCTCAGTGTCACGGCCGTAATCGTGGCACCACGACATTGCTAAGCGGGTGGATGATGGTGTGTAGGTTGTGTTGTTGAGTGGCTCAAGAGCGTTGTGGTGGTTGGTAGGGGAGAGGTGGGTAAGACTCAGCGGTACAGTGAACTGTTGACTTTTCACCTCGCTTGATTAGGCGGATATACCACCGAAGAAGCGCCCACCACCTTCTCGAGGAATCAGTCCAAGGAACGCCTCCGACGCCGGTGTGATGCCTTCCTTCGCATGCTGGAATTAGGCTCCGACCCAAGCCCAAGGTGGGTCCATTGTTCGCATTCCGCAGGTTGTTCATCATTTCTCCTTTCGGCCGTGTCCTCTCTTCCAGCGACAGGCGGGCAATTTTCTCTGCCTCGTTCCATCAATTCTGTAAGACATAACGTGTCCAGGCTGTAACCATCCGGCGGGCTTCTGGGGGTGCGCCCATCGTTATCGTCGTTCATCCGGCCCTCGATAACATCTGTGGCAAAATCACCCGAGGAGGGGGGTTGCACATGTCGTAACAACCCGATTATTCCCTTGTTCTGTACCGCTTCTTTTGACAGTCGACGCTCTTCGGCGTCATGCCTTGTATCCGGGACGGGCCTCCGCAATTGAGATTATGCGCGTTCGTCGATAGGTTGTAGGCGCATCAAGGTGCTTGATTTTACGGAAGGGTCATTGCAAACGGCATAATTCAGCCCGCTCGTGTTCTGAAATCGAATATTCTAGCCGCTTGTAGCGTCTTCGCACATCACGCAGGGGTGGCAAGGCACAGTATTGTGCCATGTACTCAGTCGATCGACTATCGAATTAGTTTTCTCGGCGCGCATATATCCAGAGGCTTTCTCGAGTGAGACTGGGAAGGCACCTGCACGCCCGATCGACCATTTCCCGTGTCGACAGAGCATCCATCAGCGGCGCCGGAAAGTAAGTTTGAGCTATTGCTCATGAAGAGGGTCTGGATGTCATACTCAATTTGATTGCCTCATCGATCAGTGCGGACGTTACTGATAGGTCTGCATGTCTCAACACTAACCGCCAACGCAATGTTAATGTACGATCAAAATATTACCTTCTTCCTGTCATCCAATTGTACGCTCTGGATTCTCCCACCAGACTCTCCGCATTTCAAGGAATACCAGTGTCCCGCTGTTTGCAATAAGGGAGCATTCCTATGATCGGCTCGCGTTTTCAAGCTAATAGACGAGGTTGGAGCGAGGATAGAGTCGCATCGAAGGATGCAACGTCCCAGCAGGGCTATGAACCAAGCCAAATTCAGCTCGGCATGGGAGCATTATCTCGAAGGTGTGAAGGCAATGTTCACGATAGTGCTCTCGGATTCTTCAATACCCCATTATATCATGTTTACTGCACGTCTCCGATAGATGTATCTCCGTATGTCACAGCTGGAGCAAGAGGCTTAGGAGGAACGATTGTCATTGTTGTGCAAATAATTCGCTGGATTCGACAAAGCACCACTGTGAGCGTTTCACGAGAATAGGCTCAAGAGACAATAGTGATGTCATGAAAAATCTATGGCCTGTTTTGAGCGGTGAAAACGAAAGTCGTTGCTGCTCTTGGGGTGAGGATAAGTTAAAATCGGCGCCGTCGGAGTGGCGCTCGATGACATTAGACGTGGATGCACCTTGCGCGGTAAGGCCGCGTGGCTAAAGTCACTCTCAGTAAAAACGGAATTCAAGTGATTGTCAAGCTCGGTCAAAAATTGGTATTTTGTCATGTATCCGTCAAGAAAGTGGCGCAAAAAGTCATACACAAGTCATAAACTACCAAAATTGGACATGACTTTCACATGACCTCTGCACTGCTTTCATGACGGATACATGACAAAATACACCAATTTTTTGACTGGGCATGACGTTCACTTGAACTCCGTTTTTACTGAGGGTCACATGCAACTAGCTGCTCGGATGCTTGACCTCTTGAGTTCAGCGAGGTTCCGCATCTTCATAGACAGTCCACACCCACATGCCGTCGAATCAGACTCCTGAAACATCTTTGCCTTCTGGGGGACAAGTGAAGCTTTGCGATCTGAAAAAGGTCGCTTTTGAGACCAGGTGAGGATCCTGATCTGTAGTTGAGACTATCGCGATGTTGATCTGGCCGTCCCACACAGTGCAATTGACTACTGGAGTCATTTTTTGCGAATTAGACTCGATTCGCTCTCTGATTTCAGCGCCACTGCATCCGCAGGTGACTTGAACGTCCTCAAGGCCTTTGATGACGAAGTAGTCTATCTGCGCACTGCAATACGCGCCATCCATGCGCGGCGCAATCACACAATCCCCACATGCCGCTTACCACCAGAGATCCTGGATAATATATACTCTTTTCGGGTGGTAGTTGATTTGCCGCGGAAACAGAACCTGGGATGGATCAAAGTCTCACATGTGTGCAGTTACTGGAGAGATGTCGCTCTCGAGAACACAAACTTGTGAACAAAAATCAACCTTGATCTCGGCAGAGAATGGGTCTCGGAAATGTCTACGCGTGCAAAGCAGGCATCTCTTGTTTTCAAGAGCTCCTGCATGGAAAGCTCTGTCCAATTAATCACGGCCCATCTGCCTCGCGCGAGGGTGATCACTCTATCTGGCATTGTGGACCCCTTTCATAGTTTACAGCCCATTGATGCTCCTGCTCAGATAGTGGAGCATGTTGAGCTCTCAGTACGGGCTGAAGACAATTGTATCACAGAGCTTCCGGAAAACCTGTTCGCTAATCATGCCCCCCTCTTGCGTACTGCTTATTTTTCTGGGTTAGCGATCCCTTAGTCCTCCACAGTCTTTCATAATTTGACCAGCCTCAAGGTGTATGGAAATTCTGCCGAGAACTCTTCGATGCCACCATATGATACTTTTTTCGACGCATTGTCCGAAATGTGTTATCTGGAGACACTTTTGATCTACGACGCCCTCCCTCCCCTTTCTGCTTCGACATCTGGTCAGCCACGAAATACAATCGCACTCTCTCATCTTTCGAACTTGACTTTGGGAGGAGTCTGGTCGTGTTGTATGACATTCCTGGAAATTGTGGAATTTCCACCCCTTTCTGAATTGTTTCTCTCTTGTGACTGCGAAGAAGAGGAGCTTTCTACTCGCTTTCTGCTTCCCGTCCTTGAGAAACAAGGCGGGAAACCGGGACTTGTGCCCCCTCTTCGGACCATTCAGATGAATCGCCCTCCATCCTCAGGGTATATATTTTTCCATGGCTGGCGGCATTGTGATCCTCGTCACTCTTCCGAAGGAGCCACGATTCCAGTTACTTTGAGACTTTATAATAGCTGTCCGCAATGGCAGATCGAATGTGACATATTAGGAGCTTTTTTCACCCAAGAGACGGTGAATCTCTTTATCGATGCAGACCCTCTTTGGGACTTGGCGATGTTTCGCAGTGTAGTTGGACGTGCTCAGTCTGAAGCGCATCTCCCTCTCTAAGTCCATTCTACGACCATTTTGCATTGCTATGAAGAAGGACATGGATACCACAGCTCCAGAGCAGACTCCAGCCGAGTCGTACAGCGAGCATATTCCTTTCCCCAGCCTTAAGGTCATCCATTCACACCCCTTGCGAGTCTCAAACGTGTCCAAACTAGATCGCACTGTAGGTTTCTTGACCCGTGTGCTCAGAAAGCGCACTACATTGCGGGCTCCTATTCGACAGATCGACATTATCCAACCGGATCTGCCGGAAAAGTGGATGGAAGAGCTGAGAGCTGTTGTGCCCAACGTTACTTGGCGTGGAGGACGAGCCGCAGACCGCTTCAAATTCAAGTCGGAATTGTTCGACGCGATCTCCCAGAGAGGCACTAAATGCCAATCAGTTGGTGCAGAGAACCGAGACGTGACTTAAGGGGACAAATCTGTGTCCGCCTTGTGGTTTTATGCCACCGCGTCAGTCGGTGTTTCATAAAGGAAACGGTGTACTTTTTTTTTTTGATCTCAGAAAAGATTACGATTTAATTCAAACGAACATCGGGGTCAGATAAAATCCCAGCGAGTGCGAAGTGAATGGGATCATTGAATTTGAAATCTGCGAAAGAAATCAAGCAGAGATACCAGTACCTGGCATACTTTGCAGAGGGTTTGATCCGGGAAGATCCACACGGTTCGAGCTGGAATGTCATTCAATAGCGATGTTAGTGTCATACACATTATCAACGAAAAAATCTCGACAAGTCGGGTCGTAAGGAGAGCATATGGCTTGACTTGGATCGCGGGATGTCACTAAATGAAGGATGTCTAGGGAGGTCAGGGGTTGTGAGAGCGATGAGAAAGGTATGCAGAAGGGATAACTCAGAGGGGGCGCAGGTTGAGGATCGCATCTCTTCCAAGATCGTCCTTCGCTCGGTCAGGCAGCTCGTCGTGAGCGTGGGGCGAATTGATGTGGAGGGGAGCACAAACGAAGGCGCGAGTCGTCGTAAGGTGGCTTTGACTTCTCGGAGAACACCGCCGCGCGCCACTCATACTCACAGGAATATTGTCCCTGCGAAACTTTTTCATAGACCGAAGTCACATCATGCCTTTACCAGCAAAGACTCTGTATGAGAGCGAACGGGATACATAGGTCAGTAGGGGAGAAATGGATATTGAGAGTCCTCGAGTTCAGAAGGTGCAATATCTTGTCTCTCCTACCTTGGAACCAAACAGCTTCAATGACGCCCACTCCCAATTCTCCAATGAAGGCGAATAGCACAACAACGTCGCGATAGCATTTATTGCTTCCAAATCGAAATAGCTAGCAGTGGGTAGATTTTAGTTCTGCTTTCACGAGTGATTGCCAAATAATGGACCAGATTCATGATGAGACTCGCAGATACATCGTCCGGCCCCGCAGCAAATCTTTGGTCGTCCTTCCAGAGCCGACCTCGTTGACAGACAGAGCCTCAAGCGTGTACTTCAACGTTTACGCGATCGCAAGACAGATAGCATGTCGTTCAGGTGCACAAAGAAGCCGGCGTACGTCATTTGATGCAGTGCAGTGAGCGCAGTGAAGAGGATCGATGGACCGTCGTTGCGGGGAAGGGTGACAAGAAGGAAGTTCTGCGTTATGGCATGTGAGAACTGTGGATGAAAGAGCAAGCGTACAAAAAGCGGCATCGCCAATGTATACCGGGCGAAAATGTCTGCCTCGTTCTCAACAACGGCAACGCCAACCTCCATCACTGACATCGTCTCGCACATCTAGCCTTCGAACGGCATGAATGGAGTGGACAGAGTTCCATACACTGAGCTCGATGCTGCTGCAGTGCAGGCGTCGATAGTCTTGTCAGCCGCAATGGATGAAATCAGCAAATAATTGAGGAAAGATTTACTCCGCCTAGTCTAGTTCATTGTTGAAGGTAGCCGTATGCCAGCAGGGCTCGCGTTCGAAGGACAATATGAGAAGGAATAGATCGATATTTTATGAAAAAAGCGCTGGAGTGAACAGACTGTACAACAACCGTAAATCCGTGATAAGTTGCGTGTGATGAACCTCGTGGGAGATGGGCTTATAGACCCCTCGTCGCTGAGGTGCCGTCGTGGTCGACGATGAGCGACCAGGCCGCATGACGGCTTACATAACGATCGGCTCTCGATCCGTTGTGCATTGTCGCGCAATGCCGGGCTGGACGACGTCGACCACGAGCAGAGTCCTGCAAGAAAACAGAGCGAGTCAGTTTCCAACCGAATCGATCCGAGCGCCAACTGTTGGCCAAAAACAACGAAGGTGGTAAGGAAAGGCGAAGGCATCGATGGCGTGCGCCGCGAAACAAAAGCGAGCGAAGGGAAAAGAAAAACGAACGGTACGCACCTTCAGCTCTATCCACTGAGCAGGCCATCTCCTATGCCCTCCATGCCCCCTCCGCCGCCCTCTGGACCATCGTGTCTCGGGCCCTGCGAGGGACCGTCTTCGCCGCTATGTTTCCTGCCCCTGTTTGGGCAGTGCTCTCGCTTGTGGCGATGGACTTCATCTTTACGCACAAAAAGAGCTGGGCAGTCGCCGCATGCAAATTCGCGCTGTCCTCCATGGCGCAGAGTCGCCTTGTGTCGGGGCATGTCGTACGGGCACGACAGCCGCTTCCTGCACCCGTCGGTGCCGTCGCAGACATGAGGGTCTGCCCTCTTGCGCTTTCGCGCGCCTCTCTGTTCCTCCCCAGGTGTCGATGTCCAGGGCCCTCCTATGGACTGCAGTACAGCCTCGGGGACTGGATCACTTGTGGGGTTTTCCACCCTGTAGGTGGACGTCGTCGATGTCAGTGTAGTCTGTTGGGGGGCGCTGCCATGCGCCTGTGGATGGACCACAAGCATCTGGCCTCGCTCTCCCGCCGTCTCTCTCTCCCTCTCCGCATAGTCGCTTGGCAGCTTGACCGAAAATCGGCCATACCCCGCGATCGGGGGCATGCGCGGCCTCTTGACTATACGCCTCCCCGCCGTCGCGCCGCTCGCTCCCTGACTCGCTCCCTCCTCCCTCCCATCTCTCCCCTCCCCATTTTTCGCCTTCTTCTGCCTTGGCTCCTCCTCCACATGCACGTGGTGCTCCAGCAGCACCGGCTCCGAGGCGGTCTCTGGCGACGGCGGCAGCTCTGGGACAAGCTCCGGGGCCTCCTCGACGAGCACCTGCGGAGGCACCTCGGCCAACACCCGAAGGACGGTGTCGCGCGGTGCCTCCACTATATCTCGCGCCATCTCGCTCCATGGACCATGGATCGGCTGGACGGCGCCCAGCAGCGAGGAGAAGGGTGCCGTGCGGTCTTGGGCGGGTACGTGTGGCGCGATGGGGGTTGGAAACTCGAGGTAGGTCCCATGGAGCGAGCGATATGGGAGTGGCACGTTAGGGCTCGGGTATCTACGGGTGATGTAGGCGTGAGGCGACAGCTGTACGGAAGGGTAGGTATCCTCATCCTAAGAATACAGAACAATGAGTGGCGTGTTGAAAGTCCGAAGCTAAGTTTCAGACTTACCGACTCGTCTGTGTCACCGCTCTCACCGTGTGTCTCGTCGACATCGTGTTGGGAGCACGACGGACCTGCGCCAGGTGCTGCGGATCGATTCGCATTAACATATAGCAAAATCCTGACGTGATATGCAAATATACAACGCACTGAAAAGCTCGTCCTCAAACGAGTCGTCGCCGTAGTAGTAGGACATGTTGGTATCTTAATGGCGCTGTTGTGGAGGAGAGGCGGGTGACACCTAGTGGTACAGTGAACGGTTGACTTTTTACCTTCGGCTCTCTGATTTTATTATCGAAGAAGCGCCCACTGCCTTCTCAAGAAATCTTCCCAAGGAACGCCTCCGACGCCGGTGTGATGCCTCCCTTCGCATGCTGGAATTAGGCTCCGACCCAAGCCCAAGGTGGGTCCATTGTTCGCATCACGCAGGTTGTTCATCATTTCTCTGTTCGGCCGTGTCCTCTCTTTCAGCGACAGGCGGACAATTTTAATTTTCTCTGCCTCTTTCCATCAATTCTGTAAGACGGAACGTGTCCAGGCTGTGAACTCCCGGCAGGCTTCTGGGGGTGCGTCCATCGTTATCGTCGTTTATCCGGCCCTCGATAATATCTGTGGCAAAGTCACGCGAGGAGCGGGGTTGCACATGTCGTAACAACCCGCTTATTCCTTTGTTCTGCACAGCTTCTTCTGATTGTCGACTCCCGTCAGCGCCATGCCTTGTATCTGGCACGAGTCGCCGCAGTTGAAATTATGCACCCTTGTCGATAGGTTGTAGACGCATCAGGGTGCTTGAATTTACTGGTGGTCCCATCGCAAACGGCATAATGCAGCCCGCGAGTGGTCTGGAATCGAATATTCTAGTCGCTTATGGTGTCTTCGCACAACATGCAGGGGTAGAAAGGCACACTATTTTGCCATCCTTCATTTCATCGCTTTTTTGAAGACAGTGGATCGTTCTAGCCTAACTAGTTCATTCAGCGTGCTCAGGATTTCCCGTATGGGCAAGTGCAGGCTGGTCGGAATGTCAGGACGAGGGTCTAAGGATGGTTTGATCTTGTTGGAGCGTGACTTGCGATAACTCCGGTGCGAATGTGGAGGCGCTCAGTGATCAATTAACAAGCGGGATGACTGATTTTGTGGGCAATATAGGGCCTGCATCCTCCTCGTTGTATGTGACTTGAGCATCGTGGGTATCCATAGAACAGGCACAGCCAACATCTAGTGTGTTCGTGTCGGACTCATGTACTCAGTGAACCGACTATCAAATCGGCCTCTCGGCGCGTACACATCCAAAGGCTTGCTCGAGTGGGGATGCGCATGGATCCGTGCAATTGTGCGACTATTCGCGTCGAGAGAGAATTCATGGGACTTAGGTAGCAGGCTTAAGCCATTGTTTATGAGAAGAAGGTCTGTACGTCGTACTCGACTTCATCGCCTCATCGATAAAAGCGGTCAGATGCTGCACGCTGCAGTACGTTCTGCTGACGCAAGGGAATCGTGCGATCAGAATGTCGTCTTCTCCCTTCCATACGATCCCAACATGTCCTTCCTGAAGGCCGAACGCTTCGGACCTTTCCAACAGACTCTGTGAATGTCAAGGAACTCCCGATGTCCCACTGCTTGCTACTAATGCGCGGCTCCTGCCATTCTCTGCACTTCTATGTTATAGATGTCTCTATTCGGAAGATATTTCTGCAAGACATAGTTGATGTACGAGGGTAGGGCGAGGTTACTATCCGCTCAGAGGTTTCGACGTTTCAGCAGAGCCAGATAATGTGTCTTTATCCAGGGCTGCTTTACACCCCGTCGACTGCATATTCCCGATGGCTGTAATGCCATATGCCACTCGTTTACTGATGCACACCTGGCTCCACGGATGGACAACTGCTGTTGTTTGCGTGCACGAATTCTGAGCGGCATTTTTTTTCTAGGCTCAGAAGAGACATCGTCTTACAGAGGTACAAGGAAGATGCTTAGGGAGAAACGATATCGTCGTGCAGCGATAGTAGTAGTTTGGCTAGTAATTTGCTGGAGCCGAGAAAGCATCGTTGTAACCATTCCACGGAAATAGATTTAAGAGATATTATTGATGTCATGGATTGTTTTGAGCGATGAAAAAGACGTCGCTGCTTTTGAAGCCTTGAGGCCTGAGGTGTATGTACGAGGACAAGTTGAAGTTGGCACCGCTGGAGTGGCGCCCGGTGATGGCTTTGGACGTGGGTGCGGATGCCGTAAGCGCCTCTTTACTTTGCACAGCACACGCTAGCACACGTGGCTATATCCCGGATGCTCGAATGCTCGAATGCTCGCCCGCTTCCGGCGCATGCAAGAGAGATGCGACAAAGAACAAGAGCGCAAGACTAGTCAGGCGAGGGCCAGGAGACAAGACCAAGATATATTTCGAGAGATACACTATTACAGAGCTACAGTACATCACCTGAGCTGCCAGGAGGCTCCTAGAGAACCTAGATCTTGCTATCGTATATCGAGACAGTTGAGAAACTATCGCTCAATCGACATCTGTGGGAACGGAATGCGGATCATAAAACTCACGGACGATTGTCATCCCCTCATTGACGACCCCATCTCTTGCAGGGTCGTCCTGCGCAAGTGAAGTCGGCGTCGTGGCCTGAAGACGTAAAGCTTTTCATTGATCGAGATCTTGAAGCAGACGTGACCAGAGATGCTGAAGAAGTCACCTAGATAGACTAGTGCTAAAGAAACTACAGACGAACGAGCAAACTGGCAAGAAGAGAACATAAGCAGAGCGAGACGAGCGAGCAACACAGAGCAAAGAGCCACATACAATGTAGGCAAGAGAGAACAATTGTAGAGACACGATATCAGCACACTGTCGGCCAGAGATCTAGAGAAAAACGGAGGACACAGTTAGAGACTCAAGATCAGCTCGCCAAAATGCCTGAGGTGGATGTCACAGAAGATCGTTGGTTGTTTCGCCTAGTGAACTTGAGGTCGTGCTTCAAGGAAATCGTCCCAATGATTACCCAGTGTTGGGCTCCGACTGTGCGGTGTACTTGTTGTGACACTTCAAACTTGAGGTGAGGACAAAAGAATTAAACAGCCGGATGGAGACGTACCTGTAAATGTAAGACGTGTGGGCGACTCAGAATCTGTGACAACGAAAGGAGGAATGAAGGACTCACCGGGGACTGACGCCCCCTAACTGGCGATCCGATCTCTTGCAGCTTAAGGTAGGTGTGTGACGGTACGCGACCTAAGCAATAAAATGGTTAGGTGTACTTACACTGACAAGATATTCGTGACCAAGGATGGGGTGAGAAGGTCGGCGAGATACACCAGAAAAGAACAATAAGCAAGAAAGAGATAAACATCACAGACCGAGACCGTCGCCGAGATAGACCAGGGCCGCCGAGTATGAAAGAAGGCCAGAGAAGATAGACAAGCAAGGAGACAAGACTGAGATAAACGAGAAAAGATTGAGATGAGAAGCCAGAAATCAAGAGCAAAGCCACAGCGAGAGAAGGAGACAGCGAGAACGAAGTCGAACAGAGCGAGGGAGCCAGGGCGAGCAGAAAAGACACAGCCAGGAGACAGCACAGAAAACACAGAGCGACCAGAGAACACAGCGAGGAGCGAGTAGACCACAGCCAAGGACAATAAAGCGCAGCAAATAATAATAAGAGACGAAAACCACCAGTGAGAAGACGAGCAAGAGGACAAGACCCAGACACGTTCCAGAGATACCAGCAACCAGACGTCGAAGCCACCTCCAGAGAACGATACAGCCCAATGCCACAGACCAAAGCCACAGATCCAAGAGTAGTGTCGCCAGAAGATACAGAGCAGCCAAGGAACTTGCTGTCGTGCTTGAAGGCGATCGTGCCTGCTAGTGCGTCGTTGAGCATCAATGTATACGAACAGTAGTCAAAAACGCGTACCTATGAGCCTGACGTCGTGCTTGAGGCGATCGTGCCAAAGGATACGGGATTGGGCCTCAACTGTGCGGTGGACGTGGGGTGGCAATGAATACTTGAAGTGAGGACGAAAGATATGATGAACAGCCAGATGGAGACGTACCTGGAAATGTAAGACGTATGGGCGACTCAGTATTTGCGACAGTGGAAAAAGGTATGAAAGACTCACCGGGGGCTGTCACCCCCTAACTGACGGCGCTAATTCTTGTAGCTTGAAGTAGGCATGTGTTGCGGTGCGGGACCTAAGCGATAGAATAGTTAGGTGTACTTACATTGTTAAACAAGGGAGCGAGAGACACGAGAGAGGCCGAGACCGTCGCCGAGATAGACCAGGGCCGCCGAGTATGAAGGAAGGCCAGACAAGATAGACGAGGAAGGAGACGAGACTGAGATAAACGAGCAAAGATTGAGATGAGAAGCCAGAGACCAAGAGCAAAGCCACAGCGAGAGGAGACAGCGAGGACCAAGACAGACAGAGCGAGAAAGACAGAGTGAGCAGAAAAAAAACACAGCCAGGAGAGAAGACAGAGCAAGGATAAAGAGGAGAGCGAGGAGCAAGTAAGACAGAGCGAGCACACCAGATCCAGGAGACAGCCAAGAGAGACGAGGATACAGAGCGACCAGGGAACATAGAGAGACCAGAGAAGATAGCAAGAAGCGAGCAGACCACAGCCAAGGACATCAAATCACAGCGAATAATAACAAGAAACGAGAACTATCAGGGGGGGAAATAGCAAGAGAACGAGCAAGACGAGAAAGACAGAACCCAGACACGTTGAAGAGACACACCAGCAACCAGACGTCGAAGCCACCTCCAGAGAACGATACAGCCCAATGCCACAGACCAAAGCCACAGATCCCAGAGTAGTGTCGCCAGAAGATACAACGCGGCCAGTGAACTTGCTGTCGTGCTTGAAGGCGATCGTGCCTGCGAATGCGCCGTTGAGCATCAATGTATACGAACAGTGGTCAAAAACGCGTACCTATGAGCTTGACGTCGTGCTTGAGGCGATCGTGCCTAATAACCTAGAGCGCGTCGAAGTTCAATGGGAAAAGTGGCGGACGGCATGGATGAAATGTACCTGTACAGATGAAGGAGGGCGCAGCGAGGATAGTAAGTAACGAAGTGCATGAGAGAGGACAAGGGGGTGGTGGTGGTGGGAAGGAAGAGAGTGTGAGGGAAAGAAAGAGGGGAGAACGGCGAGGCTTTATAGAGCTGGGGGTCACCAATGTCGCTTTGGCACCACGCATCGGTTAACGCTTGGACCTCCGCTGCCACCAACATTCGACACACTACACAGCAAATGCCACGCTTCTTCCAGCCACCTCGTGCTCGGAGCGTGCGATCGGGTAAGGGTTATTGATCACGGTTATTCCGGCACGAGGTGCCGTAAGGGAGTGGTAAGGGTTGCTTTGTTCCTCTTACGCGATACGCCACTCATGGTCGCAGCAATGTTGTACCTGCGATACTTGTTTTCAGAATCCTAAATGTCATCAGCCTTTACCAGCAAAATTTTATACAAGACGGGACGGAATACATGCATCAGTAGAGGAGAGTCCTCGAGTTTACATGGTGCATCATCTCGTCTCTCGCACCTTGAACCAAACAATTCCAATAACGCTCACTCCGAAGCCTGCGATGAAGGCGAATAGTACAAGCACATCCCGATAGTAATTATTACTGCCAAATCCAAACAGCTATCAGGGGATAAAATCAAAATCAATTCTCCTTCCACAAGTCATTGTCTAACAACGCACCAAATTCATGATGAGACTCGCAGATACATCGACCGGCACGCCTTGCAGCGTATCTTTGATCATTAGTCCAGAGCCAACTTCGTTGACGGACAGAGCCTCGAGCGTGTACTTCAGAGGGCAGAGCCATTGCAACCATCGCAAGACAGGCGGGATATCGTTCAGGTGCACAAAGAAGCCGGCGTACGTCATTTGATACAGTGCAGTGAGCGCACTAAGGAGGATCGCTAGACCGCCGTTTCGAAAAAGGGTGGCAAGAAGGAAGTTCTGCGCAGCAGCAAGTGAGAATTTGGTCGATGACAACAAGAAACAGCAAACTTACGAAGAGCGTCATGGCTAGTGTATACAGGACGAGGATGAATAGGAACTTGAAGAAATTGGCTGGATGAGGCGCCAGTCCCGCCATCCAATACGTGCTACCGTGACAAACATAGGATCGTGAGTAACTGTATGGGACTGCACTGCTGAAACCCGCTAAATACCGAATGTACACTCACACAGATGATACAATAATCGTGGGTATGATACGAAGTGGTAACACATCAAAAACAAATCTGGAGAGTAACCACGCTGTTGGACTATGAACCAAGAGTGGTCAGCACTGAGTTTGGAACATTTATGAAAATAGTAACCGTGCACACACATACCTGTAGTAAGAGCTGGACCTCTCCCTCAGAAACAATGGGCGGATTTCCACTACGTTGTACAATGCGCTCAACGACGAAAATGCGATCAGCGCTCCCTATACGATCAGCGGCACATTAGTACGTTATCTAGAAAGGATTGCGGCCTGCTCGTACCAGGAAAAACAGACATCCGACTCTAGACTGAAAGCCAGCAATAGTCTCGTTTGTCTTATAGTACAGACCGCCTGTAACGCAGGCAATCAGAGTTTCACTCTAGACTGACGCCAAAAATCCAATGAAAGTAGAAACCTACCACAAAATACACCTAGCACTGAAGAAACACCCACATGGGCAAAGAACAACGTCTTGTCTCTATGTTCCATAACGACGAAGCTCGTACGTCAGCTCGTTCTTCAAGAAGATGATGGGGAAGGATGTTACCTTCTCAGATTCTTCCATTCCCTCCCAGATAAGACTTCTATCTGCGTCAAGAATGTTGCTGCGTATTCTTGTCCTTTGAAGGCCGCCTTCCATCCTTTGAGCCCGCCTACCACTTGGCGAGCACTCCCAATTTCAACATCTCCAGATGCATTACCCTGTCCTACCTTCTCCTCATTTGCTGGTACACTGCTTCCACTCACATTCTCATTATTTGTGATACCCCGACTCTGTTGAACAATTTGGTCAGGCGGATTGCTTGCGATCTCCAGTAGATGATCCGCGACGTTGTAGCCTTCACGATACGCGATACCCTGTGCGGAGAAGTACTCTGAAGGGGCAAAGGACCCAGGACCACAATATAGAGCGTGTCCATGAGAGAGAAGCAAAATCTTGTCAAACGTTTGGTAAAGCTGAGAACTGCGCATGATAGATCCGCCAACCGGTCATGAGATTTTTCAGTAGAAAGAAAATCCTGGAGAAAACGTACCTCGGCTGATGGATCGAAGCAATGACAGCAGTTGGGTTCTCTGAGTCTTGCGCGACTGCATGGAGGACACTGGCCACTTTGGACGCAGACACCGAATCCAGTCCTACGCAGATGATTCAGTAGTAATTCTTAAGTATCGTAGAAAGATAGCGCTCACCAGACGTAGGCTCGTCTAATATCAGCACGTCTGGACTGGCCACCAACTCCAACCCAATGCTGACCCTCCGCATCTCACCACCGCTTATCCCCCTCCCTTCACCTCCGCCCGCGCTCCGCCCACCAATACGGACGTTCCTAATACGTGACAGCCCGAGCTGCTCCACTACATCCTCTACCCGCTGTGTTTTCTCTGCATCAGAGACGTAGTCGGGAAGACGCAGTCGAGCGGCGAAGAGGAGAGATTCGAAAACGGTGAGGGTCGAGGGAAGGACATCTTGTTGTGGTACGAAGCCGATGTGGAGGTCACGTTTGAGTGAGGCAGACTCTGCTTGGGGGAATCGGACGAGACCAGTCGTAATCCCGGACTTGTTCTTGTTTGCTAGAATCTCTACAAGCGTCGTTTTACCAGCGCCTAGGAGCGCCTAGATTAGATATCTCAAATATGCGAGTGTCTCCAAGAAAGGGACGCACCGCTTGGACCGAGGATGCCCATCATCTGTCCTGGCTCGACAACCCCGCTCACCCTATCTAACACAGCTTTCTCTGCATTGCGATCTATCGCATGCCGTCTATAGCGCAGCCCAGCGAGCCAACTTTTCCCTGCAGTCCCTGGCACAATATAACTGACATCCTTCCATTCCACAGCGACACCCCCATGTCGCTTCTCCTTCACATATCCCTCCCCGCCCCTCCTTACCTGCCTCCGACTCCACCACCCGATCAGCAGCCCCAACAATGCGACAGCCACCAACACACCTACGACAGCCAGTCCTGCAATAACGCCTCCACTCAGCTGTTTTCCTCCACCTCCACCCTGCGTCACACCCTCTCCCGCGTCGGTATCGATAACGCCCTGCCGAACGCACTCGCCGAACGCACAGCCGCTCAGAGACAGCCCCTGCGACCCAAACAGTTGATTCAAGATAGTCTGCTGGAACGAGCACGCGGCAGTATTGTTCTGGCTCGCGAGCGCCCCACATGATATGTCGAGGTCCCCGCTGAGGCCGTCGATCGTCGACGTGAGATTCGTGAGCGGGACCGCGCCACAAAATGTTGTGTTCGGGCGACACGTGCACGCGAGGTCATGGCATTGCCAGGACGAGGTCCCGTCACCTGGAGCGTCCTGCGTACACGAACTTGCAGTGCAGTAGAACTGCTCGACGCCGGCGTACCAAAGCTGGGCGTAGACAGTCCCAGAGACGCCGAATGAGGTGGCGTTGGGCTGAGGTGTGAGAGTCTCGTTCAGGGTACGGAGGATGGTCAAGGTGGACGAAAGAGGGTATATTGCTTGAAGAGTCGGGTTCTGTGTGACGCGTGAGGCCTTGAGGCGCGAACCAACATTATAGACACATATACGTACGATTACGCTGCAGCTCATCTCGCCCGCCGCCCATACTTTGGGAGAAGTGTTACAAGTCAGTGTTTCGTTTAGTCCCGTTGAATCTCCGAGCCCAGAGCCAGTAGATGAGGTGTTGCCCCCGGCGGCGGTGAATGCACTCTGGCAGCTGGTCGAGCTCTGGCAAACATTGCATCCTGTTCCAGTCCATCCGGATTCACAAGAGCATCCAGAAGAAGTGAGGTTTCCGAAGGATATCGCAGATGAGCCTTGGATCAGTGAACGCTGACCGCCTTGGAAGATATCCCCGCCGCAGGCAGGCGACGAACACGTCGGGCCGCCGAATCCTGGAGGACAAACGCACGAGGAGGCGTTAGCTGAGACACCATAATTCTCGCATGAGACCTGTGCGTTCCCAGGCAAGACAAACGCGAGAACGAAAACAAAAGACGTTATCACGGCCTTGGTCATAACACGCTGAGGAAACGACATGCGTTCCGTCGACGACAGAACCAGGATGATCTGAGTGAAAGAGAAGGACGCTGGCTTTAAGTAAGTGGAGGATCAGGAAGGGCGCAGCTCTGCAATTCCGAGCTATACAACTGCTATACAGGAGCGTGCCCAATGTCGTTCGATTTCATACGCCTGCCCAATTATAGCTACGAAAACCGTGAGTCAAATGGAGACATGCAGTGTGGAAACAAGCCCTTCTGAAGGCCCAATACGTCGAGAATGACGGGCAAAGGCAGCAAAACCTTGAATTGTGTCGTCTGCTAACAACAGCAATAATCAACGGCTTGCTCGGTCCCTCGGAGTCGACGCTTGCGGGAGCACGTGGCAAAGCAAATTGGTTCCTCTGCTCGTCATCCCACCACCACCACACCGCGCGAGTTTGAGGCACTGTGCTCTCTTGTGCTCTCTGAAGGGTCTTATCCCTTGGTTGTCAGTACTGGTAAAACGCTGTGGAGAGTTTTAAGCTGTCTTAAGAGCTCATCTGGTTCACCGCCAGAATTCGCTCATCCCCCGGACATAACCTCGGACAACCTCGGAAGCCTCAGTCAGCAACTCTTTGGGCTGCTTTTACTCATCCTTCCATTTGCTCTATTCCCTCCTATAATCCATTCTCTATACTAGACTCACACTGCTTGCTGCTATGTTTGAAAAGGTATCTTGGCACGCTATTAACTCATTTCCATATTCCGCGGACACTCACGATAGCGGCTTCTGCAGATCACTTCCCTCTGGGCTACCGCACCTGCACCTTCAAAGCCATTCGATCCCACAGATCCCAAGCAAAATCCTCTAAACCCTCAAGGACTCAAATCGTAAGTTCCGTCCCTCCCCGAACTCCAAACGCGACTGCACCAACTTCGAACACCTACCCTATTGCTCCTATACACTTCTCGACCACCTATCCATTTAAACGTGCGTCTCACCCCAAATACCTATTTTATAGATGTTGCGCGTGCCCACAGACCAAATCCGCCCGTGACGACTGCTTCCTCAAGTTCGACTCGTCCGAAGCCGACGAGAAGTGCAAGGATTTGGTGCAGCAGCACCTCGCGTGCATGCGCGGACTTGGCTTCAAGATTTAGATTGGAGGACCGTATCATCTGTCGCATTTTCATATATTGGTTCGGACCCCCTTGCACGAGCATATCTGTTGTATCCATCCTCTTTTGAGCTTAATCCCACCTCACAGTCTCACACATCGTTTGCGCGCCAGCTGACAGCTGCACATCCCGCGTCCTAGAACTATCAAACGCCTTTACAAGCCAAGTATACCGTCCTCATATATAGTCAAGGTTTCCACCCGATTTCTTGCCAACTCTGTATGATCATAAAGGACATCACGTGATGCTCTCTATTGTAGCGGAGGTCAACACATACTGCGCTTAAGCTGGACCAGCTGCACAGCGGGAGTCATCTGGATGCACGGCCCCGGATGATTCATAAGACAAGGGCCACGTCGAGAGAGCACGACAACCGCTCTTGACCTCGAACCCCCATCATCTCCACCAGAGTTCCCCACTTCCCCAAGCTCCCTATCTTTTTTTTATCTTGACCTTTGAGATTATATCGGAATGGCTCGTACCAAGGTACGTTTCCAGTGACATGTTTATGGCTCAGAGAAATGGTCGTGCACAAGTTTGGTTTGTACTCGGGTGGCGTGCGAGAGAGCCGAACCCTCAGAATTTTTTCTTCCTCCCTTTCTTGCCCTCTGCACATCACCCGTCCCACACATATCTCCGAGACTAGCGCCTTATCCTGTCATCACGCACATACCCTCAATGCCTCCCACTCCCTGCGTGCGCATTCATTTCTGACAATTTCCTTATTTAGCAAACCGCGCGCAAGTCCACTGGCGGCAAGGCACCACGCAAGCAGCTCGCGACGAAGTACACGCGCAAGGCGCCCCTCCCGAGCGTAAGTGTCCCCATCCGAACTAACTCCCCCCTCCCCCCCTCCACGTCCCCTGCGCATTTGACTGGCGCTCTTGGCTGCGGGCTTGCTCATGGGTTTGAGAGCAGGCTGCGACGGGAGGCGTGAAGAAGCCCCACAGGTTCCGCCCCGGCACTGTCGCACTGCGCGAGATCCGGCGGTACCAGAAATCGACAGAGCTCCTCATTCGGAAGCTGCCTTTCCAGCGGCTCGTTAGGGAGATCGCGCAGGACTTCAAGGTACGTTCGCTCTGCGCAGCGCGCACGCTGACATCCGCATGGATGTCGGTGCATTCGAGGCTGACATTGCCTTTTCTCAACTTTATTTTACTTTATCTGCAAGACGGATCTCCGTTTCCAGTCATCTGCTGTGCTAGCACTACAAGAAGCTAGCGAGGGTACGTCGCCCACATAATCCTGATAATGGCGATCAACTTACTCATTAATGTATCTAGCATACCTGGTCTCCCTCTTCGAGGATACTAACCTCGCTGCCATCCATGCCAAGCGTGTCACGATGTGCGTTTTTCACTGACGATAACCCTTAGGACCCCTTCTCTGACCTGCCCTACCTTTAGCCAACCTAAAGATCTCGCGCTCGCTCGACGTTTGAGGGGCGAACGACACACTTAGAGGACAGCTCTGTTGCTTGTTCGATGCTGTATGGTCTGGTGAATGGCATTAATGTACGGTGTATGTGTTCCACATTGCTGTGTTGTGCTTGTTCGCCTCCACGTATTGGTAAATGAGAGCGCAAAGAAGTTCTTCAAAATGCGTTCCGTTTCTAACTTTGCAAACTGCGTTGTGGCTTGCTCCGATGATCGTATGCTTTTTTTTATCTAGAGAAGCTCCCAGCTCCCCAGACGTACCATCTCAAGGAAGTAAGAATAACAACAAGACATCCTAGCATGATTCAAACCCCATTCATTCTGTGGATCTAGCAGTCCCGGGGACTCATTCCTGTCCCAAGTTGACGCGCCCAAAGATACCCTCCACACTCACACCCCCTTCTCCTGGCCCTCTGAACCCAATCTCATAGATCCCTGCGCCGCGAACCCTCACGAACTCCTCTTCCTCCTCGGCGCCCGCCGTTGGCGTGCTAATCACGAGGCGGGGATGCGAGACCTGTCCAGACGCACCGGCGTCAGGAACCGTCTCGAGCACCCAATACCGCTCCGTCGGCGTCACCGCAACGGGCGAGTCGCCGACGACGGTCGCGAGCTCCTTCGAGAGCTGCTCGAACGACGCAGGCGGGACGAGGAGGCGCAAATACGCGACGCTGCTGCTCCCATTGGCATGCTCCCGGTACGACTTGGGATCCACAGGGACCCTCAGACTGCGCGGCGTCAGGTCCTGGCAGAAGAACGGCAGCCTGCTCCCCCCGACCGCGTCCCACCACTCGCGTGGCGACGTTAGCCGCCACTCTAGCACCGCCCCGTCGCCGCGCGTCCGCCCGCCGTCCACCTCCAGCACATACTCCACGCCGCTGTGCTCGCGCTCCGCGCGCGCGTTGATGAATGTGGAGAGGGGTCCGTCGGCGGGTGGAACGCCGAGGAAGGAGTACGAGACCCACCCCGAGGGCTTGTTCGCCCACTGGTGCGCGTCTCGAGCTAAGCGCGCGGGCGTGCCTGGCTCGTAGTAGGACGCGGGGTGCACGAACCAGATGAGCTCAATGTACGCGCCGTCTGGGAGGATCTGTGATGGGGGAGGCGCATCGCGTCGGCGTCAGCGTGCGCCGCGCCGGTGAGAAAAAACGTAGATCGCGCACCACGAGCGCGTTGGCGGTGAGGCCGCCAGCGTGGACACCGCCAGGAATGATGCTAAAGCGTGTTGGAGATTAGCGTGGGCGCAGTCCATGGGTATCAGGGCCAGGACGGGACGCGGGGGGTCGACTCACTTGAAGCCGAGCTTCCTGTAGTGCTCCGACACTTCTTCGCCCGTCCCCGGGAGCGTGATGTGCACGATGTGATCAAGTATCTTCGTGGAGGGCATACTTGAAGGTCTGGATGTACCGAGTCTGATATGGAAGGCTGTGTTCCGTTACCGGATTTTCCAGCGAACAGGTGTCGGCAATGTGTCGGTTCACTTATATATGCTCATGTCGAATACTCGAGTCATACGCAGTCAGAAATTGCGCGATCTGGGCCTTTGCCGTGGGATCGGCAGAGATCGTGCCACATCTGGCGGCGGGCGGAGAGCGACCACAAAGCCCCACATCGTATCGTATAACTAACAAGTTGAGCTGTGGACTTCACACATCTGCCGACGGAGAGCGCCCAGGTCGGGGGACACCCGTGCGCTGTTGTGCTCGAATGGATGTGTTGGATCGGGAGAACGGCCCCCCGGTCTCGAAGGGCTAGAGATAACCGATGATACGAGAGTAGATGTGTTACAACATTTAGAATCAAACAACACAGCAACCAACATCGAGGAACATCGACACAGGCCGCAAAGCGGTAAGCCCGTTCGACCCGTGGGAAAGTGAGAAATATAGAACCATAAATCCGCAGAATAAAAACAAACTCCCGAACGGACGATGCTATCGAGGCCTTGAGGCTGTATATCATTCGTGTGTGTGTAGGTGGGTGTCGGCTCAGCCCTTCTGTATCAACTCAGAGACACGTACTTAAGGTAAGGTGCACGACTGGTGTACGCGACAGCTACCAGGGCAGAATATCGTACAGAAAAAGTGGGTGACATATCCGGAAAACACCCCGGGAGCGTAGCTGTCCTGTCCTGAAGAAAGCTATGCTACCCAGTGGGTGTGTACTGTTATGTGCGTGTCGAGGACTGTGCTCCATAGCATCTCGCAGTAAAGTCACACACACTGATTGGCTGCTGTGAGCTTACCTAAGTCAAGAAATAAACTTTAAAAATACCGCGAGCGTTCTTGCTCTCGTCCACCATCTCCACCCACCACCAGCCTTTGCCGCCCTCCACCGTGGTTCTTTCTTTGTCATTTCCGTCGACAATGCCGGAACTCGCTGTCGCTATACCCACATCTTCTTCATCACAGTCGTCCCCGTCATCGACGTCGCCACAGACGACTAATACCCTCGTCGTGACCTCGCTCCCGCCTCCGTTCTTCCATCCCCTTGTCTTGGAGGCGTTGCGTGACCACTTTGCGTCGTATGGCGAGATTTACGCGTGGGCGCCTTTGCGTACGTTCGCAAGGGTCATATTGGTTTTCAAGGACGACGCGGACGCAGAGATGGCGAAAGCACACTGCGATGGCCTGACCATCGAGGCCACTTCAGAGACGTGAGCGCGTTTTCTTTCCTCCCCACAAATATTTTTCGCGCGCTCATCCGACGTCTTCGTAGAGCAGAGTTCGTCATCCGCGTGTACCGCGGCGACCGCACGCATATCATCGAGGCCCCAGCGGAGGGCCCCGATCCCAAATACCTCCGCCCCCCTGACATCGAGAAGAACTTCCTTATCTCGCCTCCAGGCTCCCCGCCGGAAGGCTGGGAGCCGATCAAGGAGGACCCGCCGAATTCGGTTCCGCTCGCCGACGACCTCATTGCCGCGCTGCGCAAGCTACAGCTCGCTGAGCGCGCGCAGCACGGGTCGAACATCGAGGTGCTGGTGCACCCGGAGGACGGCGCGGGGATCGGTGTGTACGTTGAGGACTGCGACGGCGAGGCGCTCGCGGGTCCCGAGGGCGAGGAGGACTGGGAGTATGGGGACGATAACCCGTCGAGGATGCGGTGGAAGCCGACGCCAACGTCGATGCCGCCTGTCCCTTGGGTGGTGGCGTAGACGCCCGCACGCATTTTTTGAATCGAGGCCTTGATAGGTGAGTGCGTTGTCGCGATCGCTGGCATTCTCCTTCGTCTCTCTCTATGATGATTTATTCTCAGACCTGTACCGATCTCATCGAGACGTGCGGACAACCCGAATATTGCCTTTTTTTTCTGACCTTCCTCTTGCACTCGCCGATGTGTCCGAACCGCCGCTGATGCTTGTGTTCATTATAGCCATATCTGTCGCATCTCATTGTCGCTATCGCTTTATGATCGTGAGTGTCGCTTTCTGCTCTGGTTCATCCCGGTCTGCCCGTTGCGAGATGAATATTGTCAGACCTGTTCTGCTACACTGTGGAGACAACACGATATTGCCTTTTATTTCTGATCCTTCTCCGTCGCCTCCGTTTCTTCTTGATTACGAATGCTGACTACACCTCCCCTCATCGTTGCAGATGCTCTCCGTTTTTCTAGGGATTTTTTCACCGCCTCGTCTGTGTACTGGTACGACTTGCATGGACTATGTATTTACGGATCTACTTTTTTTTCTTTCACGCACGCCTGTACAATACACGTTTTTTGAACCGCATGGATTGATTGTAAGCCCGGGATGGCCGTACGGAACGCTTTCGTTCACGATTCGAATGAGAGTCGAAGTGGAAGGGAAGTGGAGGACCCTGGCAAGGAATCGAAGGTTCCTTGTGTGCACTGTGGCGTGGCCCCTCCCTCGCCTACAGTGACAGCCTTGCCGCTTGTGGCCGAGGCCCGGAACGTGTGGGACGCAGATGACACAGACCAGGCGACGCGTCAGTCGCTGACGGCCACGCACAAAGCAAGGCAAGCGTTGCGGCTATGTAGTAGTAGGATACGTAGGTATACAGTAGCTCGGCGCGCGGAGAGAAGAGCGGGCGGCGGGCAGAACAGGGCAGAACAAGACAGGACAGGACAGAACAACACGCGGGACGGGGATCGGGAGGCTACATATGCACAGAGAAGCACGGACGGGCGGGGAAGGGAAGGGAGGGGAGTATTAGGGACATATGTGGCGGGGTACACGGACAGAGGGGCGGGGCGGGACGGGGCGGGGCGTGGATATTAAAGTGGAAGGGGGCTGGACGTAGGGTATCGTGCGGGGCGGATCAAGGGGTCGGAGAGGCGAGACGAGAGGGGGAGAGATGGAGAGGAGAGATGGAGAGATGTGAGCTAGGCTACGTTAATACTGCTGCTGCTACTAAGCGAGGAGAAAATATGATCGAGGCGGGGTGTATGTATAGATACTGTGGTATATATAACGTGCTAGTTGAGTATCGAGTACCTTAGAGTCAGGGAGCCATCAAGAACGAAGGGGCGCGAGAGAGGCGCGCGCGAGGAAGGAGAAGAGAGAGGTGTTGCTTACGCTTATGCGTTCGCTCACAGGGCCTGCACGACGATCGTCGTGTCGTCCATCCACGGCCTGTCCATGTCAAGCGTCAGCAGCTGCGAAACGGTCACGAGGTCGTCGCCAAGTGCGTGCCGCAGGAGCGCGAGCGCGACGTTCTCCTCCGGCGCCGCTTGGGCGTGGGCGTGGGCGTGGGCGTGGGCGCGGGAGTGGGAGTGGGAGGGAGAGCGCGACGCGGTGACGGCGGCGCCGACGACGCGCGCCCAGTCCTGCGCCATCTCCTCGCGCGCGAAGCCGTCGTAGAGCTCAGCGAGGCCATCGGTCGCGAGGACGAGATACGGCCTGCCCTTGCCCGCACCCACCCCCACGCCCGCGTCGCCAGTGCCGGCGAGGCCGCACGGTAGGGCGTACGCGCGGAGCGAGCGGTGCGTGATCTCGGGGCGGGCAGAGATGTAGGGCGGGGTGAGGTTGCGGTCGAGGAAGGCGTCCCAGGGGCTCGAGTCGGGGATGCCGGGGTAGAGGTTGTAGAGGATGCGGCGGGTGAAGAGGGCGGGCTGCTTGAACGGGGCATCGCCGATGCCTGGAAGCGCGGCAGCCGAACGCGCAACGCGACGCGGTTAGCGCGGGGACGCGTGAGGGGGTAAAAGGCAGGGGTGGGAACGCACAGCGGAAGGGGGCGATGGCGCCGAGGACGCGGCCGTCGAGCACGCATTCGGCCTCGCCGGGGTGCTCGCGCTGGACGCGCTCGACTTCGGCATCGCTGTCGCCATTGTGGATGTTATTCAGGAGCTCGCACTCCCACGCGCCCGCGACGGTCTGCGAGACCAGGACTGCGGGCGCACGTCAGCGCGCCGGGTTCGGGACGGCGCAGGAGGCGCAGAGGGACAGGAGAACTCACCGGCGTCCGAGTCGCCGAGGTTCGCGACCCAGAGGTGCTCGTGCGCGGGGTCGACGAGCGCGACGAGTGCGGTGGTGCCGTACATGCAGAGGCGCGCCTTCTGGTAGTTCTGTCCGCCGTCGTAGTAGTCGTTGAGGACGGTGCGGATCTCAGCGCTGGAGCGCGCGGGGAGGCCGGCGAGGCCGCCGGGGAAGAGGGCGAGGACGTCGCCGGCGATGGCGTCGTCGAAGGAGATGATCGCGCGCGCGAGGATGTCGGACACGACGTCGGGCGCGGGCAGCGGAGCGGAGGGCCCTGTGACGACCTTGTGGAGGAACTCGGAAACGATGATGGGGAGGTGGTGCGCTGTGTGCTGGACGGTGGCGTCACCGAGGTGGCCTGCGTGCGGCGTGCGACGTGAGCGTCGGGGATTCGAGGGCGTCTGAGCGCGGGATGGGGGGAACACACGCACCGTCGAACACGCCAGTGAACGTCCACTTTTGGCCGCGGATATCGAGTTCCTTGACGACGTGCCGGTCCTGGGAGCTGTAGCTCTGGCAGGGTTGGAAAGAGACGACTTCGGCGGAGCGGCCAGTCACGGTATCGAAGGTGGTGCGCGTCGGGTGGGCGAGGGCGGCGAGGCGCGCGTTTGCCTCGGCCGCGGTCAGCGACACGAACGCGTACGTGCCCGACTCTGCCTGCGAGCCTTCCGGGACGACGACGTCGACCTCTGCACGGACCTCGGCCGCGATGTCGATGTCGACCTTGCTCTCCCTCTCCGCCTCGGGCTGGAGCACGTTCATGCAGGCTAGGACGGCGGACATGGGTATGTGTGTGATTTGTGTATGTGCGTGTATGTGAAGTTTGAACGAGCAAAGGACTGGGATGGCTCCTCGCGGTGGGGCGATAAATAGGGGAGTGGGTGGCGGACAAGGAGCGTTGCTGGGAGGTGGACGGGTGTGACCTTTGCGGGCGTGGGTGGGCTGTGGCCTCGGGGCGTGGCAGCTAGGAGATGGGGAAGCGCGCAGCCACGTATTGGCGACAGGCTTGCTATTAGGTCTGCACCCGAGCAATCCAACACCCAAATTAAAGCGAGCGCGAGCCTCGACGGTGTTTCGGGATGATGACTTATCCCGTCTGCGTGGTCCCCTCCGTTGTCAGTCACGCTTACCACCGACCCTGACGAGTCCCTGGCGTTGGACCGGGCTGGGGTACGCAGAGCGGAGCAGTCGTGATCGTCGTCGTCGTCGTATCATTCAAATGGCTGTTGGAGCCGCTGCTGACCGGTGACCTCACGCGCGCACGTCGTCATGCACGAACTCGGACACTACTCGGACTCGGACTCAGACTCGACGCGCATACGCGCATCTCTCCTCGACACTCTACTGACACAGGACGCAGGTGCTGGCACAGGAGCCATACGCGTCCCAGACCTGCATAGCCTACCCTGCAGCGCACTAACAGAGCCCCTATTGCCAAATCCGCTGTGACCATCATGCATGCATCACGTCCTGAGATCCGAAACCGTATCGTGGGGATTGCAGGGTGTTGGGGATGGCGATGTCGCTGCATGCCGTCCTCCGCGTCAGCTGGGCCGAGTCTCGTGAAGCGCGCGCCGCACACCTGCCATGTATGCTCCGCAGATACTCACCCCGCCTCAACCCTCGCCGACCCCGGCTCATCACACACACATGCAGCCCGAAACGCCATCGGCCCCTTGTTTTTTTCTCGCGACGCGATGCACGGATCGATGCGGTCTGATATGTTGGCTCGTTTTGAACCCAGGACATACACCTTCAGACTGTGGTCCATATTATTCGTATCCACAGTACAGCTTGCCGCTTGACCATTTACATCTCTACTGCCTCTCATCTATGTTCTACCTTGATGGCAAACCCTCCGACATGCGCGCGCGATGGACGAGGTCTAACGCAGGCGCAGGATGCACGATCACCGCGTCCGAACGCCTGTTGCTCCTCACGAAGGTGCCCTATTCGGTTGTCACGTCCAGACACGGTATATGATGTGCCACACTCAGAGGCTCTCTGCATAATCGCGAACAGAAATCGCAACATGTGCGCAAATGCAATATAGTCGTCGTTGTCGTCATTCCAGGCTCTCATGCATCATGTTCCGGGCTCTCGACAGCTGGTCTTAATCCAAATCGGAGCAAGCGTGAACTCGCGGTCCGCGCTCGATGGTTCCGTGCGATAGGATTGCATGTGATACAAACATCGCTCACTAAGTAATGAACGTTTTGCGAACCTCCAGCTGCTTACAGCGAGCAAGAGTCGGGAACTCGCATTTCATATTCGTTAGGCTCGCCCGATGTCGCTCTGGTAGCTAGTTGCGCTGAAAACGCTCAAGCGGGCACGTCTGACAGGCAGCAGCCCATTTGTCGGAGAAGAGCAAGGCCAACAGACACGGTGCTTAAGCGCTTCAAACTTGGATTCAATACATCTACACCTACACACAACGTGGTACAACATCAATCAAGCTACAGCAATACTGCGATGGCAGTAGTTCGAGATATACTTCAAAGGCGCCGAGGAACCGTTTACTTGTCCCGCAGACGCTCCTCGACTTCGGTTTGCCGCCTCTTGAGAGCGTCCACCTTGTCGTCTTTGGTCGCATCATAGGACACGGTGACTTGGTTGAACCTGTAGGGGTGTCAGAACATTATACAGACAAGGGAGAGATGTAAGGCGAACGGATTCTCTGGGGACTTCTGGAATTGCTTGTAGAGAAGGTCCTGGGTTGCGGCAGAATATCAGCAATCCTAACATATATATGTGAGGGTGAGGATGACAATTACCTTATACTGTTGCAGCCGCAATCCAGGGTGCTATGAGAGAACAGCGTTACTTATTTGTTCATGTACTCTATCGGGAGATACACACCTCGACTCTGAGATTGGGAAGCTCCCGCTCTTGGTAGGCTTCGTATGCCGCCTGATATTATAACGTGAGCTCTGAAGACATGAGAACGCAACAGTTCAATAATGCATACCTTAAACCTCCGCTATATTGCCGCGAAATGGTGGAATCATCAGAAGACGCCACGCCATATACTGCATGCGACATACCTCAGGATGTCTCTCGATCCCGGCAGCTTTGCTTCCAACGCTGGCTTTATCCATTTTCGCGGTAACGACATCCAGCAAGTCTAAAGCGTTATCGATTCCGGTCGCGGTATAGCTTTCGATAGGTTCGTCCTTGCCGACGATCTCTTTCGAGTCATTGTCATCCAGTCCACCTCCAGCAGCAATGGCTCCCGGACCCGCTGGTTTCGGCTTTGGAGCGGCAGCCTTCTTCGCGCGCGCGTTCGGTGCGACCTTCTTTTTTGGTGCGGCAGCCTCCTCCTCAGCAAGCAGTCGCGCGTTTTCGGCCTTGCGCGCCAGTTCAGCGCGCCGTTTCTCTTCCTTCTCTTCTTTGCTACTAGATTCTTTGCTGCCTGAAGACCACTTTGACGCCTCTGTGCTTTCCTGGGGGTGGAGCGGCCATGAACGTGTGCACGCATGGCTGTGATATTTGGGTTTGCGTGAGTCGGAAACGTACCGCCGCTACCGCTGCCGCCCCCTGTTTCTTCGCCTCGTTTTCTGCTTTCTTCGCCCGCCCGCCCTCCTTTTTCGCGTTTCCACCTTTTGGTGCCATATCGATGTCGATCGGGAGCACGAGAACTAATGAAGGACGAGGCTGAGAGGAAGGAAGAGATGTGCTACGGATCTAATCTAATCTGCTTGCTATCATGACTCAGGGGGTTCCCACGGGGTCGCATGATTGCATCGCTGCCCATCCCGATCTATCCGATCTCCTTGTAAGTTAATTCGCCTCGAGGCAGAAAATGTTCAGATGGAAGGTGACCTCATCCTCGACTCGGTGCGCACTGCTGCATAGCCTGTGTATATAGAGCAGAGCGGCATAAGTCGCTCGAATTTTTTTCTCTCTCACCTTGTGCGCCGAGCCCTGACGTTATAGTATGGCACAAGTGCACACTTTGGATAAATGGGCAGCGGGGCCTGCGTGTGAGCGCTTCCTCTACTCGTTCTTCACTTGCGGATACTGAGTATCTGTCGTTTCACTCATCCCAGATGGTCCTGTTCTGTCCCAGACGGACTTGTATATTCTGTGCAAGGAGATTCAACTCCATCCCATCCTGACGCGACAGCACCCTTCGTTCACACTGATATTCAACCTTCTCGACGGTGAGCTCCATCCTCGTCCCCGGTTGCTCTGCACTTCACGACTCTATGATAGGACAACCTGGGGGATACAATCCAAACGATGCCGAGCACAACCTTCCTTTGACCCAGGCTAATGAGCCGGCAACGCTACCTCGCGTGCAGGAGCTAGTCATCATCACGGACCATTCCCCTTGGTGCACAATAGTGAAGAACCCCGAGGGTGTGACTCTTGGAGATGTATTTGGCACTTTATGGAGAGAGTACGTCCACAACCCGTGTAGTGACATGATCACGGTGCTGAGGCGATCGCGCGCGCACAGATATACAGACAATCCGGTAACGGAGGCAGAGCTCGGGAGCTGCCCCCAACGGATCCAAGACGTGATCAAGCGCGCGGCGCAGACCAATCAAGGGAGCGGTACACCGTGGACAGGTTTCTATACCCCTGCTGCCAGTCGGGTGAGGCGAGTCGGTTGGTGCTTTTCTCTGATGCTCTTCCATCTTTACTTTCCTGATATCGGCTACCAAGATTGGCTTCGGGACAAAGTCAGCTTCGAGAGCATGGTGAAGGATGACAATTACATCCACGGGCGTCTCGGTTTCTCGGCGCCCAATATATTTTTGTTGAGGATGGGGGCTTGGTAAAGGACTGGTTGATATACATTACGGAGGTATCGCTATTTGTTTTGTATTTTTTTCTTCTGTTCTCTGCCCCTTTTTATGTATGTTTCGGATACATCATCTACACCGCATGTGCTATGAATAAATTTTCAACTGACTTGTCTCAGTTGATCTAGATGGGTGCAGAACAATCTCTGCGATCTGGGATAGAGATCTATCCGAATGGAATGGATGTAAGCGACAACTGGAGGCCATGTCAACGGCCATGCACGTAGTACGGCTGCATAAAACACGCCTGTAAACACGAAGCACATGATTGCCTTGAATTAGCACATGACTCGTACACGTGTTTCGACGACCTCGCCTCTTCCGATCATCCTTGCACTTTCACTCTAGTGTCCCTGTCGACAACGAGGACCATTTATCGTGAATTATTTTCTCTCTACACTTCCTTCGTCTCTCGCTTTTCAAAATTGGGCGCTTGTGAACAGGCAGGCCATCTTTACCCTAAACCCTGAGGCCTGATAGCGAATCGTTCAATATATATTTTGGACCCCGTTGCTTCCCCTTTGGTGAAAAAATCGCCCTTTGAACTCGATTCCCATCACGCAGCTGAGGTCATCTTGCTGTCCTTGGGAGGGTCAAGCAATCTGACTGCCTTCTAGAGAGATAAATTTGAGTCACCATCCCGAGAATCTGATTCGAACCCTGTATTCCCTTCCCACATGTAAGTCTCTTTTTTCTCGGCTCAGGCGATGTGCTGATCGCCTCATATATCTTTTCCCATCCTCTTCGTGGATGTGAATATGCTTCATGGTATATCGGCAAAGTCCATCATGTCAAACTCTGAACCAGCGACTCCGTTCATCCCCCCACATCCCGAACTGCATGCTTCCAGGCGTAGTTCACCAATACGACCCCCGGTCGTACCCCCTTGGACGTCTCCGCAAAATGGCTCCCAGCACAACACACCCCAGTATAATCAGCAGTCACCCAACGCTTACCTCTCTCCCTACCCAGGTACTCAGTTCATCCAACCCGTACCGGGATCGTATCATATGCCCCCCATTAATCTCCCTGATAACGCTCGCCTACCACCAGGACCTTCTCCAGGCCAAGGGTCCCAGCAGGGCTTTTCGTCCGACTGGACTGGCTTCTCTTCACCTTGGCCTCCCACACCCGCATCGATGCCGCCAACATCTCCATGGCCAGCTCCCCCTCCCCCTGTCCAGCCGGCTTACGGCGGGTACGCTCCATACGCCCCTCACCCTGGTGCATATCCCCAGCAATATGCTCCACCTGGGCCATGGCCGGCGGGTCCACCACCTGGTCCACCACCAGCAATGTATACACCTGCGCCGCAGTATAGTCAGCCGTATCCGCCGCCACAACAGCATAATGGCTGGAACGGGTATCCCGGTGGTCCTCAAGCAGGATATTCTGGCGGTCCTCAAGCAGGATATCCTGGCGGACCACCAGGAGGATACCCCGGAGGACCACTAGGGGGGTACCCCGGCGGACCACCAGGAGGATACCCATCAGGAGGATACCCTGGTGGACCACCGCCGGGATGGGGACAACCTCCTCCCCAACGGGCACAGATGCCTCCCAGAACGCGCGATAGGGCAGACAAGATAGATCGGTTTGCTGCAGGACCACATTGTTCGTCTGTCTTATTATCTTGTTGGGAGAGGTCTGTGATGAACCACCATCATGTTCAGATGGCCCTGTCCTGAAGCCAATGCTCATCAAATACGTCAAGGCTGATATCAACATGAATCCTTTGCTAAAGCCGCTGTTGGACGAGGAAGGGAGCAGGGCGCACTTGAGATGGAATATGCTCTTTTCTCCCACTCAGTGTCAGCGCTCAGATGAGCCCGCCGACCGTTCTTGGTCGGGTGGTCGTCAAGAGCCGGCCACTTTCCCGCGGGTGACGGAATTGCGTCTTGTTTCTCGCGTCCTTCCATGGATCATCGACATACCAGCCTCCAACCCGACGATCGGAGTCACTTGTGGTGATATCATCGACCAGTTGAGTCGCTATCTCCACCGACAGCTCCGTGGCTCGGAATACAATAGTCAACCTGTAGACCAGCAGAACGCGCTCAAAACAGCGTATCATTTCAATCGATCGACCGCGGATGGTGTACCAGGCGGACGCTTGGGAGATGGTCTACGAAGACTAGATTGGTTAGGGATGTCGACGATGTTTGGGGGCATAGATCGAAACGACGCTTTCGTGCGGGAACACTGCGGGGAGATCTTGCCGTGTGTGTTTGAGTTGCATTGTATACCCAGGGCGCCAAGCACAGAAGAGGAGGTGGAAGCAACGCGCAGAGAGAGAAGGCGGTCGAGGTCAAGGAGTGTGGCGAGAGCATCATAGGGGAATGTCGAGATTTTTGGCCAGTCCGATTCAGTCATGCCAGTGTAGGTCTGTTGTTATAAGTTCGTGGATTTGTTTGGAGATACCACCATATCACGGAATTGGTTCATTGCTCTCCGAATTGTTTTAGTTAGTCCTTTTGTCATCTTTTAACAAACAACACCTGTAGCCTTCAGCTTCATTGACATCGCTTGTGGAATTCTCGTGCACTGCTCTCCAGATGAGATCGGGAGTACACAGACGTCGTGCGATTCAAGCTCCGAAAGTGATCAACACTGAACTAGCACTGAGCGGGCCTGTGTCACCCTACACCGCACCAACGCCATGCAATCTACTTGAAGCTGGGCCTTCATTGACCTTCGCCATTCGATACAACTCATAGGTTCTCTTCTCCACATCACGGCTCATTGAGGTCAACCACCTGCAAAGAACTCCGACACTCCTTCATTTAGCCTGCAACCAGCCTCCGTTCCTTAGCAATGGCACCTCGGCCGTCCACTCTACGGATCGCATTTATACATCCAGATCTTGGCATTGGTTTGTACATCAGCCTTCCCTATATCATAAGCTAAACCTTTGTAACGTCGGCAGGTGGTGCGGAGCGGCTGGTAGTCGATGCAGCACTTGGTCTCCAGAAACTCGGCCACTCAGTCGATATTTTCACATCTCATCACGACCCAAGTCACTGCTTTGACGAAACGCGCGACGGCACACTTCGAGTGTATCACATTGTCTCTCCCTTCCCTCGCTCCGTCAAGGGCAAATTCCATATTCTGCTTGCCCACGCTCGACAACTGCATCTCACGCGATACCTCCTGCGCTCTGATTCACCACAGTACGACGTATACTTCGTCGACCAGCTATCGACATGTGTTCCCTTTCTCCGACTACTTGCGGGCCGCCGTGTCGTGTTTTATTGTCATTTTCCGGACAAGTTACTTGCGAATGGTGAGTTTGTGGAGGGCAAGATGCACATGCGGGGCGGATGGTTGAAGAGGGTATATCGTCTTCCAATGGATTGGCTGGAAGAAATTACTACTCGTATGTCCATAACTCATCATCAACTTGAACGTTCCATTTATTGTATAAATGATGGAAGGACAAGCGGATGTTATACTTGCCAACTCAAGGTTCACTTCCCGTGTCTTCAAGTCATACTTTCCCTCTATTGCGCAAGACCCATATGTTGTATACCCAGGAATCAATCTTTCAGCATATGAAAGTAAACCAGACGCCAGTGACCCCGATATTGAAGAACTGTCATCGCGCGTATTTTCACATATATATCTTGAAGACATTGTAATGAATTTCCCACAGTGAACGGCCAACGCTCTTGTCTCTGAACCGCTTTGAGAAGAAGAAAAACGTGGCTTTGGCAATACAGTCATTTTTCTTGTTACGGAAACACCTAGCTGGAAATAAGCTATCAGGCCATGTAGATAATCTCCGCCTTGTGATCGCAGGTAAGTTTTCTGGTTGATGTACAGATTGATCTGAAAGCTTTGCAGGCGGGTATGACCCTCGACTTGAAAACAACATGATGACGCTTGTCTCTCTTTTGGATCTTGCCAAGCTGCACTCTCTCACTTACAACATCATCTCACCTTCTTCCTCCCCAACCAGCATCCCTCCATTCAACTGCACAGCAAATAAGCCTGACATCCTCATCCTGTTAAACTTCACCACTGCACAGCGCTCGGCGCTCCTTAACGCGCGATCTACGCGAGCGCTTTTGTACACACCCACGAACGAACACTTCGGTATCGGGCCTGTAGAAGCCATGGCTTGCGGTTTACCTGTGCTTGCCTGTAATACCGGAGGACCAACAGAGAGTGTGTTGGAAGTCCCGGAGCAGGCCAGGACAGGTTGGCTGCGTCCCCCGGACGCAGATCTGTGGGCATCCGCACTCATGGAAATCGTGGCGCTTTCTGATGCAGAGAGGACAGATCTGGCAGAGAGAGCGAAGGTCAGGGCGAGAGAATTGTTCGGAATGGATGCCATGGCGAAGACCTTGGATGACAAGCTGCAGGAGGCTGCTGCGATGGGACCCATTTCGTCGTACTCTCTAAGGACTCTCACATCCTTCTTCGTGTTGTTGTTCTCAATCCTGCTCGCTGTTGTGTACAGGCTGCTGACCTGAATCTCTCAATCGTATCGAGTCGATGTCAAACCCATTGCATGCGCCAAACCCCAATCCAAGGTTAAGGTACCCATCTCTTGGCATATCGAACTGCAACCAGATCACCGCCGCACACCTTCCGTCGAGATGATGCTCTGGATTCTTGTCTGTGGGAGATAGCAGGAGATAGCATAGATACCACATATGTATCTTGCTTTTCCTGAATGGGTCTGTCCTTGTGGAGAGAACGATCTACCACGTGTCTCTGTTGATCATGCACATGTCCAAACGCCATCCCTTGAGGAGCTTGCGAGGTGTGCATGACTAAATAGATTCCTTTTCTTTTTTCCACGTCCTTGCTAGACTCTCTCTCTTCCTAGAACCACATTCTAACAATGGCTCCTCCAACTGATCTTCAAGAAGTGCTAGACACTGAGATCAAGTATGTTTGCTATCTTGGCGACCGGGCAGTATTGAATTAAACTGACCTCCCTCCCGTCCTCTCGCATTGTTTTAGGGAATGGCATTTCCGTACGTCTATCCTCACTCAATCCTTCGGGGTAGCAGTAATTGATAAAAGCACTACCTGGTATCAAATCTATAGATATATATTTCCATCAGAACAACGCCGACGAACACCAATCTGCCCTTGAGCTTCGCGATGCAGTTCTTCGACTACGCCGCGACGGTGCTTTTGTTGCTGTGCCGCTTTTCAGAGTTAACACGGCACCCATCGGGCCACACCCTGTTGGTGAGTCTATCTAGGGAGAGGTTGTCTATCGCCCACAGTCTTGAACATCGGCTACTTATTTCGAAGGCTCTTATGAAATCTGGTGTCCCTCCGAATCGTTTGCCTCAGTATTTTCGTATTTATGTATCAATCGCGGTGAGCTCAGGTGAGCCTGCTGTTCGGCGCCAAACAATGTCGACACCTCAATCTATGTACCTAACTGCAGTATTCTGGTGCATCCTTTGACGCGTGATGAGGTTGGTGGTTTGATATTGGCTGTTATTTTTGTTCCTTGACGTTTGTCTTGACATCGGCACGTATTCTCTCAGAGAAAGTGAGCGCATTTGCTTGGTGATGTACCTTGTTTTTAAATACAAGATCTGCAGAGACCACGACACACGCAAAGCATGGATTGGCCCATCTTTCCCCCTCGATCTATCTACGCTTCCGATCAAAAGCGATACTGTGCCTCTGCAGTATCCCAGTCTCAGTACGCGCAATTATTCGCTCCCAGGCAACGCTGAATTCACATTTGTCTTACAGAATTCGGGTATTCATCCACTGCGGAGCCTGTCCCTCTCAGCGACCGGAAGAAGATAGGTTCTCACATAGAGAGAATCTTGGAGAAAGAGAAAGAGGCGGCCAAGGCGCCGGTGGGCTGATTGTTTGTCTTCACAAGATCGATACGCCTCTTTGGAGACAGCCCTTAAGGGCCTTCATTGTCTGCAATGAATCTGTATTGTAGGAGAACTCAGGTTGGTTCTACCGCGGGACATCTTGGTATCATCACACCTATGTGATTTGCTACAACCTTTGCGCAGTCTACGCTAGTACGCAGTCCTAGGAGACTGGCTGTTTCTGTGGCAACTAAGGGTACCGTGGTACAGAATGGATTGCTCTGATGTACATGTCGGTAAACATGTGTGTCCATAAAAGGAAACAATCCAGGACATAGCTCGGACGAGTCATGCTTGTACCACTTCCCTCACTTCCTCAAATTGCCTTGAGTGTGTCATTAAAGGTCATTAAGTTGATTTTCTCCAAGGACCGCACACGAGTAGACAAAACAGCAATAGAAGATCAGAATGGCACAAAAGACAACTCGATCTCGCCATGGTGCATCTTCAACCATAGTCATCAAGCTTGGTGCGTTTTCAGACTCGTCGGTGTGATCGTGCTGAATGAGAGAGCAGGCACATCCTCTATCGTGCATGAAAAGACACATCATCCTCTGCTTTCAACACTCTCATCTGTGGTTGAAGTTGTGGTTCACCTCCGGGCACAAGGGCATAAAGTTGTGTTAGTAAGCTCAGGTGCCATTGGTGTCGGCTTGCAACGGATGGACATGCCCGCCAGACCAAAAAGTTTGTCTGGGAAGCAGGTGAGTCACTATTTGCAACAGGACGAGGCAGAATCCTTATACTCACGTTCAGGCATTGGCGGCAATTGGTCAAGGAAGGCTCATCGCGCTCTGGGATAATCTATTCGGACAGTTCGGACAACCAACCGCGCAAGTGCTTTTGACGAGGGGAGACATATCTGATGTGAGGTTTGGATCCCATGTCTATCAGCTTAGAGCGATAGCTTATGAGGCTGTTCGTGTAGCGAACGCGTTATTTGAACGCCGTGAACACGTTTAAAGAACTTCTCTCGATGGGCGTCGTTCCTATCGTCAACGAAAATGACACTGTATCAGTTAGCGTGAGTACAACATTGATACAATATTTACGCCTATTGAGCACTTGTAACACAGGAAATTAAATTTGGCGATAACGACACACTCTCAGCTGTAACATCATCTATGATCCATGCAGACTATCTTTTCCTACTGACCGACGTGGACGGTCTCTATACCGCAAATCCCCGAAAAGATCCGTCAGCCAAGTTTATCGAAGTTGTTTCTTCAATATCTTCTATCCGGACTGAAGGTGCGTCGATTTTTTCATGGACATACTTTCTGAAATTCAAAGAGATTTATTTGACGGATAGTGAGTACTGCGACCCTAGGATCCAGTCTTGGTACAGGTGGAATGGAAACAAAGCTTATCGCCGCAGAGATCGCGACCGCAGCTGGTGTTACGACGATCATCACCTCAAGCAAAAATCCATCGAATATCTTTCCCATCATTGAATTCCACAATTCTGTCAAACCCTCAGTTTCCACGCCGCGCGATGATATTCCTAGCCCTGAAATCTCTTCACTGAGCCCAGAGCCCGCGCCACTACCACGGCCACCTCATACAATGTTCACTCCTTCCCGATCACCTCTTCGGGACCTGAAATCGTGGACAAGCCATACTCTCAGCCCCTCTGGCAGTGTCATTATAGATGCCGGAGCACATCATGTCCTAGCGAGACGCGATTCTGGCGGGAGGCTCCTCGCAGCCGGGGTACTTGGCGTACGTGGCGAGTTTGCTTCTGGGCAGGCGGTGCGAATCATGGTACGACGACAAGCGGAGGGCAATGTCGAAGACGTCGAGGCGGCTCGCGAATCATATGCTGCAGGGATGGCTCACGACACGCCCAATGCATTCGTAACGTCTTTGGGGCCACAATCGAGGTCTGCATCTGGGTTAGACTTGTTAGAGTTTACGACAGCCCACGCTCTGCCGGAAGACGACGCGGTCGTAGTGGAGAAGCAGCGTACAGTGCCGGATGAGAGCGAGAATTGGGAGCTGGAAGAAGTTGGGAGGGGCCTAGCAAACTATAACTGGGCACAGATCACCAAAGTCAGGGGGCTGAACAGGTTCGTTGCATCGTTCACCATCTCTACTAACATATCACGCTGATCGAATCTTTCTGGCTGTTCACATGTACAGCTCGCATATGTCGCAGTTGCTGGGGTACGCAGATTCGGAGTATGTAGTTGAGAACATCACAATCAGGGTACCACCATGAGGTCCCTGTTTTTGACTTGTTGGTATAACACTCCCTTGTAGCGTACAAATTGGGTCGGCGTTTGAGGAAAACATCAGAATCCTTGAGGAATGCGCTGCCAGAGCGCCGCGATGAAACATTGATCTAATCTCCTACCAAATATGGAAGGAGGCAGGATCTTCCTCGTCTGGCTCCGTCTGTTGAAAAAATATTGTCCCGTGTTCCTCTTCTTTTCTTACTCCTCCATCTCCCCCATATTCTGAATGATATAGTATCCTCACATAGACACATCTACTGTATTTTATTCACCATGCTCCACGGCAACTCGGTGAGGATTCTTACGGGTGAGTCTGACTGGACAGGCTTCCCAGTTTTCTGATACTCATGGCACACAACAAAGGAAACAGTCATCCCGAGCTCGCCCAAGCTGTGGCCGAGCGGTGAGCTGCGTTCTTATGGTGCAGTGGAGCGGTCGATAGACTATGCTTTTCCATCAGGCTCAATGTACCCCTGACGCCCTGCGAGGTCAAAAAGTTCTCCAACGGCGAGGTCAACGTCAAGATCTCCGAGTCCGTCCGAGACGAAGATGTTTTCATTATCCAGTCGGCCTGTAGCGACGTCAACGACCACCTCATGGAACTCCTCATCCTCATATCTGCCTGCAAGGGAGCCTCTGCGCGGCGCATCACCGCTGTCATCCCCTGTTATCCTTATGCGAGGATGGACAAGAAGGAACACTCTCGTGCTCCTATCACAGCGAAGCTCGTGGCCAACATGCTTGCGGTAGCCGGATGCGATCATGTCATCACCATGGATTTGCACGCCAGTCAGATACAGGGTTTCTTCGATTTCCCTGTTGACAACTTGTACTCGGAGCCGTTGATGATGGCATATATCAAGCGGAATATAGAGGGTTGGAAGGATGCCATTATTGTCAGTCCAGATGCCGGCGGTGCGAAAAGGTGAGCAAGCTCGGGCCGAATTTTCCACATCCCTTCTGACACCCGCGGTCTAGGGTGACAGCTATGGCGGACAAGCTCGGCCTCGAATTTGCCTTATTCCATAGAAAGCGGGACGGTAAATCGGAAGATGCTCCAGAGAAGATGGAACTTCTCGTCGGCGACGTGCAGGGAAAGGTTGCTATCCTTGTGGATGACATGATCGACACTGGGAACACGCTCACCTTGGCGGCTCGCTCCTTGAAGGAAAACGGTGCGAAGAGTGTGCATGCTCTGGTCTCACACGGTGAGTACCTTTCCGCCTATCGTGCACTCGGGTGATTGGAATTCACATACCGGCTATCAGGTGTTTTTTCCGAGACACGTATGAGTGTCATCGAAAACCTTCCTATCGACACACTAGTCGTATGTACCCTAAGTCATTAGACTTCCTTCCCACTCCTAACCGTGGATCACAGGTTACAAACACAGTTCCTCAGAAGGAGCACCAGCATCTATGTGCAAAACTACTCATCATCGACATCAGTCCAACGATCTCAGAAAGCATTCGCCGGACCCACAATGGCGAATCCATCAGCTTGCTGTTCGGCGAGTGGGCCGACGGGGGTGGGATGAACGGGTTTTGATTCTTCGACTGGATATCGATATGTGGGAAGCCCTTGGGCTCCGTTCCAACTACCCGATCGCATCGTATTCTCGCGCGCGCATTGTATCATTAATTATGGAGAAGACACATTCATAGACCATGGCGATTGTTGTAAGGCACGAGCGCCACTGTGGGAGTGTCGAATCGTCAATTAGGCAGGTACCGTGTTATCTTGCTCCTACGTTGGGCTTCGTTTCCAGGTGAAACTTATGGTCGTAAGTACGTGCATTCTCTCTCAAAGAAGACTTGGATAATTTTTCCAACTTATTGAAGCCCTTTGCTTGCCTTTGATTCAGCAGCCGCTTGACGATGATAAGAGAGTACTTTCACAACGCACACGTTGATGTTCACAGTCGTCCCACAACCAACGAAATCAATTGACAGGGTCAGAACCCTGCTGCATCAGCTGCATCCATCGTGCTCACCGGCTTTAGCGTTGATGGTTTGTTATCGGAAGATGGGTAGGCGATAGATTTTTCGCTCCTGTCACCATCATTTGTCCTTTGGCGTGGGTACTTCCCATGGCACCTACGCTAGCCCGACTTTTACATCGATTCTCAAGCTCTGTGGTACGCGATGAAATAAAGTAATCCATATAACCACGCTCTGCGCCACTTTTCGAGTGAGTGCTATAAACCCCTTGGACAGGTATACCCCATTGACCCTCTTACAGCCTGTTCTCTGTTCTAGACTGCTCTTCGTATCATGACGACTCAAAAATTAACGCTTACCACCACGAGCCTGCACAACGTCGTCATTGCCAACAGCTCGGACGTGATATACTATGAGATCGTGACACCGAAATGGGAACGCTGCATCACCCGGATCAATAAATTGGATCCCAACATGAGGGAGTTCGACCTGATTGGAGAGTTGAAAAACGAAGATGACAAGCCGGTCGCGGTGCGGATATATGGCGGTGAATTCAGACCTGTAGAGGAGTTCCTGAGAGTCAGGGAAGGAGATGCGGACCCGTTAGTGTGCTCATATTTTGTGACCCGTTGCATCTGCTAATTTTGCTGGTGACAGGCATGGACGTTTTAAAGGAAAAGATGGAAAAGAGTACGTGTGGAGAGTGAAGAATCGTCAGCTTGAGGTCAAGACCCTCGTCTAGCTATCTCTTCACCCGATGAGACTGACAATTTATTTCTGAAAATTCTCAGCTTGTACGTGAGAATACACCGGATGGAAAACCGGTCGCCGTTTTCCACAAACACAAACGCTATCTCTTCGTTTTACGGATGTCACGACTACCCTACATAGAGATTGAGTCAGACGTCCTCGACATGCTCGATTCCCTCATCAGTGAGTACCCATCCTCAACTGTGACCTTCATGCCTTTGAGCTTTTCGGCTTTTAATTCCTAGTCTCTTTCCTCCTTATGGAGAGGAGACGCAGACATGGAGACAAATGAGCGGTGTTACTCTGAGATTGTAGCTTCTGGTATTGTTCTATTTTGTCACCTGACTGTGCATTGGATAAATTCCGATATATCGATACTTCCCTAGATATGCGATCCAACTTAGAAGCCTGTGGATCGCTTATGACGCTAGATGAAATACCGCTCATCAAATCAACAAACCCTATGGCTCCTGCGATTGGTCTCCCTGCAGACCAACCGCAAATCACTCGGCAGGTCCCAACGATTTCGAATGTTTAGTGAGAGGTAGACGGACAGTTGAATGATATGATCCACGCCTTCGATGTGTAAGATGTACATTGGATCTGTCGCATGATGTCCACGAAGCAAAACTATCTAGCAACTCTGGAAACCATTTGGGCGAACGAAGTCAGTGATGTGAGTTTTACCTCCGGTCTCGACGACAAGATCAAATGAAGCGTTTTCTACTAAGCCAACGTTAAACTCGGCGGAATATAAAGTGTACAAGCTGGACAGGGAGGGGCCGCTTTCGGTCACGTTGACGAAGGCCGTGGACAGCTTGCGAGCGATAGAGCCGGCCTGCTTCACGGCTGATGTGGCGATGATATATGCCGACATTATCTTCTGGTCATTGCGGATCTAACAAGGTATTTGACAACAAATCAGTTGAAAGTTACAACGTTGTTGGAAGCAACAAGATGTACCGCAACGACAGCTTTGACGCTACCATCGTTAGCAATGCAGCTGGCCGACTTGTGCAGCACAGCAACGTCGTCGAAAGGGAAACCAGCTCCATCATTATCTGCTTTGGTTAGAGGTCCCCCGGGAGTGTTTGTATACTCTACGCTGAATGCAGAGAATCCAACGCTCGGATCGATGGTAATGTTGAAGTGGAACAACGCGACCGCGCCCCAGAACGAGCCGCTGAAGAGCCCAGGGAATCTTGCCGTAGCACTACAGCCGTCACAGGCTGCACCATTGTGATCCGTCCAGGTCATGCTACATGTGAAATTTCAGGCCTCCAGCGAGTCCTACTCTCGGTGAGACAACTCACTTGACGGCGTAGTCTCTGGGAGACTGGGACTTGTTTGTAGAGAAGATCTATGATTAAGAATACAATCCGTCAGTCATCAATCACGGCAAAATTGCTTCTCGTACCCTGATATAGCCTTCAAATTGCAGCTTTCCGTTGTTGTCAATACTCAATTGAGCAAGCCAGGGCTTGACGGGAATGGGAGTGATAACATCTGTCAATTGAACGCCTTTTGGGACGGTATGGATCATCCGTGAAAGAAGATAGGCGCATCGGTCCTGAAAGACTTGGTTGTTGGAAGCGAGGTCGCGCATGGTGGCATTGCCGTCGGCAGCAAATATACGCGCATCCGAGTTTGTCGTGGTATTGAAGCCAGTCGCCAGTGTATTGGTAGAAGTACTACTGTTCATCCATTGTACAGCGCTATCAACAAATGATTGAATATCAGGATATTTTAGGATAGGCAGAATGCAGAAGAGGAGAAGCCGCACATGTGGTTGTCGAAAGAGTCAAAAGAGTCGTCGAAATGTTGCATTCCACTCGTGTTGTTATCTGCATTCGTCTCTCCCTGCACAATTGTAGAAAAATCTTGCTCGTGGACACCACCTAGAGTGTGTCCACATGCCACGAGACCAATCATCTCGCTCACATTAAAGCCTTGTTTCGCGAACGAAGCAGTATGCGTTGCAAGATCTCCTTGGGGCTCAGGGACGCCCTTAGAACCAGGCCCTGTGGCATCGATACGACCGGCCCGGTAAGATATGGAAGGCCCTGAGCATGCACGGACAGCATAAACAGTTCCGAGTGCGATGAGGTCAGACACTAAGAATTTGATCAATGAGCAGATAACAGGTAACGCGTGTAAAAATAAATCAAACTTACTGGATACACGCTTGTTTTGGAACCCGACAAAGAAATTGAAGCTGGCGTTGAAAGCATCACCGACATTTTCTGCGCGATCGGTCTCAAAAGTGATAGAGGCATCAATTCCACCAGTGCCAGCTTCCACATCTGCCGTAGCCATATCATGGTACGCACTATAGGCCGCCGTCCTCGATTTAAATCATCAACTTCATCGGGAGTATAGTGGTACTCACGTGCGGACCCACTCAGCAGCAGCTTGCCTGCCAGTAGTCCTGGTATTAGCCGGAGCGAAACTGCATGGTGAAACCCCTGCAATGAAATTGCTGGAACCCAGTCCGCTGTTCACCGTGTACAAATCCTCGAGAGCGTCGTAGACAGTATCTGGCCTTTGGTATCCGTCTGAAAGGAGTGAAATAGATAGCGGGATGACAAGGCTTGCTACACCCCGTATCATTGTCAAGGTTAGTGAGCAAGACGGTGACGATACTTAGACAAGCCGCTGTGAACGTTGAGAATGGGAAAGATTGGGAATCGAGGGGATCGAGCCATAGCACTTATAACAGACCGCTAATCGACGTCTTCTGACCGCCTACGACTTCGAAGTCGCGGGAGATATGCGGCTGTCTTGGCTCGACGCACCCATGTGGTGCGATGCGTTGAACAAAAGACGTGCATTGGCTGGGTTGATCTATTTGAGCTAACATCTTACCATTGGTCATGACGATTTACGTGATTGAATTTATGGTCTTCACCTATCTTTCAGGATGAGTAGAAAGTCAATGATATCGTGAAATTCGCGAGTTATCGAATAAAAAATCGCGGCTCCCCGAAGCCTACCGAGGTTGAACTTGACCTCCGCGAGTAGACCCGAGGCCTGAGCAGGCCTGATTTTGGAGCACCACCCGAGGCAAACTTTGACACGATACTGACTCTGAGTCGCAGACTTCGAGTTCGAATTTGCTGGGTACTGAAACGTCAGTTATACAAGATCGTCCGGAGCTCTTCTTGATTGAAAATATTATTATTTATAATAGAATTTTGTTCTAAACGAAGGTGGCAGGAAAATCCAGCACCACGTTGTCGTAGTTGTCATCGTCAAGGTTCCCAGAATAGAGGTAGACAGAAATGGCACCCAATAATACAGTGCTGTTCAAACGTTCAAGGATGTGTATGCCTTGCAAAATGCAAAGACAATGGACTGGTCGGTGAACGGAGTGTCGTTCGGAGTGCTATAAACTCTTAGATTTTCTTGCACAGAGGGAGCGCCACGAAAAGTGATCGTTGTATCATAAACATAATGAAAAGCAGTGACTGATCTGTCACCGACTTGCTTGACACCGGAAACACGAGACGCCCCAGCGACACCAAAGCTGCCAGATAGATGAAAAATGGACATGATGAAGGCGAGGACAACGTGAAAAGGAGCGCATTCGTACATCACGACATTTAGCTGGACTCCTCGCAACGGGCTCCTATCTTACAATGACGAAAATTCTGATGATGACAAACACGGCCACTGACGATATGACGGCGGAAAACCTGCTTTCAGAACATAACAGTCACATGCCATGACCAGCGCAGAAGGATAGAAAACAGAATCAAACTCAAGCAAGGAGAGATGAGCATTGGAAAATGACATCACAGATGCAGTCCAAGGAGAATGAAACCTCGGCGAAGGGAAGAACGAATGATCCCTGGCAGTACTAGCCAAGGGACATGAGAGGCATGAACAAAGGACAGCGGAAGACGTTGCTCAAGCTCAATATGATCTCCACCAGTGCCAAACACGGCTAATCAAAAGTGTGTAGTTTCTGTAAAGAAAGAGTGATCAAGTTGACTAGCATACAACAGTGGCTGTCAAGCGGGTGGAAGTTCAGGCTTCATACATCGATGTCCATATCCATTGGGGTCGGCGGATCGGGATCAGGATTGGTCGATGTCTCCATGTTTATGCTTTCTTGATCCTTGTCTCTTTCAACGTCTTTGTCTCGATCCTTGTCAAGCGTCTTTCCGCGACCCCTACCCCGGCCCCGGCCCCGGCCCCTCCTCCGTGCAGGTGTCGACACCTCCTCTTCTTCGACCTCAATCTCTTCCCGTAATGAGCTGGGACCCGGCGCTGTGGTTCTAGTCCTCCCCCGCCCCTTTCCTCTTGTCTTGCCTCTCGCCCTTCGAGTCGAGCTTCTTGCTTTGACGGTCGGGACAACGTCGTCTTGGTCTACGTCATTTTCTCCGGCGAAAAACTCGTTCCTGTCCATAGTTCGGTCCTCCCTCCGCTCACCGGCGAGCGCTGTGCCGCGTTCTTCGTCCCGTTCGTCTGGCGTCTTCGCCTCCTCCGCAAGCCATTCCTCTAGCCCCGGCGGGATTTCGCGCATTGCCACACTGGGTGCGCCTTTCAAGTACCGTAGCTTGTCCCGAATGTTGATCGTGATACGCTGGAGAGATGCAGAGGAATTCTGATTCTCTACCTTCCCTGTTAGAGGGGGATGAAGTTTCCAACCCGAATCTTGGAAAAAGGAGTCGTAGACAGTAGCAGGAAGGTCATCTGAAATCTCCGCGCCGACGAGGACAGCGGTCTCGTAAGTCCAACACCGACTGACATTCTTCACCGTATATCCGCCTCCGCCCACCACCAGTAGCGGCACGTTAAATTTGCGCACGAAGTTCACGCACTCGCCATGGGCAGCAATGGAGAGGTTGAACGCTCCAAGGCGATCAAGTCCGAGCGAATCTGCTCCACATTGGAGAACGATACTGGTTGGCTGGAAAGCTGTTACGGTATCGCCTATGACTGTTTTGAAGACAGTCAAATACATATCATCGTCGATGCCGTCCTGCAAAGGGACGTTCAAGCAGAAGTGTTTGCCTAGGCCTGCACCATTGTCATCCAGTTTTCCCGTCCCTGGGAAGAAGTCACCGGTATATTTGTGGAAGGAGACTGTCATCACACGGTTGGTGTGATAGAAGGCGAGCTCCACGCCGTCGCCGTGGTGAATGTCGATGTCGATATACAGAACCCGCGGGTGATACCTAGACATGGCGTCTTGAGTTAGTATGGGTAAGTTTTGCGAAGACGAGCAACGAGACGTCACTTAAGAAGTTCAAGTATAGCAAGAACGATGTCGTTGACATAGCAGAAGCCGCTGGCCTCCCCGCGTTTGGCATGATGCAATCCACCAGACCAGTTGATCGCAATGTCAGTCGTACCAGCACAGAGCTTCCGTGCACCTGCTAGTGAACCGCCAGCGTACATCATGGAAAAGTCGTACATATCAGCAAAAACTGGACAGTCTTCTACACAGTTGAAGGTATCAATGAGATGTTTCATGTTGTCTTGATTTCCAGGAGTAACTCTAATTTGAAAATAAGGTGTCGATATCGAATAAAGCATACTTGAAAGAATGGGAACTTACTTGGAGAGGAAGTCGATGTATTCTGGGTCATGATAGGTTTCCAGCTCTGCTCGTGTAGCCCGCCGAGGATTGTATATGTTATGAATCTGCTTGTCGAGGCCGTATCCCATCACCAACGCATTTGTCAAGGATAATCTGTGAGGTTTCATGGGATGTCGTTCCTATATATCTCTTCAGCAGAGACGTCACTGGCCTGTCAGCGCGCTTACCCCATAGTGGTGTTCACCAACACCTTTCGGGAAGTAATAAGATACTATTGGACGGGAATGAGGCTTCAAATGTATTCTAGATGCCTCTTAGAGAACCAGATGCTCATGACATACATTGACGCGTTCTGTAATGGGTTGTGCATGTCCACTCTCGCCGCGGTCGTCGAAAAATTTTGCGGATGAGAACGTGTAGGATTCAAACTTGCGGACCATGGCCGCCAGTGATGAGGTGCTTTCTTCTCGAATATGCTGTGTTACATCGCAAGCAGCGTAAGAAATGAAAATCGCATACCCTTATGTGAAGGTTCCCGAGAACAAGACTGGTAGATGCCGAAGGATTTCTACTTATCAGTATCTTGAGCACATCGATTCGTCAACGTTCACTGTCGAATGTGAATCTTGCTTACATGTTTTCGGGAGAGATTGAGGATTGTGAGCTCTTGTGGATCTCCGTACAGGTTCAATTCTGGTTGTGCGTCTGCCACAACGCCGGTTAGTAAGCTCTTCCCACACTCTGGGTCCCCAGTCTTACCCTCGCCAACGCGGCGATATCTCAAAATAACATCAAAACCCACCAAAACCCAGCACCTTCTCCTTGCCTCCCAAGATCTTGTTGTCGCATGCGTTCTCGGCTGTTTTTATGTTTTTCTGCACTAGCTCTGCTCTCAAATTCCGTTCTAGCATCTTCGGGAGATCGTGCAAATGATTTTCAACGGTGTGCTGCACGATGCGAATCTCAGACCTGCGCGTCTGATATCGACCACACCATCTCTTTCCTCGATGCACTCACTCACTGGACATGTGCCGACCAATGCAAATACCAGTGTATGCACACCATTACTGATTTTGCCATCGAAACCGGCGTACCAGTACAGCAATACTACGGAAAATGGCCATTCTGGCGCTTCTTAGGAATGCAGGAGCCTGCGTCGGTGCTCTTTTCCCTTATGAATCTCTTGTTACACGTATGGGGGCGAGCTGAGGTCCAGAGGGATGTACCAGATGGCCATCCGATGAAGAAATATTATATTTGGTGGTCGTACGTGAGCAGCAATGCCTGGATTTGGTCTGCAGTCCTCCACACCCGAGGTTAGCTATCTAGTAAGGTCTCGTTCACGGCTTGTTCGAGACTGACTCTTGCTAACTCTCAGATGTATCGCTTACTGAGAAGCTGGATTACTTCTCTGCAGCCCTGACAATCCTGTACTCCCTCTACTTTTCCGTGATCCGACTGTTCCATTTATACCCCATCGACCCTCGAAATCGACCTTTCTCCTCTTCGACTTTCGACACTATCCAGAGACAAAAGCTCTATTATTTCTGGTCTGTTGCTTGTGTTTTCATATACCTTGGACACGTATCATATCTCCTGAACCTCCCTCGGTTTGATTATACCTACAACATCATATTCAACCTCGTCCTAGGCCTGAGTCATAACTTTCTATGGCTCACATTCGCATTTCCGTCGTCATATTCACTATTCCGTCGATTTACGTCCAAGCCCAAGTCTTACCGTCCCGCGTACGCCACGACCGCCGCAAAGGCGGTGGTCCTCACCACGGCGGCGACTTGTCTCGAGTTGTTCGATTTTGCACCTTGGCATCGTGTCGTCGATGCTCACTCGTTATGGCATCTTGCAACTGTTCCGTTGGCAGTTATATGGTACGACTTTTTGATACTTGATGCCCGGGATGCTGGATGGAAGGGTATCGGGGCATAGTGCTGTAGGACTACAGTTGGTATCGTTGGTATCTCATGGACAATGTAAGGTGCACTCGCTTTCTTTATGGCTTATAATGCTCATGGCGCTCAGGTTAAATGAATGATATCGTTTTTTTTCGGTCTGCCGTCGATTTATAAACATTGTTGTCACCGCGATACTAGGATATTGCTTGTCTTCTCCTTTTGTTCGCTATCTCCTTGTCGCTTTCGTCGCATAATGTTTTCAACTGCAAATTTCAATGTGCCATCACCTAGGCGGGCCGCCGATGGAATCCATGTATGTATTCGATTGGCCTTCTTTCGTCTTGACACGCTCAAACATATCCCAGATACACCTTTTTCTGTAACCGTTGACAGGGATGCTGTCCAAATAGCTTCAACCTCGGATGAATGCGTCAGCTGAATGCGTCTAATGCATGTAGTACGGTACTCACGCTGGGCATCATTTACACGACTATGAGCCGAACTCTGTGGGAAGCCTGAATCGCTTTACAGCATTATAGGCAAATCCTCGTCCGCAGAGCATCACGCCATTTGTTTTGAGCCGGCCAGCTGATTTTGCAGCATTCTCCCGTCGGCCCGTCAAATAGTGGGACGGAATCGTGTTGGTGCTATAAAAGGCCACCACATCTCAGATGGAGTATTCGTCGTCGAAATGACTTTCTTGAAAACTTTCGCGCTCATTTTGTTCACTCTCAACATCGCCTCTACTTTAGCAGTACCTGTCATTGAGACGCAAGGGCTGAACAAACGAGGTTCAGTTTTGTCTGGGCAATGGGACACTGAAACAGAGGTGCGGGGCATATAGCCTTTCTTAGAATTATATTGAACGTCAGTGTTAATAGGCTGGCGGGTGAGTGAAATGGGTGAACTAGCGACTTCGATCTGACCACATAATCAGGGTGTATACACTGGAGAATAATCTTTGGGGCGAATCGGCAGCAACAAGTGGTAAGCTAACCCTAGAATGGTGCACAATTTTTCTTTATTTCTAATATCGCTTGAATGATCAGGCTCGCAGACTTCCCAGGTAACAGCGACGAGCGGGACCACAATCACCTGGCACACCACATACAGTTGGACCGGCGGCAATACACAGGTCAAAAGCTGTTTGTGTCAAAACGTTTGTCCTGCTATGATACATATTGACGATGAAATTCAGATGCCAACCTCGACCTTCGCCAAGGTCTGGGCAAAGCCATCTCTGCCATCTCGTCAATCCCGACAACATGGCACTGGACATACAGCTCTGCGTCGACAAACTTGGTTGCCGATGTCTCATACGACCTTTGGCTCTCAGAGATGGCTGGAACTGGCGGTGCTTCTTCATCTTCGACCTACGAAATGTTAGCACTAGTTGCGTCGTCTTTGCGGAGATTGACTCGGTGCTGATATCTACTCGTAGTATGATCTGGTTAAGTACTCGTGGCGGGTAAGCTTGTTCTGACGTCCCGATTGACACTGAATGACACTATGTCAATTCTCCAGTGCTGGACCTGCAGGCTCGCAAATCGGCACCGCCACGTTAGTTCAAATTCACCCCTGCTATGAATTATCGCTAACAATCCATGATAGCGTTGACGGTGTCACATGGAAGCTCTACAAAGGCACTGTCTCAACCTGGACAGTCTTCTCGTTTGTAGCACCAAGCGAGATCACCAGCTTTGTCACCGATTTGAAGCCTTTCCTCAGTATGATACGAACCGATCATCCACCTTGACTTGCGTTGGTTGACCTCCACTTCCCCCTTTCCAGCGTACTTGACGGGCAACCAAGGTGTCCCGTCATCCCAGTTCTTGGTCCAAGCTCAAGCTGGTACTGAGCCTTTCATCGGTGAGTGCCGACGTGGGTTCAGGCTGCCCAGTTGATGTTCACAGTCTTATAGGAAGTGCGACGCTTTCTACGACGTCCTACAGCCTTGCAATCAACTGATTGGGCTTGTGGTACAGGTCGTAAACGTACTAGTCATTTGTCTTTTTGTTGTTCCATAATAGTCAGTCCTCGTTTCTCGAGACGGAGATATTGGAGATTATCATCTTTTACTTGGACGCCACCACTGGCAATGTTTGAGAGCCCGTTTCGTTAGAGGACTGTGTCGCCTAAGGACTCGGTGCGCTTTCCTCTTCTGCAGCATGAAAGACTGATTTCGTCAGCATGCCAGCCTCCGCTGATAACCAATCGTACCTCGATTCAGTGAGGTCGTGGTTCCGTGAGGAAGCGTCATATTTGTTAATACTGCATGCATTGAGCAGGCGCGATCCAGTGCCCTCTTGATCGTCGTTGAGCAACTGTTCTTGCGTTCAAAGCTTCGATCCACACACAAGTAGTGAAGTCGTATCCTCTTTTCCCCCGCATTCCATCCCTCCTTTGGGGCCTTCTCGTTGACATGCTGATAACCTTTGTGCTCGAAACCTCTTCACAGGTACGGCATCCACGTGACCTTTCGTGCGACCGGGGATCTGCGGAGAGGTCAAAGCCACCGTCACCTGGGCCCTTAAACTCCTTGTTTTCACGCTTGTCGGGTACGCGAGCTCAATCAAATTCTGATCGTCAAAGCTCCGACGTTCTTTCCTTAATGGGCGAGGTGGCGGGAAAGCTGTGTCGTTTATTACGTTGTATGGCGAATGTTTGAGGCAGCGGCGGAGTCTACGCGTGTTATTGCCACCCGGTGGTCCATTGTGCCAAAGCCACATTGGTGCCCACAGGACGATAAAAGGCCAGAGGTTCTCGCTCTTTCTTTCCACTATCCCTCCTCCCCCTCCCACCATCACCACCCTTTTCTCTCATCTCACTCCTCTCGTAACTCTCTCATCTTTACGGGGTACGGATCCTTCATATCATTGCTTGCTCCTTGTGTTATGGAAGCTCAGTGTGCCACAGGATACTAGGCACGATCGCCTCAAGCACGACGCTATCAAATTCATAGGTATGTTCCTCTCTTGTTCACTGTTACTATTACTGTCGATGTTCAACGATGGCCCGATAGGCACGATCGCCTTCAAGCACGACATCAAGTCTACGTTGGATCTTCTGGCGACACTGGCCTCAAGGACTTTGGCGACACCGTTCCGGGACTTGTGGCATTGGTTGGTTTGTGGGTTTGTAGTCTTGGTTGATGTCTGGTTTCTGGGTTCTATCTCGCTTTTGTTGCTCGTCCTCTTGCTGTCCTCTTGCTCGCTGCCTTCTTGCTGTGTCTTTTTCTCTGCGCTCTACTCTTCTTTCTTCTTGCTCTGATGTCTCTCTTTCTCTGCTCCTTCTGCTTGTCTCATCTCTCGCTCTATTGCTTTGCTTCGTCCCCCGGCTATCATACTGTGGCACTGATTCATCTTGGCGACATTCTCAGGCTATATCTGGCGGCGATGATGTACAGCGTAGGTGCCTCTGACCATTCCTCATTTAGTTCGTACGATCATCATCCAACACGCACTGAATTCAAGGATAAAGGACGACCCTGCAAGAGATGGGGTCGTCAACGATGGGGCATGGATCGTTTGTGAGTTATTCTTTCTTCGTTTTATTGTGGCAGACGTTGACCCGGCGATAGCTCTTACAACGTTCTCAGGTCTGCACGCTCTTCCTTTCATCATTGAGGCTCAATACTCCTTACGTAGACACGACCCTCAAGCACGACAAGTTTACTGAACGTCAGGGATTCTTCTAGCGACATGGGCCGCAAGGACTGTGGCGACACTGTTGTGGCATGTGGGCCTTCGCTCTTTCTTTCTCTGAATTTCTGGCCGGCGACTTTGGCCTGTGTTCTGTGTTCTTCTGTTCTGCTTATCTTCTTATTCTTCCTAGGTCTTCTTGCTCATCCCCTGGGGGTTCATTCCCGTCGCTGCTCTTGTCTTGCTCGCCGCTCTGTGTTTTTGCTCGCCCTGCTCTGCGTTGCTTGTCTCGTTCCTGATTTCTCGTTCCTTAGCTTGTCTTACACATCCTCCTCTTTGTGACTATCGCTGGCGCCTCTCTGGGTGGGGTAAGTGCAGGCCACTCTTCCGACAACACACCACCTACAATAGCGAAGGACGACCCTGCAAGAGATGGGGTCGTCAACGATGGGACGTGGACTATCTGTGAGTTTTACCTTCTCTGTTCTATGTTCTGGAAAAAGCTAACTTTGCAATAGCTTTGATATCATTTACAGGTCTGCGCTCTTTCCTTCGTCGTTGAAGCTCAATACTTTGCACGTAGACATCGTCGTCTCGAGCACGACCGCAAGTTCCCGGGCAGCAAAGGATCATTTAAAGATATGCATCGCAAGGACTCTGGCGACACCGCTGTGGCATCTGTGTATCCTCTATTGTGTCTTACTCTGAAATTCTCGCTGACAACTATGCTGTTTCTTTCGTAAGATATCTCGCCCGTCCTCTTGCTGGTCATCCCGTTGGTGGCTGGCTCTCTTCATTCATCCCTGGCGACTGTCTGGGCCCGGTAGGTACATCCGACCATTTATAACCATTCGTGCACACAGGCCACCAAGCACACCCACAACGCACCGACTTCGATAGCGCGGGACGACCCTGCAAGAGATGGGGTCGTCAACATTTGGGCACAGACCCTCTGTGAGTTCACCGCTGTGCGCACTGTTCACGCAGACGCTGACCGCGGACACCTCTCCCACCAGCGTCTCCCGCGCGTTGAGACTTCACATCAAGATGCGCGCGATTTTACCACAAGAGGCTAAGAAGGACCTGAGCAGATGACGCTTTTTTCCCGCTGACTGTCCCGTTGATGTAGTGATTGACCATGCGTATGACAGTATCGCTTACGCCGCCGAAAGAATCTTCTTGTCCTCTTTTCGTAGCCGCCTCGGTGAGCATGATCGCCACTTGTGTCACTATGCTTCTTGTCTTGTGTAGGGATATGATATATGCCGTCGATGATATCGTCTTAAGACCGCGCGCCATGCCACTCAACATGGCCAAGTCCTTCCGGTGCTGGACATCGCAGCCCCACCTCTCTGAGAGTAAGCTGCCCCCGCTCTTCGCCGTGGCTGATAAGGTGTTGTGCAGACCGCCGCCACGAACATGAACGTCTGAACATCAAGCGCCCTTTCAAGAATGCATGATATGCCGGTGAGGTGCTCTTGAGTTCTGGGCTCGGCGCTTTGAATTTTTGTTGCAGTCTCGCGATCACGAACACCTTTGCGCTTCACTTTGGCTCATATGATTTCAGCAAGAAGAACGTCGTGAGCCCGTTCATGTGAACCATACTCGGCGATCTGAATGTTTCTTCGAGCGGACGCACGCTGCAGTGCGTGTAGATAAATGCGTTTTACTAATAACCGCAGGTGCGACCAGCTCGACCGACACCCACCTTCGGCAGCCGTGGACGATCTCGCAAGAGATGGGGTCGTCGGCACGGGGGTGGCACCCCCACGTGAGTGTCTGCTCCACGATTCGATTCTCGCAGATGCTGACCTCCCGCCCTTCTCCAAACTCCTATTCACCACCGTGTCGGGGGCAAGGGTCGATCAATGGTAGAAAATCACATCAAACACTCGAATCAACCCTTGCCCATGACACGGTGATGGGCCTCTTCTGTTTATTTCCTTCTTTTCATTTTCAGCGTAACCCGACTGTGCGCGTGTATTGCAGCTAGCTCTATAGTATGTACTGTGCGTATGCTGTATCGTGCTGGAAATGACAAAAAAAAATGAAAGAAATTCTGCGAGACGAGTGAGGAGAGGCCAGGCGCCAAGACGCGCGTATGCGAGCGCGTGTATATTACAGAGAACGGCAAAAGTAGGATGGAGTCGAAGCGCATATATCCATGCTCGTGTATGTCTGCTGGGTGGTGGTCGTGGTGGGGATAGGAAGGTGATGTACTCGTAGATGAGATAGAACGTGATGGTGTGGGAGGGGGTAGGGACGATGTCCGATCCGTTTGTCCATGTGAAGCGGCCATACGATTATGATAAATACCAGATAGGAAATAACGAAAAAAATATGAAGAGAACGAAAGAAAAGAAGTAGATTCCGAGACTCCGTATCCCCTTCCATTACAACGAAACAAAAGTAACCATTCCGAAAAGGGGGAAGATAGACGTGAAAGAACACAGACCTCCGGCTCCAGCGCCCGCCACTCTGCGGGCGGGACGCGTCTAGATCGCTATGGTACAGATGGATAGGGAGGCCGCGGCGAGCTATAAAAAACACCGAATCCTCGGTGGTTGCGGTGGGCGGCGATGATGATGATGATGATGATACTGTTACAAGCTTGGAAAAATAAGTCAAAAAGGCGTGGCGCGCGTAACATCGCGATATTGTATCGTTGCGTGCGGCATCGCGTCTTGGAAAGGGGGGTCAAACCAAAACGGAGGGACCGCTGCGTGTATTTTAGTGTCCGGGTCAGAGAAGCTCTTCGAGTGCTCTTCTCCCAAACTTCGAGGAATCGCTCAGACGGCGAGCGACGGCGTCTGCCCCAACTGGCGGAACCCCGCCCTCGTCCGCGCCGGGGTAGGCGTCAGCGTGGCCAGCGGCGTCGCCGACCCGCTGCTCCCCCCGCCCCAGCCGCCTGCGCGCGGCGTCAGGTCCGGGGACCGCGCGCTCGCAGCGCGCGGGGACTGCGCGGCGAGGATCTCGTCGATGCTGGAAGTCGAGTGCGAGCGCGGGACGTGGTCCGCGGGCGGCTCGAAGCGCGCGTCGGGGTCCGGGCTCGAGCGGCCCGTGTAAAAGCAGAACCTGCACCCGGAAAAAACACGTCACGATCAGCGTTCGCGACCGCGGGCGGGAAAGCGCGACGGCGAGACGTACCGGTTCAAAAGCTCGTCGTAGTTGCTCAGATGGTGCACCGGCGAGTCCGTTCCCAGCCTTCGCACGAACCGCCCCTGCGCGCGCCCGATCGTCCCGTTCTCGCCCCCGTCTCCGCCCTCCCCGCCAGCGCGCGCCATCTCTCTCTGCCTCCCCATCGCCCCCGCCCAGCCCGGCGACAACATCGCCGCCTCCGCAGCAGCCAGCGCAGGAGCCGGCGACGCAGGCGGGAACGAGTTGTACCGCAGGAACGGCGAGCCGGGCGGCGTGCGGCGCACCCCGCTCATCCCCGCCCCGTCAAAGTACCCGCCGCGCGTGTGCCGGCGCGGCGTCGCCGGCCCTGCGTGCGCGTGAGCGGGGGACGCGGGCGCGGGAGGCTGCTGGTGCTGGTGCTGGTGTGGGTTGTGCGGATGCCGCGTCACGAGCGTGATGCGCTGCGCCTCCGTATCCGTATCCGACTCCGTCGTCGTCGGCGTATGCAGCGGCGTGTGCAGCGGCGACGGCGTGCGCGCGCGCCGCGGCGGCGCCCAATGCGCGCTCAGGCGCTCCTGTTGCTGCCCTTGCTCGTTCTCGTGCCCCTGCTGCTGCCCCTGTACCGCGCCCGCCGCGCGCGGCGACCCAAACTCGATCCCGAGCCCGCCGCGCCCCGCCGCGCCCCCAAACCCAAAATTGAACCCCACGTCCCCCGCGAACGGCTGCCTGCGCGGGCTGTGCCTGCGTCCGTGTGCACGGCCGTGTGCGTGGCCGTGGCCGTGTTCGTGTATGTGGGCGTAACCGTGGCCCTGCGCGTGTCCATCGTCATTTGCGGAACCATACCATTCGTCCGCAACACCATAGTCATACTGCACACCCATCGTCGCACCCCGGCTCCTCTGCGCGGCGCCCCCGCGCGGCGACGGCGCCGACGCGGGATACGTGCTCGTGCGCTGATGCGCCTGCAGCCCGCCCGGACTCGATATCGTCGGCGTCCGCGAGGGCGACGCCACACGCGCAGGCGACCCCGGCGCCCCACGCCACGCACCGACACCACCATCCGCACCGCCACCCCCCGCGCTCCGCAGCGAGTCCGCAAAATCGTACCGCGGCGCCCCGCGCGCGAGCAGGCCGCCGACGGTCTGCCCCTGTCCGAGCGAGCGACCTTGGCCCTGGCTCTGGCTCTGAGCCCGAATGTGCGCCTGAGCGTGCGACGGCGACGCGGACGCGGACGGGTGCTGAGACTGCGACGCGGACGGAGACTGGGACTGAGACTGCCGCGCCTCGAGGCGCTCCAGCTTCCCCCTCAACACATCAAACCCCCTCTCCCTCTCCCTCTCCCCCTCCCCGCTCCTGCCTTCCACCCTTTCCCTCCCTCCGCCGGCACACGCCTTCGCCTCGCGCGCCGCCGCGACCTGCACCGTATAATCCCGCCCGCCATTATTATCCCACATCTCGCGCCCCGCCGCACGGTACCGCAGCGCAAGCGCAAGCGTACGCGGCTCCGCCGCCGCCTGCTTCCCGACGCGCAGCGGCACGCGAATCGCGAACGCGAACCTATCAAACGCCGCCTCCTTCTCCGCCTCTGTCTCCTCCGTGCGCCCCTTCCCTCCATGTACCGACGAAAGCCGGCGCACGGGCGCGACGTACCGCGCCGACACCTCGCTGACGGTCTGCCACCCATCGAGCGTGAACCGCGCGCCGACCCACTTCTCGAACGCGACGTTGCGCACGCGCACGAGCCCGCGCAGCGTCGCTGCCGCTTGTTGGCCCGCGCCGAGCGTCAGCCGCGCGGACGACACCGCCGCGGATCCTGGAGTGGCTGGCGGGTCGCGCTGCAGGAGGGCAGCGGAGGAGGAGGAGGAGGAGGAGGTGGTGGTGGTGGTGGTGGTGGGGTCGCCGCAGTCGAGCTTGAGCGACTCGAGCACAACGTCACGCGCGTCTTCGTCCCCAATGATCTCCCCCGGCCCATCAACCCACCGCATCTCGACCCTATACTCCCCCTCCCCCTCCCCGCTCTCATCCTCCTCCCCATCCTCGTCCTCATCCCGAGCACCGCGCTCCAGCCCCTCGCTCTCCGTCCCGCTGCCCGCGTCCGCCGTGGGGCTCCCGCCGCGCGACACCGCGAGCGGGCGCTGCCCCGCAAAGTAGAGCCGCACGCGCGCGAGCTGCGCATCGAAGTGCACGTTCTTCGGCGCGCTGAGGCCCGGCGTCGCCGGCGCGCTGCGCGTGCTCGCGCCTGCGCCCGTTCCTGCGCCGTCGGGGCCGGGAGAGTGGGGGTGCGGCGAGGTGGCGCGCGAGGACGCCGGGGTGTTCGTGGTGGTGGTGGTGGAGAGGGCGGTGAGGACCGAGAGCGAGCCGCGGACGAGCGGGCGGCGGGACTTGAGCGAGGACTTGAGCGGCTCGCCGGACTTCTTGCGCGGAATAGACGCCAACGACCCCGACCCCGATGACGAGGGCGACGGGGACCACGCGGGCGACGCGGGCGTCCCGGCGAGCGTGGGGGTAGACAGCGACAGCGACGCGGAGGCGAACGCAGGAGCGGAGGCGAGGACCGGCGTGGGCGCGTGGATCGGGGTGAGCGCCAGGCGCGTCGGCACAGAGTGGCGCAAGGGGCGCGGCGCGGCGCGCTGCGGGTCCGGGGTGAGCAGCAGTAGCTTCTGCTGGTGCTGGTGCGGCGCTGTAGTCGCCGATGTGGTCGTGGTTGTCGTGGTTGTGTGTGGGGTAGGGGCTGTCGTTGCGCGCGGCTCCAAATCCGCGTCCGAGGTCGAGGTTGGGAACGGCGTGCGCCGTCCGCGTAGGCGGCGGGCGCCCGTGCCCTTGCCCGTGCCAGAGTCCGGCGCCGCATTGGCGTTGTGGTTAGGAGGGGTGTGTGTATGCGGCGGGGGCGCGAGGGACGCGAGGATGGGAATAGCGGCGGGGGTTGTGGGGGTGGGGGTGAATGTGTTCATATTTGTGCTCGTGTTCGTGTTCGTGTTCGTGTTCGGGGCGGCTGTGGGTGTTGGGGGGGTCGGGGGCTGGACGACGACGGCTGTCGGGATAGGTGTCGCGGGCGGAGATGCGGGCGCGGACGTGGGATGTGTGTTTGGCGCGGTGTTGGGCGCGGCGGGCGCGGCGGGCGGAGAGGGGAGGGATGGGGATGGGGACGGGGAGGCGCGGCGGGATACGGGAGCCGAGGCGGACTGGGCGTGGGCGTGGGCGTGGAGCGGGAGGCGGCGCGGGAGGAGGGGGAGCGCAGCGGAGGCTGCGTTGTGTCCCTGCGAATGCGAATGCGAGTGCGAGTGCGAATGCGGATGGGAGTGAGAGTGGGCGTGGGTGTAGGACACGGAGCGCGGGAGGGTGCCGAAGTCGCGCGCGGGGTGGAGTGCGGAGGTCATGTTCGCGGTTCGCTGTTCACTGTTCGCTGTTCGCTATAGAGGCTCTGGGTCAGACGAGGACGGTCTATGGAGGAGATGGAGGCGAGATATAATAGCTAGCTAGGCGGGGCCACTTGCCTGTGGCACTGCGCCGCGATCGAGCGTGAATGCGAGCGCGAGTGCAAGTGCGAGTGCAAGTGCGAGGCGGTGGAGGCCGCGCTGTGCGTGCGTGCGAGGGCCTGCTTTGTCTGTGCTTTGTCTGTGCGCAAGGCGATCAGCGACGCGGCACAGCGACGAGCTACAGGCTCCCCAAGCCCCAAGCCCAAGCCCCAAGCCCCAAGCGTACAGAGCGGGAGATAGCACGAACGTGCGCGGTACGAACCTGCCTGCGGTGAAACCAGTGGGGGTGTCCTGGTGGAATGAACTGCGGTCCCGCCGAGCACGCTGGGGCAGGGCGCGCTGAAGACGAGGCTAGGCACGGCGTCGACAACTACGGCGACGACGACGACGACGATGGAGGGAAGGAGGGAGGGACGAAGGGACGAAGAAAAAAAAAAGAGGGAGGAGACGATAAGATGGAAAACGAAATGGATCTGAATCGGCCAGTCGCCGGAGCTGACTGTGCGCGCCCCGCCGCTGTTATTTGTATTCTTCCTCTCTGCATTCTCCCATTCTCGCAGATTCTCGCACAAACCGACGCGATACACGGATGCACGCATGCCACGGATACCACAAGATGCCACAGGATAATACAGCCTGCTCGCCGTCCGGCCTCGCACGGCGACCGTGGCCTTTTCTCTGCGTCCGCCGTCCTTCCGCGGTGCCGCCAGGGCACCGACCTCGTCCGCGCGTCTACGAAGGGCCTATCGCCGTCGCCGCGCGGATGGGCTTTGTGGCTTCGACGGCGTTTGGCTATCGCTGGCACGGACAGCAAGGGCGGCAAGGACTCAGCGTGAGGCACGGACCTAACTACGGACCTGGCCCGCGCTCTGCGCTCTCTGCTCTCTGCTCTCGCAGCAGAATCAAGCGCACCCGCATCCCTCCAACTTGGCAGCTGCTCTCCAGAACTCTATCCCGAGGCCCTCCGCCGACTTGACCGACTTGACCGACTTGACCAGCTTGACCAGCTCGACTTTCCACATCAGAGCGTACCGTATCAGATCTATCAGACTCGACGCCCAGAGGAGCCCCCGGCTCGACCGCCGTGGCCCGCCGCCCAAACAGGTACGGCACTCAGATTGATGGGCCGCCAGTGCTCCAGCGTCTGTCATGGCCTGGTTATCACCGCTGCACCCTCGCCCTCGCCCTCGCCGCGCCGCCGCCACACAACTCCGGCCCCCGTCTCCACTCCGTCCGTCCCGACGACGCGCGGCGCGGGGCCTGCAATGCCGCTGCTACTGCTGCTGCCCGCTAATCCTGGCGGCTGCCGCTGGCTGCTGGCGTTTGCGGGCATCGCGCGCAGGAAGCAGGGTCATTTTATTTGTGTGTTCGACAGCCTGCCGACCGCGGCCGTCTTTGCAGTCGGGGGCCCGCGCGGGCTCTGGGCGGCTCTGGGCGCGTGGACATGCGCCGACGCCACGCTTGTGCGCACGCGCATGCGCCGAGGTGTCGTCCGTCCGTCCGTCCGTTCGTTCGTTCGTTCGTTCTGCCAGCCAGAGCGTGCCATTCTGTCAGCCCATCAGCCGGCCGACCAATCAGCCATCCAATTAGCCAACCAACCAGCCAACCAATCAGCCAACCAGCCAGCCAGTTCAGCCAGTTCAGCCAGCCAGTTCAGCCAGTTCAGCAGCTTATGCAGCCGCTCAGCCGCTCGCCGTCCGACTTTCGCCGTCCGGCTCCGCCACCGCCTACCTACCCCGTGCACTCCCCGCCTACCCTACCGCGCCCGCGCCCGCGCGCACGCCCACGACACGACGCGACGCCGCTCTCCCGCCCCCGCCCCCGCCCCCGCCGCGCTCATCGTCCACCCTGCCATCCCGCGCGCCCCGAAGCTCAGACCCCGCTTCACATCACCCGCGCACGCGCGCACGCCACTCGACCTGCGACCCTCACTCTTTCACTCTTTCACTCTCTGTCTCCAAATAATAATATAATCATATATCGAACACAGTCGTGCAGAACCGCCCTCGCCCTCGCCCTCTGCTCAAGCTCCCGCCTCGACTGCGCCCGGCGCTCGTCCTCGTGTTCATAAATAATAAGCGTACGGTGGTACACGGAGTCTATTCTACCGCGGACGCGGACGCGTACAGAGACGGGCTACTGCGGGCTACTGCGGGCTACTGCGGGCTACTACGGGCTACTACGGGCTACTACAGGGCGGCTACAGGATCATTAAACAACAACAACAGCAACAACAACAACAACAACAACAACAGAAACAGAAACGACGAAACAGAAAATACCAAGAGACCGATGACCGACACGACACGAAAAACGCAAGAAGGAGAGAGAGAGAGGGACAGCGCAGGACGGCGGCAGGAGACGGGAGTGCGGGAGTGCGGGAGTGCGGGGCGTACGTATATGTTATGTATGTACGTATCTATATATGAATGTATGCTATATACGCTCCGACGAGCGAACGAACGCACCGCATCCCAGAACCAAGCCAAGCGGACGCGCGCGCGGCTACTCGCCCGTCGGGCCCCGCATCCACGGCTCGTCCCACAGCTCGCCGACCCGCGCGCGCTTGCACGGGTCCCGCACGAGCAGGCGCGCAACCAGCCGCCGCACGCCCGCGATCCGCGCCAGCCCCGTCCCCCGGATCCGCTCCTCCGCCGCCTCCGCGCCCTCGGCTGCGGCTTCAGCTTCGGCTTCGGCTTGCGCGTCGCCGTCCGCATGCCCCCTCTCCGCGCCCGTCGGCGACGGCGGCTCTTCGCCCCCGCCCCCGCCCCCGCGCGCGTCCCCATCCTCCGGCCACGCATACTCCCCGCGCGCGATCCGCATCAACCACGCCCTCCGCGCCGCCCTCCCCTCCCTCCCCGCACCCGCGCCCGCACCCGCACCAGCAGGCGGCTCAAACGGCAGCCTCCGCGACGCGAGCGCAAACAACACCACGCCAAGCGCCCACGCGTCCGTCTCCCGCCCGTCGTACGTGCCCTCCCGGCGCGGCGTCACCGCCTCTCCCGCCGCCGCGCCATCCCCACCAGCACCAGCACCAGCACCGGCACCAGCACCCCACTCGCCCGAAACCCCCGACACGCCCGGCGCACCCGACGCACCCGACACACCCGGCGCACCCGACACGCCATACGTCCCCGCGGCCAACAACTCCGGCGCGGCGTACGACTCGGACCCGCAGCGCGTCGTCAGCCACGGATCGCGCGGGTCGATCGCGCGCGCGAGCCCAAAGTCCGTGAGCTTCACGAGCGGCGCGACCGCGGACGCGGGCGCGGGCGCGGGCGCGGGCGGGAGGAGCGGGTTCGTGGTGAGCAGGATGTCTGTCGCGCGCGCGCGTCTCATGTCAGGACAGGAGGAAGGAAAGGAAAGAGGAGAGAGGAAAGAGGAAAGAGGAAAGAGGGCGGGGACGCACTCTCTAGCTTCAGATCCCTATGGACCACCCCCCGCTGATGCATCCACCCCACGACGCCGACGAGCTCCGCCCATATCCTGCGCAGCACGCGCGCGCCGAGGCGCGCGTGCTGCGCGTCTGCGTTGACGGCGTCGAAGAGCTCGCCGCCGGGTACGTGCTCGAGCACGAGCGCGTGGTGCGTCGCGAGCGAGAGCGCGGCGTGGAGAGCGGGCAGGGAGGGGTGGGTGGGGGCGTGCGCGGGGGCGGAGAGGCGCTGGTGCGCGTGTGCGTGCGTGCGTGCGTGAGCGGAGGGTCGGAGGAGAGGCGAGCAAAAGACGCACCTTGAGCACCTCGGCCTCCCGCAAAAAACTCGCCCTCGCGCGGTCTCCCCGCCCCCGTCCCCCGCGCGCGCGCGCGATCATCTTCACAGCCACCAGCCTCCCCCCCGCCTCCGCCCCCGCACCGCCATCCGCACCGCCCACCTCCGCCTCCGCACCGCCCACCTCCCTCCCCAACCAAACGCAGCTAAATGCCCCCGTCCCGATGGGACGCACGAGCTCGTACGCGCGCGCGCCCGCCGCTTCGGGGAACACGCTCCCCGCCCCCGCGCGAATCACGCTCCCCGCGCCGAGCCCCCCCGCGTCCGCCAGCAGGGGCGCGTCGAGCCCGCCGTCGGGCACGACGCCGGCGGCAGCGGCGATGTGCGCCTCGCGCGGGATGTTCATCGGCGCGTGCAGAGTCGGCGTCGCGCTCGACGCGCCGCGCTCGCCGTCCGCGCGGATCGCCAAGAGGCTCGTCCGTCGGCGCCGGCGCGATACGGGCGCCGCGGCGCCAGTGTCGTCGTCGTCGTCGTGATCGTCGTGGTAGCTGTGATCGCTGTGATCGCCCTCGCCGTCGTCGTGCTCAAACGCGCGCCGCTCGTACTCGAACGCGCCCGCGCGGCTTGGCGCGATGGACGCGTAGCGCGAGGGAAACAAACGCGCGAGGGGCGGGAGGCGCGTCTTGTGCCGCGGCGCGTCGTCCGTGTCCGAGAGCGCCTCGTGCGCGTCGTGCGCGGCGTGAGACGCGGACGCGGACGCGCGCTCGGAGAGCGAGAGGGAGAGGGAGCGCGAGGGCGAGGCGGAGCGGAGGCTCGTGGGCGGGGTCGGCTTTGGCGCGTGTGCTGCGGGCGGGGCGAAGAAGTCTTCCGTGCGGGAGCGGGCGCTGCTGCCCTCTCCGCCGCGGCGTGCGGAGCGGTGCGAGGCACATGTGGAGGAGGTGGAGTTGTCGCGGGAGAGCGAGGGGAGGGAGGGCGGGGGCGTAGGGCCCGCGGTGAAAGAGTACGAGTAGGAGGAGAAGAAGGAGAGGGTGCGGGAGGGGGTGGACGGGGACGAGGTCGATGCGGAGGTGGAGGTGGAGGTGGAGGTGGAGAGGAGGGAGGCGGAGCGCGAGGGCGTGGGGGACGCGGACGGCGGGGAGTGTGGGGAGTGGGAAACGGAAGCCGCGGCACTGGTCGGCACGTCCTCGGCGGCGGCAGCACCCGCGTCAAACTCGCTGCCGCCGCCGGCTCTATCTGCAACGCTGGTGCGTCTTGAGAGCGGGGTCGGAGTCGGGATCGGCGAGGGTGCGCGCACGGGGCGGGCGAAGAATGCGGCGGTCTTGGAGGGTGAGGAGGCGGACGAGGCGGAGAGGTGCGACGGGGGGGAGGCCGCGACAGGGGCTGCGAAGAACGCGGCGGTCTTTGAGAACGGGGCGGTGGGCTGCGGCGCGGGGATCGTCGGGGTCGTCGATGGGGAGGGTGGCCCGAAGGCGGAGAAGGAGGCGTAGGCGGGGGTCGAGGCGCGCGGGGACGACGGCGAGGAGTGCGGGTGCGAGTGCGGGTGCGGGTGTGGGTGTGGTGGAGGAGACGTGCTCGGGGGCGATGCGAGGAAGTCGTAGCGTGAGGGCGGGGGCGGGGGCGACGGGGACGACGACGAGAGCAGCATCTGCGGTCTACGGCTGCGACGGCTGCGACGGCTGCGACGACGACGACGAGGGCAGCGAGGACGACGAGGGCGAAGACATGGAAGAGCAGAGGCTGACTCGGTCACGCTCCCCCTCGGGCCCTGTGACCTCGCGTGACACCCGGAGCAACTCCCGATGCATCGCACGCTTCCGGCCGAGGCCCCCGGCTCTCCCCCGCGCCCCGCATCCCCGCGACCCAGCGGTCCCAGCAGTATCCCAGCCTCGTTCACCACCCTCCGACAAATCCTGCCCAACGCAATCGCAATCGCAATCGCAAAATCAAAATCCAAAATCAAAATCCAAATTCGAAAAAAAACTCAAAAAAACAAACGCCGACGCCGGCCAAGGCGCAGCCACGCGCCCCCGATCTCAAATACAGCCATTGACTCGCCTCTACGCTCATCTCCCATGACGTGCCCCGGGCCATTGCGCGTGGTGCACGTACGCGCCCTTACGCGCCCACCTCGTATCCACTACCTGATACAGGTCCCAGCCCAGCCCAGCCCTTATCTGCGCCGATCCGCCCGCACTGCCCCCGCCCGCCCGAGCTTTCCTTTCGCCTTTCGCCTTCGGACTTTTAGCTGCGGACTTCCAGCTGCGGACTTCCAGCTTCCAGCTGTGGACTCCCAGCTTCGGACGACGAGCTTCGGACGACAAGCAGTGCGGCACTTATCGACCTATCTCTGGCGCTCTTCGAGCTGCGCCGGCGCGATACGATACGATACGATACGATACGATACGATGCAACTCGATACGGCGACGATACAGCGCGATACGCCACGATACGATACGACTCGACTCGACTTGACTCGACGACGATACGAAACAATTCAATACGACTCCACTCGACTCGATACGACACAGCGCGACACGACACGGCACACTCCGCGCCGGCCCGCAGCCCGCTGCCCCATGCCCCCTGCCCCCTGCCGTCTGCCCCGTGCCGTGCTATATAACTGCTATAACCACAAACACCACCCAACCCCGGATCCCACCATCACATACAGCCGCACGCACACGAGTACACAGATACAGCCTCGTTCAGCCATCCAGCGCCGCACCGGGGCGCCCGCGCCCGACGGCGCCTCGAACGTCGGTCCGTCTCCAGTGCGAGAGCACTTCGAGTCTTGCGCGGGTCGCTTCCCTGAGACCCGTGCTCTCGAAGGGACATGCTATCGAGGGTACATGCTGTCGAGGGGACATGCTCTCGAAGGCCCAAGCTCCGTCAGCGCTCCATCCCGCTCAGCTGCGCGCGTCCGGCGTCCGGCGCCCCGCGCCCCGCCAAGCCCCGCCAGGCCGTCCACTCTGAATTTGCGCTCCTGCCTCTGCGCTCCTCCCACCCTCGACGCCCAACGCCAGCCGCTGCAGGCCGCTGCTCATCGCATCGCATTACGTATACGCAGCACCGACGACGATGGCGGCGGCGGCGGCGGCGGCGGCGGCGGCGGCGGCGGCGGCGGGCCTCGCTAGAAACGCAGCAGGGAGCAGGACCGGAGCAGTTCTACACTCTGTGTGGCCGGCCTCGACTCGTCGGGCGCCCACTCGCCCCTCCGCGCCACAGACTAGGAAAACCAGAACGTAAGTAGCGCGCGCCGGGCACCGACGAGACGGGCATCCGATGTGTGTCGTTCACGCCGCGCGTCTTGCTGGACGGATCGCACGCGGTCTTTGAGCGCGTCGACGCGAACGCGCTAGGACTTCGTCGCGTTCTGTGTGCAATAGCGAACGTGTTGTGTTTAGAGCTTTTTTTGGTCCTATATAATGTAGACAGCGCGGCAGTATAATAAACGATACATGAAAGTGCTTCTCGCCCGCTCGCAGTTCAGGCATACACACTACACAGGGCGAGAGAGAACAGCAGGCACGCGGGCGCCGTCAATACCGCCCCCTCCGCGGACCCCACCTCTGTCCCCGATTGCCCCCGCCCCGGCGCGGCTGCTGCCAGTCCTCCTCTCCGGGCCCACCCCCGCCACCATGATAAACGTGGCCCGTCGGCGCGTCCCCCCCAAACACGTCCTCCTGCGGCGGCAGCGGCCCGCTCTGGCGCCCCAACGCGAACGTCCCGGCGCCCTCCGCGCCGCCGCCGAGCCCGGGGAGCACAAACTCGTCCTCTGCGCCGTTCTGCCCGCCGTTCTGCCCCCCGCCGCCGCCGCCACCGCCGGGCCCGAACCCGTTGCGCTGCCCGTACGGCCCGTCGGCGCCCGGCGGGCCCAGCCCGAACCCCTGCGGCTCCTCGTCCTTCGCCCACCAGCCGCCGCCGAACCCGGGCACCATCGCCTCCTCCTCGTCCTGCTGGCTCGTGTCGACGACGGCGGGCGGCTTCTCCCCGCCGCCCGAAAACACGGAGGACGCGTCGCCGGGGCGCTCGCGCGACCAGAAGCGCGTCGTGTGGTCGTTGGAGGCGCTCACGAGGAGGTGCCCGAGCGGGTGGAACACGAGCGCCCACACGTTCGAGTCGTGCGCCTGTGAGAGCGTCGCGCGCGGCTGCGAGAGCGTCTGTGGGAGCGCGGGGTCCGGCAGGGAGAGGTCCCAGTGCAGCAGCGAGCCTTCGGAGCCGCCCGTGACGAGGAGCGGGTGCACGGGGTGCCATGTGACCGCTGGGGAGGCGGGGCGATGAGCGCGCGGGCAGTGGACGAGGGGAGGGGGGGGAGGAAAGGAGCTCACAGCAGACTTCTTTTTTGTGCCCGCGGAGGATGCAGAATTCCTTCATCGCGCGGATGTCGAACACGCGGGTGGTCTGGTCTCGGGACGCGCTGGCGACGAGGTTCCCGTTGGGCGACCAGGCGAGGGCTTGGATGGTGTTCTTGTGTTGGTGTCTGACACCGTTGCATCATTTATAATGCGGACACGCCGAATGTGTGCGACTCACAAGGTGGTGAGCGAGGTCCCCGTTCGCGGATCCCAGAATTTGATCTGGTTATCCTTGCTCCCAGAGACTAGGAGCCCTTTGGTAGGATGCCATTCGACGCACTTGACGTCCCACCCGTGTCCTAGAGATGCCGATTAGGACGTGCACTTGACCGTCGACGAATGCAAATACCCGTGAGAACTCTCTCTCTCCGGCTTTCCTCAAACGACCAGATGCAGAGCGTCGAATCGTCGCTTGCGGTCGCGAAACGGTTGTCGTCCGGGCTGAAGCTGAGACCGCGGATGGCCTCGCGATGGCCCTGCCACGCAGTCAGGTTGTTCATGTTGGGCTGAAAGTACTTGATGATGCCGCTCTGGTCTGCGGACGCCAGATATGCGCCAGAGTGCGTGAACTGCATCGCGCGAATCGCATTGTCGTGCGCCTGCAAGATGGTCTCGAAGTTGAACGTCAGCCCGTTCCAGAGCGTGAACTCGCCGCTCGTGGATCCCGTCAGAATCCGCCTCCCTTCTGGCGTCCACTGTCAAAAGAGGGTAAGCCATCGATGCATGCCCTCGATAGGCGTCTCTCGAGAGCTGCGACGGACCACTACGACATTGACGGGGCATCTGATTTTGTTGGTGGATGTGTGGACGAATTTGGTGCACAGCGAGGTGGAGGCGTTGTCTGGGTACGCCTTGGGAGGAAGGAGCTGTAATACCGCCCATTCAGTCGATGCTTCAAGTTGTCGAATCGCATTGGAGGAATACACCGTACATCGACTATATAAGGTGGACTTGGCCTCAAATATGGGACATATCTCGGGCTCGGTTGGATCTTGCGCAACTGGCAGAGATATGCTCGCTGTGAGCGCCATGGAAAGGTGTAGGCACATGAACTCTGTGCTCACCAGGTTCCAACGGCCCATGCCCCCAGCATAGTCCACCGTCCGCCGCGGTCGCGTCTTCTTGAGCGCCTTTCCATCCATCATCTGCCTCGCAGCCGCCATTTCTAAATCATGGCTTTTCGCGTCGTCCATGGGTGGAGCCTGCGGTGCGTTCAAATAGCTCTTTGGCGTCCATTCAGAGAAACTGGCTGGTTGTGGCACGCGGATGACCTCTGGCGGCAGAAGCACTGGTAAAGGCGAGCTCGCCATGAGTCGTCCACAGGAGTACGGGTGCTAGAGCACAAAAACCAAAGGCGAGAATTGAATCGAAGACCAAACGATTTGTACGACTCGGACTTTTACAGGGATGAGGCGCACCGTAAGGACTGGTATTTTGTTACGTAAGTACAGAAGGATGAGTAGCCCGATTTGGACTGTGTTGCCGTGCTCCTGTTCTATCTACATCATGGATCCGTGTCTATCTGTCTCTACCGTGACAAGCGTTTTTATTGTTGGGGTCAATCCTCTCAGCACCGTGCATAGCGCAGAGATCTGTCCTCCATTCTCGAACATCGCGGATACAACTTCAATCGTGCCCTCGGGCCTCCACGGTCTGAGGTCTCTACACAATACTCGCATCATGCGATACGTTCAATGACGCTGTTCTGAACGGATTCCGAGCCATTACTAAGGTAGAATGGACCAAACAGCCGCCACCTGGTAAGAAAGTCAAAAAGGGTGACACCGTGAGTTACTCCTCGTGCGCTCGCATCCCGTACTAACTGTTTTTGAGGCGCCAAGGCTCAGCTGTCGCATGTTCTGGTGATCTCCCAGTGACAACGCCTGAAGAATACCTGTCCGGGTCGTTACGCGGAACCCGGAGATACAGGCCTCAGCACCGCTGCGGTTCACAGTCAGAGCATCACCATATTGATGGTCTCACGTTGGGCATCTCGTGCGTACCTCCCTTATTGTGTCGAACACAGCTAAGCGAAGCCTGAGCACTTGATCCCTTAGCTCCAGGGGCACGCCCGGAGCATAGCATTGACGATGATTCATCCTCTTTCGTGCACTGCAGTTAATCGTTGGCCACGCGCCACCAATCTCTTCAGTAATCTCGGAGAACACGATCCCATATCGCAATCAATGTGCTCTACCTAGAAGCTCAAGCACTCGGCACTCGTCGGTACTGAGGACAAAAAAGAAATTCCTTGCTAGTGCTCTCCGACCTCCGTAACACCTTTCGGCCCCGCACCCCTCGGCCCCGCACCTCGCGCTTCAAGCTCGGTTCTACTCGCAATTGGTGACGCTATTCCGCGCTCCATTCCAAAGCTGGCTCTCATCTCTCTGATCGCCATTCATGTCCTTGACATCCGATCGAGCTCGATGACAAATGTGGGACAGGTACTACCCCCGGTGGCTGTCTCGTCCCAGGACCGGAACACCGCCGACGCTAGGCCAGGATAGCGCATGCCTAGTCAGAGTTCCTAATAGTAATAAACTATAGCGCTCAGGACGATCCACAGAGAAAAAGCAAGAAATAAACATACTACATTGGTACCAGGAGTACGATGAGAGAACCGTATTTTTGACTACTGCTACAGTCGATCCAGACGATCGAAGCAAACGTGACACAAACAGGACAAGGTAAAAGGAGCGAAAGGACGGTAGAAAGACAATGAAAGTCCAAAGCAGGATCAAACAGTACAAGAACAGCGATATAGGTGAGTGGAGAAGTGGAGGACCCTACAAGGACGTGTGGAAAAAATCTTCAAATCTAACGTTATCTGCTGCATGAAGGTCATACGGCTCCTGAGTCTCACTCAAGACCGGCGTTCTATCCAGGGCGAGGGAATATGACTGGAGATCATAGCCACTCTCCATCCACATCGTCTGCGAGGCATCAGCACCCAATGTCGATGCGTTATCGCTGAAATACGAGTTTTGCTGCGACTGTGGTGGCGAATCGTTGAACGCGGAGGGGTAAGCGAGGGCCAATCCCATTTCGTCGGATTGCGGCGTTGCCACAGAAGTGCTATCTGAGGGAGTGAAGGACGACTCCTTTGGACTATCGCTGTAATTCCAATTGGCGAGTTGCAGATTCATTGCGTCGAGGCTCGTGGAATAGGCATCGTTCGGGTACGACAAGTCGTATGGAACAGATGGATAACCTCCAGACGGGTAGACGCTCTGCGACATGTCGAACGACATCGCATACGCTTCCTAGAAGGTGCGAGCGTTAGCGACATGTGTCAATCAGAATTTGAGGAATTGGCTGACCTGCACGTCCACACTTGGATATGACGCAGTCTGCTGATTCTCGACGTAGGGAGAGTATTCGTCTGTATATGGGCGCTGCACGGCTCCATGGGCCTCGTTCTCCGCCCAGGACTGTACAGTTGAGAACGATGTGGCGTCAGGGGTGGTTGGGCTATCTTTCTGTAGATAGGAATGGGGGAATGGGGAAGAGGCCGATCGCTGTCGGCTCAGAATGGGGGGTGATGGATCGTCGTCCTGCGTCTGACTTCCCTCAGGAGAGGAAGCCTCGACACTGCCCTCACAATCATGGAATTCCGCTTGCTGACTGCCACCCAACTTCTCCTGCATGATGAGCCGAGCTACCTTCGCACAACGGTCCATCCCCTGGCGCTTGCCATTGGTGCGACGCTCGACACCCGTTGCCTGGGTACGATTGCGGGATGGATTGAAGCGATAGTCAGGGTTCCGGAGAGCGTGATCGAGCTTCTCAGCATCAGCGAGTGCCTTGTAGTGCTCATGCTCTTCATCAGACAACCTCTTCCACGCCTCACCTGCGCGCTTGGACAGAGTCGTGTCGGTAGCAGTGGCAGAAGTGGCACCTGACGAGGAGCCATGTTTGGCATGCTTGGAGGCGTACTCGCACCGGAATATGATAAACGCGTTGCGCGGGCGAGGAACCCACGCCGGATTGCGCATGCGGTTGCGGATGGCGCGTCGATCGGACGAGGTCAGGGTGGAGCTGGGCGGGGTAGTGTCTGTGGAATAGCCGGGGGACTGAGCAGACCGATAGGAACCGAACGATACAGATCGGGATGGACGCGTGTGAGGGATGTAACGATGCTGGGAACTAGGCTTGCCCAGTGGCTCGATGGTAGGAAGGTCGTGTGCATGGCGGAAATCAGGTGAGGTCGAAGGGGACGTCGAGGATGAGGACGAGGGTGAGGGTGTCCATCCGAAAATCATACCAGTCTCTTCGTAGGCAGACATGACTATCGGTGGTATGGGCCAGCGGAAAGGTGTGAGGAGAGAGGGCAGGCAGGACTGTTAAATAGCGGCGTTCAATCTGGATTTCGCCCAGTGAGCGATTTGATTTTTGCCCATATCTTGTTTCGCCCTCCGCTCCATTGTGTCCGGCAACTAACATCGAGATCCGCCGGCGTGCCACATCTCGTGGCCACTCGATCATCGTGATCGCCCTCTACCCTCTCCTGGTAGTAAGTTGCTCATTGGCCCGCCCCTTACAACCTCCTATTCAACGCCCAATCCCCTCCCGTTTAAAGCAGCTTACTATAAGTTTACGGTTTTGGACTGAGCTATGAACCGTGCCCATTCAACGACGGACCGGGGTATTGTAGTTAGAACATTCACACCAGTGCCTCGGGATCTGTGCATGATCGGGTATGCTACTGCTTTTTGGGAGAAAAGGTTCCGTCAACATGGCTGGAGCGGTTTCGTGATCGACGCCGCACTGCTCGGACGTTGAGCGTAAGCTGCCCTTGGCCCCCTGCTCCTCGACGTCCTCCAGACACGGGGCTCTACCATCATACACCGCAAGAATTTAGGGTGACCATGAACCATTGGGCAGTGCCCAATCGATTCCTGACTAGCCGACGCGGTTCGCCAGAGGTCACCGCGGTATCATATGCTGAATGCAGAACCATGATTCAGGATTTTTCGGTAGGATTTATCTCATGTGGCCCATACCGCTTCTTGTGATTTTAGGGGTTCCGCAAGCATATCCTGCGGTGCAAACATGTACCAGGCATTCGTCATAGGACGGCGAATGAACGCACGCTTATGTGTACAAACCTAATCGCCTCTGTCAGTGGCTCAGGATGCTGGATCGGGCCCGCATCCGCTGTTCCTGGAATCCATGTCTGTACTTACCCGCCCTAGGTAAGTCGTGTCAAGCCTCCGGTATACAACTCCTGCGAATGCTGTGGTCTTCGTATCCTTTCGTATCTCGCTCAGACCTTGCGCCATCATGGCCTGAGGCGATATCCGGAAAATATATAGAAAAATGGGGCATAAAGATCAATCACCTGCAAGGTCTCAGAATCTAGTGGACAGCGTCGGCAGGCTAGAACCCTGGAGTGAACAGTATCCCAGCCAATAGCGGAGAATAATTAGAAGTCCGTCTGGGTTGAATGCCGTGCACGCGACAGACACTGGAATTCTTTTCACAATCTAGAAGGCGAATAATGAAGGCACCATATCGCAGCTACCACGCAGGCTAACACGCAGCGTTACGAAAAATGTCCTGCGCTTCTTCAGGACAGGACAGGGTTTGTTTGCCTGCTCGTGTACATCCAATACCACTTGATATGAACAGATGGCTTGATCAATCGTTTGCTAGGGATTGCTAGCATCAAGCCAGTACTGAGGCACGATCTAATAAGAAGTCTTCAAGATGCTCTGGCCTCGGCAAGCATAACAAATAATAATAAATCGTGCAGCCTTCAAATCTGGTGCGCTGTCGTAATGGAGAAGCAGGGAGAGGGGGAGACAGAAGAAAAAGAAAAGAAAAAAGAAAAAGAAAAAGAAAAGGGCAAGAAAAGGGGAAGAAGGGCTAGGTCGACGGCTGCGGTCGACCACGAGGCTCACACCTACCATATCAGTATTCCACCCGAAGATGTCTTCTCTCGGAAACCGCGGCTTTGCCTAGGAAGCCGCGTGCCGGCGGGAACCGCCTAGACACTGTCCGGGGTGATTTAGTAAGCCCAGGTAAGCCCCGAGTGAAGCCCCGAGCCGGGCCCTGAGCGATTATTAGGTTCAAAGGTGCCTATGATGATACACAGATCTAGGTAAGGATTTGAGCGTCGAGCTGAGGCTTGAAGTCGACGGTATGTATGAATATTGATTTTCGAAGCTAAATTCAACCAAAGCGACGGTTCTGTCCGGGACGCAATGAATACGAACGGTGAAGCAGCAATAAATGAGACTGTGGATTGACCTCGGCCTCGGCCATCGTTTGTCACATGAAATGCAGCAGTAAGACGAGCTGGCGCACGCACCAACAGCAGTGGCACGCCTAATCCGAAGAGAGCCGAACTGTCAGCCGATAAAGGGGTGCAGCTTGGAATAAACGAAGCACTGAGATATGAAATACGATATCGAGGTGCCATAGGGTGGCCAGGGTGCCATCCGAAACGTTGAATACGAAAAACCGGTCAATAAGTAATCAAGGTTAGATAGGGTCAGATCCATTGAGTTCTGCTTGCGTAAGAAGACGGTAATGAAATAAGGGCTCACAAAGGCTCATTAGAGGCTTCCTGTTCTGCTGAGCCTAGGCCAATGAGATTCATGGAATCCCAGCAAATGGCGGGAGGTAGCAGAAGACGCCCGAACACGCGGCACCCAAGTACCTAAGTAGTTGTGAGCATGAGGAGAAAAGCCCAAAGGTTAGCCGGCCCAAAGGGAGGCACGACAGAGACTGCTCAATGATGCTCCGGTACGAGAACAAGTAACCATAATCACCGGAAGAAATCCGGCATTCCGTGAGATCATGCTTGTTATCCTCGTGCGTACCTCTTACACCAGCTCCGCAGCCCCAAACACAGGGTGAGCCTGGTCAGGCGCATATGGTTGACGAAAGTATCGCACCTGCACGTAGAACATCCTTGAGGCTGTTTGAGGGCATTCGACTGATGTCTATCGATTCTGACGCGTAGCGGGTATTAAATATTTCAAGCGCAGCTCGAGTTACAAGTTGCCTGTCCATGCTAATTTGGGCGATATGTGTTGGATGAATATCGATGAAGATGGAGGCTGACGCGCTGACCACCTGAGGAGATCCGAGCTAGATGTCTTGGTACACAAGCGCGGAAGATGGGCAGGATCTTCTCAGTGGCGATACGAGTCCACAACAATGCGTACCTGAGATCTTGGTTCAGTATCGAGTCTTCGGTCAATAAATGATCAAGGATAACATGGTTTTTGCGAAAGGTTAAGAATAGCAACTACATTGTTTGCTGAGAGCACTGAAATGAAGACGCGTCATGTCGTGATATTCAAGCTCAAGGCAAGGCCATGGCGATACATTCCTGTACGATCGCCAGGGAAAACGCTCACGGCCATCACGTGCGCTATGACGTATGCATGAAAAAACATGAGGAAATCAGCAAAAAAAAATCTTAAAGCCCGAAGCCCGAGGCCCGAAGCCCGAAGCATTCCTCCTCGATCGTATCCTGCGTTAGAACGCGGAAGAGATTCAATGAGGAGGCTGAAGTTCATTCCACAGTTACCTGCATTCCGACTCGGACGCCCGACACGGGGACAAGTCCGTCGAACGGAAGATCGACTTGGAGCCATTGCTGTCGATTTCCGCTGCGAGTCGGGCTCTCTTGGCGCATGAAGGAAAGAAGACACAAAGCAATTCATTCGCTAGACGAAGAGCAACACACACTGCACGATGGGAAAGCTGATAAAAGAGCATCCATAACAAGTCCCCGAAAGTCCAATGACACGTCCAAAGTCCAAAGTCCAAAGTCCAAAGCGTAACGATCTTCCTAATTTTCATGCATGATCTTAAACGGTATTGAAGATAGTCAGGAAGGATTCAGACAGCGAGCTGTGAGTGAACCAAACTGACCCTACAATCCACACTGGGACGCCGCAACCTGCGTTACTGTCGCCGACACAGTACCCAACGCCACACCCTGATTGTTCGTCAAGGTATTCATCGCCTCCAACGACATGTTGATTCCGTCGCCGGCATGATCCACCCCCGTGACAAGGACGCTACGGCCGTTGTACGTGACCTCCCAGCAAGTCCCACAGCTAGGTGAGTTCCACCCGGCAATCGCCTGGACAGCAGCGACGTTCGGGAAAGACGGTAAAGAGCCGAGGGTGCTGAAGCCCTTGTTGATGAGGCCGTTCGTGCCATCGGAGCAGGCGACGTCCGTGAGGGGTTCGTTGGCGTTGTCATAAGTCTCGTCGTAGCGGACGTCAGTGGCGAACGCTGTAGATGCGAGAACGGCGAGGGATGCGAGGGCGAACGTGAACTTCATTGTCGGTGGACGGAGGGTTGTCGTGGACAGACGTAAAGAGATAGGAGGACGACAGAGATGAGAGCACAGACCGATTGAGGCGAGCACACTGAGGATCCCAGCCAGCAAAAGAGGCATTTATAGAGTATTTGTACGGTCAATGTACCCCGACGGTTCACAGAAGACCGCCGAAATCGTCGTCCAGCATGCGCACGAAGTAACCCATGACCGAGGACTTGACAGGCGATGACCGGAGTAAGTGCCCGCTGCATTGCCTGCAGGAGGCGCCTAGGCAGCAGAATGAGGCAATGTCATCAAGAAGGCGGATCAACTGACCGTGAACAGCGTTCGGATCATATGGAAGGTGGGGCTATTTAAAAGGCTGTCTGACGCACGAGCACATTTGCGTCAGAGAAGCTCTCTCATCGCATCGTGGATGGTCGAGACGAACGCGCCAAGCAAGCTCCATTGCAATGATCAGGCCGAGGCTTGCCTCCATGAAAGCGACCTAGGTCAGCTCTATGAGAAACTGAAGCTGGAGCACTGGAGTGCCATCGGACTGTCACCGTTATGGTTTCATTCTCTAGACCATATGGAAAGGCGGCTTGATGACTGGGGCAACATACAGGGGTATATTCCGTTTTCGGCCACACAACTTAGAGTGAAGAACGCGATGCAATGGGCTTCGTAAGACATGCGTCAGTCGTTTGAGTATCCCTGAGCTCGTTCAAAGAGGTAAGGCCATATGGAGCGCATTCTAGACTTTGAAGGTAGAACAATTGGAAGGCAAACGTGGTTGGCCTGTGGGCGCTTGTGCGGTCGTGGCGAAGCGTGCCCGGGTTTAGCCGAACTATGGGGCTTACCGACGTCCCCGGCGGGTCTCGCTCTGACACTCCTCCATTCTGTAATGCAAGCTTCAGGTGCGTCTCTTTCCAAGATTTAGCCACTTAGTGGCAGAGTTGAAGCTAGAAAACTCATGCGATTCCTTACAGGTGAAAGATTCTCATATCTCTAATTCTGCGCCAGAGAACTCTGATCGGCGGTCTTCACCTGCTCGGAGAAAGTGTAAAGGAGATGGACTCTCCTGCGAAACCAGATAATCAGCCTGACGCTCCTCGGCCAGGACAGACGATCCGTGGAACGCTTCTGTCACATTTGACCAACGTTGTACAGGGATCGACGCCGTTCATATCCATCTTTCTTTTGATCCATCTTTCAGCTCCAGTTCTCGCAAATGTTGGAGGCTCGTCGCTGTCCTCTCAAGTCATGGTACGCAGTCTTCCACCGAAGAACTGCCTTTGATTATTCCGAAAATCTGATCATCATCCATTATCTCCGAATATTCACAGCTCCTCGGGCGAGAATATTACCAAACCGCTTTCGGCGAAGCCTACCTCGTTCTTCTCCCTCTCACACTCCATCCCCTCACCGCAACTCTCAAGCGTATTCTGTCCCCGCATTCGCCCCGCCCTCCTTCGAGCCTTCTGACAATCACGGGTTATACGACCCTTCTATTTCTTCCGATTCACTTTCTCACACACCGCCTAGCTCCAGCCTCTCCGCTACCTCCAATCGGTTCCATTGGACCTGCAGAGCTAGACTACGAGTTTGTGAAGGCGGGGCTCAGTGCTTGGCCTCTTCGCTCATGGGTTCTCTACAGCGGACTTGCGCTCGGTGTAGCTTTCCATATGGGCGAGGGAACGCATTTGATGTGGAATACGTGGGAGCCTCATGCGACGGAGAAATGGAGGAGCTTTGGCAAAACAACGAGGCGTGTTATTGCTGCTGCCTGCGCCTTCCCTGTGATTTCAGGACTGTTTGCCTTATCGCAGGAGCCGTTATTGTTGTTCGCGTCAACGCTCGAGCGAATTCATGCTTCGTTCACTCAATCTATCATCTTCAGAATTTGATTTAGAAGGACTATCGAATTCACAGTTTGCAATGATGTTATGATTACAACAGCTCGCTTTGCGATGTTCAAAGGCGTGCGTATGCATTACATTGATCTTCTTGGCAACAAACTGACAGATAAAAGAGCGAAAGTGGTATCTTTCTAATAAGTCAATTATACAGACAGATGGGACTTGTTTCTTGTACCGGGAAAAACAACACAGATCCTACATCCTCCGTTCCTTGTACCTTCCAACGCTTCCAAATCAATGCCTAGAGCGGATGCTCATCGTCCGCATTGTCGGGACTAAAGGAATGATAAATCACTGGTCGTGAATGACTTGGCAGAGACGTACACATCATCAAGCCCTTGATATCCTTCACCCTGGCCTGCTCGATCGACTTCCTCAAAATCAACACCCGCACGCTGGCCCACACCAGCAGTAGACACCCAAACGCAACCGGTATCAACCAGTACAATGGCGACAAGTGGAACGAGCCTCCGAAGACCACATGCAAGGGAGGCGTGTAGACGATGAAGATACCCAGACAGGCGCCTGCAAAGATCCCGAAGAAGTTGTATTTGTTCCAGTTTCCAAAAGGCAGGGAGAATTTGGCCTTGACCGCAAATACCTAGAGGAAATGCGGTTCAGAAACAAATGCGTGGACGCTAGGTGAGTAGATGATGAATTTACGTTGAAGCACTGCATGATGAAGATCGAGAGGTATACTGGAAAGGAGCATGGTTTAAGTTATTAACGCAGGCATCATGCGGGGAAAGGGTCACCTATTGATTGAGCCTCGCCTAGGGCCCGTACTTGCTGTGAACTTGACAAGATTCTCCCACTGTGATTGACGAAATCGGGGCTAGATTTTGTGAAATATACTGCGAAGACCAATCGTGTCAGGAACGAATGAAAACGATGAGCCGGAATTCAATCACCTCCCGCCTGTTGAGCTGTCCTCAGGTCGCTTGGAGAGAAACCATTCTTGAAGAATACAACAAAGTATGCGACCAAACTACCCAATATCAACGTAAGACGACAAGAGGTAAAAAATGGACACATTCCAAGACTCACGATCCGAGCATTTCAATCATCCCCGCCTCAAGGTATGCGTAACTCAGCAATTTGCCGTCGACAAGATTCTCGCCGCCAGTCTGTTCCAGTCTTTCCTCCCAGAAGTCCCGTGTGAATGGCGCCTTCAATTTTTGAGATATGACACTTATGCGGCTTGGCAGAATGATTTGCTGAGTTTCCGAGTCACGTATAAGCGTTTTGCTCCGTTTGAGGGCCCTGCGTTTCAAAGACATGATTGAGGCCTCGTTTACTGAAGCAAATGAAGGATCAGATCATGACCCATTAAGATTATTTGTCTCAAAATTATGAGTACAGACCTGGCTTTCTTGGGCTCAGGCGCATCAGGCCGTCCTTTGATTCAGACTTGTCCCAAGCGAAAGAGAGCTGAAGAACAAGAGAGCTTATTAGGAGAGATGCCCAAACCTGGAGTTGCCAAACCTACCGCAACAAACAACTCGAATCCAAGGTCTATCAGAATGCTCATTAGCCTCCACTTATGTGATAAAAATTTCACGGTGCGTACCAATCACTAGAATGAGAATAGCTGATAAAGGCAACGGAATAGGAACGACGACATCTATTGCAGCATATTCAGACACTCACTCGCTTCGAAGAAAGGTACGAAGAGCTTACATAGAAGTTGAGGCACGACTTCAGGTGTACTGTGCGAGATGGTATACCTGTCAAACGGCCAATTAGCGTTCTGATATAACACACCTCTGCATCCAAACAACCAAGTAGTAAAAAAAAAAGCTTACTGAATGGAGCGTTTCAAGTTAACAAATATTTGGCGCCCTTCTTGCACGCCCTCTGATATTGCCATGTCAAGCCCAAAACAGGGAATTAGTGATTTTTAGTTTACTCACTGACAGTCGAGGCGAAATTGTCGTCTATAAATCAAATCATGTCAGAATCCAACGGTCTTTGAATCAAGGCATAGAACCTTACCGAGAAGAATCATGTTTGCTGCCTCCTTTGAGACATCGGATCCGGAAATATTCATTGCAATGCCAAGATCGGCCTGGAATTCGATGATGAACAATTAATTGAGAACGTCAAAATATACAACAGACCTTTTTCAGAGCAGGAGAATCATTGACACCATCTCCAGTACTTGAAGGCTGGTTAGTAACAACTATGACTCAGAGAAACGAAGAACGCACACTCCAACGATATGTCCTAACGCTTGTGCACGTTTGACTGCAATAGCAAGAAACCGTGAGCTCTCATTACTCCATTGGCTTCTATTCCGAGTTATCACGCACCGATCTCTAACTTGTGTTGCGGCGAGGTCCGCGCAAACACGATCTCTTGTTTGCTGAAGACTGCATCATGCGTCAACCACTGGTCAAACTCAGCTACGGCGTGTTACTCACTCAAGTCCCATTGCCACCCTTCCAGCTTGTCGATGTCATCTCCGTGTACTACAACAGTTTCAACTTCATCATCGTAGATTTGTTCGATCGGACGTCCAGTCTTCGCGCTTAGCGTCTCCTTCGTATCTCCAAGAATCAAGTTGATTTTGCGTGCAATCGCCTCTGCTGTCTTCGGATGATCGCCTACGTGCCAGTGGACTTGAGAAGTGGTGCTCGGAAATATAGTATATGTACGGACCTGTAACCATCATGACCTTGATTCCCGCAAGTCGAAGAGTTCCAATAGCCTCTCTGACGCCGTGCTTCGGTGGGTCTTCAAGAGAGACAAGTCCCGTAAAGCAGTAGTCAGAGGTCGGGTAATTCACTTCGTTCTTAGAGAAAACATAGTCGACAGGGTACTTGTCGCGTGGCAAAAGAGCTTGAGCACAACCAATGACACGGTGACCTCTGGACGCCATATACTTGATAGATCGAGCAATCAGATCATATTAGATCAAATAGGCTGCAGAACTCACATTGTATGCTGTCTCGTAATTCTGTGCGAAGACATCGTCGATAGGGAGAATCTGCCCTTGCTTCAAGTATGTTGAACATTTCCCCAGGACACGTTCCGGTGCTCCTTTAATGTACAGAGTGAGATCGCCGACATCATGAGGCTTATTGACCTATCAAGAAGATGAGTGAATATTTGATCCGCGAATATAAGAGGATTCCCTCACAATTACAAGCGCCCATTTATTCGTAGAATTGAAAGGAACTTCGAAGGTCTTGCGATGGCTCTTAAGGTATGCATCGTAGTCGGGAAGATAACGTCCAGCGAAACGAGCGAGGCCTGTTTCAGTGGCATCTCCCAGAACTTCACGATTCGTAAATGGCACATCGGTCCTGTCGAACTTGATACGAGAGTTCAAGGCTGCGATAGAAACCATATCGTTCATGCCGGGGGCATCGAGAGCAAAGTTGGGCGTGTCTTGTTCGTCATTGTCAGACTAGACATGATATATCAACAATGAGATGCGAGGGAGGGGATGTCGAACTTACTTGGAATGCTGAGAACATTTTATCACCGTTCCATAGATTCGTAACCTAGATAATCCATGACAACAAAGTGCGATAAAACTAGACTGAGCACGTACTGTCATCTGGTTCCTTGTAAGCGTGCCAGTTTTGTCCGTTGCCAGGAGCGTCAGCTATGGAGGACATTAGTAGGGCACTTTGAATCTATGATGCCTGAAACTCACGGATCCTGTCCCAGGAACGAGCTAGTCAACGACTATACCATATACAAAGCTTGCCAGACTTACCCAGTGTTTCCACACCTTGTAGGTCTTTCACAAGCACGTTTTGTGCAGCCATCCTCTTCGCAGCGATCGACAGTCTGAGATATATGTCAGTCGATAAGAAGCAATGAGAAAGGGAGAAGGCATTACAGCAGAGTGACCACTGAGGGGAGCCCCTCAGGTACGAAAGCGACGAGAATAGACACAGCGAAGGTCACGGTTTGGGCTCCCTTGCCCTTGTAGGCTGTTGTGATGCCGACGATGAAGAAGACGACCGCGAATATAATGGCGATCGTGGACACCATCATGACGAAACTTGCACTGCAGACAAGGAGAGTCAGATGCTTATGTCGGGCGGGGAACAGGGAAGATACTTACATCTCCACTGCCAACGGGCTCTGGTTGCCTGTCTCACCGCCGGTGAGCGCAGCAATTTGGCCTAGATTATTCAAATGTCAGTGAGACAGAACCGAAGAGAAACAGTCATCTAACCGATGAAGGTGCGATCTCCAGTACGAACGACGACTGTGTAAGGGGATATGATCATCAACGTTACTTCGAAACGTTTAATTAAAGAGCTACTAACCTCCCCACCCTTCACCGTTCACGATAAGCGTGGAATTAAAGACCTGTGGCTAGATCAGAGAACTGAGGACTATAGTGAGATATCGAAGATCGCAGACCAAGTTCTCTGCCTCTGCCGCTCGGGGATATGACGATCCATCGATTTTGGGCATTCGCTCTTGTGGCTCTGACTCTCCGGTCAGGCTGCTATTATCCACCTTCAAGTCTGTCGCGGCGAAGAGTAAAAGGTCTGCAGGCGTCTTGTCGCCAACGCGCTGATGCAAAAAATCTTAATGAGATTTCATAAACAAGGGACTCCATGAGTGGGCTCACTATGAGGACAATGTCCCCTCTGACAAGGTTCTGAGCTGGGATGGACGTCAACGTCCCCCCACGAACGACCCTACACGATGGGGGTATAAGAGCAAGAAACGAGGCAAGGATCGCTTCGGATTTTTGAAGCTGGTAAAACTCGATGAATGCGTTGAGGAACGCAGCGCCGATCAAGATGCCGCCAAGATAGGTATTTGGAAAGTTGGCCTGAGTTGCCGGTGATGAGTGGAGACTAATCGAGAAGGATCTACAAATGCTTACCTTGTAGTCGATACCAAGAAGGATATATTCAAGGATGCCGGCTATAATTAGGATGACATTGAACATCGATCGCAAACAATCGAAATACTGGGGTCGGATCGAATGAGCAACGAGGAAGGGCCTTCTAATAATGGCAGGCATACCTTTTGCAACGCAGATTTCTTTTTGGGGGGAGTGAGTGCGTTGGGGCCGTCCCTTTTCAAGCGTGCCGCTGCCTCTTCTGCAGTGAGACCATACGACTGAGATGGATCCTTGGTATCGAAGGAGGTATCTAAATTGTCCACGGCGTCCTGAAGTGTCAATAGATGCTCCCGTATATCTGCTTCGTCAAGCTGAGGCTCTTTCGCGGTTGACTTTGCCTTTCCTTGATCAAGATGCTCGTACCCTGCAGCTGCTAGCTGGATCTCTTCGATGGTCATCTGTCTTCTCATCTCCGGGCCCTTGGGCCTGATCTTCCCTTCGTCGTCGATGGGTGACTCTTCGGGAAAGGCGACATGAGCGGGGCCGTTGCTTGAGAGCCCGTTCTCGAGATCGTAGTGAAGAGAAGAAGTGGGCCCCTCCGAAACCTTCTCGAGGCCGGCAAAGTGGGAATCCATAGTGGACGATGGTGAGGTGCTAAGTAGCAGAGAAATGCGAAAGAGCAATGCGGCCCCTGAGTCGTTTTTTATTCTGGTTTTAAGAGCAGGTGAAACAGACGGAAAAGGTGCGGGCAGTTCAAGAATGGACGACGACGCCTATCAGACGGAAGGCAACATTATCTTCCAGAACGTAGGACTAATACGCTGCCCTCGTGCGCGATATGATTGGATCTATTGTAGAAGACTGTGGCAGATTCGTATCCAACGAATGGCTATAAGCCCGCATGAGTTGAACAAACAGCTAAAAGACCGCAACGTCCAGGGGGAGGTCTCGTGACCATATGCATCTGGCAGGAACCTGGACCAAACTACCTCCAATTTTAAATCCTGGTACGCGGCGACCATCCTCGAGGACAGATAACCGAAAAATGTGGTGCTTAATCTCCATTTCGTACTGGCCTTCCCCAGAAGCTGTGCTTCGACTCGGTCAGAATGCAGTTCGGTTAGACAACTCGGTACCGAGCAGGATTTTCTTGGTGAATGATAGACCACCAGGATACCAGCCTGAAGCGGGCTTCGTGCGTGGCAGGGCCGAAGGTGGTGGGATTGAAGATTTCTAGATATCTAGTCAGGGGCGGCCATGAAATTTACAACGAGGTACGCAACGATATAATGACGACTGCTAGAGACATCTTCTGGACATATGGCCAGACCTCGTCCTATTATTAGAGTCCATTCAGCCGCGAGGCTATGCTGAAATTCAACATAAACACCTAGACTCTGTGAGAACCGAAGTCGATCGAAGTAAGTCCCCAGAGACTGAATAATTTACGTTGAGGATAGAAATACCATGGCTGTGTATTTTTCATACATCCTATTTGTCTGTGAATGCAACAATGTGTTTTGCATTGCAAGGGCAGCGAATCAACCATTGCCACCTGTCGCAGACGTACTAGGTGCCACTGCCCCACATTGCAACGCAACATCTGAACAAAACAAATGCTGGCTATAATGGGATTCAGGTATCACATATTCATAGAGAGTTGTTGATCCTTTCGCGATCTCAAAAGAGCTCAGCTGCTTACCGGCAAAGCTAATCGAAGGCCAGTAACAACGGTATTCCGAGTCGTCCAAGGCTAGGTCTGTTCAGTCGCAGAGCCTGGTGGTGGCGTCATAGCTCCGGGCGAAGCCGAAGGTGCAGTGACCAGATTAGGACTCCGACTTGTAAGCACTCGTACTCCACCCCATGCATGTTCAAGGACCCTTTGCTTTCCTTTCTGCATACCTCGAGGCCGTTTATATCCATACGGAAGCTACGACCTGATCTGTGTTTCTATCTGACAAGACACATTTTTTACCATTTTTTTGGCTTTCAATCTGCAGGCTCAGACTCTTACAGCGACATATAGAGATGGGCTCCGTTTCGAGGCGTGGCATCTTTCATGTTCGACAGGATGCACCTTTAGGTTCCACAACGGCTGAGGTGAGAAAGACCTTTACCGTTATCCAAGTCTTCTAGCGTCTCACGTCGTACGGGAATGTACAAACCCCTGTGTCTAATGTCACGCGACATCCGATCGTTTCAGAGCACCCCAGCCATCCAAACTCACAACAGGAGTAACGTCCCAAAGATTAATGGTTCTGAAGGAGGTGAGGTTTTATATGCTGTGCTAATGACTTGGGCACTGAACGACTGAAACGGTGGATGTAGCTTTCATCGGCCTGGTTGTCGCACTCTCGCTCATCTTCATCCTCGCATGTGCTGCGATCTTTTTGCTCCTGCGGTATCATGAACCCACATCTCACGAACGTGAAAGAAGACGTAAATACTCTATCCGTCGTCCCGGCGCATCCCATCCCCTTCCCATCGGGTTGCACGATCCAGAATCCTCGGAAGGATTTGGTTCTGTCAAGGAGAAACTGGGGAACATGTTCAAAAGCGGTCGACGCACGCGTTCTGGATGGCTTCAGGCGGCTGGAGATGAGTGGGACAGTGGTGATGAATCTGCTTTGACGGGGGAGCGCAGAGAGATGGTCTCTGTGAATGCGGCACAGGCAGGTCGGACCGCAGAGTTCATTCATCCCGCTGGTGTGGGTAAGGGGGACGATGGGCTGGCAGCTTCACCATTGGAAATGCCGTACGAAGATCCATTCTCGGAGACTCCAGTCATTCATGTGCAGGCCCCGTCTGGCCCAGCACCTTCGGCCTTCGAGCCGTACGATGGACGTGCGACGTCATATTTCCCTACACGTAAAACCCCAGGTAGGGAAGAGCGCGGGCCCTCGTCGGACTCAGTGCAGCAAGTATCGACCCTTGCTGGAGGTACCAAGTTTAGGGAGAACGTTTGAGGTGGGTTATTGAAAATGGGGATTATTGGACCTAAGTACTCTGACGCCAAGCTCATGACTTCACGATTATGTATGAGGTTCGCTACTCGGGCGACTGTGTATTCTTCCCGTGTATGTATTCATTTCCTCCGGATTGTCACTGTCGGCAGTATCACGAATTATTTTGACAATCGCTGTACTTTGAATTTCTTTTTTTTGACTTGCCTCCCATCGTGTATGTCGATATCGCCTCGTGTTGACCTATATAGTTTCAAAGATGTTGGAAACTATTAAAGCAGGCGTGTCTCAAACTCTGAGCGGTGAGCACTTGGTATGATGCCCTTTGGCTGCAATCACCTTCATCGGCCTCAATGTCAGTCATCGAACCCTGGTCAGCAATACACAGCTCTTTCCTGTGTCCATGTATGCTAAGATAACTTACTCTTACTTTCCTTTCATAACAAATAGCAGACAATTGCTAACATCATATATAAGAGACTGCTATTGTAACCACATGATACCAAAGCTTCAAGTTTCCCTCTTGTACAAATTATTCGAATGACCTTTTGTGTTAACTCGAATAGTGGTCATGCTACTTTTGAGTAATCTTGAATGAACCTGTGATACAAATTACAAAATCCAAGGAAGGATTGTACTTCCTTGATACAAGTGGGTACTGGCCATTTTGTGATTCCTTCTACCTTGACAGGGTCCATTTCTAGGTGTCCATGGGAAATGACATATCCCAGGTATATGAGTTTTTTCTAATAGAAGTGGTATCTCAATGGTAAGAGGTAGAGGTCATTGTCCCTCAGGATTTGAAGGCCTGTTGTACTCGTGCCTGTGAAAAGTGTCTGAATGGCAATTGCCGAGCTGCCACAATGGCACTTTTGAATATGATAGGGGAAATGTTCATATAGGTTCCAAAGGTGATAAGATAAAAGTCTATTAGTAATGGTGAAATCCCAAATATTCAGAATCTATCATCTGAGCATAGGTAGTAAGAACAGGCACTAGAGAGCCAATAAAAAGGAAGAAATGGTAAACATATCGCTTGGATGGCCAAGCAGTGGTGCAAGATTGCATTTAACTGAACATGTGGAAGTTGGGACAATAAGCAATAAGGACTGACTGGATATGGATAACATTGGCCAAATGGGCTGTCTGATCCCAATCCCATAATAGGACATTGTAAGGCTCCTTTGATGACTCCTGTGCAGTCATGGTAAGTACATAACGTATGTACAAACTGGCCCAAGTACTGCCAAACATTATTTAGTGGCTTGCAGTTGTTTGGGTAGGGACTAACCATGATTAGTATGAGTTAGCATCTTTAGTACTTGTCTAGAGCTGTTTGGTCTCTCTCCAAAGCTTCCTAAATACCTCCCTCAGACCTCAGAGTAGGTGAATGCTCATTAGCATACTAAACCAATCAGTGATCAGCTATAACAGTCTGCAAGCAGCCCCAAATGCTAGGAATGCTGATAGATCCATAGAATGACTATAAACTACTCCAAATATCTGTATAAAGGTCTAAATGCAAAGTTGGCACCTAATAAATAATTGAGAGCTCTAGGCGGGTCGGGGTTGATCAGACCTAGGTGTGCCAAATGGTTAAAGAGTACTGAAAAGCTGCCAAAAGTAGGGTATTAGTGCCTAGAGTAGACCCATGCTTATTATTACAATAAGGAGACACCCTCTAGGCCTTAAGGAGGAGCTATATATATATTAAAGAGAAGTGTTGAAAGGCAATACATATTGATATAGTAACCCCAATTGATGTATGGATATAGGTGCACACTATATTAGTTATACTCACTCTCTTTTATTTATTACCTTGATACTTTTGTCAGACTCTTAGCTTAAAATATACACTTAGCTTTCTTATTACTTAGTATAAGGATTCCAACAATTAAGACCCTAAAACTACTATGAAATTTCAAAGCTCAGCACTAAGCACCATCTAACTACCTTAAGAATATCATATATTTTGCATGATTATTGGGGGTCCTTGTATACTGCTGTATAATTTGTTGTGGTTGGCAGTAGGTGCTATCGGGCTTTTGCACACTGTGGGCAAAGTTCTATAGGATTGGTAATCCCAGAATGGTTACCTAGTGATTTCTTGCCCAAAAGAATCAGTATTAGATTCATGGATAAATTTTAAGTAAAAAGGGAATATGCGCTCTAGTTTTTGCATGAAGTGTGCTCAGAATATATCTGTAAAGCCACTAGGCTTATCACATGCACTAGAATGCACTAAGAAGGATTCTCTGGGCTAATCATGATGGCCCAACAAATAAAGACTATTACGTGTCTTTGGACTTGTACAAGGAAGTCTTGGTTACTATTAATCATGGAACTTTGCCCGCAGTGACAGGAGCTCCGCACCTACGGTGTTGAGTTGTCCGTTCGGTTTGAATTTTCGCTCTGTAAATTTCTAATATCACCCTACCGGTCGGTTGGGCTGCTCTGCGGCTTGTGTCGATGTTCCTCGATGATATTTCTCGTCTTGACCTTAGAGAAGCCCTAGTCTGCCCTGGTAGCTACCTGCAATTATAGGGCCAGAAGCAGCACCAGGTAGCACACAACTCAGCATCCTTCAACAGAAGACCTGTAGATTATGGGGAGTGGGAAGCACAATACAACAGATACAATGCATATGGCGGAAAGGGGGCTAGATCGAGAAATCGAGGCTTCAGAGGAATAATGATGGTACACCCAAATAGTACACACAACATACAGTGGTACATACAACAATACAGAGAGCGTAAACTTGCTCAATGACAGTAGGCAAGAGGTGTGGATATTAGGGAAAGAGGGATGGACTCAAACTCGGGCTCGCGTGAATTTGGCCAGTCTTCTGCGCACTTAACTGCCCATACGTCCTATCGCTGTATCTGTAGGAGGAGAGGTCCGAGGCCAGCATGTCAATCATTGTTACGATGAAGCGAAGAAAATGTACTTACCGGAGAACGCCAGTATTTCCAAACGTATCGACGCCGTCTTCGTTCCCCGTTCGCCCGGCAAATAGCTGAGCGAGACGGGCGTTCTCGCTCCGGACGCTCAATGCAGATGCATCCGGCGTTGCGGGAGGACGAGATGAAGCGTCGGACGAGGCAGTGGAGGCGCGGTACGTCAAGGCAGGCGTAGATGTAGCAGTCGCGTTCGAGAACGATGTCGGACTGGGCGACGAGAGGACAGATGATGGGTGTGCGAAAGGATTGTTAGATCTAGATATCACGAGTTTCATTCAGTATCGCTTCACGGGGAAATCAGAGACCAAATGGGTCTGTACTGACTTGTAAGCCGTTGCCTGCCGGACGAGCTGCTGCGGCTGACTAGCTTGCATCGACATATGGTACTGCTGCTGCTGCTTGCAAGGATATTCAGATGATAAAGCATGGTTGAGCAAATGATCGACGATGTGAGTGACTAAACATACTTGCGTCATGACATCGTACTGTTGTTGTTGAGCGTAGGGGTCGTACGCCGTGTACTGAGGTTGCATTGTATACTGTGGTTGAGGTTGAGTGAACTGCGGCTGTAACGAGTATTGAGGATATTGAGGCTGGAACTGGGTGTACTGTGGCTGCAGCTGAGTGAATTGGGGCTGAACGTAAGGTGCTGCAGGGACAGATGTGTCCACAAGGTTTCTAAATACCAATATCAGAGCTACAGATATCAGGCCACTGACAATGGAAACGCACATTTGTTGGTTGTCGTCGAAGAGGGCATCCTGCGTGCTCTTCTCCATCTCCCTTCGCTTCCTCTCCTCTTCCTCCTCGCGACTCAGTTGCAAAGCGCGCGCCAAATCCCTCTCTTCATTTGTCATACCCCGCTCGTTTCTTTGACTCGCTTCCAATGCCCGCTGCAGGTCCTCGTCGTCAGCCCCGTCACCTCTCCTAGCTTCCCTGCTCTCAGGGCCATCTCGGCTACTTCTCTCTCCTGAGGTTTCGTGACTGCTCCTTCCCAACATGCGATCATGCATCTGCTGTCGGTTCCGCCGCTCACTCGCCAGCCGTGTCTTGTCATTGAGTAATCGGGTGATATCGCGAGCGCGAGCGCGAATATTCCCGCCGACGTCCCGACCAGTGTCATCAACGTACTGGAACTCTGTGAGCGTCTTGATAATGTAGATGTTGCTGCGGAAATATGATATGACGGCTGGGGAGCCGCTGTGCAAGAGATAGTCTACAACGACCAGCGACTAAGATATTTCGTGATGAAGTTCATTTTCTGTGCACGAGCGAGAACACGGTGACTTACCTTGTATACGTGCCGCCAGTATTTTCCCTTGTCATTCAAGCGCTTATCCAGAATCTCCATTATCTCTACAAAATCCTGTCTGCAGACCTCGATGGTCGGTTGCTGATCGGGCCAGACAAAGGGATGACCCACTGATTGTACGATAACACGGACAGCTCGTGCATCTGCTGGCCACTCGGTGGCATCGACTCATTACTCGTCGCCGCTCGGGCCTTCGACTCTGTGTCCGAATACCCGTGCGTAATATTCTTCGCGGCACGGAGCGCGCTCTTGCCCGCGTGCGCGAAAGACATGGCTCCAGAGGCTGAGAATAGACGCCTAGAAAAGAAGTGGAGCAGGTGGTCGGCTGAGAGATGGAACTCACGAGAGTTTGTGCGAATGGAGGAGAGGGGGATTGATTGAGGACCTCCTGAGCGCTGACCTCATATGTATTGAGAGCGCCCTCGGCCCTCGGAGGTCATCAAAGATCACAGCCTACGGAGTATACGGAGCGCATCGGCGCCGTGGATCCTTATTGAGCGTTACACATTGCAAGGTTAAACGGCCTGGTATTGTTGACGTTGAGGACAACTTCACGCAACACCGTATGATACGGCCAAGCAGTCAACGTCGCTTATTCTGGGGCCTTGAATGAGAGTATATTGATCCGTGTTATACTTATCTGTTTATAGCAATTAACCTCGTGCCGGCAGACCCCATTGGGATCCAATGTGGTACACAAACTGGCAATGCGTCCGAGAACTGTCCAAAAGTTCCCTATGTGAGGTTGAATCAGATGGAAAAGTGTAAACACAATGACGAGATCGACAAATGCGGCGATGCGGCGGCATGCTCACGTGAACTGTGAGAATGCAGGAATGAACACCGAATCGAAGACCAAGATTCGAGCCATCCTCATCCCAGAACCCATGCAAGTGCTACGGGTAACAGCTGCCCACATGATATCGATATAAACTTCCATGACATGGACATGGGAAAAGGTTCTGAATGATTCCACGATTGGTTTCTTAGGCCTGCCTGGTCTCCGGTATAGGCTATTGCAGTGTGAAGATCGAGGTATAATCCTGCAGCTCTTCTCTCAACAGTGCACATGTTCCTTTGCCTCTTTGAGGCCACATCTTCCCCATCGACTGCCGCGATCGCCTACCACGGGGCCTCGCACATGTTTGATGTCGTGCGGCAATTGTGGCCTGAGACATGGCAATTTGACCGTCTTGGTACAGGACTAACATGTCTTCAGACTTTTCTCATGGCCAGAAGAACTTTCATTCATCGGAATTCGTGGGAGCACATAATTTCGGATCCGTGGAGCATAATTACTCCAACTCTCCGTACATTCGCTCTCTCAGCCCTCGCTCATTGAGAGTGTCACCGCTTGAGTCTCACAGACAGTGTGGGCCGCTGGTCGCTGACCTCCGACTATCATGGCCTAGAGCTTGTTTTGGGACGGCTTGAAGCATTGTTTCAATGGATGCAATGCTTCCGGTGTCCTTGTAATGTCTCTCATCCACCTTAATCCACTTCTGAAGGGTTTGTTTCTCCACAGCCCAAAATCTCAGGTTCCCAAGCAAGCTCTATACGAATGCGTACCTTTTCTGTGCTACCACCCCTGCGGTTTTGCTTATGTCCGTACCTAAAAGGTTCGGCTTGAAGCCATTCTATAGGCATATTTTGCTCCCCTTGGCAGGCCCATGTTCATTCCCATACTTTCAGGACCTGCGTATCCGTCTGCGGTGAAAGTTGCCACAGCATTCCCCCCTTGCATCTTCAATGCATTCTCGGCACGCGCGAAACCACATTTCTGGTTATTTCTAGCCGCAACTTTACTATGGGTTCCCTGCCGCTCGCATGGTCGTAACATAAACGAGACGGGATGGGAGTGTTCCGTCTCGCAGTGTTTCTCTCATCGACATTGTCTCTTTTCCCTTACCCAGACTCCGAATGTCCCTCGCTTTTCGTATAAAGCCCCTTCCTCGCTACATGCATCAGATAGGATCCTATTGACCTACATCTTCTCTACACGCATATCCGCCATGTTCACTCTGTTGAAAATCGTTGTTGTTGCAGCTCTCTCTCTCGTGCCTCTCGCGTCAGGCGAAACCCATCTCGTCGTTGTCGGTGAGGGCGGAGGCCTGACCTTTACGCCAAGCAACCTCACCGCTGTCGTTGGGGACGTCATCGAGTTTATGTTGTAGGTTTTCTAGTCAAATCCCTCAATACCGTCATCTGACGAAGTCGCTGGCTGTATGTCTGTACTGTACAGCGTTCAGAAAAATCATAGCGCCACACAGACATCCTTCGAGACTCCTTGCACGCCTGCAGAGGGCGGATTCGACTCCGGCTTGTATGTGGCAGCTTGTCGAGGCCTTGTCTACATTTTAACCGCTCATCTCGTGTGCCTAAAGCAACCCAGTAGCGGCAGGCCAGACGACGAACTTCCCGACATTCAATGTCACGGTCGAGAACACTGATCCTATATGGGTCAGTTGCCAACAGATCAACCATTGCAAGCTCGGCATGGCCTTCGCTGCAAACCCACCGGCGGACGAGACTTTCGCCGAGTTCGTGGCGCGCGCGGAGGCCAGTTGAAGAGACAAATGAATTGTCTCACTTGGAAGTATGGATGCTAGGCCTTACACCCGCAGATGACTGCACCTCCGTAGCGAGTGATTTTGTAAATATAGTACTGTCAAGTTGATGGGTGAAAATTCGAGTGCGAAAGAAAGAGTAGGATAACAGTATTAAGCCAACCCCACGCGCCTCCTGACCTCTTTGATTGTGATGTCTGACTTCGCCCGTGCTTTTGCAGCACCCTCCTCCGAAATCCGAGTCAAATACGCATTTTCCGATCGTATTTTCTCAAATTCTGCTCGGGGGCCCTTGAACGCCTCTTCGATGGCATCGGATACATCGGCCTTCAAATCGCCGTGATTCTTGTTCGCGTACCGTTTCGCAACCTCCACTACGTCTTCATCGGTACAGGCAGCAAGAACAAGGAGCAAGTTCGATGTCCCAGGGCGGCCGACGGGATCGTAAGTGATGCCTTGAATTGAGTCCGTCGTTGCGCCACGAATCTTGTTCTTGATTTGGGCGGCAGTATCCGTGAGGATGATACGGGAGTTTGCATCGGCGGCAGACTTGGACATTTTGGAAGATGGGTCTTTCAGAGACAGAACGCGTCTCGTGGGTGCTTTTCAGGCCATTAGAGCACCATTGGTAGACGATAGGCAAGAATTTGGCTCACTATACATATGCCGTGGTAGAGGGAACAACGGAGATGGCTTTTTGTACGCCCTGTTAAAGGAGTCTGCAATGTCCCTGCATAATTCTAGATGCTGTTGCTGATCATCGCCCACTGGGACATGAGTTGCCCTGGTTGAAAAACGGTTAGGCAGGCCTTTGTATACGAGACGTCAGCTAACTTGTATGCTAGAATATCTGCTGCTTGCAGCACTGGGTAAGTCAATAGTCCAGCGTTAAGTAAGGAGTCATCGACTTCAGATTCATCGTTGGCGTTCCGTGAAACAGCCAATCTGGACTATCAGATGTAAAAGCTCAAGGAAACGTGAAATGAAGGGGGAGAAAGGACGGCTTACCTTCCAGGTCGTCATACGCATCAAGCGACCTACAGGAGTAAGGCAACTCAAAATCCAAGCCAGCTCAGTATGGTTTTGGATCTGGATTGCCGTTAAATTTTCTGCCGCAAGCCTGATCTAAACTGGCTTCGACATACGTGATCTTGATGAAATACTATAGACCGCTTAGGGTCAATTCCAACAGCAAGCATGAGCGCAACCATGTCCATGCGAGCGACTTGTAAAGCCTTTGGATCTTGAGGTAGGGTAAGAGCATGCCACCCTACGATGGAGAAGATGAGCTCATCGCTAGGGTCTGCCTCCCGCTGAAGCTTCACCCAATTAGCAAGAGCACCGAAATAGTTCCCTAGCTAATTATGGTTGTTAACCTAGCTTCAAAGCGTCAATCTTGAGCACGCACATGGGGTATACCAGTCGGTTGAATGCCAGAAAATATTACGCGCGGGCGACGACCAGAAAGAACGCTCTCTGAATGAGGCCGTATAGACGTGCTCTGAAACCTTCTACGAGTTTTGATTACGGCCGAGGCTGGAGTTGAAGTTGCTCGTCCGACACTCCATGATGACTGCAGCGCACAGACATACGAGCGGGTAGAAGAGAACATCAAAGAGGAAAGTTTCAAACTCAGCATCTTTCATACCCTCAGCTACCCTCAGTCTCGGCAGCCTTCCCTCAACTCTTTGGTCGACGATGGACGAAGACGAGGACTACGAACTTCCTGGAGGCGATGATTTCGAGGATGTCACAGACTTGTTTCGGGAGGCTGGAAAAGGTGAGCAAGATGGTCAATCACATCTGTGCCACACTCAGGCATGCAACTTTTGCAGCCATGGAACCTGGCCAATTGCTCCTCACGGACGGATTCACTCTGATGGACTCCATGAGTGTCATAGAGGTGGGGTTTGTCTTCCTAATTTGAACGCTGAATGTCCTTCATGTGCATAGATTGGAGAGCCACGCATGGATAGCGGAATGTCGTTAGATGAAGAACATAGGCCTCCGTTTGACCCACTGGCACCGCTTCTTCCTGAGGAGTTGTGCTACATTCTCGATAGGGTGTGCTCCTGCGAGGTGAATGAGGACGGCTGTCTGTGCTCGAGAAGTCCTGATGAATTATGTATTTTACAATGTAGATGCAATGGCATGCTGGATATGCTCTTTCGCAAACAGTCTTCACTCTTCAATATGTGCATGATCTTGATGTCATTATGGATTTCTGGCCATCTGTCTCAAGTGATCCAGCAAGACCTGTTGAGCTCTTGATTCACGTTCTTGTGGCATGCGTTGAAGGGGTTTTGAAGTGTTGTGATATGACTTGGAGGGAACTAACGAAGGGCAGAGTCTTCGACGTCCGCATGCGGTTCTTATTACCCTCATCATATTTTCATGCTGATACCGGTCTATTCGCAGACAGAGGACTGGCAATCAGAGAAAAGCGGTGTCTCCTTGATGGAGGGCACACAAATTAGAAATGTGTTGTCGCGTCTGGAGAATGCGTGCAATTGGATCTCTACGAATGGTAGGCCCGTCATGTTTCCTAACCTTTTTCAACCGTCCTGATAACTGCGTAGAATCCTTACGATGGAGAGAACCTCTATACAACCGAGTAATGTTAAGAAAGGTAGGAACTATATGATCACTTCAAATGCTTTGCGTGTCTCTGACTTTATCAGACTCTGCTGGAGCTGTTCGCTCTTGAAATGCCAATGGACAGACAACGTTGTCAGACTCTTCTTGCGCATGCTCGCACGTACTTGTACAACATCCGGTATCGCCCTGCCCCACCAGCCCCACCCGTCGGATCTCCTGCGTTATTGGCATTCGATCCTTATGTCAGCCGTCGATTAAACACCCTTGCCCCGCTTCAAATTCTACCGATGCTTGCTCAAGAAGATACTTGGGATGCTTTGGGAAATCTTTTGGACGGCTGGACTGAACTTTGCCAGTTGTCTGCTATCTCCCATCTGTCTACTTGGAAGGTCAGACTGAAATGACCGTCACTCTTTGATGCGAACTGATTGAACCCAGACTGTAGGAACCTTGCGCGCGTTATCACCAGGCGTCAAAGTACCCTTTCTACGCTCGCTGACACAAGTGAGAGCGGCCGAATCATCATGTCCGTGTCATAACGATTGATATGCCCCAGTCAGTGTTTTTCGACGGCTATCGCGTTTTAGGCACCCGATTGCCAATCTGGACTATCGAACAATTCTTCCTCGAAACCCTAGGGTTGCCCTGGGCTCGAATCACTGCGGTAGTTAGAAGGCAGCCCGTCGTTTCTGCGGCTTCGTACCTGAGGGACACAGAGCAAAGATTAGCGCGGGTCAGTGACTGTCCGTTCAAGAACCTCTTTTTCTCCTATATACTGACAGCGCCTCAAAGACACTGATTAGTTATATCAAATCATACTGGTCCAACCCTCCAAGGCGACGCAGACATTTTTCGAATTCTCTTCTCGACTGGCATGTTCTCTACGACTCATGGGCAAATATGGTATCGACCCTCCACACTGAGGCAAGCCTTCTTCTTCGCACGCTCTATCATGTCTAACTGTGGCAGAATTCCAGAACGAAACAGAACATGCTATCTTGCACGCCGTTCTGAATGTCATCATGATATGGAGGCTTCGCATCATTGTCGAGGTCATTTTCGCAGGATTTCAACTCGACCTCTTCGTAGCGGACGAGTTGCCGTTTGCATATTGGTATGCGTCACACGTAATCGAGTCCCAGTTGGCCGTGATCGGCGACATCGCGCCAGTCATCCCAAAAGGTAGACCCTACTACTTGGTTCACCAGGCAATACAGGCTTGACGTGGAGGATCAGATAGTGCAGCCTTCGCCGAGCTGGAATACGACCGCAATCTTTTGGCAGCCATGAAAAAGATGTGCTTGGGAATGTTCATGGTAACCGTCTTCCCGGCAATTATCTAAAACTTGTGGGATGCCAACGTCCTTATAGCTCACTCTCCCCGACTTACCATCATCTCGACATCGGTGGTCACAAAATAGCTTGAAGCGGTATAAGTGGGCGTTTCGACCCGAATATCAAACAACCACAAATCCTCCGATTGGCCACCCGGACGCGGACGCCTTTGTCGCAGCATGTGATGAAAGCTTGGAGGTGATGTCCAGATCTTAACTCATGGAATCCGTTTGCTCAAGGATGCCACAGGATGAAGCTTATCCGATCGCCGACCTCTTTAGCAACGCCCAACAGGGATTTTCCGCGATTGCTGATGCTCGGGACGGATGGGCAGGCGAGTGGAGTGGTGAAAGAAACTCGGTAAGCCCAGCCTCTGGGATTCGCCATGACAAACTCGGGTTTACTCCATCCAGTCTGTGCAGAAGCTATCTGATCAAGCCAGAAGACTATCGAAGGTAGCTCCTGAAACCATAAAGGATCTCCTACTTTTCGATCGATCCGTTTTTGACTGGTCCAAGATTGCGACTGGCTACTTCCCAGATGTCAAAGAATCTTAGATATATACTTCATTTACTACATACCAATAACACACACTACTCTACAAACACCAGTTCTTCATTCAAAGATACGCTTCTGAGGAAGACATCGATCCATGACAACACTTGTTGTGGAGAGCGGTACGTGCTTGATCCACTCGTACATTGCTTATTCTTGGTTTCCGTTTCATGCTGTTCACGATAGATTCAGGCCCATGTCCCAAAACTGCTTCTCTAGCTGTGTGCACTTCTCCCATACGAGCCGCCATTCTTCGAACCTCTTCGGCGACGGTGGGTCAGCTGCTGCCAGCGCTTCAATCCTCTCTACGTTGACCGAAGCGCGTATCGATCCACGATCAGATCATTATCAACACCGCCAGAATATTTCACCCACCTACACCCTTCTTGACAGCGTCCTGATATTCCTCTCCCGAGTAGTCGTCTATCCACTTCCGGTACGGGTTTCCTTCCAACTTGACCCAGGTGTTAGGTTTCAAGGCTTCGCGTTGAAGCCATAGACCGACTTCCCCGTAACCAAGTAAGCACGCCGCGAGCGCCATGGTCAAATGTGAACTATCGCCTGAAAGAGCGACACAAACTTAGCTGATACCTGGCCCTACGGCAAGGCAAGTTGGAACGGGCGTACCCTGCAGCCCCATATCCATGATGTATGCGCCATACGCCGTACACGCAGCTGATTCAGCAGTAGAATCTAGCTGTTCTGGAGTCACGCCCCACTTCTCGCAGTACGATCTGTGCATGGTGCTCTCGCGGACTACGTGCAACATGATCTCTGCTGACGCTCTAATGGCAACATAATCAGGAGACTTGGCTGCGAGCAAGCTGCGTATAGGGTAAATTAATCTTGTCAAAAAGATGAAGCAGGGGAGGACTAACGCATAAGCCCGAGAATAATATTTTAGGTATAGATAGTCTTGTCTATGAGGGAGAGTGACATCAGAGTGACGAGTAGGAAAGGCAGCTGTCTAGGCGCACTTGATGAAATGAACAAAACACTCCTTAGGTAAAGTTCCGCTTCCGAGTTGTTTGACAAAGTCATGTTCAACATATTGCTTCCAGACAGAGGCATTTGTCTCGATCAGCATTCTCACAAAAGGGTGTGGATTATTCGCAGTCGCTCTATATTTGTGAGTCATGGTATCATTCAAATAAGGGGGTTAAAACGAACTAGCTCACGTTGGTATGCATCTATGCAGAATTGGGTGCATGTGGTTGAGAGGGCCATGGCCGTGACCTACAAGGAAGGCAGCTGCGATTCCTTGGTGAGTGTATATGCTGGCCTGTTTTACCGACTCCCTTGCTAAGAGAACGTGAGGAAAAGGTTTGCTCTGCCAACCACCCGACTTACTAGAGAATCCTCGGGCCAGAAAACATGCCAACGCAGCACTCAGTGTGCACCCCGTGCCATGGGTGCTTGTTGAATCCAATTTCGGTCGCAGAAAGAGCGTCCTAGCCCCACCAGCTTCTTGAAGGACATCGACGACAAGGTGGAGGTCCGCAGGGTCTCTCTCGCCTTGCATCACGAGCAGAATCTCCATGTTTTCCCCTAGCATGCCGCTCTCCTCAACGTCCAATTGCGGGTGCTGCGCTCGCGCGCGCGCCACGTCGGCCGGGGTCGCGGAGAGGTGCCCGCCCTTGACCAGAACTGCATGAGGCCCCAGCGACAAGAGCTCTTCGGCGGCCACGATCATATCTTCGAGCGACTCGATCGTGCGTGAGTGTCCGCTCATACGCGATAAGAGGAGCTCCGCCTCTGGTTTATTTGGGGTGATGACGTGCGCGAGGGGGAAGAGCTCGCGCATCATCACATCGACGGCATCTGGCTGTAGAAGTACATGCCCAGAAGTCGACACTGTCACCGGATCACATACGAGTGATGGCACAGCAGAGCTCGCGTACGCTGTGCGCAGGGCGCCCGCGACCGCAGCGGTGACTCCTGCGTCAGTCAGCATCCCTGTCTTGATAGCTTGCACGCGGATATCGGAAGTGACTGAAGTAAACTTGGAGATAAATTGGACGTCTGTCTGGCGTGAAATGAAGTGGGGGCTAGCAACAGACCTGTTCCTCGACGAAAGACGGCGGGATTAGGTGCACGTTCTGCACTCCCATCGTGTTTTGGGCGGTCAGTGCCGTGATGACACTTGTTCCGTAGCATCTCAGTGAGGTGAAAGTTTTGAGATCAGCCTTTCGTGAGATGAAGATACTTATCAGTCGTCGAGGTTCGAGATACATTCAGTTGGCCCATACTTGAATTCCTGCACCCCCACTCGCGTCCGAGCCCGCTATCGTCATCACCACGGGGAACTCATTCGAGGGATTAATTTTGAATTTGACTTGCGCTTCCATGACGAAGACAGTCAAGCAGAGATGAAGGGCGACTATAGAGGTCAGCCTTAGGAAGGAAGGTCTGGTAATTAAGTTATGGGAGTCGGCCAGAAGAAATCTACATCTTATCTTATCAGACAAATTAATCCTCGAGATCTCTTCGATCCTCAAGACAGCGGCTGAAGATACACTGGGATACATCTGCAGTTCCGTTAGCTGTGACGATATAACATAAAACCTCCCAGTTGTCATCCAAAGAAGATAAAAGGAAGATCAATCCGCAGTGCCTTCCAAGATCACATACATGCGCATTGCAGCGTAGTGGCAAACACAACATAAACCCAAGGGATCAGAGAGATGACGATGACCACAAGCACACAAGGAATAAGATTATCACTCCAGCATCCAGAGCGAGGTGCAAAGGCGACACGACGAAGACGACAACGACAGCACCCGACCGACTACCCGATATCCATCTCGTCCCTCGACCTCTTCCCTTTCCCCTTCCCGTCGGAAGAAGCGCCATTCGACTCGCTCCCACCACCACCACCGTCCTGCCGCTCCAAAAGTATTCTCACATCCTCATCCAAACCCTCAAACACACTGCGTGGCGGCAACCCCCAAATACTGCCAGGATTCTCCCTCTGCTTCTCGTCGAAAACACCACCGACCGTATCCACCCACTGCCGCCGCGTCGCCACCAACTGCCTTAGTTGGTCCGGCACCCTCAGCACGTTATCCTCGTCGGGCCCAAGCCCCGCCGACGCCGGCCACGTCCCCAGTGGCGCCGTCCCGTTCCCATTCCCGCTCCCGTTTCCCTTTCCGTTGCCGTTCGCCTCACCCGCGGCCCCGCCGACCGACTTTTTCTTCTTCTTATGCGACTTTGGGCCCTCCTTCTTCTGGAGCTTGGTATAGAGGGTCGTGATGTTCTTGTCAATCGAGTCACGCAGGTCGACATACTCTTGATAGCCGAGCCGGTCGCGGGCTATGGCCACAAGACGCGCCTTACGCGCCTTGTTGGTGGCAACCACTGTACGGAGCTCACGCTGAGCGTGTCGAAGCGCAGTGGCTATCGGGTCGTCAACGGGATCAGAAAAATCGGGCTGTACCACACGACAAGTAAGTATCTGCGAAGGCTAGCACAGGACTAGGAAAAAAGAGGGGAGGGGGACAAAAAACGAACAGCTCACCGTCGTCTCGAGCAACTTGTGAAATCGAAGACTATCCTTGATCCGCTTCTCTAAGTCTTCCACGATCACCTGTCGTCCTGCTGCACTACCCGCCCCGACCCCGTGCCGGCCTTCCATTGCCTCCTCCGCCGCCTTCACCCCCTTCCACACCGAGTCCTCCACGGGCAGCAGCGCGCTCACCAGCCGCTCCGTCAACGGGCCGTGCCCGCGCTCCTCCACCGTGAGATCGTTCTCGTTGAGTGTAGCCGGGTCCCACTTGGGGTAAGGAGCCTTCTCCGCGGCTCGAGAGTAACTGGTACTCGCCCGGATGGTCTCCGTCGATGGCAGGGGCGCGCCATAAAGAGCAATATCCTCCTCCTCCCACTGCTCGGTGTAATGCCGCCCGAGCCGCGGGAGGATGTACGGCTCGACCTCGTCGCCCGTGTACTCCAGAAAGCCGACGTCCTCCTCCTTGATGGTCCGTATCCATGGCTCAATGCTCGTGTAAAACGTATTCACGAGTACTTGCGACGGCTGCTTTGCTTTGCTAAAGTCCTCCTTCACTTCGGTCGGTTTACTCGGCCCCGGTATCGGCGGGGGCGGAACTGGGGGCCGGAGGATCGACAATTCGGATTTAGGTGGTAGATTGAAATCGGGGCCAGATCCAGGCTTCAAGGAGAGAGGTCAGCGAAGAGATGGTAGCATTCTGGTGAGATATTACCTTGGCTGAGGGAGTTGCGAAGGACGCCACTGGCTTTAAAGCCTTCGAAAGACTGGGATATGAGTGAGAGGTTGCGAGAGGATGAGATGCGGGAGGGGTGGCTATCCGGGACGATTTGATATCTGACATGGAATGAGACGATGACTCGCGTCCCATCTATGTATGCGCACCTGTATCGTCATCTGTGTCCTCCTCGCGCTTCCGCTTCTTCTTCTTGGATTTAGAATCATGAGGCATCCTGGATCTGGTATGAACGTGACGGGTGGTAAGAAGAACGAGGGCTTCACTCACGACTTTCGAGGATCCAGTGAAGATCGGGATGATGATGTGGGAGCGGGGGCAGTAGGCATGGAGGGGAACCGAGGTGTAGAGGGACCTGGTTGAACGTATGCTGGTGGTCGTTGCTCTTCGACTCTGGCTGGTAAGGGTGTGACTGTCCAGTCGAGATAGTATTTATGCGCGTCAATGAAGCCAGTGCGAGCAAACCAGAAGAGGTTCAATGAGGTGATCGCAGCGAGAGTCGGCCAACCAACCAGAGGCAGGAGAAGACACGCATCGTATTTGTGAGACACATGCATAAAGCGGGATGAACCAAGTGCCCAATTTCAGGACAAGGAAAGCAAAATTGAGACATTATTGACGACCGATAAACGTCAGGGTGGCGCGATTAGAGTAGCGTACAAGATGAAGAAGAGGTCAGATTGCACCCGTTTGAAAGAGGGTTATCCCGAGAGGTATGGAAGGCGAAGAACGCGTGCAGGCGACATAGACCCAGTAAAATGAAGCGGTTCAATGACACAGTATTGACCAAGGTATATCGCGTCAGTTCAAGACGCACATCAGAAAGGGTAGGCACCAGAGGAAGTGGCAGGGGCCCATATCGACAAAGGGCATTGGCGCAGAGGCACAGACAATAAACGAAACCGGGCGGGTTAAAACATGCGACCGTCAGACCGAGAAGAAAATGAGAAGGCGGATATACGCACAGCCGCGCTCGCGTTTAGATTTATCAACTGCCTTTGCCTTGCCCTTCTCCTTCTCCTTGAGCCGGCGCATCGACTCCTGAATAGCTCTAAGATCATCCCCGGCCTTCTTTGCTCGTTCGAGGTTCCGCTGCCTCAGCTCCAATAGCTCCTCATGCAGTGCTTCTAGCTCTTCCGTAGGAGGTATATAATCAGGAGGATTCTTGGCGACCGAAGAGCGGAATTCAGTGGGTGGGGGGTATGAGGAGAGGATTGACGACATGGTGCATGTGGATGGCGAGCGCGGTCGCATGCACCAAAAAAGCGATGCTAACAGTACAACCAGCAACGGTGAGTTGAATGAGCGCAAAATCGGGGGTGGTTGAAATGGCAAAAGGAGGAGAAATGGCGGGACGAGGAGGAGGAGGTTCGAGTGCGAAGACAAGGTTTACGGCCTGCCACAGCGACGCAGTTTCCCACGCCCCAAATTGGGTAATCCGGAGAACAGGCACTCACGACCGAGCCTGAGCGTGTCCATCGTCGCTGGCGTCCGCGACGATGCACTCAGATTCTGCCTCCAGCTCGGACGACGATGACATTGAGATGACCCACCTCGAAGACATTACCGTTACCCCCAACCCGCGCCTGTTTGACAGGACACACTATCCGCCGGTCGAGGTCGAGGATCACGCATCGGAGGACGGCGATGAGGGCGAGATGGCTCTGCTTGGCTCGGGCGGGAACACGCGCTGGCGCGACGAGTCGACAACAGTAGGCAAGGGCTTATGGGCACAGACGGGAAGCATCGTTGTCGAGGTGCGTTTATCGATGGACGTAAAGGAATCACATTGAGCTGAGGGCCAAAGACTGCCCCCACCCTGCTGTTCACCACGATTGGACTTATGTTCACCGGTGAACTGCTAGATCATGTATCGGTACGTCACACCATCATCATACATCTTCTGAGAACCAATGTGCCATCCTGCCTTGACAGCGTTGGAAGGCCATGAGTCGCATCAACGAGCTCATCATGATCATCCCCGTCGTTCTAAACCTCAAGGGAAACCTCGAGATGAACCTCTCTGCTCGCCTGGGCACGGCGGCCAACATGGGTGACCTCGACAGCGCAAAAACCCGCAACGCCATCGTGTGGGGCAATCTAACCCTTTTGCAGGTGCAAGCCGCCGTGGTTTCCTTCGTCGCCGCACTCGTGTCCATCGTCCTCGGCCTCATCGTTCCCCCTGGGCCTCCGCCGCCGCCTCCTCCAGAGCCCGGCAGCGCTGACGAGACCCTGTTCTCACGCCGCTTCCTGTATAACGTCCGAACGCCATACCCTGCGCGTCCTTTAGGGGACCCACGCCCCAAGTCTGGTTTCTCTGAGTGCGTCATTATATTTCAGGAACATTCGCAACGCTGACGACAGGTCAAATTGTTACGCAGAATTGTCATGGTCGCCTCCACCGCCATGTCTGCTACGTGCCTTTCGGCAATCGTCCTTGGTTCTTTCATGTGTGGGCTGATAGTTATCTGCCGAAAATTTGGTCGTGATCCTGGTACGGACATATCTTGTCATCGATAAGTGTTCTATGACATTAAAGGACGTGCTTGTACAGATAACATTGCCCCACCCGTCGCCTCTTGCTTAGGAGACCTCGTCACCCTATTCCTTCTTGGGGTAACATCTACCATTCTCATCAGATTTCTCGGGACCCCTGTTCCATTCGGCGTGATAGTTCTCATCGTGTGCACTTCTGTTGGGTGTGCGGTCCTCACGCGCCGCAATCCGCATGTCAAAGACCTGCTATTGCAGGGTTGGTCGCCCTTACTCGGTGCCATGATCATCAGCAGCGGCACGGGTATCATATTGGACATGTTCGTCAGCCGTTACGAAGGCTTTGCACTCTTGGCCGTCGCCATCAGTGGTAGCGCCATCTCTTTATCTACTCCTCAAACCCTGCTTATATGCGTGTAGGGCTACCTGGCAGCGTCGGCTCCGTCCTCGTCTCGCGCCTGTCCACATCTCTCCATGCGTCTGTCGCGGGCTCTCTTCCTACCACAAGCGCCTCCTCATTCGCACGCAAACCTCCACGTACGGAACCGAGTCCGCGCTTGGTCATGCTCACGCTGTTCTTCGTCACCCTACCTGTAGAGGTCATCTTCCTCGCCGTCCTGCGCGCGCTCAATTGGCTCCGGCTCCCCTTCCCCTTCGTCGCGGCGTCCGTCTTTTTCTTTTGCTTCGCAGTGCGTGCTCGCCCCTATCCTGCCCCTAGTCTCTTTCCCCCTTCAAAGTCGCCTGACGCTTCCTTGCTATAGGTGTTTATATCCCTCGTCGTCGCCCGATATCTGACAGACTTCCTGTGGTCGCGCGGCTTCGACCCCGACATGTATGCGCTGCCTGTACACTCCGCACTTATGGACCTGGTCGGCCAGCTCCTCCTTGTCGCGTGTTTCGAGCTCGTATCCGTCATGGGCATATCTGTCGGATCAAAACCGTAGTCGTCGACCCACATAAACCTTGGGTCGGCTAACGTTATTCATGTCTATACATATTTCATCGCATACTATACCGCATCCATGATCGTCCAGAGCATCGCATCTACATAATCATATATCATACGGCATGGAGGATCCACATAAACATATTTGTTCTAATTTATTGTTTTTTCAATCAGGATTGTCCCATTTTGTAGTCCATGGATCTCATCAATCGTCGTTAAGAGCGCCACAAGGAGCAAGCGATCGCATCATAATAAACAATGTGTAGGGTACTTTTATTCTACAAGCAGCAGAGAGCATGTTACCCGTTCATTTTCGCCTTCTTCGTTCGCTTCGGCAGCTCCCCATCCCCTTTGCGCTTCTTCCCCTTCTCCTTGTCTTTTTTGCCGCCGTCTTCGCTCTCGCCCTTCTTGTGGCTGTTCGCTGTCGCATGGGCTGCAGACTTTGATCTAATTTCGATTTCGTCGGAGACCATCTCGATGTCGGCGTCGATAGGGGCTGCTTGAGACGCGATCGCCGAGTCTGTCCCTGGCGACCCGCGCGAGCCGTACGGAAGGAAGCGATGTTTGAGGACCGCGTCAGGGTAAGAAGGCCGTGGCGGATTTTTGTAGACGTGCGCGCCGGCTGGAGCGGTTGCTGGCTCGGCGCCAGGGTCAGACTCAGGGGCTGAGGGAATAGGGGGCGACGCAGCGAAGACGAGGTGCCGAGCGATGGGTTTGGGCGCTGCGTTGGCAAAGCGAACGGTCAGATGGAGATGCGTGCGGGAGTCGTGAGTCGCGAGAGCGAAGCGTTCGAGGAAGACGCACCGAGGTAGAGCTTCCCGCCTTTCTTCGGGCGAGGAAGCAGCGCCGACAGCGCGCGCAGCTCTTCGCCCCCGACGCCGGCTCCTTCGTCTCCCTCCGCCTCGCCGTCGGCGCTGAGGGCCCATATATCGTAGGACCCGGTTTTGCGCTCCAGGCGGCCGACCTTGACAGTGAGCGAAGACGGCGGCGGCGCCGATATCCGCACATCCTTAAGATGCTTTGGCTTAATCTATAGATCAAATATACATATATGACATGTTGCAGTCAGAGATTGGCACAGACGCGGAGGAGGGTCCTCAGGTGGGAGGGGTGAAGGAGCGGCGAGGTCGACGCACATTGTTCGGGACACGCACGAGCCAGAGCTCTGCATCTTCGTCGCCTTTGAACTGGTCGTAGTCGAAGTCTCCAAACTCGATGTTCTCGATGTCGGGTAGGACAGCGCCCTCAGGGGGCGCGTAGATCCATTTGGGGTCAGTGCCCTCGTTCCGCGCCTCAGCGACCTCGTCGTGCACCTGTTCTTTGCCCTTGGCATGCTTCTCCTTGCCTTTGCCTTTCAACGCATTTTTTGCCGTTTTTTGGGGAACGAGAGAGGCGGACATCGTGCGTAAAGTCGATGGACGGGGTATATTGGGCTGACAATCAGACGGACAGCTCAGGAGTTGCCGGATTCGGACGACTGTTTGGCAACAGCCTCTGAATCAAACAACGCCAGCATTGTTGGCATCTTTGTTTACTCACAAGTCACAAGGGCATATTCACTCAATTTTACCTTTCACGCAGTGTGTGTGATATGATTTATTATTTGCTTCAATTTAGGGTATATGGGGGTATGCGTATAGTATAGTTCAAGGTCTGACCAGCAGACCAGGACCAGAGGTCGTTGACGCGCATCAGTTGTAGACGCCCTCCTCTCCCACGACTCGCAGAGGGCGGTCCCCCTCTCTATGATTGTACGCCTCAGGAATACGAACGGATAACGCCTCTAACTTCGCCAAAATATCATCGTCGTCAACATCGAAGTCTGGGGAGTGCGTCTCAGGGGTAGCTGCGCCGCTCCCGCCGCTCCCATCGCTCTCATCAGAGTCCTCAATTGTAAGATGCGGGAGCTCCGCGTTCATTGGAGGCCCGGGCGAGGGAGAGACGATCCCGGGCGCGTCCATGTCCACGTATTTGTTGCGGCGCTTCAGCCTCACACAGTCTCTCGCAGCCATGCGCGCGTTCATGGGCGCCTTGGCGAGCTCCGCGTCGGTCATGAAGAAGGTTCTGATGCGGCCGACCTCGCGGCGGAGCTCCATGAGCGAAATGCGCAGGTGCGGTTGGAAGGTGAGGATGCGGCGCACGAGGCCGTTCGCCTCGCGCGAGATGGGGAGGATCTTGACGAGGTACTCCGGGTCGACGAGGAACTTCGAGAAGCTGGGGTCGTCGAACGTGGGCGCCTCCCAGGGTGTGTGGCTCGTGAGCATGTTTACAAGGATGATGCCGAGCGCCCAGATGTCCGCGAGGCGGGCGTCAAACTTGAGCGAAGAGGGGTCTTGGCCACAGCACTCTGCGCAAAAAGGTCAGCGGCCTCGACTTTGTATATGGCTGTGTCGAGCGCGACTTACGAGGACTCATAAAAGTGGACGTCCCGGTGCCCCAGCAGTCAACCCAGTTGTGGGAGGTCGCGAGGCCAAAGTCGGTGAGGTAAACCTGCGAGCCGTCAGGGGAGCAGAGGACGTTGTCCGGCTTCAGATCGCGGTGGTATATGCTCTTTTCATGGCAATACTGCAGGGCGTCGATGAGCTGCGTGAAGGCCCGCTTCACGTTCCCATTGTTGCGGTAATATACCTGGCGGTTAGTGACCGCATCGAGCAGGTCGCCAGATGTGCAAAGGTCCATGACCACAAATATGAAGTACTCGTCGCATTTGACAACGCGGTCGAGGGTGACGACGTTGGGGTGCGACGAGGCGCGCCAGTGCATGTTGACCTCGTGCGTCTGGTATTCGGTGATGTGATGCTCTGGGTCGTAGCGGAGGAGCACCTTCACCGCAAACTCGCGCGGCGTCGGCGAACGTGTCTCGATAGCACGATAGACAGCGCCGTAGGCTCCAGAGCCTACCATATCGAGCAGCATGAGGGAGTCGTTGTCGATGAAACGACCTTGGAGGTTGGGCAGGATTTCGGTGATGCTAGTCATAGTGCAGTGAGTCAAAGTGATGTGGGATATGCGGTCAACGCAGATAGTTAGGGGCTATGATGTGAGGTTGTTGTGGTTAGAGGTCAAGAGAGAGTATGGCTCTTCGTCGCAGGAAGCGCCTCTTATAAACCCTTGATGTCTCGGATAGCTTCATTGCACGAATGTCGCGCGGAAGGGCTGCATTACGTTCCCGAGACAGTTGGTGACGTCCAAGCCATCACGTGATCGAAGTCATCGACGCTGCGCATATAGTTCTGCTTTCCGCGCATCGCCTAAAGGCTGTGGTTCGAGGGCCGAGACTCACTATTCATCGGAGTCGAATGCGTGGAATGGAAAGCTGAAAAGAGCTCTCAGGTACGGACATGCACGGAATCGACACACCTGTACAAAACTCTGGACCTTCAAGCTTCACTGGACAGGACGGCAGCAGCAAACGGGCGCTCACCAGCAGAAGAAAGAAGGATGCGCCTAATAATAATGCAAAAACAGTAGAGACAAGCTCGCGCCGATGAGGAACAGCAATATCCACATCCGCCCGTCCCGCGCGCGGCGGCGCGCCTCGCGCAGCTGCACGTTCCCCTTCTCGACGAGCTCGCTCGTCGCGACCGCGTCCTCGTAGATCCTGTCCGTCACCTCTGCCTGCCGCGTGAGCTGCGCGACGAGCTCCATCTGCAGCGCACTGATCTCCAGCAGTCGCACCTCTGCCTGCTGCACCGACGCGTACGTGTCCTCCACTGCGCGCAGAATCTGCGCGTTCTCGCTCTCGAACTGCTGTATTTGGGATGCCGACAGTTCGACGTCATAATCGTCATCGTCGTCATCGTCATCGTCGTAGCGGTCGCCATACTCGTCTGGCGGCAGAGCCGTCGCCGACGAAGCCGCAGAATACGGCGCGCCGATCGTGGACGCGAAGCTGTTCGCGAGCGTCGAGGATGCACCGCCCAGGATCCAGCTTGCGCCGATGCTCTTGCCCGGCGGGCCATAGCTGTCCGCCATCATCGAGTCCCCGACGCTCATGTGCATCGCCTGCTGCGCGGCGCCCGACCCGAGCGTGCGCGTACGCTCCGTATGGCGGCGCACGCGCTCCTCCTGGAGCTCCTTCTGCTGCTGGCTGACCTGCGCGAGCCGCCGCGTGAGGTACCATGTGACGGCCGCGTTGTGCGCGGCGACGTACTCCGAGGCGATGGTGGAGGTGTCGTGGCGCAGGCGCGCGGGGAGCATGCGTAGGAGGGGATTCGCCTCTTTCGCTGCGAGCTCGGTGCGTTCTGTGGAAGTAAGAAAGACGGCATCAACGTGTGTCTGTGTGTGTGCGCCAATTTGCGCGGGTTTAGGTCGCTCTCGCTGCTCTGAGCAAGTGAAGTGCGGCATTATGTACCGGCCCGCGTTATATGTGGCTTCACAAGTTGAGGCTTGCTAGGGGGAGGCCACTCACGCTTTTCCAGGGCCTCCATGTTCTTTACCCGCTCCGCGCACCGCGTCAGTATCACCCGCACCTGCAAGTCGATCTGGTCCCGCTCCTCGTTGGTAAAATGCCGCCGGTCAAGGAACGACGATTCCAAATCCGAGAAATCGAGCGCGCGCTCGCCCGTCCGCGACGACGTGCCTGGGTGCCGCGAATGCACGTCCAGATACGGCTTGCGGATGTTCGCGAGCATGCGCGAGAGCGTGTTGACGTGGGTGAGCTGCGCGCGCGGGTCCATCAGGCGGGGGCACATCAGAGGCGGCGCGGGAGGGGACGCACGATGTTGTGGGCCTCTTGCATGTATTCCTGCATTAGCGGGGGCGCACCTTCCCGCTGGCTCTCGCCCGGGACACGTCGCGACGGACGGGTCAGCCTCCGGCGCTTCGCCTCGGGGATCTCTTTCCGTTTTGCCTCTACTAGGCCATGGAACATCGTGGTGTGGTCTGCGCCTGTCATACGAAAGGGTATTGGCCACTGAGTGTATGGGTGGGTCGAGTCGTGGGTGAGTATGTGCGCTAGACAAAACGATCGTGGTTGCTACTTATGAGTCCCCGTCAACACGTGGAATACAAGTCCGCCACGTGATGAGCCGACTTGTTGTCGGGAGGTTTTTGTTCAGCGTTTGTTCTGTGCAGGGACATGATTGTTTTCTGGTCAAAGGTGGACAAGAAAGAAATTCGCTCGCCATGGAGACGTCGTTCGGACTTTTGGACGGTACAGTCGTGGCCTCAGGCCACAAGCATCGTGTAAAGCGTGTTGGAGTCGATTTCAGTGGCGTGTGTCCGTGCAGGCCGAATTCCGACGAGAGGAAGTACACACGGGCCTCCAACTTCATTGTGATCTCCAGAACAAATGGAAAGGAAAAGGTAAATGAATTCTGAGACGGTGCATGCTTCTATGTAAGGGACCGGAGACAGTGGAGGATTCAGACCCCAGATCATTTCTTTGGCTTGCGTTCCCTGTATAACTCCATCTTTACTTACCGGCGCTGCTTCTGATTTGCTCTCTCAATGGCTTGCGAATATGGCGCGACCCTTACTCACTGTAGCGCCCTCAAGTATTCAGCGCTCAGCCATCCGCCGGTGCTGGAGAAACGTTGATACAATAGCGAGAGCACGTTAGAAGCATGAACCATTTCCAGGTCCACGCACATACCCTCCGGCAGTTGTCTACAATGCCATAAGGAACGAGGTAAAGCCCACCTCTTGTCCTCGAGGCTCGGAGCCTGGTCAACGTGTACCAGACGACTCCATTCTGCCGGGCCTTAGACTCTGCGGGCACGAGACTCCATCGCAGCATTTTTTCCGAAAATTACGAGCGGTTTTCGGTTTGCTGGAGCGCAGGAGGAGGGACGAAAATATTTTTAACGAAAAGTAGATGCTCCGGGCGCAGCGAGGAGACGGAGGGCGCGCAAAAACAGGCGGGCAATGCATTGAGTTGGCCAGAAAAGGGAACGGGACGCTCGGCAGCGCTCGGCAAGGGACCGAGGGAGCGTGGGACTGGAGACAATGCCACCCTCGAAGTTTGTCTCGCTCTTCCCTTTTATTCTCCGTCTCGTTGGTCTTCTCCTCCTCACTTTCCTTCATCCCCCCTTCCCTCCCACACTCTACTTCCACCGTCATGTACGCCTTCAACGCGTTCGTCCTCGTCCTCGTCGCTCTCTTCTCCTTCGCGAACGCACTCCCGCTGGGTCACGGGCACATTCGCCGTTCATGTCCTCACAACGCGCGTGCTTCTGCTCTCTCGGCCATCGAGTCTGCATCGTCCGCAGCATCGTCCGCAGAATCCACCCCGCTCTCCTCCACAGTGCCCTCGTCTTCGTCTAGCGCTGTCCCTACCGCTACCTCGTCCAAGGCCGCCGCCTCCCACTCCGCGTCTGCCCCCTCTTCCTCTGCATCCTCTGCGAAGGCCACTGCCACGCGTTCTGCCACAAACAACGCTGTCACTGGCTCCCTCCTCGGTGCCCTCTTCCCCATCGCTCAGCCCTCCACCTCCTGGACCACCCTCCAGGGCATAAGCGGCGCCCTCTCCCTCTCCGACTCCACCTTCAACCCAGATCACGTCCTTTCCTCGCTCACCCACAACTACGTCGCTTCCCCCGGCTCAGACTCGAAGCTCTCCATGCAGGCACACTACCCCAAGGGCTCGTACACCTTCGGCCACCAGCCCCAGGGTGGTATCTCGTTCTACGCCCCCGGCCCGTCGGACGTCGATCTCACAACGGCCAAGGAGGCCACCTTCGGCTACTCCGTCATGTTCGATGAGGGCTTCGACTGGAACAAGGGCGGCAAGCTGCCCGGTCTCTGTGAGTGCCTTGGCATCATTCGCATCCTCGGCTATCCGTGCCATCATTCGTTGTGTGATGTCGCTTTATTGAACCACCATGCTGACCCCCTCGCCTTTTTTTTTCTCCGTAGACGGAGGTGACGACGCTACCGTCGCTGTTTCCTGCTCCGGTGGGCGCCGCTCCGACGCGTGCTTCTCCGCGCGTCTCATGTGGCGCACGGACGGCCAGGGCGAGCTCTACACCTACCTGCCACCCTACACGGACTCGCGCTTCGCCGCAAATGAGAAGCAGTGTTCTGTCGCGCCCAAGTCGGAGTGCAACCCGACGTACGGCGCGTCCGTTGGGCGCGGCTCGTTCAGCTTCGAGGCGGGCAAGTGGACGACCGTGAGCCAGCGCGTGCGCCTGAACGACGTCGGGCAGGCAAACGGCGAGCTCGAGTTGTTCGCGAACGGGGAGAGCGTGGTCAAGGTCGACGGCCTGATCCTGCGCGCGAGCGACGCCGGGCGGCTGCGTGGCATCCAGATGCAGACGTTCTTCGGCGGTGAGCTGCTCCCTTCTTTTCTTTTGTTTGATCTGGGCGCTGAGACTGATATTTTTTCCGTGCAGGCTCTACTTCCGACTGGGCATCCCCCAAGGATCAGAACACGTACTTCTCCGACTTCTCGATGGCCATCACCGAGAAGCTCTGATCCTCTCACTACCCCACCCCACCCACTAACCGACTTAGACCAACTTGACCAACCCACCAATTGACGCCGCTCGTCCAGCACGAGCCCCCGTCCGCTCCCTACTTACTTATATATACTCTAGACGAGCCTGCCCCACCTCACATGGGCCCTCTCTCCTTTCCTCACTGACCCACCCGCCACCCGCACCCAATATTCTCTGCACATTGTATCCACTTGCTTACGTTTTCTCTTGAGATTCTTGCTTTTAATGCGCTTCCGCGACGCGGCGCGCGGGCAGGGCTCCCGCGCGTGCGCGTACGTGCCCCCCCACGATCGTGCTCGCTTACGACCCCATGACGCCTGAGACGTGATGCGCTCGTACTCAGATAATGAGCGCTGCAGCGCCGCAGCGGGGCCGCGGCGGCGTTGGCTGGCTGGGAAGGGGCCGCGGCGTCGCGCTTGCGCGGCGCGGGCGGTCCCCTGGTTGTATCGTTATTATTGTCGTGCGTTATGTCTGCTGGAATAGATGCTGTTTCTGCGCTTTGCTCTTGCTTTTGCTCTTGCGCGTTTGGAAGTTGTGTTGGTCGCACATCCACAATCGCACTCGCACTTGCACCGAGTCGTCCGAATGTGAATATTCTGGTGTTTCGGGCGACGCGGCTGTGATGATGCGGCGCGGTGCAGAAGAGCTGCAGAAGTGGTACAGATCGTGGAAGGTCGAAATATATGGTCTGAAACTGACCCAAATAGATACCATATTCGGGTGGAAGCCCGGCTGAGTCAGCTCCAGTAAAGGTCGCAACACTGCCACAGCTGAGGACGTCCTAGAGGGCACTGTATCGCTCAGTATACTAATAAGTAAGTTAACAACCGTGCAGGCGCCGAGTCTGCGTTATGATCTACGTCATCGCTCGTATCTTCGCGCTCCGGAGTCCGTGATGCGTTCTCACCTTTCAACAGTCTCCGTCTCCCTCGAGTCCAAGCATCCTGTTATCATTCAACTTCGACGGAGTGATCTAGCAGTCGAGATCCGACATGTATGAACTAGCCGACGCTTCCGACGATCACCACAATCACCACGATGGACACGCGCGCCACCATCATCATCACGACCACGACAGCAACGACACGGACGGTGCCTCCCTCGTCCACGCAAATGCAGCGCACTTCGATGCCGAGGCAAACGCGACGGACGACTCGCCCATGCGGCTCGAGGTCGCGAGGCGTCTTGCGCGCGCACTGCGCGCCGCGTACGCGTTCGACGAGGACGCGACGACGGTGATGGACTACGCATGCGGCACCGGTGCGTCCCCGCCCCCGCCCCCGTCCTCGCCCTCGCCTGCGCTCGCGCTGACCGCCGTCGTGCCCGCCGCAGGGCTCGTCTCGCGCGCGCTCGCGCCGCATGCACGCGTGCTCGTCGGCGTCGACGTCAGCCAGGGCGCGGTCGATCGCTACAACCTGCGCGTCGCGAACCAGGGGATCCCGCCCGCCGAGATGCGCGCCGTGTGCGCGGAGCTGCGGGGCGACGCGCAGGAGCTCGCGGCGCTCGGCGGGGAGCGCTTTGACGTCGTCATCGTGAGTCGAGTCGCTCGCTCCCCTCCACGCGCGTAATGTTCAGTCAGGGTCACACGTGGGCTCGATGATACTCCCGCCTGCGCGCCGATCTGTCTTGTTTTGTTTTGTTTTGGGTCGTGTCGTGTCGCGCCGCGGGAAGTGCACGATGGCGTACCACCATTTTGCGGATATCGCGGAGACGACGCGCGTGCTCGCGTTCTTCCTCAAGCCCGGCGGGAGCCTGCTCGTCGCGGACATTATGAAGCGCACGAAGCCTGCGCCCGGCGGGTTGAGCTCGGGCTCGGGCTCGGGCGCAGGCGCAGGCGAGGAGCCCGACGAGGTCATTCCGAAGAGGTACCACCACATCGTCGCGCACACCGCGGGGCTCGGCGAGGCGGACATGCGGGGTGCGTTCGAGGGCGCGGGGCTCGAAGCATTCGCGTTCCGCACGGCCGCGCGCGCGCGGACGTGGGGTAGTGGAAAGGAGGTCGATTTTTTCGTCGCGAGTGGGGTGAAGCCTCTGGAGGACGCGGGGCAGGCGCTTAGTACGTAGGTTCGTCAGCGAGACGGCGCGGGTGTACGATGCGGCAGTTTGGGTCAAGGTTCGCGTGTGTTGTGCGAGCGCGTCGCGCGAGGGGTCGGCCCAGTGCTCGCGACGATGTTCAACTGTATAAAATGAAACTGCAGGCTTCAACCAGTGTTCATCAATGAATCCCATCACTTTGAGGCCTTGAGATCTCAACAGCTGTATGAGGTGAAACTAGGACGATTTTTTTTTTGCATCGCACTCTATTTTTCCAGAGATTTGAGAAATGCAGTCGATCTAGATCGCTTTCGGAGAACCCACGCGCTGCAGGTCCGCTGACTCAGTGGCTGAATGGAGGCTGCATAAGCGGCACGCTGTTTGCACCCACGCCCGCCCCGGCCACACCCACATGCGCTCTGGCGAATGTCGAACAGCAGGACGACTCAAACACTTGGCCTGCTTTCCAGAGTTGCTTCGTCCTTGAAGGCAACATGCATTTCCGACCCATCACCCGTCATGCTGGTGTCAAGTCTTGCCTCGTTTGCATAGCTGGCCTGGAGTCCGGTATGTACCGTACGCTACCCGTATGTCGAGAAATTTCCACCAAGCCAGGCTGAACTTCGTTTAGCCGGTGAGATGATATCATCGAGTTCCTGAGCATCTAGAGCACCTATAAGAGGCGCCAGGCCTAAATATTCTGACTCGTCCATAACCTCCCGTGCGCGCTTCTGAGATGTCTCAGCAAACTGTTTTCCGCCTGAAGGAGGCCCTGGGTCCGTCTGGCTACGTCAAGCTCCGTGAATCCGTCCCTTCCCCAAAGGCGCATGAAGTCCTGGTCCGCATCCACGCGGCGTCTCTCAATTTCCGCGATTACGCTGTCTCCAAGGGTCTATATCCCTTCCCCATCAAGGCCGATGTCGTCCCAGGGAGCGACATGGCCGGGGAGGTCGTCTCTGTCGGCGAGGGCGTAGCGGGCTTCAAAGTCGGTGACCGCGTCAGTGCCAATTTCGACCCGACGCACTTCTTTGGCCCGCAGCCTAATTGGAAGGGTGCGTTTGCTCGGCGATTCCACGCTTGACCATGATTTCACGCGTTCTGCGTGCTTAGGCGGCCTCGGTGCGCCGATTGACGGTGTCCTGCAAGAGTACCGGGCGTTTGACGAGCACGGTCTTCTCCATATTCCGAAACATCTGACGTGGGAGGAAGCGGCCTGCATCCCATGCGCGGGCGTTACCGCTTGGAACGCACTATATGGCGGTATTCCTCTTATCGCTGGACAGACCGTATTGTTGCAAGGAACTGGCGGCGTCTCTATGTTCGGCCTGATCCTAGCTCATGCTGCTGGTGCCAAGGTGGATATGACTTGTCGTATCTCTACGCCACCACTCATGGGTTGTTGGACAGACAATTATCACCTCTTCATCTGACGAGAAGCTTGAGGCAAGTGCTTTGCCTTGTATGACAAGATTATCACCGATTAATGAATTGACATAGATTGCGAAGAAGCTAGGTGCCACGCACACCATCAACTATAAGAAACAGCCCAACTGGGATGAGGTCGCTCTTGAAGTTCGTCTTGCGCTCTAGAACGGGTTTATAACGTTACTCACAATTTTTGTTGTCATTTCAGCTTACAGACGGCGAAGGGGTTCACCATATATTTGACAATGTCGGCGCGCGAGAGATCGAGAGATGCTTCAATTGCGTCGCGGCCGGAGGAACGATCAGCAGCATCGGGTTCCTTGGCGGCCAGCCGACAACAAGCCCGAATGTCCCCGGCCTTGCTCTTGCAAAGGGCGCCATTCTTCGGTGAGCGCTGCCTTTCCTTGCATCCTGATATCTAGCTCACACATCGGTCGATGTCAGAGGAATCAATGTTGGATCGAAGCAGTTGCACAGCGACCTCCTTCGATTTGTCGCGACCAAGCAGCTGAGGCCATACATCGACAAGGTCTTCCCTCTCGACCAATTCCCTGAAGCCGTCGAATACTTATCCCGGGGCGAACATATTGGCAAGATCGTCATCCGTGTCTCTTCTCCCTGAATTCTCAGAATCTCTTTCTACGTTTTGTTGGCCCGCGACGTGCTGATAGTTGTACGCTATTTGGACGAGTATGTAGCCTTCTGGTAAAGTTGTAAGCAATGTAAGCAGTGATTGTTTGGTTTCATCAGCTCTGCTCAGGTAGTCTTATGTTCACCACAACTATCCATCAACACTTGGCGTCACATGGCTTGACTTGATTGTCATCTATAAATGTTCAGATTCAGTGGTCGGCGTTCTATAGCCATCTGTGTGCTAGACGTCAGTGATTTTTCCCTCTGAACGGGCGGTCGCTGACATTATGACGAAATGGACCCCTTCAGCTTTAGACAGGTTCGGTTGGGCGCGCAATCTGCGCGCCTGAAAAAACAGCGTCCAGAACGTGTGATTAATTCGAAGATTTCATGACATTCACGCATCGGTCACATGCAGAAACACCTGACACTCGCGATTCTACTACTTAAGAGAAGTGGGTCCAATTTCAGTTCATACGGCTTGCCCTCACCGCCCTGCGACGCGCCCGCTTCACTGCTCTTCGATAATGCATCTACAAGGGCCTGTCATCGCCGCTGTGCTATTCAGTCTTGCAAATACTCGCGCGGAGTATGTCGATCCTCGCGTTCTAGACAGTTGCCCAGGGTACAACGCGACCAATATCCAGACGACCGGGGCGCACCTCACGGCCGACCTTGTCCTCGCCGGGGCAGCGTGCAACGTATTTGGCAACGACACGGCGAAGCTGTCGCTGGAAGTGACATACGAAGCCGGTAAGGCTGCTATATCACACGTCACGTCCACTCACGGGTGTAACGCATCGCCCGTTTCAGAGACGCGTATTCATCTAAAGATCACCGATCCGTCCGAGGTTCGTTATGAAGTTCCCCAGTCCGTTCTGCCGCGCCCGTCGGCGAGGGAAGACCTGTCTGTCTCCGACGCGCTGATCAGGTTCAACTACACCGCCGCTCCGTTCTCGTTCAGCATCTTCCGTGCCGAGACCCAGGAAATCCTGTTCTCCACCGCGTCCCACCCTCTCATCTTTGAGCCTCAGTATCTGCGCGTGAAGACGAACCTCCCCGCGAACGCAAATGTCTATGGCCTCGGCGAGCACACGGATCCATTCCGCCTCGACACGGCGAACACGACGCGCACCATGTGGTCGCGCGACGCGTATGGCATCCCGGTGGGCACGAACCTGTACGGGAATCACCCCGTCTACTTCGAACATCGCCCGACCGGGACGCACGCAGTGTTCCTCTTGAGCTCGAACGGGATGGACGTGAAGATCCGCAACAACGAGACGGCGACTGGGGCGACTACGCTCGAGTACAACGTGATTGGAGGGGTCCTTGATTTCTACTTCCTTGCGGGGAGTACAACTGATCCTGCGGAAGTGGCGAGGCAGTATGCGCAGGTGGTTGGCACTCCTGCTGAGGTTCCATACTGGTCGTTTGGCCTGCATCAATGTCGTTTTGGATATCAAGGTAAAAACATTGACAATCCCGGTCTGCGATGTCGAGCCTTGACGTCAGTGAACTTTGAAAAACCTCAGATTTTGTTGATGTTGCCAACGTCATTACCAATTATTCTTTGGCGTCCATTCCTCTCGAAACAATGTGGACCGATATCGGTCAGTGAGCAAGCTTAGATTTACCAGCACATGTCTTGACAGCCCGTAGATTATATGTACAAGCGCAGGATCTTCACAACCGATCCCGATTATTTCCCCACATCAAGAATGCGAGAGATCGTCGACTATCTGCATGCCCACGATCAGAAGTTTGGTACGTACCTTCACCTGATATCCAGAGGACAAGGTTTCACCAGTTTGCCTCCGCAGTTTTGATGACCGACCCTGCAGTCGGTTATCTACCTGGCGAAAATTATGGCCCTTACGATCGAGGCACTGATTTGGATGTATGGATCAAGGCTCCGAATGGAAGTGCCAGCTTAGGGCTTGTCTGGCCAGGCTAGTTCCTGATGAGTCTGCTGTCGTCTCGATACTCACTCGGCTGTTTTCTCTTGGATAGGTGTCACAGTATTTCCTGGTACGCGGGTGTTCGCAAGTTTTGCTGACTTATGAGTTTCTGATCAGCATCTTAGATTGGTTTCATCCACAAATCACAGAGTAGGAACACTCTTCATAATTTATCGATGTATTCATAATCGCTTCCCCTGAACAGATACTGGAACAATGAATTCCAGTTGTTCTATAATCCGGAAACCGGTTTAGATATCGACGGCGCTTGGATCGACATGAACGAGCCATCCAGTGTATGAATCTCGATTATTCGTTCGTGCTCGAATATTCATCGCATTTCTCTTCAGTTTTGCACATATCCATGCGATGACCCATTCGCTCAAGCGATCGCGCAAGACCTCCCGCCGCCTCGCACAGTTGCGCCTCCTGATCCCAATGCGCCTATCTTTGGCAATGACAAATCCAAGAGAGCAGCCCCTAGCCACGAGGGTCAGGATGTATTGAATCCCCCGTACAAGATTGATAATGCCGCTGGCGTACTATCCGACAAGACAGCATATGTGCGTAGAATGCAGCAATTGCAGGCGGCAATATGCATCTTAATCATGATGTTTTCTAGAGCAATGTTGTGCATGCCAATGGGCTCATTGAATACGACACGCGTCGGTATCGTTCATGACTTTTCACGAGGGCAGGTATTCACTCGATTCTCTAGATAACATGTATGGGACGATGATGTCCTCCGCTACGCACGACGCAATGCTTGCTCGACGTCCAACCCTGCGTACGTTGGTCATCACCCGCTCAACCTTCGCAGGTGCAGGGAGCAAAGTCGGCAAGTGGCTTGGGGACAATATGAGCACCTGGCAGCACTACCGCCTCTCGATCGCTGGTATGCTAGGCATGGCGAGTGTCTACCAGATTCCAATGGTTGGCAGTGACATCTGTGGATATGGTGCGTGAAAGTCTCCATACCAGAGCATTAACAGTATAGCCTTATCATTGTTTAGCGGCGAATACGACGGAGACGCTCTGTGCTCGATGGGCAATGCTGGGGGCGTTCTACCCTTTTATGCGGAATGTAAGTCAAATAAGTGGTCCACATCACATCGTCTGATCGCGCTTCTAGCACAACGCCGATACGTCGATCAGCCAAGAATTCTACCGTTGGCCACTTGTGACCCAGGCAGCGAAAAGCGTGCTCGACATTCGGTGAGGCTTTTCACATCGTAATGAGCTCCTCTAACATGTGCCTGCATACATAGGTATCGCCTCATAGATTACATCTACACGGCATTCCACACCGCTCACACTGACGGGACGCCCGTACTCAACCCGCTTTGGTTCAAGTACCCGCACGATGTAGCGACGTACCCGATAGATCTTCAATTCTTCTATGGCGACTCTATACTTGTCTCCCCCGTCACCGAGGAGAACTCGACGTCAGTGACGTTCTATCTACCAAAGGACCGCTTCTACGACTTCGCCACTCTCGCTCTGGTCGATGGCCAAGGGGCTAACGTGACCCTTGATAACGTCAACTTTACCACCATTCCTCTGCATATAAAAGGCGGGGCCGTCTTGCCCCTGCGGGCGACTGGGGCCATGACCACAGCGGAGCTCAGAAAGACAGACTTCGAGTTTGTGGTCGCGCCGGGCTTGGATGGAAAGGCGACGGGGTCGTTGTACATCGACGACGGAGAGAGAATTGTTCAAAAGGCGACCACAACCGTGGCGATGACGTATCAACAGCGCTCCTTGACAGTCACGGGCCAGTTCGGATACCACGCTGATGTCAAGGTCGCCCGCGTGCTGTTCCTTGGCGTCGATAAAGCTCCGCAAAAGGTCGAGATCGAAGGGCGCGGGCATAGTGGCCCTGCACCCTTTTCATACGATTCGAAGACGAAAGTGCTCCGAGCAGAGGTAGCAGTTCCTCTCCAAAACTTCCAGATTCACTTCTCTTGATTGCTGTTAATTTCGAACACTCATACCAATCAGACCTAATTCGATTGGAATCGTATAGGAGCCAATACACACACTGATGTATATCTGATTATCTATAGCAATACTCAACACCATTGTAATTACCCCTTCAACAGTGGGCATGTCCCGACATTGCCATTTAAATTGGGAAAACGGTAAGTGATACCGAGCACAACATATGAACCAGCGCACAATGAGACTAGAAGCCGCGGACATCAACAACGGAACGAATTAGAGCGATCGTCATCGTTGAACCACCACGAGCCGTAGATGACGCCTTGATTTTCGTCGGCCAGGTAGTCAAATAGCCCGCGTGATAGATCGAGACCTCCGCACGGGCATCCCGGGCACTGCAAAATGCTTAGAATCTGAAACGACCAGCAGCGAAACTCTGACAAACCTCATCCACCACAGAGGCCTGCGCAGACTTGCCGTTGTAAGTGATGGTGATCTCTTTGAAGCAATGAGGTCCGGGGTAATCTTTCCCGTATTGCTGATTATACGCTGCCGGTGAGCGGAGGTTTCAAGCAGAGGATGTCGATCGATAACGTACAGCAGAGTTCACGGCGACAACCTGCAAGAAAGTTATAGTGAATACTGATATTAGAGGAAATTCAGACGCAGATCTACTCACATATTCGGAGCCCCGGTTAGTATGACCGCAAGCGCCTCTGAACAGTCCATGAGCGACTGGGAAGCGATATGAATTATGAGCACCTTACTTTCCAACATCATAAAACGTGAATTTAGCGTTGTCGAAGCGTTTGTATAGCCTAACGTCGCTCCTGGCTCGACGAGCAATGTCGCGTGAGTGGTGACGAGACGCCTCGTGGGCGTTGCTTTCCGTGAGAGCGAATGCCGAGAGGGAGAGCATGACGAAAGGGAGAGTGATTAAAGTGAATGCAAGCATTATGATTTTCTGAAAGAATGGCTAGGTGAGTTGAAGGAATGTCGAGGGAATTGCGATTGCTGCAAAGGTTGTCGTCCTGGGGGTTGTTGTGAAACGGGGCTCCTTAAGTACTTTACCGAGTCCGGCATCCAAATTGACGATCTTCTGGCTCATGTCCGGCGTTGCTCAAAAGCCTCTCGATTTCAAGATGACGGAACATAGATCATCGCGTAGTACGTCAAAATTCAACACGTACGGCGATCATCCCCGCTTTTTCAAAGCTGAGAGTCGCTGCTGTCCGCCACGAGAAACGAAACAAGAACCAATTCCTTCCGGAAACTCCGTTGTCTTCTCGAGGCTTGCTCCAATCCGCACCCGTCGTCGGCGAGAGGATCATCACTGTAGCATGATGCCAAACTTTCGGTTCTGTCATGCATATTGCATAATGTCACGACATGTCACGACATGTGACTCAGCGCGTCGTTTGTCACATCCGACACCGCCGCACTAACCGCGCCCACGCGTCCTGCACAGCGCCACCTCAAGTTCGACTAAACACCTCTGAACACATTGGGGCGAAACTCACAGCCCTCCTTTGCTCGTGCTAATTTGCCAGGAGGCTGACAAAGCTTGAAGCTAGAATAACCCTTCAAATGCCTCCCACGTGCGTGCCAGACAGGATTTCACCATTGATCTTTGGGCGACGTACTTATGGATTGTCATGCAGGCGGCGAGAGTTCACAGATGACGAAGAAAAGCTACTGATCAAATATATCGCCGCGTACGCTCATCAATTCAATGGTCGTATGGGGAATGAGTTGTTCAAACATCTCACCGACAACGTATGTTCCATTAGTCCGAACTGAGCAGGAACGAACTGTAGTCTATTTCAGGAAGAAAATAAGTGGCCTTGGGCTTCCCATCACCCATGGAAGTCCTGGAGGGAAAGGTATAAGAAGGATCGCGCATGGTTTGATTATCACATAGACTCGTACCAGAGAAAGCGCAACCTCGTCGCGGATCAGCCGGAGAACGGAAAGCGCAAACGCAAACGTGAGGAGGACGAGGACTCTGGATCGAAGAAGAAAAAGAGGGTGCGGACTGTACCTGCTAAGAGGGGTGAAGATGGACATGGGCATGGGCATGGCGATGACGGCGTGGAGGAAGGGGCTGATGGCGTGGAGGAAGGAGCTCAATCTAAGCGCCCAAGCACTGCACCCAGGTGTGTCTTTAATTTCGCACGACTAATGACACGATCTATTGACTTTTTGAATACCAGAAAAGCCTTCTCTGAAGTAGATGACAAACTGCTCATCAAGTTCATCGCCCTCAATATCCCTTCAGAGGGTGGACGATTGGGAAATAAGCCATATCAGATGTTGACGGAAAATGTTCGTCCCGATTGCAATCTTACCACACTGTCTCTCGTTGATATTCATGGATTCAGGCCAACGGATTGTGGCCATGGGCATCTCGCCATTCTTGGCATTCTTGGCGAGAACGATACAAGAATAAGAAAAAAAGCTTCAATAAGCAGATTTGCGACTATCAGAAAGCTCACGGCATCGACCCAAAGTTATTCGTCTCATTTCTACCTCAGAGATTATAGCTGACAGTGAAATAAGGAAGGACCCGATGAATCTAGCACGGCAGCGGCAGATATCGGTGCGGCTGAATTGCTGTCATTTTACATTCACGTCGCTCACGAAATGCAGCCCTATGACGATTCTCAGGACAGTACGAACTCATCTCACCATAAAAGGAAGAAAGGCCCCAGGGATGGAGGCCTCCAGGATGTACCAGCGCTGAAGGCTAGCAATGGACCTGAGGTTACTACTCAAAATGAGAAAGGCAAGGCTCGCGAGAAGCCTCTGACGGCTACAAAGGCAGGGAACACTGTTCCCGCTTCGACCGATAATCCTGCCGAGGAGACCCCCCAGCATCACGGTGCTGGCGAATCTAATGGTGATGATTTTATCCCAAGGTACGTTCATGAGGCCGATAGCCTGACGGCAAAGTGGCCCGGGATCACCGCATTTACTTCGAATGTTGCCGTGAATCTAGATCATCGAATCCCATTCAAAGCCCCGCTGCGACATCGTCGATTCTGTCTCAACCTTCCAACCCTCCGGGAAGCTCGGCCGTCGGATATGGATTACGGCCTACGAAGGCCGTAGCGTCACGCACCATCCACACTCCCACTAGGACAGGGGGTGCTACGCCGCGGGCTGCTGGGTCCTCGAAAGTCCCACGATCTACTCCTCAAACGCCCAGTGGACGCAATCCTCCCTCAGCCTCAACAAGCGATACAACCTACGACCTCACAACGCCCCTCCAGCAGCGTCCCCAAATAGACCATGCGAGGCCTACTCCGAAAGTGGATGGCCCTGATAGTATTGTGGAAGACGGAGACCATGGTACCACAGAAATCGCTCCGGAACCACAACGCATAGATATGGCATCGCTGCCTAGCCCATCCTCACACGTGCAACCGCTTCCAATATTACCCTCTCCCCAAAGGGCGCCTAAGCGACGAAAAGTGGTTCAAGCTATGGACGACGACATCTTCAAATCCTTGCCACCTTCTCCTCAGCCTGACTTTACTTCCCCTCGCCCTGTTCCCACAATCCCTCAAAAGCAGCGCGCGTTGCCTGTACTCGAACAAGGACCGTATGTGAGCGCTTACACGACTATTCAGGGTGACTCGAGGCTTTCACCTAGTGGTCGACGACAAAGTGGCGTGGAGGACGACGTTACCAAGACCGTCTGGCCACCCAAACGAGGCGCTACAAATCGAAAGGCAACCCTACCCAAACACCAAGGGAGCTTTGAGAAACCATCCCACCTTTCCATACCTGCCCCACATCCGATGTTTGATAACGATCCACACCGCTCACATGGATCACCCACGCCTTTGCCTCTTGAGGCGAGCCTGAAATCCAATAAAGCTGCCTTGGTGCAACCACCGTCCCTTCCGGATCGTACCGACACCGCCTTGCCAGGCTCTACAGATCATTTTCCCTTGCAGCGCAATCGTAAATCGACGTCTCCGGTCCAATCCTCGCCTTTGACCAACGGCTCGGACCAACGCAGATCTACCGCTCAGCCGAATGCCGTCGCAACTTCCTCCAGAGTTCAATTGACTCCTGAAAGATCGAAACACCCAGTCGATTCTAGACGTTCTGAACATCCCATACCAGCAGTTCCCGACCCGAAGCCGTCGAATTCACCAGCTCCCCTAAGGGCGTCGCCTGCTCCCGCGTTCAAATTCCCGATGTCTCGTACAACCGACCCTCGACGCAAATTGTTCCAGAAGATGCCGAAGCCTGTCAACGCGATCCCTACTAGGGTAGCCGAGGACGTGAAAAATACCCGCCGGCGGACATTGGCTGGTTTCCCAGAGGAGGTTCCTCACCTTGATCTTCTCTCTGCTACCAAACATCTGCGAGGTCATATGCTTGATCATGATCGCCGACAGTCATTGCCTCCATCCTCCATTCGGTCTGCCTCTCGCCAGTCAACGCTCCCAGAAGTTGTCTATGAGCATACCCTCCATCGCACATCCTCCATCACATCAGCAAATACTGATTACTGGAGCTCATGTCCCCGTCGGCAGTACAATCCGATCTCTCCGTCACGGCATTCTCCAACGTCGGCGTCGGTTTCGGCTGTCTCGCAGTTGCCGGAATCAGAAAGACGATTGACGATGGAGCTTGGAGCCCAGGTGGTGCTTCAGCGTATGGCAGAAAATCATGGCCTCCAAGAGAAGCTGGTTCGAGATATCTGGGAGCGCACGAACAGCTTTGAAAAGACGGATAAAGTCTGTCGGCAGATGCATTTAGCCATGCGACGTGCATATGAAGAGGCCTGTGCTGAGCTAGCACCGTCAGATGAGGATGAAGATGAGGGTAGCGACAAGGACTGGGACGACCACCGCGGGGAAGTTATCCCTCTGTCGCGTTCATCTGCAGAACATACGGCAACTCGCTCGCCAAAGCAGCCGATTCAAGCATCTAACGGCCTGAAATACATCCCATCTCCTGCAGACGCGGTTCCAGAGCACATGACGCCGGCTCTACACACCCGCGCAGCTCAGTTTGTACGTCTTGAGCGACAAGGAAGAGTGGACGAGGCAAAGAAGCGGGAGGGGCGAAGGGCGAGCTACGGAGGCAGTAAGCGTGTCGAAGACAGCCCTCAGAAGCAGTCGTTCACTCAACCGCAAGATGACGAAGGGGATAAACTAGATGACGAGGGGGATAAACTTGATGACGAGGGGGATGAATTCGATGACGAGGATATGTATCTCAATGAAGAAGATATTGAAGCTGGGCCAGCAGTCGAGGACGAGGACGAAGACGAGGGCGAGGGCAAGGGCAAGGATCAGGGCGCAGGCAAGGATGGAGATGAGGATGAGGTCGAGATTACCAAAGAACGCATAGACCTTGAGAAGACAGGCGAAGGCGAGGTTGCAGAAGAGAGTGTGATCGATCCTGGAGAATGGATGGAGGAGACAGGCGGAATCGACGAGGATGAGTTGGACGAAGAATTCATCGAAGAGGTTGCTATGGATGAAGACTTGCTTGTTGAGGAAGGTTTACAGGAAGACCTAGATCCCGCGGAACTGGAGCAAGGTAGCCCTGAGGAGCCGATGGACGACACAGGCGACGTCGACGATGAATCGTTGGGTGAGATAGCAATTGTCAACGAGGATGCTGTGGCTGAAGAAGATGCCTTGGATGAAGATGTCGTTGAGAAGGATGTCCCGCAAGTATCGAATCCCGCGGAACCGGAGCAAGACGATCTCGACACTGTTGACGTCGATGAATCAGCTATAAAAGTCGTCGTGGACTCAGACGAAGACTATGAGGAGCAGGCAGACTTTTTACCCAGGCCCCCTTCTCCGCGTGCCCCAGTGAGCCCGAGTTCGTGGGGTTCCTACGAGGACAAGCTTCTGGTGGATGGTGATGAGGACGCCCTCGATGATCTTGAGGCGAAGATGGGTCCAGGTTCTGTCAAGATACGAACTGCCTGGCTATATAGCCAATTTCTTTTCACCGCGTCTTAAGAAAATCTATATCATAGACTTCTTTCGTGGTGCAAATCATAATTGAATATATAGTCTTCGCACTGCGAAACGTGATTCTTTTTTATACATACAGCTGAAGTATTTTAGAGCTACTGACGAGAAACACGGACCACAATCTTTCCGAAGTGTCCTCCACTAGCCAAATACTCCAGAGCCGAGGGTGCCTCCTCAAACGAGAACACCTTGTCGATATAAGGCCTTAACTGCTTGACCTCGACGAAGCGCAACAGGTCGTGATGCAACTGCTTAGAGCCCACATTGATTCCCCTATACATGATCCTGTCAGCCAGCGATCATTCGTTGACACACTGCATACCGACCTGAGAGTAGCTGCTCTGATGATAGCAAGCATGGAGACATTAGGGTAACTCCCCTGCTGCAGACCACCGAGGAACCCAATAGCAGTGATGACACCACCCTTCGCCACGCAGGTGAAACATTTGTCGATTTCAGTTATTCCCACATTGTCGAAGATGAAGTCTACCCCGACGTCGTTGGTCAACTACAAGAGACTACAATCAGAAACCGCAATCAAGATGGCAGGACTTCTCGTACCTCCAGTACTACTTTCTCCCAGTCAGGGCGCTTCTTATAGTTGATCACATGCGTAGCCCCCAGCTTCGTCGCAAGCTAAGAGTGATGGTTAACCCTGCGATGAGATGAACAGATGCTTCATAGATCACCTCGAGTTTTTCATCTGAAGAGGAAGTTACGATGGTCTATTTAAGAGAGCAAGGTCTTATCAGTCGTTGCGAACTTGTGTAGATCCAAACTTAGGGTGCTTAACAGACGTACCCTTGCGCCGGCGGCATGAGCCAGAATTAAACCTGAAATCGAGACTCCGCCCGTCCCCTGGAACAGGACAGTTTGTCCAGGAATGAGAGGGATTCCTCCAAACAAAGCATTCCATGCAGTGACACCGGCGCATGGCCAGCAAGACGCCTCTTCATAGGTCAGATGAGAAGGAATGTGAAGGAGGCTCGTCTCGTTGAAAACGCGGTATTCTTGCAGAACGCCATCAATAGGCGCACCAAGAGCCCCTGCGCATGAGTTATTTTGATTAGTGAGAGCCAGAGACGAATAGAATATGTGCAATCACCGTCGTGGCTTGACTTGCGACCAAAATAGTGAAACAGATCGAAATTCGCTGTTACTCTGTCACCTATCTTGAAGTCCCGGGTATCTTCACCGAGAGCCACGACCTCTCCGGCCATATCACTGAAAGGTACCACATCTTTCTTCGTTCCCACAGGATAGGCGCCGATAGAAATAACGTGATCGCGATAGTTCAGTGAAACGGCATGAATGCGAACGAGGACTTCATGGGCTCGAGGGGATGGAATGAGCTCCTCAAGTTTGATCAGACCAGATGGACCAGTGGTTTCTTTCAAGCGGAAGACAGTTTGAGACGTCATTGGAAGTAGTATAGATGGTTCGCGATTGATATAGAGGGCCATGACCAACCTTATATATACGTATCTCTACAGCTTACTCACCTCTAGGGGTCCTAAAAGGTGTATTAGCAAGCCATTCACACTCATGACTTATCGCCTGATCAATGATCATGGACGGGGGAACGGAGCCTAGAAGTGGACTCATCAAGCATTGTCGATGACGCCAACACTTGTCGGGTTTAAGCCCTCTTTAAGGTCGACTAGAGATAAAAAATAACCAATGTCAGTGCTACGGTTCTGTAAAGGTGAGAAACAGGATAGTGCCTACCCAACAAAAACCTCACAGATTGAGCAAAGGCCCGAGAACGGGTCGTACCAACTTACCTGGGTGAGATTATCAAGCAAGCACGCCTTCGAGGGACTTGCATGGTCATACCCATCTTACCGAGCATCTTGCCAGAGTAGCATCCGTAAATATAGACGTCTGTACATTTAGATCTCCGAGTCTGACACATAGCATGTAACAGATTATGATGTCTTAGCCGTGCAGTGTTGGGTATGTGCAGCTATACGCGAGCTTTTTACCTGGCGATCGCAACAGAATGCAGCTACCAAAAACACGAGAATCAAGGACTCATAGAAGAGGAGAAAAGGGAATAGTGTGGACTGTGCACGATAACAATCGAACGATGGGGAGGCTTGAAGTCTAAGTCAGGCGCCACTTATCGCTGCCTTTTCTCGTTCATCTCTCCGCGTTTCGACGTATACGAATGTGGTGATGATTTCATCGACGATGGCCTCGCCCTCCGGATAGATTTCGAGGTATGCTTTGTGGGCCTTCCCAATGACGCCATATGAGCGCTGATGGAATCGAGCAATTGGAGTCTTGCTTTCATCATTGAGTGCCAACTGTCAAATTTCTGAGCGCCTACGGTTCGTCGGTGGAATATCTGAAATGCACGGCTCACGGAAGAGGTATCGTTTCCCAACGTCCACTGATACGAACGGCCGTCCGAGGCGGTGAAATCTCGTTTCCTGTATAATCCAGAAACGGAAGTTAGGGAGGGATGGAACACAACGTTCAAAAGTAATGTCGTCACCAGGCTAGCAAATTTGTATAGGGCATATATGTTCCCACAGAGACAGTGTGATCGCCAAATTTGAACATGGTCTTCCCGAACCTATGCCAATGAATCTGTGCGACTTCCTTCTCCTCCAACCGCATAAGATGGATGTCCGTGTCTGACTCGTTGTCACTGCGAACGTGGGCTACGGACTCGTCATGCGCTGTCCCGGAGTTAGACACGAAGCGCGCAACTGTGCTGGTCTTGCCCACTAATTTGAACGGCGTTTCCACTCGATAGAGGGGCATCCCATCTTGATTGCGGTAGACACTATTGATGGGCGAGTTTCGAGAGAGTGTGAGTTGCATAGGGAAGACAAAGGGGATGGATCAGCGGCCAGTACCCTTTGCAGCTCCCCCCCTACTTATAAGGTGACTCGACTCCATACATTCGAAACATAGCGCGAAATCGAACACAGGACGCCCTGGGGTCACAGCATGCGGAGTGAGGAGCGAAAACGCTGATCGAGCACCACATTTTGTATTCTTCGAAGCGCGCCGCATCGGTATCGAAGCGCTTGCAGAGGTGATGGCGTTTAGAAAGTGTCTTCAATTGACATTGTCGGCCAGCCCGTGTAAGAATGATGTCGCTGTCAAATCGCTGTCAGCCGTGTGGTATTCACCAGCGGTTACACTGAATTGATCAGTCCTTATGATCCACAAGGCACCACTCAATCGTACTATGCTTGTCAAAACAGTCAAAGTCGGCAGACCTTGCTCACCTGAAGAATATGACAATGGACGACTCAATCGCGTTCTCCTTTTTAGCGTCAGAGAGATACATATTGACGCATGCGGAAGTCGGGATTCGAGGATCAAATCTGTGACCAATGTGACCGACCATGATTGGGGATATCCGGGGTCCACCATTTGCGCTGTTCTAACTCTGGTCTAAGCATATTGTAAGGATAATCATGACGAGGATTCTGTAGTAGTACTGAATTACTGTAGCATAATCATTATGGCGAAGATTCTGTAAAACATATAATGGTAAGTAAATAACAATGAAGGTTCTGCATAAGACCAGAGAGGTGATGTCTATCCCTTCATAGAGTCATAGACGCTCCCCATTTTCCTTCCTTCTCATTATCTCAACGTATATGAATGTGATGACTATTTCATCGACAATAGGCTCGCCTTCCGGATAAATTTCGAGATATGCCTTGCGGGTCTGTCCAACGATGCCAAGTGAGCGGTGATGGTAACGAGCGATTCGAGTCTTGCTTTCATCATTGCGCGCCAACTGCCAAGTTTGCTAAGCCCCTTTCGTCAATAGGATCACCGAAGTCATAACTCACGGAAGAGGTCAAAGGTTCCATCGTCCATCTATACGAACGGCCGTCCGAGGCAGTGAAGTTTCGTTTCCTGCGATTCCTGCGTAATCCAAAAAATGGAGTTGAGATGAAATGGAACCCATGCTTCGGACGATAACGTCCTTACAATGCAGAAAGACCCATTCGGGGCATGTATGTCCCGACAGAGACAGAGCGTTCACCAAGTTTGATCATAGTCCCCCCGATCCTATGCCAGTGAATCTGCGCGACTTCCTGCTCCTCCAACCGCATAAGATGAATGTCCGTGTCTGACTCGTTGTCACTGCGAACGGGGGCTATGGATTCGACGTGCGCTGTCCCAGAATTGGACACAAAGCGTGTGATTGTGCTGATCTTGTCAACCAATTTCCACGGCGTTTCCACTCGATAGAGGGGCGTCCCGTCTTGGTTCCGATAGACACTATTCGTGGGCGAGTTTCGAGAGAGGGTGAGCTTCATGGGAAAAGAAAAGGGGAAATAATCTGCAGTAAGTACCCCCGCAGCCGTCATATTTATAAGGTGACTCCACCGACCGTCTGAAACATAGCGCAAACTCGAACACAGGACGCCCGGGGGTCACGACATGCGGAGCGAGGAGCAAGCACGCTGATCAAGCGCCGTGCCCTGTGCTCTTTGGAATGCGCCGCATCAATATCGTAGCTTTTTCCAGCGCCCCGACAGGCCACGATGACGCTTAAACAGTGTCTTCGATTGTCATTGTCAGCTGTCGGTGGTGCCACCGCTAGCGGCGCGGTACACATCAGCGCATCAGCAGTCACTGTATACTGAATTGATCGGTGCTTGTGATTTAGCACACCCCACTCGATATCACTGTGTTGTCAAATAGTCAAAAGTCAGAGGGCTTGGCTCATCTGTAGAATGTGACAACGAACGGATCGATTGCGCACTCCTTACTTGGCAGCAGGGTAGTATGTTATGGAGAGGTGCGTACAGAAATAAGAAGGTTTCATTTGGATGAGCACCATCCCCTGCATCGCAATGTATCTGCTGATGCTGTGATTGCATTCCTGAGGTTCACTGACATCTGAGCGTTCGGAGCATAGTTCTGACCGATGAGAGGTATCCGGGGTCTGTCATCAGCGCTGACGCTGCCCAGACACGCAAAGAAATTAGTCGTTTATTGGTCGTTTGAAGGTCAGGAGCATAATTAGACATGAGGATACAGGATGGTGGGCTGAGGTAGTAGTAAATTATATAGAGAGATACATGGAATGCACACCTGCGAACATGGGGCACCAGATCACTTATGGAATATTTAAACATATTGGACTGAGCCGTCTTGGGCCAGGTGGAGACCACATATCCAAGTTCGCGTGCCATACGATCTGCTGATCTCGGACACGCAGTTTCGGCTCGAGGGAAACTAGCAGCAAGTCATTGACAGTAGCACCTTCCCTGTAGGCTGTCCCGAGGTGTACACTGCCATCGTTCTGAGCACACGCCGAAGGCACAGAGTCAGCATTGGCAGAAAATGGTTTGATAAGATGAGCATACTCACCGCAAAGACTTCGACCAACGATGCTATGTATTTTGCCACGAGCTTCGCAAGGGTTGAGCGTCTGAGATGAATTTCGGGCCCTTTTCTGTATTTGTTTCGATACGGCCAATAGGTCGTGTGAATATACTTTGTACATGTCTGGAACCTAGGCCACTTGAAAGGGCTATCAGTTGACGTACATAGAACAAGGGAACGGGTTTACGTGGAAGTCGAGGAGGATTCTGTCGCCAGGAATCCGTTTGAAGGGTAGATCGGCATGTCCTTGCATCCAGTGACATGGCCTATCACCCAATAGATCGGCTATAGGAATTCCAGGTTGGGTTGTCCCTGATTTTGTGAAATAGATGGGAGAGTAGACGTCGGTGTCGTCGAGTGGGTTGTCGATATCGAGTGGGGGCCGACGTCTAACCCGCCTTGGTGGCGAGGATGGAAGTAAAGAGCAGGATTGTGTGGCTGGCGGATTTGGGGGGTGTCGGAAGTATGGAGACTAGGGCCAGAGCGGTGGAATAAGTCATACCAACTGAGTTGGGCGAGATAGAGGAGACCCACCCCTCGGCCGCCAAAATTGCGAATTATCTTCATTGGGTGTATGAATTGCTCTATGACTTTGTGACGGTCAACGTAGTAGGATTTTCCCGGTGAGGTTCTTCGGCGTTGGTAGTTTTCATATTCGTCGGAAAGATAATGAACCATAGATAACCTTTGCTCGATCCACAGTTGCTCTGTGTATGCCCGAGGTAAACCCCCGGTGCGAAAGTAGTTCGGATCCATTGAGAGGCTGTTTATAGATGATGGTGGACGGGTACCGATTTATACTCGCGCCGGGAGTACAACACTATGATGCGCCTTGTTGTTTACGGCTCCGGTACGCATAGCGACGGAACCCTGGTCAGAGAACAAAGGCTAAATCCCTGAACAAAAGGCATACGGCGCGGAGAAGAGGCTGCAACATGGAGATGCTTTCGGGTGGAGGGATAGAGCTGTGCAAAAAGTGATGTCTTCGGTCTTTCACAATTAGGAAGAGACGATTAGCATCGCGAACACCAAGAAGAGGGCCCGCGAGCACAAACAAGGAATGCGGCGAGGGCCAGTGTGATGGATACGATCGAACGCTCCCTGGCACCTTGAAGGTAACCGATGGCCCGATGGAGTCCCGATGGGCCCGTTCGTATCATCAGGACAACAATTGTGTCAACAAACCAGCAAGTCGGAAAATTGGAGAGCACCCATGAGGCAATTGAAGCAGTGGATTGCATGTTTAAAAGAGGTTTTCTGAGAGCTCAAGTGTATTCATTTCGTGAACGATGCAGCATCGATGACGGAGAGGAAGACCTCTTACGGATGATGCAAGGGCAAGCCCAGGATTACCTAATCATGTCTCAGCGGTAAATTTCCGACAGGCCTATGCGGACAGCCACAAGGCCAGCATCCTTTCAACTTTCACTAGGTTCCTCTTTTTCCTTTCCTCACCTCCGTTTTCTCTCCCTGAAATTTGAGGCATTAATTTGCTTCATCCTTCGTCGCCCGATATCCACTCGACCCCTCACACAGCCACGATGGCATCACAAATTACTCCTCAGTATGCCTGTTCGTACTCGGTTTCATCCATGTCTGGAAGGTTGGGCTTCTGCTGCAAAACCGAGAGCAGTAGGGAGTACAGGAGACTTATGTATACTGTCGGAGAGTCCTGAGGTGATGCTCGTATGTATCGTCATTTTATTGATCCTGTCGTGTGCTGATCTGTTCTTGTCAACCCATCCGTTTCTCTGTCTTCTAATCGTTCGTATCTATTCACCAGCCAGGCAGACTATACTCCTACTTCTCTCTCGTTTGCGCCTGTTGCCCAACCTTTCAATCTGTGTTCACGGGTTATATGCCATTCTAACCATTTCTTGAACAGTTCGCGCGCAAAAATCAATGGGTCTGGTCAATGGATCGTCAGACTATGAACCAGTCGATGGATTCGAGGCCCCGGATGTTCCTTCCCGGATGTACCAATACAGCCCAGACGGAAGATTCTTTGCCTATGCGCTCCCTACGTGGTAAGTCCACATCTTTTTCCTAGCGCTATCGATGAAAAGAAGGCTTCAATCTGACGTATCTATTTTCGTTATATAAACGCAGTGTACGAATCTATCAGGCCGAAGGCGCCGTTCTGCTCCATGAGCTCTCTTTCCCCAACATAATTGAGCTCAACTTCTCACCACGAGGGACATACCTCTCGACTTGGGAGCGTCCGATCAAACTTGAGGACGGCGCTCAACACAAAAACCTTCGGATTTTCTCTACGTCGACTGGGGACGAGCTCATCGCCTTCTCTCAGAAGCCCGCGGAAGTTTGGGATCTGCAGTACAACATCATCGAATCACACGCCATCCGACTCATTGGGCAGGAGATTCAGGTTTTCAGGCCGTCGGATTGGGGGCAGGGTGTTGTGGATAAGTTGAGGGTCGAAGGGGCAGCAAGCGTCACACTGAGTCCAGGTTTGAATCCCTCGATGGCGGTGTTCATACCGGAGAAGAATGGGGCCCCTGCCAGCGTCAGAATCTACTCGCTCCTAGACCTCTTGGCCCCACCAACTTGCCAAAAGAATTTTTTCAAGGCGGAGAAGTGCCAGATCAAGTGGAACACGCTCGGAACTTCCGTTCTCGTCCTCACACATACTGACGTGGACAACACCAACAAAAGTTACTACGGGCAGACGGGATTGTACATGCTCAGTGCTACTGGCAAATTCGACTGCAGAGTATCCCTTGACAAAGAAGGTCCAATTCACGATTTTGCATGGAGTCCGAACTCAAAAGAGTTTGGTGTGGTTTACGGTTGTAAGTACTTCATTCCATTTTCGTTCTCTCTCGGAACTCAGCCATGTGTGTCCAGTCATGCCAGCAAAGGCTATGCTGTTTGATCAACATGTCCGAACGCTGCATGATTTCGGTAGCTCTTTCTACAATTTCATCTCCTTCAACCCTCACTCTCGTCTCATCGCTCTCGCTGGCTTTGGAAACCTTGCTGGCACATGCGATATCTTTGACCGTCGTTCGCTCACGAAACTCTCTACCATTGATGCGTCGAACACATCCTACTGCGAGTGGTCCCCGGATGGCAAGTTCCTCCTCACTGCGACGCTCAGCCCGCGGTTACGTGTCGATAATGGGATCAAGGTCTGGTACATCCTTGGACAGCTCATTCACGTACAAATGTGCGATGAATTGTACCAGGCGAACTGGCGGCCCACGCCTGTCGACATCGCTCCTCAGTTCCCCCAAGCCATTCCCCCTGCGCCAGCTCCTTCCGCCAATGCAATTGCGCACGCTGCAGTGGCCAAGCCGACGCCATCGAAGACGGCCGGAGCATACCGCCCGCCAGGCCTCCGAGGGCAAGTCGCGTCTCTAGTCTACAAACGAGAAGATGAGAATGGGTCGCCGGGACGTACGCCGAATGGCAGCGGCGCCGCCACCCCCAACCGCCCCGGGCGTAGTTCCGCCCCGCACACGAACGGCCGGAAGCATGTTCCCGGGGCGCCAGCGTCGCCGTCGCCTGGTCCTGACTCGGACAAGAGGCGGAAGCGGAAAGGTCTGAAGGGGGCGGCGAGGGATGCGGCAACGAGGGAAGGGACAAAGAACGGTGCTGAGGCCGCGTCTTCTGGAGAGGCGAACGCCAATGGGCGCACGTTGCAAGTGCCTGTTGCGGTGGAGGAGACGCCTGTTCCACTCACTCCTGGTGCGGACAGCGCCGCATTGGATCCAGTCCATAAGAAGATCAGAAATCTGAATAAGAAAGTTTGTGTCATGCGATCCCAATCAATTTTTTTTCGCAGTCTGACGTTTTTTCTGTGTTATGTTCAGCTGAAAGCTATCGAGGAGCTCAAGGAGAAGGCGCAGAATGGCGATCGCCTCGAAGCGACTCAGCTCAAAAAGATTGAGAGCGAGGCAGAGATCAAGAAGGAACTTGCGACCCTTACTGCGTCTTCGTAACAGGCCTTGCTCTGACACAATTTACTCGGGGTGATTTCTTTTTTGTTGTCAACGGCTATTGTTAGTCTCGATTCTCGGTTTGTGTCTAGATCGTAATTGTTGTTTTTGTCCTCGATACCTATTAGCCGTCAGTGGTGCTGTATTGTTGTTCTTATTTGCGACGTACGCTAAGAGCACAAATGTTTAACATGCCATGTTCTCCACTAATGACTAGATGTGTACTGGGTCTGTTCGAAGTTAGTTAAGGTACAATGGCGGAATGGCTGTAACGGCCCAAGCCGGGATGTGGAGCGGTGTTATCCAACGGACTCACTCTTGCGTGCGCAAGTTCAAGACTGTCCCCTCCAGAAAACTTTGGTGTCCATCCTTTCCCGCGGCGCAAGCCGTGGCTGAACATGGAATAATTGGACCTTGTCTGGCCAGGGAAGCAATTCCGCAGCCGGCAGGACCCGCCGAGTTAGTCGTCGGAGATCAGGGCATGTCGTCTGCCGCGCGCGAGGGCCGTGCCCTTCACAGACCTTTTATTTTGTTATCCCTTACCCTTATATTGTTGCACATCGTTCAAACGAATTGCTCAGATAAAAATAGAAGATTACGACGACAACCAGCATAGGTACTGAAGTATCTAACATTGGACACCTATAGACGCTCCGGAGTTCGGGAACAGGAAATATATCTTGCCATTTTTACAAGGTCAAAAGCCACCGTTGTGAACAGACCACTATGTCTTTCCGTCCCAAGTCACTGTCGGCACAATATTCTTCAGCTCATCCGCCCACTGTTTCGAAACAAAACACTCCGTGATGTCAACTACCTGAACCGGAGCCTTTAGTCTACGCCGTTCTTCGACTACCCGAGGTAGCAAATCTCGCAGGATGGGTAAGGTCTCGCTCATAGTGGTATAGGGTTGGCTCATAGCGACACAGCTCAGGTATATGAGCTGGAGTTTTGGAAAAGAAACCTCCTGGCTACCCGTTTGCGTCGCCATTGCATTTCCGGTGTTCGCTATCGGATCGAGAAGTGCACAGAAAAGGGGTGCGGCATGTCGTGAAAGATGCACGTGTGTTATACTGTGCGCGAGTCGCAATGCATCGCGAGTAGCTGCGAGGTCCCAATTGGATGGCATGGTCACGGTGAGATAAAGGGTCGACGACTCATGAACGTCGATCGCCCGGATAATTGCGGCCATGATCTCTCGACGAGCTTCAATTCGACCAAGAATCATGTCAGAGAAACTTAGCTTAATTGACCGGTGTGCAGAAGTGGGGCGGACATGAGCATATGTTGTTGGCCAAACATAGACCCTAAAGGTCGCGCCTATATGCAACGACATGCTGCACAGTGGCAATGCATTTCTTAGCCTGCTTGTGTTTTTCTCGAGAATAGAAAGAAGGACATCAACGGGTTGGTCCGCATCTACATCACACTCGAAGTGTAAATCCAATGTGGTCGTGTCAGGGAACTGGATGTCTGCGAGGACTGCCATGCTACACAACCACTCTCCTCCTATCCTGAGACTCGAAAGGTAAGGAAGCATAATCGTACGAGGAGAGCCAGCCTCAGAGTGAGGCGGAGTAGCATGCCAAAGTGACAAATACTGAAGGAAAGGCATCCCCGACAAAGCATCGAGAAGCTCATCTCGAGAGGGCGAGATTAATGGTTCTTTGAAAGTATCAACTACGGAGAAGGTAACGGATAAACTCGTCAGGTGGCGTAGGACTGGGGAGCTCCAAGGAATTGTCAACCTTTCAAATGAGCTTCACGGAGAATCGGAGCATGGTGGCAGAACAGACCCTCATGGAGATGCAACAAATCGTTGTTAATAGATAATGCCAGATTTATACGCTCCAGAATGGGTGCGGGAGACACAAGGGCCGCAACAACATCCGATAGAGCAGTATTGTCTCTGCTTAGATATAACACCACCATGTGAGACATTAAGGATGGCGAAACCAATTCGACCGGCATATTCATTGCGGGTTTGTTTGGCAGATGATAGATTGATTGGCAAGCCGAGTGATTGATGATGAGCGACGCGTGCCTCGCGCGCTCAACTGACTGCAAGGCCCACTTATATCCAAGATCGAGTACGACGTGTGCCCACAGCATTGGAGTTTCGAGTGTGACCTGCCTCCAATGACTGTAAACGTGAGAAACTTTGACCCACCCAAACCTGGCGTGCCGTGGTTCGTGCAGGTACGGACGAGTTGGTTCGTTCGCTGCTAAAACAAGGAAAATATTTGACAGAAGATGGAAAGAGAGGCGCGATATGGGGGCAAAGTGGTTACGCCGCCTATAAACAGCAGCTATCGCAGTGTGATAAGCAGCCAACTCATTATCAAATGCCTGAAAACCATTAAGATTTTCATGTGATGCCACAGATGTGCTGATTCGCGTTTGTAGAACATGGTTCCAATCGTCGATCGCACTGTGCAGAATACTGGTCAGCGTATGTAAACAATTTCGGAGGAGTCGGACAACCTCTTGTCCGCGGCGATCACTTGCGTTGATTTCACAAGCATTTCCTTGGGAGTGATCTGTGATAAGGATGGGCAATTTACACTGGTGATCTGGATCCAATATAGAGAGCTTTTGTCGAACACGAAGCACGATGAAAATGCGGGCATCACAAGAGCAACTCGCCTCCAACGGTTGCAAACATGGAGCATCCTGAGCCATCCCAGTTTTGTACAGCCGTACTTCGCCGGTGGAAGGTGTGTTGGTCCGTCTACGGAAAAGATAGAGAAGACGTATGCTAGAAGCTCGAATGGGAGACGAGAAATGGGTACGATGTTGTACCGTTGCCAGTAAATGGTACTGATCGCGAGGCGCAAAGCGGCAAAATCATCATCTAGTGCCTTGAGAATATACAGATCATTTGCAGATGCACGAGCGATCGCGTTGAATCTCGTTTCTAGAGCAAGGCTTCAGTGCTCAGTCGCACTGCTTGTAACGATTAGTCTGTGTGAATTGCCAGCTGAAAGAAGATAATTGAGTGACCTTGCAGGAGCTCCTTCCATCGACAGAGCATTTACTGTGTGCTAGGTACGCCGAGTGGTGTTGTGCTGGGAGATTGAGTGTCGGACAAGGCATTACTGTACTTAGGTTCCGCTTGGTGCACTACTGCACTTACCAAACTATCTCCCACGAAGTTTCCTTTCCCTGTCTTCGGATGGGTTCAGCTGAAATCCTTGACCATCCTCGAGCTCGCCGTTGTAGGCATCGTAACAGACCGAGATTGTAACAATATACCTGTCTCACTGATACGCTGCTATTCCAAGCTTGATGCGTTCAGCCTGAGACTGTCATGCTACCTCCGTCGCCTTCACATACCAGACCACGCAGACTATCTTTGAACATACCATTGTCCTCGTCTCATTCCTTCAGCAATCTACCCGAAACTTATTCGGACGCGAGGACACATGGGTACAAAGGCCCTTCTCGCACTGTTAGGCTTCCAAGAGCAATCCCTAGCGGTGATGGGGCGCTGTCGAAGAGCGAGGATGGTACACGATGCGTAGTTGCTGGGAGAGAATGTGAGTATTAAACATATGCAAAATATATAGCACCGCGTTCATACGAGCTTGAAAAGGCTTGCGCATCCTCAGATTGTCAGATTCTTCGTCCACTCTTCCACCAGAGCACAAAGCCTCAGTTGGCCATGGCGGTCACAGAATCGACGCTGGGAAGAACTTATGGAAGGGTCATACTGTCAAGATCGATAACGCGACTACGGACGTAGTATGGGGCCGTGCCAGTACGTTCACTATTTGGCAGCATTCTCTGTCTGATGCTGGACATAGATTTTGACCAGAAGATTTTGACGAGTGCACGCAGCGGTGCACTCATCATGTGGGATATAGGCAAGAGTGGTGCATCTAAATTTGGTTCGTCGTGTCGCTTCGGATCTTGCTATTTGGTCTCTCATCTTTCTCTGAGACGACTTGGTATGCACCTTAGAACGTAGAGTCCGTGACCATGGTCGCTCAATACACAAGATATCATATTCTCCCGTCTTGCCCTACTACTGTTTAACGGCCTCTGCAGATGGAGACCTTCGCGTCTGGGTATGGTGTGTTTCATACGAAGTCCCCTGTATTCATGCTGATGTGTGCTTGCGCAGGATTTACGAGACATGGCCAAATCTATCACCCGTATCCACCACCCGACTTCTGTCCGCGCCGTCAGCTTCTCTCCGGACTCGCACAACCCTGTGCAAGCCGTCGTTGGTCTGGACAATGGCAGTATCTATCGGTGTGCCGTTTCCCTTCACTTCTCAGATTCTAGTTATTCATAGTTTCTTGGGCTATAGTTGGGATCTGAAAATGGCGCAGCGAGGCCAACTCGACCGTATACCTGTTGCCCATTCTGGCCCCATTCTCTCATTGGATTGGTGTGCAGGTTCAAACATACCGTCCCAGGGTGCTATCTCCAGCACCTTTAGTGGCATGACCAGTGTTTTCGCTGAATCGACGGCAACGGGGACCACAGGCAACTCTGGTTCGAGTCGCGGATGGGTTGTCAGTGGTGGCCTCGATCGTATGGTCAAAGCATGGGACATGACGACGCCTGGAAATCTGTCTCACATATCCTACGTCCCTGCGTATACGCTCTCCGTTTCGTTTCCCGTGCGCAGGGTGCTTTGGCGCCCGGGATATGAATGCGAAGTTGCTGTCGTCTCGAATTGGGAATCTGGGATTGGTTCGAATCAGGATCTGAGTGCGTCTGGGAGCGAGAATGGTGCCGTAGCTGAAGGGGAGAATGATGTGGTAGCGCCAGTTCCTACCCGAGTGGGCGGTGATACAGGTGACGCGGTAGAGATTTGGGATGTCAGGCGTGGATACATAGCTAAATGGGCAGTGGGGGGCTCAGCCGTTGAAGGCGGCGTCACTGGTACGCGACCATCCATGCCTCTCCTATAATACTCATTTCATTGACTATAGATATCGCGTTTGCGGATTCACATGCTCTCTGGGCTCAGCATTCCTCTGGTACATTTTCGCAACTTGACCTTCGACACTCAACGCGTCCGTTGGATTTGATTCCTCGTGTCGCTGTAACATGGGATGCTACTGGCACTCTCGCTTTCGTGTCAGATAAGAGGCTGCGATGGGAGGTTCCCTATGATGACATGTATGCATCACCTGTGCCTTCGAGTATACATCGCTGAGCTTTTCCACGCAGTGATCCTGCCAAAATTCCAGTCCTGACTGAGCGAAGTGAACGTCCAAAGGCACTCGGAGATGGATCATACAAGTCAACGTCTCAAAACTTCGGGACTTATGGATATGATCATTCTCCTGAGGATCTTGATGCCTTTGAGAAGCTAGCTAGAGGGTATGTTTTTGAAGGAGGCACTACACATGAGATTTGTGCCATCAATGCGGAGGTAGGACATCTTTATTATTACTTGACATCATTCTCTAAAGCTTGATGGTAGGTTGCTTTTCGATGTAGTCGTGTCCAAGCTGCCCAAACTTGGATGCTGCTCCAATCTTTATTGATACCTCCCACCCCCACTCCGTCTCCATCACGCCCACCGTCACCAGCTCTGTCCCCTCTACCGATGATATCTCCGGCTCTTCCACATTCTGCCTCTGCTCCTGCCGCAGTCCCCAGTGTAGCCAATCTCCATTCTTCTCCGAATTCGTTGCGTCCACCAACACGTTCATCGACTTCTGACCTTCCACCACCACCGCCAAGGAACAGTCCAGGACATTCGCCGCGTCGTGCAACCCCGCCACCGCGCCCATCTTCGTCGGACTCACCTTCACCTCACTCTGTGGCGCCTATACCTGCATCTCTATCAACGGCTATCTCAAGCCCGCATACTGTTTCTTCTCCATCCCGTCCTTCCTCCATCTTCACCCGTCGGTCGTCTGGTGCAAGCTTCACCCCACTCAGGTCACGTGTTCCGTCATTCCGACGTCCGTCAATTTCGTCTCCATCGCCGACGCATCTCAGCGAGAGTGTTGGGTCACTTGGAGCGTCGGTTAGTATGAAACACGTAGGGGATGGCGCGTTGGACGATTCAGATTCAAGTAATAGCAGTAAGGGAGGTGGAAGCGGGAGCGATGACGGCCACCACATTGCAGAAACCGCGGATCGACCGCCTGGTCTCATATTATCGCCTACAGCTATATCATTTCACCGGCTCTCGACTGGTACGCCAAATCCGAGTCCGCTCTCGCGGGTAGCAGGACAGCATGTTCTGACAGAAGATGAGCGCGAGGATGAGAAGGACGACGAGGGAGACTCGCCGTCACCTGCATCAACCGATACGGGGTCGAATAGTTCGAACGAAGAGGGCTCTGCGCGTTTGATTTCTTCTAGGAAGTCGTACAGCGTGCAACGCTCCAAGTCGAGATCACAAACACGATCAAGGAAAGGTTCCATGATCCGCGCGAAGGCGAGAAGCAGAAGTACGACCTTGGCAGTTCCGATCCCAGTATCAACTCAGCCACGGGGGCATCATGCATTGGTGAAACAGGGCTCTGCGAGCAGTATGCGGACTGTGACAGCAGAGGACACATCTTTCAGAGAGAACGAGCATGAACACAGAGGAGCAATTGAGGAGGTGAGGGAGCGTATGAGCTTCCGTGGAGGAGCTTTTGTGGAAGGATCGTCTGGCGCTCGAGGCCACAGGGGGGCGTCTATTGCAGCGGGCAGCTTGTTGAGCACTAGCTCGATCAGAGGAAGGCAGAATGCGAATAACAACACTAAAAGAACCAAGCAAACTGAAGAGATACGGGAGCAGGAAAGGCGATTGACTCAAGCAGCATGGGCAGCAGTCAGAGCTTTGCTGGAGTGGTATGCGGAGGAAGGAGACATGCAGATGTGTGCTCTGATGGCACTTGTTGCGCAGGAGGAACTAGCTGTGAGCAAACAAAGGCTAGTAATGTTTGTTGAGGGGTACATTGGTATGTCCTATTTTTGTCGAACTGAATAGTTGAATGCGGGTTTCACGGACTCTTCATGCAGAGCTGCTGACGAGATTGCGACTCTACACTTCTGCGGCGTATCTGCGAAAGCATGTGTCAGTAGAAGATATCCGTGGTTCCACGAAGGTAGTGCGGGCTTCTTTTTTGTTTTTATTTGTGCTGACAGGTTCACTGTTATTCATTCAGCTTCAGACGATAGTGTACGTGTCGTGTGGGCGATGTGAGAAGCCAATTGCCGTTCAACAGCAGAGCACCTTCTGCACGAACTGTAGAGCCCATTCTTCTAGGTGCTCCATATGGTCAGTTTTTGGACCTCCTTCCTTTCGGTAAATATTCAAAGCAGCACGCATCTCCCAGTCATCTCCCGGTACGGGCCATGCTGTTTCAGTGCCCTGTCTGCTCCCATGGCGGACACCAAGAGTGCTACCGCCGGTACCATGCGGAGCAACCGATGCTTGAAGTCCATATGCCACCCTCTCCATCATTGAGTGAAATCGGACTGCGCGGACGATCATTATCGAGAAGCGGTACTGAAATGGCAGAAGACGAAGGCAGCAATTCTACGGATGGAAAGTTTGAGGCTTCAGGTCTCCCTACCCCTGCTACGCTTGCACAAACGCGGCGATTAATGGGGCATCCGTGTGCGGCTGGATGTGGACATTACTGCTGGATGGCAAACGAGAGAGTGGAAGAGGTGCTGTGATCGGCGCCCTACAAGTAGTGTCGCGATTCACACAAGGCATAGAGCTCCCAGTTTGTTTTCTATCTGGCCATTCGACTAGCTCTATGTCGACACAGTCTTTGCGCAGCTCCAGATGCCTGAAACCCCGCAACGTGTTGTTCATACTCTGTCGTCTCGACTGCGCGAATCAAACTTCAAGGCTCTACACATCTCAATACTTTCCTTCTGCTGCGCTTTAATCCCACTGGTCCACCATACCCGATATGGTTATTGTACCTCCTTGTGATATCTTAACTTAACTTGCACCTGTGAGTCGCTGACACGTTCTTCTCTATCTCGATATTGACCATTTCTTCGCTGGCGAGATGCAGGTCACGAATTGGAAAATTCTTTCGAAATGTCTACTCATGGCTATGGCTCATGGGGGCGCTGTGCCTCGTGTATAACGCGCTGCAATGTTCTATATCCACGGAGACTTTTGAACTGTGATCATCTACGGAGTGACTGCGAAATCAATGTGGTATGACTTTGCATCGCAGTTAACGCAGCCCGACCCGCGCTCGTGTCTCTAGCGCACTTGCCCACACCTTCGGCACTAGTTGAACTACTTTTCACCTGTGGCGCTTCTCTGTACTAGGACTACGCTCTGATTTTTTCCGTCTTCGAATGCATGAGCTGATGTTCTCAACACATCCGTGACGTTTGACATCATGTATTGCTTTCTTAGTCCTATCAGGAAAAGACTGCGCATCAAGGTTTAGACAGCGTATAAGACCACGTATCCGCTCGGTGAGAGACTTCCAACATACTCCTCATGAATTTCATCGCTCTTACCTTCATCGCCTCTGTGATTGTGTTGATCGTCTACGCCCTATTCATCTATCTTACAGGATCTCGAAAATATTGCACTACTTTTGATGCAATTCAAGAGCTGCTGAAACCTTCGTATCCCGTGAGCGAGAGGACTTTACTTTGTGCGCGTGCCAGGTCCAATGCGCGACTTGCACGCACCTTTCGTTTAGCGAACACATTCGTGTCAGAGGACCCACAGCTACATCGAGAGTTCATATCCATCTCTAAATCCTTCCTACCCCAGTCCTTGGACCAATGGTACCATTTACGGGACAGTGCTCGATGCGCCGTCAAGACCACCCTTTCAAACGCGCAGAGCTTCCACAGCCTGAATATGCACCATATCAATTTCGCCGAATTTCTTCGCATTGCCACGTTCTCCCTCGTAGCTGATGCACTTCTTGGTGCCGATGCCTCATCCATACGATACTCCGATGCCCTGTTCGTCACAGAGGCAATATCAAACCTGTGGGGTCTCTCGAAGACTTGCTCAACCCCGCCAGCTGAACTCTTGGATGAGGTGAACTCACATCTAAATAGATGGTTCCCTCACCTCAATCATCAAGATCGCCTCTTGGACTTCGTGATTCCCACGTATGAGACGATGTGGCGGGTCGTTGCCCTCGCTATTGCGCGCGCTGTCGATAGCCGTGATCGTGTCGCCTTTCGGGCATTTCTGGAGACTCCATCGAGTCGACAATTTGGTACCTTCATTGACGATGGTCCTAGTGTAGAAGCCTACGTCAATGAGGTACTGCGTCTTCATCCTCCCACCCGACATATCTCCAGGACTATCCAGCCCTCGTCACCTCTTCTTTCTGCATTCATCCCCGCAGCTATTTTAGATTGGGCTCACAAGGCTTTCACTCAAACCGCAGTTGCAGACATCGAAGGTCTCCATCAGAATCCCCTTATTTGGGGTGATGACGCGCGGCGATTCGACCCTATGCGATTTCAGGACAGGCGCCTGACCCTCGAGCAGAAGACGTGCCTGCTTCCATTTGGGTACGGGGCACTCAAATGTATCGCATACAACGCAGCACCTAAGATCGCAGCAATAGTTGCGGCGGCGGTGATGGAGCTCTTCGATGAAGAAGGTTCGGGAAAGGGACTCATGTTGGTACGTGGCGAAGTCATGGGAGGGAGGGAGGGGTGGAATGGATGGGCCTTCGAAAGGAAGACGACGATTGACTACAGTGGCAAGAACGACGATATCCTGCTCTCAGTACTCTAGAGGCTCCCGTATACAGTACTTATTACCATGAATCATATATATTCGCAGTATCTTTCCATTGCCCTCAGTATTTGAACTGACGGTCGCCATCTCGGTACTTGATCCTGTCGCAAGGAAACCCCATAGCATTCGCGCTCCGCGAGAAAATTCAATGCCGCAAACAGCCTGCAGAGGGTCAACGCAACTCTACAGTTCGCACTCAGGTCATCGTCTCCTTCGCTGGCCGGGACGACGATGACGACCACTCTTTCCCTTTATCAACCTCTGAGTAACGACTTTCTTGATGCCAAGTCATCTGATTCGAATGTTCGTCAAGAGGGCAGCAACATTGGCGGCGACACCAGTCGAATTCTAGTAGGTCCTTCGCTTCAAGCATGAGATTTGGGCACCCACTCCTTTGTCTTAACCTCAATCTTACCATCCCTACCTCATGCTCACTATCCTCAGGACCAAGCGTTTCAAGTGGAAGCTGCAGTCTCGTCTCAATTTGAACTCATGCACCTTTCTGAAGCAATTGCCGCTAGAGACACCGTCGTTCAACATCTGAACATTGCCTGTAGGTCGATACAAGAAAAGACCGCCACTATCGACCTCCTAATGCGCGAGAAAAATGAGTTGGAGAGCAAGCTGTTAATTGCAGAAGGCGATAAAATAATAGCTTCCGACGGTGCATGTGGTGATATGCTGACTTGCAAAGATCCGATCGCCGAGATATTCAGGCTCGAGACTATCATACAAGAGCTCCGCAACGAAGTACGAGTATTGAAGGAGCAACATCATTCAATCAAGCCTTTGAGCGAAAATCCTCCAACTTGCGAGGAAGGCCAACGGATTCTACCTCAGGTCTGTATCGCGAGGCGTTTGTATCTGCATGTATGCTTGTGTTCCTGATGTCACGTCCGTCCGATCCAGACGCCTACACCTCTGTCCCGCAATGTTACCCCAGACAATGCGGCTCAGCTTGCACGCCAAGAGGCTCTACGCGTTCTGCGCGAAGCAACGTTCAGCAATCCCTCTCGGATGCCTTCTCCTCAGACGTTAGGTCTCAGGATGCACTATTCTCCGAAATCGATGATTGTTTCAGAATCGAACGAGCTGGATGTCAAGGTATATTGAGATCAATTTTTTTGTTATGTTTTGATATCTTAATTAACTCTCACTCGAAGGTCGTCGACATACCAGAGGCTGTCAACCCTGAAGATTTGATCAAAGCCAGACATGCAATCTTAGCATCTCTTCCTCTTCCTACAGGCGTCCCCTCCGACTCACTCAGGCCAATCACTATTCCTTCTCCTTTTACACTGCATGAATTTCTTTCCAATGCCTCCGGCGTACGTCTCTGTTCATGAATATCAATGACTACCATGTGACTTTTCTCTCTATACAACTAGTCGCTGAGAAATTCGTTGGTTTACTATCCATGATCATGTAGTCTCGAAGCTGATCACATTTGTGTAGGCTTTCCAATTACCGGGTATTTCAGCAGCTTACGACAGCTTGGTGCCCGGACCGTGAGGAGCACGGCTATCTGCTCACGCCGCTCTATAAATGCAGTACCAATCCTCGTGTCATCACTGCCCATCGCTGGTCGATGGCAGACGTTATTGGGAAGATGAACAAACCTACAGGTACTGTCATTCGGCTTGCAACGATAGTGGCATACTCATTGATATTGGCGCAGAGTGTTTCTATAACAAGGATGGGAAATGGTACTACGCAGGCGTGTACAGGGCCCTCAGGCTGCAGGATCTGACGGCGAAGGAATGGGAGCAGCTCTCCGATGAGGTTCGTAGTTGACATCAATCTCTTGGCCATGCACGACGACGATCACTTGTGGACATCCTTTTCAATAGACTGCTCAGACACTCGTCAAGGAAACTCTCGCTGGTCGCAAAAACATATCCCCTCAAAACCTCTATGAAGTGACCCAGCTCTATTCAGCAGGCGCTCTCAAAATCGCTTGTGTTGGTCTGCAATGCATCGGTTTCAACAACACACTGTACCGCACGATCTTGGAACAGGCTGCAAAATGCATGCAGAGCGGCAAGTGGCGCATTCCCTTTGGTACTGGAACTGGTTCGCCTTGGGTCAACCCTCTTGGAGCAGAAGCTGGCTACGGTTCTCTTTCTGGCCCTGGTTCTGATACTTCTGTAGCTGGGGCCGACACTCCGACTGACAAGGACGTCGAAAGCGCTCAGGTTGCTATTTCTTGACCTTCTCTGGTTTTTCGTCAGGCTCTCGTGTTGCCGATGACATCGTATTCTAGGATTCGGCACCAGGAGGGCTGTTCCTTGTCTCATTTTTTTTTTGTGAAATTCTCGATAGAATGTTGTTACGGCTCAGAAGACCTTCTTGTATTCAATTTCATGTCGTCAGTTGTTGGTCGAGCTTGCAATTGTAATTGATCCAGCGTCGCAGACGATATCTACGTCTGAATAATGCAGATCGGGCTCGCTTCTTTTCAAGCTCATCATACGGTGATACTAGGGCAACATGATTTCTTAGGCATGAGAGGGGTGGACTTGATTGTAGATGCCCCACGCATTGTGAGAGTCGCATCGCTAGTCAGAGTCTATGTTCAAGGAGGCTCAGGAAGAATCGACAAGACAGGTACTCAAGTACTTATGCTGTATATAGGAGAGACCCTATTTATCAGTCTGCTGAGGAGACTAACTTATACATGTCGCGGACCATTGTCGATCGAAGATCGTCTTGTCTAAAATCTCCATATCTGTCCCATAACCAAGTACTTTGCGTGTGTAGAACAGATCGATTGTCCTCCCTCAACCTACCTGAAGGCTTCTTCTTAGGAAGGCATGAAATCATTTGGGCACGGTTTCGAATCGCTTGAACTGATATATTTTCAGCGAAAAGTGAGGGAGATAGCTGTAGTGTATTTTTGCGTGGTTTGAGAGGATTGAGCCCTGAGCATTTGAGTGAGTGGAGATCTGGGAAACAGCCATGATTATGCAAAAAGCAGGAGAGTGAGTGGAGAAAGCAGCCCGCGGGAAAATCAGAATGGCGCATCTCCTGCAGCATCCCGCGTCGATGGAACGTGCCTCTTTTCACAACGACCTACAGGCACATTCTTCCCTTCCATCGCGAGCCTTGCAAAAGCATTCATTGCGACAAGTTCAACATCCTATCTCACTGGCGAGCTGCTTCGAAACAGCATTGTGCTGAAGGGCTGCGTCTATCGACGACTTCCTTGGCTCTCGATCTATGGCCTATGAGCTCTGCTACCATCCCGATTGCTCAAAGAAAGCCAAGTTTAATCAGGCGGTCAAATTTTGTGTTTATAAAGGAGCACCCATAGAATGTACCTCAATATCCTGAACAGACAACTGAAGCTCCGAGCTGAACTGGGGTTGAAGCGAACCGTGTCGACTGCCATCCTCTGCTGTCCACTCGTCGCAGTAGCGTTTTTGGCTAACTTCCTCATTGAGCACTATTTGGACCGTTGTTTCACTAGTACTTACTTCTCCTTCATGAGATCACTTTGGGTCTATGGAATGGCGTTCTATATCGAAGCGATCCTGTTTTACCTCTTTTCGTCTGACCTCGGAACTAGGGCCTGACATTTCCAAATAATCAACACTTTGGTAACAACACTCCTTGGAGGTAGTCCATGGCCAAAGGTGCGTCGGCAATTCGTTATTCTAGATGGTGCTTTGACGAGTATCTTTTGTCGATTGCCCTCGCCACTCAACTGCTGCCGCCTCCGCATGGCCTTTGACGATCAGTTTACGACGGTGTTGATGGAGAATTCTGGACGCATGAGAAGGTGCGATGCTGTTTCGAAGATACCGATGACTTCCAGTTTGCGCTGTCAGGTAGCAGCATGAAATGTCTCATCATACGCGATGTGGGGGTTGTGTGGCATCTCGTCGGGGCGAGATCGTGGCGCTCATATTTCACAAAGTGACTTGCATTGTTCCCGTCCAAGCGCGTCCAAGCCGGTACGCTCAAAAACATCCACTCTTTCTGCTCTCCTCCATCAGTGCTACTCCACCTCCCCACCTCCACGTATTACTACGCTCCGGCCGTTCCTTTCCGTACGCACAAAACTCAATTGTCTGTGACAAGATGAGCAAACCCTATGTGAGCGGCGACAAGTATTATGTTGTTTGTGAGCGGACTGTTTCTTTTCTCAATGCTCACTTGCGAAACTAAACCGACTGTTTCAGTTCTTTTGTCCATCCTGGAAATTTTTATAGTCGCCATCACTACCTATACAGCAACTCATGAGCAGAAGATATGTCAGTGCATCCCCTGCCTTCCCTCCTTAGCTGTGGTTTGACGTGGAAGCACTCTAGCTGTAAACATTGCCACCATGATAGCTATATGCGTAACCCATTTTTGTCTCCTGCTCGCGATGTGAGCACGTTTCTCTTGGTTCAGAACCCGCAAACAGCTAAGGTGCTTCAACGACACGTGCCACAGAACCATCTCCAAAAACTATGTCGCCGAGAAGGTCATGTTTTGGGCCCTCGCGTTGCTCGGACTGGGTAAGTTGTTTGATATCACATCTCGGGAACCGAGCTCTGACACGACAATCGCAGTACCCGCAGTTCTGGTTTTCAGAGCTAGCTCTGAAATTTGTGTGGCGCTATCTGGCGATACTAAGTGTGAAGATTCTAGCGCCAAGGCTACGTTTGCGACGATGGCAGCCAGCATATTTCCCCCTCTTCTTTGTCAGTGCATTTACCTCGCGTGAAACGCGTATTCTCTCATGTTCGCTATTCTTAGCCCTTATTGGTGGAATTCAAGCATACCAGAAGCAAAGGCGTTCCCGATTGCCTGAACAATATCGCAGGTACGACGATCTTTGTTGCAGCTGTAGCAGCATTGGTAGTGGCAATGATTGCGGTGTATGCTTCTGCACATGTTAACGATGGCTTGGCCGAGACAAAATGGAGAAACAGAGCTAATATGCAATAGGGCACGGGTACTCAAAGTTTCCACAGATTCGCTCTCTTCGACATTGATACCTCATTACAGGCATCTCTTTTTAACATATCATTGACGTCTGTCTTTACTCGCATATAGCCATCAGAATTGATCACAATCTTCCTGTGTGGACAGTTGATTTGTTTTCAGTGTTCGTTCAGAGTTCTCCACGCCTCGAGTCAAGTGATATCGGAAGCCACGCCAGTGGGGAGAGGTCCCAATGAGTAGGACCATGGGGACACAACGCGCACCTTCTAGAACGAGCTTGTTTACAGCAAGTACACGGGAGGCAGTGAGGCACAGATTATTATATACTCAGGTCTGGCGAGCCATGGAGATTGTGAGCGAAGTGAGAAATAATTGCAAAGCACAGCATAGAATCACACATTAAGCTTCTGACATTCCATAAGTTGCTATAATGCATGTCTGTATCGAATCTCCCCTTTGTTTTTTTCTCGTGCGCCCAAGTCCTGCCCGACGACGGCACGCTGCTCCGGACGACACGCGCCGCATTTGACCTGCCGTCGTCACTTGCCTGCGGTCTGATTCTGTTCTTCTGGCTGTCGCTTGGACGGTATGGGTATTGTACATCTGAGCGCGCACCCTCAGCGGGGATGTCTCACACACAGGTATTCGGAAACCAAGTCGTAGGAAAAGCAGTCTCTTCAGGTCCGTCGCTCCTCATCGCTTTCGCTTGTTTCGAGCCATTCATCATCCACCATCTATTGTTTACTCATGATCCGTCCCACCCCACCTACCCCACAGCCAAACTTTGGCCCTACTCTTCCATACGGCACGCTCTACATGATGCACACGCTGTGCGTGTCGAGGATTGAGGACGGCACACGCCGACGGCTCTCGCACTCCTCATTTCACATCTCGAGCTTCAGGTTCAACGCCTTATCTCGCCGCAAGTCTCCTTCAACGGCATCAAGCGAGAAGATAACTGGGGCCTGCCTATCGATGACTTCGTTGGGGCCCATTCTATGATGCAAGGGCTGTGGCTGCATTCGTATATTCCTATCGATTGTTGTCTCCCCACTCTTCTTGTGGCATCTTCCGGGCGGTCGGTCTCTGTGTTTGACCAGACGAATTCAGGAATGTGTCGATACGTATAGACAAGAAATTCGAGCTATGTCTCTGTCGGGCTGAAGCATATCACATATCGACTGCTCGTAACAACGTTCTTGGCTAACCTAGTTATTGTGTGCTTTGTTTCGTCGATGACTTTGCCTTCGGGAGGCCTTTTCACTCGCAGAACAGGGCACCGTCTCACCTCTATGATGTTCAGGAAACGTTTCTTTGTCTACCTTCAAAGCGTTCTTGAACTTCTGAAAATAACCAATGCTCAAGCGACAACACTCTTCAGAGACAGTCCATGGCCGAAGGTGCGTCGAAAATTCATTGTTTGTGATAGTGCCTTGACGCGTATATTTTATCTTCTGGCCTCGCCACTCAACTGTGTCACTGCCACATGGCCTTGTTCAGTTCACGACGGCGTTGAAGAAGATTTCGGATATGTGAGAATATGCAAGGGCTGTTTCAAAGACATTGGGGCCCTGAAGCCTGAAGGTCGCACTATGAAATGGCAGCATGGAAGGCCTGACAATACAAGGTGTCAGGGCTACGTGGCTTATCATCAGACTAAAATCGTGGCTTTCGCCAGTTTTTTTAGGGCAAACAAAGCTTTGTCAAATTGTTTCCGCCACATTTCGTTTCGTTTATAAGCTCCAACCCTCTCTACTCCTCTTCATCACTACTACCCACATTTCCCAACGACCACGGTCCCATGCCCTCTTACCCTACGCAAAAAACTGACGATGTGCCAGTCTCTTTCATAGCGGGCAAGCGAAGCGGGACCTGCGAGTGTTCCATTGATCTTTTTTTCGTGCTCACTTGCTTAGCTTAAGCCAACTATCACAGTTTTAATATCTGTCGCGAATCTGATCACATTCGTCATCGCTGTCTATGCGGCAGCATGCGAGGAGAAGATAGAGCAGAAGATATGTCAGCATTTCGTCCTATTTTCTTTCATTGCTGTGGTTTGATGCGACGGGGCGTGATATAGCTATGAGCCTGGTCGCTTCAATTGCCGTATGCGTAGTCAATTTCGCTCTTCTGCTTGCGATGTGAGCATGTTCATGTTGGTAATCTGCAAGGCAAGGAGCTAATGCGTATGGTATTTTGCGATGGCATAGAACCATCTCCAAGAGCTATATCGCCGATCAGATCATGTTCGGGATCGTCGCGTTGCTCGCATTGGGTAGGCTGTTTGATCTTATAGCTCAAGAACTTAGCCCTAACAGAGTCATTGTAGTTCCCACAGTCCTCATCTTCAGGCTGACTTGCTTAGTGTTGACCGTGTCTGATGTTAGCGATTGTGCTTCTTCTAGCTTTATCACGACGATGATCGCGGTAATATTCAGCGGGTCTATCACCCTACTTTGTCAGTACATTCGCCTCCTGTGAATCGTGCCCTCTCTGACAGTCGTTGTTCTTAGCCCTTGTTGGCGTAATTCTGGTTCACCTGAAGCAGAGACGTGCCCGATTGTCAAAGCCACCTCGCCACCTCCCGAACCGCCGAGAGGCCGAACCCATGCGCGAGCGAGGTAATAACGCACAAGGCATGGCACCATCGCGCGAGCGAGGTAATAACGCACAAGGCATGGCACCATCGCGCGAGCGAGGTAATAACGCACAAGGCATGGCACGATCGCGCGAGCGAGGTAATAACGCACAAGGCATGGCACCATCGCGCGAGCGAGGTAATAACGCACAAGGCATGGCACCATCGCGCGAGCGAGGTAATAACGCACAAGGCATGGCACGATCGCGCGACGTGGGGCGACAATCAAGAAAACAGAACTACACGAATAACGATTGGGGCTGCGAGACGTGCAGCGAATGTGACCCTTGCTTACCATTTGCCTTCGCATGACGGTTCGGCGAAGGCGAGATGAGGAATGGGTCTGATATACCAGTGGGCACGGGTGCTCGACGTTTTCACAGATTCGCTCTCTCTTCTATGACAGCACACAAATATCTCTCTCTATATCTATAAACATACGAATTCTGTCTGTCTTTACTTACATAGGCACAGGTTAAGAAAGTTGATTCTAAATGGGCCTCTTTGTCTTTCAGAGTTCTATTCCGTTGATTCATGCCTGACTCTTGTCAGACAAGCGGCGGCGGCAGTAACGCGTATCGTGGCGTGCAGCGAGTAATGCTGAATTTCAGTTTTGAGCTCTATTCTTGTTTCGTCTTTCTTTGTCTCCGAATCGCAATTTTATGTGCTTGTGCAGCATTCTCTCACTACAATCGCCAATGAAGCTCGCACTTCTTTAAGGGGCCCTCTGGGACGTATTCGACAAGATCTTTGAATCCTAAGGATGATTGAGGAGAACTGATGTGCGTCCTGTTGTCCTGCTATTCGTTTTCATCTTGACATGATCAGGCGTTTCTCAACGCAGAGAAATCCAGAAGATCTTCTGTTCGGGTCTGCAGATATTTCTTTAGGTAACGAGACTCCCAAGATGGACAATCGCTATAAACTGGGCGCTCCGTGTCCTCGAGGCGTTCCACGAGCCACCTCTTGTTTCCCTCACTCCTCGCCGTTTACTACACCACTTTTCAGTCATGGCGCACCCGCTGTGCTGGCCTGGAAAATATTTCTTTTATCCTATCGGGAACACTTCTGCAGTCTGCTTGACGAGGGATCTACCTCTCGAAGAACCTGCGAAAATCCTGTTACTTGGATGTGGAGATCCCAGAAACGTTCTGTACACCATTTTTTGTGAGCCTTTGGAGAATGGCAAGTCGTTACTGTCTTTCTTTAAAGCTGTCTATTGACAGAAACCTTTCAGGCCGGTCGCTCGATTTTACTTGCTGTGATATTGATCCAGCAATATTGGGTACGTATGAGTTCAAGTTCATCATAAAAATCATGCGAGTGCTGACCCTACGTAGCACGCAATGTCATCTTGCTCACGATGGTCATCGATCAGCAGCCTATGGAAACTGTCTGGAATGTCTTCTTTCATATGTACCTGGACAAACTTTCGCATTCGACATTCATCGATCACTGCCAGAAATTGATCAATCATTCCGACACTCTCCACAGTTGGAATGCTTCCACCTATGGGTCCTCCATCAAAATGTGCACAGAGTACACGCTCCACGAGCTGCGGCGTCATTGGTCTCTCTATGTCGACATGCCGAATCTACCACGGCAACGGATACAAGCCATTCGTGACGCATTTAATAAGCAGTCGAAGTCATCAACGAATATGTATGGCTCCGTCTTGACATCTGCCCGTTCGTCGGGCCCTCTTGTGATTCAAGCAGCTCAGATATGCTCAGAACAATTCAAGAATTACTGGACGACCGGCGTCACCTTCACTGATCGAAAGCTAGTCGCCGCCGCCAATATTCTGAACGCGACGTTTGCTTACTCCTTACAAGGAGAGGGCTGCAATGTCCATTATGGAACAGATCCACTCATCCCATTCCACCTTGCAGCTCTCTTCGGCAGTGCGAAGCGATCAGTTTCTGTTGCAGATCTTACGAAGGCCGCCCAGGCCGAGTTCAGCGATTGGTGCTCAGCTTATAAGAGTGCGATCTCTACTACATCTAGCGCTCCCATCATTCGTTTCATTGTGGGCGAAGCTACGGTCGTCTGCCGAGCCCTCAAATCCTTTGCCACAACGAGGACGCTCAATTTGTCTATCCCTGTTTCACAATGGAAGACACAGACAATCCAACTAAGCCCGGACGAATACGTGTCTCAGCCAGATGTTGCCCCGGCAACATTCAATGTTATTGAGACGTCTAATCTGCATGACCATATTGGCCTTCTGAATGTTTTAATCGCTGCAATTCCCCTTCTCTCAACCTCCTCACTCTCGAGTGTCCTTTATACAGAGTCCCTCCTGTTTCGCGGTCAAGATGCGACGAAGGAGTTCTCGGAACATCTTTATGCGGATATCACGACTATGGCTCTCCTCCTGGGCTTATGTCCTGTTGACTATCTTTCTGGCTATACTACTCGATCAAACACGCACGAATTGACGATGTACACGGTGATTGCCAAAGGAAAGGATGCTCACCAATTTCACCAAGTAACAACTTGGAAGTCTCCTACTTCTAGCAACGCCCTCACTATCCCTAGCAGAGCTGCGTTCAGACCCCCAGCCTTCGACTCGCACCAATTGGGAACTCTCTTGTATGATATATACCACCAGCTTTTCGAACAAGAGGATTCTATGCACTTCTTGAGGCTTAATCAGCAAAACTTGCTGAAAGCCGTTTCCAGCTCGAATCTCATCCATTACATGCGAGAGAGCTTTGTGCTATTCCTTAAACTCGTCAGAGAGAGGCTTGGAATTTCTGCGCAGCAGTGGATGGATGTAATGGACAGGTTCTTCAACCTCGAGGACGCGGATCAGACTCTCCCGATGGATACGGTCAACTACAATGATCTATGCGCGCAGTTATACCGCCATGGCGTACATAAAGTGCCCTTTTACAACACGGAGCTTCCCAAAATTGGTAGATTTGTACTCTGGGATAGCGTTCCTCCCGTAGTTCGGATCATCTTTGCTGTCCCCCGGGACAATTTGGCAGCTTTGGAGGACACCTTGAATAAAGCCGGCACCCCTCTGCTGCAGTGCGACGTGCGTGGTACTTGGTCTCATAACACCTTCACATCAGTATATGTGGCATTCGGAGCCGTTGTTTCAATGGGCACATCAACTCAACCGCGCGTAGTGCTCAACGAAGATGCGGCTGGATGGAAGGGCACATCTTCACTTATAGTATCCTTCGCAATACCCGCACAGCTCTTGACATTGATTGAACCTCCCGAAAATCTCAACGTGTGCTTGTCCGTCCGAAGCACACCCGCCACGGTAGCCTTGATACCAAAGCTGGGCATGAGTCTCTGCCTATTCAGCGCCAAATTGATGGATACGTCCCTGGTCCATGTATTACCTGAACCGCCATTACCCTACAGAGAACCTATGGTCTTCCCTCCCAGTCCTGCACTGTCGGCTACGGATCGTTCGCTTCGAATAGGCCAGCCGGGCACGGTGTTCGTGGAGTTGGACGAAGAGTGCGAGTTCGTCACTTCTTTGACCGCCAGAATCCCCATCGAGAACGAAGAAGTAAAGCGTTTGTTCAGGTCCCAGTCCACACCTAAGGTCATGCAGGTATCTTCCTGCATCATGAGAGCCACTATCGGCGGCCATACTGAAGATGTCATATATCCTTTCCCCATTGTCGGGAGCCGCAATAAGCTCCGCCTTGCCCGCAAGTCGTTGTATATTGAAGTGAGCGCTACTTTGCTGACAGGCTATTGTCGAAGCTGCTAACATGACGGTTCATAGATTGTCGTTCCTGTGTCAGGGCCTTTCAAGAATGATGGAGTGAAGCTCAATCTCTTTGCAGTAAACAGGACAGGTGGTCTTCTGAACCCCTGGAACATTCATCGCCTAAATTTGACTCGTCTCCCAATCCTTGATATCAAGGCACCACAAATCGATCGGTGGCTCAACCCTCACATCGGATCGATGTTGTCTTCCCGTGAACGCTCCATGAGGAAGAAACACGATTATACGGATCCTTTGGTATTAGTCAAGGACACATTGCATAGCATATTTGTCCGATCTTCAGGCATCCAGGGCGGAGCTCCACAAAAAGTCTTCGCCTTGAGAGATGATGCAACAAACAATTGCGACACCGTCTTCTTTGTTGGCGATCTACGATATGATCTGCACTCTCACACCATGGTCTGCGACGGATATGTGCTCCCCCTCACCGAAGAACTCATGTCAAGGATCATAAGCTTCTTTAGCGCCCTTGTACAGAAAGGCAATATCGCGAATATCACTGTTTCTGGAAATGGCATGAAGGCTTGGAAGCAATTACTACCTGCGTTTGTCGAGCGCTGCCGGTCCTCGTGGACGCATGGGGCCAACTGCGAGTACAAGTCACAGAACAAGATTCCACTCACGGAAATTATGGAGGCAGATCCGCTATGCAGTTGTGGCAGGGGGAAGGACGTAGAGGGCATGGCCAAAGTCGCTCTCTGGAGCAAGCTAGCGCCATATGTGACCAGGGTCGCGCTGTCCCCTCTTTTTGCCGTTTCATATCTCGAAACGATTGGTAGAGACCCGTCAGCTCACAGGTGCTACTCATGCAGGGGGAAAGGTAAGCCGAAGATCAAGACGTGTAAAATATGCAAGAAAGTACGGTACTGTTCCGAGGAGTGTCAGAAGAAAGATTGGAAGAGCCACAAAAGGGTATGCAAACCGAGTGCTTAAGCCGGTCGTTATCGATGACAATGTCATAGTCCCCCTTCGGTCCGTAGTTGTTCTATCGTTCTTTGTCTCCTAGCATTGTATCTATCATTTTTTCTTTCCAAATTCAATACCAGTTGAGCCCGTACTGTAGTATACATAGGACCCCATACTTGATGAAAAAAATTGAAGAGGCGAGAGAGAGACAGGGCCATGACCTCGTCAGATTTGCGCCTTAGACCAGCAACGGCTCTCCTGCTGCCTTGACTGACTCTACCCGCCTCGAGGTCAGCAAGTGAGCTAACGAGACGAGTACCATAGTGACTTATAGGGATGAGGTGAACCGAGATTCGCATCTGAACCGTACACAGGTAGTTAGGCCTACGCGGATGTTTCTGCATTGTCAAAATTCGAGGTGAAAGGTGCATTACTTATTTTGCCTACGCTGCTGCTGGTCCTTTCCTATAGGAATGACAATATTAGTGACAATTCTCAGGGAGTAGATTCGACGCAGATGTGCCACCATGGAATCAGCACAATCCGGAACAAAACGAAGGACACAGGAACAATGTCAAGAAAGATGAGATTCATCTGTATGGGGTGGCAAGCGCCATTGACGCGCTCATCGCCACACGGACGAGCGTACGTACAAAGATAACAATAAGGATTTGGATGTGCCACCGCCGGATTAATCTCCGGTGCCGTGACTTGGAAAAGAAACTCGCTCCTTGCTGAGACAAAGCTTGCAGAAGCATCACCGCCTCGATATGACGTCTTGACAAAGAGCTTTGTGACCTGTGGGACAACGTAACGCAGAAGTTCGGCTGACCCCGAGTAAGGGATATGAACGCACAGTTAAATACGAGGCTTTCCCAACAGAACATGCCCTCACTAGCCCTCCTCCATTAATTACTCCCCACCAACCAACATCTGCCAACTGATCTTCGACAACTACCTCCGCCACCTACCACCTATCAACTGATCTTCAACGACTACTACCAACTGCCACCCGCCGACTACCACCCAGTTATCACCCGCAGACCACCTTACCACCGCCAACTACCACCCGAAATCATGGACACTAGTGCTGCCACCCACGCGTCGCAAGATTGGATCGCGCTGGGATCGCAAGACAGCGTGGTCCCAACGCCGGATTGTGACACATTCCCAACACCAGATCTTCACACAGGTCTTGACTTCTCGCGAGACCTCTACGCGCCTTGGGAACCGGAGTACAAGGTGTTCGAGATTGTTTGGGTGAGTGTGGCAGCCGTGTCGTGGATCTCGCGTAGTGGCATCCGTGGTATTGAACTGCTGCTGATCGTGATTTGGTTTCAGGCTGCCCGCGACGCGGCTTTGATGGCGTTCGGTGGCTGGGACGACGACGACACACCCGCAGACTCAAGCAGCGAACGGGCCTTCAGCGTGCTCGACAGCCCGTCGTTCAGCGCGCACGCGCTTTCCATTGATCGCGCGCCAAGTCCGGGGCACGCCCGTGGCGAGGTGCACACGTGCCGTACAGTCAGTTTCGTCCCAAGTGCTGATACAGGATCCTCACTGATATCGCGTACACAGAGTGGCAAGTCTCGAAAGAGACAAGCATTGCCAGAAGATTATTTCTCGGAGGGCACCCGCCCACGGAAAAGGAGCAAAGCTGCGGCCCATGAGGCCGCAACCAGTGGGGCCCAGACGGAGGCTGCCCAAGTGTCTCAATCCGGACCAACCTTGCAGGCTGAAGTCAAGGCCTCACTAGAGTCAACTAATATATCCAACAAATACCACGATGAGGATGATCTCCTCACCGAGGTACCACAGGTTGAAGCTATACCGTCAACCTCTGCAAGACCTAGCCCTCAGCTAGCAGAAGAGGCAGGTATATTGTTCTTGCCGGTGGAGGAGGAAGCCGGAGTGGAAGATGAAGAGCCAAGCGATAACACCAGAGAGGGTGACGACGGAGCCCATGAAAGTAGTGGAGGCGACGGCGAGGCACATGTGGAAGCTCGATCCCAGAGCGGCGAGAACAAAAAAGATGCTGGCAACGATGCAGGCGATGGTGCGAGCGACAAGGACGAGGAATCGTCGCAGAAGAAAAAACGTGGGGTTTTCTGCGAAGTGCACAACAAATTCTTCGCAGACCGGAGTAGCTTTGCCCGACACAGAAGGACAACGGAGGGACACCCCCAATACCAGGGCAAGGTAAAATGCGAATGGTGCGGTACATTGGTGAGCCGGGGCGACGCGATGAAGAGGCATCTGTCGGATACGTGTCGTGGTCGGCATCGTGATCTCGTCGAATGAGTGGGCGTTGGTGGAGAGGGGAGGCATGAAGAGGTAGAGGTAGAAGACGGTCAGACGGGTGTGCAATTTTAGGGCCGGCCTTGAAGGGCTTGCTCACTTTTTCTTCTTGTTATCGTTTCTCCGACTCATCGATGGACATCGATCCGCGTGCTTTTTCTACAGCTTTCTACATACCGTTTCTGAGGTGCCCGTAATTTATGAGTAATATATTCTCCTGTTTCTGTCGAAATGCTTCGATGAAGATGAGTGCCCAATTAATAGCAAGAGCTCGACGAAGGTCAAGAGAGGTCAATTCGGTGATGAGTGAACGGAGAATGGAGAAAATGCAGGCGTCACCGACAAACTCCGAGAACTCCGATGGCTTCAGCGTGACCACCTTTCTTCCTCTCGCCTTTCACCGTCTCGCGATATTGAGAATCAACCATCGACGTGTGTGCTCATGACACCTGTATTGTCGTGCGCGCGCTGAATCCTGTTCTTGTCAACGTTAGACCAGTGCCATGGTTAGTGAACTGAGACCTGCTTGGCATGTTTTGAATTCCCATGGAGTCAATTGCCCGAGTACTACTTTCGAAGCTCAATCGAACACTAGGACAGGTTATGATCAGTTCAGATCAGAAATCACCAAGCTCGATGCGTCGAAAGGGGTTTTTTTCGCCTTAGCTTTCGGCAGTAGTCTTCTCAATTGTCGTGTCGTTAATCCGTCTAGGGACAGCGCACCCGCACCGCCGACTGCAGCCAACTAATATGAGCATGGTAACGAACTTTAGAGCACAATTTTCCCGCTGATAATATTTAAGATCATAAGGGACAGGACAGAGCTCATGCTATGTCGTACGTTTATGGTGGGTGTATATATGGTACTCTCACAAATGCTGAACTTGCCATCTAGACGAACCATGCCGTTGTCGACATGACTCTTAATTACGCTCGCGACATATACGCTAAATATATTCTGCAAGCGTACCAGACGTGCTTCAACACGGGGTCACACCAGGTCATACCCAACACCGAACATCCCTTGATGAACTTCTTCTCATCTGTCGTTTCTGGAACCGCTGAAGACATCGACCGTTGGTGTGTGCCGGAATGACTCCTTAGACCGCTGCTGAATGTCGTCCCACAAGTTCCGAACAGGAAACGATATACGACACTGCCAGCTCGCTCGCTTAGAATCTGGCAGAATCTCAGATCTCACCCATCAGTGTTTGAAGATGTTCATGTGCCGAAAGAATCAAAGCAGAAGTATATGTGTAGTACGTCGGCAGTTTTGACGGGAAGGCTGATGTCCATTGTTTATGATGAACAACAGGTACTAGCTTCAACGAACGATTACAAACCGATCTCGAACAGCTTATATCTGCTGTCCCACTGCACATCGGTCCTTTTCCCCAAGCGGCATTTTTAGTCGCACAACAGCAAACGTCCATCCTGCCAAATCCTCGAGGTTCAGGCTCTGCGAAACGCCAAAGTCTCTGATTGTATCGAGAGCCTATCTTTGTATCTCTTTGATAGAAAATCTACTCCCAAAACGCTTTGAGGCTTCTGAATGTGCGAAGATGGCCGTTGGGACACCATCTTGTACTTGAGAAGACTCTCTGCGACAATAGCGTTTTGGTTCAACTTGATCACGCAGCACTCAAACTCAAGGTCAGATGAGAGCAAGTGAGCTGCTGGTTTGTTCATGGCACTGTATTTGTTGAAGCCTCGTTTGCTTTGGGAACATATTTGTTCTAATCCGATATGGAGAGCAAGTTCGCCATTCAGAGCTCGCCTGTTTTGCAATGGACGGAAATCGACGACTGATCGCATGAGGGTGCATCCTCCAAAACATCCTCCATGATGGTCTCGTTTCACGAGTCAAGCCTCCCGTGCTCACGAAGAGATCACGTCTTCTCCATCGATACTTTGAGCCAAATTCTCTTTGACACTATGCATTCATGAAGAAAGCACTCTAGCCGATATAATTATACACAGTCTAACGCACATTACGTTTGACGAAGAAGCTGACAGTCGATATGGTCTGAGAAAGAGATTGGGAAGGCCTCGGAGATTGCTTCCTCTTTCTGAAATCCTGTTTGCCATAGCGTTCCGTCTGCCAGTGGGATGTCATAAAAGAAAGTACAAGGCAGGCCTGGAGACAGAAAGGTTGTCTTCAGCAGTTCCATCGAAACGAAGGAGCACTGTGGGAGCCAGCTAGCCATTGATCTTTTGGCCCTTACCCGATAGAAGAACGGAAGAAGAAGCATCCTTTGCCACAGCCAACGGAGAAAGCAAGCATAATGAAGAAGAATGACGTATGTACGCACAAGCGGCAAACGCAGAGAAGCCCGCCAGTAGAAGCGAGTGCGGAGACAGGCGCACCTCCGCCGTCAGTCCCCGAGGGTCGCGACCTCAGGTGGCATCAACTCAGTGACCTTTGCCACCGATGCCACATGGGGGAGTCCGTCAACAAGAGGGCATCCGGAACCAGCCAGGACCCTTGAAAGCCACCTCTCGCTTGAGTTCATCTCCGGTGCCGCAACCTTCGAGAGAAAGCAAGCAGGCCCGTCGAAGCCGAGGACAACTTCCGTCATGGCGTCGGAAGCATCGGGCCTGAGGCGGAAAACAAGACAAAAACAAGTGGCTATCCACCTCCTAGCCACAAAGCAGTGATGCACAAGGGAAACGTCGGCCAACGCCGAGGTGGCTTAATCTCAGTTAAATACGGACTCGAGGCTCTTTGAATGAACTACCCCCGCAACTGCCACGATCGACGAACCACTGTCACCTTACCACCGCCAACCACCGCCAACCACTACCACCTCCAACCACCACCCACGAACCACCTGTACCAAATGGCACGATCAATCCACTACCACTACGAGGATGAAGACGCACCTGTCTACTCAGGACCAAGCTCGATGGATAGGGCGTTCCCATTGCTGGAAGTCTTCGCGTCAGATCCGGCCACATGGTTGATGGAGGCGTCTCGCCAACCATTCCGTCCATGGAACTCTGCTTCGGGCCCAGGGGTAAGTCCAATATAGTTTGTTCATTCATGATCGACACCAGCGGGTCGGTAAACTCTGTGAGGCCTTGTCGCTGACTCTTTGATGCCAGAGCACCCACCAGTCACCCCGGAGACCAGACCTGGACCACCGTGGCATGAATGGTGAACGCAGACAGGACTCGCAGCGCTTTCTCCCGCCATCACCTCCAACGCCCAAGTGGCTTCCTGCATTCGGTCTCGATGATCCCATCGGTCACAGAGACGAAGGAGCTCCCCTCTTGGCTCAGACTTCTTTCGGTGATTATTATAGTCCCTCTTGATCCATGCCACTATCTGATCTTCCCGTCTTGAACTATCTCGTAGAAGATCTGCCATGTCGCCTCGATCCGCGAGGTGTTGGAGAGGAACGAGCAATGCCCTTTGGGTCGTATCAACTGCCCCCGATCCGCGACGTCGTGAGTCTCATGCTATGATATCAACGTCGTCTCTCCAGCTTACATGGCTTCGCAGATCGATCCCGAGCTTGACTTGGCCTTTCTGTCGAGTGATGCGAACGAGAGACCTTCTAAGAGAAAACGAGGCATGAATCCCGGAACCGAAGCTGAACAGGGTCCACACGTCGTACCCTGTATGCCAGCAGAAATCGAGCCCATACTCGATACCACAGTAACATTCAACACGCAGCATGGCGAAGCAAATAGCCTCGACATGCCACAGACTGCGAAAGTCATACAGTGGCCTGCAGCAGGGCCTAGTCATCTACCAGCACCACCAAAGGCCGGTACATCGACCACGCCGATCAAAAAAGATGTTCAGGCAGCGATCAAGGTCCAGGCCGAAGGCAAGACGTCAAAAACCATGCTGTTCTACTGCGAGCTGCACCACGCCACATACAAGGGGCACAGCAGCTTCTCGCGACACAAGAGGACGACGCCAGGCCACGCAGAGTACAAAAAGCCGCCCGAATGCATGTACTGCCACAAGAAGGTGAGCCGCCTGGATGCCCTGACGCGGCATCTGTCGAATTCGTGTCGTGTGGTTCCCCGTGATGTCTTGCAGGGGCTGTAAAAGGTGGAGGGCGCAGGGAGGCGACGAAGGGCTCCGCATGGACGTGGGAGATGGGAGCTTACCTTTATACTTGCATGTTTCGTGTGTCTTGGAGCCCTCCCACGCTCATCGATGGTTATCGATCTCTGTACTTGTTTGTCCTTCCTAATACTGCACTTGATTCGATGTTTCTTGTTTTATGGCTTGGAATGATGTCGACGATACGGATGAGTGGGATAAAGAAGAAGAGCGTGAGACGAGTTTGCATGCTGTTTACAGAATAGCTCGGCTCAGCCTTGCCGGCCGAAGGCACGCAAGTAACTCCTCGGGTTTGCATACTAGTCAGTATGGGCGAGAATCTGCGAGCATCGACAAGCTGATTGGAATATGAAGTTGATAAAATGTTAGACCACGCTTAGGATCACTAACGAGAGATCAGGCATGTGCACGCCAGTCCGTACAGCCTTCACCAATTTGCTCAAATCGCGTCCAGTATCTATCCGCTAAAAATTGAAGATGCACTACAAGCCGGACTTGCCGAAATTGTCGAGAGAGAGATTTGGACTCGATAATAGGAACGGTCCTGTTCATCCAGACTGGAGCAACAGCCTACAATTGCTCGAGCACTGTCCATGAAATTTTCAGAATGCCGAACATAAGAACTCGCAGACTCGAACAGCTCTCGAGGAGTCAGAATACACAGCGAGAGGGCCAAAAAAAAACAAGAATCGAATTGAATCATGATAATATGAACGAAAACAAAGGATGTCTGTCCCCGAACTACGAGCCCAGTAACAAACACACGATAGCATGTACACTGACCTCAACTCTACAGAGACGAAGCAGCCCAAGCGTCCTCGAATCCACGCGACACCATAACGGCGCGCATTGGGAGGCCGGACTCGGACCACGATATTCTTCCACGACCGTAACAGGTCTCCAAGATGGATACGCCCCGAGGGGTAATGGAGACCTTGACTTGGTACATGGAGCAGACACGGAGCATACTCACTGATTTCACGAGAATTCACCTAGCGAGACACCAACAGATGGAAGGAAATTATTTTGCAGGGAGAAAGCCGACGCGAGCGACGAGAGTTTAAGGCGCTTGAAGGCTATATACGAAAGGTTGCAGCTCCGCTCGAAACTGGGGCGGAGGGGCAATGGCGAAGCGTGGCTGAAGACCATCAACACCTCGTCGCTGTATCCTGTTACTGCTCCGTCTGCTCTCTGACGATGGCGCAGTGGGGCCAGGGCCAGCCTGGCTACCAATATCCCCTTCAAACGGGATTTCAGAACCAGAACCCCGCTTTTCAGCAGCAAGGCTACCCGCAAGGCGGTCTTGCACCGCAACCCATCGGATTCGCCGCGCAACGTCCTCCAGGATTCCAGCAGCCTCAGCAGACAGGATATCCGGGCGGAGTACAAGGTCTAATTCCCCAGCAGACTGGTTTATCTGGTCTCGCTGGAGGATTCAATCAACAGCAGCAGCGACCTCCGATCCCGCCCGTGCCGCCCATCCCATCACAGTATGGTCAGCAGCAGCAGCTACAGCAGAGCGGCTTCCTGGGCGCGCAGCAACAGCAGCCAAGTCGATTCCTTAGCCCTTCGCCGGCTCTCGGCGGTCCTGGGCTTGCACCCCAGCCAGCTGGCTTCCCCGGTCGTGTCGGTGGGGGTTTGCAGCCGCTGGTTCCGCAGGTGACGGGTTTCATAGACCCGCGTTTGCAGATGATGTCCAGCACCTTCTTGCCCGCGAATCAGTCTTCGCCATACAATGCTGCCGGCGCTCCACAGCTCTTCCAACCACAGCAACAGCTCGGCGGTCTTTCGCTCCAGCAGAGCTTCCAGCAACACAATCAGGAAGTCAAGGGCACCGCGGCCCCAAGGGTCCCGTGGGCGCTGTCGAAGGGGGAGAAGAAGAGCTACGATCAGATCTTCCGGGCATGGGACGCGAGCGGGACGGGATTCATCGATGGTGGGACCGCTATCGAGGTATTTGGTCAGAGCGGGCTTGGCAAGGACGACTTAGCTCGGATCTGGTGCGTTGCTGTGCTGCAGTTCATGCTGTGCTCCCATATCAGCGTTCTTATTGAGCTCTCTAGGACCCTCGCTGACGGCGATAACCGCGGTAAACTTAACATGGCCGAGTTTCACGTCGCCATGGGCCTGATCTATCGCAGTATGTGATCTGGCCTCCAATTGTCTGTTACTTGCTCATAGGCTGCAGAGCTTAATGGGAACGAGATTCCCGATGAGCTTCCCCCAGAACTCGTACCACCCTCCCACCGCGACCTTGATACCTCCATCACTTTCCTCAAAGACGTCCTTAAGAACGATGCACGCGCTCGCTCCCCAGGGAATCTCGACGCGCCCGTTTCGCGAATGAAGGAGCGCTCCTTCATGTCGTCAGGTGCGCCGGGCGCCGGCGGACGGCAGGACGCGACGGTCTACAAACACACAGACTCCGAGGCCCCGGGCAGCTACTACACCCCGCGGAATCGCCAGTTCGACCGCAACACCGTACGCACAGAGCGTGAACGCGACAACCCCGCCTCCGACCTGTCGGACATGAAGCGTCAGCTGGAGAACACGGCGAAGATGCTTGACCGCGTCGCGGACGATAATGCCAACCGGACGGCAGAGGACGATGCTCTTGAGCGTGAGATGCGAGATCTCCAGCGTCGCGTGAAGCATGTGCAGGAAGACTTGGAGTATTATACGCGCGGCCCGAGGTCAGCGCGCACTGACGAAGAGCGACGCAAGCTCGAGAGAGAGCTGTTGCATCTGATGCACGAGGAAGTGCCCGCTGTGGAGAAGAAGATCCAGGAGCGGGAAGAGCGCAAAGAGCGAGAGAAGAGGGAGTGGGATCGCGAGCGGGACAAGCGGAACGACAGGTTCGGCAGGTTTGACGATAGAGATCGGGAGTATGGCAGTTACTCGCGGGACGGCGACCGGGACCGGGATAAGTACGACAGGTACGACCGGGACAGGGAACGCGATCGCGATCGCGACTATGGCAGGGACAGGTCGTATCGTGAACGCTCGCACTCGCGTGAACGCACGCGCAACTACGACCGTCCGCGCAGCCCTCCTGCTGCACGTTCTCCTCCACCCCCACCCCCTCCCGCTGCGCCTTCTAGCTCCATCTCTAAACCCCCCCCTCCACCTCCTGTGCCGAACGCCTCCCCCGCTCCGTCCACGAAAAACATGACCCCGGAGGAGCGCAAAGCGTTTATCCGTGAACAGGCCGAGCGACGCATGGCCGAGCGGATGGCCGCCCTGGGCGTCACCCCGTTGCCTGGCTCGGGGGGCAGCAGGCTGGACACGAGCGTCGAAGACCGGCTTGCACGCGAGAAGAAGGAAGCCGAGGAGAAGGCGCGCGAAGCCGAGAAGGCGGCGGAAGAGCGTGAGAAGGCCAGACGGGAGCGGCTCGAGGGCGAGAAGGCCGTCAAGGAGGGCAGGACGCCCCCGGCATCCGTCCCGTCCACTCCGGTCGTCGCAAAGCCCCCCGCCCCGCCCCCGCCGAAGCCGAGAGCCCCTGCGCCGCCGCCCCCGAGAAAGGCGCCTGCCCCCCGTGCCCCCACTGCGCCGCCTGTGTCCGCTCCCGTACCTCCCCCTGCACCTCCCGCACCCCCTGCCCCTGTCGTGTCCGAGGTTGACCCAGAGGAAGAGCGTCTCAAGGCGCGCGAAGAGGCATTACGCAAGCAAAGAGAAGAGCGTCTCGCGCGTTTCCGGCAGCTCGAGCAGGAGGAGGAAGAGGAGCGCCAGAGAGAGGAAGAGCTGATCAGGCGACGGAGCGAGGAGGCTGCGCGGCGCACGAAGGACGCAGAGGAGCAGCGGAAGAAGGAGGAGCGCGAGGCCAGAATACGGCAGATGGAGCTTGAGGAGGCGGAGGAGCAGCGCAAGGCTGAAGAGGAATTCGCAAGACGAAAGGAAGCGAGGAGTAGGGCATCAACTCCGGCACCTTCTATGGCCCCTCCCTCCAACGGCTCTGCACCGCCTGCACCGCCCCCGCCGCCGCCCCCGCCTGTCCCGCCAATTCCAGCATCGTCGATTGGGAGCCCTGCAGACAAGGCGAAACACAATCCTTTCAATCGCCTCGCTAGCTCTGGCAGCGCTGCAGCATCCCCTGCTGCTGTTTCCCCCATGAGCGGTAGTACAAACCCATTCTTCAAGCCCCAGACCCAGCCTGCTCCGGCACCTCCAGCCACATTCAGCGTGCCTCCTCCCCCGAAGAGCCCCGGGCCCGCCAAGTCATCGTACCAGACTGCCCCTGCCGATAGTGACGAGGAATGGGGCGATGTTCGTGAGAAAGAGGACAACGATAGCGACAGTGAGGACGAGCTCGATTCCTCGCGCGCCACACGCAACCGCCTCGCGCAGCAGCTCTTTGGTAGCATCCTCCCGCCTGCTAGGCCTCAATCTGCCGCGGGTGCAGGCGCAGGCGCCACGCCGAAGCCTGGATCGCCATTTGCACCGACACCTCCCCCGCCCCCGCCGTCTGCGCCTCCCGCTTCAGTCTCTCAGACTGCTGACTCAGGCGCACCTCCGCCACCACCACCGCCACCACCCCCGGGTGCGCCCCCGCCTCCTGCTGCGATGGCAGCGCCCACGCCTGCCCCTGCTGGCGAGCGCAGTGCCCTGCTCAGCGCAATTCAGAGTGGCGCACGGTTGCGAAAGGCAGTGACGAACGATCGTAGCTCCTCTTCTGTGTCGGGGCGTGTCATCGGTGACACCACCCCTCCCCCACATATCAACGCTGCACCAACGCCTGTCTCGCCTCCCTCTCCTGATTCTCCCATAGATGGCAGCAGGCTGGTACAGAGAGGGGACAGCAGGCATTCTGTGGACTGGTACGCTGGGATGGCGGCTGATCATGGCGTTCCTTTGAGTCGGGAACCAAGTGGGTTGGACAAGATGGTCGAGGAGGATGAACAGGACAGCGAACCCGAATCTTTACCAAATATTCAAGTTGATATCATCGAAGAAAGTAATCCGCTGGATGACGTCGACAAGGCCACTGGTGAGATCTGTTTCTATTGGACGACTATAGGCGGATTTTAACAACATGCTTTGCGGCAGAATTCCGCACGCGTTCTTTGTACGCATATGAAGGCCAACGGCCAGAAGATCTCTGTTCGTCTTGTTTGTCACATCTCACAGGGTTCGTTTTGATGACTCGAGGACTCCGCAGCATTCGGCGAGAACCTTGTTCTTACCGCCCACCCCTCCAAGTCGGGCGGAGACTGGTGGTATGGCACTGTTGTACGAGACGGCAAATCGGGCTTCTTCCCCAAGACATACGTACAGTCGTTCGAGTCCGGTGCGTGTTCGTCTATGTCCTTTTCATCTACGTGATCTCAAAGGTCTTTTCAGCCAAAGCCAAGGCTGTCTACTCTTATACGGGCGGTAATGCAGACGAGCTGCCTTTTGCCGAAGGCGACACGCTTTCGATCATCGACAAGAGCGAAGGTGATTGGTGGAAGGCAGAACAGGGCGGTGTGGTTTTCATTGTGCCCGCCGCGTACCTGGAACTCGTCGAGGGTTAGTTGATCAACCAAACGTTTATCCCTTGAGTCTTTCTTGTTTACATGTCTTTTGGCTGGCAAACAGGCTAAAATACTTCCTTTCTTTTTTTCCCCCTTTCTCTTCTTACATGTATACCTCTCGAATAAACAAACACACATTATACTGGACTACACTTAATACGTGGGACAGCTCGCCGCAAGTCTTCACTACCTTCAACACCTGAGGCATCGACGATGGCAAGCGCGGACCGCACGAGCTTCAGCGAACTGGTAAGCGGGGACGACAGCTCGGATTCGGAATACCTCTCCTTTTCAGATTCGGATGACGAAGACGAAGGCCAGACCGAGGCTCAGCGGAAGGCGGACCGGGAGGCGCGTGTTCTGGAACGGCAGAGGGTGCTGGAAGCCGCAGGTTTGATCGTAAAGGAAGATGGGAGACGGCCTCCACCAAGGCCTGTCCGGCGCAAGGCGGTGCTGGCGAGCCCGGGCAAGAAGAGTCGCCCGCCGCCGCCGGTCCCTTCGTCTGCTGCAAACCGCGTGTCGGCGATTTCCACCGCGTCGGACAAGGATCTTCCCCCCGTGCCGGACCGCGATCGCGATCGAGATCGGCCGACCCGTGACGAGTTCGCTCGTCTGGACGACGCCTTTGACCGGTACGAGGCGTTCAAGCTGGCGACGGGCGAAGGCATCAACAACCGCCTGTCGATCGCGTCTTCTGTCGACAGCAGCAGCCTGAGCCCCACCCCGTCGTCGCCGCAGTCTCTTCGGCACACCAAATCACAGGAGAGTGAGAATCGGTCGCATTCGTCTTGGCTTCATATATTGGGGCGCAGTCGGACCCCCGTGGGGGAGTCGGAGAGGAGGGTCATGCCCATAATCTCTGGTCCGATTCTCAGCAACGAATCGACGCCTGTGAGGGAGAACAGCCCTACGTTTGGTTCGGTGAGTCTTTCGGCGTTTTCGAGAGAATACCGATTCGACCTCTTCGTCAGTCGTGGGCCAGCCTCGTGGACAAGTCGGCCCTGGACGAGATACCGCAGCGTGAGCGACGACGACAGGAAGTAAGTTGAGAGTAACATAAATGCGCACATCCATCGTTGACTTCCCGTCAGGCGATCTTCGAGTTCATCGCGACTGAGGCCGCGTATGTCCGCGATTTGCAGCTGATAGTGGAGGTAAAGCCGTTCAAATGCTCATATACCCTCCCGGGAGACACTGAACCTCCTGGGCCTGCAGATATTCTATGCGAGCATGCTCAGCATATTGGAACAGAAAGAGGTCACCGTCATCTTTGCAAACGTTGAGGATATCTTATTGACCAACACCGTTCGTCGTTTGTTTACTTCCTCGTCGAGAATTACTGTTAACGTGGGGATGCAGACTTTTTTGAGCTCCTTAGAGGAACGACAGCGAAATTGCCGCTTGTACATTGATCAAATCGGTGACATCCTCGACCAGAACATGTCAAATATGCAGGTCTACGGCGTGAGCTCATTCATCATGCGCAATATACCGTGCTCCTTACTTTTCGCCAGGAATACTGCAGCAATCATTCTCAATCGATCAAAGCGCTCCAATCTTTACGAGAGATCAATCCGGCTCTGGGGGCGCATCTTCAGGTCTGCAGCTCTCGTTCGGTTTTGTTGGAGTTGATGAGGCTGAGCGTTTTTGCAGAAACTCAGAGAAGACCCGACCATCCGGAACCTAGACCTATCAAGCTATTTACTTGAACCCAGTATGTCTTAGTACTCTACATTCATAGTCATTTACTGAAGGGCCCTCGTATAGTGCAAAGGATCACTCGATATCCCCTGCTAATCAAACAGGTGAGCGCTGAGAACAGTTTTTCAGGTCAGTATCAATAACAATAACAGCTGAAGTGTCATCCGTAGATACTTCACTATACGGACCCAGACCAAGATCGCAAAGCAACGGAACGCGCCCTCCGCACCGCAGAGCAGATTCTGAGCCACATTAATGAAACGATACGGGAACAGGAAGGCCGTGAACGTCTGAGAGTTCTCTCGCAAGACCTCTGGATTGGTCAGGGGTGAGTTACACTATGCTCTCATTCATGAACGATGCCCATTGCTCATCATGCGTGCATACTCAGCCGGCTCGACCTTACTGCCCCTACACGCCATATGGGAGAACGGAGACTGATCAAAGAGGGTCCACTATCTAAAACGAAGAGCGGGAAGAAGTTGCGCGCGTTTTTGTGCAGCGATATCCTCGTCCTCACGGATGAGCAGGCAAAATCTCTATATCGAATGGTAGGTCACCGCGCACGCGCACTCTTCACTTTCAGTCGACTGATAATCCAAACTTTTTCAAGCCTATCCCTTTATATGAGGTCCACGTTCGCGAGCTACCAGGAAGCAGAGGTGCGCGAAGTGCTAGTACGAGATTAAGTCGTTGGATTGAACGCTCAACCCGTAGATGATCTCGCATTCCAGCTCGTGATCGCATATCCTCGGGGAGGCGACAAAATCGCATTGCGAGCTCCTTCCGCACGAGATTGTCACATGTGGATGGCAGATATTGATATCGCATCTCAGGCGTGCAGGGATGCTGAACGGCGAGCGGCGCGGGGTTCGGCGCGGAGGTCTATATCTTGAGCTATCTGTGAAGGTGCATCCCATATTCTATGAGCCGGTACGCTGGAGCTGACCGCGGGATATGCAGACCATGCTTCTTGATCCTTTGCGAAAATTCGGGCTCCCCCTTTCTTATTACCTTCTCTGTATATCCACAGCCAATCTCTTCATCCATATAACTCATAGACGCAGTACAATACTCTCATGGTTTCTAGTCGGACACTTATCTATGAATTTCAAACCGGGTTGTAGTTCATTGTTATTTTATTGACAGGGTCTTGCACAATTTTCTGGAGTGTCGTGCCAGAAAAAACCGGGTTCCTGAGCGCTTCGCCCCTGATATGGGAGAAAAGCGTCGGACCTCCCTGTGTCTTCGAGATTTGATTGTTTGTGATCTCCATCCGAGCGAAAGTCCTGGAGATGGTAGGAGAGGGGTAGGTAGAGCCATGGTAAGATGAAGTACTACAAAGAGGTGAGCACACAATGTACTAGGAGCATTAGCCCCAGCAGGCCTGAGGGCGTGACAGGGCTTTGCTGATCATCCCGACCTGCGGTGCCCAGTATTGGCTCAGGAACCCGGTTTTTTTCTGGCACGACACTCCAGAAAATTATGCAAGACCCTGTAGAAACAACCTGCCTACTGCCAAATCGTTGGCCTGTTGTGAGGAAGAAATGGTTGCCAATGATCGTATTTCACTTTTCGGTAACGTATCCTCCGGGTTAAGTGCTTATAATTACTTCATAAGATCTTGACTTAATAAATAATATAATATATGGATATGTTTCCCACGATGCCTTTCAACAGTATTTGGGACAGTCATATACAGTCAGCTTGGTTGGAGTAGGTCAGAACAAACCTTCATGCCATACTTCAAATGAATAAATTTTCTCACCTTTAATCATTCTGAGGGCTGACTAGCGCTGACCGTGAGAGAATAGCAGTTAGAACAACCATCTTAAAGCCTCAAACGTGCACCCACAATGCAACAGGTCGATGAAACCCACCCACATTCTTCAGAATCTTCTCCGGCGACATACTAGGTCCTCTACTACTCTGCGTATCCGCCCTGCTTTACCGAAAATACGATGTCGCATGAGTACGGCTTCGCCGTCTTTAAGCGCTGACTCGTCCCTTGTTCCCAACACTCAGGTCGATGGCAACGTTGCGGCGTCATCAGGTCAGGATTAGGTCTCCTGCTGATGTCATTGACTAGCAGCTTAGATGGTTTTCTAATCGCTTGTATTAGACAAAAATTGTTACGAGGAGTTCTATCGTTGCACGACCAAACGGTGGATCTACAATGAAGCTCAGCGTGCGTACAAAGCTTCTTGCTGGGAACTTTTACTTACACAACACTGCGAGTTCAGAGATGGAGAAACGATATGCAAGATTCGATGTTCTTGCATTGCAGAAGGTTGCTGTCGGCGTGGCTGGGGCTGCGATGTGTACATCAATGGAGAAGCTTGCGGAAGGTAAGGCGAATCGTCTTGATGGTCTAGCTACTGCCCGGATATGATACTTATATACTTTCCAGGTTCTTACAATAAAGTATTTCTTCTGAGATTCGATAACGACAAGGAAGTCATTGTTCGCATACCGTGTCCCATTGCCGGCCCCCAGAGTCTAGTTATCGCGAGTGAAGTAGCTACGCTCGACTACGTGGCACGTCATCTCCACATTCCTACTCCGCGCGTTCTTGCCTGGAGTCGCAACGGTAGCGAGTATTCCGTTGGTGTGGGATACATCATCATGGAGAGACTTCCTGGTGTACCTCTGACAAAGCGTTGGATGGATACCAGGGGCGGTGATTTAACTGAACTCACTAGACGCATCGTTGACATGGAGAAATTGTTCACCGAAAAGAGGTTTTCACAGATCGGCAGCTTGTACTACAAAGAAGATGTCGCTCCTGAGCTGCAAGCACGTCCACTGTACGCCAAAGACTTTCCGGACGATGGAGCATCGGAGAGGTACCGCATCGGACCTACAGTACAAAGGGAATTTTGGCGGGGCGAACGTTCCGTGATGAATATTGACCGAGGACCTTGTGAGTCTGTTTCCATTGAAACTCTGTATCCTTCCTTCAATATCAATATATAATCCACAGGGCCTGATGCTCAATCGTACGCAAAAGCCATCGTAAATTGCGAAAAGCAATGGTTGAAGACCTACGCACGACCGCGCCCTCTCAATGACCCATGCCGTCTGTCTGATGACGATGCATCTCCTGATGCCCACCTTGAAGCACTCGATCGTTTCCTTACCGTTCTACCCTTCTTGAATCTACCGGAGGAGTACCTTCCCCACAATATCTGGCACCCTGATCTTTACGATGGCAACATTATGGTTGAGGCTGAAGGCTTTCCCAATTTCACTGGCATAATTGACTGGCAGCATGCATGGATCGGTCCTAGATTCATGCAAGCAGAGTTCTCACGCATGTTTCTCTACACAGGCACCATGATCGACATGAAACCCAACTTTCCTCGCCTTCCCGACGACTTCGATACGATGTCACCAGAAAATCAAGAAGAGGCCAAACGTCAATTGCAACTTGCAGGACGACATATAATCTATATGATGACCGTTTCGGAACGCCATCCTTTACATGCAAACATTACCCGTCATCCTTGCTACAGGACCTATGTTACGCCGTTTAAATGGGCCGGACGAACATGGACAGATGGAATTGCCGCTTTCCGACACGCTCTGCTCGTAATGACTGACGACTGGAAACATATCGCCGGACCGGATGTCCCTTGCCCTATATCCTTCTCGAAGGCCGAAGAGGAGCGGCAAATGGAAACCTGGAGGCGAGTGACGGCTCGAGAGAAATGGGTAGAGACCGTTCAGGAGAAGCTCCATGTACAACAGGATGGTGCTGTTGAACCACACGAGTATGAGTCCATGAAACGCGCTGCGGAGGCCCTACGCCCGTACTGGAACGAAAAGGTCGCTGGTCCTTGGCCTTTGCAGGATGGAGCTTGGTCGTCGTTGTTGTAGATTACATCCATCTTAGCAGCTCTTGATTGTAGATTTGGACGGAATTCAATCGATCGAAATTACTTGGCGAGTCTCGTAGAATGTATATGAATCTCCAGTACTCGCGTGAACGGATATGGGTTCTTAGACGAGTACAAGTACAAGCAGTGTCTATCAGCGCAGCCAGTTTGAGACACAGGTCTCTGAGTCTATGTAAACTCAAGGGCGAAGGCTACATTTAAATTCAATTATGCAGCACATCAGAAACATCCCGAAAGGTTCTTCGAACATATGAGGAGCAGTGTAGGTGTATACAGGGGCCTCAATGGCGCTGTTCGTTACCGCGTCGTCACTTTCTCGCTTGCATCGATGACTCGATGACTTTCGTAGTATTTGGGACAGTCATATACAGTCAGCTTGGTTGGAGTAGGTCAGAACAAACCTTCATGCCATACTTCAAATGAATAAATTTTCTCACCTTTAATCATTCTGAGGGCTGACTAGCGCTGACCGTGAGAGAATAGCAGTTAGAACAACCATCTTAAAGCCTCAAACGTGCACCCACAATGCAACAGGTCGATGAAACCCACCCACATTCTTCAGAATCTTCTCCGGCGACATACTAGGTCCTCTACTACTCTGCGTATCCGCCCTGCTTCACCGAAAATACGATGTTGCATGAATACAGCTTCATTGTCTTCAGGCACCTGTCCCCAACACTCAGGTCGGTGTAGGGTTCCGTGAGTAATTCACGGACAGTTGTTAACAAATGTTAATAACATTTGCCTCTCCGAGGAATTTCTAACATGAGTTAATAACAGATTAATAACAATTGTATATAAAGCGTTATTAACATGTTAAAAACCGATTTATTTACATGTTAATAAAGAAAGTGGTGTTAATAACAAGTCACCAGCTCCGGTATGATTCCATCTCCGGTCGACCATGTTTGCCAGCCGAAAACTGACTTGAATTGTTCACTGAATACCCCGACCTCATCTTCGATCTTCTCCATCAGATCAGGGTCCAGAGAAAAGTTGAGGAAACATGCATAATGTGAGTCCTGAGAATTTTCCACAAAAGGCAGATTTGATTCTGGGGGTATGCCCAATATCAGGTGATGCAGTTCCGCGAGAACAGTCTCAAAGCTAACGTCATTTGACTCGGTGGACATGGCGCGAGTGGGAAATGGGTAACGGAATGTCCAGAGCGGGAACTGATGCAGTCCGAGACAAAATTATTATTTTGCAGGGAGAACATAATTGTACAGCCACAACCTTCAATATTTCCACCTGGCCCTTTGTTACGACTGCTCGTCGGTAACCCCAAGAGTAGGAGGTTCTTCCCTAGGTCACTCGTGGAGGATGTGTGGAACGATGGTCTCGACTGTACGTGTAGCACAGGAGCCAGAAGTGTATTGCGATATAGCAATGAAGGCTGTGGTAGGAAGACTACAGTGGATGAGGGTGCTGTGGTAGGAAAACCACAGTGAACGAAGGTCCCTGTATGTGAAGATACAGGGGAACGAAGAGAATAGACTGAAGATCGTCAGCCTATTCTATGGGCCTTTTATACTACTTTGGGAAGTAGGGCGTGAGAATACCGAATATGTATCTGTAGGTATTCTCTAAGTCGTCTCTCTCAATAACGACTACTCTTGTGCTTCTCCGTTCGTCTCCTTCCGGCCAGGAAAGACTAGGAGGTTCATGCCCTGCGTGTGAGTAATTTATAAGGCGGCGTTCCATGCCCGCTAATACAATAGGCCCGTGATACTCGACCAATGATTGATGATCCATTGGGAGTGGATGACCAAGGTTAATATCTGTACCTTGGTGTATGCCTCAACCTGTGAGGCCGCGTGATATTTGTGATGATCGTATCGGAATAGACCGCCGTGTAGGCCCGATAGAACGTGATCATAACAATACCCCCTTTCTACGTCCTATTCGCCTGGTAGGACAGCGCTTGTGCGCTTCATCGCCGCTCCATATACGATTTGCTTTCTTGATGCAACGATGGTCTCCGGATGCGACTTCCGGGACATGACTTCGTTTTCTGGGAGGAAGACCGACTTACGTCGTTTGATCCTCTAGGAGTTTTCCTTCTCCGTTGAGCTGTTTGTTTGTCGAGTCGTGAGGGTATCCAGGCCTCCGCTCTCTAGGATGTTGTTCCTTCACCCGTGGGATTGTTTCTGCCGCGGGTAAACCTCATCGCGGTCTTACTTCCAGCCCGCTTCTGGAATAGTATCAAGAAAGGCGTATGAATGCGAGTGGTGTGTGGATGAAATAGAAATTCTAGCGTGTGGGTTCCGATTCGTGTCATCAGGTTCTTCTTCTTCCTTCTCCGAGGGCCAAACCTCAGTGTTTCCAGGATAGTCGTCTATCCTCATGATTTTGTTGTTTCCTCAATGGCGACCGGCGGCGTCCACGGACAAGTAGGTTGATCGCTTTACGAAGGCTTAGGCCTACTTCTCCAGACTACCTTGTACCATGCCTAAGCATGAGTCGAACGGCCAAGCAGTATCGCTCCCATACGGTGAGCTCATCTCCGGTGAGGGCGCCCAATCAAAATCCCAAGCAGTATTGTCCCCATACGGTGGACTCATCTCCGGTGAGGCAGTTTACGGCGTCCAGAGTTTGTTTTTCACAAACGTGGGCCTATGGTGGGGAATACCACGTGTAGTGTTGGGTTCGAGGCAAGGATGTGAAGAGAATTAGACTTGAAAGGCGCAGCGAGGAACAAGGAGGAGTCTGACTCCTTTTCCGGGTCTGTCCGTTCGCTTGCACGAATTAGACATCAAGACCACAGCTGATATATTGGTCGGGGTGCAAGATATATCCATGACTGGCAGTTTAAAACGTCATGCGGGACGGTCCGTAGTTTATTGTCATTTCGGACGATCCGTAGTTTAACGTCTTTGCGGACGTCCTTCATCATCAACATGGAATACCTGTGGGGAAAGATGTTTCTGCACGCCGGAATTTCCATCGGTGATGTGCATAGGGCCATAGACCAGACTTTACCCGCTCCAGATTCCACTGAGGCATGATGGACGGTTTATACTATATCAAACCGGATAACTTGTAACGCCTCAAGGTTATGAGACCGCTCAGTTTAACGCCGTGAGGTAGGCGGACCTGCAGTTTAACGCCGTGCATTAGGCGGGCTTGCAGTTTAACGCCGTGCGATAGGCGGGCTATCGTCTGACTGTGTCCCTCGAGTCACGATAGGCTTTTCCTCCGAGGATGAGGGTAGTTTAATGTCATTTCGGACATTGTCGACACATTCTCGTCAAGGATGATGTCGACCGATGATCCCTGTGCTAAAAGGGACGAGTAGTTTAACGTCGTTGCGGACGATTCAGCACCAGAGTGATGAATCACAACTCCTATGCGGTAAGGAGCACGTAGTTTAGTGTCATTGCGGACCGATTGACACCATGGCGGTCAATCCACAACTCCTATTCGGTAAGGAGCAAATAGTTTTCCGTCGTTGCGGACGCATTGGCGGCCAGGGGATTGGACGTCAATGACAACCCCTAGGTGCAGGGGCACCTAGTTTAACGTCGTCGCGGACGCGCGGTATCTTGTCAAGATCGCCACGCACGATCCCTAGAACGAAGGGACTGTAGTTTTACATCATTCCGGATGCCCGTAGTTTACCGTCATTGCGGACGTCGATGCCATTGGCCTCGAACAATCCCTATGTGGAAAGGGACAATAGTTTAGCGTCATCGCGGACGTTGTTTTGCCACAAATATTGTGGAAAAACAATGCTTAGTTTAACGTCATCCCGGACGCTGGGCGGAATAGACTTCTGGGTATGAGTGGCCTGCTCTGGTCGTTCTTCCGCTATGTGGGCCAGATGAGAGTCGCGTGATCTAGTTCCTTCCTACTAGATTTTCGACTCGAGGCACGTGTCCTAGTTGCCTCCTGACTAGGTCTTGAAGCAGAATTTCTTGCACTTCGACTTCGAGACTAGACTGAGCGCTCCATGAAGAGATGCTTGCTCTTCCATGTCCCCAGACCCCTCGCTTGGATTTGAACCAAGACGACCCGATATTCTTTTACCGAAAAGCGAGTGAATATCGGAAGCGCTTCGACCTTTTATAGGCAGGGTTCTGTGACGCGAGTCCTTCCGCGCTTCGCCAGAATGCAACCACGCTCCTTTGGTCAATGGTAGTTTAACGTCATCTCGGACGGTGGGTAGTTTTCCGTCATTTCGGACGAAGACTAGTTTAACGTCATTGCGGACCCTAGTAGTTTATAGTCATTGCGGACCAAGCCTTTGGTAGTTTTACATCGTTCCGGATGTAATTTGTGGCCTCGCATCATTAGGAAGACTTGTGAGGTAGAGGCGGCCCGCTCTCTACATCATCTCATACGCCAGCTGTAGGATCCCCTAATGCGGAAACGATCCTGTAAAACGGGAGATCCAAAGTGGGACGTCCCAAAACACCAGTCAGACCTTGACTGTGAGGGTTCACGATACGAGTTATGCATCATAATTTCTTGACTCGGACTTGCAACCGGTTATGTATGGGCACTTCGCTGTACCAAGGCGAAGGGCCTGCTTGTCGACACCTACGAGTAGAGTATATGTCATGTAGAGGGTTCCCTAATGCGGAAAAAAACCCTGTAAAACTGAGGATCCAAATGGGACGCTCGATGCATCTGTCAGATTACTCCTTGACAGCGAGGATGTGAAAGGATTCCGCCGTAGGTCGTACGTGGAATTATGCCCGCTGTTGTCCTTGATTCGTACCATCATTTGAACCTAGGACTAATGGTCAGGTACTTCCCCTGCCTTCTTGTCTTTTCACAGTTTTAAGACATGCAGGTCCGATAGTTTAGACGTCATTCCGGACGCGGGGTAGTTTAACGTCTGTTGCGGACGAGGTCGTACAGTTTAACGTCTTGAGGGACGATCTTAGTTTTACGTCGTTGCGGACGATTGATAGTTTTACATCGTTTCGGATGCAATTTGTGAGGGGAAGGAGTTCCTCAACTTCCCTACCCCCTTTCTTCTCCTTATGCCCTGTTATTAGTTCGTTTAATAATCGAAGGGTCCTTGATAATCCCCGCCCCCTTCGTCAGGTCGATAGTAGGGGTCCGCTTCGTCGTAATTTCCGGGATCGTCTAGAGCATCCCATGCATCGAGCTCGGATCTAGTCCACGAGCTATTTCTTCGAGCCTCCGAATCAGTGCGGCGAGTTCTGCGGCTACTTCGGTTATCCTCTCTTTCGTGCGTACGAAGTCGAGCACTAGGAGGAGGCGATCCAGGCCGGTGTCGAATACTCCGGCCAGCAGTTGTTCCGCGTCCAAGGGTTGCCTGGTTTCCCCGACTCCGCCTTCCCTCATTTCTTCGATAGACGGGCGGTTCCTCCTCGTCGGTATTTCCTTGGGATAAGGGAAAACCTCGTATCCGGTGAGAGGGGGGAGTCGCGGTATGGCTATGCGCTGTAGGAACCTCTCGTTGTCTCGGTGGAGGGCGCTCCACGACCATACGCGGAACCCTCCTTGGATTTGGTACAGGCGTGGGATGTTCTCCGGGACGTGGTACGTTCCAAGTGACAACTCGGAAAGGGTTGGTTCTGCTTGGCTGGACGTTTCCCAATTCTCCTCCGAAGAGGAGAGCTGGAAGGAGCTCTCGGTTGACGTATTGGGAGAACTCGTCAGGGTGGATGAGGAGGGCTCAGGGTCGCCCGTCATTGTGGGCGTACCAGGAGGCTGTGTCCGGGTCGGTTTGGAGGGCGAGCGTTCTGATCTGGAGACTGGCACTAGCCAGTCGTCGAGGTACGTCGCTATGTTCATTCCCGGGTTGTCCTGCCGAGAAGTTAGCGAGTCTTTGGAGGGCCATGGCTGTGGCCATTTGTATTACCGCGGAGATGGTGTTCCGCTGGAGGAGCGCGTCCGCGTGTCGCTCCAGTTCTCCGGCGTGAGGATCTGTACGAGGGGTAGGTCCTCCCATGGAGCTGGGAATCGGTCCACTAGTTGGTACTGGCGGAGGTGCAGTTTCTGATAGAACTGGTATTGGTTCAGCTTCTCCATGGCTTGGGAGTTGAGCTGCCGTTCTTGCTCGAAATCCCGAGGGACCTGCAACTCTACTATTTGGCGTGCCTTCACTAGGAGGTGGAACTCCCACTGGTAATTGGCCAAGGCTCGACTGGTTTCGGTCATCAGAACTTTCATGCCGTGGTGCATCTCGTGAGGCCCTCTCCGGTGAGGGTCTTCGGGTTCTTTCCCTTTCCTTGAACTTGGCGTAGTCTTCGGCGTCGTCGTCGGAGAAGTTGTTGATATGAGGGGTGAGGAGGACCCCGGTAGATCCTGGTTGTTGAGGACTTGTTCCTCTATCAATTCGTCCAGCATCTGGTCGGTGAGGACTTGTTCCTCTTTCCACTCGTTCGACATCTGGATTGGCGACCATAAGGACGACATCGGGGGAGGAGTTTCTGGATGGAGACGAAGCATCGTGGTCGTCGTGGAGGAGCATTCGAATGGGGAAAGTGTTTGAGAGGGAAAGAAGGTGAGAAGATGTTTTTGTTGGAGTCCTTTTGTCGCTCCTTTTATAATCTTTGTTTCTCCTCTCAGGCTGTTCCCGGACGGGGTTTGTCGGGATATTGGTCATGGAAATCTTTCATGGCTTCTTCCGCCGTTCCCTTTAGGAGAGCGTAGGGCTCCCAGGTGTTGTCTGCTTCGGGATATCCCATCCATTTGACCAAGTATTTGGTTCCCCGTCCTTGTCGTTTTGAATCCACGATCATTTCTACTTCGTAATGTTCTTCATCATTCAATACCTCCGGTATTGGTCGCGCGAAGTTTTCTCCGTGGGCTTCGGTTTCTCTATATTTAGTGAGCACGGCGGCGTGGAACACCGGGTGGATTTTCCACTGTGGAGGAATTTGGAGCTTGTACGCCAGGGTTCCTATTTTTCCCAGTATCTTGAAAGGGCCATATCGCCTAGGGGCGAGCTTGAACTTAGGATGGGTTGTCCGAATATGGGTCCCTTCTAACCATACTTGGTCCCCTTCCTCCCATTGGGGAAGTTTCTTGTGAAGATCCCGGTCTTTGGCGTAATTGCTGGCTATTTGTAAGCTAGCAGCGGCTTCTTCCTGAACTTCTGTGATTGTCCTAATGCGTTCAGCTACCGCAGGTACCTTTGTCTCCAGCGCCGTGTCAGCTGAATAGGGGGGGTTGAAACCGTATAGCACTTCGAAAGGGGATTTCCCGGTGGCCGAGTGTTTCCGTGTGTTATGTGAGAATTCGGCGAACGGCAAAAGGTCTACCCAATTGTCCTGATGGTAGTTGCAGAACGTTCTCAGGAATTGTTCAATTTCCTGGTTTACCCGTTCTGTCTCTCCATCTGTTTGGGGATGATACGCCGTGCTAAGAGCGGCGGTGATTCCTAGCCGTTTCCAGAGTTCCCGGGTGAATTTGGCCGCAAATTGAGGGCCCCGATCGGACACTATTTTGGTCGGCAGTCCATGTCGATTGAAAACGTTATTTTGGAAAAGCACGGTTGTTTCTTCTGCCGTGATCGTTTTCTTGCATGGGGTGATGACTATGCCTTTTGACAGACCTTGATCCACTACCACGTTAATTGAGTCGAAACCTTTGCTTTCGGGTAGGTCCGTGATGAAATCTGTCGAGATGAATCGCCAAGGAACGTTGGTGGTTTCCAGAGGGTGGATAGGTGGGTGTGTCTTGTGTGTCAAGTTCTTCGTAGACTGGCATATGGCACATCCATCCACATATTCGTGGACGAATTTAGTCATGTTTTGCCACCAGTAGTGTCGTTGCACCATTTCCAATGTTTTTGCTCTACCCGGGTGTCCTACCGTGGGTGCATCATGATGTGTTTTGACGATGAGTCTTCGGATGACGTCGTCTTTGGGGACGCATATGTGGCCGTTGCGTCTGGTGATTCCGTTTTCATATGTCCAATGTCCCAATAATCCTCTCATCCCTTGTGGTCCTACTCGTAAGAGCTTTGCGAGGGCTACCCTCGTTAAGGCATCATGTTCTGATTTCGAGTGTCGGATGAGGGAAATGAGGTTTGAGGAGGCGATTTCCGTGGACTTTATATGCCGTGTCGGGGATAGATCTACTAATGTTTCGTCGGATTTGTTGAAAAGCTTGGCCGGGAGTAAAATTTGAGCTTTGTTGTCAGATTCTACCCCCTCACTTAGATCTGGACGCCTGGACAGAGCATCGGAGTGATTTGTTGATCCTGCTTTATAGCTGAGTGTAAAGTCGAATCTGCTCAAATAAAGGCTCCAACGGGCGTGTCGTCGTGATAGGTCTCGCGCCGTTTGGAAATGTTCCAGGTTTTTATGATCTGTCCAAATCTCGAAGGGGTGTCGCGCGCCTTCGAGGTAGTGATTCCAGTGTTCCAGTGCTTTTATTATAGCCAAGAGTTCCCGGTCGTGAACATCGTAATTCCGCTCTGCTGGTGAAAACGATCCAGAGAGGAAAGCAACTGGGTGCCAGTCGCCATCTTTTCCTTCTTGTAGGAGGGTAGCTCCATAGGCGATTAGTGATGCGTCCGTTACTAATCGATATGGGTGCATGGGATCTGGATAGTTCAAGACGGGTTTACTGATAAAAGCTTTCTTTAACCGTTCGAAAGCTTCTTGGCATTTTGCAGTCCAGTTCCATTTCTCGTCCTTTTTGGTAAGGTCATGTAGGGGGCGCGCAATGAGTGAGAACTTGTCAATAAAGCGCCTGTAAAAATTCCCTAGGCCCAGGAAGGAGCGAATGTCGCGGACTGTGCGTGGGATTGGCCAATCTTTTATCGCGTCCACCTTTGAGTCCTCCATGGCGACATGGTCTTTTGAAATTGTATATCCCAGATATTGGAGTTTTTCCTTGTAAAACTCACATTTTTCGGGTTTCAAATATAGATCGTTGTCGCGTAGGATTTGGAAAACCTGGTTTAGGATTTTGACATGTTCCGCCATGGTTTTGGAGAAAACGAGGATGTTGTCCATATATACGGTTATCTTCCGGGCTGTGATGAGCTCCCTGAAGATCATGTTCATCATGGCTTGGAAGGTGGCTGGTGAGTTGGTTAGGCCGAAAAACATCACCGTAGGTTCGTAAGAACCTAACGGAGTGATGAAGCTCGCCTTCCACTCATCCCCTTCTTTGATGCGTATATTGTTGTATCCCCATCGCACATCCAATTTGCTAAAAATGATGGCCCCTTTTATCACATCCAGTAGTTCTTGGATTAGTGGAAGGGGGCACACATTCGGGATGGTGTGCGAATTTAAGTGGCGATAGTCCTGTACCGGGCGTAGTTTTCCATCTTTTTTTCCTATAAAGAAAAATGGGGCTGCTGTTTGTGAGGTGGATCGACGGATGGTTCCTCTCTCCAGATGTTCCTTGATGAATTTTCCTAATTCGTCGTGTTTTTCTGGGCTCAGGGCGCAGATTTTGGGCACTTGAGGTTTGAAAGTTGGTTTCAAGTCAATGGCATGGTCCCAGTAAGTGTGTTCTGGGAGTCGCTGCGACTTTCGTTCGCTAAAGATGTCCAAAAATTCGTGATGCGCCTTGGGAACTCTTTCCTTTAGATTGGTGACGATAATTTCGTCTTCCAGGTCTTGGTCGAAGCTGGCAAATCCTGACGGTTCAGGGGCCAGTTTCCGAATAACTGGGTCCCGGGTGGCCTGTTTTCCTGAGGGTTTGTCTGGGAGATCAGGTTCTCCCTCGTTTGGTGAAAGAGATGGCTTGTCTTGAGCCTTTCATTTCTCTTCTGCGTATTTCCTTATGTCCTTTAGGAGCCATTTCCTTTTGAGGTATGCTCGTAGTTGGACGCCAAACGTTCCGCTGTGATCGCGGAGTCCTACATCTTCCGATAGTCTTCGGAGATGTTCTAGGCGCTGTTTTTCGCGCTCGTTGATGCGTGGTTTGTGCCGTGGCTCCACGTCTGATAACCGCCTGCTGTATGGCGGTTCTTCCCTTGCCCTAGTGAACCCATGTGGTTGCTGGCATTTCTGGGGGCACCGATCGAAGTGCACTTCACGTCGCCTCCACTCGATGGAGGGATCGTGGTATTTCAGCCAATCTGTTCCTAGGATAAGGTCGTCTTTCCCCAGATTGGAGATAAACATCTGGACGCGCTCGGTATGCGTTCGTCCACGGATGTCCCGAATGGTGAGGTTCACATCCAAGGCGGATCGGATGAGACCTGCTTTATTGATGGTGTCATCGACATTCCGGACGCGAATGGGGTTGTTGAGTGTGTAGGTGGGGAAACGATGTCTTTTGACCCAAGTTTCGTTTACTATAACCCCTTCGCATGCCGAATCGATGGTTGCCTTTGCTCCAGCGTTTTGACTCCTGTTTGATACTTTCACGTTCAGGCGTATGGGGGTGATGATACGGTCGTTCATTGCTCCGATACGAATACAAGTGCGGGCATCAAACTCGGGTCGTCCTTGACCCCTCTCCTTCGCTGGTGAGGGAGAGGTCAGGAAAAACGCTCCGCGTGTCCCAAGATTACTTCTCTGGCTTCATCTTCTCCTAATTCTCCGAGCACTGCTCCGATTCGAGCAGAATGACTGACGCCTCCGTCTCCCCGTCGTCCGTTAGGTAGCATAGTGCGCTGCCCATGGTTCGTCTGGGGTCGTCCGGATGGGGTAGAGTGAGGACGTTCCATCGAAGGACCAGGTTGTGATACCCGCTGGTTGTTGCGATGAACATCCTCTGTCTCCATTCCTCGATATATTCCCGCTTGGTTTCCCATAGCGGGTGCGTCGTCTTCTTCCTCCAAATCAACTGCGCGGTTTCTTCTCCCTGTTGTACCCATGCGTCTTTTCGAGTTTCCTCGAATCGGTTGAACGCCTCTGCGTAATGATGGGCAGTCAGCATTCCAGTGTCCTGTTTTCTTGCAATGGTAACAGGCGCCAGGAGGCTTGCCGTCATATTTCCGTTTTTGGCTAAGGGCATTGCGCTTGCGTGTTGCGTCAATGTCCATGTCAACAACTTGGTTGTTCATTCTGCGAGGGGCGTTTGTGGAGTTGTAGCGGGGAGAGATTTGGTTATGAAAACGATTCAGATAATCGCTTCGAAAGGAGGTGGAGTTGGCGAGGATGGCTTTTTGAGCTGTTCTGGCTCGAAGTCGTCCATCTATTTCGCAGGCTGTATTGATCCAGTCCTGAATCGTATCCTTTGGCTGAACTTCCTTGTCGTATATTTTGTCCATGACGCGCGGGTCTAGCCCGCGTTGGAAGTAAGGGACTTGCTCTTTATCGGAGATGTCGGCATCGGCGGCGATGAGGATGAATTGGTTGGAGTATTCATCAACCGTCATTCGTCCTTGGGAGAAGGTCATAAGTGCGCTTCGCGCCTTGTCGGTCTTGCCCGTCTCCCTGAACTGTAATTTGAACTTGGCTAAAAAGTCCTTCCAGGTGCCTAGATCGGTAGGTGGGTCTGCTCCTACTGATTTGAGGAGGAAGTTCTCCGCCCAAGCTCCCGCCGTGCCGTATCTCATGCATGAGAGCACAAGGGATATTTTGTCTTGATCGGTCTTGTACCGATCGGATTCTGCTGCGAAAAGAAGGAGGCATTGGAGCATGAATTTCTGGGATTCAATGCGGTCGCCTGTGTAATTGTCTGGGAGTTTGACTTTTCCTCTTCCGGGTTGTACTGTCGCGGAAGGGGTGTTTGTAGAAGTCGAAGCTTGTCCCGACATTTCGGCGAGTGGTTCGTTTCGGGTGTTGATCGGTGTTTGGTCTGGTGAGTCGGAGTCTGATTCCGAGGTTGTTTCCTCTTGCTCCGAGTCTTCGGGGATTACCGGCGCCGGTTCCCTGTATTGTGGGGCTAGTTCCCACTGTGCTTCTGTTTCGTTCCAAATATCCTCTTCTTCTGTTCCGTCTTCAAGGGTGAAGTAATAACGCCCGTTTCGGTATGAGCAGTTATTGTAATTCGGAGGGGCAGTTCCGTTATTGTCTTCGTAGACCCAGAAGTCCCCTTCGCGCCGGATAGGGCGATTGTTGTGACGGAGTTGGTTATTGATAAGTCTAGTGCCGGGTGGGTATTCCTGGCCTAGGTCTTGCTCCAGAGTGTATGCAGTAACGCTTTCTCGATGGGGGTCTATTATCCCCACCAAGGAAGGTTATGAGAGAGAGTGTGGCAGCAAGCTAGTGCGAGCAAGGTAGGGGCAGAAGAGTCTATTCTAGTGTTATGACTGCTCGTCGGTAACCCCAAGAGTAGGAGGTTCTTCCCTAGGTCACTCGTGGAGGATGTGTGGAACGATGGTCTCGACTGTACGTGTAGCACAGGAGCCAGAAGTGTATTGCGATATAGCAATGAAGGCTGTGGTAGGAAGACTACAGTGGATGAGGGTGCTGTGGTAGGAAAACCACAGTGAACGAAGGTCCCTGTATGTGAAGATACAGGGGAACGAAGAGAATAGACTGAAGATCGTCAGCCTATTCTATGGGCCTTTTATACTACTTTGGGAAGTAGGGCGTGAGAATACCGAATATGTATCTGTAGGTATTCTCTAAGTCATCTCTCTCAATAACGACTACTCTTGTGCTTCTCCGTTCGTCTCCTTCCGGCCAGGAAAGACTAGGAGGTTCATGCCCTGCGTGTGAGTAATTTATAAGGCGGCGTTCCATGCCCGCTAATACAATAGGCCCGTGATACTCGACCAATGATTGATGATCCATTGGGAGTGGATGACCAAGGTTAGTATCTGTACCTTGGTGTACGCCTCAACCTGTGAGGCCGCGTGATATTTGTGATGATCGTATCGGAATAGACCGCTGTGTAGGCCCGATAGAACGTGATCATAACACCCTTGCCCAAATATGTACATTTCAGTGTAAATACAATTGCTGATCATTATATACAATTTTGAACATTATTAACATTATTAACATTATTAACATTATTAACATCGACATTGTGCCCCCCTGGAGGGGGCCTGTTAATAACAGTGTTAATAACAATGCTAATAACACAAGTTATTAACATGTTAGCAATTCAGGGATTACTCACGGAACCCTAGCATGCGCCGTGCAAAGCTTCTCACTTCCCTTCAATGAACATGCGTCATCCTGCTGATCGTGACTTCAGAGATGAGTAAACGTTATGTTGAGTTCGATGTTGTTAGGACTGTGTCCTAACACGTGCTTAGCACGTGGACAGAAGGGAAGGTCAGGTGTTTCCTTAGACTCGAACTGTTAACGACTAGGACTGTGGCTTGACACACGTCTAGGCACGTGACTCAGGACATGGTCATGAGCTACGCACATGACTCGGACTCGGACCGCTTATCATTTACATGCTGATGCATGAACGCTTACATACTATGATTCTTCTTCTGTTACGATGACTGATGTCGATCATGATCGGTTCCTGATTGCATATTGCTGCGGACAGACATTTGATATACTTACTATACATGGTTACGTCGAAGAGCCGCGGAGTATGAACAATGACTGCGGCTTACATGCATCGATCGTTGATAGTACTTAGCGTTTAGAAGCACGGACCATATGTCCATCCCACCCTAAATAGCCCTGTACTATATATAGGAGAGCTGAGCTTCTTAGAAGCCTCAGCTCGTTCACTTTGTATACATCTGGATCTCAGCACTGCGCCCGGCGTCTGGCTACCTTCAGCTCACGCTTCGCGATCTCTGTCAGATCTAAAGAACCATACATAGTCTGACGAAGCACTGGATTCGTCTCATCACTCTTATCATTCTCTACCGCCTGCAACCTATCAAGGACTCGCTGCCTATCGAGTCATCCGTTGGGATCCCTCCGAAGTCATCTGTTGTATTGGAGAAGACTTGTTCATACCAGACGAACACCGACACGTAATCAATCAGCATCTCCTTCGACTCTTCGAGGAGAAGATCAATACAGATCAGCCCTTCTTGGAACAAGCCCAAAGACGGGCCGTCGTCTTTATTCGTTGGGCCGTCACAATCAGCTTTAGCCCAGGGAACCCCTCTTAGTGCATCATGTGCACGCGACTAAGCCTAGCCGGCTTAACAGATGTACTTGTATTGCACAAGGCTGCTGCCAGTGTGGCCAGGGCAGCAATATGCACATCCATGGAAAAATTTGCTGAAGGTAAGTCCAATTGCTGTCGACATCTGAATATGCTGCCAAACTTTTCTAGGCTCTTTTAACAAAGTGTTTCTTCTGTGGTTTGACAATGACAAGGAAGTCATTGTTCGCATACCGTGTCCCATTGCCAGCCTTCAGAATTTAGTCATTGCGAGTGAAGTAGCTATGCTCGACTACATGGCACATCATCTCCACATTCCTACCCCGCGCGTTTGAGGGACTTCAGTTACCCGGATATTACCGTGATGTGCACATACATCAGCCAGAGATGGCCGGTCACAGCTGGAGATATCCGGTTGTCTCAGTACCATACCTAGCACCACGGCCCAGATCCCTCTGATGTGCCTGGTCAGCCGGATATCTCTGGCATGGTGACCTCAGCATGCGGCCACTGCAGTCAAAATAGTGAAGCAAACATGTCAAGGTGGGGAATCAAACCCAACATCCCAAGGATCCAAACTGCTATTGATCACACAACATGACCACTACACCACGCTCCCTTGCATAAATTTAAAGTCCACTCCACTAAGTACACACAGTATGAACAAGTGATTAACAAAAAACAGTGACCGGCCAGAGACATCCTGCTGGGATACAACTGGTTTTTGGCCCTGTGATGCCAGATGAAAGCAATGAAGGGCCGGAAACATACAGCTCAATGGACCTGTAGAGAAAATTACATAATAAGAGACATCTTCACATATCGAATAACTCAAAACCCTACCTCATGCTTATCGTACTCCCACTTGGGCAATTACAACTTACCACTCGACACTCTACACTCCAGTATCTCATCTCAGTCACGTATTGTCACACGCAGTCTGTAAGTGTCAATGTCCTCCTTGTGACGTCTCACCTTCACTTCTTACAGAACATCCATATGGGTAGACCAAAGCACCCTGTCTGTGGCCCCCCACCCATCAACCGACCACCCTCCAAAGGCAAAACATTTACCAGCAAGATGAAGGGCAGCGATGCGAGAGACCCAAGGGGTGACAACCCGAGCACACATGATGCATTGCCCGGCAGCTCCATAGGCGGCTGCGCCAGAGACCTCAACGCAAGGACCCTCTATGTGGGAGGCATTGACGTGTTAGTCGGCCATGCCAGAGACCACAACGCGACAGGCAGCAATGCGACAGGCAGCAACTCGGTGCACGAGCATGTAGCAGGATGCGGCAATGCAACAGTTGGCCATGCGTTGGGTGGGAACTCTGCGAGCAAGCACATAGCAGGAGGTGGCAACACATTGGGCAGGATTGCATCAGGCAGCGACACATCGGGCAGGAACTCAGGGGGCGGGCACATAGCAGGAAGGATGGCCATGGTGGTCAAGGGAATGGTCAGCGTCCGGAAGACGATGGCCGCCAACTGCAGATACTGTGGTGAGTGCACAGCCCTTGGCAAATCATCATGATTGGCTCACCTCTTTATCCTACAACGGGTGGTTTTGTGTGAGCAGCGAGTGAGAGGTCAGCATAGGGGAATGTAACCTCGTCCACATCGCACGCTTAAAGGGGTCTCTTTCTCCAACATATATTCTTTGATCCCACTATCTTTCAACTCACATCCCTTTCTCCCCTGCCTGTAATGACATCTTCTCTTTTCCTTTCTCCAATGACACATTGTTTTCCATATCGTCCATGCGAGAGACAACATGCGCTCCAAACCGCCTGAGCCATGGACCATGTACATCGACCTTGTCCCGTCTCCTCATATTATGCCTCGGACCCGCACCATCCTCCCCCAAGTCATCCTCCTTCTCCATCCGCACCAATCTGCCAGCCACCACAAACACATCATTGCCGAACTGAATGGGGAACATTGTTGCCTGCCTATATTTCCATGGTGGGCTGACCTTATTCTCTCCTGCGACTGGCCTCTGGCGCATCCCCTCCTTCCGAGCGACCCTTCCTTCCTACCTCGTGCGGTCCCTTTCCCCAAGTTCCTATCAGCACAGGACCATGCCTTTGCATGAGACAGTGAGACAACCTGACTGCCGTGTTCTCATCTGCCGTGTCCCATTCAGTTTGATGTGAGCACACAATTGGCAAGCTTAATAGATCACGATGCCTGCATTCTTCACGCTGGATGAACGACACATAACGTGAACATCTTGTCAGAGTGATTCACCTTGAACACAGACCTTGGTGCATCGTCCCTAATTTTCTAAACTATACGCTCCCTGTGCAGTCATCCTCCGACGCTTGGATAGTCTTGTCGCATGGCACGCCGCATTCAAGCACACCAGGGCTGTTGAGCCTCCTGTGAGCCAAGAGGTCACCCCAGCACATGCAAGGTGGTGACTCGAGGGCAGGCAGAACCAGGCCCACGAACCTGTCAGGCCGGTGGGACGAGGACCCCACAGGAGGCAAGGCGACGGCCACAACCATTTCATACAAGGGGGACAGGGGCTTAAAGGCAGGCAACGCGATGGCTGTGAACATGTCAAGCAGAAGGGGCAGATACTCCATAGCAGGCAACGTGATTTACGCATCCGAGGCAGACAGGTGGGGCCGTGACTCTGATGGGGTAGATAACACGTACGCATTTGCATCAAGCAGGGACGCGAGAGACAGACACATGCTGGTGCAAGATGTGACTATCGAGGAGTGGAGTCTCCGAGTTAGTTCCCTCCGGTGAGTGTAGAGTCATCCAGCCCTCGCAATCTACTCACCTCGACGTCTTCCAGCCCCTGCTTCTACATGAGGGGGGAGTGATAGATTTTGGCAGGAGGCATTGTAACATCCTCCCCATTGTGTAATTACCCACAACATTAATGTCATCTGGTCCCATCTGTCTTGCCTCTCATTCGTCACTCTGCCCCATATAGTCATATTTCCTCTTCCGGTGATCCAATCATATCCTCTTGCTCTTAATATCACCAGAGTGAGAGCTAGCTTTGTGTTCTTGTGTCCTACAACACTCTCCGCCGGCACATTCCCTCCATGAATGCCCAACCCTGCATTCCAAGCATCTTCGTGCCATTTCAATCAGCAGTTCTCAATGTCACCTGGACAACAAGCAGGCATGCAGTGGTCAGATGTTCTGCTTACTACATTCTCATGTGTTGCGACGTTCACCTGCCATACCGTTGATGTAACGAGACTGGAAGCTCATATACCCGTCACTCATCCACATCCCATTGCACTAAGTCACCACTGTTGGCTTAATCTCAATCTAGTGGAGTGACCAATCCTATGAGTCTGTCCACTCGTTGTTTACGCAGAACACGCGTGTCCCACAAATCAGGATCTAAGGATCAATGCCCCACAAGCTCTTCAGCGCATCCAGAACCCATCTCGCCCACTGACCTGACTCTGACAGTGCCGCATACACTGTGGGTGAATAGGCCTCGCTCCATGGGGGAAATCATGGCCATCTTTACAGGAGGGGGCAATATTCTGAGAGCGCCTCATGGCACTGTCCTCACCCCATCACAGTCCCATTCATCCGAGGTGCAGCAGGTTAGATAAAATGAGGGGGGGCTGAGAAACAAGGCAACCCCATGACAAATATGCTCGTACACCCCCCACTCTGACTCATGATGAGTAGGGAGTGAACAATGGGTTGGGCACCCATGAGTCTCAAGAGATTGCCTTTTCACTGCTTGTGAGGGGGACGTTGATACGCTGGTGATGCCTCTGAGTGCGAAACACACCCAAGAAACACCCCTACAAGCGCAGGTAGGCAGGAGCTAGTTCTAGTGTGCAAGGAACTATAAGCTGTGCAACAACCAACAAGGGAGCGTACTAAAAGTGTTCGGAGTGTAGTGAACAAACAACTCCAAAATCGAAGTATTCAGTCGGTCAGTCAGTCGGTAGGTCGGTCAGTCAGTCGGTCAGTCGGTAGGTCGGTCGGTAGGTCAGTAAGTCGGTAGGTCGGTAAGTCGGTCGGTCGGTCGGTCGGTCGGTAGGTCGGTCGGTAGGTCGGTCGGTCGGTCGGTCGGTCAGTAGGTCGGTCGGTCAGTAGGTCGGTCGGTCGGTAGGTCGGTCGGTCGGTAGGTCGGTCGGTCGGTAGGTCGGTCGGTCGGTAGGTCGGTCGGTCGGTAGGTCGGTCGGTCGGTAGGTCGGTCGGTCGGTAGGTCGGTCGGTCGGTCGGTCAGTCGATGTTTGATCGGGATTTGATCGGGATGCAAAGGGAAGGGAATGGGTGCAAGGCCACACTGGACCCTGGCAGAGGATGACAAACTAGATGAGAGGGAGAGAGCAAGACGACGAGGGCTCTGGCGGAGGGCTGTGATTGAACGCAACAACACAAACAAAAGGGCAAAATGCGAACAAGGATTGGAAGGCAATGGCTCAAAGTCTCATGGACACAAGCGCACAAATGGAATCGGAACAAGGGGGGAGCCAAAGCTGGTGTATTGCAAAGCCATAGGTGCCCTTTTATAGTAAGTCCGAACAGGTACAAGATAAGGAGATCGGCAGAGGCATAGAGCAATTGGAAATGTGTGCCAAGAGTGATCAAAGGTAAAGAAGATAAGGGAGTGATGTTGCAAACACTATAAGATAAGAAGCAATAACTCTAAAGTCTAAATAAGTGGAGAGATTGCCAAGGTGAGTCCACATGGACCTGGAGATAAGAACCACATGCCACATGGGTAAACCATTTAGAAACTTGGGAGCTCTGAAGATAACAAAGGATAGGTCAACAGAAGACATAAGGACGATAAGAGATAGAAAGACAGATCCGTTCTGAGTCAACAAAGTGTTCGGCTGCCTCCGATTCGGGACACCGAAGCCGACCGAATGTGCCGACCATGTGAAGTGTACCGAACCGATCGGCGATCGGCCGCGACAGTCTGTGGGGAGCCCCTACTGCTGAGAGTGATGATAGATGGATAGGATGACTGTGAACAGCTCCGAACGACTGTGCGGAGGTCTAAATGGAAAGTCGGCACCTGACAAATGGCTGAGATTGCCGAACGGATCGGGATCGGTCGGTCCTAAGTATGCCGAACGGTCAAAGAATACTGAAAAGCTGCGAAAAGTGGGGTATTGGTGCCTAGAGCATACCCATGCTCATCAACGTCACAAGGAGGGGGCATAGCTGCTGATCAAGTATGTGATGGGAATGGCCACTTTGACGTTTATATTGGCATGCAATCATCTAAATCACATGAATCCTTTTTGAAAACTCCACAAAGCCATTGTGTTGAAGCCACAAATACCGGGCCGCCTGTCTGATGCAAAGCTTAATTTCAACTCCAAACGCTGAACGTAGCACTTACTTGCGTGCATAGGCCGAGATCCCAGCTATTCCCCCCCCCCCCAATGTTACTTGACTCCTCCATAACTCTTCGTGGTAGTCGAAAAAGCATAAGATCCAACACATCTCTTCTTCGACCAACATGAGCTGCTCTTGCCACCACATTTTCAGCATGCTTCAACAGAACCAATGCACCTTCAATACTAAAAGACCATAAGTGATGAGGCTGACGTGATACAGGGATAGAATGCACTCACTCTTCTCACAGTATTGCCGGATTTCTTCATTCTGGCCCTTGACAAAGTGGAAGTCCAACCAGATCCAGGATGGCTGTCTCTTGCTATCTCCCAGTTATTGATCCACGGTATACATAGTAAAAGGGACGACATCGGAGACTTGGAGTTCCCTATATGTGGGGTCTTCTGGCAAGAGACTGAGACTCACGAGTTTGCTACGTGCAAGCCTGTACCTCAATGCTGCAGCATCAATGGCCAGCTTGTGATTTTTTATCTTGAGGTTCATGCGCGTGTTGTGGATCTGACCAGACCCTGCCCATTTCTTCTGCTTCACCACATAGGATGTGATGACGTGAGCCCTCAATGATTTGAGGGCATCATTGGCTTGCTCTTGTCGTAATTGCCTCTTGACCTCTGCAGCCTGGGACATAGTACTATGGGTGGTGATCGCTAAAGCATAATTGGATAGCAGGTTGACAGCCATGGCTTGGACCCTGTGCCATACTGCACTCCTCAACAATTGGCTCGTTACGGTGCTGGGCCACTCTGTGTATAACAAAGCAGCATTACATTTTGCCAAGTGTGGACAAGCACCTGCATCATTGTGTGCCATGTGCTTTTCTTGTTCAATCGGCAGCCCACGAACATTAAATTTGATGGACAAGCAGTTCACTGCGTCACTATCCTTTATAGCTTCATGAATCACAGGCTGAACATATTGTTCGTGTAGCGCACACCACGTCTAATGTCATATCATAAAGCGGTGTCCCAGCTCCGAGTCCTCTAGCAACTTCTCATCAGCCAACTCCAACTTGTTCAGAAAATCCTCCCTACATTCAATGGATCAGACCAGGACACCTAGATAACAAGGATGTGACTTACCTGAGCTTTTGCAACTCCATACCCTCCGCAACTGCTCCCACCATCCCTGCGCCCATGGCATCTACACCATCTCCACGCCTCTGCAGCAAGTTTAACACTTGTCTCTGAGTGAGCCCTGCAGAGGGATCAGCGAGTGGTTTGATGCAGCCCACTTGAGTGACGGACCTTTGTTGTTCCGTGGCTCATACCGGTTGTGCAAGGTATTGTGCTGTTTTATGTCCACCACCTTCTCTAGCCAATTCTGTTTCTTGACCTTCCATTGAGCCAGAGTCCCAGGCTTGATTTGAGTTTCCAAGCGCTGCAGTGCATCCTTCACCCCGTCCACGCTTGGTCATACTTCTTCAATGTGGCCTTCACTGGTGTGGGCACATGAGGGTTAGACTGAGGATAGATAGATGCACAGGTCCACACCTACCAATACTGTGGGTTCATCACACATTCATGTCTGAGTGGTGATCATTGATGATGTTGTGACAATGTCCTGAGGTCATCTCACAAATGCTGCCTCCGATGTCATTCAAGATTGCCCAGATTCGTTCAGGGGCCTCGCCATCCGTCATCCCCACGCCGGGCAACCAATGGTATGAGAACTTATACCGACATGACACTTTGTGCTCCAAGAGATAAAATTTCCCAACAGCTGCCACTGTGGTAGGGAATCGAGCACCGGTGTCGTGCAGTGAGACGGTTTGAAGTCGGAGGGCGGGAAATAGTCTAATTGACACGCCAACTAATTCCAAAGAATTGTCGCCTAGACTAACTCAGGTTTTCCTTCTTTCCCGGAGCAGCCTAGTTGTTCATTGTTGAGGGTAATTTCTCTTGTTTATGTAGTGGTACCAGTTTATCTTACTATGCAAAGCTATGTGCCTAGGTTAGGAGGTGTATGGATCCTAAGGGAGTGGTTACTAGTGTGCTGTGAAGTGTGTTATTCCTATCAAGGTGCTGTGCATTAGGATTGGTAGAGCAGCATGAGAAATACTTTCCTGAATTCAGACTCTTTCCGTTTGAAAGAATCCAGAGGATGAGTGTGATGAAGAGACGAGACCAGGATATCAGACTAATAGGTATTGAACTTGGTGTTTTCAGAGCTTTTTTACTGATGCAGGTTTAGACGTTTTCTGACCAGATCAGACTTAGAACTAACTCAGCGTCCCATTTGGACTAACACAGCTTTAGACTTATCAGAAGATACTTGGTGCTGACTTCAGAGACTTCAGTGATTAGTGAAGACTGCCTTACAAAGTAAAGATCACTTTACAGGGCAAGAGCAACTTCAACAAGAGGGGCAACAAACTGCCTGCATTTCAGGGCACATGCACTCCTCTTTTATGTGTTTCTGGAGAGGCTATGCATGAGACCTGGATGTGGGTATTTACAGATGTATCTAGGTGCTAAAGATTCTAGAATGAAGTGTCTGGTCTAAACTAGAACAGAGTAGGCTTTCCTAGATTCCTCTAGAGCATGGCCTGGAATTATTCCAGATTCTCTATTAGTCACCTGAGTAGCTCTAGGTTCTCTAGCCTCTCGATTCCTCATCCGCTCACTAAGCCATTATAAAGCCTCTCAGTGTATTAGAAAGCGCACAAGGTCCATGCAATTCTATGAGAGTCTGGATCAGTTTGGTTCTACTCTGGTCCTTTCTAGGCTTCATCCGGTCTGTTAAAATAGCACCAAGGCAGCTTTATTAATAAATACAGATATTTTAAGTCCCTGATAAGTCAAGGTTTAATGAAAGACAGCTGTATATATTCACAAATATAGATCAAAATGTCCATCCACATCCTAAGCATGAAACTGGAGCCAAGTGAGAGTGTGATACTTGAAATGTAAAGACTGTATGAATTTTAGGGAAAGAAATAAACAAGAAACACTAGACTAAAGGAGTAAGAACTTAATGAATTATGAATGGGTAAAGTGTTCATGGCCTAGCAAATCAATGAAAGATCATACTTCCCACTCCTGCTAATGCTCACCTCGCAATCTCCAAGATATTGCCATCAGATGCGGGAACATGTTTGCGGTTAGAGCTGAAGAGAGCTCGAATGTACTCACCAAACATGTGATACATTGCATAGCCAAGTGGGGGAGGAGAGTTGACACAGAAAGTAGATGTCACCACTATGAACTGCTGCTCATTGCCCGCTCCACCAAAGACGGCAATATGATCATCTTGCCAGACCGTTTTGGAAAGAACAATAGTTGTAAACTCGTAGTTGCCATCTGGATTTCTTTCAATCACATCCACTGAAACCCCATCTTCCAACCAAATCCCCTCTTTTCTAGGAAGGACACAGACCTCTATTGATACTCCTCCAGCCAAAATAGGTGGCAGTCGAATTCCATCTTCAGCAGGAGGGATTGACATCATGGGTGGCTCATTCAAAGATGATGGAGCTAGAAGAGTATTGGAGGTAACATTGATGCAGTATGTGGGTTCATAGGGGATGGTTATAAAAAAGCAAGGTGGTGGGAAGACAGAGGATACATTAAGCAAGTCAGGTCGTGGACCCGATGGGACAATTAGTGGATGGAAGTCTGGTGGTGGCTGTCGCAGCTCTGTGTGGCGATGAAGGTGGAACAATGATCAAGGGAATGTGCCCCAGAGTGATGAGCATGCAGAGGTGTTGTTGGACATAATGTGAGGGAGTAATGCGTAGATGTAATTACCAGCAGTTCTTGAATCACCTTGTTCCTCAATTTCCTGTTCTTTTCTAACATTCCTTGCATTAGCCTAGACTTACATAGTTATTTCTTTCTATGGAACATTCTTGGAAATTACCCTGCCAAGGCACAAACTTGTTTGCGTCGTAACACTGGATACAGCTGGAAGGTGCCCTGTGTGATCGCCCATCCATGCCATTTGTTTGTCGAAGTGGATCCAATACTGATAATTGATGTCGTAGCCTGAGACGTGCAAGCGCAGTTCCATCCAACGCTTCAAGCCAGATGCCATCGCAAAATCAACATTGGCAAATCTGGAGAGTGGTAATATCAATCTAGGGCATAATTGCTAAGTGCACTTCAGGGCATACCTTTCCCCCTTTTGTAGGTCTACCCCTCCCCCCGGCAACACGAACATGTGTTGGGCACAGGAAAGACCGACTGTTCCGGATACATTACCCCAATACCCTCCATACATCTGGAAAACCACCCCTTTGTATTAAGCTCTAATTAGTTCTATTTATGCATAATTAAGAACAATTAGGATTAGACATTTTTAGCTTACCCTCCCTCTAAACCTGTTCTAATTAGACATAATTTTCCTAAATTAGTAATTATTAGGATTGATTATAACTTGAAATTTCGGAAAAATCATAATAAATCAAGTATCACAGTTTTCATAGCCTTCTTATAAAGTCATGTCTATTAGAGCACTAGTTTAATACCTAAACACAGAATATACCTTATAACAAACTTGCCTTCTGCCAGAGTTGAACCAACAACCTCATATATGCAAGCACCCGGGACAAATGCTCTGAGCCACTAAGCCACAAGGTCTAATATACAAACTTAGTTTAAACACTAGCTAAAAAGATAATAAACCAATGGAAAATCAATAATACACTTTATATAGGATAAAAATAAATTATGGCACTTATACAATTTGGACTGAGAATGTGTAAAACTATGATTGAGTGTTATATTCAATGGGACTCTACTAATATAGACAATGCTACCTGAATTTGCAAATTTGATCAAAAACGTGATTATGAATAATTAAGATCTAATAGGAGAGAGGGGTTTTCCAAATAGCCACTAGTGAGGTAGAAGGTGGGGACAAGGGTATATGTATGGCATGCCTATATATAAATAAGCACAAGATTGTTGGACATGATCTTAATATGCTTAGTGCACATATTTCCTATATGGCAGGCAAATATATCATTCTGGCACCATATACCAACATGACTGTCTTTTCCACAGCCTAATAGCTAAAGGAAAACACCAAGTTTGAGCATCTTCTGTATAACAAGGCAATAAACAATATAAATAGTGCTAAAAATTGTAATATCAATAGTGATGATGATTGTGTGCTGCACAAGACAGTATTAGCCACTATACTGATAGACAAGGTCTATAAGGCTGCATATAGCAGATTCCTAAGTCCAACCCACATGTTGTGTCCTATAATGACCAGTAGCAGGCATTGGCTAACAATGACAACTTTAATGATCTTGTGTGCAAGGACAAGGTACCTAGGTCTTCATAGCCTCTTGTGGCAGCTGCCAAGCTACCAACAAAGTGGCTGGGGGCATTAATGCACATTTCTCTCTTTCTATATCCCTTATAAAGGCAGCTAGAAAGTCAGCAAAAGAGCTACAAGATAATGGTATAGGCATATATGAAGGAGAGTAATATGCTAAAATAGTATAGAATGTGCCACATCTTTACCTTCTCACTGATAGAGCAGTAGTACTTACTATTTCCTACTAGTAATTAAAGACTTCTTAGTATAGAATTAGTGCTAATATCATGAAATTAGAATCCAACCCAATGCTCACAATGTGTTGCTCCTAATTAGGAAATTAGACACTTTTAGATACTATTAACACTTTTAGATACTTTTAGACACTATTAGATATAATCCAGAGCTAATACAAGAGGGTGTTTTTCTAAATGGATGTCATACCTTCTTTTTTCGTTTCTTATTATTCTGTGTAGCTTAAATACCTGTGGTCTGAGGGCGATTCTTTCCTCAGACTCTTACCCTTTGGACCACAGGTGCGCTCCCCTCTGTTCTTTGTATCTACTTAGACTCTTACCCTCTGGACCATAGTCCTGTCGTTATAGAGCTTCTTTTTGGCACTCTCTCTGTGCCAGTCGCTTCATTGTCACTGCGCTCAACAACAATTCCTTGTGTATTAGATACTAGCTTCAGCACCCCTGCATTAGAGGCTGTTTTAGTGTTGTGCTCGGCACTTAGAGTCACCTCTAGCATATCACCGGAACTCATAATATCACCCCCACATTCTCCCCTACCCCTGATCCACAAAGAATGCGAAGGAGTCATTTTCCCAGACAGAGAGTTGTACCTGACAGCCCCTGTTGCATACCTCATGGGGCTCATAGAAGGATTGCCAAGCACAAAGTTTGTCTTAGGACCTACCTGACCGGATATACAGAGGGCATTGGAGATTCTGAAAGAGGAAAGGGCTTTTATGAGACATGCGCAAAGGGCTTTATAAATACAAGAAGGGACCCTCATTGCCCGCATCAATGCAGGTGAGAGAAAACTAATGGGACTCGACCATACTAAACCCCTCCATGACACTTTTCACTCTGCCAATGACCCCACTCCTGCCACTGAATACTACATGCCATCCATGGCTGTGGTGTCTCATGCCTCATCTTTGGCTTCAAATGGAAGTCCGCTTTGCCTGATGCCAGGGACTTATACCACAGGCCTAGACAGAGGGATCCATAGGTTCACACATCCTTCCCCTCGTTTTCAAGCTGTCCCCCTGACTTTTGGTCTCCAACGTCTGCCCACACACACTAGACCCCCTATTATTGAGTATAACTCTAGCGACTCTAATGCACTCCCCCTTGTCAATCACTGCCGCACCCTCTGAAGAAAGCAGGCAGTCATCTGGTATAATATTAAACTGCTAGGGCAGATGACGGTTTGAATCCATTGGGCTGGTACTCACTGCCATGATGAGAAGAGGGACACAGGTGAGGTATCATGATGTCCATACTCAAGGGCTATCATGTCATGACTTGGCAGTGGGCAACGAGAATTGGTGCCCTAAATATTATTTTTCTATGACTGATTCTATGCACATTGCTTATGTTTTTCTTGAACCTTTTACTTACCGTTTCTGGCACTGATGGCCTAGAGAGGGGGTAATGTTATGAACTGCTTACTATATCCTTCCTGCTTTACCACAATCCATATAAGGACATGTAGGACCTTTCTCCCAACCATACCTCGCATTCCTGATCCATTGTTACTTGGTCCATGCTTTTGCCTGTACATATTTAAGATAGCTGTGGCACAGCAGGGAGGCCTTAGGCTATCCACTTCTGTCTAATCTAGAAACTGCTGTTAACTAGTCTTCTCTAATTCAAAGGCATTAGTCTGATCAGCCCTAACCCTTCACATCTATCATCCCATCTGTATTACCATTGATCTGTGGCCTAGGATTCCCTTGCCCCAAACAGCTGTTCATGACACCAAGTCATTCATTGGAATCCATTGGAAGTCATCTGTTGTATTGGAAAAGACCTTCTGGTCAATAACAAACATTGTCCCATTATCAACTAGCACCTTCTCTATCTCTTCAAAGACAGAATTGAAAGTAGCCAAGACTTTCTTATACAAGCCCAAAGACACACAATAGTCTTTATTTACTGGGCCATCATGATTAGCCTAGGAAACCCCTCTTATTGCATCAAGTGCATATGATAAGCTTAGTGGCTCAACAGATTGAGTAAGTGCCATAAATATTTTTCCCTAATATAGAGTGTATTCTCAATGTTTTATCAGTTTTTGGTAGTGGTATCTGGTATCTAGACTTATATTCTGAAAGCCTTATTTTTTAGGGTATTTATCAACTTACTTATAAATAAAAGAAATAAGAGATCAATATGGAAAGGAACTAAATGTGTAAAGACTGTCCAAAATGTGTCTGTATATTGGAATTACCAAGCTAAGTAAGTTAGACCTTATGACTTAGTGGTTTAAAGCATTTTGCTAGAGTGCTTGTAGGCATGAGGTTGTGGGTTCAACTTTGGCTTAGAGCAGGTATCTTGTAAAGTACAATTTCAGGTATAGATATTCAACTAATGGTCTCTATAGCTAAGCTCTATTAAAAATTCATGGATAACCATAGCAATAACAAGTAACCCTAGTGCTTGGTTGAGTGTTCATTTTTAGAAAATTTGAATAGAAATTATGTATAAGTAGAGCTAATTATGCATAATTCAAGATAATTAGCCTTTATAAGCTGTAGATAAAAGAGGGGGGAAGCTAAAAATTCATAGTAATAATAAGTGGAAACTCTATAGAATACAGAGAATTTCAGTATAATCAGAAGTGATTGTTCCAGATGGCCGCCACCTTGCATGTACTATCATTATTTGTACAGTCTGAGCTCTCGCGCGCTCCAAAAGATATAGCCTGGTAGGTTTTCTCGAAAGAGAACACCGATTTGTGTATAAGAACCTCCCAGCATCACAAAAACAAGAGGCACAAGCCGATTATAAGAGCAAGGAAGGGCACTATTAATCGAGCGAGCTGGTTTAAGAACACACGCAGATTCGGTTGGTTGGGTCAATTTAATTGTTTCTCCGAACCTCTAATTAAAGTCACTACGATGAATGGATTCTACAGTAAGGATGACCAGGCCCCATCTTCGAAGGGCCAAGGACCTGCTATCTCCTCCCTCCAGTGTGGGCGCAGTTCTTCCGCAGCGCGTTTCGTGGACTCATACTGATCCGGATCAACAAGGCCATCGTGTCGCAGATGGAGCTTCTCCTGAAACGTCTCTACCCATTTCTCCCGAGCCGTCGCCTGCCGCCAGGTTGCCATTTGACGCTCCTCTTCCGCCTTCGAGAAGGATATAGGACAAGGGACATCCGGTCCTGCAATGTGTTTCCAGTCGTCAGTCATTACGAGAAGAGCGTGGCGGAAAGCGGCAATGCCATCTGTCCACGTCCGTCCCGCCCATTTGAACGGCGTAACATATGTCCTGTAGCAGGGATGACGGGTGATATCCGCATGCAAAGGATCGCGCAGAGAAACGAGCATCATATAAGATTTATGTCGTTCTGCAAGCCGCTTTTGCAGTTTGGCTTCTTCTTGATCTTCCGGAGAGAGAGATTCGAAATAGTCGGGGAGGCGAGGGAAGGTTGACTTCATGTCGATCATAGTGCCTGTGTAGAGATACATTCGACAAAACTCTGCTTGCATGAACCTAGGACCGATCCATGCATGCTGCCAGTCGATTATGCCAGTGAAATTGGGAACGCCTTCTGCCTCGACCATGATGTTGCCGTCGTAAAGGTCAGGGTGCCAGAGGTTGTTGGGAAGGTATTCCTCCGGTAGATTTAAGAAGGGAAGAACAGCGAGAAAATGATCAAGCGCTTCAATATGGGCTTCAGGAGATGCATCGTCATCAGACAGACGACATGGGTCATTGAGAGGGCGTGGTCGTGCGTAAGCTCTCAGCCATTGCTTTTCGCAGTTTACGATAGCTCTTGCGTATGATTGAGTCTCAGGCCCTATGGAATGTATTATGAATAAATAGAAGAGATATCGAAGTGCAATGGAACGCGACCCACAGGGCCCCCGATCGATATTCATTGTGGAACGTTCGCCCCGCCAGAATTCCCTCTGCACTGTAGGTCCGATGCGGTACCTCTCCGATGCTCCATCGTCCGGAAAGTCTTTTGCATACAACGGACGTGCTTGCAGCTCAGGAGCGACGTCTTGCTTGAAGTACAAGCTGCCTATCTGCGAAAACCTCTTATCGGAAAATGACTTCTCCATACTTACAACACGTTCGGTGAGTTCGTAAAAATCGTCGCCTCTGATATCCATCCAGCGCTTTGTCAGAGGGACACCAGGAAGTCTTTCCATGATGATATACCCCACGCCAACGGAAAATTCACTACCGTCACGACTCCAGGCAAGAACACGTGGGGTAGGAATGTGGAGATAGCGTGCCACATAGTCAAGCGTAGCTACTTCACTCGCAATGACTAGATTCTGAGGGCCGGCAATGGGACACGGTATGCGAACAATGACTTCCTTGTTGTTGTCAAACCGCAGAAGAAACACTTTGTTAAAAGAGCCTAGAAAAGTTTGGCAGCATATTCAGACGTCGACGGCAATTGGACTTACCTTCAGCAAATTTTTCCATGGATGTGCATGTTGCTGCCCCGGCCACATCGGCAGCTACCTTCTGCAATGCAATTACGTCGAACTCGACATAACGTTCTTTCATCTCTAGTGTTGCGATGCGGAATAAGCAAATGTTCATAGAAAGAAGCTATGCACGCACGCTTGGCTTCGTTGTAGATCCATCGTTTGGTGGTGCATCCATAAAACTCCTCGTAGCCGTTTTTTGGCCCTGGTAGAGAGAGAAAAGCAATGGCATTAGGCTGCAGATCGATATACAAGGGATGTAATCCTGACCTGACGACAGAGACGCCGTGGCGTTGCCACTAGGGTCGGAATCCAGGACGACGTGGTCATGGACTAAAGACGGAGGGGCTGTACTCATGTGTATCTTCAAAGCAGGACGGAGGGATAGACTGTTGGGTAACTTCACATTACCACGGCGGAGGAGACTCTGGAGAATGCGAGTGGGCTTCATGTGCTTGCATCGTAGTTCGCTCGCGGTCTTTAAGAGTGAATTGTCCGGAATCCGCCGCGACTGAGACTCGCCATACCGTTACGCGTTACGCGTTACGCATCACAATCTGGCACCCTCATCGCAACAAGGTGATTATCTCCAGACAAACAACTCTCCGCAACAAGCAATGGATGTCGACGAGCTTGTTCCAATGTCGATGAAGAAGGCCTAGAAGTTGCCCAGCCGAGCTTTGCAATAGAGGCCCACCTTAACGGCAGTGTAGGAGGACCAGGGTGAGTATCAGGCGGAGGCATAGTTCAAGTTACGGGAAGTATGAATGCATGGGTTTCGGCACCAGGGTAATTCGGCAACACACAGCCAATGGGAATAGGGATTCAGTCGAGTTTTTCTGTGAATTTTTGAGGTTATGCTCGTCATAGGTCATCATGTCCGACCCTGTAAGCTCTGCGAACAGAAGCAGTGTATGTTACCGTGTTCCGTGTTCCAGGACTCCACGAGTGTAGTCGGACAAGTTGCCAAGTAGACATTATTTCTATTATTTTGAATGGCACCAAACCTTTCCGTTCTTGCCTTGACCAAACCCATTGTGGTTGCATGAGTTTCAAGTTGGAGGAACACAACGAACGGGGTTGAGACTGTGAGGAAAGAGGTGATACGTAATCATGCAGACGCGACGCGACTGAACCTGGCTGAACGCGTCGCGCGCTTGTTAGCGTTTTGGCTTTGTAGCCACACCGTCCCTGTTTGAGTCTGTCTGCCCTCCTTATCCTTGTCTCTCAAGCGGTAAAAAATGCACATAAAAACACTCACGATACAGGGCTTCAAATCTTGTGAGCACTCTCCGCGTCTTCGTAGTCATTGTCCTTACTCCAGGCTTTAAAGACCGAGATCAGACACAGATCGAACCGTTTTCCGCGAGGCATAACGTTGTGGTCGGCAGGAACGGTTCTGGGAAGAGCAATTTCTTTGCTGGTGAGTCATATGTCAGCGTTGAGGGAGTTTCCAAGCTCTGACTCTTTCACAAAGCCATTCGCTTCGTCCTCTCCGATGCATATACATCCATGTCTCGGGAGGAGCGGCAGGCCCTTCTCCACGAGGGTGTTTCCACCACAACTACCCTCTCTGCCTATGGTGAGTCCCAAAGCTGATACATGCTCGAGTAGTTTGTCATAGCCTATTCAGTGGAGATTGTCTTCGACAATACGGACAACCGCTTTCCCACAGGCAGGGAGGAGGTTGTTCTTCGCCGCACAATCGGATTGAAGAAGGACGAATACAGCTTGGACAAGAAGAGCGCGAGTAAAGCCGATGTTATGAACCTCTTGGAGAGCGCTGGGTTCAGCAAGTCAAATCCTTACTACATCGTGCCACAGGGCCGGGTGCGTGTTATATCTATATGCTATGTGCGCATGCTGACTATAGTCGCAGATTACAGCTCTCACGAATGCGAAGGACCACGAGCGACTCGCTCTTCTCAAGGAAGTGGCGGGAACGAAAGTCTACGAGCAGCGACGCGCAGAGTCTCTCCGAATCATGAGCGAGACTGACGCCAAGCGTAACAAGATCAGCGAACTCCTGGAGTACATCGACTCGCGGCTGACCGAGCTCGAGGAGGAGAAGGAAGAACTCAAGGAATTCCAGGAGAAGGACAAAGACAGGCGATGTCTCGAGTACGCGCTGTATCAGCGTGAGCTTGAGGATGTCGCGGGAACGCTGGACGAAATTGAGGAAGAGCGGAAGTCCGAGGTGCACGGGGCGAACTTGAGGAGAGAGCAGTTCAGCGAGCGAGAGCAGCAGATCCAGGTCCGTAGGCGATGCATGACTTCCCTACTAAATGTTCTCACCACTTCGTTCTTCATGTAGTCCCTGGAGAAAAAGATCTCCGAAGCCAAGCACTCCTATTCTACGCTCACACTCACCCGCTATGGTGCACAATCTGAATTGACGGAGCTCATCCGCGCGCGTACTGAGCTCGAGTGCGTCGTGGACGATCTACGCAGCGCAAACGACCGCGCGGGCGGCAAGCGCGCCGAGTACGAGGAGGAACTCGTTAACATCAATGCGCAGATCGCGGAAAAGGAAGCCGCGCTAGCTGAGCTGCTCCCACAGTGGGAAGCACAGCGCGCGCAAGAGAGTGAGCACAGGCGTGCGCTTGACGACGCACGGGGGAGGCTCAAGGCGCTACACTCTAAACGCGGGCGCACCGGCCACTTCAGGACGCGCGCCGAACGCGACGCGTACCTGCGGCAAGAGATTGCTTCCGTTGAAGCTCACCAGCGCACACAGACCGCTGCGCTCCACACCGCTCGAGAGGAACTGAACACTATTCGAGGCAACTTGGCCGACGTGGATACGCAGCTGCAGGGTATCGATGGTCGTGCGGAGGAAGCGAGAGCGAGAGTGAGAGAAATTGGAGAAGAACTGATCCGATTGCAGGAGGAGAAGACGCAGAAGACGGAACAGCGCAAAGATCTGTGGCGAGAGGATGCCAAATTGGATACGACCAGTCGGCATGCTCGCGACGAGCTTCGGGCGGCGGAGAGAACTTTGGCAGGCATGATGGACAAGGTGAATTTGGACTAGCATCGATGACTTTGTTGTTCATCGCTGATTTAACTCCCAGGATACCGGGATGGGGTTGCGTTCCGTGGATAACATTGCGGAGCGGCTCTCGCTTCCCGGCGTTTATGGCCCTCTTTATCGCCTCTTCGAAATATCAGACCAAAAATTCAACATTGCTGTTGAACTGACGGCTGGAAATAGGTCTGTAACTATGCTCCATTGTAACAAACGACTCCTGACCCTTCTCTTGGCAGCCTGTTTCACGTCGTAGTCGACACAGACCAAACGGCTCAAACAGTCCTTGATATTATGTTGAAAGAGAAGGCTGGCCGTGTCACGTTTATGCCGCTGAACCGCCTCAAGCCGAAGAACCCCACGCCCCCAAACGCGCAGGACGCGATCCCACTCCTCGACAAGCTGAAATTCGCCGCGATGCACGAAAAGGCATTCCAGCAGGTATTCGGCAAAACCTGCGTGTGCCGCGACCTTACCGTCGCCGCAGCGTACGTCAAGAGCCATGGCATCAACACTATCACGCTTGATGGAGACAAGGTTGACCGCAAAGGCGCCCTCACCGGTGGATATCACGATGTACGTCGCTCCCGTATCGAAGCCATCAAGAGCGTGACGAGCTGGAGGACCAAATTCGAAACTGAGGAGAAAAGGTCGAAGGAGGTAAAATCGCAGACACTTAAGATCGACCAGGAGGTCACCCGCATCGCGGGCCGGGTCCAGGTGCTGGTTAACCAGCAGAACCAGGCCAAAGCCCAGCGGGACAGCATACAGGCCGACGCGATGACGCTCTTGCAGGAGAAGGAGAGGCTAGATGCTAGGGCGACGCGGTTGGAAGCTGACGTGGAGGATCTAGAAAGTGAACTGAGGACTCTTGCAACGAGACTGCAGGGATACCGCGCAGAGATCAGTACCCCAATGGCGGCTGGGCTTTCTGAAGAGGAGGAGCAACTGATCGGTGAGCTTGAACAGGAGGTTCAGACATTGCAAAAGGAGATGGTGGAGATGTCGAAGAATAAGAATGAGGTGAGTCGCTTCATGACGTTAAAACGGAAGAGATTTAAGTATCCTACACAGATCGGCAGCCGGAAGAACATCCTTCAGATTGAGTTAAATGAAAATCTTCGCCGGCGTCGCGAAGAGTTGCGTGCAAAAATCGAAGCCTTGGGGATACCTGACGATGGCGATGCCACTGCAGCAGATGACTATGACGCTCGAACACGCGAGCTCAAAGCACTCAATACCTCTATAGAGTCTTTGACCAAGAAAGTACAAGGTAAGTTCGTGACGTTCGCAAAAAGAGTTGCAATATTATTGCTGAGTCTAAACTGCCTACTCAGATATGGAAAAGGAATGCGAAAAATTGTCTTCAGAGCTCCAAGAATCGCGGAACAACTTGGAAAAAGTCCAGAACCAGCAGACAGAGGATACTCGGAGTGTGGCGAGGCAACAGAAAAACACTGAGCGGTACATGGCCAAACGACAGCTTCTGCTTAGCCGGAAGGACGAGTGCAATCGGAATATTCGCGACCTTGGCGTTCTGCCTGAAGAGGCATTCGAGAAGTACACGCACGAGAAGCTCGACAGGGTAAGCCCCTCAATTCTTATGCTCTTCAAATTCATCTGACAAGTTCCTGCCATAGCTCGTCAAGAAACTGCATGCCGTCAATGAAGGGTTGAAAAAGTTTGCCCACGTGAACAAGAAAGCGTTCGAACAGTATTCCAACTTCACGAAGCAGCGCGATCAGCTCCTCAAACGTCGGGAGGACCTCGACAAGTCTGCCCAATCCATCGAGGAACTCGTGGAAGTATTGGATCAACGAAAAGATGAGGCGATCGAACGGACGTTCAAGCAGGTCGCGAGCAACTTTGAGGAAGTATTTGAGAAGCTCGTGCCAGCAGGTAGGGGCAAGCTGATCATCCAGCGGCGCATCGACCAGGTACAAGTCCCATGTTCATCATTAGAATGATAGCGTTTGACATTGGGACAGGACGAAGATGAGGCAGATGAGGCAGAAGGTATTCCGCAAAATACCATCGACAATTATACTGGTATTTCGATCAAGGTATGCTACAAGGTCGTACAATATCGGCCCACGCACTAATTTTGTTCTAGGTATCGTTCAACTCTAAAGTCGATGAAGGTTTGCGGATACAACAGTTATCGGGTGGCCAAAAATCACTTGTCGCTCTCGCTCTTGGTAGGTCTTCAATGTCACGTTACATAGCCCCACTAACTCAACTTGCACTGCAGTATTTGCTATTCAGAAATGCGACCCAGCACCGTTTTATTTGTTTGACGAGGTAAGCCTTGCCTATGCTGCATATCATATTGAGGAATATGAGTTCATTGCATCATCTAGATCGACGCGAACTTGGATGCTCAATACCGGACAGCAGTTGCTTGTATGCCTACTTGCCTTTTTCTGTCTTTCGCATCGAGTCTCATCAGTCCATGTAGCCATGATTCAATCGTTGGGATCCACCGCCCAATTTATCACAACAACTTTCCGCCCTGAGATGTTGGTCACTGCGGACAAGTTTTACGGCGTGCTGTTCAACAACCAGAAGATCAGTTCAATTCGGAGTATCAAGCGGGAAGAAGCGATGGAATTTGTTGATCAGGTCAGTCCGAGCGCGTTATTCTTCTCCTCGAATCCCGGATTGAAATGTCGTGCATTTGTAGGAGGCGCAAGCTCAATGAGGATTTTCATTCTTGTGATGACGTGTATGGACTTTGCTGTTTTCGTTATAATTGTGTATGTTTATGTATGTCTCATTGTCATCACTTTCGCTGTTGTAGTTAGTCTCTCGCTTTTTAGGCTGCCGCATCACATGTTCGGCGTCTATTTTCTCCAAATCAGCAGCTCCCTCCACATTGGTAATCCCGCCGGTGTTACGCCGGGCAGAAAAAGTGAAAGAAGATGAGCGATGAACACTTTCGGCTCACCCTTGATCGTAGTGGTAACACAGCATGATCTCCCTGTCTGATGATTGTGAAGATGCATGAATACAAGGGAGCCTAAACACGGTAGCTGGCTGCGCCGTGACCTGATTAGGATGCTAGATGAAGAACGCGGGCTTGCTGACTGGCACAGAAGCTGATGATGTCAAGCCGCAATCACATCATACGTTGTGGGGCTGAGAGCCATCAGTGTCACTTTCCTATGGCCACGTCTGTGTGCAGTGCAAGGAAGTTCACTTGGAAGTGTCCGCACTGGATTCGGCTGTGATCATGTAAATACTGATGTTGTCGGAACACGCAATAAACTAAAGTTTCTATTCCGCTGATGAGTTGGGAATCCCGATATATTGAAAAGCACACCCAAGGCTACAAAACAGAACATAAACTCGTGATCAACGCCTGGCCGATCCTCCGATAACATCACTTTCCAAATCCATGCCCCCGTCTGAAGATTCATATGTAGACAATCTCCGAGGTCGCCGGTCTCGCGTGGTCAACACAGGAATTGGCTGAGTCGCCGATGTTGGCTCTTCGTCTTCGATTTCGTCGTCACTATGGAGCGGGGTCTCCCGAACGGACGGCGGTTCCTCAACATCTGTGCGACTTTCTGCAGGCGGCTGCGGCGGTTGATGCTCAAGCACCTTCTCAGGTATCTGAGGAGAACAGGATGCCAAGTGAGAAAAAAATCACCGATATTAGGAAAGACACGTGCTGGTAGGCGGACGAGGTAGGCAAGCAGTGTTGATACCGCGGCTACAATGAAGACCGAGCGCAAGGCAAGTGCATATGATTCACGAGCGTCGCGTTGAAGCCTCGGGGGCAAGCTGGATACAAGACGAGCAGAATGACGGATATTCTTCCGGATCTAGAAACGAGGTCGTGTGAGCACAGGAGGGAGAGCATCAAAGGCTGTGCTATACCTCGTCTGCATCGGGCCCATGTATCCGACGCCGTAATTCAGCATCCAATCTTGACTGAAAGATAGCTGAGGAGACGCCAACACCGCAAACTTGGCCTTTCAACACTGGCAAGTAAGCGACGCCCGTGTACCGTAGACAGGACAAGCATCACGTACCAAGACCCCGAAATAATTGACCAAACCCAGTCCCTACGGCCATCGCAGATTCTTTACGTTGGGGTCTCTAAGAATCCATTTTATCGAGGTGAGACGCGGCACTTACGTGGAAGATGTGCTAGTAGAGCAACTGTAGGAACCCTGTTCAGGACAAGGAGAATATGTTGCGAACATAATAAACTTACTCAGCATGGTCTGCAAGACTACAGCATTTCCAAACCCAAGAGGTATCTTGATTGTGATGTCAGTCACCGCACTATTCGCAGGCAATCACGACTCACGATACTTAACCACTGCTGCAAAGGAGGCGAGTCTTCCTTCATCATTGTGATGGACACCGCAGCTATGAAAGGGAAGAAGCCGAAAACAAGGTTGATCTTCTTGTACTTGCCAGTGCGATGCATCATCCATCTATGGATGGCGTTAGAGTGGAAGACACACGAACCAAGACAACCGTCCTACCCGGCAAACATGGATCCGAGAGACATCGAAACACTATTGGGGAGGAGGTGCAGTCCTGATCATAAAATCAGCAATCCACAACAGATGATGATGGCGAAGACCGTACCAGCCTCAGATGCGCTAGTTAAGGGGACCGTCTGGAACCACATGGGGAAAAAATACATGATTGCGAAATTGCAATTGGCGACCAGAAAATTGTTGATGCCAACTAAGACAGGGATCTTTTGCTTCAGCAAGAAGGGTGCAAGCATGGGCTCTTTGGCGACACGTAGTTCGAAAACGACGAATGTGGCCAATAGGACAAAAGCCAAGACAAAAGGCATGATGACTGATGCATCTCTCCACTATACGAGCATCAGGTCGTGCGTGCATAAATTTCGGAGGACATACCTCGTGTTCTTCATTATAACGGTTACTCAAGAATAGAAGGAACGATAGTACCTGCCCACGATCGATGAATATGGTGTGCAAGTCAAAGTATCGAACGACACGTACCGCTCCCAACAATGTAGCACTTCCCCCATAATCAATCCTCTTTAGGACTTCCTTCGTGTTCTTGCTCCTACCCTAAGATAATTATATGAGATTAAAGATCACGACAGATCAGAAAAAAACTCACAGGCGTGACGTATTGTAGATTGATTGAAGTCAAGAAGAACGACAGCATAAAGAGCGGCATCTGCAATAAGAAAGCCCAGCGCCACCCGAAACTGCAACGACTGCACGTGAGATGCGCAATGGATATATTGAAATTCGAACGCACCGATCGCTAATCATGCCTCCTAGCGGACCCCCTAGCCCCATACCAAGCTACTTCTGATTGAGCAAGATATAATGTATGAAAGGTGATGATACAAAAATTTACCCCATTAAAAACACTTGCAACGCCTTGAGTAAGTCCGCGGGACTACGCAACTCGAGATATATTATCTCGTTCTATACATTCGAAAAACCTGCGTACCCTCATGCTGTACATGTCACTCGTAATGATTCTAAGATTCCATAGAAGGGGAGATGAGCGAATGAGTAGAGGCAAAACCCGATGAGCTTACGTCGCAGTTGTATAAATCCCTCCCCCACCGAGACCGCCAAGCTGTCCGAAGATGAATGAAAGACAATGCAAATAAGAGCCGAGGCTTACGAATCTCGCAGCGATGAGCATAGACATGTTACTCGAAAGGCCACATGCCAGCGTTCCTAAGGCTGCAAAAAATACAGCTGTCTGATTCGCACCTCGACGTCCCATGACGTTACACAAACGACCATAAAGAGGTGTGAAAGTACATGTGGCAAGAAGATATCTACGAACCGAGGTTAAGAAAAAATCAGAAAAATAGTTGTTTGAGCGCCTTACGCTGTGCCAAGCCAACTGGCTTGATTGGACTTTTGAAATTCAGAGGAGATGCCCGGGAGTACTTCCAAAAGCCATTGTTAGCTACGACATGCCTCAAACATTTCAAAGAAAAAATTGAAATGATGAAGCACCCTACAAGTGGGTAAGCTGTATCGAGCCGATGACCCATGCATGGAAGCATGCTTTCTATAGCTGAAGCCATGACTCTGATTTCCTCGTGCCAGATACTGCAATGCCTGTGCAGATGGTCATAACACAGGGAGAGCGGGTGCAACGGGCCATCTATAGCCCGTAGTACCTCCCCAGGTTCAAGACTCGGGGAAAAGCTGAGGCCTAAAAGTATATCGTTCGAGCCTCCCTTGCGCTGAGGTTGAAGAGCTTGGCAGAGACGTAAGGCGTAGATGACAAGATGGTTCCAATGAATTGTCATCAGATCCTACACCAGCGAGACTTGTTACAGGCTTCTGCGTGCGGCACAAAGGAGATTTGTTCGAACAAAGATGACAGAGCCAAGAGCTCGTGTACAGGCCTTAGACGAATAACTTCCCCACATCCTCGCGCCCTTCATCCATGTAGGCATCAATTTACTCACAGGTTGCAACCAAAGTCGCTGCAGGAATTGGATGTAAAGTTGTCAGGTCCTACAAGGCATGACACTCGAAGTGACTACATACTGTTGAGTGACTAGATATCATTCAAATAATTGACATATGAATGCAGGAGGGGACCGGTTCAAGCCAAGGGCGACGCACAGACAGAAAAGTCGCGACCCAAATGCCCGCAAGAATTCCTGTACGAGTCGATTTTGAAATTTCCAAGGGACCGGGTCGTTGCTTTGCAATTGTTGTAGATGAGAGAGATCTAAGATCAGAATGAAGCAGGGGATCGCGCTCGCTTTGCCCGGACATGACCGAACGCGAGTTGGTGGTTCAGGTTGAAGAGCAGGCCGCAGCCACATGGCGGTCCCTATTACGCATGGGCACGTGCTGCCGGGGTTCATCGGACCCGAACACAGCGGCGAACCAGCGCTCACCTTGCATTTAGTTTTCCTCAGTTTGACGGCATTCATTGCAGCTCGTGCTCCCCGCTCATGGCATAATTCCATAATTCCATTCGTGCATAGTGACTCTCCCAAGCAGAGATCTCCGCTCTGCACAGATCAGGTGTTGAACCATTCCCAATACGGCGCAGCTCTAACATAGTCTAACAGACAACTTCGTCCCTGGACGAGCACATATCCATCTAGAAGGTGCCCATATGTACGTTTACGAACACCGAACGATCTCTTGCCGTCTATGTAAATGATCCGTTTATGCAGGCACCAATCAACCCCGGTTATTATTGAGAAATTTCGACCACGAGCGCGAAACCCTGGATCCGGCTCCCCTCGATCCTCGATGGAATATTTTGACTCAAGATTTGATGGCGAAGAACGACTGCCGTTGACATTGAAATATTGAACGTTGGCGTATGAGACATGCAAACACAACTTCACTACACCTCTCACGTGTTTTGCAGCCCGTCGCGGCAAGTCGCGGCCCGCTCCGTGACCTCCTAAGACAAGTATTGTTTAGCGTCCCGCGGCATTGGAGTGGTGAGGTCCGAATACAACTTGCAGGTTCGAAACATATGTTTCACAGTAGCCTGACGGGCAGCCGCTAAAGTTTCGTGCAGCTTGACACCATCAGTCTATCTCGTAAGTAGACATACATTGGGTACGTGTCTTCTTCTATCGCATCAGAATTTACCTGCAAAATAAGCTTTTTGTGATACCTACAGGGAAAGAAGATGGCACGAAGAATGGGTCCCCGTCAACTATCTGATCCCGAAGACTCCTCGTCTCGCTTCAATGAATTTAGAACTTCTGGGGGAAGATGCCAGATCTGGCTCTGGCAAGTTATGCCTTTCGCAGAGTGTCATATGCTATCTCGTTCCTGTTCATACGGGACATACCGGCATTGCATTTGGCATCCTTAGCTCTTTGCCTACACTCAGCGAAAAATGTGGCACAGCACAAACAGCACTATTCTATATGTACTTGCTAGTAATGTACCTCAAAACCGTAGCCAATAGGCTTCATAATAACAGTTCCTAGAGACGCTACGATACAAAAGATTAGGAGGTAATAACGCCGCAAGGGGAAAATAAGTAGACGGCTATTGATTAATTGATTAGCATCACGTCACTTTTTGACTCTATGCGGTTCAAGGCTCTCTATTCGCTTCCATGTACAGTCAGCCCCTATGAAGCAATCGACATGCTCCCTTCCTCCCGCTGCGAGGTTATCAACGATATGACACCGCAATGGTAATACCTTGCCTCGCGAAATGATGCTGGCATAGGCTCGATCCGTTGTCCTTCTCTAATCAGTATCGTCGTTTCATTAGCTAATAGTCGAAATTCCTTACTGCGCATCGGAAGGCACGCATCGTAAAGTGTTGAGAGCTATCTAAACCTCTTCAAATCATGCTGATGAGCCGTCGCCGCATGGTTATGCATGGCTCGTGGAACGTAGATATGATTCCATACATAAATGTGCGACATTGCTCCGTGGAAACATAAATAGTGTACAGCTACGCTCGACATCTAACAAGTGTCATCATGATAGGCGTAGTATGTTGAAACAAGATGTTCTCGACCATATCAGAGCTCACCGCCCGTACTGCTGCACACAGGTAGGACACTTGCTTGCAATTTGAGGAACTAAGTTTCAAATTAGTTCGACATAATTTGGGCTCACAAGCGAGTTGCGCACCATACTGTTCGGGGAATTGCCGACTAGAGGGGTGCGTAAAGCATGGGACGCGATGAATGTTGGTGAGGAGCGAGGAGGATTCGGAAGACGCGGAGAGGTGATAAAAACCCATGAAAATTTTGGGAGGAGCAGAATAACGATATACGCACTACTGCCAGCAAGTGTTTTTGCAGGTGGGTGGGCGACAGTTATTTGGGTGGTTCCGGCTGAACTTGCAGGTAGTACTCTCGCATTCGATCTGCATTCCTGTCAGTGCTGCCCTTGGCATTCTGGTCGACGAAATACGAACAAGCTGCTCAGGCTATGAAACGACGACGGTAAGCAAAGAGCTGGACAATGGCAGGAGAAGGGCGGAGCGTACCAATTCTTGAGAATGGCCGCAGTACAGAAAAAGATTCTTTACTCTGACGAAAGAATGACAATTAACACGAGGAAAGGCCTTCCAAGCAGCGGCATACCGTCTGAAGTGGCACATGTTGCAAGGATAGGTAGACAATGGCTTGTGAGGTTGCTTGGAATGAAGGGTGTCGATAGTTAAAGGGTGAAGGCAAAGGCTGCTTTTATACTTGAACAGCGACGGGGAGCAAAGTCGGCGTACAGCTTCCCGAATCGGCTTCGGGGAGGCATCATATCATCTCGTCACTTCTAAGCTTTGAAACGGGGCACAGAGACATGATACCGAACGGGTTTATGCCAGTCAAGTAGCAGCTGAGAACTCGACTCGACTACACCGGATCCAGATGTGATGGCTCGCATTGAACGAACAACGTCAGCTGAGCAAGTTACTTTTCCTTAATCGTTCACATGAGGCCCGCTCCAATAAAATCAATATCCATGCGGACCCACATCTCAGTGAATGAGTTTCGGTCAGGATCATATATATCGTTGACGTCTGCCTCGGATGGATTTAGAAACACACCTGTTCGGCCCTGGAAACGACACATAGCCGGCGGGTGTGCCAATCTTTCGTATTCGATGCTTTCAAAAGCCTCGCCAAGCTTCTGGTGTCGCTATCCATCTTACCATGCCCCGCATGGATAGATACCTGAAAATTTGCGACAGGAGACAATACGTAACAAATCGCAGTTTGAAACCGTCATGTTAAGAGTCCCTGAGAACAGATCCGGACGGCCCAGCAAGGATACAACTCATCGCCACCATTTTGTTGTTCTGGGTTGCTGCGGTGAGGGTGGGTATTCATGTTGTGAAGCATCAATCAAAGGAAAAAGCGGTAGGAAAAACTGAGGAGAACCGACGTGGAAGATCTTGATGCGATTTTCTCACGGAAAGCCTGCGCGCTGCCAGCACCGCCACCAACCGTGATTAGTCCAGCGTCCAAACCGCGCGACGCCACCGTTCGCAATATCATCTTGGCTTTAATTTCCGACACTCTCGATTCGTGTATGTAGCTTACACATATGAACTAAACAAACTCCCCTTACTCGTGAATTTCGGCCGCAGGTTCATGGTCAATCTTTCGTCTTCGAGTAAAATCCGCAAAAAGGGGCCAACAGCCGGTAAATATATGGATCAAAAGGTAACATACGCTGTCTGTTGTGCTACTCTACTATCATCTGACACTTACATGCTGTTGTTGAATATACGCAGGATGCATCTTTAGCGTTAGCACTTTCCATTGGAGAAGCGCAGGAGGACAGAACTCGACAGAAGGTCGGGAAAATCAACAAAGCACAGGTATACCCTCTGTCACAGCTTGTGATCAGGTCGAGCAAGTACTTACGGCCGTTCCTGTGCATTGATAGAAGGCACCGAAGGATGACCGTAAGACGAGGAGCGCTGCGCAGACTAAACTGGTACGTAATTGTGCTCCATGATGTTACCTTGAATGGTGTTTCACTCTTAACTCTCGATTCATGCAGAAGGACGCCACAGCTATCTTACTGGCTCGGAAATGCGATGCGAAGAAGGCGAAGACGAAGTTGCGAAGAGAATCAAAACGGAAGCAATCGCGCGCTAACGCAGTTGACATCTCGGTTTCCAATGATGCGCAGAGTACGCCAATCAGGAAGAAAGTCTCGTTTGCATAGACCGTCGGCTCATTTCACAAGTCTGCTTCGTGACGATCGCGTTGGTTGGATGCTTCTGATACCACCCGTGCTGTATGACAATTTCGTCAACTGATTCCCGGCAAATCAGTCACGGAAAGGCAGGATCAATCAAATACAAGCTGAGTACGTCTTTCTCAGGTGCTCTCTGAATTTGAACCGGAGGACAAAGCTCTCGTTCTACCTTTGCAAACAGCAGTTTTTTAATGGCGTGCTCGATTGATCTATAATCAGGCGACACCCTCGGTGACAGGTGAAGCAGATGCTAAGACCCGTATGGGCGCACAAACAACTGCAATTACTATGCCGGTGGATCTTCCATCCCCAAAGCGATTCACGCGATACCTTCCATAGGTCCTCATCCCAGACTGAGCAGCCCTCAAACTCCGATAGGTATTCTTCGATGAGCAGGTTGTTTCTGGTAGGCAAGAGGTTCTTCCTTCAAACGCTCGCTCGATAGCATGGAGTCATCTTCAAGCGCATCTCGCGGGAGGTAATACCCTGCTCCTCATGTCTGTGCCGTCCGGAGGAGAACTCGCCACCGTAATGCAATAATATTCACGTCTTCAACTTTGCTGTATTTTTCTGCGGCATCCTCGAAATTCTCGTCGAGACCCTTCCGTCACATTGTCTACCCTATCGCACAATACATGTCCGTACAAGACTCTATTGCCTTCCATGCCTGCCGCCTCGTGTACTGTCGTTCCCTTTCAGCTGACGATTTCAGCGACTTAGAATGGGGATATCACGTCTTGCAACGCTGCAACACACACTCCCCAGAGTCTAATTCTACATGCAAAATTGTGAGGCCCCACACTTCGACATCGCAGGAACTAAATATACATGGAGCCTGATTTTCCTGACTCAGGAGGACCTTCCTTCCGTCATTCTCTCTCTATGACTGTTACTCTTTATCACCGAAGTTGTCACTTGTTGTCGTCAACCTTGTAATTGTGCGCTGCTCAATAATTGCCTCCCTGCCAATCGGAATTGTTCCGCTGCATTATGGCATATTCCAAGGACAAGTTCTATGAAGACCACGGCTGTGGCACGGGCAGTGCACCCCAAGTCCGACTAGGACGGTGCGCTCTGCTCTATGTTGTCTGCTTACTGGAAGATCGTGATTGCGTCTTCAATGGCATTCAACAGGCTCCAGTAATTGCATGAGTTAGTTGGGATCCGCCAAATTTTTTGCCACAGCTTGGAGACTCAGTCACTCCTGGCCACTCATACTTGTTGTGATTGCTTTACGAGCTCTGAGTCGAATAAGTTGAAGGTCTCGAATTTACTTTTCCTCGATGAATAGATAAGATGCAGTCAACTGTGCAGGTTCAGATATTTTAGATAATGGCTACTCTTGACAAATACGAATGCTGCATGACGGTCAAGCGCTCGCTCCAGCGCAGTTGTACGTCGAACGTCAAACTCAGTGTGGTCTATGAATACGAATCTCATGAGTTTCATCAGCGCTTCATCTTGCAACCATGTCGCATTGTAGCAACTGAGTCTCGACACATTCTAGTACACCATGATCCCAGAGCACTTGATAAGGTTGGAAAGCTACTCTAGAAATGTTTTGTTTTGTTTTGTACGAAGCGTAAGGAAGCATGCCGTGGGAGGTCGTGGGAGGTCGTGGGAGGACGGTGGTCACATGTTACAGACTGGTTTGGGTTTGAATCGCTTACCGACGCCACAACTTGTATTGTTCCTGTAACTTATCTCTTCACCTGGTCATTTCTGGAGTGAGGTCCTTTTTTTCTCGAAAGAGAACCCGTCTGACAGGACTTCAGGACTTCGGGTGGAGTTGGGATTGTGTTGGTTATTCTCATTGTTCAAAAGCCTTGTGGGCCGTCTTGGAATATAGATATTCAGAAGGTCGAACGACAGTGCGCCCTCAGTTGGAGAAATGTCAATCTACACGCCTATCTTTCCACCAGTTCCCGTTTCTGTCCCTTTTTCTTCACCACCGTCTTCGTCGAACGCGACCTCTTCATCAACGCCATCCTCATGGATCACCCTGCTTTCCCAGCGGCATATCGCACTAGCCGCTACCCCATTAGAATTATGCCCTCCCTCTTCGCCAAAGCTGGACGAGAATCATGTTGACGAGATTCGCCAGAAGATCTGCGATGCTGTGAAGGCTTCAAAGGGCGATGCATCAATGGGGAAGTGGGCACATGTCGCAAGGTTAACCAAGCTGGGGTGTACTAGGGGACGATGGCAAGGTGCAGGGATGCGCCATCTTGAGCCAAAGCCAAAGGGGGATAGGGAATGGTTTCTTGCAGAAACAGACGAGGAGTGGGTGGCTTGGGAGAAGAACAGAAAAGAGACTGCGACGCAAGGAGAGAAGAGAGAGAAGACCAAACAAGATGAAATGGAGGAGACAGTGCGTGAACAGGTTGCTAGGCCCCCGTCTCCTCAGGTTACTCTCAGCGAAGAGATTGCCACGGAAGAGAAGAACGACGCTGGCGGTGCCCCGGCCTCACAGGCCAGCGATGTAGGACACATGAAGGGGGTCAAGGGCAAAGGTAATAGCGATGTATCAGAGCGCCCGACCCCTCTCGGGTTTCCGGTCGTGAAGCGCGCCGCTACACTCTCAAAGAAGGGTTCCGGAAAGCAGACTACATCCCCGTACTTCAATAATTCTCGAAACGTAAACATTCCGGGGCCGTCAGAAGCTCAAGTCGACCCTGCTCCCAAAATCTCTCAGTTGCCAAGTCCTGCTCCGAAGGACACGCCTTCGCTACCGGTCAGCGACATTGGCCCCACTCCCATACCTGGACCCGGCTCGGGGCCGCGGCCTGTAGTAAGAGCTCAGCGGATTGATGATGTCTCCGAGGTATGTCAAATTACCTCGTGTGGCAGCATTTCTGACATCACAATGAAGATTTTCTTTCCCCCGTCGTTCCCGTCTCATCTTCCTACATCAACACCGCTGGCCCCCATCCCTTGCGCACAACCGAAGACCAAACCTCCTCCCATCCCCATCGTTGAACCGCTTTTTCTTTCTTCGCCTCTGTCGCAACCCGACTATGCGACCATCGCAATCTCATCATCGCCGTCCTCCCCGGTTTCTCGCAAACGTCCACACTCATCCAGTCCCACGCCAGTCTCTGCACGGGCGTTGCATTCCATCAAGAAACAGCGCTCAGTGAGTAAAACACCGCCAACAAGCCCCCCACCGCCCATCGCGCCAGAGGAGTCTGGTAATGGTCTAGGCAATGCTAAAGGCCTACCACTGCCTACAACCCCTGATAAACAGGCACTGCCAACGCTTTCGCAGCTTCTCGCATCGTCTCGACGGTCCAGACCACGGCCACGACCACCATCACGCAAGGGGTCATCGGTTTACGGACATGACGAGACTGACGATTCGAAGCGCAAGGGCAAGAGCAAAGATCTCGGCCGACCGCTAACGCCACCCTCTGGCACTAGAACTTACTTTTCCTCGCCGGCCTCGGGCTCTTCGTCGGAGGGTTCACCACAGCTCCGTCCAACGTCCCCTCCATCTCCCCTCTTCCCCGATTATACGGTACATCCGTCGGGATTTGCTCCCGACCTCATCTCAACTCAGCCAGGTGCGGCCGGTACGCTTGAACGCAAGAATAGTAGTGGGTATCTCGGGATGGGGTATAATTCGCAGTTCGACGTGGAGGGAAATATCGATAGGGTCTCCGAGCTTCTGGAAAGAGACGTAGACTTTGGAGCGTGGTTGAGGGATATACCGCCGTTGGATGAACAGGACAACATCGCTCACCCGGATAATGCGGATGTCGAACAATAAGCGGTGACAAATGCAAGCGCGCACCGTTGTATGAATTATTAGATACTGTCGTGGTCATTCTTACTCTATTCTTCAGTTATTGATTCATGTACTGAGTCCGTGATTCGCTGATCGCTTCAAAATTCTCCTTGATTTGATCTGGTCCTTACCTGTTGGCTGAGCGCTATTCCTTGATTATGGCCACTCGCCTCGGTCATATTACATGGATTTTACTTGATCAAGCTGTTGGGTGCTTGTCAACTCTACTGTTCCTATCTGCACCCATGCCGAACGCTTGATCTTTTCTATGTTGTTTGTTGGGCATCATGATCCTTCGTCTTCCTCCAACCAGGGTTCACGATGGTTAAGGTTCGGTGCCTCTACCGCTCACGTGAGTGACGCACGTGAAACGGCTGTTGTTTTCGGCATTCGCGCGTGTCTGGAGGCTGCCACAGCCCATCTCCCCTCTCTGCTCGCCGTGGGGCATGATGAGCAGGCGCGAATCGCGCGTTTCAATTAATTTCCGACAGAATGATGCACTCCTGGAGTTTGAGAACTGTACGTGCCTCTACACAACGTCAGAGCCCTTTTGATCAGTGTGAACTTACGCGGTGGCACGATCGCTCCAGTCAAGAAGAAATTCCTGCTTGCCAACAAGCATATAACGAAGTAAGTGATAGCTTTGTTTGTCCTGACTGGGGCATAATTGCGTTCCTGTCTTCAGGCTTAATTCGACGTTGAGCGTTCGAATTGAAGAACTCAACGCGCAAATATCAGCACTGTACGTCGAGAACCTCCGTCTTCGAGCATCCGAGATTGCGCTCGCAACACAACTGAAGAAGGAGAAAGAGAGGTCTCAGAGAGTTATATCAGATGCAGAAACCGCCGTACGCCTTCAATATCAAGACTCTCACCTTTGAGAGTCTCGTTCATGACGCATATGCCCAATTATAGACACACGCGCTCCTGAAACACTTTGGAGTCATTCGCAAGAATTTCAGCATACCACCCAGAAAGCCTTCATCGCCCTCGAAACACACGCAGCAAGCAAAACAACCACCACGCAAGCCGATCCTCGACCCTGACGCTTCTCCCCATGTCAATCGTCTCGCACGAGCTCCTGACTTCCCCGATATATTCGAAGCGGATGAGGTTGTATCTGATGCCGATGATATAGATATGGAGTCAAGCCCATCACCTGTAATGCGACGTAAGAGATCCCGGTCAAGCTCGTCTGTGACGTCTCGCCTTCCTGTTCCCTCCCGAGCTTCGCCACCACCGCCCCCGCCAATCGTCGCGACGATCCACGTGGACGTCGATGAACATCTGCTGGCTCTCGGAAAGAAGAGAATCTCAAGACGACAAAGCGGTTTACTAACTGTGAACACGACGCCAATGGCCGGATCGTCGCGGTCCTCGTCTAGATCCGAAGCGTCGTCTCCTCGTCCTCCAAGTCCCGCATTCGGATCACCAGCTCGGCGAGAGGCAGGGCTTGCAGAAGAGAAGGAGGAGATGGCAGCTATGAACGGCGAGATCGACATAGCTCAAGAAGATGTAGAAGAGGAATTAGAGAGGACTCTGAGGAAAGAGCGGAAGCGGAAGTCAAAGCTGCGGGAGATCGAATCCCCTCCGGAAAATGTGAAGTCAAGGCACCGGGAGAAGAGGAGAACAATAGACGATGATGAATTCGGTGGGTCTCACGTTGCGGAGAGGAGCAAGTCGAGGTTGAAGGATGTCACAAATTCCTCAGGGAGCAGGTCCTCTCTTCATCCGATCGATATGCATAATTTGGGTGAGTCACTCCATGTGTATATTTGTCACAACAAGATGCTTCCCCCGGATGTACTATCTTCTTACCCGTCTCTGCATCAGCAGATCGCGAACGGCAGCGGAGCCCAGATACTGATGTACCATCTTCTGCTATGACCCAAACGTCGACATCGACACGACCATTATTATCAACTCCTGCTACCACGCCAGCACCATATTATCTCCCGACGCCGAGGAGCTCCAGCCCAACGCTATTTATGGATCCCGAAATGCCAGCTCCAGGGGGGCGGGAGAAACGTACGCGCAAGAGCATCAATTATGCTGAACCGAAGCTCAATACGTCTGTGTCTTCACGTCCACCGATGCAAACGATGGACCTCTTACGTTTTATCTTGTACAGTAAAATGCGCAAACCGGAACCGAACCCCACTTCCAAACGCGCGTCTACGTCATCGCAACAGAACCCCGATAACATCCCTCGATCATCCCTCGACGCAGCGCCCATTGATTATACGACTGAAGGGGAGCCGAGCATCAAACGTCGGAAGTCCCGACCGCGCCTCCCACCTGAAGAAGAGGACGAAAGTGAAGGTGCACAGGCTGACGCTGAATTTGCATCGGGGATGAGCAAGTCGAGCTGGGTGAACACTGAAGGCCGACGGCGTAGCTCTCAATCAGGTAAGCGCCTCGTAGAAGGCGATGGGGGCCGAAGACATAGCATGGCGGTTTGAGATGTATGCTGCTCTAACAACTGCACCCGGTGACGTGCTACTCGTAGGGCCTTTGACGCCATGTCGTGGATGCAACTTCTTATTCTTCTTTTACATACCTTTATGAACAGCATCTTAAGTTTTCTCTTTTAATTATATTCTCTGCGCTTGCGCGTTCATAATTTCGCAGATTGGCAGTCAGCGGAAGGTGAATATGACCAAAAAGGCAATTGCTGCCGCCTGGTTCCAGTCCCCTCTTCTCATCTGAGCTCATACTGCACCGCTTTATCGTCTTAGAACAGACAAACTGGAATTTCGCTGGATTCTATGTACACAACCGGATTGCTAGAACTCACTATCCTATCAGACGATTTACTGCCATCTTCGTATATCTCCACCTCAGCATCGTGTCCCTACGACGATGGCTCCGCTTGCACACTTGGGCAACAGGTTAACTTCTCATCAGATCGCTGAGCTTTGCGAATTCTGGGCTTCCGAACAGGGTGTCCCCTCCCTTGAATCCCGCCGTGCGTGGTCTTTAGCCCATCAAATAGACCCCTCGATCGTCAACAAATGGTTTTCTCGCAAAAAGCGTTCTGCCAACAAATCAAAAACCATGTCTAATTCTGTCGACAAAGATAATGTACTTGTGTCCACTCATGCTATGTCTAACGATATCCTCGACGAAAAGCTATCTGCTGATCAGCCAAATAGCCAAAGGAAGCCACTTCTCGTGGATTCCACTGATGAGCCGTCTCACATCGATTTGCCTTTGACGCAGGAGTCTTTAGCAAATGATATACTTCCTCTCTTAACTCTGGAAGGCGACAGCACTTGTACAACTGTCCCTGCTAATACTGCCGTAAACTCCAATACCTTGACGCCACCATTATTCGCATATACCCCACTGAGTGTTCTTCAAGAGCCTGAACCAGCGTCACTGCCTCGCGATCTTGATGACTTCCATGACAATCTATGCCTTCCGAGTCGCATATATTTGGTCTCTCAAGAAGGAGAAATTTACTGTGACGATGGGGCGATCAGCCAACCTTCATCCCCATACCACCCTCCTCTCTCCTCGTCACCCTTTGTCGATGACTTCCCTGGATGGAACGACGGGTATTCATCGAGCAATATATCTGACCGCCATCTTCCAGAAGAGGAGATCCAGGAAGACCGATGGCTGAATCTCATTGAAATGGCTGACCCAGAGCCTTTCACATCAACATCAGGTGAGTGAGATTGCGCGGAGTGCTGAGCACAGATTGTTTACCGCTACCCCTCTGACTTAACATATATTCGTTGCGAAGCAAACCTTGGGCTCTCCTTCTACAATTCTACTACCACATTCCAATATCCCCTCGATCATAGGCTGGACGAAGGGCGCTTCATCAAACGAATCTCTGGCATCGACTACCTCTCCCGCATAGGATGCCATGATGGAGATGCCGCTCAGTATGAAGAACCAGAAGACATACGGCATTTTATCAAAAGCACTTGGGATGCAGAATCAGGTTTGGACGTACAAAATACGTCAAGTTTTTTAAAAATGGAACTTGACGTGGACGTAGAGGTAGATGATACTGGTTGCCGACGATCTATTTGGGATATGCTGAAGGTCGAACACGTGGAACATGTTGTAGAGGGTCATACCGAAGGGAACGCTTGCGACTCTGGAGAGCTTGGGGGTGACCGGGAGGGAGGATCTTTTTCCAAATAAATGACCATAAAATTCTCTTCCTCGATTCCTGACGCTTTGTTTCTTGTGTCTACTAACATACTGATAAGTCATTCCCCCTTATTTTTCTCATGAGCCCAGAGCGTCCAGTCGATTACTTCCTCTTACCCATCTCTCGGGCCAAGATAGCAAGCATATGTTTAAGATGTCGACGCTTTCCTTCGTGCATGCATACCGGTCGCTTTCCGGCTGGTTCTTTCTGTTTCGTTGCCCGCGGTCCTTGTACTATAGTTGACGAAGGCAAATATTGACAACTAGATTCATCGACGCTACTCGTATACTCTTGATTTCGTGCTTCAACTAATCCACTTATCGGAAGTTCAGAAGTAGGCCTAGGAACTTTTTTCAGGCATCGAAAAGGATGTTGAAAGGGAAGGCTTACAGCAGCATTCGGCGGGCTGGCCGTTCCACCCAGTCTGAGAGAAGAATTAGCACCATATTCGAAATGAAAGAACACATAAACGTGCATGTTCAATGGCCAGGACGAGAAGAAAAATGTGTATCTTCCGGTGTCGGCACATATCTTTGACAGAGCCTCTAGGTCGAAAAGCTCGCCTACAACCCAAACAAGGAGCGTATGAGCAAATACCCGCGGGGCGTTTTGGACGACTGACCGATCGGCATTCCCCAGAGACTAGTGGATAATATCAGCTGTTTTCTGGTAAATTTTCGTTGCTCTATTCATCACTCGCCTGAGAAACGTCTAAGTGAAAACGTAGTCAGTAGAAAAAAATAATAAAATAAAATAATAAAATCGAATATCACCTCGTGTAGGTATTCGCCTCCTTTTGGTGGCCAACTCTGTGTGTATCTCGGCTGAGAAATACTACAACATAACACGTCAAGCTGAACAGACTTTCACCTCCAAAGCAGGCTGGTCAGATGCAACTGCAGCGAAGTGATTGTTCCTTCAACCAAAATAAGACATCACGGTACTATAAATGTAATGGGAAAGGCACTCACCAAATGAAACGCTTCATATCGTCCGATTGCTCTATTCCAGCACTAATACACATCAGTGAGCCAGACAGACATGACAACAAATGTGCAGACATACAATGTTTCAGGTTTGCCGGCTAAGCCGTTCCGCTCCGCCTGACTTGCAGAATTGTACCTTTGAATGAAGCCAACCCTAAGAATTAAGATGTCGCCCCTTCGGAATGTGACACCCTGCTCGCGTGCGCATGCCTCGAGGTCGCCGACAGAGATTCCATGAGTGGTCCAAGGGTCGTAAGGGAGGGAAGTATTGGACTTCGTGTAGTATCGGACTAGATCCAAGAAGACGCCGCGACCACAGATCCCATGCTGCGCCCAATCTTGAAAAAGCAATTGTCCATTTTGGGACACGGTAAGACCTAATGTAGGACTCACTATGAATCCCAAGTTTGATGAGTTCAGGGTCTACATCCATTGGATCAGGCATGGCGAACTGCCCTGTCGTCAGCGATCTCACAGGCACGCTGTAGTGGAAGATGGTCAATAAGAAAGGAATTCAAGAACAGTGGACGACGACAACAACCCTGTGTATAACATCTCATGTTTCAAAATCGGGAAATGCTTCAGCCCATCCCACTGAGTTCCGGATTGGGTGTTCTGTACGAAAGTGAGCTAGGGCGTCCCTCACATAGGGATACCCTTACAATTAGTATTTCATCATCCCTTACGGGGGTGTCATGTTTGAGGAACGACCTGATATGGGGCTCGCGCCTGCCAAATAAAGGCTGCGGAACAGCGCACACATCAAGTCTGACTCAGGGATAATTCATTTCGTGACAAGCACCTTCTCAGGAAAATTAAGAGGCCTTCAATCAAGGAATCAGCTCCAGCCTACAAAGCTAGTATATCCGACTTACCAGTTGAGCGATACAGCCCTGCCCGTCCTACAATAATTGTGAAAATCGTAACCACCGCAGGAGAGATAGGATATATACCTGATCTCTTCCTGCGCCGCTTGTTTAACAAGGTCGTCTGTGAGTAGGTTCACGGTTCCGAGTTGGTCATTGGGTCCCCACACGTCCCAAGCACATCCAGAATATTCTTTGAAGTGCGGCAACTCGTCGAAAGACGGTAACACCTTATGGCCTTGTGACATCGTACGGTCAAGTGGGCAGAGAAGTGTCTAAACCACTGCATTCAAGTTGTGTTTATATGCAATCTTCACACGGGAAGATACGGAGAAGAATGTGGAGAGGCGCATCCCACATGATGATGTCACGGCATCAGCTTGTTCCTGATATCCATAGAGTCCGCTCGAAATAGACCAGGTGAGCAAGATCCAGAATGAAATTGAATATAATAGTACTACAGTTACATACAGAATGCATTTCTTACTAGTGTCCATATATGCACGGCGTAGTCACTAGCCTCGGATGAAAGGATGGACAAGAGCCTCCTTGGGCGTAATTCGCCTGGCGGGATCCAAAGCTAGACATTTGTCCAGCAGATCGATGAAGGATGTCAACATTTTCCGCTCGTCGTCCTTCATCTGAGCCGAAGCAGCCGGCATAAGCCTTGCACGAAGATCACGTGTCGGTTTCGCGATATGTACTTTGCGGATGATGTCCTGAGAGACCAGTCAGCTGAACGTCGTGATAGGGCAGGCAAGACCTTGACTCACACCACCTGTCACACGGTCTTGCTCCACACTCTGGAATCCACTCATCTCATCGAAATAGAGATCCCCAAATTTAGCTTTCTTGACCATCTTTGAGTTGAAGCGACCCTTCAACTCCATCATGAGTAAGAGCATCTGGTTGTTTGATCTGCCCGGGAATAATATCTTCCCTGTGTACAATTCATACAGCGTGCAGCCAATGGACCATATATCGAGGGCGGGATCATATGGGATGCCGAGAACTAAAAAAAAGGATGGCGCTGTGAGCTTCGTGGATATTTGTTTATAGAGTATAAGTGCCCACGCAACTGATTTCGGGAGCCCGGTAGAACCTGCTGACAAGGTATGGTGTGATCTCGTTCTCAGATGCGTCAGACGCAGAACCAAGGTCACATAATTTCAAAAGAGTTTTCTGCTCGTTGACCTTCTCATAGATTAACAATTAGCTATAACGTGTGCAGGAGTCAATTAGACATACCAAGATGTTATCCGGCTTAATATCGGCGTGCATGATGTTGCACTTGCGCAGCAAACTCATGGAAAGGAACAACTGGTGAGCATATGCGCGCACTGCCCGAATGTTCAAACCAACATCCTTGCCGAAACGTTTGACTACATCTCGCAGATTCATGCTGCGACGAGTGTGAGGATACGGCAACAGGATTCAAGGAGGTGCTTACCTGAGAGATTCAAAAACTAGACACAGGTGGCCACGGTGTTCAAATGTCCGCTCAAGACGAACGATATGCTTTTTGTCATCTGGATCAGCTTGCTTGAGCTTGTTCAACATCTGGATCTCCTTGAGGCCTGCCTTAAACCTAGAACACGAGAGTGTATTAGCGATGCACTGTCTCCCGATTTTTGTTACTCCTACATTGTCTCCTGACTCCGAATAATCTTGATGGCGACCTCTTTACCAATTTCACTTGGCTCTCCAGACAATACTCGAGCGCGGACCACATTGGCGAACATTCCTTTGCCAACTGAAGAGAAGACTTGGTATCGGCCACCGTCAAACTGCTCACCAAGGATAACTTGGTAATAGCCCTCGGAGTCTGCCGCAGAATCTAATGTAGTCGTTATCAAAGCAGGAGCTGCCGGCCTCTAACAAGGCAACATGAGTAGATTACTGACAAGGCGGTAATTAAAGACGTACCACGACTTTCTTCACTTTCTTCAACTTCTTCTCAGAAGTCAAAGCTGCAAACATGTCGTCAAAATCTTCCTCTTCCTCTTCTTCCTCTTCAATCATTTCGACGTCTTGAACCTCTTCTTTCGCGCCACGTACTCGTCGTTGCTCATCCTCACGGCGGTCTAGGCTAGGGTCGTAATCAGCAGCAGAGATCTGCTCACGGCCTCCCTCTTGTTGCGCCTGAGCCTGTACATCAGCTTGTGCCACCCCTTCGTCCTCTTCTTTTGCAAGCTCGAACACATTAGGCGTGGGCGATGCTGACGGAGATAATTCTTTCTCAAACTCTACATAAGTATGGAAGTAATTCAGATAAGTAGATAGGATGGAGATCAGACACTTACGGGAAGAATCCTTCGCTTGTCGGGCATTTTCGACGGTTGGCGTTGCTGTGACGCCTGATACATCAGGCGTCCCATCAATACTGCGAGACTGAAGTATGGGATCAGAAACAGCAAGAGGAATTTGAGGCGGCTGGACCGCACTGCTTGGTCCTGGACTAGGACTGGCTCCCATCGTATTGACGCTGGAGACGCCGGAGTACTTGGCAAGAATGGCTTGTCGCTTAGCACGACGTGCAGCAAGCACCTGCTCTACGGGTATTGGCGATGTTGATAGTTCTAACTCAGGCTCCAAGACTGATGGTGGAGTTGATGCAACTGCTAATGGCATTGGGATGGCGGTGGGTGTAGGTGCAGAAGCGCGTTCCAGACTTCTATGAGGCGAGATTCTGATACAGCCAAAAGTATCAGGAAATTGGAGAGATTGGAACGACGATTAAGATTATTGCAATACTCACTCGCCTTCTTCTTTGTCTGATTCGGGAGCCTTGGAATGATGTGAATGTCCATTCGTAGAGCCACGGGGGGATATGGGTGTTAGACGTTGGCGATCATCATCCCTACGATGATGGCGGCCTCTGCCCCTGTCGTAGTCCTCTCGTCTACTTCTCTCCCGACTGTAGTCGCGGTTGGGTCGACGCTCATGCCCACGCCCTCCACGTTCGCCTCGGTGACGAGATCCTGTATCACCTCTCCTTTCTGGCCCTCCCTTGTGCCTTGGCGAGCGTAAATGCACATCTCTCCAGTCTCTAGGTTCCTTGGCTTCACGTAGTCTCTTGTTATATTCCGACTCGCTTCCGCCTTCATGTGGACGCTTAGAGCCTGAAGATAGGTTAGTCATCTTTTAAGAATTATCGGGTTTTACGAGGCACCGCACGATGAAGAAATAGCAGGAAAGTAAAAGTCAATGTGGAGGCTGAAGATTGGAGGGAAATGGCTAGCTCGCCGTTGACGATGGCGTTGAAAACCAAAATCGTGATGTGACCCAGTAACCGAGATATGACAGGAGATGACTCGCGTGACATGACTTACCCAGCGTCTCCCAAGACCCAAACTGGCCCAAACTGCATTATTCCAACGATGTTTGACTAGAGCGGCGTTTGACAAGCTTCAGGCCAAACGCTCAAGCACTCAAGATTGCCTGAGATTCAAGTAAAATCACGACACAGGACGCCTGACCCAGCAGCTCAATTATAGTATTCAGTGCATAATTCGCTGAGCGAACCTGGTAGGTAAGTTCATCGATGGAATTGGTATATCGGACCAATTAAAGATGTTGTATATGCAGACGGCTCCGTGAATAGCAATAAGGTGAATGGATGCTCAGCTACTTCTTGCGACTACGTCGTGAAGTCTGCCTTGACAAATATTGACTGGCTCGTGTCCCAACTGGCGGTATATACGGCTGTCGCTTGGCTGCCGATTCTCTTCTATCTGCTTCATCTCGGGCCCTTGTGTCTGGCGACGGAAAGATCTCCGAACTTGACGTAGGAGAAAGCGACTTCAGTGTGTTGACGGGTTTGGCTGCGGAGGCGCGCGTCTTTGGAATGCGCGCTCGTGGAGTAGCTGCAGAGCCCCTCTGTGTGCGCCCTCCTATCACATGAAACCGTTCAGACGTTTGCCGATCATCGGCGCTCAGCTGACCATGATGACCACCGACATCATCTAGTGAGCTTCAGCTGAAGTCTCTGAAATGACAGTACTGGGCATACCTTCATCTTCAAAGAGCCTTGCTTCAACAGAAGCAATCTCCTGGGTTGTATCATCGCCTTCAGGTGTATCGGCTTCTCCGTCTTCCCTAACCAATGGTAGAGTTTCGCCGCGATCCCTCGAGGCCCCAGACAACTTTTGCCTCTTCACTGTTCTTTCAGGTGGCTCGACAGATCGAGAACGCGCGCGCGTGTTACGAAAAGGTGCGTCTTTCGCAGAGACAGCATGCGATTCAGCATCATGAGTAGAACTCCTGGGTAAACGGCGTGACACAATTTCGACCACGGGGCGAGCTTTGCGAGATGGAGATGGTGCGCGCAACGGAGGATTGGCGTTAGTTCTGGAAAGCTGCTTAGAGAACATAACAAGAAACGAAGATATGAACACGCACGATGGCCATGCCGGTTCTTCAGGGGGAAATATGTTCAAATCATCAGGCTGAAAATCAAATTCGCCTGACCTTTCATCCTCTACTTCCGCGTTCTGGACGTGAATTCTCGTCAGTTTTTAGACCACATATCTGCAAGTCATAAACAATCACCAGCTCTTGTTCTTCGTCAGAGGAGAAAATGATGATGGATCTCCGAAGCTTCCGCTCTCCTTCCCCTTCCCCTTCTCCTTCCTCTTCCTCTTCCTCCTCCTCTTCTTCCTGTCCAATTCTTTCACCCACATGCTTCCTGGCACTGATTTCCTCCTGATCACCACCATCCCTCTCCTCTTCGGAAAAAGAAATCCCGTCACTCACATCTTCGACATCCTCTTCATCGCTTGTGAAATAGATCTTGCGTTTGAATGGATTATAGCCCTTCCTGCGTCCAGGTTTTGGGGCACCGAGACTGCGTCTGTACCCGTACTGGCCCTTGCCATCCGCTCGAGGGGGGTCAGCTTTTACGAGGTCTTCAATGATTGGATCGAGTCGATCTGCGTTCTTTTGGTAGTGCTCACGCCATGACTGCCATGTATGACGTTCTGCCCATAGGCATTGATTGTATTTTTGAGGCTAACCATTACCATGATGACAACGATCACTTTCAGAACATCGAGGAATATTTAATTTACGCACCCGCTCAACCAAGTCCTTATACAAGCCATTGCCACCGCGCCCACCATAGTCCTTGTACGGAACACGAAGAGCAAGCCACTTGCACAAATTATCCTCGTCAGCGTCAGTGAACTCGATTCTTCGTCTACACAGTGTCTTCAATGATAAGCACGATGTACAAAGACGACCGATGGTCACCTTCCGCCAGTAATGGCTGCTTGAATGACAATATGTTCATATCGACCGCGATTGATGCACCGGTCGACGAATCCAGATGTCTCCACCCATGTCGTTTTTGAGGAATTGTACTTGTCGTGGTAAAGTTCGTAGTCGAGCGGCTTAGAAACGAGAATAACGGAAGCCGCTTGTTCTGATTGAGTCACGCGACCTCCATGGCTCTGTGAAGGGTGGTAAGAATGGTTCGCGTCTGATCGTGCAACGCACGGTCACCATAAAGTGAATTACTAGGATTTTGTCAATGATAACTTTCTGGCGCTCTTCTGTCAATTTGTAAAGGAAAAAATAAACGGGTTTCCCGTCCTCGCGAAAAAGTCCAGAAAGGTCCTGAATTGATGACGATTTACATTCTTTGACACTGAGAACATCACTATCACGTACTACATCGGCTTCAGACTCATTTTCGCTTGAAGATTCGAGATTAGCACTCTGCGCACGAGTCGAATGAACCATGTTTGAGAATTCGCTGATCTGAGCGGCCGAAACGAAAGCAGGATGGAGTATGACAGTGAGTTGTAACGTTGCAACCTTAATTGTTGCGGGCAAGCGCGGGCCAGACCAACCCAGTAGTCACGCTACGTGTACTGTCACATTTTCGTCACGCAAGGCTGAAAGGGTACATGGAAAATGTCGGGCTTCATGAGTCTGAGAGGCAGGAACAGATAGAAACAAGAGAAATAAAACACGAAGGCGAGTTCCTCTTCCTTCCTTACCTTTTCATGCGCGTTCCCCTTCCACGGATGCCAACTCGTCGCCGAAGCCAAGGCTCCCAGTCGCGCACCGCAGGAGACAATCTGTAATACATCGGCATGAAAGCATTGACTCTTGGGGCGGCTCTTCTCCTTTGGCATTCTGCGGAGACATGTCCTCTGTCCTCTGCATAACTTCTGCATGCCATTCCATCGCTCTGTATCGCGCAAGTCACTGCTGCGCGCGTACGTGGAGTGGCAACGATGTCGCTTGCTTTCACCGGGCTTCACCTTCCCCGGCTTCACTAACTTATTCCTGTGGCGATGACACTTGCGTCCCTTCATCCATACTCGCGTGGCTAATATACTGGCGTTGTTGGAAGAGTGCTAAGCCCTGCAGAGGAATACAGTATATCTTTTGTCAAAGGCGCCACAACAAAGGAAGGTTCTCGCCGTGGTGCTTGCTGAATCTATGCGCGGCTATGACCACGGCCTCTGCGTATTGTCTATCTATGGCATACTGGTCTGGAAGTTGTGCCACGCTTTTTGAATGCTTTTGAGCGGAAGACGAAGCACGGTTGGCGAAGTAATTGATGCCTTCAGCTTTACAGCTTCCTACTGATGATCATAAGCCATCGTCAAGTAGCAAATGAAAGATAATTCAAACATCGTATCGCGAATATGACGCAGCCGTAACACCCTCAAAACATCCGACAATCCGCAATTCCTTCGAGGGTTCTAGTATGCCTTTTGTCCTATCAATCTTACGACACGAAGTTGAAGCTGGGGGATGCAAATATTATAATACTGTGCTCCACGCCTTGCTGCCGGAGAAAAGAAGTAAAATTGGATCGATAACATGATTCAATGTATTGACATAGAAAAGACGCGGACCCCACGAGACCTGGTCTGAAAGATGTGGGCCAAGTAAGATCATGATGCGTCCCCACAGCAGCCCATCACTGCAGCAGCCTGTACAGAGACCTTCAGCTGCGACTCGGCCCGATCCCAATCCGCATCTATGTTTGCTTCCCACTGCCAACACCACCTCCCCGAAACCTCTTTCCCCCACCTTTGCGCCCAATCTATAGCTTCCGGTGTTTGCGGAGACGCATTCTGGATTTCATCCTCTTGTTGTTCCGTGCTCCGCACCGGAGGCGCCCAACCTTTTCCAAATTCATACATTTGACCCACCATCCTCGCACTGATCACGACGCCCTGAGCGAACTTCAGACGCGCGCTGTCGTAGATAGAAAGTGCGGTGTGTATGTGTTTTCGCGACGTGAGTGGGTGGGTGAGTAGCCTTCCGATGATATATGCATCCTAGACAGGTGAATGAGTCGACTTAAGATCACGGAGAGAATCCCGAGTAGCAATCACCTCCATGGCTTGACCGGCACCTGCCCCAAAATGGGTCTCCATGGCATGTGCCTGTCCAACAGACTATTTAGCAATCGTTTGCATGAAATGATTACTCGAACAAACGCACCGCGTCGCCTATGATGGCGACTGGACCGTCTGAACTCTTCGGTACCGAATCTAAGATATGGATCGCCCAGGCAGACGCTTTGTCAAAACACTTTCCCAACAATCATAAGCCCGCTCGGGATTGTATTTAAAGCTGTAGCAGCATACCTTGAGGAGCGCCTGTACTTCCGGCTCGAATCCTGCATAACATGCCATGACCTCCTCAACTAGAACATCTTGCACCCACTTCCCCGAAAATGTCGTCCCTTCTGCACCCGGAACAGTATAGAATCCGACGAAGTTGATCAACGTGCCCTGCGAGATCGGATAGGTGACAACATGCTAAAACAAAACAACGAGTTCGTGTGTGAGATACGAATACCTGTTATACAAAAGATCATACCTTATCCTTACCGCAATACTGAAACGACATGTAATATCAATAAATAATCCGAACGGAACACGTGAGAAGACTCGCCATCATGGGTAGTGTCAGGGCACGATGGCCTTTCCATATTCCATCCAACGTCTTTGGTTCAATCAGGCTCCGGTATGCAACAGTGCCCGTCCATTTGGGCTGCTGGCGAGGCAAATCACCCCCATGGGAAAGTCCCCAAAACATGGTCGCCCGCACGACCGAGTGAATGCCGTCTGCACCGATGAGGACATCTGCAGTAGTAGTCGAGCCATCGGAGAAATTGAGCGTGAGCGGTGATTCCGTATCTGATTCCACGGAGTACGAATATGACAGGAGTCGTGCTGAGGTGTGGATGGTACAAAACGGATGTGAATCAAATCCGCCTCTTAACACGGTGACAAGTGCCGAGCGGTGTATAAGTAAAGGGTCAGCTAGACACGAAGGGCTTCGTTAACGCATGCTATACACGTAGAGTGCTCCGGTGTTAATCAGGGTAGTTGACATACTTGGCATAGCCATGTCATAAAAATTGTAACCTACTTCTGGAGGATCGGATTTTCGGAAATGAAATCCTTTACCACCTGACGCGATGACTCTCAGTAGACGAAGCCACATAGAATACCGTTAACTCGACATACGCACCTTCCGGTCTCTCAGTCGCACCAATTTCATCCTTCAGCCCGTCCATAAGGCCCAGACGACCTAGCAAATGGCGTGTTCGCGGCCACACACTGATGCCAGCCCCAATAGTACCAAGAGTAGGCTGAGACTCATAAATGTCGATAGCAACAGGCGCGACGGGATCGTTATAGCGAGAAAGAGTTGCTGCAAGAGCGAGGCCTCCAGGTCCCGCACCACTGTGAGAATATATGTGTGAGCCATACGAGAAGCGACTGAGTATGCATGGAAAGTATCATACCAAATCGCAACCCGGAACTTGGGGGCAGTGCATGATGGTATCGACATCATTGGACTGAAGGCGAATGAAGTTTCGGTCCTGCGCTTTCGATGGCTCAAGCGACTATACCCTTGCCAGAAACACCTGAGAATATGCCACTGTCTTTTAGCACGGACGATTGTGGGCCCATCCTTCTCTTCCCATGTGGAGATTCATAATTAGTCTCTGGTCTCACTGTCACCGTGGACGGAGGGCCGTAGGCCTAACATGTACGCGTGGTAAGAACTCTGCGGCGGATCCACGACATAGGAAGATTCGCATGTCTATGAAGCCTAATATCTGCCTCTTGAGACCTACAGAATGACTTTGGCCTCCAAAAACCGTCTGGACAGCGTCGAACTCTGACAGAGATGATTGTGATGGCCAAAAAGCCTCAACGCAATGGAGGTTGGATATGCGAGCACGTGGTCCGATAATAATCGCGCAGTAATTGCGCCCGAGCTCTCTTCAGCGCTCGCTGCAACTTCGAAACACTCCACATTCTCATAGCTCAAGACACAGGGCCGCTGCCCTCCTAGCGCTCATATATACCAAGGTTCGAGATCTATCGCTCTCACAATCCCCTCTCTCAATCTATCTTGAAATTGTCTCGTCTATAAAGGTGCTTTATGCCCGGCCACAGAAACCCATTCACCACAATGTCTTTCTTTGAACATGTCCACAATGCTGTCACGCGTGCGCGCTTGGGTGGCTCAACCTCGGAAGCAAGTGCGTTTGCGCAAGAACATGAGGTCGAGACGCAATATGTAGATCTTAGCATACAATTCATCGGCGCCTCCGGACTACCCAAGATGGATGTCGTGGGTTCTGGGGATCCCTACTTTGTTGCAGAGTTGGATGGCAAGATAAAGTACATGTGCGTGTCCTGCTTTATTTTGCTTCGTTTGCCAAGCATCATGTCTGATTGGTTGTTTGATTCAAATTAGATCGACCGTTCAACTGGATACCCTTAACCCGGTGTGGAACGAGTTGTGGTTGGTCAAGAACGTACCGGTCACTGCTGTTTTGAATGTTCAAGTACTTGATAAGGACAACGGGCCAACCGACGATTATATTGGGAAATTTTCGATTTCCGTATCTGCCGGAGCGAAAGAGGCAGAGATCGAAGGACCCGTGCTCAAACGCACGAAAGGGACCTTTTGGTTGAAGGTTCGATCTTCGCACTAACACGTATGCCTGACACTCAGGGAATTTATTTTTGATAGATTGAATCGAACCCGCCCACTAACCCAGAAGTGCCTCCCTACACATTCGACGGGCCCATTCGCTTTTCGCGCCACTTCTCTCCAACCGTCGGGCGCCTCACGAATCTTAACGACGAACGACTCTACTCAACCTGGAAGATGTACATCAAAGGCGTTCCCCTCTTCTTCGGTGACACGGTGCAGCCATGGAATCACTCTTACAAAGCCGCCCAGTCAATTTTCGGCGTGGGGCCGGCGTCCCTTGCTGTGCGCTCGGGTATACAGGCTGGCCATCGCATGCTGTACGCACGCAGTACAACAAACGGGTTCGGTACGATCAACAGCCCAGAGGAGATCATAGGCATCTTCCACGGCGGCAGCACCACGCTCGGCAGCCGCACGCTCGCGCAGCATCGCATCAAGCCTGCCGTCTACACGTATGTGATCGCCGTCGAAGACTCCTCGTTCCGCTTCTCCGAGACAGGCGCGGCGTTCTTCGTAGACTTTGCCTCGAAGCACGCGCTCCACGCAAACTGTGCCGAGTCCGTGCGCTACAGCGGCGAGTTCCATCCACGCCCCCAGGGCGGGTGGGCCGCGTTCGGCGAAGACACGCCCGACGACCAGGTCCGCTGGGAGCTGATCATCGACAATAACTCGGGCACATACTCGCCTGACAAGGCCATGCTCCCAAAGCTTCAGGCATGCTTGGAGCACAACTTCCCCGGGTTCACTATTCATGCCTTGGACCACGGTGACCCGGAGCTCACAGAGAGCAGGGAGGCGTGCAGGGCGTATGCGCTCAAGTACCGAGGCGTGCGGCAGGACGAATTGCAGCCGCATGCAGCCGAGGGTGAAGAGACGTTGTCGCATCATGCTCTAGCTCATCCCTCGTCAGAAGCAGATGACGCGGTGCCGAATGAGTGATATCCAGTGGATCCGTGTTTTTGTATGCGTTATAGATTTAACTTCAATACTGACATCTAATAGTGTACTTACCATACTGTGTTGTACCTGTCTTCGTTTGTTATGCTCCACAGTAACCTTATTATCTTCCCATCTACGATACGGCAGAAGTGCTAGGCGTAGCTATAGCGTTGTGTCTATATATCCTCGAGCTATTACGACTTTTTTTGTTTTTGTTTTTCGCTCTTGACAGACAGAGGTGGGAGGTATGGTAGTGTTTTATGCATCTCTCTAAGCAAACAATGAATCACGGTGTTATCACGCTCGTGCAAAATATCCACGAACTCTGTTGCAGAATCACGCAGGCTCAACCCCATGGCCGTTTTTGACCAGCAACACACGACTCGTGGGCTCGCACTCAGGAGTTGCTTGTACGGCTGTAAGCTTGGGAACCCGCGGCCATTAGCAGGCGGCACGGGCAAAACATCATACAAGCGACATACCTCGTGCACTTCTTGATTCATGGTTGTAAAGGCTACGGTAGGTAAAGTACATGAACGCAGGCGCTCGGCGTCGATTTCCGCTCGTCCATTCCTGTCCGTAGCATTTCGTACGTGATGATTTCGTTAATATGTAGGTTGGTAGAACCCGGCCTGTAAATACTCACAGAGTGACGAACAGCGCGATGACGTAGAGCTTTCCGAGAACGGTTTGGAATGCAAGGTCCCACGGGTTGAATGCAGTGATGTAATGAGTGATGGCTGCTATGAGGGCGCACATGCACGGGGGGAGCGCGGCCTCCCAGGAAATTGTCATCAACCGCGCCACAGCCTGAGACACAAATGAGATTTTGGGTATTGGTCACATCCGTCGCACTTACGCGTCGAAAACGTCTTGAATGGGCATCCGCACGAGACCGTAGTAAGAAGGTGAGCACTGCACCCATTAATAGAGGTCAGGTGGGACACTTAATAAGATACCTGACAACAATAGCCTGCTCACAGATAACCGTGACCACTACGTCGATGACTGCCCTAATCAGTCAGATAAACCCATTTCAAAGCAGAAGAAATAGACTCAACAAGCTGGTAGAGCTAATGAGAGAATAACTGAGAGCAAACTTAGCATGCAATTCAGGGTCTCGGACATTCAACGGACTTGAAGCGCACCAGCAACGTCGACAAGGTCTCTAGACGGATGGGGACCGTTGGAACTCGTTTGCAATGCATTGAACACAATGAGGATACTTGCAGCGAATGATACAATGAGTATGGAAGCCAGAGGAATCTGACAGCCGGTGTAAAGGTCAAGATAGGCGTTATGAGTAATCGTCGGAATAATCATGCAATGACAAACCATGACGAGCCGGCGTCTACCCATAAGCTGCGGTTGAGTTTTGTCACAATCAGTAAGGAGAGCGACAATAAAAAAGCAGGCGAACCACCCAGCACCGCCAGATCAAGAAACTTTGCACTGGGGAGCCCATCAATGCCGTCTGCACGTGCTTGGATGAGTATTCACTATTTGAAGAGGCGATCATTGCTGAATACCATAAATTGGGCTATTCGGCGTGACCAACTGGGGTTCGAGATGACAGTCTGACAACGAACGTGAGAACATGGCAAAAAAATGAGAACACGGGACGTACAAAGTCACCAAAGTGGTCCACAAACATCATCCACGTGTTCCAATCGTCAGCTGCGGTCTGGAAGCTGCAACGACTCTCTGATCAGTGCGAACCAGATGCGTCGAGTAGCATATGCGAGACTCACAAAGCGATCAAGCTGACGAATGCCACAAGAGCCTTCGTGCCGCGCGACTCCATGTCCGCGCGGCTCCAGAAACGAATGGATTGAGAGATGATGTAGCCGGTTTCTAGTCCTTGTACGATTGTCTGCAGGAGCTGCGGGCCAATGTAGCGCCGTGGGTGAGCCGCAATGTAGCTGATGGTGAACATGGGGAGTGAGCGCAGGGATACAGGACACCATGCTCACCGACGCTGCGCGTAAGTATATGTGCAAAAAAAGACATGACAGTAGCACTCGCAGGTAGCGATATCTATGAAGCGAGAAGTCGGACGCAGGCACGCTCTTGTTCAATTCAGTTGTGGGCGCCCCGCGAGCTTCTCCAAGCCGACAGCGCTGTGCAGCGGTGATGAGGACGTCAAAGCTCAATCGATGATTCTCGCTATGTAAGCCGTGCTCTGGACTCTACCGCATTGGTTCAGCACGTTTCGTACTTGATGGGTTCTGCGGCAGCTCGCCGGGGCAAAGTGCATTTACGCCAATATTGCGGGTCCGGAACCAAAACTGTCTGCTCATGGCTTCATAGTCATTGCGCTGGATAAGGCTACTAGCCCGTCAGATCGGGCGAACATGAAGAGGAGTACACTTATGCGCGTTCGTGGTTCAACTGGCGATCGCGATAGCGGAACGTGTGCGCACCACATATAAAGCCGATGTGATGAGGTGCAAGATACATACAGGATGCCCGCTCACGCATCGCCTCAAGTTGCCAGGAAGCTAGGATGCTCAACTCGCCCGACAATGCAAACTCGAACAAAGGGAGTAGAGCCGAAGCACGCACCGGCGTTTCACAACTTTGTCTTAGAGCTCGGAGGCGAAGTAGGGTGACAAGGAAAGGGCAGCCAACACGCCTCGAATAAGCACGACACTGGGCGCAAGGCATCCCTTGCACATTCTGAATGTGGACGGCGATCTACCGAAATGGGCACCATGCCCGCCTGTCCGGTGGCCATAGTGCGGGTGGCCAAGATGCCATGCCTTGACAGAGAACGATGATCAGCATCCATAGCTGAAGACGGTTTCGAGGGCGTGCCGATGTAAAGATGCATACGTACCAGCAACCTGTCTACACCCTCTGTGGAGCAGTTCCAAATACGAGTGCCCGCGTAATGTCACCTTGCCGGGCAGATAAGACGAAGAACGCCCATAAGACGAAAAACACAACAAAGCAACGAGTATATTCCTTCATATTACGGGGTATGATGGCGACGTAATGATACAACTGGCATGCATGGAGGATGTGATGATACTGTACATCGCTGAGACGCACATCCGACAAGTCCTGGAAGAGCGTCCGGAAGAATCAGCTCACAAGTCCAAGACAAAAAGGGGCCATGACATGAAGAAAGTTGCCTCTTGCAGTTGCCCGCATTCGACTGCGGAGGACCCGAAGATCCACGAAGAACACAAAATACATAAACAGAGGACAACCACACCACCGCGCTGGCCTTTTTCGGCAGACAGTCGCAACACACGAACGGAGACAAGCAGCCGACATACCAATATCCGCCCACGACGTATCCTCGAGATCACTGTGAGTTCACGTCCTCGAAATCCGGCGACACACCCCGAGAGAGGGACGAGCAAACGTAGTCGCCCGGGGTCTTCTTGTTCGCCAGCACCCGGGACGCGTCCCGACGCTTGAAGATCATGCGCGCCACGAGTTGCGAGAAGCTGCCGATGACCACCTTCCCTCGCTCGTCGCGCTGCACCACCGCGTCGGCGGGGGCCTCCGGCGTGCCCGCGCCCACGCCGTCGTCGAGCTTGAGCCGCAGCATCGCCTGCACCTCCTTCCCACGCTCCTTCTCCTTCTTGCGCACGCGCCTCGCCTCCGCGCGGCGCGCTTCGGCCACCTGCAGCTCGCGCCGGATGGCGCCCTTGGGGTCCAGGCCCGCCTGGAGCTGCACGTCGGCGAGCGCACCGGGCACAGGCGGGCTGACACGCAGGCCCGCTGCGATCCGCTGCGCTTCCTCCGCGTACGACTGCTCCGTCCGCTTCGCGTTGCGCTCGAGGAACCACGCGCGCCGGCGGAGCGCGACGAGCTTGTCCAGCTCGGCTGCATCCACGCGCGCGCGCGCGTCCCAGGAGAAATTGAGGTCCGGCTCCTCCTCGGGAGGGGAGTCCGCGATGTGTGGCTCCTCTGCAACGGCGATGGGCACAAAGAGACCTAGGCTCGGTCCGTCGGGCGGTGGAGGTTCAGAGTTGGGAATATAGGAGAAGGCGGGTAGGAGGAGGTCGTCGTCTGTATCGGCGCCTGGGAGAGAGAGGAGACGAGGAGACGGCGTAGGATGGGAGGGTGAGATAGTATCATCCATGTCTATATCCGGCAAGGATGCGAAAGATCGGCGTGAAGGTGAGGATGGCGAAGATGGCTGTGGCGTGTCGGGGAATTCGTCCTCATCTTCGTCCATCGCGGGAAGCAAAGTAAAATTACGTCGCGATGGCGAGTACGGCGCGAGCTCAAGGTCTAGGTCCTCGGACCCTGTCTGTGCAGAGAAGCCGAGGCCAGGAAAATGTGACGTGAGCTGCCGAGGAGATGCAGGGGACATGTCAGTATCGTCAAAGTCCATGTGATGCTGGCTGCTGTCGTCGGAAAATACATGTGTGAGCGAGCCAGTAGAACATCCGAGGTGATCTGGGAATCGAGAAAGGTCCAGATGGTCGTGGGTATTGCTCATATCCAAGTTGTCGTCATCGCCGGGGAGCCCAAACGATTTAAGTCGCGGTGAAAAAGCGGCCGCGTCTGCGCAATCCATGCTCGCGTCGCTGTCGTCCACCCATAACGTATCATGTCGTAAAGGAGGCAAACCCGCCGCGTCGTGAAAAGCCCGTGAGCCACCCTGACCTCCTGGCGCTCCTTCCTCATTCATCGGCTCATCCAAGGACGCGTCTGCCATCGGCATAAACGACGGCGATCGCGACAGCAGCGCGGACCCCTCCAGGCCTTCCGGCGAAGGCACGTTGTGCCTAAAGCGTACAGGCCAAGTCGGCGACAGAGGCGTCAATAAATCATCGAGATCGTCGTCATCCGATGGGCCACACGACTCGGCTCTCAAGACGTAAGAATCCCGTGGATCAGTATCGACGACAATCTCGTCAGCATACCCTTCGGGCGAACGACTACCAGATGGCTCGCCACCGGCCTCGGGGAGAGCACGCGATGTCAAAGGCAGCGTGGAGGGCGGGGACGGCGGTAGCTGGAGGCATGAGTTGTCTGGCATGTTCAACCAAAACTGGGCTGGGTCGGAGGGAGTGGCAGGTATCTGTGGTAAAGGGACGGTGCGCTTGAGCTCAGAGTCTGTGAGGGGTGGCGAGGGATATATGCTAGATTGGTCGAAGAAGTGTGGCGGCGGCTGATCGACCAGGAGTGGTGGTGGGTCGTCAAGGGTGGGGATATCCGGGTGCGGGATCCAATGAGGCACGAGGACAGAAGAAAATGGTGAGCTGCCACATTTATGAAGATGGGTGGGCCACGCAGTATGGGACGCGGGGTGGCTGTTGTCTTGATGCGAATGAAGTTGTTCTGCGGGCGACGATGAGGCTGATGAGGGCGAAAGAACAAAATGGTCGGAAGAGGGAGGAGTATGAAGAGTAAAAAGCGTCATATTATCTGTCGCAGAGCAACAATCCGTTCGATCCGACGAGAGCAAGCTGTTCAACTGGAAAAAGAAGGCGTGACAAGTCAGGCTTGGAAAGCGCGCATAAACAAGCCCGAGTGGCGCTTACGATTGAAAAATTGACTCAGTAATACAAGAACATGACAGAAAGCGAAAACAGAGGAGAGAGAAAGAGCTGGAAAGAGGAGGAGGAGGAGGAGAGCTGGCGATAGAGGATCGTGGTTGCCCGCTTCCACGAGTTCGTCGTCGCCTCGCCTCTCTCCGCCGCATGTTCCCAGCAGACACGGACCCCCGTCACCCCACCGATGTCCTCCTCGTCGTCCTCCCAGTCTTTGCCATCCCAACTCATCCCCACCACACCCCTTTGTTCCGCAGCATCAACGCCCTTCGTACCCACACACCTCGCCCACATCCTCCAGCTCTCGCATTCCATCTCACCTCCGACAAATTCAAGTGTTCCGGGTCCTCTGACGCTGTTACACGACCCTTCGAAATGTGCCAGACGCAAAATCTTCCTTCCCTTACGGAGCGCACCCCATGTCGTGTGCACACCACTGAGACGATAAGTAGCGCCTCGCGCCCTCAATTGTCACCCCCGCGCGCGCTTCCTCCATCTCGAAGCCCCGATAAGTACTCTAACGGCCTTCTTTTTGGAAACTGCTACTTGGCTTCGTCCTTGCGCCCTGCTCCTTGCATCAACGCGCTGAGTAATCACCAATACAGCATTCACCTAACGCTTGCGGTGCCTAACCGCATCTCCGCCCTGCAGGTTAAAACATTCCTATCAATTGGTGTCCGCCGTAGAATACCCGATGTCGACCCAAGCACGCATCCGGTCCCCGTAACGGATCGTGGCCCACAACAAGCTGTCGCGTGAATGGACACACGTCAGTCAGATGCACGATCCGGGCGTGATGGAACTTTTCACGCACGCGCATCCCATCCATGCAATCGCAGCCGACAATATATTCGTCGGGAGGACTCCAACGCGATTGATAAGGGGCAGGATCCCCACCGTCGCCAGTGAGATGAATGCACCCCGAAAGCCACTGAAAGCGAATCAGCACACAGCGCGTTCATCGGTTGCCTTGATCTGATTGTACTCACGTATTCGCAGCCATGATCTCGGCGCTTCGCGAGTGCATGATGTCGACGTTGTACGCCGCAGAGGGGCTTAGAACCAGGTCAACCTAATCCGCGCTCCCATCAGTCCCTAGCCGTCTAACAAAAGCACGCCGCTCTACGCACCCCCAGTCCGTTGAAGAATAAGCAGACCAAGTTCAACACGATGCCGAGAGTGCCTCCGATGTAATGCGTCACAAGACCACTGCACAGCACGGACAGCGGAACGAAGATGCACGCGCCATACAACGTGCCCCGCAGCCTGTCCTCGGGGACCCACTCGCCCCCACGCCGTTTCCGCCAGCGCACGACGATGATGTCAGAGACGCGGCCGGCCAAAGGCGCACCAACTGCATGCCCAATATGAATATCTGAACAAAAGCCGTCTTGACAATGCGCTTACTGATGTTTCCGAGACCGCAAGGTAAGAAAAATGCACCGATGAGCGCCTCGTTTGTTATACCGTACCGTTGACCCTGCAACAACCCAGTCAAAATAACATCTACACTCATACAATCGATGGACGTACGATGGTATAAGCGAGCGGAAGCAGCATGACTGCGAAGGGAGCTTCAGAAGCTCTCTAGGACCACAAAAATTAGGAAGGACCGACCGTAATCCGTCAACAACACGAAAGTGCCCGCCAAGCACTACTTACGCCGCAGTCAGCGTCATTTCCGATGCATCGACGTTCCCAAAGGACTTACGACGGCTAGCAAATTCGGGCTCCTGAACAGCGCGAGGCTCTTGAACGGGTTCAGCCAGACCCACCGCCATTGCGTCGTGCCCTGCTGTTCATACAGCTTGTCTATACCCCGCGCGTGGGGCTGACTCGTCTCCGGCAGGAGGAAGTACATCGCGGTGCCCACAAGCACGCCCGTCACGAACAGCGCGAGCTGCATCACACGCCACGACGCGTAGTGCGTCGCCAGGCCTCCGCACAAAGGCGCCAACGCAGGCCCGAGAAGACACGCCTGCAACATACCAGTGTAAATGACAGCTAGACATTTAAGAGGGAATTAGCGGAGATGGACGTACCGCGAAGAACACGCCCATGGCGCCGCCGCGCTCTTCGAGGCGGTAGATATCGCCGATCACGCCCGCGCCGACGGACAGACCCCCGCCTGCTCCGAACGCTTGGACGAACCGCCATATCATGATCTCGGGGATAGAGCGGGCCTGCGCTACCCCGAGGGACCCCAGAGTGAAGAAGGGGAGCGACGCGAGATATATGGGCCTGCGGCCATCTGCGCTAGAAGATGAGCCTGGGCAGTTGCCGCAGAAATGAAGACGGGCACGTACAGAATCCAGAGTAGTTTGCCCAGGTGAGCGTCCCGATGGCGGATGCCAGGAGGGAGAGGCTGACCGCCATGCTAAGATGAGACGCGGCGTGTGAGAAAGCGACGCGCTGTGTATAAAAAGCAGAACGACGCACTTGACCACAGACCCTGTCGTGTTGAACTCGCGCGCGATTTCGGGTATGGAAGGGATGAACGCGCCCGCGACAAACACTGTTCGCGACACAGGTCACAACGATCAGTCCTGTCTGCCCGTCTCTACAATGCCCCCCCTCCCCCCCAATCAAAAAAAAAAAAGCTCGACGTACAGGGGATGAGCCCCGCCAGGGACACAAGCGCGACGATAACCCGCTTCCTGGTCCTCGAGAATCGGTTGTACACCGCGTCATGCTTGTCCGCCGCCGCGTCGCCGCGCGCGGACAGTAAAGGCGTCTGTTCGCTGTCAGTCGACATGGAAGAGCAGGAGAAAGGTTTAGAGCGTGAAAGATGGCGGCATGACTCAATGTCGGCATCGGGACGATAATTTATTGGTGCCAATGATGAACGGAGGAAGGGCGCTTATCTAGTGGGCGCTTATAGGCGTCAGCGGACCCGATAAGATAACAGACGCCATCGCATTACCTCATCGTACTTTGCTAATGGACTGCGAAGGCCGAAAGCTGCCGAAAGCCCCTGGTTCGCAACTTCCACGAATCTTTCATGTCGCAATGTTCCTCATGCTGCAGAAGCTGTTGTTGCGACACTGTCACCATAACACTTGATCACAGAAATACTGTTCGGGCATGGAATGATGACCGAACTAAATGTCACGAATGTCGCTTACTAACACTCTATCAGCAAGCGACACTGGTGCCTCAAAAACACGCTTGTACGTGGTAATGCATTCACCTGGTAGATAACATTAGAATAATATTCAAAATTATGGCGACCCAACCTGAACTCTCCAGACTCACGCAGACGAGTACCTCATTCGCAGCATGTCGTCACTAAAATGTTTCTTTCGACGACCCTGCACGTCATGCATGCTAGCCCTGTGTCTGCCTTGGACGCAATGATACGGCATTGATTTACTCTGCAAAAAGACGGCGGAGAGCGCTAAGGAGCGGTGACCAGAGTCATCATGTGGGAATATTCTGTCTACGTTGTCGCAGAAAGACATCGGCGGAAATCTTGGGACAATCATGATTAGAGGAATCAGCCCGATATATGTCTGTCGGCCTTTGATCGAATGACTGGTACGTTGACCGCAATCATTTGTCCAGGTTACACCGCTTACATTGTTTAGCGAGCATGTAGTTCCACTTAGTCAACATGTCAATCTTTAGCATCGAGACACTTGCCTGACATCTCCCTCGAACAACAGGTCATACATTTATACGGTGATCCAGACCAGGAGTGTCCCCTCTTATGCTTGATGATGATCTGTGTCATCCTTTTAGGTGAAACGTTCTGGGGGCAATTGCATTCAGCTTTAATGATGCCCAAAGGCCACAGGCATCCTGGATCGTGCCCCCCCACCGCCCGTCCACATCGAACGATTTCTGATCGCAGCCTTTTCATTTCGGTGTCTTTAGAACCGGGTCGATATGTCTGTCAAAACCTTGACATTCGCCATGACGCGCCTGGACAGCCAATTCGAGCCATTCCAGGTTCATTTGGCGCTCTTTGGGCAGAGAACGCTCTGCACGAGATCTTTTACGTCGTGCGATCATTTCTCCACCAACGAATCTACAGCCATATGCAGACAACGGCCTTCGAGAAAACGTATTCCCGAAGCACAACTAGGGAAGTGTTGGTCGGTTTTGCCTCGACGAGCAGGCCTGTAAAGTAAGTCCCATGCTTTTCTTGTCGTGCTTCACATACGCCGTCAGCTGTTCAAGGTTCCGAAGTGTGTCAGTCGTTCGGCTGGGAATATGCGCTCTGCAACCGGCCGATCTCGTTCGATTGTTCTCTGCGGGGTCGGGATCAAGGGCGGGCTCGGAGTTAAACAAGCACTGTTTCTTCCTTTCCAACTCGGTGCATTTTTAGAACACACCCATGGATTAGGAATCATCGAACCTGAGGAATACACTCCCACACGTCCTGGAAATTGTCGGATCTCATTCATACGTGCAGTGATGTGCAGGATCCTATGTCGGCTGTGTCGACATTCACGATACGTATACCTGAACTATCCTGTTTTACGCCAGCGCGGAACCGACGAGGGAAGCAGAAAAGTGACCGATGTGTTGGTCCAGGCATTTGCCGTGCTCTATGAATGCACCTGCATGGCTTGGCGGTGGGCGCCTTGGGATAGGAAGCCCCATCTGGTTCGTGGGTAAGAGTGTGTCCTGTAACTGAGCCTGCTGACCTCATTGCGCACGTATACTTAGAATACACAAAGACGCGCACGTTGTGCACCGGTGGGAGTGCGAACTTTATAGGACCTGCTGAGCATGGAAGTCGCTGACTATCCGATGGAGGTGAGAACCCTGCGTACATTTGGAGATCGGTCATTTGCGCTGACTCTTGAGCTTTGCTTCGACGATGCGAAGCAGCGGATGTTTTTCTCGCCGAGCCAACAAAAATGAAAGGCCGGGGCGCACCCGTTCGTTTGTACGGTACTACAACTTTCCAAGTAGTCAATCTGCATAGCTGGCTCTTTCACCATGCATGTCGGTACTAGTGTCGCGTGAGGATATAGCGGATCAAACGAAACCTCCAAGCCGCTCAGCGCAACAACAGGCGACGATGTCGTGGGCGGCTTGTTGAGCTCGGATGAATTTACTCGTAATAGTCGGCTTTCCCTGAAATGAAGATTGGATCAGGAAACGATCCAGGCCTCCCACGCGAGCCGGTGGCGGAGATGCCATATCCCCGGTCCCGGCGTTGGCCCCCGTAGGCTGCGAATGAGTTTCCGCTCACGAGTCCGAATGTATCCATACAGGGATCAATACGAACTTCGTTACATAGACCTTCTTATCCACCCGTTATGTCTCCTTGCCACCATCCCACCCGCCTACTCCCCCCCTCGACGCTGCCACCCCCTCCTCTCCTTGGCCCGTCATGTCTTCGTTCGGCTTGAGCACCTTCCAGGCTCATCCTGGACGATTCATTGGCCCCACCGTCGTAGCGACGCTTATACAGGCTGTCGAGACGGGCTACCTCATCTCCCAGTCGATTCAATTCTGGAGCCGGGCGGATGCAGAATCGTGTTGGATCAGAGCGCTCGTGGGTTTCGTGTCAATAATCGCCTTGTGAGCACAATCCACTTTTCTCCGATCTGAGCACATTTGCGCGATTCCGAGGGATTGCGTCCAGGCTTACCTTTTCGTGGTCAGCTTCCAAACGGGAGCGGCCTTCTGGTCACTGTGGATGATGTGCGTCGAAAACTTCGGAAATTGGGTATGTTTCCGATTAGAAACCTCTGCTCTATCTTACCGTTGTTCCAGGTAGCTAGCCTCAATCCAACGTGGCCACAGCGAGCGTATTCTTTAATTGTATGTTTCCGTTCTATTCGAGTCAGATTTTCGAGTGAATCATCAACGTATAGACTGCACTCATGGCCTCGCCAGTGCAAGGCTTTCTCATATGGCGCTGTTGGCTGGTTTGTAATTCTTGCCGCGGATCTCGAGCAAAGAAGCTGAATGCAGTTGCCTAGCTTCTCGGAAAAAACTGGATCATCGTCGTTCGTCCCCATCTTCTCGTTTCTCCTCGACCTCCTCACCTGATCAGTAACTTAACAACGTGCGCAAACCTGCTGCAGTTTCCCCTCATCTGTGCTGTTCTCGCATCTCTGATCACAAGCATCATGGTAACCGTCGATGTGCTCAAACTGGACTTTGTGTCTCCGTTGACGCAGCCGCCTGTGGGCAAGATTCCGATCGACGTTCCTTGTAGGTCTTGCCTTGCATGCCATAAGGCTACGCTGACGCGCTCGATCTGGAGTTGTACTCTCACTAGTCTTGCCAGCCTGTGAGTCTTACCCCGCCTCGGTGGGAATATATTCTCATACGATGGCATAGTTCTTGATGTGGCCGTGACTGGCATTCGTGAGTATAGCATTGTTGGATCCTAAAAAAGCAGAATGATCTTGTAACACCGCATCGGGCGCAGTACTCACATTCCTTCTGCGATCCCGTGCCGATATATATTCAAAGCGATTTCGCCGCGTAGGTTCCTTTGCCCGTCCATGGCATCGCGAGTAGCTTGACGTGCATCTTGTTTAGGTTGTGACGCGGCTGATGATTGTAGCATGGGAGGCAGCCATCCCACCATGCGCCTGCGCCGTGACGGCGCTCGTCACCTATTTCACGCTCGTGAATGTGAACTACTGGGACCTCACATTCCAAGCCATTCTTGGGAAGCTCTACGTGATCTCTCTGTTCGTCACCCTGTGCGTGTCTTGACCTTCTCTTGTTATCACCCCCGCGACTCAATGCGAAAAGCAGAAACGGTCGCGCCGACATCGACGCGCAGCGCTCGCACTTCCCTACCTTCTCTAATATCATCTCACCGACGACGGGCCCCAGCATACGCGTGAGCCCTTTTCACATGTTACTGGTGTCTTAAAGCTCTGGCCTTCTTTCATGTCTGACTGTTTCGCTTCAGCTATCCAACACACGCCCTCCCGAATTCGTCGCTGCACGCCCTAGCGGGACGATCTCTTTCTCTTCAGTACATCAGACTCCTACCAGCGATGTGGAGACGGAAGGCTCTCAAGACGATTTGGAGCGTGGTCGGCGGTGGATATCCCGGACGCCTGGAAGTGATCTCAAAACATGACTGGTGACCGGCGAGTCTGGGAGTCGATACAGGGCATAATGATAACGATCTTTGGCATATGACCGATGGGCAGCACACAGAGCAACATGTATTGGGATGTGTGGGGACTGGACATGTATTAGAGCATATAATAACCTCAAGTCCGGAGTTTCGGCAGTCCTCTTCATCCCGGCAAGTGTGCATCTGTCTATCGCGGGGGCCCGAGGCAAGGGCTCGAAAATGACACGCGTGATGAATTTCGCGTAAATTCGAAGTCTGGCCAGTGTCTGGCCGCGCAATTTGTCGTTCGCGGCACACGCTGACATACGTCGGTGCACAGTGCGTGCACCCAAGCTATTACTAGGTCTGACGACGAGAACGGCGACTAAACATATGAGCAAGCGCTTCAAGGTCTTTCTCGGTGCTCCTACCCCTGAGGATACATCGTCAAAAATTTCTTGGCAGCATGCCCAATCACGCCCCACACCGTCCGAATCCCCTGGTTCTTCCTCCTATGTCCTGGAAGCTAGTCGCCGCATTTCTACGATATACCAGAACATCGTCTTTAAGGATGGTGATGATGGTGGATCTTTACTAGAGCTTGAAGATGAGCCCATGAGCCCCACGAGTAGGTTGCTGGATGAGACCACTAGATACGGTGAGTGGACTGTCACTCGACATTTATCTGTAACATCTGTGGGATGGTGAATCACTTTTCATGATGCCTCTGAGCGCGCGACGTCTTTGACAACCTTTTCTGTAGAGCGAACGACCTTCATATGGGGCACCCAGTCGCAGCACCAAGACCGGAGTTAAACTACTCTCGAAACACAATTTACAGATTCATACTCCTACAACGAGACTCAATCATCTGATGGGTCTATAGCGCGCTTTTCATCTTTTGATTTCTCGCTGCACACTCTTGTCTCGCTTTCCACGATTAAACCTTTTTTGGAACGCGCAAGGTCTGCGTCTTGATGGCCGTTTTGGAGGTCGATGGCCCCGACGTGATCAAGATCGGGAAGGGGCCAAAGACTGGCAAGGAAATTGGCATGTTCAAGATGATTTTAGGCGACGAGGGTGGGGCGGTCTGTAAGCTGACCGCGTGGAGAGAGGTTGCCGATGTCTGGAGTGGTGTCGCAAGCGAGCCAGGCATCAAACATGGCGACGTCGTTTACCTGGAAAGTACGTCCCATTGATCCTCCTCGGACTACTGGCTCCCAGTAGATTTTCAGACGTGTCAGCATCGTGCGAGCCAGGGACGCCCCTTGCCCTCATCGCGTCCCCGCACCTCGAATCAAAAGCGGAGATACGTTATCGTACTATGCCGCGCACTTCTTTCCCAGAAGTTCAACGCCTTCGATCGGATTTGAGACTCGGGTATAGCGACGCGACGGTTAGGAAAGTCGCGTCTGTGATTGCCTGGTTCGAAAAAATGGCCGATTTGGCGAGCTAGTTCCGCAGGCTTTATTTAACACATCACTTGTATGAGTAGAGCGCATCGTGCCACACACTCGACGTGGCAAACCAAAATAAAACGGACCAGACTTTTTCAGTGCATATATCGTCCAGCGCAGCAGACAGGCATGCTGTGCCGGGATGTGAGTGCAAACATGTGTCACGTGACCCTGTTCTACCACGCGTCGAAGTCGCAGCGTGTTCAGCTTGTTCCGTCGGTTCAGCGTTCAATTAACTCACCGTCTTCCATTCTCCTAGGCGAACACTGCCGACGCACTCGCCAAGGGCGCTCAAGACAGTATGTCGTCCGCGTTGAACATGCGGGCTGACTCGTCCATGCAATCTGTCGGCACTCATCTCGATCTGTCACTAGGCTCGCTCGCATCTGGCTTCTCCACTCCAGCCAAATCCCTGCGGATCCCGTCTACATCTTCAGGGACGACAGCCCCCTCCACAGCCCCCTTGACGACACCATCGCCGCCAACCTACTTCCGACGACCCACGAGCGAGGTCACGCCTGTGGCCCGACGACTTGGGCTCTCGGGACACGACGAGGATGGAGAGGACCCAGAGGTTGATATCTTGAACACCGTGGTGCGCGACAAGAAGTGGGACGAAGGTGCTGATACTCCATTGAATGGCCGCTCGAAACGCGCGCGGACAAGTGCCGCAGGCGCGAAGAGCGTCAACTTGACCCTCCGAGACCAGGAAAAGGTGCGTGTGTTGGTTCATTGCGGCATGCTCTGGGGTGGAACGGTTGCTTGTCTTGTGGGCTGGAGCACTGCTGGGAGGTCCACGGTCAATGGCTCGAGCACTGTCAAATGCTATACCGATGCGCTATGCGCTCACAACCATGAACCCAGCAAGTCATGGTATGTTGGCTTTCGGAGCATTCCATCGCTCCAGCTCATGTTCTCATTATGTCGCCGGACTCCCCTCTGTTTTACGCTTCATCTTTGTCCATGTCCTGATTGATTGTATAATGCTAAAATTCATCTTTTACAGCATATCGACAATTTGAAGAAAGAAAACTTCAACATCAAACTCAAAGTGCACTTTCTTGAAGAGAGGCTTGCTCAATTGGCTCCTGACCATATCGATGCGGCGCTTAAGCAGAATATACATCTTAAAGTCGAGGTGCAGCAACGCGGCATGGAGCTCAAGAAGCTTCGAAAGCTGGTTTTAGAGCTGGAGAAAGAGCTGGAGAGGCTTCAAAAGGGTGGCGGAGGGAGCTCGCGGCGAGAACGGGAGCTAGAGGAAATGCTAGAGGAGCGGGAACGGGAGATTAGGGAGTTACGGCGGCGGCGAGCAGTAGGCCCTGACGATGCGGCACTCAGAGATGCAGAGGAGCGGAACGCAGAGCTGGAAGAGGAACTCGATGGTGTGCGCGGTTTGTTGGAAGAGAACATGGATGAGTTGGAGCGGTTGAGGGTGATCGTGGAGGAGCGGGGGGAAGTACCACCAGCAGGTGACGCTCAGCTGAAGCGGCGGTTTCAAGAAATGGCGGCGGACAATGAGGAACTCAAGGCTGCATTGGAAGAGCATGCGGACCTCGTGGCCCTGAGAGACGACGAGAAGGAGGATTTGCAGGATCAGATGGAGGCGTTGAGGTTGGAGCTTGAGGATTTGCATCGCAGGAGGGAAATCGAGTCCCTAGAGCGGAGTGAAAGCAGAGCCCAGATTTTGGAAGAGAGGGAAGGAAGGGAGATGATAGAGGAAGGTCTGAACGAGCTGAGGGACAAGCTGGCGGCGGCAACGATCGAATTACAGCAAAAGGAGGATGAGCTCGAGTACAAAACACGGGAGATCAACGAGCTGGTCAACGAGCACAGGAGCATATTGGATGATGTCGAGGATAGTTGGAAGAGCGAACTCGACGAAGGGAAGAACCAGATCGAGGAGCTTCGAGACGTCAGTGATCTTATCGAAATCCCCTTACTTTTGGTTCACATATCTTTAACGTTTTCCAGGCACTAGCTGAGCGTGACTCAGAATGCGAGGAGCTGCGCCTGCATATATCCGAGCTGGAGTCGAACACGAATATTTTACACGAAAAATTCGAGGCGGCGCTCGCCCATCTAGAATCAGAATCAGATGAGAAAGACGCTGAAATAGCCGCAGCGAATCGCGAGATTGAGGAGCTCGGCCAGCGAATCTACGAACTCGAGGAGGACAGCGACGAGCTGAAAAAGATGAGCGATCGGATACGGGAGGATGAAGCTGTTGAGCGAGACAGATTAGAAGCACTGGCTGCAGCCCTCAAAGAGGTATTGTCGCACAAACGTTATAACCTGTCACCCTATCTTGATGAAGCTTTCTTCCTCAGAAAGTTACGGTCCTTAAAGACGATCTCGAAGAGATGACGCATCTGTACGAGACCTGCAATCAGGACATCTCGGCACACAGAGCTCGCCAAGAGGAGCTCGCCCACCATGTAGAAGACCTCGTCGAAGAGGTGCGGAAGGAGCGGGAAGCACGGGAACGCGCCGAAGGAGATTTGGCCAAATCAGAACGCGACCATGATGCCGAACTGCGGCGCGAGCACCGTACCCTTGAGGCGAAGGAGTCTGCCTTGCAAAATGCGCTCAATGATCTTTCCCGAGCTCAGTCACTGCTTTCCCAGCGCGATACAGATTTGGCCGCCTTCCAGTCGGCACTGCAGTCCATGGAGGCCGAGTCGAAGAAGCTGGGTGAGAGCCATACGACCGCCCGGTTCTCGTTGCAGCTGGAAGTCGATCGACTCAAGCGTGATCTCGAGCGCCTCGAGGATGAGCTGTCCCGTGCACGAAAGGAGCTTGACGAACGGGAAACTAGGAGCCGCGAACGAGGCGGGATCGTCGATAAACTGCATGCCGAGAACCGGGAATTAGCATCTCAGCTCGCGACGCAGACGCAGGCACGCCTGAACCTCTCGGAGAAGCTGGACACCACGCAGGCAGGTCTGTCTGCGGCAGAGTCCGAGCTGGCCGCTTTCCGCACTCGTGTGCACGAACTCGAGCAGCGCCTCTCGAAAGATCAGCGTTCTCTGTTGACTGCGGAAAGTCAGTACAGGGACCAGTTGACTGAACGAAACACGCTTCTGCTCACCATTTATCAATACATGGACAAAATTCTTGGCGTTGATAAGACTCCCGTAGGTCGCTTCTCCTGATCCAACCAAAGCTTATTCATCTGAATTTTTACACAATCATCAGAAGAAGGGTGGTCAAGCTGAGACGAAGCCCTTCACGAATTTCAGCGTCTTCCACGACAATTTGATTACTCGTCTCAAGTCGCTGAGTCAAATTCAGCTCGACTTCGACAAGCGGGTCAAGGAAGCCGAAACACGATTCGCCGAGAAGTTGATCGATATGAAGAAACAACTCGATCGTCGGTGGACACAGATCGACAAGTTCGAGAGCAGTGTGAGGACATATGCTGAGACCAAGTCAACCTGGCGACGAAAACTCAGCGCCAAGGAAGGAGAATTGGAAGCTGTGAGGGTGAGCCAAATGGAAACGTCATGCATCGTCATGTTGTTCAACTGATTAACAGGCCACAAACTCGGAGCTAACGTCACAATTGGCGAGCCTTCGTCGACCTGGTCCCGGAGACTCGAATGAGGTCCGAGCCCTACACGCCCGCGCCAGCAACGCGGAGCGCCGATTAACCAATGCACAAAACCAACTGGCGGCTGCGGAAGAGAAGATGGCGACGATGAATCAGAAGACTACTGTTGCAGACAGCAAGTGGGAAGCCCGAGTGAAGGAGTATGAGACTCGTTTACGAGCTGCAGAGGAGAAAGTCAAACGAGAGAAGCAGGGGTATAAGGAGCGGGTTGTAGAACTGGAAAATCAACTCAAGTACGTGCCCTTACCTGCTTTCGAGACTCTCTCGACTTAGTACTCTGTAGATCTTTACAGCGGCAGAAGGACTTGGCAGAAAAGCGCATCTCCCAGCTTTCCGACATCGAAGCAAATGTGAAAACAGCACGATCAACACCACCTGCTCGATAGCTCTGACATCCCAACTTGATTCCGATCCTATACTCATTGGCCCCACCTATTTGCTTCTCTCGTTTTTAACCATCCGTTTTCCAAGGCTTTCATCTTTAAAACAACATTTCATGACCCTCTTTTCATCTGTATTCCTATGCATCCACTTGTCAGCTCTAATTAGGAACCTCATAATGCACGCTCAGCTGTTCTCAGTTGCTGGATCACCTCCACGTTGTTCTGAATCCCTGTTTATCCCGTCTATGTTTCTTTATTTTTCTTTGTTTGTCATTTCACAAGTTCCTCCGAAATCCTGTCAATCAGACGAGTACGCGAAAGGTTTTTCGAAGACTGAATTGAGCAAGATCGCAGCGGTGTAGACGAAGGAGGCTTGAGCGTGGGAGTCGAAGCTATCGCGTAATTTTGAGGTATTTTGCACATATTCCCGCCAGTTCTTAACCACGACGTCTGCAATCATGCGCTCTGCTCCGGGGCTTTTGAACATGGCACCACTTAATGGCTCTGATGCATATGGCTCTGGACTCTTTTTTTGGATTTTTGAGTTTGTCGGAAGTAGCGTTCACTTAACGCAGTCGACGTGAGTCTTTCTTCGACGTGATTTTTTCCCCAGGAGACTGGCAGGCTTCACGGCTTGTAGACTGTAATGCCATATGGTTAAAGCAAGAACAGAAAAACACAGTCAGGGGTCATTGTATTATTGCATATATCTATGCTCCTGGAGCAAGTCGAAGATATTTTACACGGAACATCTACTAGTTTGTCTGTGTAGCTTTCCACAGCTTCGGTTATGACGACTAACACTTCAAACTATCCTCACGACCTCGCAATACTGGAATTTTATTTTTTTGAGACAAAAAAGAGCCCAAGTCGACATCCCCTTTGTGGATTTTCGTCTGGGAAGAGGTCATCCAGTCGACTTGAGCAGAAGGCCTAGAACAGAGACGATCGGTAAGTGTCAAATCCAGCCTATTCTGTCCTGTTGTTTCAAACATTCAATCAACCCGATAGCGCTTCGCACAGGCATGGCACAACTCCCCAACTTTGCAGATAAGTAGCATTGCTATTGAATAATGTTCTATGTCCGTTCGTCGGAAACTAAAGCCAAGATTTTAAACTCTCAATACGTAGTGACCTCTTTCGTACTCAGCCCAAGGTCGCAAACCAATCCCGCTGCCCACGTCGCCTCGCTCTGGGCATAGGAACCTTCACCTCTAGCTCCCAGACTGATGTCAAAGCATCGCGCCTCTTTCGAGATCTTTTCACCTCCTGCTTCCTCTGGCGTTTCGTATGTGAGAGTAAAGCAGTGTCTCTTTTCTCTTCTGCACGGGCGATAGCTCTATCGGCATCAGCCAGTAAACTGAGGTAAGTCTCCATCTTCATGATCTCTTCAACGTCTTGCGCACTCAGGCTTGCAAGGTAGTCTCGCATTACTGAGTTTAGCAGGTGGTAATGAGCGACCTTTTCGAGCCACTCGAAGTAGCCAAACGCGAGCATTTTCATCCCATTCTCCATCGACACGGCTGCTAGTTTCCGACTGAGCTCCTCCGGTCGGTTCCGCATTGTCACAAAAAACAGTGAAATCGCAGACAGGGAAAACCATGCATCAGCCGACTCGCTAGCGCGGATCTCAAGCCAGCCATCGGTCTGCGAAGGGTCCGCCCGGTTTGGAAGGGCCGGGATGCCAAACATACGGAGGTCGAGCAGAGTCTCTCGAGATTTCTCACCGCTGTCGACTCGGCGGAATGAAAGCATCGTTGCATGTTCTTTGGAGCGCTCTATAGAGCCAAAGTATTCAGAAAAGCATGGTGACAATGCTGCGCTCTGATCGTCGGCGAGTCGGAGCACTTTGGAAGTGCTGGGCAGGGCCGCAAAGTACGTATGTGACCCAGCAATCCCGCTCCCTGCAGAGTCGCATCCTATCTGGCGAAGGAAGCATTGAGATTCCAACACTGCACTACAAAAATGCTGACAGTTCTGAAATATAGAATGCCAGATCGCGATGATCGACTTTACGACCGCAAGGTAGATGAATGCATGTATCCTGGTCTCGACGAAGGCGCCGTAGGCGGTCTGCCCTTGGAAGCGCACAAGGTGAATGACACTCTGTACATGCTCGCGTTTGACGTGCTCTAATTTTGCGTATCCCAGCCGCTGTACGCTTTTAGCGTGATGGTACTGCAATGCAGACGAGACGAACGAGGTCAGGATGACATCGGACCATGGATCTTTGTTGTTAATTTGAACAAAGATGCCGTCCAATCACCTGTTTGACTAAGGCAAACGGCGAGAGTGTTGGAATTCGACACTCCCTACCAGAAGGGATGTTGCGCAAGTCCGTAGAATCGAGGCGATACGAATAGAGGTCTCTTCCGGACGTAAGGGGAACAATGCGCGATGAGGGACGTTTTCCACGTGGGTTGAACAGACCTGTCACGAGAACACCATCGATGCTGGTTCACATATCTCAAGTCAGAAGGTATGCCGCCTTTATTCCGGCCGGAAAAACGCTCACAGACTGTCCTCCGTTTTGACGCCCGTCTCGAATCGCAGCGGACTGTAAATGATAGATCCGTGTGCATTTCCCCAATGCAGCGTGCTACGAGTCGCAAATCGTAATTTTGGATGGCTAAACATCCAGTCTAGCGCGTCAACGCCGGTTCCCAGCGTATCTCCACGGTGTTCCAACAGGACAGAACAATCAAACAGCCGTTTCCCAAACTTGACACTGTCCAAATTTAGCAACGAGAAGCGCTTGCATACCTATAGTTTGTAGCAAACAGAGAACAATATGCCGAAACGCCTTCTCATCTTCTGGCGGGTTGAACGGCTCCGAACTTGGTGGTTGGCTAGTCACATTGTCTTTGGAGAGCGCCGTAAGATTTATTTTCGAACATCTTCCAACATCAAAGGACAGTGATAGGATGGCGTTGATAGCCTCGATGGCTGAAGACCAGAACAACTAGTTGATTGCAGAGGCAATCGCGTCTTTGCCTTGGTCAGGTCACGTCGTCCATGTAGGCCAAGATCGGTTGTCGTCCTTTGGTTTCTTTTCCATGGCGGGAAAACGGTCGGTGCTGTCCCCATGGAATGACGCAGCTGCGCTCATATCGTCCCAGGTCAGAGTCTACGGCACGTTTAGCAGGTCAGCGTCTAAAATTCGAAGAAGCATGAAGGTGGTAGTTCCCTCTGCGGATAGCAACCTGATTTAAGAATAGTACTTGCTAGGCGCCGTGACGACTGTACCTTCAGCCTTTGTCTCGCACGTTCTCAATACCACTCGAGCTCGGACTGGACATGGAGAGCACTCACAGCACTAGCAGGGCCGGTTCGCTTTCCACAGCGATGACAATCGGCGCATCCGGCCAGGTCTGTGCTAGTACCCAGTCTGGTCGAGCCTCCCAGAACCTTGCAGCGGTCGTGGGAGCATTTGCTAGAGCGTTCGAGAACGGCGAGATCAGTGAGTCGCACACGCTGTAATATCCTGGAGCTAGAGGAGTATTTTGGAGCCATCTGATAGGCAGGCTGATACGTTGCTTGCAGGTCTGCCTCAGGTGAAGGAGGCGCTCGACGGACTAGCTGTGTCCTCGGATGAAGAAGAGAGCGACGCCGTCGACCTTTCCTTTGCAATCACCCTAGAGAGTTGGACAAGGTCTGTGTGATATGTTGCGCGTCATTTGGCCCATTAGCCTACGCTCCCAGAGATGAATTCAACACCCCACTTGTTCCATATGCGCGCTTCTCCGTTTGGGCAGCCGCGGAGGTCTATTCCCTTCAAACGCAGGATGCTATCTCCTCATTCAAGAGCGGTGCCCGAGCCCTGCTCATCAGTGCTCAGCCGACATCTGCAGAACTCATTGATGCTTCGCCAGAAAAGTACTGGAAGAATACAGAAAATTGGGCTTCGTTTAAAGACACCGCAACCGGCGCCTTGTGTTTGTCCGTTCGTGGAACTGCGACAAGCGGGTTCCTCCAATCTTTTGCGGACAACATGACCAGTATCGATGCCAACGCCTACAATACCACTCTCTTTGATAACAAGGTAGGCGTGCAGCCATGTATATACTCGGAGACTCAAATACATTGTGCGGCGGCACAACAACACAAACCCCTTCCAGGTTCACCGAGGCTTCCTCGACGTTGTGCAGGCCGTGTATTCCGACGTCAGACGTCAGGGAGGCAATAGTTCGAGCCTCAACCGATTTCTCTACACTTATCTTTACCAGTCATTCGGCAGGAGGAGGAACAGCCTTCCTCTTGTATTGCCTCTTTCACTCTAAAGATATTGGCCTTTTCAACAAATGTACGTTGAACGACGGTTAAGTTTATGGCCAGCTAACAATGCCATCTAAGGCAGTCGATGCCGTGCACTGCATCACCTTTGATTCTGCGGCTATCGCATCTGTCCCTAATCCTATATCATCAGGATGCCCGACCAACCGTGTCATCTTTTTTGTCAATCTGAAAGATCCTGTTCCCCGTGCCGATCTCGCCTACGCACTCTGGGTGGTGGATGCTCTTGGGAAGTACCTAACGCGGATCACGGACGATTCAAAAATGCCTGCATATACTCCCTTGCCGCCGCAGCTGCTATTTCCTGGTGGAGAGATGGTCCTGCTTGATGGGGACGGGGATGCAGCGGAAAATCTGACGCCCAGCATGCTTCAAAGTCTCGCATTTCTTGATCTGCAAGCGCACGGTAAGAAGGAGTATGTCCGAGTGGTGCAGAGTGTGTTTGCATCACTGAAGTGAGCTCAGTCGCTGGATTCGTTGTGTGGAGTGTATCATGCCTGTGACATACATAGCATACGAAACGAATATGACGTGGTTTCTGTATGTATACGCATCTTATTTCCACACATCAACGATGGAAGCAAAGTGTACTCGTTGTTACCATGATATACCAGGTAAAGCCCTCGCTGGGAAATCAATTGAGGATTCGGTGACAGATAGATGATTGATACTACATACTCTGCAGATGGTTTCCTGCTCAGTAAGTTCACCGTCACATTTCCATACATATGATTGCTAAAAACAAATGAGGCTGCACTGATTTGGGATCTTTTACGGGACGAGTGAGCTTCTGGAACCTCCGGCACTGCGGCTTGCCGACAGACTGTCGTGGCAATTGTTGACGTAAGCATCGTGGCCTGCGTTGAGGATGAACCAGACACTTGGCGTTCGACGGTTGACCGAGTGGAGCGGTTGTTCTTTCGGAGTGCTCCCAGCCATCCAAGCAGCTTGCAATGAGAAGCGATTCGCACTCCTCAGCTACCAAAACCGAGAAGAAATCTGTAATATATTCCTAGGTGCGTAGCAGCGCCCCACTTTTTGTCAGATGCTCAGCAACCAGAGATCGCTAAGTATGGCGAACTGTGAATCTTAGGGGCATACAGTAGGATCACCAAATATGCGTCCGAGCAGCGGTTCTCTTTCACCCGATGTTGATGATTCTATTATCACGGAAGATGCACAGAACACCAAACCATTTATAGAATTCAACAATCTGCGTCCACTCACTCGCAAGCAGGAACGGAAGTTGATGGATCATCTAGAAGAGAGATTTCTCGACTTAACGAGGAATTACAAGAAGCGGTACTTGTTATCTGCCCCCATACAAAGTCACTAGTATCTAACATGAACCTTGTAAATAGATCTGAGGTCTCGTCCACTTTACCCACTTTGTCCTCCTATCTCCAAGCCACGCGCATCATTCTCTCGCTCGTTCTGCAAATTCCTCCATTGGATCCATCGACATCTTTGCGCACTGCGTATCTTCTTCGTCTGACCAATGACATCATGCACTCCATCCCTGGATATCTTCCGGATACCGACACGCTTCCCGAGCTCCTTGAATGGCTAGATGTCCTCGATCGTGGCTGGCTTGCAGTCCTACACTCACAAGCATGGGATCCCGTCCTGAGTGAGGGAGTCGATGTCATCTTGACCCCAGGAGCTCCGATTATGCGCTCGTCGCCTGTCACCCAGACAGAACGGACGCGCCTGAGGAGCTTGCTCGTGACGGGGACGGGGACAATGGAAGAGTGGATGGAAAGTCTGGATACAGAGGAAGAGGATTACAACAGCGCGCTGGAGAGGCTCGGCCTGCAGTCGGGATTCGATCAGCTGTTTTTTAGGTCTCTCACCGCAATGGGAGGGTTAGGAAGCGCGGCCAGCGACCCTGCTGGGATGGTAGGGTGAACTTTTCATGTGTTTTTCTCCCCTGTGACGCTAGCAAGAGCAAGCAATTCTCATGGACGTGGCATTTTCTTCCCTATGTCTTGTAGACATCGCCAATGCTGACGGTGGATGTGCATATTCAACGTTCCTCTCCTATTTACCCCATGCTGCACCTGTACATCCTCAAGATCACCATCCTAGTACTCGGTGGTAAGAACAACGCTGTGCTCGACAATCTGTTTATTGCATTATCATAAACATGATGGTAACATTCAGTGTCTTACCTAGACTGTCTATTCAAGGGCAAACACTAAGAATGCTGCAACAGAAAAGGATGAAACAATCGTCTCCAAATGTCGGTGAAACCACTCTTCGCCTACTCCTGAGACCCTTCGTCCAAATCCATCCACCCTCCATCATACGTTGAATCCGGCACCGCTCGAGGGTCGTTCAACTTGTGCGGCACTATCTTCTTCCCGTTCTAAGTCACATTCCCCTTCCCATGCAGGAGCCTGTTAAGCCGACCTGAAAAGGAATTCGAAGACTGAAGGTCCAGTTGATCCAATTGCAGGTTCGCTAATTGCTGCCCCTTAATGAAAGGGTACACGGCATGAGCGAGCGCTCCACCGCGTCTCGGCGTCTTCGAAGTTTCGATAACGAGCCTCTCCAAACGAGGAAAGAGAAATTCGCCCGAACGCCCACCGATGGAAGGAGTGGCGGCTCGAAGAAAGTTGGATAAGTCATGGTGTTCATAGACTGTTACTTCTTCCACCTGGGATAGAGTTCGAAGCGCTGATAGCCAGTAAGGCACAGAAAATTTCCAGTCCGACAAACCCAAGGTCAAAGTCTGCACATCTGCGAGAGGCATAAACCTGATTATCGAATCAAGAGATTAATGGAGCTTCGATATCCCCGGGAGCCTGTGCTGATGCCATGCATAGGAGAAACATAATGGAGATTGGACAGGGCCAAGGATGTCTTCGGGCGGTAAATCTGTTGTCCTCTCGCCTTCGGGCCACGAAAAACACTGGAGCATCTTATCTTGTTTGCCACCATAATATAGGACGATGCTGCGGATAGAACGTGGCAACGCGTTCGGCTGTCCCAAGAACCTCGACATAGCAGCTGTCATGCGATCCAAAGCCTCCACAGACATGTTGTCTGCATAATTGACGAGGTGCAGGCATGCAAGCAAAGGGAGGTAGAGGTCAGGGAGCAAGTGAAGGGCAGTGGGTTCACCTGTTGAGGTATCTGGATAGAAGGTTGCAAGGAGAGTCTACAGATCGGGCAAAGTCACTGTCGTTATCGAGTCAGGGTTTATGCGCGAGGGATATTCATTGATCCTCCCGATGTTCGCAGAGCGTAGATGCGGGACCCTCTGGAGCAGAGATTGTAATTCAGGAATCGTGACACAGGATTTTGCTGTAAGGTGTTTTAAACCGGCCAAAGTATATGATCCATCCTCTATCCAAACTCCATCACCTAGCATCAATTCGGTAAGACGGTAAGCATTCTTGATAAAATTTGTAGGAATGACTGAAGGTTTGTGGCCGTCGCGCACATAACTTATGGTTAAAGACATCTTTTCGAGTGCAGGGGCCGGGCTAGTGAGACCATCCAAGACACGGCTCGTGCTATATTCATATCCCTCGATATCTAGTGTGCGAATTCGTCCAATACGTGGGAAAATAGTTTAGGCGACCTGATTGTCGGTGATTTTCAGAGCAACATCAATGACTTGCTTCGGAGGTAATTTTTCAATGCAGAGGTCGAACCGCTGTTTAGAATCGGAGGCAATAGTAGACCACAAGCGAGAATAGCCAAGTGCAACGCGACACCATCGGCTACAGATACGCGTGATTTGGAGCCATTCCGGATACGGTGTCAGCCGTAGATATACACAGCCTGCTGCAAAGACCAGTCGCTGGTGATGCCTCTCCTGTCTATCGAGGCAGAAGTGGAAATGTCTCTCCAATACCTCGTTTGGTGTTTGCGAAATGGGCAATGCCTCGTTGTGTGCTCGAGGATCAACAATCCTGATATCCAGATCGGGTGTGAGGAGGTGTCGCGAGATCTGGTTAACGTTGCGCAAGTCGAATAGAATGAGTTGACCGGTAGCAGGACGCGGTACGGACTGGGCTTCTTCCTGAAAGGACGTCAGTGCTGTGACAGTGAAAGTGTCTAAAGGAGCCTTACCATTGTGGATTCGTGATTCACGAAGGGGCAGCAGTGAGAGTCTTCCCCACCAATGCTATAGATGAACAGGATTGAGCGTTCTTGATGACATCGGCATCGTGTGGATGTGCTGACCTACTTGGTGCGTGCGTGTGTGCTTTGTAGTTCAAGCTAAGAAAGCTGGGTGATTGGTGAATTGTGGTCTCTGGCAGTGATGATATTGACAGAGAGTCGTTGTGAAAAGGAGCTCAAAGCACAATTCGCACTCAGGCGCAGTGCGCAGAGTGTGTGCAGCGAGCCTCAGCAGGACTCGGCATCAACGCAACTATTTCGTCCTATGCGGCTGCGTCCGGTCTCTGTCTGACGCGGACGTCTCAATATTTCAGGGAGCGCCATGAAACGAGGAAATTTGTCTCTCACATTGAGATCGCTTGCGTGAATATGTACGAAACGCGTCTTTGTCGCATCCCAGTCAAATTTACCTGTACAGAGCATCGGGGGTTGAAGACGGATTACTAACGTTAAGAGACAATTCGTGCGGAAGCCACCTATTACATCGTTGTTAGCGTTCTCATTGTCGCCTGCGCACGCAGAAGACCGCCAGCGAGGGGGTCGATGCCGACAACGCTAGGTAGAACGATGTGGGGATGTGCGCCTATGAAGTCGCCACAGACGACATCGTGTGAGATAGACCATCAAGGCTGACCTTGGAGAAAGATTGTTCACATAGAGAAGTAATGATGAGATCAACGCAGACAAAATCAAGTGGGTCGCCGGGTGGTCATTGTTCAGTGTCTTTTGGGCTGATCGCCTCTGCCACGGAAAGAAAGTCAGCCAGACGAAACCGCTCTTATAGAGTCCAGAACAAGCTCTGCGGACTGAAGAGACTCACAATAGCGGCAATCAATCCATCCGTTGCGAATGAGACGAGAGGGTTGACCTCATCCCGGTTTGGACTCCTCGTGCCCATCCCACCACTCACCGATCTGCTCTATGGTGACGCTGGTACTTGAGGAACATCCCTCAGACGACTGACTCGATTTATGTGTAGGTTAGGAATGTATTGATTGGCATGCTTTATGATGCGAGATGCTTAAAAGCCTGAGAGGCTTGGTATGAAGGGCTTGAAAATCGATGGGAAGTAAAAGGAAGCGGAGAATAAGATACACGACAGCATTTTGAAGAGTCTACCGTTTCCTGTGCGAGCGACGACTTTCCGCTATATTCAAGACCCGTTATAAGCAAGCGATGGACGAAAAGATATGCGTGAGACGTGCCTTTCGTCTTCGCCTTCTTTGGCGTTCCTTTGCCTCTTTTCTTTTTTGCATCGACGTCCTGCACCCTCTGTTGCTCCTTCAGATCCACCAAGTCCCAGCCAGGGTTCCATGAATTAAGTTGGGCGATGGAGACTTCGCGGGGGTAGTAGTTGAGCATCGAAGGGCCCACCAGCCGTTTACGCAGGTACTTGGCACCGGTGCGCATGGATGTGGGGTTGAAGGACGTTTGGAATATGGAGCATCGCAGACGCGCGAGCGCTGCGAGACGAGAGGGTGCAACTGAAGCCATGCTGGCAATGGAGGAGGAACTCGAGGAGAGCCCAAGGAGAACGATTCCCACGGCTCCTATGCTCTACACCTCGTCGTAAATTTGCCGCTTGGACACGGCGTCGTCCTCCACAGTCCCCAACAATCTCCTCTGGACAAATCCACGACCCATAAATCTGCGCCCAGAACCTTTGAAACGAGGCATAGCACAAGTCGTTTCGTGTATGCAGCGCGTCCCTCTCTCCATCTGCTCGCATTGCCGTGTACGTTCCAACCTCGCTGCACATCTCGAAAGTCGCTTCTTCACCAGAAGATATGCCAGCCTTCGTCCTTCGAACATAGTTCCTTCCCATGCCTTGCCAATCCCGCCAAATCCTTCTTGGCCACCGCCTTCGAATGCGCCGCGCGACCGCGTACCGCACGGCTCGAAGTCGAAACTTAGATCGAAGCCAAAGTCTGCGTCCACGCTCTCAGCTGACCAAATCTTGGACACATTGCAAAGCGAAGTCGCTTTCTGGTCTAAGGCAGGCAATGTGCGGGCCAGGTTAGGACGCTTCGGCATTCCTGCAAAAGAACTTCGTCCCCTCATGAACGCGTTCGAGAATGACATGTACAATGGCATCGCGTTCGACCCGGCTACCTATAGCAAAGATCGTATGGCCCGCTTCGCCCGGGACCTCTCCGGACCCGACAAATCCTCCACTCTCGACTCCATGCTAACGTCTATATTCTATGCATGGGCCTCCGACCCTGCGCGCGGAGACCTTGTCTCTCCTGGAACCCTCCACTACGTGCGCGCCCTTCGAAAATCGGTCGACTTTTCACGCCTCGCCGACGCGTTCCCCCATGCTCGCGCAATTCATCGCAAAGTCATCATGCATGTCGGGCCCACGAACAGCGGAAAGACGCACAATGCTCTCCGTGCGCTCGCTGCCGCCTCCTCCGGGACCTATCTCGGGCCCCTGCGCCTGCTCGCGCACGAGATCTACGAGCGACTAAATACAGGTCAGATCGTCCCCCTCGGTGCAGATCCTGAGAACGACCCCGTCATCGAGCCCGCTGACGACAGCAACTTTGACACCGATCCGTCTCAGCCCCGTACGATCCGCAAGATCGGCGACCCGCGCTACGCGAGGGCCTGTAACTTAATCACAGGCGAGGAATCGAAACTCCTGGAGAATGCAGCGCTCTCTAGCTGTACGGTGGAGATGTTTATGCCGCAGCGACGGTATGAGGTGGTGGTGCTGGACGAGATTCAGATGATTGCAGATCCTTTCCGCGGAAACGCTTGGACAACCGCCGTGCTCGGTGCCTGTGCGAACGAGTTGCACTTATGCGGAGAAGAGACGGCCGTGCCCATCATCCAGGCCTTGCTTGCCGACACCGGGGACGAACTCATCATCAATAGACATCAGCGTTTGTCGCCCCTCACCATCGCCGACACTAGTCTCTCGTCTGATCTCAGCCAGATCCGGAAAGGAGACTGCATCGTCACGTTCAGCCGCTCACACATCTTCCGGTTGAAGGAGCAAGTCGAAAGGGTGACAGGCCTTCGGTGCGCAATCGCGTATGGGCGTCTGCCTCCTGAGATACGCACCGAGCAAGCTGCGCTGTTCAATGACCCAGACAGCGGGTACGATGTCTTAATAGGCAGTGACGCCATCGGCATGGGCCTGAACTTGTGAGTACGCCTGAGAGGTTTTCCTTGACCAATGTCAACTCCTTTTCTCTTTCTCTCTTTTAGGAAGATCAAGCGTGTCGTGTTCGATGCCCTTGAGAAATTCGATGGAAGCAAGGTGAAGCCGCTTTCCAACTCGCAAATCAAACAAATCGGCGGACGGGCTGGGCGCTTCGGACTTCATGGCGACGGAGATCAAGGCGGCATCGTGACGACCCTCAACCCGGACGACCTGCCCCGCCTGCGGGTGGCCATGGAGGCGCCGATCCAGTACATTACTTATGCGCGTGTCGGATTCGGCCCGGGCGTGTTCGAGAACGTCCTCAGCGCGCTGCCTCCCGGCGCATCTAACATGACCGCGCTCGAGGTGCTTCAATACGTGTCGTGGCTCACGCCGACGCTGGAACCGGTAGAGCTGGGTTGGAACGAACTTGCGGCTGCGGGCTTCGTAGACGAATTCTCGGAGGGGCTCTCGATGCACGATCGCGGCGTATTTGGGAACGCGCCGTTTCCGATGCGGGATTTGGTGTGCAAGGAGTGCGTCGGGCGGATGTTCAAACTCTTCCGTGACCAAGGTCGGGTGGACCTTCGCCGCGTACTAGAGTCAACGGACTTGCTGGAGGACCTGAATGACGTTCTGCGGATGATGAATGCCAAAACTGGCGAACGTGTGTCCCCAAACGTCCTCGGGAGACTGGAGACGCTGCACAGAGTCCTCTCTACCTACAACTGGCTCTACGTCCAGCGTCCCGTTGCTTTCTTCGCGAAGGACCAGGCCACGGCGCTGAAAGAGTCTGTGGAGCGGGCGATGGAGTATAGTCTGCGGACGAATGCGGCGAATCGGACGACCCCGGCTGTATCAAAGAAGCTAGTGAAGAGCCGCGTCGATTTGCGGTCCATGGGCAGAAAACGGGCCTAGTCCGACTCTCGCGCCGTCTTATCCATGTTTCCTCGCCCATGTTAATCAGGTCTTGCTCCTTGAGGATGAGTCCCAGCGAGTATCGTTGATCTTATGTCACTGAATAGCATTGCGGTGGACGGGCCATAGGAGAGCCACTGTCATTTACTTATGTCAAATATCCTCATAAGTGAGCACAGCGTACATTTAGATTAGTGAATTTCCACCCTTCTCTCTTCGCTCGACTCCTTATAGATTTTGGGTCACCGGCAGCTATTTATGGGAAGAGATACTTTTCCAAGCTCTTAATAAAATAGTCTCACACCGACTTCACGAGAGTAAGGTTAGGAAATCGTGGAGAAAGGTCGACAGTATATGCGTCTATGCTCGCATTAGCAACATATGCGTACCCTACTGCCTAGAATATTAGGCATGCGTAGCTAGCAGCTCGCCTGTGCAGTCTCAAAGAGAGTTTCTACATCCAAATTGTCGCGTTCAAATGATTCCACTGCAATCCTAATTCCAGAATTGTACTCGTCAAGGTGCATAAAATGTCTACTCGTCTCTCTTAATCGAATAACTTCTCTTATACAAGGCTCCGTCCAACTCCCGCTTAGAGCTGGTCGGCGACCAGTCCGCCAACCACGTCTTCATACTAGCCAACGCCTGGGTGTGCACATCGAGAATTGTATCGTCGACCAGCGCGTTCCTGGTGAGAAGGTCTGAGCAGTGGAAGCCATCGCTCACTACGACCGGCTGGCTCTCTGTACCCTGAACGTTCACACCGTCGGCAGAAAGCGTTGCCTCGCGCCATGGATCGCCTGCAATGGAGGAGCAAATCAGGAATGTGGTGAACACCCCAAGGCTCTGTGACAGACACGCACGTTGGCCGTTGGCAAAGAAAAGGCGGTCAACCGTGACATTCCAACCGTGGTATGCCACATTTGTTTCCTCGACATCGATCGTAGGTGTTGAGTCCCATGCAGCAGGGAATTGTTCCTGACATTGCCTCTGCAATTATACAAGATGTGAGTCTGAATTTATAAGATGGGAAGTTTAGACAAACTCACCGCTTCAGTTGCCACGGTGTTCAGGCGAGACACGAGGGTGGGATGATCGGCTGGCGCTCCAACCTGCAGGAAACCGACTTCATTGCATCTGTAAATCCCAGTCGCCGTTAAGTTTCAAGATGTAACCTCTATTCTAAGAACTTACACTATCCAAGACCACGATCGCTGAGCATTATTGACCGAGATATCAGTCCAGAAGGTCTGATTTGATAGATATGTGCTAAGACAATCTCTATTCAAGGAGATATATCAGTCTTCCGAGATTGTAGCAATAGCCTGCCGGAATGACGTACTCTGCGTTCACTGTGCCACAGACTGATGGGCAGTCAGCATCACGCTGGAAATGTTCACTCAGTGACCGCTTACGTTTCGGAAGATAAGTGTTCTTAAAGTACGATCCCCAAGCGCTGACAGCATGATCAGCACCCCAGCCGCTCTCGGATGCGCTGACGCCGTCTTTTACTTCCAGAGCGTCGCAGAAATCGAAGAACTTGGTCCCAGGACCCGAAGAAGGTTCCAAGAGTTGCCAGTCCCATAGGTTGTTGCGCACTAAAAATTGGCCAAATGACGGTCAATCGCTTGAGTAACGCAGTCAGAATCAGTGAGACGTACATGCTCCCGTGACATCGTCGAGGTGTGTAACATTTGCCATACCGTATTCGTCTTTGAGGGCATCAATTTCAGATTGCGTCCCGTTCTCGAAGACATTATCAAAGTGCGCAATCACCGCCTCAACATCGGCGGAGCAGTTTTTGGCCATAGATTGGCGGATAGGCTCAAAGTATCCCCAGAAGTCGCTACAAAGAAATGTGAAGGTTGTGAGGTTAGTCGACTGGGAAGGTAACTTCGCCTACACAATGTTCTGCACGGTTGCAGAAGACGCGTACCCAGCCCAGAAAAGGCCAGGTTTACTATTAGGCAATATTTAATTAGATTATTGAAGAGCTAGTGAAGGCCAGCTTACTTGACCATAGTATAACTCGTAAGCGCGCCTTGTATTCAAGATCAGGGGGTTGTGCGCCGATTTTCAATTGGATAGCTTACCGCCATAGCTTCCACCGATCAAGATCCAGGGCGCTTGACCAGGCGCAACAGCGTCTCCGCCGGGCATAGCCAGTTGAACATTTTTCGCAAAGTACTCGAGGTCGTCGATCGCTTGTTGAATTGTGTGGTATTTCAAGCTCGCGACGGACAGGTTGTTGTACGGGTTCGATAACCCATAAAACCGATGTTCGAGAACGATCGTCGCACCATTTTGCTGCTGAGCTACTTTTCCGTTTAGAGTCGAGTTCCTGAGGTACCCAGTGTAGTCTGGTCATGAGAAAATGTGAGAGGAAGGCCAACAATGCTTGAGCGGTAACAGCCTACCTTCGACGTTCTCTTCCCCCGGCGTGAATAAGATGATCGGTCCACCTGAGAATCAACCCATGTCAGCGGTATTTGGCTGCGAGAAGTAATTGATAAATAACTTGCCAGACTCGTAAAACTCCCATGTGTGGTAGTACCGTTGTTTGAACGTGCCCAAGCTGGGATCGTTGTGGTCTATAAGCTGGTCAAAGTAGTACGTTGTGTTGTATGGAGGAAGTGTAGCGGCTAACGACGCATGCACAACAGGACCTGTTGGCGTGGCAATGCGAGGAACGCCTGGTCTGGGAGGTGTATTTGCGTGCAGACGTCCATCTGGGATTCTGCCAAGAGCAAGTCCAGAGGAGGATAGCAAAGGAAGAACGACAGTAAGCAGACGCATCATCGTCACGTAGACCCCGATGAACTCAAAGCAGAGGGGGGTGGGAGGTGACCATTTTCTCTGCAGCCTCTTTTATGTGTTTTCTGACCAAGGCACCCTGCGCCGCCTGCCGCCAATGAGCTGCGAATACCGTCGGACAATTCATTCATATTCAATTGGAATATCGAAAGATCATCCATGCTGTCCTCCTTTCTTCCGGACGGGTGAATTATAGGTATTCGTCTTGAACATAGCGCAGCGGGTCTGGAGAGGTCGGGACAGGTGGTGTGATGAACATCATGTGTCAGGGAAGCAGGGACCGAGGAAGAATCGGGATGGCATGCCCCCTTGCAAGCTGTTGAAGTACGAATGGGTGCACTGGTGACTGCCTTGCTTGCGCATGTCATTTGTGAGGAAAGTGAATGCCTAACAATGTTTGTATCTGGGAACTTACTGGAGATGATTCATGCGACGATATTTCTACCAGGTCTACCCTGCTTACCCTGCTCTATCCCACTCCCGGATCGCATCGAAGCGTCATATTTCATAAACGGCCGCCATAGAGATAGCTGATGAAAGAAAACAGAGTCATGCCGAAGGTGTATAACCCTGTGCTATCCTTCCGGCAGTGTTCGGCCAGAAAACCGTAAAAAATATTCTATAGCTTTGAAATGGGACTCTGAGAGGGTGAGACTTGGCAAGTATACTGGAAAACACTCACACTACATTCATGTGTACTTAAATATACTGGAAGGCTAGTATGTCATTGAGCGGAACGTTTCCGGTGATTTTGAGGGGTGTTCGGTAATTTCTCCGCACGATGGTCACGACGATGTCACGGAGCTGTGATTGCCGCATTCCAACTCCGCTTCCAGGAGGCCTGGATTACGTTGCTTTCTCTGGATATTTCCAAATGGGCCGCTGACGGAGATTGAACTAAGTTCCTAATTCGTCAAGTGTGACTTTGCTGTCGTGCTCGACGAGGACGATGTTCTGCAATTCAGCGATGACACTGGATCTGTCCCCGGAGAGATTTGTACAGTATAGATATACCTTATGCTACCTCAGTCAAGTATCTCCATGCAAATCAGACAAGATTGGCTGGCTCAAGTGAGCAAACAGATTTTACCAAACAGGTATTCCTTGAACCATCTCTCCTCCCGTTAACTTCTTGGCCTCAGATTTTTTCTGAAACCTCGGTAATGATATCCAAATAACCTACAGTTGTTTTGAAGAAGATCTATTGAGAACTCATTGCTCCTCGAGCGATTACTGAACACTGCTAAATTACCAAACACTATATTAGTGATAGTATGCCATCTCAAGTCCATTGAAAGAGTGAAATATGAAAATAAGTAACAGAGTAAAGCAAGAACAAAGGGGACAGGCACCAGCAATTTCTGTTCCATTTCATTAGCCCACTGCCCAGCCCTAGTATGATGGTCTATTTTTCTCGAAGCAATGATGAGTGATGACCACCCTTCGAAAATGAAAGAAACAAAATTGACAGGTAAGTGGGTAAATACAATATTTGCTCAGAAAGTGTCAAATAAACATTCCAAAAGCCACTGTCATGCTTGAATGTGCTAGTTTTATAATCTAGGGTTAATAGAAATGGCAGAAAGAATACAAACTTACAGATCCATTATAAGATGCATTTAGATATGGATACCACTAGGCCATTCAAGGGCAAGGGTGCATGCAACCTGAAGCAAGGTTTAGGACTGGATGGATCTCACTAAGGCCTCCCACTTGGCCAAACAGATTTGTATACACAGGAGTTTTGCCTCCTCAATTGTCACAAACAGCTGTTTGGGACGAGAGATTCCTAGTCCACAAGTTGATACCCCAAATGATGAGATAATGACAAAGAGAATGGATGTAAAGGGGTGAGACTGATCAGACCAATGCTTGAGAATCAGGGAAGACTGGTTAACAACGGTTCCTAGATTAGGCAGAGGTGGATAGCCTAAGGCTTCCCTACTGTACCGCAACGACTATAAATATGTACAAGCAAGAGCACGGACTTACTAGCAGTGGATCAGGAACACAAGGTATAGTCGGGAGAAAGGTCCTATGTGTCCTTATATGGATCGTGGGAACAGCAAGAAAGGTATAGTAGGCAGTTCATAACATTACCCCCCCCTTTAGGCCATCAGTGCCAGAGATGGTAAGTCAAAGAGTTCGAGAGAAAAACATAAGCAATGCACATAGAAGTGAAAGTCGTAAACAAATAATACTTAGGGCACTAATTCTTGCTGCCCACTGTTGAGTCATGACACGATAGCCCTTGAGTACGGACATCATGATACCTTACTTTGTTAGAACCACACGGGGACTGCATCCTAGAACTGAATCCCTTTTCTCATCGTGGCAGTGAGTACTGGCCCAACGGATTTGAACTGTTGTCTGCCCCGGCAGTTTAACATCATACCGGATGATGATCATTTCCTTCAAAGGGTGCAGTGATGGTTGATGAGAGGAAGTGCATTGGAGTCACTAGAGTTGTACTCAATGATGGGGGGTCTGGTGCGTGTAGGTGGGCGTCAGAGTCTGAAGGTCAGGGGTACGGCCTGAAAATGAGGGGAAGGACATGTGAATCTATAGATCTCTCAATCGGGGCTGGTGGGATAAGTCCCCAGCATCAGGCAAAGTGGACCTCTATTTGAAGCCAAAGATGAGGCGCAAGATACTACAGCCGTGGACAGCATGTAGTATTCATTGGCAGGAGTGGGGTCATTGGCTGGATGAAATGTATCATCATCTGGAAAACCACCCTCTTGTATTAGCTCCAGATTATATCTAATAGTGTCTAAAAGTATCTAAAAGTGTTAATAGTATCTAAAAGTGTCTAATTTCCTAATTGGGAGCAATACATTGTGAGCATTGGATTGGATTCTAATTTCATGATATTAGCACTAATTCTATACTAAGAAGTCTTTAATTATCAGTAGGAAATAGTAAGTACCACTGCTCTATCAGTGAGAAGGTAAAAATGTGGCACATTCTATACTATTTTAGCACATTACTCTCCTTCATATATGCCTATACCATTATCTTGTAGCTCTTTTGCTGACTTTCCAGCTGCTTTTACAAGGGACATAGAAAGAGAGAAATATGCATTGATGCCCCAGCCACTTTGTTGGTAGCTTGGCAGCTGCCACAAGAGGCTATGAAGACCTAGGTACCTTGTCCTTGCACACAAGATCATTAAAGTTGTCATTGTTAGCCAATGCCTGCTACTGGTCATTATAGGACACAACATGTGAGTTGGGCTTAGGGATATGCTATATGCAGCCTTGTAGACCTTGTCTATTAGTACAGTGGTTAATACTGTCTTGTGCAGCACACAATCATCACCACTATTGATATTACAATTTTTAGCACTATTTATATTGTTTATTGCCTTATTATACAGAAGATGCTCAAACTTGGTGTTTTCCTCTAGCTATTAGGCTGTGGAAAAGACAGTTATATTGGTATGTGGTGCCAGAATAATATATTTGCCCGCTATGTAGGAAATATGTGCACTAAGCATATCAAGATCATCTCTAACAATCTTGTGCTTATTTATATATAGGCATGCCATATATATACCCTTGTCCCTACCCTCCATCTCACTAGTGGCCATTTGGAAAACCCCTCTCTCTTATTGGATCTTAATTATTTATCATCATGTTTTTGATCAAATTTGCAAATTAAGGTAGCATTATCTATACTAGTAGAGTCCTATTGAATATTATACTCAATCATAGTTTTACATATTCTCAGTCCAAATTGTGTAAGTGCCATAATTTATTTTTATCCTATATAAAGTGTATTATTTATTTTCCATTGGTTTATTATCTTCTTAGCTGGTGTTTAAAATAAATCCTGAAAGACCTGACTTTTTAGGTATTTATTAACCTATTTATTTATAAGATAGAGGAAAGATAAATGTTAAATAAAATCAGAGATATTGAGGTTGCCTATATTATGTCTACTTATTTTGATTACCAAGTTTATATATTAGATCTTGTAGCTTAGTGGCTTAGAGCATCTGTCCCAGGTGCTTGCATACATGAGGTTGTTGGTTCAACTTTGGCAGAAGACAAGTTTGTTATAAGGTATATTCTGTGTTTAGGTATTCAACTAGTGCTTTAATAGACATGACTCTATAAGAAGGCTATGAGAACTGTGATGCTTGATTTATTATGATTTTCCCGAAACTTCAAGTTATAATCAATCCTAATAATTCCTAATTTAGGAAAATTATGTCTAATTAGAACAGGATTAGGGGGGGGGATAAGCTAAAAATGTCTAATCCTAATCATTCTTAATTATGCATAAATAGAACTAATTAGAGCTTAATACAAGGGAGTGGTTTTCCAGATGTGGTTGACAGTCGCTTGTCTTTTGGGACTGCCTAGCACCATATGTAAGTAGCTGGTGTTCTGCTATGAAAAGAAAAGAGAAACTGGTGCATGGAGTAGGATTTGGGGTAGGCTATCCAGATGTCACGAACAGCTGTTCGGGACAAGAGATTCCTAGTCCACAAGCCAATACCACAAATGATGAGATAATGACAAAGAGAATGAATGTAAAGGGGTGAGACTAATCAGACCAATGCTTGAGAATCAGGGAAGACTAGTTAACAGCAGTTCCTAGATTGGACAGAGGTGGATAGCCTAAGGCTTCTCTACTGCGCCGCAGCTGCTATAAATATGTACAAGCAAGAGCATGGACCAACTAGCAGTGGATCAGGAACACAAGGTATAATCAGGAGAAAGGTCCTATATGTCCTTATATGAATCATGGAAGCGACGGGAAGGGTGTGGTGGGCAGTTTATAACATCAATTCTATAGAGCATGTTGAAGCAGTGGAAGGCTTTATGCTCAATGATGAGCTGATGCAATGTGCTATTGATGCCAGTTATATCTGTGAACAATGGCACAATGGAAACACCTGCCAAACTTTATTCAGCCTTTTACAGTATGCCACAAACAACTGTGAGTGATGAGAGAACCTAGGCTACAACCATAAATTAGAGAAGACTGATGAATAGTAGTTCCTAGATTAGACAAAGGTAGATAGCCTAAGGCTTTCCTACTATGCATGAAGCACATAAATACATATAAGCGAGTGCATGGACCAAGTGACTATGGAGCAGGAACATATAGTATAGACTTGGGAAGGGTCCAATGTATTTTTATGTAAAAGGTGGGAAAGTACAGATATATAAGCAAAGTGAAACAGGTTTATAATATTACCCTCCACTTTAGGCTATTAGTGCCAGAGATAACAAGTAATTAATTTGTAAATGTTTAGGAAAAACATAAGCAATGAATATATAGAAGGAATTCAATCTGAGGTGTGATAACTGTTATAATCACACTTACCAGGCCTTTATAATAGTCTATTCCAATACAATCATCACAAATACTAGGCAGCCTTATAGCATGAGGCATACACTAAAGGTACAGGTAATATCCTTGGTCATCCTCTCCTAGCAGACACACCTATTGCTAGTTGAGTATCACAGGCTATATTGTGAATGGCTGACATGGGCTTATACATATGAACCCATAGGGAATGGAGCTCCTTGTCCTCCTTGTCAGAAGGAGACAAGCACAGAACCAAGAGTAGTTGCTAAGAAAGAGTAGCGGCTTAGAGAATGCCTAGAGGATATATATATGGGATTCTCATGCCCTTCCCAAAGTAGTATAAGAGGCCCATAGAATAGGCTAGATATTAGGATTACATCCTAATACATGCTTTGCACATGGACTGAAGAGAAAGTCAGGTGTCTCCTTGGACTTAAACATTGATGACTAGGACTATGACTTAACATGCATCTAGGCACATAACTCAGAACACAGTCATGAACTACACACATAACTTGGACTTGGACTAACTACTATTTACATGCTAACACATAAATGCTTATGACAATATGACTCATCTCTCTTCTCCCTCTATATGGCTTACTGATGTCAATTATGATCAAGTCCAATTTGATATTGCTGCAGACAGATATTTGATATACTTACTATACATGGTTACATTAAAGAGCTGCAGAGTTGAATTAACAACTGCGGATTACTTAGTGTTTAGAAACACAGACCATGTTTCTGTCTGGCCCTAAATAGCATATACTATATCTAGGGAAGCTGAGCTTCTTAAAAGATCAGCTTGTTTACTTTGTATATATCTTGATCTCTGCACTGTGCCCCGCATCTGGCCCCTTTAGCTCATGCTTTGTGAACTCTGCCAGATCCATAGAACCATACTTAGTCTGACAAAGCACTGGACTCATCTCAAAGCTCTTATCATTCTCTGCCACTGGCAACCTATCAAGGACTTGCTGCCTACCGAGTTATCCATTGGAACCCATTGGAAGTCATCTATTGCATTGGAGCATCTAGGAAACCACCCCCTTATATTAAGCTCTAATTAGCTATAATTGATGCCTTACTATACTAAATTATAAAAGATCAGGATTAGAAATTTTCAGCTTACCCCCCCTCTAAACCTGTTCTAATTAGACATAATTTTCCTAGATTAGGAATTATTAGGATTAATTATAGCTTGAAATTTTGGAATAATAATAATAAATCAAGCATCACAGTTCTTATAGCCTTCTTATAGAGTCATGTCTATTAGAGCACTAGTTAAATACCTAAACACAGAATATACCTTATAACAAACTTGTCTTTTGCCAGAGTTGAACCAACAACCTCATGTATACAAGCACCTGGGACAGATGCTCCAAGCCACCGAGCCATAAGATCTAATGTATTAACTTGGTAATATAAATAAGTAAATATAATATAGGCAATCTCAATATCTCTGATTTTATTTAGTATTTATCTTTTCTCTGTCTTATAAATAAACAAGTCAATAAATACCCAAAAAGTCAGGTCTTTCAGGATTTAGTTTAAACACTAGCTAAGAAGATAATAAAATAATGGGAAATAAATAATACACTTTATATAGGGTAAAAACAAATTGTGGCACTTACACAATTTGGATTTAGAATATGTAAAACTATGATTGAGTATAATATTCAATAGGACTCTACTAGTATAGACAATGCTACCTTAATTTGCAAATTTGATCAAAAACATGATTATGAATAATTGGCCATAATTAGCTCAAATTAGTATTATTAATGATTATCAATAATTAAGATCCAATAAGAGAGAGGGGTTTTCCAAATGGCCACTAGTGAGGTGGAGGGTGGGGACAAGGGTATATATATGGCATACCTATGTATAAATAAGCACAAGATTCTTAGAGATGATCTTGATATGCTTAGTGCACATATTTCCTACATAACAGGCAAATATATTATTCTGGCACTACATACCACCATAACTGTCTTTTCCATAGCCCAATAGCTAGAGAAAAACACTAAGTTTAAGCATCTTCTGTATAACAAGGCAATGGATAGTGTGGATGACACTGAGAATTGTAATATCAATAGTGATGATGATTATGTGCTGCACAAGACAGTATTAACCACTGCACTAATAGACAAGGTCTACAAGGCTGCATGTAGCATATCCCTAAGCCCAACCTGCATGTTGTGTCCTGTAATGACCAGTAGCAGGCATTGGCTAACAATGACAACTTCAATGATCTTGTGTGCAAGGCCAAGGTACTAAGGTCTTCATAGTCTCTTGTGGCAGCTGCTAAGCTGCCAACAAAGTGGCTGGGGCATCAATGCATATTTCTCTCTTTCTATGTCCCTTGTAAAAGCAGCTGGAAAGTCAGCAAAAGAGCTACAAGATAATAGTGCAGGCATACATAAGGGAGGGTAATATGCTAAAATAGTATAGAATGTGCCACATCTTTACCTTCTTACTGATAGAGCAGTGGTACTTACTATTTCCTACTGCTAATTAAAGACTTTTTGGTATGGAATTAGTGCTAATATTATAAAATTAGAAACCAATCCAATGCTCATAATATATTGCTCCCAATTAGGAAATTAGACACTTTTAGATGCTATTAACACTTTTAGATACTTTTAGACACTATTAGATATAATCTGGAGCTAATACAAGGGGGTGGTTTTCTAGATATACACACAACTCTGGAATAAACCAGCTTTTACACCCCACAGTTCAGAGCTCATTTGCACTTTTCTCAACCATTGAAATCATTTTCGTCGACTCCCAAAAACTTGTCATCCTCAATGTTTGGCCTCATTTGCATTTGTACTTATCTTTTTGCTCATACCCCTCCTCTTCTCTCATATATTGTTAGAGTCCTATGTGGCTCTTGAAGCATGTAGTTGTTAGTCACAACACTACCTTCTTGTTACCGGCTAAATCCCTAACACAACTGACCAAACGTTCAGTCAGTGTTTGGTACAGTTCTAAAACTGTTCGGGCACTATAATCTTACACCTCCCATTGCTTTTCAGTGTGCCTTTAATTTCTAAAGTCATCACTAATAATTCCTTGTGTATCAGAAACTAGCTCCAGCACCCCCTTGCTTTAGAGGTTGTTTTAGTGCTGTGCTCAGCACTTAGGGATGTCTCTAGCATATTAACAGAACAGAGAAAAAATTCCTTTAGAACAAAACAGAGAACTGTTGGGACCTATTACTCTTTTTTAGCTCTATTCTAATAATGGGTTCTAGGTGCTGATTACTTGGTACAGATATTGCCGTTGAAGACAACATTGCATCTGGAAAAACCTTCCTCTTAATTAGATCTAATTATTTGAAATACTAATCTAAGCTAATTAGAATATATTATCCATAATCAATTTCATGGCCAAATTTGCAATTAAGGGGACATTATCCATATTATTACAATCCCATTGAAATCTATAACCTAATTACAATTTTACATATCCCAAATCCAAATTATATGAGTGCTATAATTTTATTTTTATTGTATTCTTTATTTTCTATTAGTTTACTATATTATTTTCTGGTGTCTAAATTCAAATATTAAAAGCCCTGATTTTTAGGATATTTATTGACCCTTTTATATATAGAATAGATAAAAGATGAATGTGTAAGAAAATCAGAAATGTTGAGATTGCCTTATTTATATCAATATATTTAGGTTACCAGGTAAATAATTTAGACCATATGGCTTAGTGGTTTAGACTACTAGTCCAGGGTGTGCAGGCATAAGGTTGTTGGTTCAATTCTAGTAATAGGCAAGTTTACTATAAGGTGCAACTTTAGTTTGATTAGTAAGCTCTATACATACTCTATGATTGGAGGTATAGTAGTAGTAGAGAAAGCATAGAAGTGGGTTGGTTGATATTTTTCTAAAAATCCATATAATGAATTAGCTTTAATTAGCTCTAATTAGATCTTATAATTTCAGGATCAGAGGGGGGGGTTAGCTAAAAACCCTTGATGGTATATAGCTAGATTTTTCCCTAATATGAGCATAGTACCACAAAGAAGTTTTGTATAGACTGGTCAGTAGTGGACTACATGGCCAATAATTAGAGAAGCAATAAAAGATAAGGCTATGTACTTGCTACTAGAAATTTTGGGCCCTTTTTGACTAAACCATGCCATTTCTGCATGCCTGTGATTTGCTTGCACTTCAGCTTGTGAGTATTCTAGTTATTTCTATCATATTCTCTTTTTAAATTGAGCTTGACCTATTTTCTACAGGCTTAGCAATGCATATGGAATCTCTCCATGGTAAGTGCCCATTTATCATCCTGCATTGCTTGTCACCATTCAAAGGCCAATAAGTGTTTCTTCCAGAGTTTGAGTGACTTATGACAATAGCACTATCATCTTTGGGATCGTATCAATGTTGATCAATGGTGCCTGTGGGAAGAACCTTCTACTTCATTCTGAGCAATCAATGGTCAGTCCAGATCCTCACTAATCCACTTAGAAACTCACTACTTATGGAACAATGCTATTGGTTATTGGTCCACAGGTATTCTCTTGGTTCAGTCTTATAAGTTCCCTTTGTGAAGATGAGTTCATGTCACTATCACCTGCTTCAACAATCTTACAGTCTGAGGCTGCAAGATTGGATTCTGATTGAGACTCTTTGACAGGGAAGTAATGTATTATTCTGTCCATTAAATCAGCGACTGTCTTCCAGGCTATGAGAAGCCTATCACAGCAAATGTACTGCATGTTCATTAGCACTATGAGTACTGTCCCACGTATCTCTTCAATCTGTCCATTGACACAGGTCTCAAACAAAGCTTTCATTGACCATGCTTCTATTCCTATCATCACAAACAGTCTACATAACCAGGGATCACATTGGGCTTCAAGAATGGGGGGCTGGTAGAGATCCATGGCCCAGTTCTTTCTTTCCCCTTTTACTAATGGTTTCACCTTCAAAAGCATGTCAATTTTGTTGACAATATTAAGAAGTAGCTGACATAATTTTAAATTCAGATGTGATAGTGTTGCAGACTTTGATAAAGATGCTTACAGGTTGTGCCCATTTCTCTGAAGGGAGCTCTGGTATACTATTAGATATGCCGAGCCTGCACCTTTCTTAATCGACACAGCCAAGCACCCAATAAATGGGACTCCCTCCACACAGCAGTACAGCCCAATATGGCTGCATTTGCAGTACAGAGATATTCTTCTCGGGGCACTAAATATAAGTTAGTATAGAGCATTTTTATTTGCATTTGGAACTCACTATTGATATCACATTCTCTTCAAAGCTGCTGACAAACCGGGGATCTGCATATTCTCGAACAAGGGGATCAAGCCACAAGGAGAATATCAAGAAGTCACCATTCAGCTTGTACTGGTCTTAGAGATGAGTGCCAAAAGCATCAAGAGGTATGCTTGTCAGCTGAGTTCAGTTTTCGACATGGTATATGAGGGGTGCAAAGTCTTGGGAAATGATTTGTATGTTTCGGATTTGTCACACATGCTGATCCGGGGTCAGAGAAGAGAAGTTGAGAGCTTCCATTATGTAGATGTCCAAAGAAGCATAGGATTAGAGACGAAAGGGATTCTTGAGTATTCTATGACAAGTTGACCAAAATTTTCGAATCGGTAAATGCCGTAGAAATCCCAATGTTCCCCTGACCAGACCCAAACTGCCCTCAAAAATGCTAACTACCGGGAAGGATGGTGCAATTTTGACCCAGGAATATGCTGAATTCGGGGAAAGATTTGACCAAAATCAGCCCTCAAATATGCTAAGTTTCGGGGAAACCTTCATAGGAGCTTCGGGGGGCCTACGGTATCGCGACGAGTCTCTTTGAAAGGTCGGCGCACTTGTCGTATCGCAGAGACAGCCAAGTGGGCTTTGGCTTTCCCTCATGGGCAGTACATACAGTACAACCTCGCTGCGAGTCCACCGCACGTGGTCGTCCATGGTCAGCGGGAAACAGAAGTGAAGCAGAATGTCTGAACAGCGCTCGCGGAGAATCCGGTCACGCTCGCGATGCACGCGGCCTTCAAACTCTCTGACGTTTTTGCATTGCGAGAGCCCGATCGTATCGCGCTGGAACGATCAGTACTGTAGTCGCATTGACGGCGTGGAGAGCCCCCCTCCGATGGGTGGATCGAATCCTGATCACCAAAGTGTTCAGCTCGCTCTCGTTGTTTCGGACAGGATCGCTCACTGTCCGTCTAAAAGTCCATAAATTAGCCTCCTCTAGCACACACATCCACGCATACTATACAGCGCGCGCGTCTGCGAGCCCTCTTCTATATACCTTGATCTAAACCTCTGCACCGGTCTCTGATATCGCCTCTGCCTCTGCAGCTGCCTGTACCTCCGCCATGCGACCCTGCAGCAGCCGCAGAATCGTGTCCACTCCCTGGAGCACGCCCAAGTCGGGGCCCTCGCCCGGCTTGAGGCGCGTGTGCGCAAAGTCGATGAGGCGGACGATATATGGCGGCCCAGGTTTCTGCACACACTCTTCCTCCTCCTCCTCTTCGTCCTGGTCTTCCTCATCCTCCTCGTCATCGCCTTGGTCTTCCTCTTCCTCTTCGTCGTCTTCCTCGTCGTCTTCATCCTCCTCCACGCCATCCGGATGCGCAGCCAACCACTCGACGCCCGCCGCCGCGCGCGCCCACTCCGCCTCGTACACGACCAACAGGCTCCCCCCAACCATGCGCATCTCGACGCCCGCGAGCGCCGCGCGCACGGCGCGCACGTCACGGGCGATGGCAGACAGTATCGGGAGGAGCGTGCGCGCGGGGAGGCCCGTAGTCGGCGGGGATGCATCCGATGGCGAAGGAGAGCGCGAGGGCGAGGGCACAGCTGGGGTCGAATCGGATGCGAAGGCGAAGGCGGCGACGGGGGCGGGAGCGGCGATGGGGAAGAACTTGGCGATGCCGGCGGGGAGGTCGGCAGGCGCGAGGGACTTGCCGTACGCTTTGGGCGTGTTGACCGGCGCGCGCGTCGCGTTGTCGAACACCTGCCCAACGCGGTGCGCCGGCTGCGGGTAAGCAAAGCCACCGCACGCGGAACCGCAAAGCAGAACGCAGGAGTGCAGGGACGCACCTGAAACCCAGTCAGCCGCACGCCCGTCTGCTTCGACGTCGTCTCGCGCGCGGTCTTCTCCATGCGCGCGCGCTTCTCAGGCGGCGCGTCCTCGTCGAAGAGCACGGTGCCGAGCTTGGCGTCGAGGATATTCGGCCGCGCGAACGCGTGCGCGAGGTTCTCGAGCACGAGGGACTGTGCAGGGCGCAAGCGCGCACGTCAGCCACGCGGAACGCCCGCCGACGAGAGAAGATGCTCATCTTTCTGCACGGCGGCGCCTGTACTCCCCGCACCGTCGATCTCGATCTCTCCCCCTGGGCCCGTCCTCCCCTCCAGCCGCAACGTCCCGTAGAAGCGTGGTATCCACCGCTGCAGCGGCGCGAGTGCCGGGTCTGCAGCCGCCTGCTGGTAGAACTGGTGCTCGAGCGCGAGCGCGGGCTTGATGATGAGCGAGCCGTCTTCGGTGGTGAGTACGCCGGCGTGGCCGCCGACTTGGCTGGCGAGGGTGTGTGCGGCCGCGATTTCGAAGGGTGGTGTGGGCGGGGTGTCTGTCATTGTGGTAGGTAGGAGGAGGAGCTCAGGGTCGGTGGTGGTGGGGACGAGAGCCTGATGCAATCACGTGGAGGAATGGGTCTGCATGAAGGAAGCATCGATGGAGCGGACGAAGGCTCATAAGTTCTAACGACAAAGTAAAAGTTGATAAAACAACGTGTTACATCGCGATGACCCTGTAAGTAAAGGACGCGCGCGAGAAGACGTGTCCCAGAAAGGCAGATACCAACCTATGTGGAGGGCGCAGTCTCGAACACGCGCTCATGCCCGCGCCGCGATAGCCGTTCGACCACCGGGCCCGGGTCCCGCGCCACACAGACCCACGCCTCCGCTGTCGCCTTCCTCCTCGACACCGACACCGACGATGAGCTCCCCCGACGCTCTCGCCGCCCTCCGCAGCGCCGCCGCCTCCAAATTCTCCATCGCACCCGTCGACAGCGCCGACGCCCTCGCACCCTCCCTCCTCCTCGCCACCCACCTCCGCCTCTCGCCCACCCTCGTCCTCCCCAAGTCCACCCCGACCCGCCTCCGCCGCCCCGCCGCCGCCAACACTAGTGCTGGCGCGAGCGCCGCAGAGCCGTCCGACCCGCTCGCGGAGCCCGATGCGTTCTTCTCCCTCGCCGCGGTGTACCTCGCGTGGTCCCTGCGCGACGCGAGCAGCGCCGAGTACATGAAGCACGCGCGCGAGAGCGGGCTCGCCGTCGGCTTCGTCGGCCTCACGGAACGCAAGGGCGTCGTCGAGTGGCTCTCGGGGAAGCTCGCCCACCTCGACAGCGTCGTCCCGCCCACCGGTGAGCCCCAGCCCCAGCCCTAGCCCATGCCTGCCCCGCGCACCCGGCGCACACCTCAGAAGCAGCTCCTCACGCCGCGTCTTCTCCCCTGCTCGCTGCTAGGAGGTGAGGGCACGACGACGCCCCCCGGCACCCCGCCGCCCGACGGCTTCTTCTCCAAACACGCCCGCTCGACGCTGCGCACCGCCGCGCACGCCTCGCACGGGCGCACGCCGTCTGCCGCCGCCGGCTATGCGCATCATCAAGCGGCCGCGGGCAGCACTGCCTCGCCCGCGAAGCGGCGCTACGTCGCGGACGCGCACGACCTCGAGATTGTCAAGAAGATCCGGCAGGGCGAGGTCGAGCTGCGCGACCGCACCACCGTCCTGCGCGGCATCAAAGCCAACGTTTGTCCCGCCTGCTCTGCATGCACGCTGACCGAACCTGACCTAATATATTCTGACATGTCATGTCATGACTATCCGCCTCGCAGAACTTCGCTGCGATTCGGAATGCGTACACTGCGAAGCTGAAGGCTATCAAGGACGCGAAGAAGCCGGGGAAAGCCCCCGCCGCGATACCCGCTGTCCCAGGTTCGCCCGCCTCCCCACCGTCTCGCTTCATCTCGTCTCGCTCGCTCCCTGACACGCCTCGCATGATACGCTCCAGACCCAAAACTGCTCGCGCGCAGACAAAGCAAGTGCCGCTGCCACCGCGCAGTCTTTGCCACAGCGAGGCTGACCTCGCGCCCACAGAAAACTACTACCCCATCATCATGATCTCCTCCTCCCCGACCGCCCTCGTCACCATGCACAACGTCAAGCGTTTCCTCGAAGACGCCCTGTACGCCCCTCCCCTCTCCCATTCCCTCCGAGCACTGACCCACTCCCCGCCCACTCCCCGCCCACTCCCTCGCAGCTTCGAGCCCTCCTCGGACGCGCGCGCGCGCGCAGCTGCCGAGGGCAACACGCGCCCGGAGGACCTGATCCCGGTGTACCGCCGGCGGACGACGATCGACCCGTCCGGGCGGGAGACGACGACGAACCAGCGATACTACGTCGTGGACAGCGTCGACGCGCTGAACAAGTTCGGCGCGGACGCGTGGGACCGGGTCGTGTGCGTGATGACGACTGGCCAGGCGTGGCAGTTCCGGCCGTATAAGTGGAAGGAGCCGCTCAGCCTGTTCCACCACGGTGAGTCCCGTGTCGCGTGTGATGCTGTCGTGGACGGGCGTTGAGAGCCTTTTTTTTAATTACTTTGCTTTGCGCCTTTGCAGTGAAGGGCGTGTATGTGTCGTGGACGAACGACCCGCCGAACCCCAAGATCAAAGACTGGAACGTCACCGAGATCAAGGTACCGCGCTTGCTTGCCTGCCCGCCCGTCTCTCCGACCCTTGCTCATAGCTCTGTTGCAGATTGACCCTAATCGGCGACACGTCGACAAGTCGACCGTGGCGCACTTCTGGAAGATGCTCGACACGTGGACGACGCAGAACAAGCCGTCGCTGATGATGGCCTGAACGCTTCACTCGCCCAGCGTCTGGACGTGCTCGCTGCTGCCGGTGACGCCCTGTGCACCGTGTATCAGATCGCGGGACGTTGTGTTCCTTTTACATCGAGTGGTGGATACGCGATGTGTGCTTATGCGTTGGCTATAGTGTAGCCCACGCTCCGGTTTCTGCTTCGGTTTCTTGTGCTCTCGTTTGTACGAATGTCGGTCTAGCTACTACATACATGCGCTCTCCAGCTCCGCGCTCCTGTTTTATTATCTTAAAGTGTCTGCTTTACGGATGGGTCTTAGAGCCGCCCGGCCATCGTACTTCTGTTATCGTGGTGGATCGTTTACGATACATTTACCGAGGCAAAGACGTGCTCGTGCAGGCCTTTGAGAAGGGAGCAGGAAGAAGAGAGACTGAGGTCGTCGCCGATGCGATCTCGTGGCTCGGCTCACAGGCTGACGTCCGTCCGCGCTCTTCCGTGCCGTACTGTACTGCTGCAGACTGCTACACCACTCTCCCACTTCTCCTCCGCCACTCCACATCCCCCAGTACTCTCCAGTACTCTCCACCACCACCCACATCTACGCACATCTTCGCACACCCTCAAGACGCGCAGTGCAACTCCGACACCGGCATGGCCACGGTCAAACTCGGGACGCTGCTCATCCGCGTGAGTCCGCCTGCTTTCTGCCATCTCCTTCTGCGCACCGCCGCGTTGCCAACCCCCACCCCCGCCTCTGCCCTTAAAGACGCTTGCGAAGCCCATCAGCGCACAGATCAAGAATCAGGCAAAAGAGTGCGTCGCCGTCTTCTGTCTGCCCGCCGCGTCGCCGTAGCTCGGTGACGAACCCTCGCTGCTCTCTGCTCGCCGTGGTCATGGTCGAACGCGCAGGCATGAGCGCTTCCGCAATGTGTGCGTGTCGCTGGCGCAGATGATGTATAGGTACGAGATCAAGCTGCGCACAAACCTCCTCGGCGAGCCCGCCAAGCACGTCCGCCCGCTCTCTGAAGCACGGTGCGCGTCTCCCTCCCTCCCCCGTCTCCCCCACTCCCCTCTCTTTCCTACTCCTCCACCCCACTCCCCCCACTCCTCCATTCCATCCCACCACCGCCGCCTACTCAGCAACGCTAACCCCCGCCCGCACTCCACACCCAGCGCGATCGAGAACGGCGCCAACTTCCTCGCTGAAGGCTTCCTCTTCACCGTCGCCGCGGGGCTCATCCTCAGCGAGACCTGGCGCTCGTCCCGCAGCTCCTCAAAGCGGCGCGACGACGTCGACGAGCGCATCGAGGACGTCGCGCAGCGCGTGCAGGCACTCGTGCAGCGCGCGGAGGAGAGCGACGCGCGCGTGCTCGAGGAGCGGCAGAAGTACGTTGGCCTGTCTCCATCTCGCCCTCCCGATACTGTCTTCCTGCCTGAGCTGACGCGCATCCTGACGCGCGCGCACAGGAACGAAGAGCTGACGCGCATCCTCGAGCGCGTCGTCGAGATCGGGCTCCGCGGCGGCTGGGTAGAGCTCGAAGACACGCCCCTGCGGATACCGCGCCCGTCTCCGCGCGCCCACTCGCCCGCTTCCGACCTCCCGCCCTCCCCACCGTCTTCGTCTTCGTCTTCGTCTCCGTCTCCGTCTCTGTCCCCGCCTCTAGAGACGAACCGCACCGCCGGCGCATGATACCTGTCCCGCCCTTCCTCGCGTACGCGACACCCTAATATATAGATCACAATATCCCCACTTTCCGCTCTACCCGTCTGTGCGCCTGCGCCACTTACGATGTGACGCATAAATCTACAACGCGGAAAGCACTAGCACATGTGCGTGCGCGCACTCTAAGTTTACAACAGAACCACGCCCAACCGTGATCAATTGCGGACAGGTAACGTACGCTATCTACAAATGTCGATGCTGCTGGCCAGCCACGCGTGGGGTAATCGCTCGTGGAGTGGTGCACCAGCAGTAGAGGTCTGTATGCTATATGTACACAGTATATCTATATGTAGTACAAGCGTCCGGGGGAGTATCGTTCCGTGAGCAGAGTCAGGGTCGGCCCGAGGCAGATTAGAGATGCGCATCGTGGAGGAAGATAGCGTGACACAACAGAGCAAGAAGATGAGCGCAGAGCAAGAAACACTCACGAGAAGGGAAAAGAAAAAATAAGGGTAGCCGTGAAGAAATAACATACAAACCCACCCCCCCACCCCCCCCACATCACATCACCACGCACCCCTTCGTCGTCTCCGCACACAAGTCCCCCACGCGCCAACAACACCCCTCCCGCTCCACCTCCCGCTCCTCTCGCGTCCACACCCGCCCCCCGCGCCGCTTCACCGTGATCCAATACTCGCGCTCCGGCTCCCCCTCCGCCGGCACGTCGTACCACCACCGCACCAGCTCCCCGACGACCTCGAACCGACCGCCCGACACCTCCACCTCCACCGCGAGCCCGCCCGGCCCCGCGCGCAGCCCCGCGGCGCGCGGCGGATAATACGGGCTCCCACCAAGCGTCTCGCTCGACCGGCTCGCATGCAGCCCGTCATCCCCGCCGTCGACCGTCCCCGCCGACCCCGACGGGTCCACCATGTGCTCCGACTGCGCCAGCAGCGCCCCGACCGCCTGGTCCGACGCGTAGTGCACGAGCGGGAGGAAGATCTCCGTCGGCGGCGACTCGTGCTTCAGGTCCGTCGTCGCCACCGACGTCGACGACGCAGACGCGATCGAGGTCGACGCGAGCGAGCCCCCCGACTCCGACGAGGGCGTGCCGGGCCGCGAGGGCCGCCGCGGCGCGTGATCGGTGGGATGCGCGGGCGCGTCCTCCGCGCGCACGCGCACGGTGAGCCGGAACGTGCTCTTGTCCGCGTCGAACTCGATATCCACGGGCGCGCCGACGACCGCGGTCGGGTACGGCCGGCTGAACGCACGCACGCCGCGCGCGCCGTCAGTCAGAAAGTCGAACGCGCTGTGCCAGCGCTCTGTCGACGTAATCTCCTTGCGCGGCTGCTGCTGCTGCTCGTCCGCCGCGAGCCCAAGCGCGCCCGCAATCGGGAGCGTGGAGAGCGAGAGCGCGGACGCGCCGGGTGGGAACGGGGCATGCGCGATGGTGACGGCGACGACGCTTTCCGACGCGCGCACGCCGCCCTTGTGCTTCAGCAGCAGGGCCGACGACTTGTCGCCAAAATTGCCGGGGTACATCTCGCCGTCCCCGTCTCGCGGGCGGAGGTCGTCCGGACTCCACAGGCTGAGGTCCTCCATGTTCCAGCCGTCACCCCACGGATGCGAGCCGTCGGGGCAGTAGTTCCACAGCGTGTAGTTGAGCGCGTTGGCGCCGTCCATCGCGTTGATGCTCGCGTCGAGCGCCTTCTGCTGGTTGCTGTAGTCGCCCCTGTGCCGCCCGCCGTCCGTGTACCCGTACGCGGCGCGATCATCCATATCGTACGGGATCCCGATCTCGCCGATCATCGTCGGGTACGCGCCCAGGATCACCGCGTCCCCCTTCAAGATGCCGAGCTGCTCCCGCAACGACTTGCGGATCGCGCGCTCGCCGAGCTTGACGGCCTGCACCGGCGAGCGGTACCGCCCGCGGAGGACGCCGAGCGCGTCCGCGTTGAACCAGTTCCAGTGGCGTGTGATGAGCGTCAGCCCGTCGTAGTAGTGCGTCGAGTACGCGCACCGCCCGCCGAGGTCGCGCTCGTCGAGCGGCGGCGGCTGTGCGAACACGGGTGGCGCGACGAAGTGGATAGCTTCCGGGTGCGCCTGGCGCACGCGCCGCGCGTACGCTTGCCAGTGTGGCGCCCAATAATCCGCGATGAACGCGACCTCGCGCGGGCCCGCCGCGTCCGCCGCATCCACGCTCCCGTCCCCTTCGTCGCCGCCAGAGTTGGAGAGATACCGAAAGTAATCCGGCCGGAGGACGTAGTCTGTCTCGATGTCCCACACGCCGTGCAGCGCCCACACGCATACGCCGAGCGGCCACGCGGGGTCGCGCGTCCACCCATACTGCGGGTGCACGCCGTCGGGCTCCGTCGCGGGGTCCGCCCACACCGTGCGGCCCTTAGGGTCGATCGTGACGGTGCCGTCCTGCCGCGGGCCGAACGCGCCAAACGTCCAGTTCGCGACTGTCTGCGCGTGCCCCATCCCCAGGCGGAGCGATTCGGCGGGCGTCGGCGTGGTGCCCTTCTTGAGCGTCGAGGTCTGGTGCTGCGGGAGCGTGTTCAGGTCCGGGTAGCCCACGAAGCCCTCCGACGGCTCGTTCATGCTGTCCCACCCGATCACGCAGTCGTCGAGCAAGTCGCCCGCGTCGCGGATGCGCTCCGCGAGCTGTCCAAAGGCCTCGATGTAGTGTGCCTGGAGGTAGTCCTGGATGTTCTGCCCGTCGAGCACGCATTTGGGCGCAAAGTCGCGCCCGGCGAAGAAGAGCGTGAAGAGGGTTTGGGAGACCAGCCGGCCGTAGTTGGTCGACCAGATCATAGCGGGGACAGAGGCGGGGTCGGGCTGCTGTGTGCTGGGGTATTCGCAGTGGACGATAGCGGCCTGTGTAGCGGTGAAATTTCGCGGGTCGAGGCCGCATGCGGGGAGTGTCCAATAGGGTGCACCCGAGCCGCCAGAGAAGCGGGACCACTGGAAAAGGCGATAAGCCAAAAATATAACAAAGATGACGATACCTGCAAGACGCACCGTGTCCTGATGTGGGTCCATATATATTTTGAATCCATGTTCCTTGCATTTGCGCAACACACGAACAGTATAGTCCATAAACTCGTAATCATATTTTCCACTGAGGCCCCATGGGTCAGCCGCAGGAAGCGGGAAGGGGCGGAGCCAAGCGATCAAGAAGAGCAGCACTCACGGTCCTTCGTGCTCGAGGGCTTCCCACATGACGGGGTACCTGAGTATGTTGAAGCCCCATCCCCGCAGGCGCGCGAGATGGACATCGGCGGACCCGTCGTCAATGTTGAGGGGGCGCCCGATAAAGCTCTTGCCGCCGTTCTCCGCGTCCTCCCAGAAGCCGTTGAGGATGTATGATGGCTCGCCTACAGGAGCCTTGGATGCGCCTGAGAGATTGACGCCTCTGAAGAGGAGTGTGCGGCCGGTGGAGTCGACGAAGCTGCCCTCGACGGTGTGCACGAAGCTCGCGGAGACAGGGTTGCCCGTCGTCGGCGAGACGGAAGGTATTCGGGGCATGTGAGTGTTCTGAGGAGAGAGAGATGGAGACAACACCAGTGTTGTTGTGCGGTATGATATGCGGCGATGGCGGCTCCACTGCGACCGACAATCGTACCACTTTCCCCTTACCTAATGCCACTACAGCCCCTGTGATCGGGTTAGGGTCTACCCCGCATTATTGTTCCGCGTCCTGACAAACACCTCTATCTTTGGCGATGCGAGACAACCGCAACAAAGACGCGCACAATCCCATGCGGAACTCGCGTTTGTGACACCTGCGCGCCATGGCCTCCAGCTGAAGAATCAACAACCGCGATCGCATTATCCATAAACGAAGTACAAAAGCTATTAAATGGGGATACTGCATGCACAGTCCCACAGATCGTTAGTCGTCGTCAGGGATACACATGTACGATAGGTGAACTGGTGGTCCGTGGATCAGATCATCAAACGGGCCCTCGGAGGGAGGCGCTCGTGGTCCCGACAAGTCTCAGCAGACGGGAATTTCATGTAGAAGTGGGTCATTTGAAAGTATGCCGTACGGCGGGTATGAGCGCAGAGCTGGTATGCGGCGTCAACGTGTGGGCCGCGCGTCTATGTTTTGCATGGTGGGTCGGAGGACGACATCGCATCACGCCCCCGCATGATTCCGCGCCTAATCTCCATAAGCGACTCATCCTCTGGCTCTCTTTTCTCAGCTTTTATGCGCGTGCCGACTCGCTGCCCGTATCCGCTCGCCATAGTGCCAGAACAGCCACGGCCTACACACAACGCGGTGCACGACATACAACAAAAAGGTGTCAGCGTCAGCGTCAGCAAATTAAAAGGGAGAGGAGCCGGACGGCACGCACGCAGGACACCCGATGAGGATCCCCACGCACGCGAGGATCGTGTTGCCCTTGCCGAACCCGAGCGCGTTGTACATCGCGGGCGCAAACAGCGGGAACCCGAACCCCGCGAGGGACCGCAGAAACGACGTCGCAGCCAGCGCTAACCCCATCCGACAAGCAAAAAAGAACCCAAATGTGCCGTTTTAGAACCGCAGCCCGCGGAGAGGAGAGAAAACACTTGGACGACGCACCGGAAGCGGCGTGCAGCGTGAACGCGTCGATCACGTAAGTCTGGATGCTCTGGAAGTTGAGGATCGACCCCGCGCCGATGAGCACGATGCCCTGACGCACGCGTGCGCGAGTCAACAAAATGCCGTCATCAGAGAAGCGAGGAACTCACGATATCCGTCCCGATCCAGTGCGAATGCGTCTGTGCGGACCAGCCCGCAATGAGCAGGCCCACGGGGAGAAAGATCGTCGCCGGTACCATCGACGCTGCAGATCCCAAGCCCCGCCATCAGCATCCCGTCTTCTCTTTCGCGAGCGCAACCCAAATCGACAAAAAGGAGCACAAAGAAGAAGACAAGAAAGGAGAAAACCAAAGCATAAAGAGCGCCACTCACGCAGTCGAAACTCCGGTCTCCCGACGCCCCCGTTGCGCTTCTTCAGCATCACGTAGACCTTGTCCATCGTGCGCGCGTTGATCTGCGAGGCGCCCGACAGCCCGAGGCCGAGCGCGATATAGTTCAGCCCCGCGATGCCCACGGACTCGCCGTAGATGCCCTGGAATATAGACGGCATCGTCGTGATCGACACTGTACGCCGCAGGGGTGGAGTTAGAAAACGCGCGAGCCGCGGGGGGAGGAAAAGGGGGAAGGAGCACGCACAGTATATAAGCCCGTACACGAACGCCATGTACACCCCTAGGAGCTGCACGATCGGCTCAGAGACGAACAGCGCGAACGGACGCACGAGCGCCTTGGCAAGGATTGTCCGCCAACTGCCGAGCCCGCGCGCAAATCACCCACATAGGAAAGAAGCAACAAGACAAGAATGTCAGCAGCCGGTCGGTCTTCTGAGGATAAAAGTCACGTACTGTCGGTCTGCACCCTGGAAAACCGTGCGCACGACGACGCTCTCGGCCTTCTCGGGCGTCATGCTCTTGCGTATGCGCTGCGCCTTGCGCTCGAGCAGCACCGGCGCGTATGCTGCACAGCAAGCAACGCGCAAAGGTCAAATCACGCTGCCTTTTGGTCAAAGCAAAGGGAGAGAACACGCACTCTCTTTCAGAAATAAAATGCCCAAGACCTGCACAAACGCATCCGCAATCGTTGTCGAGTAAAACTACAGATCAATCTCAGCAACAGAATTCGGCGTCCCGCCACCAAAATGAAAGAAGTCGGAACTCACCACCCACCGCCACTGGCTCTTCTCCGCAATCCACGCGCCGATCACAGGTCCCACAACGGGTCCCAGCATCGGCGCGAGCGAGTAGATCGCGAGCGCCTGTCCGCGCTGCTCCGGCAGAAAACAGTCGCCGATAACGCCCCCGCCGACCTGCAAGTAATTTGCATGTCAGAGATCCTCAGGTTTGAAGGAGTCGTTCGGGCGGGAGGACGAGGAAGGGAGAGACGCACCGAGAGCGGGGCGGACCCACCTAGGCCGGCGAGGAACCGGAACGCGATGAGCTGGCCTTTGTTCTGGGCGAAGCCGCACGCGAGGTTGAACGCTATTTTGACCCATCCAACAAAGGACCACCAAAAAAGCATACGCCGACGCGCCGACGATAATAACAGGTGTGGCGTTAGGAGACAGAGATAAGCCACGGAAGGCGAGTTGCCAAAGAAATATGGACCGTGTGAGATCTGAATGGGGGAGAGTGGAGAGGATAGCGTACCAAAATAGATGAGATTGGCGAGCTGCAGGACGCGCGAGCGGCCGTAGATCTCGCTCAGCGGGCCGAACATGAGGGGGCCGAAGGCTATTTGCATCCGCGGTAGCGGGTCAGAAACAAGTAAGAGGTCATGAAGCATGATAGCAGATGAGATAATTCGGTATCTCGAGGTGAAGCTTATGTGCGGCGGGATAACGTGTGCGTATTCCGCGTGCTCGAGCGAGCGAGGAGATGCAATACAGAGATCTCGCGAGGAGCACTAGAAACTAAATTGAAGCACGTACCATACGCGAGGACGAATACAGACGTCATCATGGCAATGACGACGGAGCTGGTGACGCCAAAATCGGCAGCGACCTGCTCTGAGGCAGGTGCGATAATGGAGGACGAGATGGGGGATATGAAGGTGAAGCATGACACGGTAAGGATGAGATGCCATTTCTTGCTGTATTTCCAGCTGCACGCGCAGATGATTCGGGTTGCACAATGGGTTAGCTTAATTTTACTGGATGCAGGTGGGAAGATCTGTACGCACTTTTTCGGATTTTCAGGATCGTTGGGGCCATCCCAGTCAACTAGATGGATGGCGCGTCCATCGTCAGCATGGGCTGTGCTCGACAGAGGACGCGGGCGGTCTTTGGCCTCGCCCTCGACGTCCTCTTTCTCGACAGGCTTGTCGCCTGTGAGAGTCGCGGCTGGCGTTAGCGGCACGGACGCACCGCGAACAGCTGGACTTGTAGCCTTAGTGTCTGGCAGAGTCTGTGACATCAACCTGAAGCGAGTAGAATGTGCTTATTTTCGATAGCTATGAGTCGAACGGGCGGACAGATAATCGAGGTGGAGAGGAGGGGGGTATCCACGCGGACATGTTGGGCAGAGAGATCTATATATAAGTGACTGAGTGAGTGGGTGAGTGAGCCAGCAAGGACTGAGCAGGTGGTGAGAGTGTCCGTGCCGACTGCGACGGACTTCCTCGGGTCGCCCAATCACACCCCCGACCGCGGCCCGATGGTTACGTCATACGGTCCCATCGCAGCGTCGGCCGACCCAGGTTCCCACGCTCACAATTCTCTTTTGCTTCGTCTCCAGTGCCTCCTCCGCCTCTCACAGATCTCACCATGCATGGCATAACTGAAAGAATCACTCACAGAGGCGAGCACACGCTGTCGACGAAATCCACGAAAACTTTTCTCGCTCCGAAACAGTATCTTGGACGTCGAACAGCCTGTCAACGCGACACACTCGCTGCCGTCGGGACCCTTCCGACGGCTGGCTTCCGCACACCTACTTGACTCCACCTCTCACCGCGACATTCCTCCTTCTGTGCATTCCGGCGATCTCTCTGACACCTCCTCCTCACGAACACGGGGGTCCACGGGCCCCGCGTACCCGATCTCCCTGCGACCGCCTCTCACCCTCATGTCCGTCTGGGAACCCCTCGCTCTCTGAGAGTCTCCGCAGGCAGCCGGCGATAGCACACACCCTCTAGTGACCTACCACGCTCGACTGAAATACTGTTCTCATCTTGGACATTGTGCTTCGCCTCCCGTAGCCCACTCACCATGCCCCGGACGCAGTTGCTCTTATTTCGCCATTCTACACGTCCAAGGGCAAACCGTGCCCGACATACACCCAGATCCGGCCGTGACATTCTAGTATTGTAGCCTACGACTAACTTACCACTTGGAGGGTACTGCGCTATTTATCCTCCTGTCCTTCTTGCGACCTTCGCTGGTATTCAAGCACACGCTGGCTTCTTGCAGTGAGAAGCTCGGGCGGGGCCAGCCGAGAGTAAGTGAGAGTCCGCCTTAAATGTCCGAAGAACTCACGAAGACGTACACGGGGCTAAAATTATCATTCGACGTTGCTATTAGAGAAAATCGATCCTGTCGACGTCTCACCATTCCTTTTCAGACGTATCGTACGCTCTTGCCGCTTTTCGGCCAACGCAATTCCCATCAAAAGCTTTTGTTCTAAACGTGCTATAGGGTCCATTTGTTTTGCATACGCACGCATCGTGTTCGCCTGCCCGTGCGTGAAGAATGGTGGATGAGAACGTCTCGCGTTCCAGATCCGTTTGGGCGTGGGTCGTGTCGTCCTGTCAAGAGCACTCGTACGCTTTCTCTCCCATCTTTTCTATTCTGTCCAGAACGCCCGCTGCGTCGCCAAGCCGCGCTCTAATCTTCAGCACCCGCCAGCCACACGCATTCATCTTGACATCGCGACCTGTAGACGCACTGTCACTAGGCTCCGAATCTTCTGCAGGTGGACTGTGCATCCCGGATTTATCACCTCCTGAGAGTTTGGGCCTCTTCCCCTCGCGTCCACCCGTACAAATGATTCGTTTTGAAGGTATCTGGAAGAATCTATGTCTGCGATTGTACTGTGATTATGGAGTTAACTATAGAGGACGCCTGAGAATATCGCCTTACGAACGAATGCAAGCTTGGCACCGCGAGCTTTGTTCGAGCGGGAACTTATGTATCATGGTGTGACCAGTTGGGCTTTGTAACTGACATGCCACGTTGTGAGTTATGCGAGCGGTGATTGTCGGTCAAGCCTTGATTCGACCACGACTATCGCTCTTCAAATCAAGCACAGCCTATACATTGTGAGTCGCTTGCTTTGCTATCATAACAATCATTCAGCTGACGTGATGGCTCTTACCTCGATAGAATTCGCCCAGTCGAACATGGTATAGTGGGCTTTACATCGCCTTCATCATCATCGCGCTGACATTCATACAGGAGGAAGCCCGTCAACATCCGCCATCTTATCCTTCCGCTGAACAGTTCAACCCTCCATCCAACTAGGACAAGACCGATGGGCAGATCGCTCAACATGCTCTTGTGCCTGCTGATGAGTCCACCTCGCGCTTCGAGCACACAACGAGGCGTTGCCGATCTCTCAGCTACCCAATGAGCTTCTGGAGAAGATCTTCGACATCTGCACCCAGGTTTGGACGGATAAGTATTTCGATCGATTCGGATACCCCCTTTATCACCCTTTATCACGAATGGATACAGCTCACCTATGTGTGTTGGCGATGGCGTCGCGCCGCGCTCGGCTACACTTCCCTGTGGTCCACGATCTCCTACATATCGTAATCGTGGATGGAGCTTTACATCGCAAGATCGTCTTTGGCGCCTGGATTATCTATAGATTTGACACTCGACGACATGTGGGCCAACCAAGAGGTGATCCTCCCACAGATTGGACGTGTGCAGACTCTAAGAATCATTTCATACACTCCAGAAGGATTGGAGTAGTTCCTGAAGGCTCTTGACCCGGCTCTTTCATTGACAACAATCACCTCTCTCATGTATGGTCATCATTTCGACATGCTTCATATCCAGGAGGTCTTCTTCAATAATGCTCCTCATCTTACGAGATTGGAGCTCGGAAATTACATTCAGATTGAAGACGGACCATGGTCAATGACCACTCTACGATGGCTTGAAACGCATAAATCTGTAACATCCGATGAGATGTACCCACTGTTACGACAGATTCTATATCTGGAAGTTGCACACTTCTTCCACGTTGAAGAAGCCTCATGCTCCATTTCACCTCCTGCTCCCGCGGTCGACTTGCTGAATCTTCGTGACCTGATCGCAGAAACATACCTGGTCGAACAGGCAGCCTCTCCATCCTTTTTAAATCTTCACACCCCCTCACTCGCTCGAGTCCCTGTGCGTTTTGATGTCGGCAGAATAGCTGCGGGTGCCTTGGAGCGCGCAACAGCTGACTTCTTCCAGTTTGTGCAGCAGCCAAACGCCTTGCCTCGACGAATTGAAGGATTGACCTTTTTCCATGATGCTCCGAGGGGGAGATGCCCTGTCCTCCAATGCTCGATGTTCTCAAAGACAGGGTGGAATCACGAGTTTCCCATCTCCTTATCATATCGGTGGGTGTCATCGTCAGAGGTGCGCGACCATCTGGGCACGATGATCAGGCATCTTCCTCTCGAGAACGTCTGGGAGATCTGTCGGGATACGGACGTGACGCTCTCGACGGCGGAATGGCGGTCCGCCTTTCGCGATTTCATTGGTGTGGAGACGCTCGTCATCAGCAAACGCTGTGACTTTTCCACGTTGCTTAAGGCCGCCACTCCACACGGCGCGGACGACTTTCTCTTCCCCAAGCTGCAGAGGCTTGTGATATGGACGCCGAACGCTTTCAGGGGTCACCGAGTTCCGCTCCTGGATATATCAAAGTCGTTCATTGAAGGGCAAACGGCGGCTCACCTGCCAGTGGCGGTGGCCTTCCTCAGTGGTCCTTTCTTGCGTCGGCCTGATAGGCGTCTATACGGCCAAGTGCGTATGACCTAGGATAGCAAGGAACTCTTGCCAGACACCCCCCATGCCGTTCGGAGGCCTCTGACGATGTCAGATGCTATGTGTGATGATGGATGGATAGGCATGTTTGACTGATCGCTCACAAAGTAGGTAGAAAGTAGGGTTCGTCATGACGGACAAGCGCGACGCTAGGGTCTTTTTTTTTTGGCCGCTATGTAGAATGCACGCTGTATATGCCCTGCATCAATACTGTGCTATCGTCAACTTTGTACTAGTGAATCCGTACTGCGACAACATGTTATGGGGTCTTGCAGACTTGCAAGCATGAAGGGACTGAAGCCGAACAGAACCGAGCCGGCAGTGAATGAGTCGTCAAACAAGTTGGCTCGTGTCGGACTCGAGGCCTCCACTCAGTCTCTGCCCTCACCTCTCAAGACAACTCTCTGTCAAGGCCATCGCCCTGATCTAACAACGAACGACGAAGTACGCCCGTAGGCATAAAGTAGGTCAAACTAAGTCAAATCACGATACTAGGTCGACTCATGATTTGAAGAATAGTAATTCTGTCCATAGCATCAGCGCGAAGGACTCTCGCAGTTCGCTTCTGATTGGGACCTTTCGCGGGTCAGGAATATACAATGGTGAATTTCCTTTAGATGCTTTCACTGTCACCGTACCAACATCCTCCTAGGAAGAAGCTCAGTCTGCACCTCCTGCTGCTGATTTAGACTTACGTGACGTAGACACTGGACAAATCGTACAGCACCCTACCATTTCCGATTTAAATTTCTCAACTGCTTCACTTCGAGCGCACAATGAATCATTACCCATCTCGCAATTTCCGAACGAGATGTTGGAGAACATTTTCGACTTCTGCTTCGATGGATGGGAGTGGCAGCCCCACTACCGAACAATAGAATACTCATATGATCACCGAACCTTCCCTCGACTGTATCCAGGATGGATCCAGCTCACGCATATCTGTAGCCGATGGCGTCGCGTTGCAATTGGCTATCCTCGCTTGTGGTCTACTATTGCCTACGATTCTAAACAGTGGTTCGACCTCTGCATTAAAAGATTACCTCCAAAGCAAATCATTGATGTCACTCTGCAAATCAGCGGCGATCGGGTCGCTCGAACCATTTTCTCACAGATTGGACGGATCCGCAAGCTAGATATCGAGGGATATAAACATAGCATGATCTATATCTTGCATGGTCTCACTGGCCCTGCCCCTGCACTCGAAAAGATGTCTTTAACTAGAAGATATTGGTTCGGCGATAGCGGACCTCTAAACATTCCTACAAATTTTATCGAGAGCGCCTTCCGTCTCACCGAATTGACGCTGGATGGAGTTTGGATACGGGATGGATCATTTACTTTGGCCAGTTTAAAACACCTTACAGCAAAATCCTATGTCACAATTTCTAAACTACAATCTCTGCTTCAGAGGGTCCCGCATCTACGCTCTGCGAACATCGAGAGGATCAATGGTAGTCCTTCGCGCATCAATCTTGACTCAATAGTGATTGTGACTTTGCCCGATCTGCAGACTCTTCGTGCGACCTTCTTTCCAGAATATTCAACAGAGGAACCCAGTGCCCTTCACTTACTCCCTTACCTTTATCTCCCTTCGCTTGCATGCTTGCACCTTGTCAATCATCTACATAACACTTTTCTGGAGGTTACAAATCACATAATAGCTTTTATGTTGAGGTTCTTGGGTTAGCCGAATGCGTTGCCATGTTCTTTTCGTAGCACCGTCCTATATTATGGTGGCAAAAAAACCAAGAGGCTCCAGTGTTCTTCATGGGCCGAAGGTGGGAGGACCATAAATTCACCACCCGAAGACCTCCTTGGCCCTGTTCAATTTGGCTACACGTGGCATACATACGGGCAGCGCCTAGACATTTTGAAGCTTCGTCAATTCCTTGATATATTCAGGTTAATGCCTCTCACAGACGTGCAGACTTTGACCTTAGATATGTCAGGCGGGGGGTTTTCTGTATCTGATTGGCTGTCAGCGCTTGAAACTCTGTCTCAAGTGGAAGAAGTCACAGTCTACGCACATTACGACTTCGCCGACTTTCTCCGAGCCGCCACTCCTCCCGTTGGCTGGCGTTCGGGTGGATTTCTCTTTCCCTGTTTGAAGAGGCTCGTTGTTAAATCCACAACGAGGGCGAGACGCGGTGGAGTGCTCGCTCATGCCATACACCCTTTCATTGAGGGGCGGCGACTGGCGAACCTACAATTAGAGCAATTGGACCTTCAAACGTCAAGATTTTGGAGTCGGCTTAACAGGCGCTTGTATGGGAAAGTGAATTTGACTTGGAATGGTAAGAAAATCGTGCCGCACGTCACCAAGACTAATGACTTTCGAGCGGCGGCGGATTCCTTGTACGGCGGAGGGCAGATGCATTTGGACGAGCGGTCTATGGAGTAGGGGAAGAGTGGTCTCGTCGACATCTAAGGGGTTGTTCGACCTTTGTTCGTGTTGCGGCAGAGTGCTTCTGTGGAGCCAGTATAGGGAAGTTGTATGATAATCTCACGTTCATATTAACCAATGTTGCAAGTACATGTATTAAAACATGTCGAGCCCAAGAACAAACAAAGCCCCGGTCACTTGTCGGTGAATGAGGGGGGGTCGCACATGCTTTCCATTCGAATGATCATCTTGGATATAACAGGATGAGGCCACTCGGGTTAAAGAGAGTTCATTGCAGCATTGGTGACGTCTGCAAGGTAACGCGAAACTCGTTATGTGCACAGCTGCCGACTCAATGCCCGGCCATGGCCCGACTCCCAAAAGCACCTTCGGATTGGCGTCATCGTCGTCGTTGGTCTGGAAAAGCGCCAAGAGGGTCGTTTTGGTTGAGCAGTAGGCTAAAGTTTTATGACGGGGTTGTGAGAGGGTGAGAAACTGTTGTCGATACTCGTGGATCGAGCGCATAGAAGAAAGAAAAATGGCTAGTATTGGGCTACGTACTCGGACGATCATGGTGATGAGAAGGCCAAAAATATTAAGAGCACGTAGACCTAGCAGACAAGCGCCTGAAGCACAGGTGGCGAGGGTAGCATTCGACAACATTTTTCTGCTCTTGACAATTGGCACGGATTCAGATGTCTATACGATTTAGATTATCAGAGAACCTCGAATCGATGACAACACCAAACAAGCCCCTTGCAAAAAAAAGTTTTGGTACACTGACCAATCGATGCTCGATCATTTCCCTCTCACAAATTGTTCTCCTTACATTTGCGACTCGCGAAGTTATTCTTAATGCCTGTGCTCCTTGCCATCTGTGCGAATGTCGTTGATCTTCTTATGTGGGGGGGGGGGGGGGGAAGCCACAGGGAGTATAGCTAGCAGCAGCCTGGAAATGTCGGAAAGCCTGCATGCGTAGGAACGCATCCGTTGTTTCTTGTGCTGAAGACGTGCTCAGCAGAAACTTGAACTAGTCGATCATGGCTTTGTGTGACATCTATCTGTTTGAGCTTCGAAGACGAAGTAATGGGCTCATACTTACCTTGTGTGCTATTCGTGTTCCGTTCTGTGGGAGAAGTCAGTGGCATCGATCCGCAACGACTGACGTGGCAATTCTCGCGAGAAGATGATGATGGGCTGGTTTCTCCCTAACACATCACTTTCACTTTTCCGTCAGAAGTCAAACGCTAGCTATTCGTAGTTGGAAATTTGCGAAAAGAGAGGTAGGATAGAGAAGGGTGTCTCTCAATCCGACGATTTGGTCTCAATCGAGGACGCCTTTGGTCATGATTCGGACAAATTCCCGCTTAGAAAGGCAAGCCCGATCGTAGCCAGATTCCAGTCTGATGAGTCGTCGTCAACAACGACGATTCTCCATGATATTCTATTCCACCTAACTTCCGAGTTGTAGAGCTGCGCCTTGGACTGAGGAGACACTATTGGGATAAGCTGGTGCGGCATTAACAGTGCATCGAGAGAACTTTGAACCATGATCGGTCGGTAGGAGTTCATCTGATTGCAGTCGTTGATAGGGCTCGTTGACATTTTTCAAGATCACAGAGAGCGTCTGGTTATTGTGAGAGTCCAAGATGGAACGGTATGGGTGCCAGTAAGTCCCGATTGTCCGGGATGGGTCCGCACAATACAATTTTTGTCCCTAAGTGGCGTCATAAAGAAAACAAGGACAATGAAACGTAATATAATCCAGGCAAATCCCTCGTCTTTCTGGTCAATTTGCTTTGTTTTCTACGATTTAATGCCTCTCCCGTCCATTGTTCTAATGTCTTCCTCCTCATTATGGCGATATAAAGTTCCCCAGGTGCGTGTGGAATGTTGGAACTGATTTTTTTTAATCTCGCTAGCCTCCTTCTCGCGATGCAAACAAGGAGCAAATGGAAGAAATCGAGAGTCTGTATCGGCCTTACCTGCTAGCCATCTTGTGGTAAGGAATGACCGGTAGTTGATGACGGTTCTTTGTGCATTATTTGTTGACCACAACAAGCGCCTACACTGGCGTACGTTATTACATATTCGTTTTGCCACCCTCCTCTTTCTCTTGCATCTCCCATCATCTCTACCGTCCTCTAAAAAATGAAGTTCTGCAATGCCGGTCGACGCGCTCTTTTTACTCTATCCACTGCAACGAGAAGAATTTCCCGCAAGACAACTAGGACGGTATTCGGACGAGGTCGTCCGCAAAAGTGAGTGCCCTCTGCTAAGATGGCACGGTGGCCCAATCTCACCATACTCCCAGCCGCCCTCTAAGACATATATCAAAAGACATAGTCTCTCCAACTACGCGTGCTTCAGCTACCTCAAGCACACCGCCTCCGACTCTTCAGCATCAACCCGAGATCGAGCCACTGGAGGTTTCTCTCCAACCGGTACAACTACGCGAATCTGCCTCACTACCCAAGTTCTTATATTTTTGTCCCTTCACTTTCACCATAGTCCATCTCAACAACACCATCACCAAAAAAGCGCAAGGCATCCGAGTTGGAGATCGGAACGGTACACCAGTTCTCGTGCTGTACGGTGCCACACACTAATTTTTTTTTGGCTCATCAGAGCATTGAAGCAAACGAAGAGCAGGTAAGAGAGGTTATGATTGTACCTGCTGTACACTTCTGACGATGCCGTCCGCGCAGAGTCGTCCGTCTCACAAACGGGGCAGGTTTGAAGTCGCCCACGGCTCCGTGCCACACGCCACCCATGTTGAACACCTAGGTTCTGGACAATCTCCATCGGTACGTTGTTCATTCCCCATCTCATTGTTGATTCATGCAAATGTTGAACATTTCCCTTGCGTAGGCTCCGCACAATGGTTCTCGTTCATCCTCGGTCCCGGGATCTTCAAGCTATTTCACACCTCCATCATCGCCTTCCCAAGTACGCCTTTGATTCGTACATCGTTTGTGTACTGCGTATTCACACATAATCACAACATTCAGGATGAACACCGCTTGAAATATCACAATATTGCGCAGCGTGAAGATACGCTAGCAAGAACAGAGCCAAGCGTGCGTGAAGCTCACTATCTTTTGTCGTATATACATCTGACATCACCTGCAGAGCAATGGTTTTGCTTTCTCCCCGGCCCTTTCGGGCGCTATCTCCGGCTCCAGTCTCAGTGGCCTTCAAGACCTAGTCGCCCTTGGGGTTGTGGGCCACAACCACCCATCCTCCGTCCGACAGTCTCCGTCTACCATCTCAGGGGTCATTCTGAATGGCTTTCACCTCCCCCCGCTCGGCCTCACACACTGCACTGCGGAATATGCCCCCTCCCCTCCCGCTGCTATTTCCACAGGCGCCCTTCCTAGCATCTGGGATGTCTTCAGCCCCAGTGCTCTCCCGCACCGGTGTGCCGTCCCCAGTCCCGGGTGGAACGCACACACAGACACGGCTTGGAATCATCCCATCCCACGCCTCTACCTCCCCTGCTCACCCAGCGCTTTTGGCCAATTCGAGGACGGCGGCCTCCCAAGCCCCTACCTCCCTTCCTCGCCCGGCGCTTTCGACCAATTCCTGGGTGGCGACATCCCAGATCTCCTACTTCCTCCTCCTCTTATTAACCAGTTGGAGGACGATCTGATTCCGAGGAGCCCATATATCCTCGCACCACTCCTCGCGAACCCGCCCCCTGCGTCCGAGGTCCGCCTGGCCCCATACGGCGACCTCGTGGCGTGTGGAATATTGCCCGGGCCCGCACGGACGGCCACTTGAGGATGGGATTGACGCTTCCGGATGACAGGCCTGGTGTGCACGCTTTTTGCACAGCGTTCATCCAGGCGGCCATCATGAGCTTGTCTGATTATCGTTTCATACATGCAAACACAAATCAGGACTATCCGAGCACACAAGGCTATTTAAAGACTCGCAGACCAGCCTCGTCGCTTCCTAGGTGGACGGCGGTGCGCAGGGCGCCCCAATTTCCATCCCTACCCGGACTAGGACTATGTGTCGGGTGCTCATCCTGCAGCCTCAAAATATGCACAGCACTCCTCAATCTTACAGAGCACATCCCATCCAGCCCGCCGCATAACAGAGCGCGCTATTTTCCTTCACCCCCACCAACTCGTGAATATTGGGAAGCCCGGTGTACTGCACCTCAGCGCCGGATACGATCTTCTCGTATGACAGGGAGACGAGGTTAGTCTATTTACTCCGTTCCGTTCTTCTCAAAAAGGCAGTTTCTGTTGCCGCACTATGTTATATTGATTTATCTCTCTCACACTATCTCTCTCGTCTCTCTCTATATATTTCTATCATCCCATCTCTATAGCCCTCTCTGTCGTCTCTGTTCGACCGTCCCTGTTTCCATCTCACCTATCACCTCTGTCTTGCTTTCAAAAAATCGTTCGTCGCACTAGCTGTATTCCTAGATTTTTCTTTCACGGCCTTCTCAATAAACGTGCCTCCGGCTTGTTCTTGCGCACCCATTCAACTTCAGCGTTGTGAGACTAATCTAAGACGGCGGAATCAAACGCGAGCCAGACACACGGGCGGATCTTCCGCGCGACGGGGGATCGTCCGTGCATGCCCAGACAGTGTCGCTACTCGAAGACATAATAAAAATCTCCGACACAGCGTTCGTTGCTCAGCTGGCCTCGCGTCCCGCGCGCACCCCACCAGAAAGAAGGCGGTCGCTCGCGCACTAACCGAGTCAAGGCTACCCTCGCAGCGCACGACTGCCAGATCGGCGATACGGCGACTGACCAAGACCGACCGCACACGCTGGAGAATACACAAGCCGCGGCGCTCAGCCTGTATACTTACTTACTCTCGACCGACCGACCGACCGCCTTGCGGCGTCAAGGTGCCTATGCCTAAGCGGGCGCCTCACCGCCGCGGAGCAAGATCCGCCCGCGAATGACGCGCAACGCACCAATCCCCACGTTGACTCGCGCATCCGAGCGAGAACCGGCTCCTGGCACCGGAAAGCCCGTCGTGAACTGCTGCCAGAACCACGAGCCCGAGGCCCGACGTTCCATAATTTCCCGAATGGGGCGGTTGTGACATTGAAGTTCACCAACTACCCCAATATGCTTGCCGCTTGCGAGGATCACCGTGAGGTGATCTAAAAGACCCGCAGCGTCATCTGAAAAAGTGGGCTGGAACTCGAACACGAACGTACTGGGTCAGACTAAGATAGAGCGGGGGCAACTTGCCGAAAGCACAAGCCGAACGGCCCGCACGTGGCACCTCTCTCCCCAGCCTGCCTGCCGAAATTCGACTTCACGCCCAATAAGCTCAGCGCATTATGCATCAATGCATCAAAACCACTCCAGCTCCACGCTTGCCAAAAAGAAAACACCTGCGTAATTGGGACCCAGTCGATAAACAAGCAGGGCCAAGAGGCGAGTACGAGGAAACGGAAGCGTGAAGTACTTTGTCGGTGAAGTATGAAAAAAGGGGTGGATGAGGACGGGTCGGGTCGGGTCGTGTGCACCCACTATCGGTAGGTGCAGCGTACGTACGGCGGTGCGATGATTACAAGTAAGAACGGCCTGGAGCGAGTGGCCTGAGTGGGGTGGAGAGAGGGGGCGGCTAAGATAACGTACATCATAAACAAGAACGGAGAACACGACGCGCTCAAAGAGAAACAGGGGATAAGAGAACGGGCAGAATGCTTAACGATGTGCGCGTGAAAACCAAGGAGCTAGCAAGGGAGCGTGAGGGGGTACCAAGATCGAGATCGAGATCGAGAGCCAGCTAAAGAGAGAGAAAGGAAAAAGGAGAGGAAAAAGAAAGGAGAGGCAGTGGACGATGTCGACTTCGACGTCGGTCGGGATGGTCAATCGATGGCGATTGTGTAAATGCGGGCGTGCAGGCGTAATCTATCTATAATGCTACGAGTATTAGGTTAAATATGCTGCAGGCGGGCGATGGCGGAGAGGAGACCCGAGAGGAGAAGGAAAAGGGGCAGCGACAACAAGTACAACGGGTATGGCGAGAAGGCAGGGGGATAGATCGATGTGTAAGAGAACGTACGGAAATCGTGACGTGTTATGAGTTATATGCGATGCGCAAGGAAATCAAGAACAGGAAATAGAAAAGGATCAAGCGGGCGGGAGCAGGCGTTGGTCTGCATCTCAAGCATCGTCATCGCCGCCTTCGGTCTCTGCAACTATGACGGATGAGAGACGGCTGCGGACGTAGGCCCGCGGGCCCGCCTGTGCCCAGCGGCGCAAGGGACGGGCATGTGCGCGATGGAGGAGCAGGCAGGCGACTGCGCTCGCGCGGACGCCGCGCTCCGGGAGCGGAGGGGGTGCGGGTTGAACGGGTGCTGCCCGAGCGGCGGATGCGTATGATGGGCGAGTGCGTGCGTGGGCAGGATGGACGGAGGTGGCAGCTGGGGAGGTGCGCGCGCGTGGTTCGGAGACAGGCTCGGCTGCGTTGGTGATGGCATCAGGATCCGCGAAGGGGTTGTCGGTGAGGGTGTATGCGGCGGCGGGGGCCTGGAGGCGCGCGATGCGGGGCGGGAGCGGCGGTGCGCGCCGTGCGCGTGCGGAGGGAGGGATGGGGAAGGAGATGACGCGCATGGGACGGGGTGCGGAGCGGGCTGTGCGCCGCGTCACGATTGGAATGCCGGGGACGTGCATGTAAGGGGTGGAGAACGCGGAGGACGGCTGTTGGGTTGCGAGCATCGTGATGTGAGTGTGCGTGCGAGACGAGATGCTGTTTGCGTTGGTGGTGATGATGCTGTTGCTGCTGCTGCAATGGTCTGATTCGAGATGTGACTGGACTGGGATACGCGAAGCCTAAGATCCGGAAAGGCTTGAGAGTCGAAGTGGGCACGAGTCGACTGAGATGGATCAGAAACGGCGGTGCAGGGGCGAGGGCGGCGCAGAGGAGGGAGCGAGTCGTGAGGCGCGGTGTCGTGGAACGTCGAGCAAGAGGAGGGGCGGGCAAGGAGGCTGGGCTTATAACACGTCAGGGCGGAGAACCACGGCGCAGTCCGTTGCCACGGATCATGGACCGCCGGACCACGGCGGTGTCGGTCCACGAGTCGGTCCCGCCTACCCGCCGCCGCATCCCGCCGCTCGAGAGTGTTCTAGACGCCTCGACGGTGACGCCACTGACCGGATCGACATCAGGCCCCTTTCCTCCTTGCCTCGTTCCAGCCCCAAGCCCCTTTAGTTGTTTGCCAGAAGATCGTTCGTCCATTGAACACGACTTCTCGAAGTGCACAGCACAAAGAGCGGCCGCATCCGGCCCGTTCTTCACTACAATACGCCCGGTCGTCCTGGTTCTGCAACAAAGTCCACCTTTGTTTTTGTTGTTCTCGTCAGTGCAACGTCGCTGCGCTCGTGCGTATATGGCGGCATTTGTACGCCAGGTATGTAAGCCAGCACAATGGAGAAAGGCTGGTCGTCGTCATCAGAGAGCGAGGTCCTCCGGGTCCTCCTTGCTGCGTCACTCTGCACAGGTTGCGCGAGCCTACGTGTCGGTACCCTCATTTTCAGTCCTCGTTCCTCATTCTGCTCAGCTGAGCCCCCACGTTTTCCCTTGTTCATCACCGCCATCCTGTTGGCTATCGCCGTGGCATCCACACATACAGCAGTTCATCTGCTGTGAATTCACTTGGAATCGGCTCCTTGCCACTGGATCTATTTTAGTTCGATTATCGACTCAATTCGGCGTCTATCCTATCGTCCGCCGACATGCGAGTTTGCATGCTTGGTGGTGTTCTCTGCGTGCGCCTATACTGTGCCACACCCCTGAGGGTGATAGATAATCAAATCCTGTTGTATACCGCTAAATGCATCATAGCCTTGCATTCCATTCAACCTCCCGCGACCACCCGCATCTCAATACCGGAAAACATGATCATCTGCGCATTTTGATTACTGGCCCCCGCGTGCCATCTCCATGACTTCCCTGCAGCCCGTGGAAACGCCCACACGACTGTTCACCTGCTGCGCTGCTTGCTCGCGGCCGTAGTGAACCGCATCGTGGGCGTATGTGGGCCCCTTGATTTGACATCGCGGATCAAGAACACGAGAACACCTAATGACTGCTTCTATACATAGGCCAGCTCTCACGCAGAGCCTTCTCGCGATAGCACAACGGTATCCGGCTTGGGCGCTATCGATGGACAGATAGTCCTCACTGCCACTCATGGTTCTGCCATCGTCGCACCTCAGGCCTCAGAGGGCACAGCGAAACTTTTCTCATACCGTGACTATCAATCAAGATGTCGGGAAAAGCCTTTCACTTTTGTCTCGAGTCGAGCCCGGTGGCCGAGAGCGTCTCGTGCCGAGAAACCCTGTGCTAGGCGGTCATGTACGAAACCCGCACATCGTGGGTATCACAGGAGGTGGCTGTTCTGAACAATCTCTCCAATGAATTTCTCTAGCCAAGCCCCTCTGCTGGAGGAAACGTTTCCCGCGACGCTGCGAATCGATTCGAATACGCTCATCGGTATCTCGATGCTCAGCACCAAATTCCTTGCATCCCGCTGAATTGCAACTAGATGGTGTTTCCTGGACTCTGTACAAGCGGCCTATTGCGCAGTCCTAGATCTACGCTCCGCAGATATCCATCACACTGTTGTCTTCTCACCTCGATTCTCTGCGTATCATCCCGACACATACGTGCGATCGAATTTTTCCCCATCTAGCCTCTTTTTGCAACTTTCATTCCAGCGCGTTGTCCAGTCTCTTTGATTACTTTGTAACCATGTGCGCGAAGGAAGGCGTTAGTGGCGGGAAAGTCATCTTGTTCTTCGTCGATATGCAATGCCCTTGGAAGCCACTACCATCCCATGCTCGGTTTCTTGCGCCGCCATATGCACTGTCTCACCCGAGTTTCAGCTACGAATGAGAGAGGCTGTCGCGGTCCGCCAAGAGCAAGGCCGAAGGCGAACCGACCTCCCGCTCGATTCGTACCCTGGAAGCGAGCGCGGACCGCAGGGCCAACATCATCGGGACTTTCTCCATCTCTTCGTTCGGTAACCAAATCCATGCATCCATGCCCGCTGAAGCCAAAGCATGCAGGTTTGATGTTGTATGCAAGTTCGAAATACGAGTCGGCTCTTCCGATCTCTCGGAATCGTATCCTTCCGTAGAGTAGCTGGACCTCTTCGACTTTGATCTTCGAGCCGTGGCGGATCCCATCTATGAAGAAGAGTGGGGCTTAATGGGCTTGCAGAACATTCTTTCGCGCTAACGCCTCTGCCGCATCGATGCGAATCCCCTTTTAGATTTAGATGCGCGCAGATATTTTCACGCTGGCAGCGCATATCCAGGGCTCCAGCAAGTGAGATGATTGCTGCCACTTTCTTGAATGGCATCATCTGATGAAACGGCTGCTGACCTCGGAGGGTGCCTTTGCTTGGGCAGCGGGCGGAGCAATGATGTTATTGTTGAAACCAAATCCGGACATACTGTACAGACGTGACAATAATGAAGTTGGGAGGTCGGATTCCTATACTGGGATGCGCAAATCCTGGGAACATCCTAATTATATACCATCTTTTGCGAGCGTTCGAGTGGCAAGTCAACCCTCAGCCATCTGTATTGTTGATTCACCTGTAGTCCTGGCTCTTGGTCGTGATATGGAGAACGGTTGAAGCCGATTGCAGAGGCACGATCGCGTCGCAAGGTTCCAGGTCGCTTCAGCTCTAGACGAGCTGACGCTTCCATTCATCGACGGATGGATCTTAGTTATAAAAAGAGAACGCGGCTTCTTGCACGAACCTCTGTCCTCCACATTCCGCCATGCAAGCGTGTCGGAACTGCTTTGCACGTTCTTCGAAAGGTCAATATCTCATCAAGAAATCCGCAGGTGAGTTTCTAATGGGATAGAGAATAGATTTTTCAGGTGCATGCCGTGGTTGAAGGGCGAGTGGGGAAGGTAGCTTGGGCAAATGTTCATCTTGGAAGTCTGCGCCTTTATACTACAAAGGGAGATCTATAGACCCGAACGAATTATATACCTCCTTGTTTTCCTGTGATGGTCGAGGTCTGACGTTGTCTAAGTTCCCGGATAGAAAAAACTACTCACGCTATATATTCGATATGTGGCACTCAGGACCTCTGAGAGATGCGGTGTGCAACACACTTGCTTTCGAATATATCATTTCTAAAACTATAGACAGTTTAATCGAGATGACGCTAGATGAGCATATAACATCGCTGCAGGAAGGAGTCAGAACAAACATAGGGCATCTCGATCTACTGTCGCCTCAGGCCATGCCAATAACTCGACGCTCAGATGCCTGGCAAGAATCAAGCATGATACAGCGAAAATATTGGTAGTGTATGAAGGGCTTTCTCAGATATAAACCATCGAAAACTGGATCCGGTTGGCTATAGCCGGAACTTGTCGCATCGTCAGTCGTGAATATAAATCAACTATTCACACAGAGACCTTCAATAATAATCTTCGATAAACTGCAGTTATGTAAGTAAAGACAGACATTGTTTGGAGAGAATATTGACTGCGCTGCAGTCCTGACGTGGGAGAGAGAGTAAAACGGCAGGCACCCGTGCCCACTTGTTTGTCCGCTCCATTCCCCTGTCTCGCCTTCGCTCAATCGTCGTCAATACGCGAGGGAAATCCAAGGCAATATTCCTATTCACTGAAACCGTTGCGATGGCCATCGTTAGACAGGTAGACCCTGCGCACTGGTCGTTGCTCTGGTTCGTGACTGGTCACGCCATTCCGTGAATGCATACAACCAGCCTTGAAGAGCTAAGAATAGCAAATATGAGAGAAAACATGTTTCACAGGAGGTGAATGGCACTGACAAACCCAAGGAAGAGTTGCGCTGCATCCCGTCGCCAGGGCCATGAGTATAGCGGCAGAGACAGAAACATCGGTGGCATCAGGCCCACTCAGCACCAGGCCTAGTCTGGAAAGTCCCGTGCTGAAAACGATAACCGGGACTGTAAGGATTCGATTAGAGCGAAATTCCAGATCTGTGATCTGAGCAGCCTACTCAATCCGAGCAACGTGGCTACCACAAATATGATCTGGTGGGCCATGTATTTCTTCGGGTATATGAATCTGGGCCGTGAAAAGAAATCCATTCATACATCTTCTGCAGATTCTAGACCGATGAAGTGACTCACGTCGCAAATAAAAGGCCTGTATAGATTAGACAAGCGGGGATTACAACGACTAAGCCCACGTCTGTATCGTGTTGTTGGCATCAATTCACAGCGAAGGAAGAAAGGAGGAGGATTTACTGACCTATCTTCTGCTCGCATGTTATTGCATAGACAGTGACGACAAGCACATAAAGATTCGAGACAGACGATGCGACTAAGATCATCGATTTAGTTTCACAAGTGGGGACTAAGATACCGCCAGTCCACTCACTGGCGAGGCCACACAGTGTTTTCCAGTAGCCGGATTTCGCATGACTATATATGTTGAGGTCCTTCATGTTGTCAGATCACTGAGCGTTGTGCGTGCGCAGCGGTTCGAGGGTGGGGTAGCAGTGATGGAGGATGGCAGAAAGGATGAAGATTTTTATACGAATCAGTTCGTGGCGGGAACAATGCAAAGGTCCGTCGCTTTGCGAATTCGCGAAAGCCACACTCTCACTCCGATGAGATGCCACATAGCCCTGACACCATGCACAATAAGGCCTTGCAAACTGCCATTAGATAACGTGATCTTGAGGCATCTTTGAAACAGCCTTCGTGTACCCTTGCGCACTTGAAAAAACCCGCCACTGACATCATCGTGGGCTGGCCATCGAATATAATGCCACGGCGTTGGCGGCTGTGTGAAGCGGGCTTTTAGTATTTTCACGAAGGAATCTCTTGAGCGCACCATTTTTAAGCAACGATTTTTCGATGCACCTTTGGCTATGGACTGTGCACGAAGAGTGTCAATCGCAAAGTAATCGTCTTTACATCTGCCGCAGCACCTAGTGACTAGTCTCAAGATTACAGCTCATATGACAGAATATTTTCTGATCGATACAGGTGAGATGCACCGCACAGGACGCCATTGTGCAAGCCCAAAGTTCAGCGAGAGATGATTGATATTACATAGGAAATTTCGAAGGCTCGAGGAGTAGGTCCATCAAGCCCGCCGTAGCCATCAGTCGACTATCTTCAACATAGCTTAGCTGAATTTTTGGAAGTTTGCTCCCGACTTGGGAAATTGGTCCATATGTTTCTCTTCGGTGTTCCCCCTTGTTGAGCGCAAGAGTTCACGATTGATGAATCTACCAGTAAAAGATGGAGACAAGGACCAGTGCCACGATAGAGTCTTTCAAACAAAGTGAACAGTCAGAACCCGTGGATCATAGATCGTGCCACAAGGTAGTCGCTGCTAGGTTGACCCCAGCTGTCTTCTCGCACAACACCACTGAGGGGTTCTAGCATTTAGATATAGTGTTGAACCTGTCACATTGAATGGTTCGGCATGAAGGGAAAACACTGAGAGCGCGAGCTGCGAGATGAGAGAAAGCGTCTAAGAGACATAGACGTGTGACTTCACGCTCCCCGACACGTCTAGCGCATGCACCATGTCGACATGTCGAGCGAGCCGTATGGAGGAACAGGCAGGACGAGACAGACTGTGAGTGAACGGTGGAAGGTGAATGATGAATAGCTCGGAACAATGGGTGAGAGCGATGAGGAGCGACGCAGCGTGAAAAGATGTACTTTTTAGTCACTCAGAGACAGAAGGCTGGCATTTCTCATTCAATCTCCTCCGCGGTCTCCGAATGTCAGTATCTGACGCATTTTCTCTCTGCGGAGGGTGCACGCTCGATTGTACACGCACACATAACCTGAAGAGCAGGATCGGACAACAGGCAAGCGACGACGGCACCGCGGCAGGTCAAGCAGAGCACTAGGACAAGGTCGCTACTCGTGAGTAGTCAGAGAGCGGCTGGGCTGATTGGGAGAAGAAATGTTGAAGCACGTGGGAATTCGTCATGCGACAACAACGCCCGGTCATGTCCGAAACCAAAGACACCTTGATCGACTTTTCCTCTATCAAGTCCTTTGAATAGGGAAGATCAGAGATTTCCAACCCTCGGTGTACTATCAATCGTTTACTGTAAGGTGACTCAAACACTTACACTCGTTCTCAATGGGCCTGATTGAATCAACGCTGGATATATAGGTCCGACAGGGCGACATCGATCGTTTTCATTGGCATCGGGACTGCAAGCAATTACACTGAGCTTATTGGCTGTGAGATGTATGAGGCTACCGTCAGGTGTGTGCACCACGAAGGCAGCGGGATTAATGCCTACTGAACACATGCAATGATCATAGAAGTTGAATGAGCTTGATCTCGTGGACTGCTAGACTGTGCACAGATATGTCAGGTGTCCGTTCAGCCCGTGCCGTATATCTGCCACAATCTTGTCCGTTCTTGCTATCAGGCGAGTACTACAACAACGAAGTCGCTCTTATCCGGCTTGGCGTGTGGCTTTTGTCCCCACATCCTCCCACACCTCGATCCGCAACTCGTGCTTGAATGGAACTCGTCTCTTGTATCGGTCTCCGAGATAAGCAAACGACTCCGGCCGTCCATCTAGGTATACAGCTGGGATTTATACGTCGTCTTCTCCCGAAGGTCGTTTCGCCGTTCCGTTCTTGTTATCTTGAACTTCTTCCCCTATCCCTGTGCCTGCTCACAGTACGCCCACATACGATCCGTATGCTCAAGAGGCTTGTCAATGCTGATACAGGGAGAGCACTCACACCAGTAAGCTTCCATCACACCTCCTCCAGGTAAGCTCCATCCGATCATCCTTCTTAGGATTCGTGCGCTGTTATCTTTTCCCATTGATCCTAGAAGTGCTCTTCAACATGGCTGCAAAAAATTCTGTCCTCTCTGCCAGCAATATCAAACGTCTACCCACACCAAAAAAATCGTATAAAAGGCCATTAGCGCTTCCTCTTTCTCCAAGGGTATACATCCCTTCCACAGCTCGTCCTTGCGTACATCACACAATATGCTGAACTCCCTCGCACTCCCATTCATTGCCTCGTTCTTTGCACTTGCAGGAGCGATACCTCCACTCGGGGGGCGCGACATGCGCCTCCACGAACGCCGAGAGGTTATTCCTCGCGGATTCGTCAAGACCGCAGCTGCGCCCGCCAGTCAGATGCTCAACCTCCGCCTCGCGCTCGTGCAGAGCGATCCCCAGGGCCTCGAGGACGCACTATACGCTGTCAGCACCCCAAGCAGTGCGCTGTATGGTCAGTTCCTGACTAAGGAAGAGGTGATGTTTTTTCGCTCCAGTCTATGCTCCATATATTCATAGCGATACTGATAGACATCATCGTGACTACAGGTTGAGGCGTTTGTTGCACCGAAAGAAGAAACCGTTGAACTCGTCACTACCTGGCTTGCCGCACATGGGCTCACTCCCCGCACAATTTCGCCTGCGGGCGACTGGCTCGCAGTGGACGTCTCCGTCGCGCAGGCCAACGAACTGTTTGCTGCTGAATTTGCAACATTTACCCATGTAGATACAGGGAAGGAGGCCGTGCGGACCTTGGAGTATTCAATTCCTGCCTCACTGCAGGGGCATCTGGACCTCGTGCATCCGACTACCACGTGCGTGTCTAACAAACCCTCTCTTTTTAAATATCTTGATCAGTGCTGGTATGGGTTGTGAACGCTGACGTCCCAACCGTGCAGTTTTCCGACTCAGCTTTCTCGCGCACCACTCGCCTCGATCCCCATCCCCAAGGGGATCATACCGGCAGTGAACCTGTCCAGCGATGCGGTCCCTGCGTCATGCAACACTCTCATCACCCCCGCGTGCTTGCAGGCCTTGTATGGCATCCCGACCACGCTTGCGACGCAGTCATCCAACAAGCTTGGAGTGAGTGGTTTCATCGACCAATTTGCGAACTCCGTATGTCACATCAATTTGCGGTCTATACCGACCATCCATTAATCATTTACTCGCAGGCGGATCTCAGGGTAAATTTTCTCTAATTTTCAGCTGATGTATCGAACACTCATGCTGGACAATCTCCATGCAGCAATTCTTGACTGCATTGCGGCCAGATTTGTCGCCCTCAACGTCTTTCACACTTCAGACTTTGGATGGCGGAACCAACACCCAAACTAGAAGCCAAGCTGGTATCGAGGCAGTGCGTGTTTACTTGCAGAATTTTATATCATGCATGACATAAATTTCTTTCCATGGCAGGACCTTGATACCCAATACACCATCGGTGTTGCATCCGGGGTCCCTACCGTGTTCATCTCAGTCGGTGACAACACTAATGACGGTGTCTTCGGTTTTCTGGATATCATCAACTTTTTGCTCAGCGAGACCAGCCCTCCTCAGGTCTTGACTACTAGCTATGGAGCTGACGAAAGCGATGTCTCCCGTTCGCTTGCTAAGTGAGCGATCCTTATGTTTTTTTACATCTCTATTTTATTAAGCCATCAATGCGAACACAAGTAATCTGTGCAACGCCTACGCACAACTTGGTGCCCGTGGGACTTCTATCTTTTTCTCATCTGGCGATGGGGGTGTCTCTGGTGGTCAGAGTCAGAGTTGCACAACCTTCATTCCCCCATTCCCAGCCGGTTGTCCGTTGTATGTCACACCATCTCTTTCATCGCTACAAGATATATACTTACGAAGCGCTCTCGGCTAGCATCACTACTGTCGGGGCTACCACTGGCGTACCAGAAACAGCTGCCGACTTCTCCTCTGGTGGATTTTCCAACTACTTTGGCACTCCTTCTTATCAGACCTCCGCGCACGCCACCTACCTCAATGCTATCGGCAGCACCAACAGCGGCAAGTTCAACGCTTCGGGACGCGGGTTCCCTGACGTGTCGGCAATGGGGGAGAACGTCGAAATTGTCTGGGATGCAGAGACAGGGACTGTTGCAGGCACGAGTTGCTCGAGCCCTATCTTCGCAAGTGTCGTCGCGCTGTTGAACGATGAGCTAATCGCCGCGGGGAAGAGTCCGCTTGGCTTCCTGAACCCATTCTTGTATTCGACGGGTGCTAGTGCTCTGAATGACATCACGACAGGTGCGTTGATTTGGTTTGGACGTCTCGTGGTTATGAATACAGACCATACCATCACAAGGAAACAACCCAGGCTGTAATACTAACGGATTTTCTGCAAGAGCTGGATGGGATCCAGTGAGTGTTACTTTCACAACTCGCAAAATCTTGTTTGTCTTCATTTTTTCTGATCTTGCATTATAGGTCACTGGCCTTGGAACGCCAAACTTTGCTGCGCTTAGAACGGCTGTTGGACTCTGATGTACTGAAATGTGTCCGCAACGGCCTGTTTTCAAACAAATAACGAGGGTAATGCATATTGTGTGACATTTGTCATCGTCATCGAGGCTGTCGTTTTAGTCTTGCCTGATCTCAAAACTATACGAACACGCCCGCAAAACACCGACTGCTTGATAAAAACTGGCCAGCTGGTTTCGAAATTCATACTTACCATCTTCTTCGACAGCGCCACCCCGCTCTATCACATTCCCGCCTGCCATTATGCTGTCTAATTTTGCGGTTCTCATTTCTCTAGTCTCAATTATCGTCGCATCGCCATTCATGCCACACGGCATGAGCTTGCATGAGAAGCGCGATGCGCCCCCGCATGGTTTCGTTCCAAATGGGGTTGCACCTCCCAATCATAGTCTGAGTCTACGTCTGTCACTCGTACAGACCGATCCGAAGGGTCTCGAGGATATGCTTTACGCCGTGAGCACGCCTGATAGTGTATCATACGGCCAATTTCTCTCTCAAAGCGAGGTATGTCTTCACCTTTCCTCTTTTAACTAATAATCTCATACGCTCGTATGGTCTATCCTAGGTCAAAAAGTTCGTCGCACCCTCACCAGATAGTATCAAGCAGGTTGCAGACTGGCTTGCCGGTTACGGTCTGGAAGCGACTCCCGTATCTCCCGCCGGAGATTGGCTTCAAATTGATGTAACTATTGAACAAGCCAACACTATGCTCCATGCGAATTTCCGCACATTCAAGGACGAAGGCACAGGCCAAGAGGTAGTGCGCACACTCAACTATTCTCTACCTGTAGCACTGCGTGGCCATCTTGATTTTATTCACCCAACAATCACGTAGGTCCCTTGATACGAACGGTCTATATGCGCTGACACACCCATTGCGGCCTTATAGGTTCCCGACTCAGCTGTATGGGCCGCCGCTGTTGGTCCCAGTGCCAATGGATGGAGCAGAGACTGTAATGACTAGCCCCTCACGCAACTCTATACCAGCATCATGTGCGACGAAGATTACTCCCGCTTGCCTTCAAGCCCTCTATGGGATTCCAACCACGCGTGCCACTCAGTCCTCGAATAAAATGGGCGTGGCGAGCTTCCTAAACCAGAACGCGAATAATGTGAGTCTCGAAGTCTCTCACCAGCTTTTATTCGTCTGATATATTTTTCCTAGGCTGACCTTCGGGTACGTCTCAAAGGCTTCAAATTTTAGATGACGCATGATGCACTGATACACGCTGTCGGCAGACATTTTTGAACAAGTTTAGGCCTGATCTTCCCAGTAATACGACCTTCCAACTAGAGACACTGGACGGTGGTATGAACGACCAAAAGTCCGAAAAGGCAGGAATCGAAGCTGTAAATATCGCACATCAATATTTTACGCGTCGCGGGAGAAACTGAGGTTTTTCCTTTTTGATTGTAGAACTTAGATGTGCAGTATACGATTGGCCTCGCGTCCGATGTACCGAACATCTTCATCTCTGTTGGTGACCAAACCAACGATGGCGCTCTATTCGGATTCCTGGACATCATTAACTTTCTCCTTGAACAAGAAAACCCTCCGCACGTCTTGACCACATCCTACGGTTCAGATGAGGTCGGAGTGTCTAGGGCTCTGGCGAAGTAATTATTAGTTGTCGCTTGAATGCGACTGCTGCTGATGTCTCAACAGCAAATTATGCTACGCATACGCACAACTTGGCGCTCGTGGTACTTCAATTCTTTTCTCGTCTGGTGACGGTGGTGTTGCCGGTGCTCGACCACAGCAATGTACGGCTTTTGTGCCGACATTCCCATCGGGTTGCCCATTGTACGTGTGATTTACGTGTGATTTTTGACCTACTATCTGCTCTTCTGATCCTATATTTTTTGCAGTATCACAACTGTCGGTGCTACTGAGTCTATCCCAGAAACGGCGGCGGCGCTCTCATCGGGTGGGTTTTCGAACATTTTTGAACAGCCGGCATATCAAGCTGCCGCGGTATCGAAATATCTCGCGCAACTCGGTCGCATGAACGCTGGTTTGTTCAACCCCAAGGGACGTGCATTCCCCGACGTCGCAGCTATCGGCCAAAGAGTCGAGATCATAGACGCAGGAGGTTCCGTCCTCGTCGCTGGCACGAGCTGTTCTAGCCCTATCTTCGCAAGCGTCATTTCCCTCTTGAACGACGAGCTCATCAGTGCTGGACGAAGCCCGCTTGGATTCTTGAATCCATTTCTATACTCCGAAGTTGGTTCGGCTGCGCTGAATGATATCAAAAGCGGCGAGTACAAAGGGATTAATATTCCAAATGAATCCAGGCACTGATTCTTTCGTTTTGACGTGTCTTGAAAGGTTCCAACCCGGGGTGCGATACGAATGGTTTTCCCGCGTTGGTAGGGTGGGATCCGGTCAGTATTGATTTCAATTTTGGATTGATAGCACGATACTTATGTCGTATGTAGGTCACTGGGCTCGGATCGCCTAACTATGCAGCACTGAGAACAGCGATTGGGCTCTGACTGGATGTCCTGGTGATACTATCTCAAAACATTATGGCTCGTACAAAAACCCATCGCAATGTTTTTCATTCATTCTCGAAAACATTGTTCTACCTACTGCTATCCCCAAGCGCAATGCAGAGCAGAAATCGAAAGAGTAAATGCGGACCAATGACTTCATTCATCACAATCCAGCAGCAGTTCTCAACCCAGAGAAGATCGGGGAGCCAACGCCAGTCACCTGAACAAACACTTGCATGAGCAGACAAAAAGCGTAGGTAAATGAAGTGGGACATACAGGATCCCAACCTGCGGTCGCAGAGAAACCATTCGTATTGCATCCAGGGTTGTCACCTGTATTGCATAGTGTCACCCGACGAAGGCCCGCGGTATTGAAAGCACAACGTACCAGATGTGATGTCCGTGAACGCGCCTGACGACGAGTAGATCAACGGGTTCAGGAATCCAAGGGGGCTCTTTCCGGCCGCTACCAACTCGTCGTTGAGTAAGGACACAAGACTGGCAAAGAGTGGGGTCGAGCAGCTTGTCCCATCGACGAGCCAGAAATCACCCTGCCACGCAATGACGTAGTCAGTCGCCAACGCTGCCATGTCGGGGAATGCGCGGCCAGTAGTATTGTACAAGCCGGAGTTGGTGGAACCGAGCGCAGTCAGGTAGGAAGAGACAGCTGATGTCTGATACGAGGGCCTGCTGAAAATGTTGGAAAAGCCGCCGGAAGAGAGAGATGCCGCAGTTTCCGGGTTGACGCCTGTAGTACCTCCGACAGAGGTAATGCTGCCGACATGATTGGAATAATCTCCATACAGCAGGTCAAGTGCGCTTACAAGGGGCATGTAGAAGGGAACGTCGGCACGAAAGTCGTGCAGTCTTGCGACTGTCCACCAGACACACCACCATCACCAGATGAAAAGAAGATCGACGTGCCGCGCGCGCCGAGCTGAGCATAGGCATTGCACAAGCTCCTGTACCATAGACAAGGGGAATCAATTCATTGAAGTCAGAGAACAGCAAGTGGAGTATAAGAGAAGCGTGAACGCACGTGGCGACGCTGTCAGGAAGGTCTGGTTCATTGAATGAGTAGGAAGTCGTCAGGGCGTTCGGAATGACAGATTCGCTGAGAAGGAAGTTGACTTCATCGAGAAACCCATCGATGTCGTCCTGATTGTCTTCGCCGATCGAGAGGAATGAGATTGGGACGCCGGAGGCGATGCCAACAGTGTATTCAATATCGAGATCCTGCACGTCCGAGTCAATAATTAGATTGAAGCCACTTCTCCATATGTACTAAGGGACGCATTACCGCTTCGATACCGGCATCTGCCACAGACTGTGGGTTCACTCCGCCATCAAGTGTTTGAAGCGTGAACGTGGTTCCCGTGAGGTCAGACCTGAACTCCTGCAGGAAGCTCTGAACAAGCCGTCTCGTCAGTTCTATTGGTATATTCACGAATCGAATAACCGAAGACCCACCGCCAAATCAGCCTGGTTTGCATATCTGTTAGGTAAAAAGTATTCGATCGGACTTGATCTTTCGAGTGGAAGAGAAGCGCTGGTAACATACTGCTCAATGAAGCCGGAAACAGTCAGTTTATTGGACGATTGCGTTGCCTTGGCCGTCGGGATGCCGTAAAGCGCCTGCAAGCACGACGGCGTGACCTCACTCGCGCAAGAAGCCGGAACAGCGCTGGTGGTCAGATTTGCAGATGACTTGGCCTTAACTACGTTCACGACACCCTTTTTGATAGGGGAACCTACTGATTTGATGGGGAAGCTGGAAGTCTAGCATGTTAATTCCGAGTGAGATAGAAAAACAAAAGGCGAGACTCACGCGATTGTAGGATGTATGAAGCTGATGGCTTCCTTCAACGATGCAGGAACAGAGTATGACAGGGTGCGGATGGTATCCTTCCCCGTTGCCTCGTTTGTAAAGGTCGTGAAATCAGCGTCGAGAAGTGTGTTGGCCTGTTCAACAGTTATATTGACCGTAAGCCAATCGCCAGCCGGAGAGATAGGCGTTGCTGTAAGGCTGTTTGCTGATAGCCACGACTGAACCGCAGCACTCGTTTCTTCGGAAGGCGCCACGAACGCTTCAACCTGACGACCAAGAGACATATATGGTCATTGACCGAGTACCGATGAAAACGTTATTTTCCTACCTCCTCCTTTGATAGATGCTGTCCATACTGCGCACTTCCAGGAGTACTCACATCATATAGCGCCTTTTCGAGCCCCGAAAAATCGTTTTGTGTCAGCGCGACACGCAACGTGAGCACTGCGTTCTTTGGTGCAGCACCGCGCTGCACGAACCCACTGGGAGGTTCCTCACGCCTTTCATGCACGCGCATAGTACGCTGGACATGGGGCGTCGCGTACGCACCAGTGAAGGCGAGCAAGGACAGAAGGGCTAGTGTGGTTCTAGCCATAGCGACAGGTTCAGTGGCAGAGGTTGCGGACTGAGATTAGAGGGCCAGGGCACTCTGGAGGACTGGTTGGTACTTGCTCGCATGGGATCCTTTATAGAACTCAGGCTAGGAGAGAATCCGGATTCGTATGCAGCCAGTGAGTCACGTTCGATCAGTTCGCCATTCACAGGATGGGGTGGGATCTGGTAGGAACGAAGGGGTAGAAGCGGTGATAGGATAGTAGACTATGGTAAAGCTAGATCCCCAGAGAAAAAACGGGCCATGTGTGGCAAGCTTCGATTAGGTACAGCAGGCACAATGAATTCTAGTAGGAGATTAGAAGTCTGCAGATGAGACACGACGGAGTGTGAGCCCTATCTGTCGAAGCAGTCTCGCCGGCTGGATGCCAGAGGTGACTCGTCGGACCTTTGCGTAGCCGCGACTTATCATCGAAGTGGAAGGGCTTGAAAAGCAGACATACAGCAAGAGGTTCCACGAGGAGCACGGGCGGTAGTGGCCAAAACCTTTCATGCAGCATCAGACACGTCAACGCTGATCGCTAACAATGTGGCCAGGTTGTAAAAAAAATGATGGCCAAGACGTGGCGAGGGCCGAAGAGCGAAACCTTTGTGACTTATGTCGTGGATGTATTGAACCGTCCTTCCGCCTCGATCGAGTGCGGTGGGCAGCTGTGTCGCAAGGTCCTAGAAAGGACAAAACGGGACACAGAGCAGTCAGCAGGACAGATACTGACGCGGAACAGCCAGCAGAACCCGGAGGGAACCAAGTTTGTACTGGCTTATGATCGTTGAACAATCGGTCATCGAATCCGAATTCTGATGCGCGAAGCTCCTATTCCAGCGTCCGCATGGGGTGAGACACATGAGATACGCAGTGCCCGCGAAGGGTCTTTACTTTGCCTCTGATCTATTGGAAGCTCGTTCGAAGCCTACAGCTATCTGAATGGAGAAGGCGTTGTCAACAAGGAGCTACGGAGGGACCAGATAAACAAAAGAGGTGGCTTCAAGGGACGAAGATACCCACGAGAGAACAATCTTGATATCCCGTGATGTATGCCTGCTATCACATGTACTCGCGTTCTATATACAAGTACATCGCGTCAGCGAACGACGACAGATCGTCTTTCTTGATCGCACGACGCGTCGTGATAAGCCGCGGTTCCAGTACGTGCGGGAATTACATGAATAGCAAGCGGAGGATTAGATAGAAGAGGATTGTATCGATGTCATCGATATCAGCTCGCTGTCGTCCCAGCTGGAGTGACATTGGATACGTCGATGGTGCCCATCCGGAGACAAGTCGGGCGATGGATGGGATGAGTAAAGCAGTCCAAATCTAGAAAAAAACCAGAAAGACGCTGGTAGTGATACTAAGACATCCACTTCTAGGATCAAATAGCAGAAGATGCAGGATGATAGCGCTCGAGAACGTCGTCAAATGCCCCAGTGACCAGTGCGAAAAAAATGGCTCCGCTGGATTATTTCTGCAGTCTTCGGTGGAGGGGGTGCAAGTGGAAGGCGGGAGAGACCATCACCGGACTACAACAGATCGATGGTTCAAGGACGAAGTCAGTTGGCATTGATCGCAAAGGATGCAGGAAGCCATAAAACGACAAGACCAGGGAGCTCCAAGCGATTCCACACAGCAAAATAGTGTGCGAGAGGAGTTGGAAGAAGATAATCTCATCACTAAAGCAGGAGTGCCATCGTTGCCTGCCAGAACAAGACAATGAAATCCGATGATCAGACCGTCCGAGAGGGTGATACAGACAAAAAAAGCTATCGCACCCCATGCAAGCAAGTCTTGAGATTAAAATTCATCTACTAATCCACAGTCATCCGAGAAAGCCTATGGGACCCGCCGGAATCTCAGTAGCGACCTGTCGAACCTTGCGAGCAGATTTCGGTGTTGGATACAACTTTCAAGAGACGAGCCAAACCAACATTATGATCAGGAAAAATTGGCGGGATACTCTGTCCAAACTCTCAGAAGGAAATTCACAACAAACAGATGATGAAAATGGGGAGTAGGCGAGAGTAGGTGCTGAATGCCAATTTGTCCGCACTCGGGTCGGGATGAGGCGGACTTTCGGACTTGAGCTTTTAGAGCCCGATCGTGCGCTTGAATCATCTGATCTCAACGACTGCTAACACCACCATCAATATCACCAAGCGCACCAAGAGCAATTCAAGCCATCTGGACTACCCTGGAGACTTTTCAACACCAGCTCCAGGCCCGGACAAAAGTATGGCTGTTCGAAAAAGTTGACACTGATTTTCATGGCAAAGGTCAATGATGCTGGTCACCACTCAGATTCTAGCACGCCTATCTCCTGACTTTCTAGCACCAGTAGTGCTATTCATATCAAACTATAGATTCTATCGATGCAATAATTGAAGCGACGGAACTGAGAGGACTAACGACTCTATCAAATAATACATAATCAGAGAACTATTTCACGATACATCCCCACTGATACAACGTTCTACCCCATGCCATACAGGATGCTTAAAGCTGCTCTCGCCATCCCCTACACTCCCCATTTCTTGCGGTCTGCATCCGCATCTCCATCGCTGCTTATTCCAGATCTGAGAAGATAGTTCATGCGATCACGACTATCCTAGGCGACGGCCGACTTTAGATCTGATGAAGAGGGTCTGAATGATGTAGATCGACGCAAATCGCTCAGGTTTCTGAACTGTCAGGGAAAATACGTACGGTATGACATCATACGCATGGTTTGCCTTGTGCAGCGCCGCATCGCAGACATCTCGAGCGAGCACGCCCTCGCGGACCGCTTTGTCCAAGAGCGCACGGAGCCAGCTTCGGCTGTTCCAATGCCCGTCTGGCTCCATGACCGGAATCTCCCACGACAGTTTGTCGAGCGCCGCGCGCTGCGCCGGCGTCAGCTTCGCGAGCGGTATGTGCAGCGACTGGCGCGTCACCCCACCCAGATAGCCCGTCCGTGGGCCCCAGAATGTTAGGTGCGGTAGCCCCGTCGTCGCCTCGTGCACGGCCTGCAGCTCGTGGTAGACCGGGCCCGACGCATCCTGTGCAACTAACCAGCAGAGCAGCCAATGATGGTCGTGTGCTGTCGCATTGACCCTGGACGCTTTCACCACCACGATATACGCATCTAGGTTACCCTTGGGATCTCGAAATATGTGAGAGATGTCTGGAGGTGGCAGACGGACGGACGGCGGCGGGCGTCCTTGATTGGGCAGCGGTTTCCCCATCATGTCTTTGGTAGAGGTATACACGGTGAGAATGCGCAAAGATGACAAGTTATTGGAGACGTTCGAGGCAGGGAGACGAAGCACTCAACGATGAACTGTGTACATTTTGTATGATACACAATGGGTGTCTAGACTGCAGTCCAACCGATGCTACAAGCTCGCACGGTACCATCAGCCCCCACGTGCAATTGTGTATGATGGCGGAACGGACGAAGATTGATCTGTGCGTGGATTGTGCGAAGGCAAGAATCAGCGCAGAATCAAGATGCTCGACAAACGTAACATCGCACCCGTATATGACCGATCAATGTCCACCCAGAAACCTCCGCATTAACATGAAGAGCGTGAAATGCCACGGAACTGGGTGGGGAAAGAAAGACATTGGCTTCAAGATCAACTCCATGTCGTTCGCTAGTATCGGTCTGACGACCCCGAGCATGAACAGAAATTCTAATAGCTTGCTCAGCGTTCGTTACACGTCTGTTATCCATCTGAATAAACTCTAGCATCGTCGTTGTAAAACACTCTCCTGATCAACAACACCCACAAAAGTCAAATCTGTGCCTCGGCTGGGTTGTCTTCACGAAAGGAAATCCGAGGCCGAGGACGGAAGAGCGAGATGATCTGTGCACTATATCCAGCATACCACTGCTTCGAAAGTACTGATCTTGTACCCTATACCCGGATTACTAACATGGGTCAACTCGTGAGAGACGCAGCACAATGAACCATGAAAAGGGACGCTTTCAAGCTGAATCTTCTCTCCCGAGCACCAATCTAGTTAAGGTATAGATCGTCCACGGAGGATAGATGAAGTGGGCCTGAAAGAAGACAATGTTCTAACGCAGAAGGACCAGCCAGGCACGGATCTCGCCTTCAAACGAGAGAGGGGAGTCAATTTCGCTGACAGTCATCCATTGTGCAATCAAAATCAGTCATCCATGTGTTTTGCTCGAACATGATTTTAATTCAACTTAACAGTCACTGAGTTGTCTCCGTCTTCCCTGACATCATTTCAGGCAGCAAAGGAAGTCCAGCCAACCTGTGTCAGATGATTGGAGCATCATTATCGTCTGTGCGACTGAGCCTTGGAAAACACCTACACAAATATATACTTCTCGTCGCCTCGTTTATCCTTGTGAAGATATGCTAAAGTTTATGATAAAATTTCGAAGAATCATCAGCAGTGTATAGGTGCAGGTGCTCATCATGGCAATGTGTAACTTTTTCAAAAAAATCTGTATTTTAGTCTAATTACGGCGTACCGCATGCTTAGACTTAAGTACATATGCGTATGCTATCGTTTCGTATGTTATGAGTTCCTGTGCTGTCCTGTGCTCCGCAATGGCCAATGTGTAACTTACTATCCAGACCTCCGTCGGCCAGGCGGCCAAACACACCATTCCTTTCCCCGCGTCCCGGCCCCCGCATCAATGTTACGGAAAGGCACGTCGCCTTGGACTTGTGAGCTCTGCGCCAACGCGGCCATACCATCGCCCCTCTCTATCGAAGCGGATGGGAAGGAGAGAACTCATGAGGCCGTGCGGAAGTCCGTCAGGGCCTCTGCGTGTCCGTCAAGGCAGTGCTTGTTGGGCCTCAAGAGTCATCACCGCTCAGAGACCGGATTCTTTGTTCCGTGCCGACGCTTCATTGAACATCATGTGTCCGCCTATGTGCGTTTCCGCGATGACGGTGTGCCCATCCGGAGAAAAAATAATCACACCCCAGAATCTTTCCGATCAGGACGTCCGAACGGAATTTACGAGGACTGCGCCAGAGCCAGTCAGACGTGTCCAGCAAGCCTGTGGGAAGAGCTGTATATGGGGAGGTTCGAGGCATGGTCGATCTACGACGATGGATCAGCAGAGCCATCACACCGCCATTGCGCTAGCCTAGTCCGTGTGATTGCTCACCTGAACCTCGTCAGTGAGATGTACCATGCATCATCATGAGTCAGGTCCTGCTGATTTCAGTCCTGTGGAATTCACGCGTACGGCAAGCAGGAAACACAGATTCGCACCGGAGAGAGTGAAAATAGTTAATAAAGTAGTTCTGAGGTACGACATTCGTTCTCTCTTACCTTCGTAGAACTCGTCGACGATCCCTCCAATCTTCCTCCGAGCACAGGTTGCTCGCCTTCGCTTCGCCCAGTCACTATCAGCGAATGTCCGCGTTGTTGAGTCGCCAAGAGAGAGGTCTTACGGCGACATAGCCCGCGGCGGAGGACGATGATATCAATACCGTATCCCACCAGGGCGGCAGTGCAGACCTCCCCTGAGTCGTTAGAAGGACCCTGCCGCAGACATTCTAACCACCTTTGGATGAACGTGAAGGCTCCGTCGTTCACCATCTCTCTGGTTTTTTCCCAGTCCATCAGCTAAAACCTGTGCAAGGAGCCGAGGAAGACTGAGCTCCTTCCAATGCCGTTCGATAATACGACGCGCACCAGTGTGTCCTGATAAGATCGTGGGTTTTGGCGCTGGAACTGGTCGTGTCCGTGGGTATGACAGTGAATTTTTGCAAAGGGAGGTGGTGGGCCTAAGGACCTTCAGGGTGGAGCTGATCGGCAAAGTAAAACTTGATACTTGAGGATCTGATTTATCACGTAGCACATAGCAATACTTTTGTTTCCTCTATCCCACAGTCCCGTCACGCCACAGATCCAGTCTGGGCGCAGATGTCGAGTCGGCGAGGTCGGAGTGAGAATTGGAATGGTCCCCGTGCCGTCTCTGATAGAAAATGTCGGGATACACTATGCCGCACCTAATGTACGACTTGGGATATCCAATATCAGAAACAATACCAGCTCTATGATAAATCAAGCGGGGCATACCCATCGACTTGCACTAGCAAGCTCTGTAAATTAGCTCGATTTCATAAAGTAGCGGGCTAGTATACAAGTCACAAGGACTCACTTGACAAAATCGTTATCGAACCAATTATCGTGTCAATTTCACAAGGGATCACAGACCGTAATCGTGTTCTGTCCGCCGTGCACGTAAGTGTGACGGGATAGCGGCTGGATTCGGTAGCACCGTGAAGCGCCAAGGTAAGGCGGGTCGAGAACGCTGCAATTCGTGACCCAGAAAAGCAGGTATACTGTCCTGACGTCAATCACCTACCAAACCGAAAGTCGGGTCGGCCTGAGATGCTTGATATATCCAACGCATTCGGAAGCACACGCCACCAGATCGTACGAAATGCTCGCCACCAGATCGCTGACCCCTCCACACCTTGCTACATGATCTTCAGACGGTGCACATGTCGAGGAGAGGTAACGATGGGGCCATGGTTTGAGATCACGGGCAGCAGACAGGAGAAAGCAGGAGTGCCTGTGATGCACACCTGCGCGTCGGGGACTGGGTTGTGAGGAGGTTGTTTCGAGACCCGGAGGAGGAGGGGTCGAACAGACAACGATGAAGAAATCCTGAAAGTAAGATCGTCGATTGCGTGATGGCCGTGCCGGAACAGAGAGCGTGTTCGATGGCGGATGGGGAGTCGTCATTTCGTATCAGCACAAGGCTGCGCTCCCTTGGAGCTCTGCAACATCGCGCGAGCACCGCGAAACATCGATCTCCGCGTGTCTGTTGAACCTTCTGTTTGATAGAGCATGAACCGTTTACGAAGATTTCGTTCGTGCTGGCCATATCTTGCTGTATACGCCTGCAAGCGGGGCTTGTGCGTGGTTCATCGGCCTAAATCAAGGGATATAGATAGGTCTTCTGCACGAGTGTCGAGGAGGCCGTTTCTCAAGCTAGCCTAGGAAGTGAAACCGTGGATCACACTGTGGTAGTGGAGTCAAAGCCCTCCGTCGCGATCGCCGCCGATCTCCAATCCACCGGTCCCCTCCGGCCCGTCCACACATGTACTGTATCTCAATCACGTGTGGCGGTGCCGACGGCTACCCAAATTTCACCTGGTTGGGCGTCTCCCCGTGTCCTCTCCCATTTTCCAGTCCGGCGCAGACACGATGTGGACCCCAAGTCGAATAGAGGAGTAATTCAAGGCGCGTGTCGAGCGCAGGTTCAAGCAGGTTCAAGTAGTGGGTGGGCCCGCTCGAGCCTTCTCACCCTAGACTCCCTGAGGTATCAGATATTTCTTTTCAGCCAAACACAGTCATATCGAGCTCTGATTGACCAGTCCATCCGCGACGTGCGCACCATGACCATGCACAGCCAGATCACTCACATAGCAGGGCCATCTGCGAATTTTGTCAAGAGGTAATGTAATAGATCACCGCATCCGAGTGGTCGCTATCGACCGCGGGCTACCGAGTGCCACTGATGCGCCTGTCCATATCAATGCGCAAGGTCCATCAGCGGACCTACCGTAACTTACGCACTATACGAGTCGCGACGCAAGCGCAATATACGGTCTGCGGGACCTGCAGCCTCTGTGACAGGACTTCTAACGGGGCATTTACATCAATTGGGCTCGCGAGGGACCACAGACGTCTAAGGCACTAGTCATGGGTCCTTCTAACACGCGCGCGCAGGATAAAACCCCAAAAAAGCGTGGTGTCCCCCAGCACCCTCACGCGCGGGATTTGATTCCGGGTGTACGTACAACAGATGCTGCTTGCGGGACAGTCCTATGGCTGAGGAAGCCGAAATCAACAGCCAGAGTACACACTCAAAAAGGGTCACAGCCTGCGGCTCACCACATATGCGCGCCGACGAGCCAAGCATACAGCTGCAGCGGCACCGAGCCAGCCTCTGCGTGCACGACGGTCCTGCACACCCAAAGCGCCGCCTTCACCGCCCACTGCGCGGCGCGCAGCGCACAGTGCACCGCGAGGACGATATACTGCAGATAGTACACCGTGAACGCGAAGACGGACGCGACGACGACGACGTCGCCCCAGTTCGACCACGCGATAGCGAACAGCAGGAGCATCACCGCGACCGAGGTACAGAGCAGCATCAGGACGGGCAGGCGCGATGCGATCGAGAAGAAAAAGAACGAGGAGTAGACGTCCGTGGCGAGCGCCTGTGCGGATAACCGTGGGCATGCGAGAATGGTCTCTGGAACGAGTCACATTCGAGGACGCGGAGTGTACCTTGAACTTCTGTGCGTTAGCGCTGCTGTAGGTCGCGAGGAACCAGGCGTCGACGCATATGCCGATCCCAGCCGTGACGCTGGAGGACGCAACCGCACCCTTCGCAAACCCCTCGATGCCAAACACAGTATCAGGTGTATACCCAAACACGCTGAAGCTGAAACTAAACATCCAATCACAGCGGAGGAGGCGCAGTCAGCACCAAGAGGTCTCATAGAACGACAACTACAAACCCAGCAATAGTGGCTAGCTGTTGTACGCACAGAACGGATGAGTCACCTAAATATGAGAGTAAAGTGAAAATGCCCACCGATGCCCCCGCAGCGAGCCACTCGCTCCAGAGCCGCTTCAATATCGCTTCATAATCCGAATCAGCGCGGGCCTCGCGCAGCTCCTTGTAATACGTGAACGTGTCGAGCTGCCCAGAGATGACACCGTGGACGTCGTATCGGACACTGTATTTATGATATAACCCTGTGGGAGCAGCGAGGGTTGACTCTCTGATCGCGCGCCGGCTGCATTGTCCGCAGGGATGTCTTCGAAAACGATCAGCTCGATGTCTAAATTCTGCAGGGGCTCTGCGGGATCTAGGACGGGTGCACGTCCGAAACGAAGGACAGCCCGTCCCCGTCGTCTTCGTCGTCCCGTTCTGGAACAATCGCGTACCCCTTCATAATGTCGCGGGTGTGGGGTGGGAAGGTCTCTTCGGACATCAGCGACAAGAATGCCAGGGTCGACGAGGACTGAGTTGCCGAACCAAGGGACAGCGACGGAAGCGACGAAGATGTGCTCGTTCTGGATGCACGAAGGGCACTCGAGCTCTCCCAGCCGTCGTCGCCAGAAACTGGCTCATCAAATAGATACTCAGCGGTCTAGAAACCTACTCAGTCCCCCAAAAAAACTCGAGATGAGATTTTTGCAGACGCACCTGAGGCTCGATCTCCGGGTGGCGCCTCAAGAGTTCGTAACAGACGTCGTTTGCCAAGTCTGCGAATGCGGAGTCTCCTAGATTCGAAAGCGAGTGACGATGGCTGACACGCTTGGGGTGGAACTCGCCCTGGTAGGGAAGATGAGGAACGAAGGCTGTGATGAGATCGCACCTTCAATACACATGCACCGTGGGCTCGAGACCGAGATAAAGTAGTACACACGTGCATTTCCCTCTTCATTTCCCTTCCGTCGCAGGAGCTCGTCGTACACGTCCGTCAAGAGCTCGTCAAACTTGACGCCGAGGAGCAGACCGAGTTTGCGCCTCGAGCGCGCACGAGTCTCAGCCGGCTCTGTCAGGAGGCGCATCACTGACAGGCCAGCATCGATACCAGCGCAGATCCTTACCTCCAATACCCCGTGATGTCCTCGAAATGCGCCCTCGGCCTGCGCACCGGGTCCAGCGCGCCCGCGTCCGACACATGCATCTCCAGGTCGCTCCGAGCGTGAAACGGGCGGCGTGCGTATGTGCGGGCGGAGTCCTGGTTGGAAGTCACCTTGGAGCGATTAAGGGACAGCACGCGCACGAAGCGATCCACGCTTCTATCCGATGTCTAGCCGGGTCGGGAGGTGCAGGCGAGAGCGAAGGCGAGAGTGAAAGTGCGCTTGCGCATCAGCGTGAGGATCAGGGAGAGGCTTTGAAGGTGCTTGGGAAGCTTTTGATGATGGCGACGACGACATGCGATCACAGGGCAAAGCGATCTCACCGCCAGGCGCCCCGGAACACCGCATAGAACATGATCGTCAACCTTGCTTCGGGATAGCTTGCGCAGGGCCTGTGGGTTCGAGCTCACTCTTGTGCACGTCTGCAAGGTGGGCCCGAGCAACCCAGCGCCAACTCAATCCTCTTAGGGAAAAAAGAATGAGCGTTAGCAAAGCGCATTAACGCCAAGCAGAACAACCATTGAGTGCATGCACGGAAGCCCAAAATGCACAGCTCTAGGCAGGCGCTCCGTGGTCAGCACGCCATGCGGCTCGCTGTCAGCGAGGCGCACGTCCGCTCCCTGGCTCGTTACATTCATCCAAGATGCATTCGACCCGCTGATGGAACGAGGATGATGGAGGATGAAAGCCACTGAAACGCTGCAGGACGAAGGAGAATGAGTCGTCGATCCTCCCTCGAATCATCAGATGAATGATCATGTCGCAGACCCTGTCTGCCGTGCACCGAGGTATAGCTGAGATCCGCGTTCTACATCTAGGCAAAGGCATATTCACACACCAGCGCCGACTCGACTCCCACAAAGGTCCAGAAAGCGTCGGGATCAACGTGTCGACGTATAAACGGCGGGCGAAGGTATGCGGCAGAGCCAAAGTGAGAAGCCCCAAACGGTCGCCTGAGGCTTCGTATGACAGAGTACCGAGCTCAACGGCAGGAATAAGACGACGTGAACTGCACCGCGCCCCACAGTTCGTAACTTTCAAAGGCCTGCACGAAGGGCCACCTCCACAGCGATGACACTAGTGACTACGTGTATCGCATTCGAACGCATGGAACATACGCACCTTGCATCGACGATGGCGAACCTGTGGAAAACATCTTGGCGACTATACCAGCAGTACGGGAAAGAGTTGTTGGACCTTGCAGTGCACGCGGGACACTGGACAGACCAACAGCGTAGAGGACACGGAAGCGACGATGGTCGACGAAGGTCCAAGGGGACGAGGAGTCAGCCAGGACGAACGAGGGCCGGTCTTCAGCTCGAGACCTGGGGTCGAGTAAACATCCGCACGCGCGCCGAGGAGGCCATTTCTCGAGGCATAAGTAACTGGGACACCCAAGCCGAGGAACCCCTGGAAGCGAACTTGTCGATTACACGGTGACGGCGCCGGCGCACGCAGCAAGCGTGTTCGATGGCCGCTGATGAAAAGTCGTGTCGCCTAAGATCCCCAGTCTCCTCAAGCCCTCTCGACATCGCGCGAGCACCGCGACAGATATTTCTGTCAACCCCGCGTTGTTAGAGCATGCAATGCAGAGATTTCTTTCGCGACGGCCATAGTGGTGCAGATAGAACGGCGTAATACACAGCGGGCCGAGGTGCCATGATCACGGCGGAGGCTCAGTCAAAACGGAATTCAGGCGAAAGTCAAGCTCAGTCAAGAAAGTGGCGCGAAAAGTCATGCAACAAGTCATAAACTGCCAAAATCGGACACGACTTTTACACGACTTCTGCACTGCCTTTATGACGGATATATGACAAAATACCAGGGCATGACGTCCACTTGGAATCCCGTTTTTACCGAGGTGGAGGAGTCAGAGCACTGTCAGAGCCCGTCCCCCGATCCACCGGCCCCCGGCCCGCCCACCCACAGATCCCGATTGCGTGATCTCACAGGATCTCACCCTGTGGGGGCCAAGTGGACAGCCGCCTCTTCGGTGCATTCTTTACAGTACGCGCCCCTCGTTTCGTGCCTGTCGCCCCGTGGGCTCCCGTGGTATGTAGCTGTCACTTTGAAACCTGGCGACACAGCTGAGAGACTCCCGAAAGGAGGGCGTTTCGACCAGCCCGATCCTGAGCGTGTTCCGACATTCTCCCGGTGAGCGCGCGGCGTCGTCGACGAGTGCGACGAGTGCGACGGACGATAGCACTTGATGCTCGACCCAGCGCTCAGCGCCAGCTGGCACCGTCCCTCAGTGCATACTGCCAATACTTTTATTTTATGCATCCGCGCGCGCTAAGCACCCGCGCACGATCCGCCGCCATCCGCCAGCGATCCGCGCCGCCGCTGCCTGCCGCTGCGCGTACGCGACCCGATCGAGCACATTTCACGAGTATTTCACGCCCCTTCCGGCGCTTGCAGCCCTCCACGGCGCGATCCGACACGGCCTCGGTCCCCTCGCCCTCGCGTCCCCTCTCCCTCGCAGAGCGTCTCTCCCACCTTCTCAACGTCGCTCAACGTCGCTCGTCTCGCGCCGAGCCCAAGGCGCGCTCGAACCTGCGGCAGTGCTCACGTCGCGTCTGGACCCTGGCACCAGACCCTGGTCCACAGAGGCCCACCAGGAGAGGATCAGTGATCATACCGGGATCGGGATCGGATCGGGATCGAATGCGCGCAGCGACAGCCTCGACAGCCTGGGCCCACTCCAGCCCCCTCCAGCTCCTCTCCAACCCGCTTACTGCAGCTGACTGCAGCTTACTGCCTACTCCCGGAGGCTCCTGGCAGCTCCTGGCCTCCCCTCCGCGCCACACAGCGACTGTCTTCTGCGTAGAGTCAGCCTCGCCGCAGCACGCCGTAGCGACGCGCGATTTGACTGATGGCCTCTGATGGCCTCCGCTCGCAGCAGCCTGCAGGACTCCTGCAGGCTCGATCGATCGCAGGCTATTAGGAGTCTATGAGGCGGGTGCGCTGACGATATATTCAGGGACGGTTGATTGCCGCGCTGCGCTGCGACAGGCTACAAGTAGGACCGTGTATCCAGCCAAATGTACGATTTTCCCACGGTAGTGCGAGGGCGCGCTGATTTTTCCCGGTAGTTTGAGGACCCAGATTTCGTCCGAGGACTGATTCTTTTTCCTGGTAGTTTCGACCCTTTTTGGGGGGTGCGGGGTACGATACGGTTCCGGGAGTCATGATCGGGCCTCCACAGAGCAAAAGTAACATACATATCTCACCAATCCACCTGCTTTTGGAAAACTCAGGATTTCGACCGCCGTTCAGTGCTTAATGCGTCACCGTGCTCGATCTCGTTGGCTTCGTTCACGGCTTCGCGCGCTCTCAACTTTTGTTTTGGCATTCACGCAGATCGGTGCTTTGACGGGCTCGGGTAGGGCTCAGGCTCGGGCTCGGGCGCGGGCGCCGTCGGAGCGCACGAAAGAGCGATCCGTGCGACGCCCGTGCGGATTTTCCTTTTTTTTTTTTTAGTGGAATTTCGCGGGAATTTCGTCTGACGTTTTCTGGGTGTGTTTGGAAACTCGGAATCGGACGGTATATGGTGGAGTTTTTTTTTTTTTGTTCGTAGCGTGCGTTTTGGCTGGGTGGGCGGGGTACTGGTAGGTTGTGGTGCGGTGCGGGGCGAGGCGAGGGCGTCGAGCGACGGGGATGCTGGCTTGGTATGTTCCCACAGAGAGAGAGAGAGAGAGAGACGGTAGTATTTGCGGTGCGTGAGCGGGTACGGAAGTAGGCGCGGAGGTGCGCGTACTCGTACAGCGGACGGACGCGGGCGGGCAGTTGCGGCGATGTACGGCGGTGTGGTGCGGAGCAGACTGGACAGAGCGTCGAGTGAATTGTACACGATAGAGTAGAGTAGAGCAGAGTAGAGCAGAGTAGCGTAGTGTAGCGTAGCGTAGTGCAGTGCAATGCAGTGCAAAGTGCAGTAGAGCAGCGGAGAAAGCACAAGAGGGAGAGAGAGATGTAAGTGCGTGCGTGCGTGCATGTGTACGTGTATGTGTATGTGTATGTGTATGCGGGGTGGTGCGGAGTGGATGCAGAGCGGGATCAAGAGCGTGCGACGTGTGTCCGGAGGAAACGGTGCTGGGCGGAACGTGACGAGATCCAAATGGAGAGGGAGCGGGAAAGAGAGGCAGGGCAGGGCAGGGAAGGGGAGGGCGGAGGGGCGTGTCTACAGAGGCAAATTAGGATAAGTACGTACGCGGGGACAAGTGAGTATCATAGTCGTGACGAGGGCGCGAGGGCGCGCGAGCATAGAGCCCTGGAGATAGAGGACAAAAGAAGCAGCAGAAACCCGAGCAGTGTAGAGACGTGAGAGACGACGAGGGGATATGAGAGCCCAGCAGAAGAAGGAAAGTGGAGGCACGGGCGCGCGCGCGCGCGCGGAAAGCACGTACAGGACGGGAAGAGGGAGAAGAGCAGTGCCGGACGGGGCGAGAAAAGCAGTATCGTGGGTTCGTGGGGAGAGGGAGGGAAGGAGCGAGCGAGAAACCAGGCTGCAGTGCGTACGCGTACAAGGACCAACCCCCTCTACCCCCCCAATGTGTTTTGAATTCGAGTTCGAGTCCGCGGGTCGTGGCGACGATGACCGATCATAAATAGATAAGAAAAGAAATTGTACGTGCGTGCGTGCGCGCGCGCGGCGCGCACGGAGGAACGTCGACGTCGAGCAGCGCGAGCGTCGGTATGGACGTGAATTATCGCCGGGGGCGGAGAGGGCGGGTGTATGCGCTATAATAGGAGGGAGATGCCCGACGCCTCGACATCGCCCGCATCGCGCATCACGCATCGCCCCTCACTCCGCCGCAAACACGCACACGCGCAGCCCGCTGGGGACGTACGCCCTCCCCCTCTCCCCCGCGGGGCCGGTGCCCCACCCGCCCGACGCGGACGCGGACGCGGACGTGCGGCGCTTCCCGATGCTTGACCGCAGCGGGCCCGAGCACGCGCGGTTGAGCAGCACGCGGGCGACGGCGCGGGCGCACAGGGTGCGCTGGTCGCGGAAGAGCGGGGACGAGGACGAGGCGGGGGCGAGGGGCGTGGTGACGGAGAGCGGGGTGCAGAGGGATGGGGGGATGGCGAGCTGGTAGTGCGAGCGGAGGCGGCAGTGGGAGGGCGTGGAGAGGGGCGTGGGCGCGCGTGAGGAGGGGCCGGCTGGCGAGGGCGGGGAGGAGAGCGTGGGTGGGAGGGCGAGCGGCGGGGGTGGCGAGCGGGACGGAAGTGGCGGGTGGACGTAGGACGATGAGGGCGATGGCGCGCGTGCAAAGCGGGGCGGGGCGGGGAGGATGAAGGACGCGGAGCGCGGGCGCGTGAATCGTGGCGGCCGTGTCTGCGTCTGCGTCTGCGTCTGCGCTTGCTGGGACGGCGGCGGCACGAAGGGTGCCTGCGGCGGGGCGCCCGTGGAGGGCTTTTGTTCGAGGACGCGAGGGGCTGGGGAGCGCCGGGCTGGGGAGAGGGCGACGGGGGTGCGGGGCGCGGGGGAGAGGGCGCGGGGGTACGGGCTTGGCTGCGCAGGCGCGGGGGCGGGTGACGGCGTGGGTGCGAGGCGGGCGGCGAGGAAGGGGACGCCGGCTGCACGGCGGGAGGAGGCGGGGAGGTCTGTGTATATTGCGTGGATGGAGTGGATGTGGGGCGGGAGGACGGGGGCTTGTGTGGACAGCATGGCGATCACGGGGTGGGCGTAGCAGAACACGTGTCGTGGTGGTGTGTATACGAGGGGGGTGGAGGGCTTGGGGAGGGAGGAGAGGCGGACGTGTTGGATTTATAGCCGGAACGGTTCGGTGGCGGACGTCGTTTGGCATACACGCGCCTCCTGCCGTAATAGCTAGCGGTCCCCCAGCTCGGCGCCCTGGTCGCGGGTCCTGGGGGGACGCGCGCGGGCAGTGCCGGTCCTTCGCTCGCTCCACCGCCTCGATCGCCTCCTGGACGCAGTCACCTCAAACGTCCCGCCCCTCCCAGTGCCCATCATACGGAGAAACGCCCTGCGTGATCCGCTCCCTCGATCCCAGCGAAGCAGCGCGTCCCCGGAGCGCGCTCGCCTTCCTCATCCAGCACTGCGCGTGTCGACCCCCCGTTTCAGAACAAACGCCCTCGCTGCCAGCGCCCCCGCGCCCGGCGCGCCCTTGTCCCTGCGTCTCCGTATGACGCTCGCGCGCCGCACAATAAGACCTTGCACCGCTATTGTGCGCGCCCGGCGCGCGCGGGGGGCGAGCTGAGCCGTCGTCTTTGTGCCCTCCGGAGCTGCTCGCCGGCGATTCGCCCCTCCCAAGTCGTTCGTATGCATGCATGGACGCATCCGTCCACCACCGCCCTCCTCCCACGTAGTACGTACACCCCTCCCTCCTCCCCCTCCTCCTTCTCCTTCTCGCCTTCCCTTCTGCCTCCATTCACATCCCAATGCGCAACCCCCCGAATCCCCGCGCTATTGTTGCGTTGCTGCGTCTGCCGCTTCCGAGTCTAGTCGGTATAGGCATCGTGACCCCGGATGCGCCGCACGTATGCCACGCGGCCTCGCGCTCGCTTTTGTTCCACCGTCGCGGAGGGCGCGCGAGCGCGCACGTGCGCGCCTCCCCGTCCCTCGGGCTCCGCGCTCTTGTTCTCGCTCTTGTTCTCGCTCTTGTTCTCTCCCTCCCCCCCCCTCTCTCTCGCGCGCGCGCGTTCCCCGTCTTTGTCCAGGCCCGCGCCACTCCAAGCGCGCGAAACCGCCGTCATCTCCGTCGCGTTCCCACCGCCCCGCGTAAGCATCCCCCCGCACGCACGCCCGCACGCGTACCGCGCACCTCGCACCTTGCCCTCTGCGCGCCTTTGTTCGACGACAATAGACGAGCGGAGCGGCGCAGACGCGTGCCGGCATGCCCCCTTTCCCCCCGCTTCCCCGCTTCCCCGCTTCCCCGCTTCCCCGCTTCCCCTTCTGTCTCTTCTAACTCTTCCGGCCTTCGAACGTCCCCTCCCTATCACTCGAAGCCGCCCCTCGCTGCCCAACCACGCAAACGCAAACGCAAACGCAAACACGAACACGAACACAGACGCAAACAGGGCCCCCACAGTCCCCGTGCTTCTGCGCTGCTTATGTCCGAGGCGGGACGTGCTCGAACTGGACTCCGTCGAGGCGTCGTGGCGTCATGGAGTGCTCGTGACTAGTCCTCGCGATGCTATGATATGCTATGGGGCGCGTACTTATATCCTCGCGCGGTTCGTGCCCAGGCCAGGAGGAGCGGTGTGTACGATCGTATGATCGTATGATCGTATGTATGTATGTATGTGTGTGTGATCTGGTCTGGTCTGGTCTTGTCTATGCATGTGCACGGCCCATCGTGCGATCGCTCGATCGTAGGCAGAACGCGCCAGCGCGATCGGTCGATCGGTCGGTCGGTCGGTTTTCTGGTAGGTCCTGGCTTCCGTCCCTCCATGCAGCATCGCTCAGCTCGCGCCCCACCCGCGCGATCCCGCCTACCTCTTCGCCTCCCAAAAATCCCAGCCATCCCCCCTCCGTCTGCGCAGAGTCTGCTCTACGTCGGGCCGGCCGTCGCGCGTCCCGTGCGTCGCCTCTCTCGCGTCTCCCGCGTCCCGTCGAACAGAACACAGAGTCAATCGCCTATCCTGAGCCGCCGGAAGAGAACGGAGGCGCTCAGAGGACCCGGGTGCGATCGTGCACACCCCGCCGCGACGCGGATCGAGATGCGATGATGCGTGCGGCTCGGCAGAGACGACGCCCTTCGAATTCCCTCGCGCTCGCGATTCGACGCGTCCCCCGCCGTTCTAGACGCCCACGCGCTGCCCGACCTGCGTTGGATGCGCGCGCGCGCGCGCGCTCGATCGCGATCGTAATCGCGGCGAGTCGCTGGCGTTCCCTATATAGAGCCCCGCTCGACGAGCGGGCGGGATATCGATCTGGGATCCGGTAAAAGGCGGCGTCTCGGCGCGGGGCTGCGTCTCGCTTTCTTTTTCGTTCGCACCCGTCGATAGCCCGCGCGGGCGGCAGCATCGGCTTCTGTGTGCGATTTTTTTTTTAAAAAAAAACATGACATGACATGTCGCGTATCGCCGCTCGCGGATTTTTTTTTTTTTTTTTTTTTTTTGCGTCTGATGGATTTGATGGGGAGGCATCACGGCGCGGCTGCTTCCACCGCCGCAGGATGCGGATGCGGATCGCGGATCGCGGATCGGAGGTCTGGATGAAGATCGAGAGCGGGTACATAAGCACGTGCATGCATACTGTACTCGCGGACCTAAAGTATGCGTCGGGCGTGTGGACGCGTGTGGACTGACACTGACACTGGCGCCGACACCGACACCGGCACCGGCACCGGGGCTTGCAAAATGGAAGCTCGGGGCGCGCGCGATCGGTGGCGCTTCTGCTCGCCGTCGTGCTTCCGGGGTTCCATAATTGGGTGTTCAGGCGCGGGCCGCATGCGTCCACGAGCGGGCGCCTGCATGCGCCGCTCCGTTTTCTGTGGGGCTGGACTCTATGTATGTACGTAGACCTGTCGGCCGCCCTCGCTCGGTGGCTTGACGTTGGCGAGGCGGCGGTTAGACTTGGCTCTCGCCTGGGCTCGATGGTGGATGCTTGGCGTTTGATGTTGCGCTATTTTTGGGAGGTGGACGAATGAGTGTATGAGTCCACACGTCGGAGGTGCGCACGGACACGCTTCTCCCGCTGGTCCGCCCGTGTATCCTCCCGCGCACTCGGCCGCGGTGCCCGTCTCTGCTTTCGTGGACGGCGCGGGGGCGCGCACCTGTCGATCATCCGAGTACGCCAGTCCTCGGTGTTGTACCACACGCAAAGTGCCCATACGTGTACGTGGGTCGTTTGTTGGCCGACGGCGGGGCTCGCGCTCGTAGCACTGCCACTGCCGCAGGCGAGTACGGCGAGTCGGTCGGCTCTTTCATTTGGGCAAACCGGGGAGCGGACGCGCGATCTTGCTGGAGGTGAGCGGGTGCGTCGTCGTCGTCGTCGTCGTCGTCAACGGCTTGCTCGGTGACGCGCCTGTGTTTCGTTGGAGCCGGATGGGGATCACGAAGGCGCGAGCGAGGCGCGGATCAGGTCGTCGGGCTTGCGTCGAGTTCCAAGAGCCGTCGACGGACGGGTGCGCTGGGCGGGCTGGGCGCGAGAGCGCGCGTCGTTTGGACTTCTTGTGGGCAGACAGCCTTTGTCCCGCGTGGTACGCCGATCTGGAGCAGGGTGGCCTGGCGAGGCGCTGTTTGGCGCTGGGATACGGGTTCGTCGGGTGCGGAGAGGCCAGCGGCTCCGCTCAGCTGCGGCAGCTGTACGCTTCGCCTGTGGGGGCGGGCGCACGCCCTTGCCTCCTCCGCCTGTCCCGCGAGCAGACCCCGCCGTGCGCGCATCTGGACATCGCGCGCGGACGTGGAGCGGTCGGCACCTCCTCCCGTTTAACCTGATACGCGCAAGACTTGCATATGCCAAGGGCCACAGTGTCGGAAGTCCCAGGAGGCCCGTACATGCGTAGACCGCGGAGAGCCAGAGAGAGCCTGTTTGTCGTCGTCGATGTCCTGTCAAGGACCAGGTCCCGGAGACCGTAAATTGCGCTCGGGTCGCGGGTCGCAGCATGGAGCACGCGTGGGCTACGCATGATACGGCGGCTCCGGTGGCGGATCCTGCGCGTTGATGTGGAGAGGCGCATCGGAGCATCGGAGCGCATCGGAGCATCGGAGCGCATCGGTGGCGCTCGGGAGGAGCAGCGAGCTCGCAGGCCGCTCGCTGTTGATGTCGACGATGGATGCGGCGGTCTAGATCACTCGAGGCGGATCTCGCAGCTAGATGGCCTGACGACGTGGGCGATCTGGCTGTGCACGCCGGGAGCGGACACAGGGCGCGGACTGGTCGATCAGACCCAGTGAAAACCCAGTGTAGTCAGATCTAACGAGAGCTGCTTGAGTCTCAGGAAGTCTCACGATAGAGCGTGGTCTATCCATATCGAACCGGTCGCAAATGTCTACCGAAAGCCGGTCTATTACTTAATACAATGTTTGAAATTTGTGCTCACTGCGAGGCTGGCTCTGGCTCGCTTCGCGCTACTTCAACTTTCTAAGTCGTAGGTAGGCCTACTATAGCAGTCTTGTAAGGTTTTGACCTATATATGCATGTCATGTAGGGCACTGAATACATAGATTGAATTATATTTGATCAATGCAAGCAATCCCGGAAGACAATCAGATCCCTAGTACAGCGGGAGCGAGCGCGAAGACGCAGCGCACCTATTCATGCCAATGTCCGAAATTCTGCAAGGGTGTACCTACAGAACGGCCAAAGGCGACATTTTACAGACATCTCAAGATCTGGAAGGGCGGCGCAGCGTTTGCACGACTATCCTCCTCAACGATTCCTTCAAAGCGTCGTTTTGGGATCGATGAGGGCCCTGGTGATCTCAATGACAGCGCGATTGATGGTGAGTTCGTGATTAACTCGAAGCAAAAATACCCCTCATAGAGCCAATAAAGTTATTGACGAGGCACACGCGGTAAGTCGTTTGGCTCTCTAAGTTGATCGACTCTGACATCGAAGGTTTCTCATTATAATGTATTACAGCGCGACGAGCTACAGGTTCCATCCACATCAACCCATACCATTCAGGCAGAACCCTTCACAGATCATCCACATCAAGAACCATTTCATGTGACGACAGATGCTACCGTTCCTTCCCTCATTGACGAGGCCCCTCACGATGTCCCTCACAATGCTCCCTGGACGCTTTCAGGCAATACTGCTCCACCATCTGAGCTTGGGCGGCCAGAGAATCTAGCCGATGTCCCACAACTACAACACACCTTCGCAACACTGGCTCTAGGCGATATAGACCAGGCTTTGCCCCCGGAAGACACCCCCTCGAAGATCGAAGACATCAAGATTGCGCAGGAGTTCGTTCGGGCCCTCCAAAACGCATCTCTGGATGACGGAAGCCATAGCCCAGAGGATCTCGACAATCTGCGTCACCCACCGGAAGAGGTGTTCAATATCGACGCAGATCCTGATCTTTGCTTCTCCATCGAAATCTTTCTTGCCATCGGCAATGCCTCACAGAAAACTTATCATGCATTCCGGGAAGCTACTCTACGCCGATTTCCCAACTGCGGTCTCTTGTCGTATGAACAGGTGAAGCGCCGTGTGGCGCAGATTAGTGGAATTCATCCCATCATTCACGATATGTGCGTCAACTCATGCATTGCGTACACCGGTCCTTTTCATCTCCTCGACAAGTGTCCCATGTGCTCCGAACCACGATACAATCAGATCACACTCCAAGCCAGTGCGGGGCAGGAAAAGGTTCCTCGACAGGAGTTCTACACACTTCCCGTCGGTCCCCAACTGCAAGCGCTATGGCGCTCCGTCGAAATCGCCGACCTGATGCGATACCGCACACGATGCTTTGAGAGTATCGTGGAGGAGCTTAACAAACATCCAGGTTCGCTAATGGAGGCCTACGACGACGTCTTCCATGGTGCTGGGTTGCTCGATGCATGGAGCGACAATTTGATGGGAGATCATGACGTCTGCCTTCTGTTCTCAATTGACGGTGCCCAGTTGTATGAAATGAAGGCCTCGGACTGTTGGATTTATATCTGGATTGTTCTCGACCTCCCTCCCGAGCTACGCTACAAGAAGACTCACGTTTTACCAGGTGGTTTCATTCCGGGGCCTCACAAGCCAAAGAACTTGGATTCTTTTCTCTTTCCAGGGTTTCACCATTTAGCAGGTGTCCAAAAGGAGGGCTTGATAGTCTGGGATGCTCAGATCAAGGCAAAGTTCACGACATCTCCTCTTTTTGCCTTCGGTACAGCAGATACACCTGGTATGGCAATGTTTGATGGCATGGTAGGCCATACGGGAGGCCAAGGCTGTCGTCGATATTGTCCAATGAAGGGACGCCACAAGGCGGGTCAAGGCCAGTATTATCCTGTGTGTTTGAAACCGGACGTCTACAGCGTGGCTGGTTGCGATCACCCCGATGTTGATCTACCTTTAGAAGATTTAATGTCATCTCCTGCGACAACGACAAGGTATGTATGCTACCAAACTCTCTTTCGGCTGAAATCCTAAAACCACATCTTACAGGTACAACGACAATCTAAACGTTGTGTGTGCCTCACCAAACCAGACGCAATATGAGAAGCGCCGTTTGAAGACCGGCATATGTAGGCCGACCCTTCTTTCTGGTTTGCCACACAACCGCGTTCCGCTCGGGATTCCAGGAAGTTTTCCGGGAGATTTGATGCATCTTGCGGCATTGAATCTCACCGAAGTTCTCCTTGGCCTTTGGCGCGGGACTTTGCTGTGCGATGCGAGTGACGACAAACGTCTATGGGATTGGGCCGTCTTGAAGGGAGAAACATGGATAGCGCATGGACGGACTGTTGCAGATGCGACGCCGTATCTACCTGGCTCCTTCGATCGTCCTCCACGCAATCCAGCTGAGAAAATCAACAGTGGTTACAAAGCATGGGAATTCCTGATGTATGTATTCGGGCTTGGGCCAGCACTTTTCCACAATATTCTTCCTGATCAATATTGGCGAAACTTTTGCAAGCTTGCCTTCGGAATCCGGGTCATGCACCAGCATAGTATTTCATCCACCCTTCTTCGTGCGGCTCATGCGGCCCTCACGGAGTTTGCAGACGAGTACGAGCTGCTCTATTACCAACGGATCCCGGGACGACTTCACTTTGTGCGACAGAGCATCCATCAGTGTCGTCATCTTGTGCCTGATGCCATCCAACTTGGGCCTCCTGCATATACGGCACAATGGACAATGGAGCGTACGATTGGGAACTTGGGTCAAGAAATTAAGCAGCCCTCAAACCCATATGCCAACCTCTCGCAGCGTGGCCTTATCCGCGCACAAGTCAATGCTTTGAAAGCAATCATCCCAGCTCTCGACACAACGTCTGCCTCCCGACTACCATATGCTGCAATCGACTTGGGGAATGGATTTGTTCTCCTTCACGCTAAGGACTCCACCTCACGTGCTGTCCGTGTCTCCGAGGAGAATGCTATCAAACTCTACATGGATGAAAATGCAGCTGAAATCTCAGCAGATTGGGATTATAAAGTCACTAGGTGGGCTCGGCTAAGGCTTCCCAATGGGCAAATAGTACGCTGTCTCTGGAAGGAGTCACTGAAGCCTCCGAAGGAGGTTAGAAGGGCACGGTGTGTCAAGGTAGCTTGATTTTTATCACCTATTTCTTTCTACTCACAACACCTTTGGCAGCTCCATCTTGGAACGCAGTATCGTTTTGGTGAAGTACACTACTTCTTCCGTATGGTTGTGAATGAGACGAGGCATGCCCTAGCTATGGTTTCAATCTATGGGCTACCTGACCCAGAACTTCTTCAAGCTTCGACATCCACCTTCATTTCATGTGAGTATCTTGGGGATGCTGGCCTCAAGGTCATTGATGTGCAGGCTATCTGTTCTGTGGTTGCAATGGTCCCACATTTCTATGGTACACAAGGTAGTATCCGTTTTTTTGCAACTGAGAAGTTTGGCCTCGAGGTTGCAACCCTCTCACATAACAATGATGAATATATGTATGATGATGCTAATGATGCTGATGATTTAAATACTGAGTAGATAGACATTTGTCTCTTGTTTTTTTTGGCAAATAAAAATACATGTGACATTGATTTTCTGCCTGTTGATGAGCATGCATCTGCTCTGGGGTCTGGGGAAGGTATTCGGGAAGCTTTGGGAAGAAGCTGACCAGCTCTAGATGCATACTGAAGACACTGACTATTACCAAACATGGTTGGTCCCTACCCCACTTGCTCAACGAGGAGGCCTGCCAAGCATCTGGAACCTGTCCCATGTCCTGTCCAGTGCTGTAGAAGGAGGAACTCAACAAAGCAATGGCTGTCATGCCCACTTCCCACAGCCGTGCACGTCCCAACCTGACTTGCTATTTTTACAATAGCAAGGGCCATTTCAAATTGGAGTGCCGAAAGCAGCAGAAGTGGGAGAAGGCATGCGCTAAGGAAGCAAATGCAGTTATTGAAGATTTAGACAAGGATTGGCCTTAGTCTTGCGGGGGAGCTTTCCATATGTTTTATTTCATTTTTGTTTTGTTGATTTTCCCTTCCAATTCTTATGTACATGGCTTGCAGGGGAGTGATGGAATTCTAAGCAGCACATGGCATGGGAATTCATGCTAGCACACTTGCAGCATTCCTCAGTGGCTTACAGGTACTATACAGTTGTTTACTTATGGTATTTAGTTGTATTACTGAATAGATGGGACCCTCACGCATTTGTGAGAGTCCACTGCAAACTCAAGTAGCCCATGCGACAGGCTATTTTAACATGTACTTAGAGCATTTGTAAGGGCATGAGGACAATACAAGTGCAAGTCACAGCAAGTTGGACCTGCAAAGTCATAACATTGTGTATGTTTTTATTTGTATATATTGAAGCCTATGTTATATTTTTAAACAGTTGTAAGGCCTTGTTGTGAGATTATTGTGAAGGAGAAAGTGAAGTCCGAACCGCGACGTGTCGTGTGTCGCTTAGGTAATCATCATTACTTTTTGTGGGCGTGTGTGCCGCTTCTGCTTCGTCAGTCTTGTCTACAATGCACCTGTGAAAATGGACAACCACCTGTATTCCGGAAGTCCCCAACCTTTGCAGTCTCAAGACTCTTCTTCTTTAAGCTCTGTTTATCTCCGTTTGCATTCTTTTGACGACATTTCTACTGAACAAGCAAGTCTTTCCATACCTGCTAGCTTCCAGCAGCAAAGTACAGCGCACCAGACTTCTCCAGCATTTTCTCCATCCGCTTCCCAGCTCCCTTTCTTTGCTCTGCCTGCCCCATCTCTCCACTCTGCAAGTCCGGCATCGGGAGTCTTTGGGCTTCCAAGTCGAAGCTCGTCGGTGGATTCAGCGCATTACGACGCTGCCAGGTTCCGTGAAGTAAGTCTTGTTGTCATGTGTTCTGCTGCATACTGACGGAGGCTGCTCCATGTAGCCAAGTCCTTCATCATCTACAAGTTCTCAGATAGATAGGTTAGCATCGCGTATACTCCATGACGCAAGTCATCTTTCCCTACTTCAGAGTGGGAATGTGCAGTACAGCCACCTCCACCATGAGTGTCAGAGCCTCAGGCAGCAAGTAGAAAATTTGACGATAGAAAACCGAACACTCAAGTGAGTTCATGTGTCTTGCTTAATTGATTCTTGTATCGGATACTGGTTCTTTTAATAGATTCGCATACACTAAACTTGCACGGAGCGTAACCTCGACATCGACCACCCCTGCTCTCTTGAATGACGGCGATATTGAAATTATCGAGCCTGTACTAGATAGCAACGAGGCAATCAACTTCGCATCCTTCTCTCGACCTCCCCTGAAGCCACTCGCACGCGCAGACTACCCTAAGGTCACGTACTGGCACAAGCATGAGTGGATGTCCGCTTCTAAGGCCATGAAAGCAGATGCTGACGATCCGAACAAGAAAAAAGGGCCGCAAACTAACAGAAACACGACAATGATGTATGTCGAAGACAAGGACGGCAATTGCATCGACGGGCACAGAGCAAGGGAGATACGCGCCGTGGTAACACAGTTCTGGCTTTGGCTGAAGAAGGTGAATCAATCGCCGAGGACGTGGACACAACTGGACCTCAAGCTATCGGACTTGTATCGACTCGAAATGGCCTACCGATTTCCTGAGCTGCAGCTCTGCGAAGGTGGATGGAAGGCCGACATGATCGCGATCCACTCATACTCCCAATGGTATGGAAGATCTGTTGTACAAGGCCCCCGTCGAGTCAAGAAAGAGGCCCCCAACCAGGATATGCTTGTCGCTCAACTCACTTCGGCCAAACGACAAAATGAAGATCCCGATAGGCTTTCGAGCGAGCCCCCCAAAAAACCGAGGCTTGATCCACCTCAGCACAGCACAGTTGCCGCCAAGGATGGCAGAATTCTCGCTCCGGACAACGAGGTCGCCCATGCTCCAGATGGCAAGGCTATTGCTACGGATGGCGACAGCATCGGTCTGGATGTTGGTGCTACCGCTATGGATGGCGGGGGCATCACTTTGGGTGCCGAGACAGCCATAACGAGTGTTGGGGGCATCGTTGAGGATGCTGAGAACACCGCCCAGGGTGACGAGGGTTCCGCTCAGCGTGACACGATCGCTAACGTATCATCAGCTGACAGCATCTTGCCAGCGTCCCCCACATCACAGCCGCATGGATCCCAACCGGTTCCTCCAAGACCAAGAATTGTAACAAAGGTCCGTGTCATGTATCGTGGAATCCCCATTCGCAAGAATTCACTCATATCAATTATCTAGCCAATGAACCCGCTGTACGTATTCCTGATGTTCCATTGTCTTGTCATTCTAATCATATCTCCGTTCGTGCTTTTGTAGATCAAAGCTTTTCCGAGGCGCTCCTACCAGGCCCCTGCCAACACTCGACATCAACAGCCTCGGCCCTTCCGATGCTGCCCCTGCTGCCAACACATCTAACGTGCTATCTACGACACGTGACACCACAACTAACGAATCGACACCCATGTTTACAAGTCCCAGTGTTACCACTGGCAGTGCTGACACCGCTACAGATGCAGCAGCGGCAACGACAACAATAACAACAACAACAACAACAACAACAGCGGCAGCAGCAGCCGCCACACTAGCAGCAGCAACACTAGCAGCCGTCGCACCAGCAGCCGTCGCACCAGCAGCCGTCGCACCAGCAGCCGTCGCACTAGCAGCCGTCGCACCAGCCGCACCAGCCATCACCACCGCAGCAGCAACAACAGCAACAGCACCAACAGCACCAGCAGCAGCACCGGCAGCACCAGCAGCACCAGCACCAGCACCAGCAGTGCCAGCTGCCTCAGGTGACGTCATTGAATTCGATTCCTTTCATCACACAGTACTAAGTTCTTACTATGCTCAGCTTCAAGCGCTTCTTCATCGAAGGCTCCTAGCCGGAAAAAGGGCGTTGGTAATGGTGTGTTGCGCATAGGGAAGCAACTTGTCGCAAGGTACGAAGTTCTCCAACTATGAGAGATTATACTGAACAGTGCTGCCACCTACGAACTAATGTATCACACAGGAATATATGTGCACGGCAATGGAAAGAACAATTTCCGAAAGGAACGACTAACGAATTCAAAGTTTACTGGTCCAGTCTCTCTCCAGACGAACTCGCGGTATGTTCAAATTGACTTCAAAAGACATCAAACTCAATAGAATTCTAAATCTACAGGTATATGACCGTCTCGAGCAAGAACAGGTATGTAGTACAACTACCACGGACATCACATACTAACACTGTCCACTCTTCCCAGAAAATGAATATTGTACAGTCGTGACATGGAAATTGGAGTACCTGGGTCGAGGTGGCTAGATGGGATTCGATGCAGTGAGATTACTGAGGCAGGTAGTTAGATGGGATTCGAGGAGGTTAGATGGCAGGGATGTGATAAATCGATGTAGCTCGATATCGATAGATATGTTCGTGATCTCAATAGACATCGATCTAATGCACAAGATGTGGAGAGATGTCAGTAGATCGTGAACGCACCGAAGCCTATCCAAGATCGACTGGAGTCGATGTGGAGAGATTTCGTGACATGAACTTGGTTGAATCACTCGTTGGCATGCAATCAACGGTCTAATTTATGCGCGGCTAAGTGAGATGAAAGTCGTTCACATTCGATCAAAATGAGACTTTTCTAAGCAGATCTAGCTATATCTACTTGTCCGTTCTCATTAGCTCTCGTTAGATCTGACTACACCGGATTTTCACTGGGGATCAGAGCGCAGATCTTCGAGGCGAGGCGGAGTCTCGGGCCGATCCATCCATCGCTGCATCGCTGCGGCCGAGGTTCATTCGCTTCGGAGCGATCCACGCACTGCCGCAGCCTCCTCTCCAAATTCTTACATAGTCATGCTTACACACTTGCCCCACAGCGTCATTATCGGATTGCATCGAATCACTCGAGAGAACTTTTTCCCTCTATCCAGTGTCCTCCGTCTCGTGCACAAGTACCGTGTCGCACACATGAAAACCAACTTTCTTGCGGCTCTGCATGCTGCTTGGCCATCTAACCTCCCTCAGCACCGGAAAATTCACACACGACCTCGCTGCATGCTGTGCTTTGCAGTCGTATATCCAAGACCTGCCCATCGACCTATCCGAGGTCATAGACCCGGAGGTCGATACAAACACCACAGCAAACGTGCCCGTCCACCCAGCCGCAGTAATCGCGCTTCTGCGTGCCATCAACTACGATGACCAAGGGTTACTCATGGCACCCTTTTACGACGTCTGTCGCTGCATCCCTCAACTCAGCAGCGGTGTACATACCAACGATCCTCTTTCCTGCCTTGCGCCCGCTGATACCGATATTGAGCGGTTCGTGATTGGCCTCGTGCGCCTCCAGATGACCCAGGTCCAAATGTACACCTCACCAATGCTCGTTGCTGTCCCCGAGCACTGGGGGACATGCCATTCGTATATCCATGCGTTTTGAACACACATGGCTCAGCCGCTGCTGCTGCTTCCAGTGGGCTTCATGTCGCAGCCAGTGGAGGATTTGGAGACTGTGAGGCAGATGGTGTGGTCGGCCACGACAGAGTCAGGTTTTCCTTGGAGCGTGTGTTCAGCGTGTCGCACGGAGGTGCTGCAGCACGTAAAGCGGCAGCAGACAGAACTGTGGCACTTGATGCCTATGTTTTGCCCTCGAGTGCGGTTGATGAAAGTGTGCCGCTTTGTTGTATAGTCTCTCTGCTCTGTTGTTGTTTTGTTTTGGTTCCGTGCTCACAGTCTGCTGCTCTCTACATAGATCTGGTCCCGTGAACGCCTGTACGTCTCTTCGTATCTGTGGATCAGCCAGATTTATCTCTTCTTTTTCCACCATGTACAGTGCTTCAAGATATCTTCTCTGGCTTCCCATTGCGATGCAGACTGTGATCTGAGCTCTTGTAAAATACATGTTTTTTTGCGGCTTGCGCAGGGGACCGCTGATACCTAGAAGGTTCAACGTCTGCGCACCCCCAGTCATAACATTTGGCCAAGGGTCTCCTACTGTAAGACGACATCGCTTCAGCACAGCAGAGAGCCTGCTGGAGCTGCCATACACGCAAGGACTCAATCAAAAAGGTCTTGGCCTCAGGGAACACATAGTGAACTCGAGCATGAATAGACAATGCAAGTGGTATAGATAGCCGAATGTGAGAGTGCTGGGATGTACATGGACAACATTCATCAGAGCATATATGAGAGCAGACTTGACGATCAGTGGAAGATAGATGATATACTTGGTGTGATATTACGCGGCCGGGGATGGGCCAGCACGGTTCAGCACCGCACATCGTCCCTAATAATCCCCAGGGGATATCTGTGGTATATTAGCAATATACCCGGAATCAACCGCAAATATACCCACCTCCCCTCCGGGGATATTCATGGTCGATTCAAGGTAATGTCTTGAATATACCGTGAATATACCTGGGTACTGAGTATATTCACAGTATATTGTGGGTTTATTCGAGCTCGATATCATTCCAATCACTTTATATGCGCTCCATAGATAGAGAAATAATTATATTAACAAATCATAAAACTAATACATGCTATTGAAGGCTACACGACAATTCTAAGGCTTGAAAGATCTACAAAATATACTTGAAGAGGCGAGAGGTGCGAATCCCGGCTAGATGTTCCCCCGCATATGCAAGCAGCCACGGCGCGCATCAGGGATGGGACGACCAGCACCTTGACGCAAGAATCTATTGCAGTGGCGGGAGCGGTGCGTCCGCGCATGGCCTCGAATTCGAGGAGTACATTTTGGGGGGTGCGTCGGGCTGCGGCACCGCGCTGTCGAACATGAGCACATCTGGTAGCACGCCACGCGCACAAACGCAGCCGCTGGCGAGTGCATCGGTGCCGGCAACGTAGAGGCACATCCTGCGGACAAGCGGGGTGAGCATGCATGTCAAGGCTGAGAAGATCAGTGCGGGAAGAGACAAGGTCACCAGGAAGGGTTGCAGCTTGATAAGGTTGGCGAGTGCAGGGAGCAAGGGGAATGGAAAGAATGCGGTGTAGTGCGGGGGTCAGTACTGCTGTGCGGGGGGTTATCACTGTGACACGGAGAGCCCAGATGAACACTGGCCTCACTGATGTTGCTGCTGCTGCTGCTGCCCCAACGACATTGGCACTTGCGCGCGCACCACAGACTCTGAGGCTAATCCGAGCCACCATGCACATGAGAAACACAGATGCTAGCACCCACGCCAACGCCACCAAGCTCAGCCTGTGCTTACCCTTGATCTCATCCATCCAACGTTCACGCTCACACACGCAATACCCACCGTTCTGACAATTCTTGCCGCACACACGTCGTAGGCTGTGCTTGCAATCTCCTTCAGTCCCACCCCGGCCCGCCCTAAATGGACGCATATATGTGCTCTGATCCCGCATTTTCAGGCATTAGATCTGATTATATGAGAAAACCGGAACTATAGAGCATATGGAAACATGTTTCAGTGGGAGAAAGACTCACCAAAATATGTGCACACTGGAGGCTCCTAGAGAGTAAGACAAAGAGAGCACTTAAGAGAAATCTCGACGCTGTCCGACGACGCGCACTCATCAGGTGACCATCGAAATGGATGAGTCATCTCCCAGTTGGGATTGACTGGGGGATATTTGAGGGATATTCCCTGACGAGTATATTCCAGGTATATTCCAGGTATATTGCTAATATACCCCGAATATCCCCTGGGGATATTTGGGGGCAATGTGCGGTGCAGGGCCGCGAGCTGCTGCCGGAGGAGGGCAACCTCATCGTCCAGCAGAGCCTTTGCCGCCTCTGCCGCCTCTGCCCTTGCGTCGGCTGCCTTTGCCGCTGCTTCGGCCTCCACCCTCGCTGCTGCCTCTTCCTTTGCAGCCGCTTCCGCCCTCTCCCTCGCTGCTGCCTCTTGCTTTGCGGCGACTTCGGCCTCCACCCTCGCTGCTGCCTCTTCCTTTGCAGCCGCTTCCGCCTCCACCCTCGCTGCTGCCTCCTCCACCCTCGCTGCTGCCTCTTCCTTTGCAGCGGCTTCTGCCCTCTCCCTCCCCGCTGCCTCTTCCTTTGCGATGGCCTCCGCCCTCTCCCTCCCTGCTGCCTCCTCCTCCGCCCATGCAATGGTCGCTCGCATCTCCTCCTGTGACCTCACCCACTTGGCGGCGGAGTGATCCTCCCGGGCCTTCTCGTCCAGCAGCGCGACAAGTTGCTTCTTGAACTCATCCTTGATCTTGCCCAGCGGCGGCTCAGGGGCTGGATGGTGAAGATAGTGAGGAAGCACCCACGCTTGTCCTTGAAGTTGCCGACATCGTACTCAACCTCCTTGCCGTCCTCGTTGCCAAGGCCGATGAGGCGCTTGTGGAAGAAATCGTAGATCATGGTCACGTACCAATAGCATTGACGCGAGAGGAGCTCGTAGTCGGGAGCATATTTTTGGAGTGCAAGCAGCAACGCAGCGAGGTCGTAGTCGGTAAAGTGCTTTTTTATTTATTTTAAATCCCATTTATTGTCGTATCAGGGTAACAGAACCCTATGTTTGACATTTCAAGTACATATGAACCTTCCCTTTCCTTCCTGTGCGCCCAACCTTGCCTCCGAACTAGCTCTGGTCATGTGAATTTGAGGGTTGATCCTTGCCAGCGAGTATTGTGTGAAAAGAACTAGGCTCGTTCAAGAATGATGCTCGCCCGCTTGCGCAGGCATGCATGAGTGAGAGACGTGAGACCTGTGAGTTGGCGAAAAAACACTGTGAAGTGGTAAGGGCAGGGGGGTTCTGATCAACTAGGGCATGGCGTGTCGAATGTGGTCGGCAGTGAACATTTGGTGTAGGTGGGGAGTTGCCTGAAAAGAGACCTCGACAACTCCCTCCAGGTCTGACCCTTGCACTGCCAGCTGCCCCAATTCCCCTATTATTTCCTACTCCTCAACTGGATCTACACACACATTGCGGAAGGCTAAGTCCACGCCTGCATACTGTTAGGACCACGTCCTAACACGTGCATAAGCACGTGAACAGAAGAGAAGGTCAGGTGTTTCCTCGGACTCGAACTATTAATGACTACACCGCTGCGGGTTTTCCGCCTTGAATTCAGACTGCTCCATTTTTGTCCAAGTGGCGTGGGAATGTATGTTGGTGCAGCAAGAAGATGAGGTTGGACCAACATTGGACAAAGACACAGAGGCACGGTTGGCCAAAGCGACGTTGGCGCTAGGTTGCCATATGTTGTGGGAGTCAGGTCCACTGGTATGAAGGGTCAGCAAGGACCGCAAGGTTGCTGCACCCTTATACCTGTTATGTGGGCTCAGGATACTACCCTGTATTGCAGCGACCATCTGATCTAGTGTGCGAAAATCTCATTAAATGGGCATCAATTAGCACATTGTAGAGCAAAATATAAGAGATATGGTACAATAACAACATATCCAGAACCATTAGAAAAGATATATGAGACAGAATTAAAGCAATGAGCATGTGTGGAAGTACAAACAGGTGGAAGGAGGGCAGATATGGCAAAACAAGCACACAAAGGGCCACTATTCTTCATCTTCCTCATCGATATCATTGGGAATGTCATGAAGGTCGTACTCTTCCATTGCAGAGATCGAATGAGTTGCATTGGTCTGCCAGAGAGTCTCACGCTGTGTTGAAGCTGTAAGCCTTTTGCTTGGAGGATAGGCATTCAAATGCTTGTCGAAAGCTTGCTTGAACATCCTTGAATATGTGTTAGTATCCGCTGCATGTTCTTGGGGAGAATGCAGACACACACCCTTTAAGAGCCTTTGAGCGAGCAGGTTTGGGCATATTCTTGACACTCTGTCGGTGCAGTGACAACTCGTTGTTGACCCAATTCCAGAAGGTTTTTTGATGAAGATTTAGGTTCTCAAACCGGATGTATGCATTGTGCTACACCAACAATTAGTTAGCGGTGCCAATTCTGAAGGATGTATGCATTTACACACCACCCATGCCCATCGGTACCAATGATCCTCGGTCACGGTAACTTGTGACTTGAGATTCCCGACAAGCTTCTTAACAAGTGCATAGATGTTCGCCTTCTTGTGGAAAAGCTCCTTGAGCTATAAAAGCACATCAACATGAAAGAAAGTCTATTATAAGTGTTGTATGTTCATACCTTTCGCTTTATCTCTGCTCGGGAGGCAATAATTGATCGGCTGATCGCAGTGGCGAACACTTTCGTGGTGAGAAATGGTATGAGCCGGTGAGGAATATGGTATTGTCCTGGATTGACTCGAATATGATGCTAGATAAGCACCAGAATGTAAGTATGAATAGATAATTTTTATAGCTATCGACAGATAGCACTCACCAGAAGTCTCGAGGTAAAGCCTAGTTTGAAGCCCGATAGCTTTGGATCCAGCATGATGATGTCAACAGGGGCTTTGATGAACTCCTATGGCATACATATAGCAAACACATGGGGATCTCGATGAGTTTTAGAGGCTAAACCCATACCTTATAAGTTTCGGATACGATAAATGTCTGTAGTGCAGACAGCCCTTCTTCCTCACTTATTGGGGCATTAACCGCAACAAGAACTTTGATCATAAGCTCTTGCAGAGGGCGCTATAACAAGAAAATTGAGTTCACTTATACAGAAATTCATCTGAGCATGAATACCTGTGCTGCTTCAACAATGTGGGCATGCTTGGACTTGGGAATATCTGCTTCCTCGCAGCAGAATTCCGCATACTCCTTGTAGTGGCGTTTCATACATGGAGTCAAGGGTTGGGTCGCCAAATTGATCAATGAGATGTTGGAAGTTGTGCCCACTGTTGCCTCGCTGGCAGCGTGACCTGGCAGAAGCAAACTTCCAGGACGTTCATTTACATCTGGATGAAAGGGTTCGAAAGTATCCCTAGAATTAGGAGTTTGTAAGTCGCCCAAGAAAAGAGGGAACAGAGAATTGGAGGGTGTGCGCAAAGAAGTTTCGGCTGGTGTGCCATCTCCAGTGATGGCATCTTGGCCAAACAATGCTGCAGCCCGGCCATCTGCTTCCTCTTAGTGCCGCCTAGCTGTTTCCTGGAGTGCAGTCATCTCATCCTCAAACTCGATAATGTCCATGATGCCTGCAGTGGTCGCAGCCATGGGTGGTGAAGGTAGAAATACACGCATTCGGAAATGGGCCCATGACCACGTGAGACATTCGACAATGCGACAAAGTCGTGAGCGCATGAGCCATTGAAAGATAGAGCAATGCATCGAAAGTGCATGCACTTTTAGCATTGCTGCATTGTGATCAACCGGGATTATATACTGCTCAATTTTCCCCCATCAAGAGCTTGTGAAGCTCGTGGATATTGCTTTGGCGAAGAACATCATCCACCGCACCTTTTCTCCTTTTTGAAAGCCCACCACCAGCAGACTTTAAACCAGATACTTCGCCTTCGACCAATGCTCGAGCAAGTCCATCAGAAGAAACATTCAGATCCTCTGCACGCTTCCGCTTTCCGATGCTCTTTGCAGATTTTGCAAGGACATTGCGAGCTTGAATTTGGCAATGAAGTCCTGTAAGTCGTTCTGAAGTAGGTGGCAGGAGTGTTGAGCTAGAGAACACACTGTCAGCCGCCGGAGCGTCAGTCTTTGAATGTAAGGTGCTTACTCTGCATAGAAGGCCTCTAGTCTGTTGATAAGTTCCTCCTTTTTTCCTTTGCGAAGGAGCTTGTGTTCACAGCACAATTCTTTGAGAACATCATTTGAACATGAAGCCCTGTGTGTTTCAGAAATGAGCCCATGAATCAATCTTAAGAAGTAAGCTTACAAGCCAGTAATTGCCCTCGTCTTATGTGCACGAGGTGCACCAAAATCAAAGACAGGGCACGAAGACAAGTCAGTTTCCGTTTGCGGCAAAGGATCAGCCTTATCTGGTTCTGTCTCGCCCAGAAAGCTCCCAAGCGCATCGAGAATATCCCCGTCTGTCTGCAGAAGGTCCTTGGGCTGGGAAGTATTTGCATCCTGAGCATTTGATACTCCTGCGTGCTCTGCAACCTTTGTGGCCAAAAGCTCATGGTGCTCTTCTGTCTGCTGCTTTTTCTGCTCGCGCACCAAGGCAGCTGCACGCTGCCGAAGTGCAAGCGAATTGTCAACTTTGAATGATGATGAACGTAGATGGACCGGTAGAGCTTCATAAATCGCCCGGTAGTTATGCAGTGAACCAGTATTGAGAATATATGTCAGTTCATCTGAGTGCGAGATGATGTTGCGAGTTAGAGTATTGGACAGCTCCCTTTCAACAAAGCATGAGCGATAACTATCCGTTGTGCACTGTCCGTGGTGGCAGTCATGCTGGAGGTTTATTCCACACACCAGTTGCTATTAATAGAGGTTTATTTCATGTAGCATTGAAGGAGATAGGACAAACACACCACTGGCTGCATAACAATCCTTTCGGAAGTCAAATGCAGGACAGGCATGTCCAATCGCTCATGGGGGCGCTCGCCTATTTCAAATAGCTGGACCACCACATATACAAGTGGATCCATAACAGCTGTGTCAGGCGACAATGGCACAACAAGAATCTCGAGAACTTTGCCAAAAATAAGTTTCCCATCCTGTTGTGATTTATAAAAATGGTGAGCTGTCACTGGTATCTCTGAGGTATGAGCAACGTACAGAAGGACGGCGTATGATAGCAAATTGACCACTGTTGATCCTGTCCCGATTTTCGGCAACAATAGTCTTTCTGCTGTAAAATTGCAAGTTGGCATCTGGTATATGTGAAGACTCGTGGGACAGGTCATTGAGCACCGTAGACAGCTGAAGGCCAGCCGAATGTGCCATAGAGTCCTCCCATTTGAGGACGACAGGAGTTGCCATTTTCTGGTGGGTTGCCTTTGCCCGCAAGAAGACAATATGTCCTGTTAGTATAGAAGTGTGAAATGAGCATTGACTGAAGATAGGCACACCCAGGGACAACTAACCAGGAGATTGACCTGTTGGCACACGCAATCCAAGCAATTTACAGTGCTCTGAATGTTCATTAACGTATGCCATCACGCTTGCACCGGTGCACACCCACTTCCCTGTTAAACTGTCCTTCCACCAACCACCAGTTGAGATGTGCTTGACACTATCCATGCCTGCAAAAGTCCAAGCGATATCACGACTCGGTGCCATTCGGTTGCTGTGCATGGAGGCAGCACGAAATACAGCATTGTAAGACTCATACCGCTCTGTTGAGTACAGTATAGCAGGACCGAATCGACGAATATAGAAGGGAAGATGGACAAGGAAGTGAAACTTGGGCTTTGAGATAAGAATACTCGGGCTGCAGAGTGCAGTGACGTCTAAGATGTCATCGATGCATTGTTGAAGTTTAGCCTATAAGTGGGTTATAAGTATGTCTATGCATGCGAAGAGATTCCTGAGATGCACCAGGTAGACATTCATGTCATCGATCTCGGTATGCCAGAGCATGACAGTCAGGTGGCTTATTAGGAGCCATGCATCGAGCACATTCTGGGGGACCAGATCATATATTGTAAATGCCATGATTTGCGACAAGGTCTTGAAGTGCTTGCCAATCAGGGCGCCTTTATACTGACAAATGTAATCCGCGGGTATGGCAGGAATGTTAAGGCCATCCGAGGCGATCGAGTTCAGATGTATCTGGAAGATGTGGAACTGTTTTGCCTTCTCTAGAAAGAAGACGGTCTGACCCCAAAAATACTTGACAATTCCAAGTAGGATGGTGTGCAGAATCTCGGTAGGTGTGTCCTTGTGGATGTCAACGCCTGCGAGATATAGCAGTCAGACAATGAGAAAACACCACGCCATACATTGTGAGCAAACCTTCAACATCCAGCAAAGGATTATAAGTTTGGCCTCGGCCATGTGCTTTACGGAGCTCTTCTGTGAGGATTGCTTGAACCTCCTCCGGGCTATGGGCTATCTGTTCTGGACTGGATGACTTGCGTAGTTGCTGGCCAAGCTTCACAATATGATCAATGATTGGTTGGGCGACTCCGTCTTTGACACCTGAATCACGGACAGCTTCAGTTAGTTTTGTGGCAACATTTGGCTCCAACGCGGTGACCAGCTGCTCGAAAACCTTCTCCCAAGTTTCGGAGCTTGTCCGCATAGTGCTGGACTATTGACTTTATGAGTTGGAAAGAGACAGATAGAGATGCAAGACCTCCACTGACCTCGAAAATGCTGCCAAATCCCACATCCGACCGTTTGTGCTCTTGACTGCCGCCAACATGACATGTCCGACAGAAAAAGTTGCTATTTAGGCCAGCGCCGCTAGAAAGCTCTGCCTGCATTGGGTTGTCTCCGGCATAGAGAAGAGGAAACGGGCGTAGGAGAGCCTCTTCCACGTTAAGAGCATCGTATGTTAAGCCGGCTAGGCTTAGTCGAGTGCACGTGATGCACTAAGAGGGGTTCCCTGGGCTGAAGCTGATAGTGACGGCCCACCGAATGAAGACGACTGCTCGTCTTTGGGCTTGTTCCAAGAAAGGCTGGTCTGTATTGATCTTCTCCTCGAAGAGCCTGAGGAGATGCTGGTTGATCACGTGACGATGTTCGTCTGGTACGAACAAGTCTTCTCCGATGCAACAGATGACTTCGGATGGGTCCCAACGGATGACTCGATAGGCAGCGAGTCCTTGATACGTTGCAGGTGGTAGAGGGTGGTAAGAGCTGTGAGACGAGTCCAGTGCGTCGTCAGACTGAGTATGGTTCTTTATATCTGACAGAGATCGCGAAGCATGAGCTGGGAAGGCAGCCAGACGCCGGGCGCAGTGCTGAGATCAAGATTGTATACAAAGTGAACGAGCTGAGGCTTCTGAGAAGCTCAGCTCCCCTATATATAGTACATGGCTATTTAGGGCGGGACGGACATATGGTCCGTGCTTCGAAACACTAAGTACTATCAACGATCGACATCGGTAAGCCGCAGTCATCGTTCGTACTCCGCGGCTCGCGAATGTAGCCATGTATAGTAAGTAAATCAAATGTCTGTCCGCATCAATCAGAAGTAAGGAACCGATCGTGATCCAATCAGTAAGCACGATAGAAGAGGAACCGATCACGATCGACATCAGTCATCAGAACAAAAGGGGAAAGCATAGTATCGTAAGCGTTCATGCGTTAGCATGTGAATGGTAATCAATCCGAAGCAGAAGACGAAAGCGTTCATGCGTTAGCATGTGAATGATAAACAGTCTGAGTCTGAGTCATGTGCGTAGCTCATGACCATGTCCTGAGTCACGTGCCTAGACGTGTGTCAAGTCATAGTCCTAATCGTCAATGGTTCGAGTCCGGGGAAACACCTGACCTTCCCGTTTGTTCACGTGCTAAGCACGTGTTAGGACACGGTCCTAACACTACCCCCCCTTTTACACTCGTCGTTGGCTCGTGACGACATCAGGGTCTCGGATGGGAGGAGCCATGAAAGTGTGGGGATCCATGACGGGGGCGTGACGTGTCAGGTGTCCTTCCCATCTAGTGTCGTCGATCATCCGGTCCCGGATGTGCCAGTAATACCCATAGTTCTCCGCCACATGCTCCAGCTGCGTCGAGAGGAGTTCGACTACTTCGCCGTACGCTTCGTAGTCCCGTATGAAGTTTCGGGCAGTGAGGTCGGTGCGGCGGCGGATGCGGGTGATGGGACAATTGGCGATGAGGTGTCCCGGGCGATCGCATTCCCAGCAAAGTCGTGTGTCAGTGGCAGGAGGCGGAAGAACGAGGGGAGGGGGAGAGGGTGAAGGATCACGGAGAGGGGGCCAGACTTGTTCCGAAACGCGGACGCCATCCAGCGGCCAGCCGTTGATCAGCGAAGGGGGTGGATGGGCTGCAGCTTCTGGTGATGACGACACGGGCGTCGAATGATGGATCTCGTGTTCTCGAGCTGCCCGTTCCGGATCGTATGGTGGGCTGCTGGGCCGCGAGATGGGTCGTCCTGCATCGTCGAAGACAGGGATGGGAGGGAGCCGGTTTCCGGGGAAGGGGTCGGCGTAGGGGTAAGGAAGGGCGTTGTGGATGTCGGTCATGGGGAGATGGGGGAAGGGTTCTGGTACTGGGAGAGTCAGAGGGGACAGGTGGCGGGTGCCGTTGAGGAGAGGGAGGAGCGAAGAGGAAGACATATCCAAGTAGGGGAAAGGTTTGGTGGGGAAGTTGAGGAGAGGTTTGGGCCTCGACAAGCGTTCCTTTATAGATTCCTTTCCTTCTTGTTTGAGCAAGTAAGGACGGTGGTGTGGTCGAGGCTTGAGTAGGCGTAGCGACAGTGGTCCTGGCGAGGATTGGGTTTTGGGTCGTGTCCGTTGTGGTGGTTCCTGCTTGGATCACCGTCGTTTGTTCGGCCATGCCAAACCGCGATTCGTCTGCCTTTGCAGCTCCTGATATGCCTGGGTGCGCCAATTTGCGCTGTCTGAGGGTTTGCGCTGTGGCTTCATCCAAGACCGTTCCGAATAGGTCTTGCTTGGAGAAGTGTCCGTGGTTGCCTTCTGACTCCTGACGCGTGGGTCCGATCGTTCCCGATTAAGGTTGCTCGATCGTTCGCTTGTAGCGGAAGTCCTTGAGGATCCTCGATCGAGCTCCTTCCTTCGCGCTTCTGGACGTTTGGCTGATTCTGGCCTTCTCGACTGCGGAGGCGCCGATGGCTTCTTTGACTTGGCTTCCTTCTTGTCGTGTTCTGTTGCTATTTCCAGAATCCCCAATGTCTTGAACTTTGCCGAGTAAAGCGTCTCCGGGATTGGGAGGTCTTGGACTCTCCTCCTGTTGCGTGCATCGATTACGTCCTTTAGCTGAGCGGTTGCGTTTTCTTTGAGCTTGACTGGAGTAGTTCCCTTGTCAAGGTATGATTGCCCGATGCGGCGACCTTCGAGTTTGTACTCGTCGTCCTTGAATTGTCGATTCAGCGCTCGTGCTTTTTGCTGAATCTGTCGGATGGTGTATCCTTCGTCTAGCAGCCTTCTTCCTGGCAGGTCCAACAGCGCCTTCGTGATTCGATCTTCTTCTTGTTGGTCTTCTCGATCTTGTAGAATTTGGCACATGTCTTTTCCGGTGGCGAGCAGCCTCCTTCCGTCAGGACTTTTCTCGAGTTGTTTCCTGACCTGATCTTCCTCGGCTTCTCGATTGTCTTCCAGGTCGGCCGTCAATACTCGGATCGATGCTTCCCTTCCTTTGGGCGCGGAAGGGTGTCGTTTATAGAACTCCGCGACGGCTTCCTTGGCATTGGTGACGTTATCCGCTGATTCCCAAGAGTTATCCGATTCCGGATAGCCCTTCCATTTGATCAGGTACTGGAGGGTCTTCCATCTCCCGAAGCGTCGGGCTCCGACGACCTTCTCGACTTCGAATTCTTCTTGCCCCGCTATCAGGTCTGGTGCCGGTTTGGGGTAGTTGGGTCCATATGTCGTGTTCTCCTTGTAGGGCGTAAGTCGACTAGCATGGAAGACGTCGTGAATGCGCTGCCAGCTGTTTGGCAGTTTCAGCTTGAAATTGACTGTGCCGATAACGTCGGTGATCTCGAACGGCCCAAATCGTTTGGGTCTTAGTTTCTCCGATGGGTGGTCTGTGTGGATGTTCTTCCCATCTAACCATACTTGGTCTCCTTTCTTGAAAGGCGGTAACTCCGTTCCAAAACGGTCGTGCTGTATCCTCATGGCTTCGGCTGCGATTTCGAGGCTGGCTTGTGCTTCCTTCCTAGCACGTTGCAGAGCTTCGAGTCGCGCGTCGGCGGTGGGGACGTTCGTGTTTCCTATAATCGCCGGATACGCCCTTGGTTGGTATCCGTGTAGAAGTTCGAATGGTGACTTCTTCGTGGCTGAGTGCTGGTGTACGTTGTGGGCGTATTCCGCGTAGGGAATGAGGTCGGCCCAGTCGTCCTGTGACGAGTTGCAAAATGCCCTAAGGTATTGCTCCAGTTCTTGGTTCATCCGTTCTGTGGCGCCGTCGGTTTGTGGGTGATATGCTGTGCTGAGCGCCGATTTAACCCCTAGTTCCTTGAGTAGTGCTTGTGCCACTTTCGACGCGAATTGGGGTCCTCTATCCGATATGATCTTGTCGGGTAGTCCGTATCTTCTCCACGTGTGCTCCAAGAGTAGTTGGGCCGTCCCGTCTGAGTCAATGTTCTTTAGACATGGTGTGATGACGGCCGTCTTCGTGAATCTATCTGTTACCATGTGGAGTGAGTCGAATCCGTTTGACTGGGGAAGGTCCGTGATGAAATCCATGGTAATCGTTCCAAACGGCCGGTCTGGAATCTCCGTTGGCTGTAGAGGAACCATCATCGGATGCGTGTCGTTCTTGGTAGATTGGCAGGTTGCGCATCCTTCCACGTATTGGTGGATCGTGTTCGATATTCCGGGCCAGGTGAATTCTTGCCCTACTGCTGCTAGTGTTCCTCTTTGTCCTGGGTGTCCTGCGGCTAGATTATCGTGGTTCAACTTGATGATGTCTCTGCGTAGTTGTTCGTCCTGAGGAACATAGATTTTTCCTCTGTGTAGAATGAGTCCGTCTTCTTCGTTCCATTCCTGTAGGCCTTTCTTCATGCTTCTTGGGCCTAGCTCCTGGATCTTGGCTAAGGTTTCGAGTAGCCACTTGTCCTTTTGGTTTGCTGCTATGATTCGATTCTTGAGGTCTTCGTCAATGATTGTGACGCCTCCTCGTCCTGTGGCTCTGATGTGCCATATCTCGTGGGGGTCCAGTTCATCCTTTGTGGTGATTGCATTGACGTCTGCGAAAGGTCTTCGGCTCTTTTCCGGTGTTTGATCGAAAAGCTTGGGTTCCAAGAGCGTTTCGCCTGAATTGTCAAATTCCACCCCCTCTTTATGGTCTGGACGCCGTGACAGACCGTCGGATTTATTGGTCGTCCCCGCCTTGTGCGTTAACTTGTAGTCGAAACGCGAGAGGAATAGCGACCATCGTGCTTGCCGACGGTTCAACTTTTGGCTTGAGCGGAACCATTCGAGGTTCTTGTGGTCCGTCCAGACGTCTACCGGGGTCTCGGCGCCCTCCAAGTAATGTCGCCAGGCTTCAAAAGCTCGAACGACCGCTAGCAACTCTTTATCGTAGATCGGGTAGTTGCATTCGGTGGGTGAGAGCGACTTGGAAATGTATGCGCACGGGTGCCATTTCCCATCTGGGGCGACTTGTGATAATACTGCTCCGGTAGCGAAGTCGGATGCATCGCATTCGATGCGGAAGGGGTTCCTGGTTTCCGGCATGACGAGTACTGGAGACGAGATGAATATCTTCTTGAGTGCTTGGAATGCCTCCTCGCATGCCGTCGTCCAGTCCCAACTGCGCTCCTTCTGTGTCAACTCGAATAGCGGCCTAGCTATTTTCGAGTAGTCCTTGATGAATCTGCGATAGAAATTGCAGAATCCCAAAAACGATTGGACCTCCTTGACTTTGGTCGGTGTGGGCCAGTCCATGATACCGGCCACCTTGACTGGGTCCATTTCCAGATGTCCGCGAGAGATGACGTACCCGAGATAGTCAATTTTCGTTTTGTGAAAATGACATTTCGAGGGTTGCAGGTACAAGTCGTTATCCTGCAATATCTGTAAAACCTGTTTCATCGTCTTGATGTGTTCGTCCATAGTCTTTGAGAACACCAAGATGTCGTCCATGTAGATGGCCACTCGTCCTGCATAGATGAGGTCCTTGAAAAGCGAGTTCATCATAGTTTGGAACATCGCCGGCGAGTTGGTGAGGCCAAAGTACATGACCAGAGGTTCGTACATCCCTAGATTCGTTACGAACGCTGCCTTGTGGACATCCTTTTCGTCGATGAGGATGTTGTTGTATCCAGTGTCGATGTCCACCAGCGAGAAGTATTCCGCCTCTGTCAAGAGATCCAGTAGTTCTTGAATAATCGGGAGAGGGTACTTGTTCTTGATCGTTATTTCGTTAAGCTTCCGGTAGTCCATTACCGGCCGTAGCTTTCCATTTTTCTTCTTGATAAAGAAGAACGGTGATGCCATGTGCGACTTGGATTCCCTGATGAATCCCTTCTTGAGACTTTCGTCGATGAATTTCTTGAGTTCCTCCTGTTCCATGGGACTGAGGCTGTAAAGTTTTGGCCTGAGCGAGTGTTCCATGTCGTCCTTGAGTTCGATCTTGTGGTCCCATGGTCGTTTGGGAGGTAGTTTCCCAGGTTTTCGACCTTCGAAAACCTTCCTATAACTCCAGTATACTTTGGGTACGATTTCCTCGAAGGATAATTCGGGTTTTCCTTTCGAGGCCTCTTCTGCCAATTTCTGTGAATTGGTGTGCTTCGTTTGCTTGCCTATCGCTGCCTTGGCAGGCTCCGTCTTGCGTGCCGGTGTATTGGCGACGGAGGTTTCCACGCGATGGATGTCGTATCCTTCCTCGCGGTCGTTGTATAACTCCAGGGCTTCTAGTTGCCCTGTTTCCAGATACCTGACGAGGTATACTCCATCTTCGTCTAGGTCCGTGGAAGGTAGAGCCGATAGCGGTCCACCACCTTCCTGGGGCTCCTCTTCTGCCCACGTCGGTGCCGTGTAATTTCTGGCTTGGGTCCTGAGCGAGTACTCCCTGTTCGTGCCTTTGGGTTGCGACCCCCGGATTTTAGGCAATATCCGCGGATGTGGTACTGTAGTGTTTCCCACTTTCCGACCTAGCTGTCCTTTTCCTGGCTTCTGCAATGGGATTGAGTAGTCGCGCTCTCGCGGTACTGTCACCATGCGCCGTACTACTGGTTCTTGACGTCCTGGTTTCCTAAAAGCTCTTTTTGCCTTGACTGGTCCTCCTATAATGTCGCATGTCGGTGGGCACCTGGTGAAGTGTAGTCCATACGCGTGCCAGTCGACCTCTGGGTTGTGTTCCAATAACCAGTCGGTTCCTAGAATGACGTCCTCTTTTCCAATTTCGGCGATGTAGAATCTTGCCGACTCGATGTGCACTCCCCCTTGTTCGCCTAGAACTCGTAGTTTGAGTTCTGCGAACCTCGTGATCGGTCCTCCTTTGAATTCCGTGTTTTGGACCGTATTGACTGGGATGGGGTGGGGAGTCCTTTTCGTCCTGATTCCATGCTTTTCCACAAAGTTGGGATGCATGAATATGCCTGTTGCTCCGCTGTCGACCAGAGCCTGTGTAGCAGCCTTTCGATTCTTGCCTATGAGTTCCGTCTCGATCCGAAGTGATGGTGCACCACGAGTTTTCATTTCGGAGAGATATAACGTGTCTGGATGTCCATGCTCTTGGTCAGCATTGTCACTGGCCAGAGGAGCGTACCGATTTCCTGCAAGAATCCTACTCTTCACACCCGCTGCCGGTGGAAGAGACTTTAAAAACCCTTTTTGTTGGCTTGGAAGTTAGCGATTACGCCTCGTTCGATTCCCATTCGTTCTTCAGGATCTACGCTGGATCTGCGTGCGTCCCGGTATTCTTCTTCCTCCTCTTCGTCCGCTTCCATGGCCCTCATAGTGCGGGACCTAGGAATGAACCTTCCTCTTGAAGGAGGTGGGAATCTTCTTTTGGGTCGAGAGGGACATCCGCGCGCCATGTGCCCGGTCTTTTTGCAATAGAAGCACTTTCCTTCTTTGTAGAGCCGGTTCCTTTCTTCCGGCGTAAGCTTCTTGAAGCGGATGGCGTCGACCTCCAATTCAGCTGCGTCTACGTCCATGGGGGCGTATTGGGATTCTCGTTCGTGACGAGGGGTCGGGGCGAAGTTCGAATAGTAGTTGGTCGGGGTGAAAACTTGATACTTCCCCTGCCGAAGGTCTCGTGCGCGCATTTCTTCTATGCGCATTGTCTCGTGTCGTTTGGCCTTGGCTACTAGTTCGTCCCATGTCGCCTGTGCTGCTGGGTCTTGATAAATTCCTCGGGCCAACTCCCATTTGAGGCCCCGTAGGAAGTGCGTCTTCTTGGTCTCGAGATCAACCCCTGCTAGTTCGGCGATTTGCTCGAACAGTTGGAGGTATGTGTTAAAAGACTCCTTTCCTTGGTTGATCCTGGCCAGCTTGTCTCTGGCATCTGCTGTCTTGTCGAATTCCTCGAAGTCCGTCGAGATCTTTTGACGGACTGAGGTCATGTCGGTCGCGGGTTTCCACGTGTAGTGGTTCCAATCGTCATTTGTGTTCCTGGCCTTGGTGAAGTTCCTCGCCCATATCCCTGCTGATCCTCCTTTCATGTAGGACAAGGCGTACGCGATCTTTGTAAACTCGTCCGGGAAGTCGTGTTTCCTGGCGAGGATCATCAGGTCGATTTCGTGGAGGAACTGCTCCGTTCGTTTTCGGTTTCCGTCGAAGGGAGTGGGTTTGGCCATAGCCGGTCCCTTGGACTCAGGATTTCTAGGATTTGTCGACATCTCACTGGACGGGGGCTGGTGATCGTCAGGAGGCTCTCCACTTGTATCTGGTTCTTGAGTATGCTCTTCCCGGGTGATTTCGTCCGGTGAAGGGGTTCGGATACTTGTTTGGGGAGAGGTTTCTTGTATCGGGGATGTAGTGGGCGTGTTTCTTCGAGAGAGTCGACTTCCACTGGCTGTTTCCCTGGGTACGTTATAAACGTGTGGTCTCGGTGAGTTACGATTCCGATGTGGCGGTGATTTAGGCTTGATTCTTCTGAGCTCGGCTGCGACGATTGCGAGCTTAGTGGTCTGTAGTTCGGGTGCGGCGTGGATCTCCTTGTCGAAGAAGGGTTTCTTGTAGAATTCTTCTTTCCCAACTCCTGTGTAGAATCCGGTGAGGATTCCTCCGATGTAGAAGTGTCGGTTCTCTTCGTCACAATAAACGGTGTCTGGGTCGACGTCCTCGGGTAGGTGCTCGAAGATGTAGATTGGGTTATTGTGGTACGGGGGCGGGTATCCTTTTGGGATTGGGGAATCAATGGTTTATTCTGTGAAGAAGAAGGGGATCTCGTGTCTTCTTCCTGCTCGGAGTCCTTCTTGGAGTGTGGGTTCTCTGCGGATGATTTCGTTAATCCCGTTGTTGATCTGGTCCAGGAGTGTGAGGCTCTCGTCAAAGGTTTGTCCTGCGACGACGGTTCGGAAATGATAAGTTTTGTGGGCGAACTCTCCTCGTCGGATAACTGATACGGTGCCGATGATTTCGGTTCGGTGAGGTGAGTATCCAGTAAGATCCAGCGCGTCCTAGTTTGGGATGGTGTAGGTCCAGAAGATGAAGATTGTGTAGTCGCTCCTTTGGTGACTGTTCTCGAGTAGCTCCTGTCTGATTCCTCCTGAATCAACGTCCTGGGTGATGCGCTTTCGAAGGGATGCGATGTGGTCTGCTGGGAAGTTGCTTGGTCTTCCGTCGTCGATGTCAACGGTATTCCTGGTGTGAATAAAGTTGAGTCCTGGATCTCCAACTGCGGAGACTGGTGTCCTGGGTTCGTTGGTGAAGCAAAGCCCCAGAAAGGGGAATCCGATTCTTCCAATGAAGAAGTAATCTTGTGTGTGCTGTAGCCGATATGAGGCTACTCCTGCGTATACTCGTCCGACTGCCGAGTATCTGATGTGGGTGCTGGTTTCTGTTAACCTAGACGTTCCGTCGTGGGGTGCTTGGTTAATCCTGGTGGCTAAGATGCTGCTGCGGTTTCTTTCTTCTAGCAGTTGGTGTGCGGCTGCTGCTAGTGACTGTAGTCTGTGCTGGTCCAGAGTGTTTCTTCAGGGCAGGGAGGAGTGAGCTCGTTCAAGTGTTAAGCCGGCTAGGCTTAGTCGAGTGCACGTGATGCACTAAGAGGGGTTCCCTGGGCTGAAGCTGATTGTGACGGCCCACCGAATGAAGACGACTGCTCGTCTTTGGGCTTGTTCCAAGAAAGGCTGGTCTGTATTGATCTTCTCCTCGAAGAGCCTGAGGAGATGCTGGTTGATCACGTGACGATGTTCGTCTGGTACGAACAAGTCTTCTCCGATGCAACAGATGACTTCGGATGGGTCCCAACGGATGACTCGATAGGCAGCGAGTCCTTGATACGTTGCAGGTGGTAGAGGGTGGTAAGAGCTGTGAGACGAGTCCAGTGCGTCGTCAGACTGAGTATGGTTCTTTATATCTGACAGAGATCGCGAAGCATGAGCTGGGAAGGCAGCCAGACGCCGGGCGCAGTGCTGAGATCAAGATTGTATACAAAGTGAACGAGCTGAGGCTTCTGAGAAGCTCAGCTCCCCTATATATAGTACATGGCTATTTAGGGCGGGACGGACATATGGTCCGTGCTTCGAAACACTAAGTACTATCAACGATCGACATCGGTAAGCCGCAGTCATCGTTCGTACTCCGCGGCTCGCGAATGTAGCCATGTATAGTAAGTAAATCAAATGTCTGTCCGCATCAATCAGAAGTAAGGAACCGATCGTGATCCAATCAGTAAGCACGATAGAAGAGGAACCGATCACGATCGACATCAGTCATCAGAACAAAAGGGGAAAGCATAGTATCGTAAGCGTTCATGCGTTAGCATGTGAATGGTAATCAATCCGAAGCAGAAGACGAAAGCGTTCATGCGTTAGCATGTGAATGATAAACAGTCTGAGTCTGAGTCATGTGCGTAGCTCATGACCATGTCCTGAGTCACGTGCCTAGACGTGTGTCAAGTCATAGTCCTAATCGTCAATGGTTCGAGTCCAGGGAAACACCTGACCTTCCCGTTTGTTCACGTGCTAAGCACGTGTTAGGACGCGGTCCTAACATCGTATGCCACCACTGGATTGTTGAAAGCGCGTCTATACATCGACCTGTAAGCCAATTAACCGTTATATGTTGCATAGACAACCTACTCCATTGAACTTCGGACCCCCTGCATGATTTCTAATGGGGTCGCTGTTGGAGAGGCTGCAACAAAGCGCACATGGAATTCTTCCATTAAAGCCTCGCGCGTGAGAAGGCCATTGGAAATATAGCACGCAAAGTGCTTGTTCCACTGCTTTGATTGGTTTCCAGAGACGTCATCGATGAAAACAATGACAGGAACGGAATACACCATGCGCTGACCCGCCTTCTCTCGCAGAGGATGTGGGCATACTACTTGGTAGTCAGCTCTCTCTCCTATACATTCCTTTAATATGAAAGGCCGTGGAAATAAAATCACAGTAACACGCACCATCAAATATCAGTGGAGAAGCTTGGTTTTGAAGGAGGATATCGACAACGTTATACTTGAAGGTTGATACACGGACACCAACTATTTTGTCCGTCGCAACGTGCAGAGTTCCTTGCTGAAGACATAGTATTACTTAACTGAATGCTTAGACAGGGGCCAATGAACACAGACGCACCTCAGATCGATGGACACGATAGCCCAAGCCCCAGTGCTCTCCTGCACGCAAGATCCACCGCTTTGCAATGAACAGATCTCCGTGGTCCCGCTGAATTAGCTCATCCACATAGTATATTGTGCCGTTGGAGCGCACGGTTGCAGTGAGTATGTTGTCAGGAACATAAACTAGCAGCTTCGCCGCATTCCATACTTGCTTCATGCTGCCTTGGAGGTCTTCGGGATACAGTGGTCCCATCTTGCTACGAGTAATGGGGTTGGCAAAATCCTATGCACAAGTGTGAAGTCAAGTACCATCCACGATGCTAGTAGAAGCACAATGTGCACCTCTGCCACGGATTGTGCTATGTCATTCAGATACCAGACATTGCCGGAGGAGGAGCATTCACAGTGGGTCGGATTTCCGATCGCATGTCTCAGTTCTGCTCGAGTGCGCTGCATTGTATCGTAGGTCGACGGATTGGCACCAAGTTCCCTCGCCCATGACAGTATTGCATGCTGTTGCATATGAGAGAAGCGCAGACGAGGTGCACTGAGTAAAAGGTGGGTTAAGAATGTCTGTAAAATAATTAGTGTACATCGTGAAGAGGATGTCACGAGTGAAACATTCAACATACAGCTTTGTTAGGCCACGGAAACCATTCCTGCTGTTGTACGGACGATGTTGATGGTATGGAGGGCTATGGGCTTTCGGAAGGCAGCTTTCCTAGAATTGAATACTCAGCACTATTGACTGTTGGAATACATCTGGGTGACCTACCAAAGATGCTGTCATCATACCAGTCATCGCCTTCCAAGTCTGTGCCATCGGACATATCGCCCTCATCTATGTCATGCAAGGGTATTTCTTCGGACTCATGACGCATGCTTGCCGCTCGTAATGTACGCACAAAAGACTTGAGAAGGGGATCTGTAACGTCATCTTCGAGCTGATCTAGAAAATCGGACGGCCCTTCATCATATCCTGCATCAGTTGCTTCTGTACTGCCTGCTGGTCAGATAGGAGGCTGGTCAGTTGATATTCTACATCAAAAGCCAGCTGGACTCCATGCACTGCGCTCAGAGTGAGGTGTGCACTTATCGACGTCTTCCACTGATCGCTCCGCTTTGAGGTGAACATAGCCTTTATGACCCTGGCTATTCATATGCTTCTGAAGCTCTGAGGAGGTCATGTTGACTGTCCACTGTGTACGAGGGCATACTACACATTCAGCAAAACCGTTCCGGCAGTATCTAAACTCCACTGCTAATGTGGATCTATCACCGGCACTCCTGCACTTTGGAAACCAGAGTTCAACTTACTTTCAATTCCAGTTTCCAACTTGCAAGGATTGTACATAAAGAAAATTGAAGCCTACTGTTTTGCGAAATAGAGAGCACGGATTTGTTGTGTTGAAAACTTAAAAAACTGTTAAGGATTATCTATTACTACACAAGGAAGGAACGAGGCCATGACAATGTGGATATCACAGATCTGGAGATTTGCCTCAGATTTCCGACATCTTGAGCCGATAAGGGTGGGCCCTCGAACGGGATGTTGCTCCGATGCAGGAATCGATGTGGGAGGAGAGTTGGAGGCACGGCGTTGTTTTTATGGCGAAATCATGCTCACATCACCATCAACTTGCTCACGTTGGACCAAGGGCGCGTTTCATGTTGGAGTGTGACTGAGTTCGGGGTCCAGCCGATGTTGCTCCATTTTTCACCGTCCATTGTCAGATACACTCCGGCGGTGTGGGACTGTGACTTGACACGCATCTAGGCACGTGACTCAGGACATGGTCATGAGCTACGCACATGACTCGGACTCGGACTGACTACCATTTACATGCTGATGCATGAACACTTACGTACTATGATTCCTCTTCTGTTGCGATGACTGATGTCGATCGAGATCGGTTCCATTTGATATTGCTGCGGACAGACATTTGATATACTTACTATATATGGTTACATCGAGGAGCCGCGGAGTACGAACAATGACTGTGGCTTACATGCATCGACCGTTGATAGTACTTAGCATTTAGAAGCACGGACCATATGTCTGTCCCGCCCTAAATAGCCATGTACTATATATAGGAGAGCTGAGCTTCTTGGAAGCCTCAGCTCGTTCACTTTGTATACATCTTGATCTCAGCACTGCGCCCGGCGTCTGGCTACCTTCAGCTCACGCTTTGCGATCTCTGTCAGATCTAAAGAACCATACTCAGTCTGACGAAGCACTGGATTCGTCTCACCGCTCTCATCATTCTCTACCACCTGCAAGCTATCAAGGACTCGCTGCCTATTGAGTCATCCGTTGGGATCCCTCCGAAGTCATCTGTTGTATCGGAGAAGACTTGTTCGTACCAGACAAACATCGACACGTGATCAATCAGCATCTCCTTCGACTCTTCGAGGAGAAGATCAATACAGATCAGCCTTTCTTGGAACAAGCCCAAAGATGAGCCATCATCTTTATTCGCTGGGCCGTCACAATCAGCTTTAGCCCAGGGAACCCCTCCTAGTGCATCACGTGCATGCAACTAAGTCTAAACGGCTTAACACATACTTCATTTGAGCAAAGCATGGAGTTTAAAGAAAGGTGAATTGTGGAGTAAATGTTGGACAGGATGCCAAGGGTCATCGAAGTAGGAGGGCTGTTCAATGCGAGTTGTTGCCCTGAGGAAAAGGGACAGCAAAGCATGATCATGTCTTATGTACGAGGGCGGATCTCACCGTATTGTGTGGGGAATCGGCCTGTAGCTTGAACATAGCAAAGGAGAGGCTTGAAGGCCTCCTGGTCTGCAAGTAGAAAGGAAAGTGGGACATCACGGTGCCTCGGCCAGTTACTGAGAAGAACGTGCCTTTTGAAGCTATATTTTGGGCAGTCTAATAGGAAGTGCTTCACCGTTTCGTTTGACTCACCACAGGCTAGGCAGCAGGAGGAGTCGACGGCCTTAATGCGATGCAGGTACTTGTTAAGAGGGATATGGCCTGTGCGAAGTTGAAATATTAGACTGATCTGGCCTCGTCAGAGCTCCTCTTCTTGGACCAGCTTAAGGAAGTGCTTAGACGGGAGCTTGGGGTCAATGCGAGAGAGCTTGGTGTATTGCGGGGAGGCCTTCCATAGTGTGTTCCACTTCCTCATAACCTTCTGGAGCAGGATCTGGCACATCGCAGATATTCCTATGGGAGGGCTGCCTTTAAAGTCTCTCAGGAGTTTGGGTAGAGACTTATCTGGGCTTGAGTGACCCCCGGCCGCTTCTTTGGCGGCTACATCAGCCATTTCATTTCCCTCGATCCCTTCGTGTCCAGCTACCTAGCGGAATTCCACTTGAAAGTCTGTCCCTTTTTGACTGCGCTTGAGATCCTGCAGCAGACGCTGAACTTCGACGGCTAAGTACTGGCCTGGACCAGCGTGGTGGTGGAGGGTCGCCTTCAGTGCAGCCTGGTTGTCGAGATTGATGGAGATGGGTACATTGGAGTTTTGTTCAGTGCTAATTAGATGGAGGGCTAAAAGTGTGCCTAGAACTTCAGCATCATACACAGTGTGTTCTGAGTCTGTGCCAAGGTGGAAGAACAGGGTTCGAGGCAGTTTGTTATCATGCAGAAGGACTGCTGCAGCCCCGATCTGTCCGTCCTAGCCAGAGCCATCGGAGTATACCCTGATTTGGGCCTGCTGGGAGCCATCTTGTGCTACAGAGTCATTGCGGGAATCTGGGATGGACTAGCTAGCAAGCGGGCGGGCACCTGGATGGGAGGTGACAGCTCGTATCTTCTCGAATTGCGCAGGGTGGAGGTGGTTGAGGTGGAGGAGGTGATGAAGCAGGGACTTGTGTCACTTGACATAGGTACGGGCACAGAGTTTGACTAGAGGACTGAGGGGGTGTGAAGGTGGTAGCGATACTAGACGTGTGGCGGCATGGGCACAGTGCTTTTCAATGAGGAGTTCCATTGGGAGGATGTTGGCATGAGCATCAAGGGTGTCCGTGGCAGACGTGGGCAACCCTCCCATAATGGCTCTTGCGGCCGTTCTCTGTGCCTGCGCGAGCGCTTTTATAGCGCCAATAGAGCCTAACCAACATTTGTTGAGACCCCCACCATGGATGGGTGTGCACCATACATCAGCTGCATAAAGCATCTTTGGAATCGCTACTCCTATGTACATCTGCCAGAGCTGAGCAGGTTTCAGTCCAAAGGAGGGCTTAGCGAGACGACTTAGCTGGTTAGTCCAGGCAGCTCCTTTTCCTGCTGCCTGTTGCACCTGAATATGCCAGCGGAGCTCCTGATCGAAAAGGACTCCCAGGTAACAAGCGCTGAGGCTGGGCTGGATAACGGCAAGATTGGGAATGACAAGTGGTGGACGTGTGAGCGCCCTCTTCTTTCCTGGGCATATAGGGTCCGTTTCCTTCACTTGTGTGAAGTCGAGAAGGGCAAACTTGCTTGGCTCAAATTGGGAGTTGTGGTTGTGAGACCACTGCATAGCACCTCCTTCACGTGTCATCATGTCAGCCAGGATTTGGTGCATGTCCACAAAGGAGTGGCCAATGGCCAAGAGGGCTGTGTCATCGACATATAAGAGGACGTATTCGTTTGTCTTTTGGGCTACCTTGGGGATGGAGAGAATATCAGCGTTGTAGAGAATATACAAGATCATGGAAAGCGGGTCGCCTTGACCAATGCCATTGATGATCTGAATAGCTGGCGAGACATAGTCATCAAAGCGTAGGACAGCGTGACGGTTGCTGAGCAGATTTTTCACAAATGAAATGTACTTAGCTGGAATGCCTTGTTTCCACATGTTATGTAGGAGCCGATCTGTAACAGCGTTGGGGAAAGCTCCTTCTATGTCTAGGAACAGGACCGAGGTGACTTGCTTTTGACACCAGGCATGCTTGACCTTCTGTATGAGCAAGTGCATCGAGTCAGTGGTGGTGCGTCCCGGACATCCTCTGAAATGTGTGGGTGGTAGCACTCCCTCGTGCTTCTCTCCTATAAAGGTAAGTTGTTTGGCAATAATAGCAGACAGCAGCTTAGCAGTAGTGTTTAGCAATGCAATTGGTCGATATGACTTGGGAACATCGTATCTTGGCTTGCCCAGTTTGCGAAGAACAATGGTTGTGAACTCCCGCCACGGACCAAAGTATGTATCTAAGGCAAAGAAAGCTCTATACAGGTGAAATAAAAATTCGATCAGTGTATCCATGCACTGCACCAGAACGACATTAGGGATTCTATCAGGACCCGGTGCCTTATACATGCTCAGCCAATCTGCATTTCTACGGATAGTATCTCGAGTGATGGGCTGAAATTTACATACTAGCCGAGGGTAGACACCCCCAGGATCAATATCTGTATGCTCTGGAGGTGGAGGGAAGAAGGCGGTGGCCAAGGCCTTTGCCTTGTCCTCATTGGAGTCTACTAGCTGTTCGTTACCTTCCGCATCCTTTACCTTTAAAGTTGGAATCCGAGTTTTTCCCCCATCACCCGATAGGGTTGAGATGTACCGGTTTGCCGTCCAGATGTGATTACTGCTGGCCTCATCTAGCCAGTTCTTCCAGTGCCGTTCTTTCGTTAAGCGAATGGCCTTGGTGTACTTAGCCTTGGCTGCCTGTAGGTCAGCATGGAGAGGGTGACCTGGCACATCGCGCAGCCTATAACATTTGCGGGTGAGGGAGACTATTGATTGTCGAAGTTTTCCCAGGTCCTTTGTCCACCATCGCTTGAAGTGAGGGCACGGGTTGGCTATGGGGACCATCTCGTCAATTGTGTGCTGGATAGCACCAATGATGTGCATTCCCGCATCGTCGACTTCCTGTAGAGTGGTCAATGCACGGGGGGGCTTGGCCGAGAGATACCCATCTAGCTTCTTTTCGAAGATTTCCCAATCCGTGCTACGGAAGTCTCGCCTTGGAGGGAGGTCTTTGTGCAGAACTTGGAGGTCAAGAATACTTACTATGGGGAGATGGTCGGAGGTGGGTCCTTGAAGAGCGGGCATGGTGTCGCATAAAATGAGGGCTTCTAGCATGTGGGGTGTACAGAATACATTGTCAAGCCGAGACCATTTCTTTGAGACTAGGTATTGGTGTGTTGGGATACCAGGAGGGAGGGCCATGCGTAGGTCGAGGTCGGCTAGGGTATGAAGCAGGTAGTTGGCTTCCTCCATTGCCTCCGTCGTGAGAAGTCATGTTTCGTCAGCACAGTCCCAGAGAGGATGGTGCCGGTTAAAATCCCCTAGCCATATCAGGTGCATATTGGCATAGGGGAAAATGACATCACCTTTCTGTCGGCAGAAATCTCCCAGAGTGTTCAGCGTGTGTCGATGGTTGCAGTTATTGTAGATGTTGAACAGGGTGAGAATGCCAAAATCGCCTGTGAATTGAACCACTGTGACATCGTTGGAGAGGAATTCTATTTGTCGCCACGAGCAGGAGAGCAAATTGGAGCAAATTAGTAGTACCGAGCGTTTAGGCTCGTTTGAAGATGAGTGAGTCGAAGGGTATAGTACATGCCAGTCATGTGAGGCTCTGGTGTTCCCTAAGAAGTCGATGTACGGCTCTTGGAAAGCGATCACATCATACTCATCATACGCTCTCGTATTCAGAGACCTATGCTGGGTGATATCTGAGGTATTTACATTTTCCTGCCAGATGCATAATCGGGATGAGTACTCCTTAGGAGCGTCAATCATTGATCATCCCAGCACGTGGGAGGCAATTGCCTCTGTAAACCAGGTGGACCTAGGTCACTCTCGGGACATAGGGTCATGTAGGACAAAGAAGGAGATGCCTACATTTGCGGCGACTGGCCTCTTGAGGGCACCTGCAAGTGCTGAGATGGCACGTTTAAGGGCAGCCCATGGGACAGCTCCCTGTAGGGGTGCTGATCATGCTCGAGGTCATCTGGGTGGCAGATCTGAGACCGCTGATGAGTTGCAATCTGAGACTGTGTCTGCATCAGTGCAAAGTAGCCTGGAATAGTGGACTGCATATGAGGAGCAGCCAAAGCCGTTTTATCGCGAGTACTATGGACGGCAAATTTGTCAGGGTAATGGCAGTCCATAGGGACTTTAGCTGGTATCCAGAAGTGGGTACGAGGGTCTTCTGTGGGGAAGTACTTGTACTGGTTATCAGGTTGGCGTTCGTCAAGCAGCTGGCACCTTTTAAGGAATTCTGGACAATTCCGGTCCCAGCTGGCATGCGTGTTCACCCCACAGGACACACAATGGAGGGTCCGATATGCGTTGCAGTCAACAGTCTTATGACTGGTCTGACCACAAGTGCCGTATGCGCTCTGATGGTTGCAGTTACGAGCGATATGGCCATAGCCCTAGCAGTTACTGCACCGAATTGGTTCGGCCTTGAGCCATTCGGGTAGAACTCATCGCCCACGGATGGTGATACCATCCATGATCAATCGGTTTGCGATATCCATCAAAGAGACATTGAGAATGCAGTGACCTACCATTTGGGTAGGATGCCTCTTTTCTTTGGGCTTGACCCAGTGAGCGGAGGGAAGAGACAATGGGGGGAGCTTGTACCTTTCTTCAAGTTCCCTGAGATCAGCGGGGACATCTGGGCGGAAAGTGAAAGGGATGAAACGGAGGAGGAGAGGGAAGAGACAGAGTTTGACTGCTGCTCTGTTGCCAAAGGCATTCGCAAAGGGCGAGCTCACCGGGGGGGAGCGAATCCAGTCCGCGGCTTTCTTTGAATTGAATTGGAAGATGATTCCACCGTTCTGGATTCTAAAAGTGTCCTCAATAACTATGTCGCAGGAGGGACGGGGTTCGGCCATCTTGCAGAAGTGGATTGCCGTGTCGCGGATGGATTCGAGACTGCGTGCCGGGACTGTCTCGCTTCCAGGGTAGCTCAGATCAACAAGGATTTGCCTAGCTTTCAGAATAGACTGTCGGGCTACTTTGGGATCGACAAGGTTCTGCCCATGACCGCTGGCAGAGGTATTAAGGAGCGCATTGCGATACGACCGGGAGGGGTCAGGATGTGGGACGGAGGAGGTCGACAGGGTGGAGGAGATGGGGATGGAATCAACTTGTTTAGCGACCTCTTTCAGTTTCTCGAATACTTCCCGCATCCCCGTCAGGAGCATCTTGCTGTCCTCTGCTTGACTCTGGCGTGAACTTTCTATGTTGTCCTTTAGCTTCTGAAGTGAGTCTGATTCCGCTTGTGAGTGGGAAGGGAAGTCACATAGGGAGGCGATCGAGATTTCCACCGAGGAGCTGGAGGCCTTCAAAGATTCACTCATATAGGCAAGTTGATTAATGTCCAGACTCAGCTTGTCCAGAACCATTTCCGTAACTCTCCCTGCAATGCTCTCCACTTTTAAGTCCTCATCGATCTCTCCTAATAGCAATGCAACTGCCTGAACCAGTGTTTTTGCTGTAGCCAGCATTTTGGCACCCTGAGAGATATGCCATAGCGAGGCGCGTAGAGTGTCGATAGTGATTTCTTTGCCCAGGATAACCATCAAATTCTTTTCCAGTATAGTTTTTGCTTCATCCGCATCCTTTACTTCTGAAGGTGAGGCCTCCATGAGCTCGTCTATGTCCATTGAGCGCGTTGGGCGGCGCCCAGGTGAGCCAAGACCCTGAACCGTCGATGGTGACTTCATCGATTTCGATGCCCAGGTTAGGGGTGTCATGATGCGACCTTGAGCTCCTTAATGAGACTTATGCAGTGAGGTTAACTAGGTGTATTCGAAGTAGGTGGATTCTGAGAAGTTGTCGCGTTGACGAGATGCAGCGGTGCTGAGACGACAGCGATGACCACAAAATCCGGGGTCCTAGGGGTGCTGGGGTGCCTGAGATGGACGTTCTCCCTCCACAATTGGTAAAGCGCTTATTAAACGTGAGCTTGCGGCAAGTCTTATATGGGCGGCGGGCGTGGTGGTCGATTTTGCTGACAGGCGCGCCATTCGGGGGGATGATGATGCGGTCAAAGGCAGGCATCACAAGGGAAGAAGAGGAGGAGGAGGCCACGGAGCTGGGGGACAAGCTGAGGTGGGAGGAGGACAATGGTTGGAATAAGGCGGAAAAGTGGCTGCTGTTCTCATGGGAGAGGTTGGCGCTGGGGCGGATCTTGTCTTTGGGGAGCCAGCTGGTCTCGATCGTGCGCTCGACGATGATGGGCATGGTGTGCGGGGGAGCGCCTAGAACGGGGTACTCGAACTGGATGATGAGAAACTCGTGGAAGACGCTGCGCTTCCTCTTGCAGTGTTCTATGCTGGCGATGCGCGGACGGTCCTCTGAGGTGGTGGAGGTGAAGAGGATGAACCCCGCCCATCCAGTCACGTTGTAGATGAGTTCTTTCTTGGGAAAGTAGAGGACATCGTTGGGGCAGGACATGGCTCTATGTGAGGGGGAGAAACAAGGGAATGCGCTGGAGAGTAGGTCGCGCAGAGTAGCTGATAAGTGGTGCATAGTGACAGAGAGACTTGAAGGGCTATGGGCAGTGGGCACATCCGCATGCAACCGGCGAGGAGATGAGCGTCTAAGGGATTTGGTATTTGATGATCTCACATGCATGTGTATCTGCATACATCAGTGAAACAGTCAGCGACATTCCCTAAGATTGAACTTGCATGAGGCCTACTACTTATGTGTGTCGAAGATGAAAGCTTGTTGAATAGTAGTGACGCGACGTCATTTCTTTAATGAAGACGCTGTCATGTGATCAGGAAACCCTTCCCCTCGTTAGCAGCAGGTTCGACGAGCATGGCCTCCATCGATCCACCCTCTGACCGCAAACGCCCATGTAGCAAGCTCAATGCCGAGCTGCTCATAAATCACCCAGCACTTTACTTCGATGACGGAAACGTCATCTTACAGTGCGGCAAGGCCCTCTTCCGTGTCCACCGCAGCATTCTCACCTTATTCCAGGAGATGCTCGCCCCTGCGTGACACCCTGCGCGATTGTACGTTGCTCAAGGTTGTCGACGACAAGGACGCTATGGAGGCTTCTTTGAACACAATATACGATGGTTTGTGTGTAGACTCATTTGCAGCCTCGCCAATCAAAATCTCCTCATCCATTGTTCACTCGCCTGGTCCTTCTCTTCACTATCAATGCTTCTCAAATCACCACCGAGAACTTTCCGACCCTCTCCGGTATCCTCCACCTCGCGCGCCTCCAAAATGATGTCCTTGCGCGCCTCCACGCAGCCTGGCCCTCTGCCCTGGATAAACATCTCGCGTGCGCACGCACCCTCACCATGCTTCACAGCCGCACACCGAGGATCTGATTGTGCACCCTGCCGCAGTGATTGCGCCCCTCTGCTCCATCAACTACGCCGACAATGCCCTGCTCATCGCGCTTTTCTACGACCTCAGCCGCTGCACACCGCAGCTCGGCGGTGCCTGCGGGCATCATCTCGCCCCACTCTCGGTGCCTGCTGAACATGCAGGACCTGATGTCGCAGCCCGTAGAGGACTGGGAGCTCGTGAAGGGGCTGGTGCAGGGCACGCTCACGCTGCCAGGTCTCAGTCTGACGGGCCTATGTTCCACATGTCGCACGGAGGTGGTCAAATATGTGGGGCAACAGCAGGCGACATTGTGGGGATCTCCGAGCCGACACTTTGACCTCGCTGAACATTGATCGACACCACCCGTGCAAACCGGAATCTCAATTCCTGCTAATTATTTACCACTTTGTTCCCGTAATTCTGTGCTGTATTGTTGGTGTAGCGCTGCTTAATTCTCGCTTTCATGTCTGCTATCACGGAATGCTTTCATGTCCTATCCCACAGAATACAACATGCTGTACAATATATAATAAAACCATTGTCGTTCAAGATTCAGACCACAGTAAGACATTGATTTTCGGACATCAGTCCCGACGATCATGAGCTTATTATCTGAGAGAAGGTGTCAAGGATTGAGCCCGGTGAGGTTATCACCCTCCCGTACTGCTCCGCCGCTAGAGAGCCAGGCTTGTACTTGACTACGATTGGTGTGCCCAAGGGGCTCTGCAGAGAGGGACAAAGCATCATGAGAACAGGATGACAGAATTCTGAGCTCGGACGTGCCACAATCGTAGCAAGGCTCCACACCCATCTTCGATGTCCCTGTAATTTCTCCGCCACGAGGCAATTGCGCTAAACATCATGTCGTAAGACAAGATTGAAGACAAAACACTGAGAGCAATGAGTCTACTCACCAGGCGTTTGTAGTGATCGTACACCTCCGCCAGCTGCGGTGGTGGAATTGGATCATGCCAATAAGGATCAGTCTCTCCGAACCAAGGACGAACGAGGACCCTCGCGTTTTCTTTGCGCTTACCGAGTGGTGGCATCTTAATAATATACCAAGGGATGGTGACACCGACCTTGAATAATGGTGATTCAACTCAGCAAAAAGATGGTCGAACAAGCACACCGTCCAGACGCACCAGGCACTTGTTGACCCCTATCTCCGCTACATTGCTTCTATCCCAGGGGCCGTAGACGGCCTTGTTGTTCGAGTCTCTAGTGAGACAGCGGAAGTTCTCCATATGGTCGACCCGATGCAGTGTATCCTCAGTCAGTGAGTCGAGTGACAGACAATATTACATGGTATTATTTACAAAAGGTGTCCCAACAATTCTAAGAAGCAATCTGTTCGCAATATCTTCTTTCAAAGGGATGATGGTGTTGAGAGAAGCTTGGAATCGCAATCAGTCTGCACCGGTCGAAAAGATGCCCGATAGTCGAAGCACCTCACAGTATGTTAACTTGTGCAGCGCCTCCAAACCGCCGAAGTCCAACGGATATCCTGGAGGCGGAAATGGAGCAAACTCTTTGACTGATTGGTCCGGAATGTCGCCTTGGTGGCAGTGATACCTTTGCGGCACGTATGGGACAAAGTCGACATATGGGACAGGATCCATTATTCAGAGGGGAGGAGATGATAAGATGAAGATGTGCTATTGGGAGGGCATACCACTATGATGCATGTTTTTTATGATGCTGCTGGCCACGGAGGCCATGGTGACAGAGAGAAACTGCACGCACGCGCATCCTAGCAGTGATCGGTGTTGGACATTTGCCTCAGAGAAATTGGAAACTGTCAGTGTAAGGGATGGACAAAGGAGTCAATTCACAGATTGCACCGCTTGAGCTGTGGCGCCGTTCGGGTGGCCAGGTGCATCATCTAGATCACATGTGGCGGGTGCATCAGAGGAGCGGTGAAGTCATCGGTGGCATACATGTGAAGTTGAGGCCAGGTTGCCTACATGGAGCGCAAAAGTTATTTTGCAAGGACGGATTGAGGGAAAGAACAGCTACAAATATTTCTAGCAAAGTCCCAACTCTTCCAAGGTAATGTTGAGTCCCTGAGTGTCCAAACCTATGAGATGGAGAAAATCTGTATTTTGATAAACAATCAAGGTGCCTACAGAAGGACCGGTCAACAGCTCTGAAAGCAAGATTTTGAGCGAGATTTTGAGCAAGAAGTTCCTCCAAAGGCTTCATCCCGAGAACTACAATCAAGGTGCCTACAGAGGGACCGGTCAACAGCTCTGAAAGCAAGATTTTGAGCGAGATTTTGAGCAAGAAGTTCCTCCAAAGGCTTCATCCCAAGAACTGCCACCAAGGTGACTGAACACTATGAGACCCATACAGAGCATTGCACACCTTCGCTCCAGTCGCTCTCGGCGCTGACCAGTCATATTGTGAGGTTATATGCGAGGTCTGGTCCTCGTGATGTACCTAACCCCAGAGGGGCTGCATAGCCTGACCTTCGTGACCTTCGCATTGCAGATCTCTGATCAACAAAGAAGGAACACAATATGCACTTCGTACTGCCAGAAGAGATCCCAGGTACGACTTCCACCGACTGAGTATATTGAAAACCTAGCATCGGAGTTGAGCTGAGATTAGCGCAGAATAATCTGTTGTCGAGGAGCCATCTGGTCAAAACCTCATGCGTGCGTCTTAGAGCTGGTTGCCCTAGCCATGTTGCAAAGTCAAGATGGATGGACGCGAGGTAGATGTTAGTGAGCAAAGCTTCTTCCATAGTCATTAGCGAGCGAAGTTATTCTGGGAAATGAAAGAGAGGGATTGACAGCCAAAGAGGAGCTCTAGACGTACACCGTTATATGGGCACGATAGAGCCAGCTTGAGGCAAGCACTGAAGGACGAAAGGAGGGAGTAACAGCATAGTGATTCCGCCAGGTCCACAATTGCAACACCTAGACCAGCTTGAAGAAGAGACGAGAAACTGAAGGGAGGCTCGCTGCCTGCCAAAGGCCCAGAACTGTTGCGAGTTTCCAAAGTCATTGAGTTATGAGCCCTTCTCTCATTAGAACCTGCAAGGCATCTTGCTTGATGTCAAAACCTAAAGATTCGTGTGCAAACCTATTAGTATTGTTAGCTGGCCACGCACCGTGTCCTCTGATGTGATGTTCTGGATTCCAAACATCGCAAACAGTCAAGATAGTCGATGATGATAAAAGCGGAATCTCTGGAGATGTCGTCGTACACAGACGTGCATTCGACACACAGCAGATAGAAGGTAACTGTTTACGTGAATTCAGGTCCTATTTGCCCAACCTGGCTTATTTCCCTTTCGAGACAGTCACCGGACATTGCCTCGAATATCCCCTGGGGATATCCGTGGTATATTAGGAATATACCACAAATATACCACAAATATCCCCAGACCCCCCCTCAGTACATTCGTGGTATATCCGAGGCATAGTCACAAAATCCCTCGAATATCCCCAGGGGATATTCGGGGCTGGGCATATTCACGGTATATTTCAGGTTTATTCATGGTATATTTCAGGTATATTCAAGCTCATTATCATGAACCAATTGCTTGAAAATGTGCTCCATAAATAGAGAATAAATATATTAACAAATCATAATACTAATACATGCTATTGAAGGCTACACGACAATTCTAAGGCTTGAAAGATCTACAAAATATACTTGAAAAGGCGAGAGGTGCGAATCCCGGCTAGATGTTCCCCTGCATACGCAAGCAGCCACGGCGCACATCAGGGATGGGACGACCAGCACCTTGACGCAAGAATCTATTGCGGTGGCGGGAGCGGTGCGTCCGCGCGTGGCCTCGAATTCGAGGAGTACATTTTGGGGGGTGCGTCGGGCTGCGGCACCACGCCGTCGAACACGAGCACATCTGGTAGCACGCCACGCGCACAAACGCAGCCGCTGGCGAGTGCATCGGTGCCGGCAGCGTAGAGGCACATCCTGCGGACAAGCGGGGTGAGCATGCGTGTCAAGGCTGAGAAGATCAGTGTGGGAAGAGACAAGGTCACCGGGAAGGGTTGCAGCTTGATAAGGTTGGCGAGTGCAGGGAGCAAGGGGAATGGAAAGAATGCGGTGTAGTGCGGGGGTCAGTACTGCCGTGCGGGGGGTTAGCACTGTGACACGGAGAGCCCAGATGAACACTGGCCTCACTGATGTTGCTGCTGCTGCTGCTGCCCCAACGACATTGGCACTTGCGTGCGCACCGCAGACTCTGAGGCTAATCCGAGCCACCATGCGCATGAGAAACACAGATGCTAGCACCCACGCCAACGCCACCAAGCTCAGCCTGTGCTTACCCTTGATCTCATCCATCCAACGTTCACGCTCACACACGCAATACCCACCGTTCTGACAATTCTTGCCGCACACACGTCGTAGGCTGTGCTTGCAATCTCCTTCAGTCCCACCCCGGCCCGCCCTAAATGGACGCATATATGTGCTCTGATCCCGCATTTTCAGGCATTAGATCTGATTATATGAGAAAACCGGAACTATAGAGCATATGGAAACATGTTTCAGTGGGAGAAAGACTCACCAAGGTATGTGCACACTGGAGGCTCCTAGAGGGTAAGACGAAGAGAGCACTTAAGAGAAATCTCGACGCTGTCCGACGACGCGCACTCATCAGGTGACTATCGAAATGGATGAGTCATCTCCCAGCTGGGATTGACTGGGGGATATTTGAGGGATATTCCCTGATCAGTATATTCCGGGTATATTCCAGGTATATTGCTAATATACCCCGAATATCCCCTGGGGATATTTGGGGGCAATGTGCGGTGAGTACATTCAAGTTGCCTGAACCTCGTTGCGACCTCACATCGAGTGATCTATCGGTCAACATTGAACTTCCTTCCAACCAGCTCGAGCTGAACATTGACCAGCACACCCAACCTCATTATTATCGAGATCGCTCCATGGATAGCACATTGCGACTTCCTACCGAGATCATCGCTAAGATCTTCGTCCACTGCCTCCCCCGTCTATCCGACGCCACGGATGAATTGGCTTCATTCAAGTTACGCAATGCGCCTACCCTCTTGACAACGGTCTGCAAGAGATGGCGGGATATTGCTCTGGACACCCCTCAATTATGGTCCAATATCTATATTGGGGCACCCCAAGAAGCATTCACGTCGTCTGCCAAACAGACACTTGGATCTTGGCTTGCTCATTCTACTTATTTTCCTCTCAACATCACCATCTATGCCATGGGTATTGGAGACTACATAGAGGCCTGCTTTGACATGCTGGTCGCTCACGCTCACCGTTGGGCGTGTGTCATCGTTCTGGATGCCACAGTCGCATTGAACTTATTATCCCGTCACCCAGACAGACAGCAGTCCATCCTATCCAGATTTATCTTCGAAAGATGCATTAAAGATATAGACTCGAGCGAAATCGATTCTCTTTCGGACCTCTTATGCCATGCCCCTCGACTTCGGGAAGTATCCATGCACTTCACATCGACACAATGGACATTACCTTGGACCAATTTGACGCACCTTTCGCTGCGTCCATATCATCCCGCCAGCATTCCTGACACGGTCGATATGTTATCGCAGTGCAGTAACCTCACCTCTCTGCATCTCAATTTTGCAGATTCACGCATTGATCTCATCTGGGACACCGAGGACGCTATGTTCCCTCCACTAGTCATGCATCATTTGCAGTTTTTGATGATTAAAACGCATGTACGGGAGGTTTGCCAACTGCTCCTGGATGCTTTTGAATTTCGGGAGCTACAGCACCTGCTCATCCATATTCTGATGGATTTCAGGAGGTCAGAGATATTCGTTCCGCCTCCATGGCCGGCACTCCGCCGTGTGCTTTCACACAGCACCCATTCGATGGAGATATTCGACCTCCATCTCTTCGACTGGAAATGTGATGACGACCTGGCTGACATTCTCGCCACCCTGCCAAACCTCACTTCGATCTCAACCTGCCTAGTCTCCGACGTCCTGATGGACCGCCTCACGTTGAAGTTTTCCCCTGACGGACGCTTGACATCCGGCCAAAATCTGAGGTTGCGAGAGCTGGAGATCGGACAGAAGTACAATGATGACATCTGGAAGGACGACGGTGTGAATCCGGAGGCATCGCACACGAATTTCCTGGATATGGCTGAATCGCGCGTCTCGCTGCCCGCGAATGCAGTCGACACCGATGGCGGTGCGATTACTCGGCTCAGGACGCTCCGATTCGGCGGGAAGAAGATGGAGGCCATGGAGAGCGACGCACCCGCCGAATGCGCACGGATGAGAGCGCTGGAGGACCAAGGATTGTCGTTTGTCGTTATGCCGCATGACTGTCTTTTGTCCCTGCATTAGCTGACTTTTCACTGGAATTTTTTGGGATTTGCAGCTATATCTTGAAAGTCGATGGCCTCGGACACGACATCATTTTGTGTAGCGAAATTCCTGTTCGGTAGTTTTTTTGATGATACTCAACTCTCACGCACCGTCTGTACTACTTCCGCACATTATTCGCTACATGTACGCTCATGCTCAGCCGGCATATCACACTTCCAATTTGACTTTGGGCGACAGGCGCCGCGAAAGGCAGTTTGCTGTTGGAGGTTGAGCGTGGACATTCATCCTCGTCGACGTTGCCTCGTCCGGCGGAGACGACGAGTCACGATTTATTTACGGGATATGCGATCAGCGCGCACGACGACGCTATCACGGTGCTATCGCTGTCCTCCTTGTGCGGCGTGCGGCGGGGTGCGCTTCTCCTTCGTGCTGTGGGCTAGGCGCCTTGTCATATCCCCCAAGTCATGCGAGCTGAACGGGCTCGGGTTTCTTTGTCCTGCGCCATGGTTCTCGAGAGGCACTGTGGGCGTGGATGTGCGTGCGGTCGGGCTATTCATGCATACTGCTCGTGTGTTCGTGCCACGCTTGTGGCGTGTGGCGCGTAGCATTGTAGGTGCATTATTCGTCGTTGCGGGCATCGATCACGGTATTCGTTCGATTCACCTCTTTTTAACTGGCCGGAACCGGCCTTTGGGAATGGTCGCGGACGGGGCTCGCTCACCCTTCCCATCGACAGATGTTGAATCGTTTCCTTCTATTTCTCTGGGCGCCCACCTTGTAGATGGCGGGAATCGCCCCTGCGGAATATATAGACGCGATGATCCCGAAGTGTGGTGAGTGACATGAATGCTTGTGCGATCACAGATCTGCTTATGATTCTGACGATTGAGCCGAGGGACGGAGTCTCTACGAGTCCCTCTCTTTCGGATTAGTTGAGCGCGCTGCTGATAAATGACATCACAAGGAACCAAGGAGCGGTTATACGCCTCACTGTCAGCGAGCCGCATGGCGCGCTCTGGCCGTGGAGCGCCCGTATAGAGCTGCGCAGTTGGGACTCCCGAGTGCAGACAAGCACATCATCCGCACCCTGTTCGGTGTCCGTGAGTGAATACTCTCCATACGCAAATAGGCAAAGTGCGAAGGGGAATTAGTTGACGTCGGGTCATGCGGGCGGCCACATCGTAGAAACACGCGATATTGAGCTCGAGACTCCCGCAGGCAGCTGCCCGATCGAGCGTAACGGCATCCTGTGTAAGCTGTCTTCAGCAAAATTGACGGTGATGTTCTATGCGGCATTTCGTGGCGCCTAATGGTGAGTACGCCTTGATGATCTCGTGGCGTCATCGCCATCGAGCACTGCCTAGGCAGCCTTTAAAGCCTCGCACCCATCTTCACACCGCCTCTCGAGTGCACTCCCACCCTCCTCCTCATCTCCTTACCAGACAGATATGGATCGCTTCCTGCGCGTTCTGTCCCCCGACCGCTCCAAGGCAACTTCGACACGGGACCCTCCACGCCCGTACGCCCGCCGCCTGTTCCAAGCCCAAAGCGACCCCTTCGCCGCCGCGGTCGCCCCGCCGCTCGACGAGCCCGCGGCCACGCGCAAGTCACGCCAGCGCGCGGAGGCGGAGGCGCGCAGGGTAAGCAGCGCCATCGACGAGCAGCTCCGGAAGGAGCACGTCGAGGCGGCGGTGCGCAGGGCGCGCGGGCGCGTCCCGATCACGGCGCGCCTGCACGCCGTGCACGCAAATGTGTTTCGCCCGCAAGCCGAGCCCGACTCGGAGATGCCTGCGTCGGACGCGGACGCGCTGGACCCGGTGCGCAGGCCGAGGGTGCATTTCGAGGAGATCACGAAGTTTTTGGAGCTCGATCTCGCTACAGGTACGTGCGTGCGCCGGTGTTGGTGTTGGTGTTGGTGTCGGTGTCGGTGACGGTGCTGGCCGTTGATGACATGCCTGATTATCAGAGCCGGCTAATTATCGTACGCGCTCGAGGCACAAACTCAGTATACTGATCAGCGTCAAGTTCGAAGAACTCTCGACGGACGTGTATGACGAGCTCCTGCGACGAAGGAGTAACTTTGAGGGAAATGGACGTGCGTATTGTGTCGGTCTCTCGCCTGCTCTGTTGAAAGTGCGATACCATTACAGCCTTTGTTCCTCATCTGCCCTACCAGGACGATTTCCACCCCAAGCGTCTTAGCCATCGTCAGTCGCTTTCGAGCCTAGGAGAGTCTGCATTCGCACATCTAGCAGGCGACATCTGTTATGAACTCTTGAGACGGTTTCCGGAGATCGAACCTCAGGTGCATCCGCAAATATATCTCTTCTTGGGGTTCTTCGACTGAACATCAGTAAGTTGGGAAGTCCCCTGAAACGCCCTGAAATGCCCTGAAATAGGGCATTTCAGGGTTTCAGGCGAGTTTCAGACACCCAGTCTACAGGTATCCTAATTTGGGGTTTGCAGGTCATTCAGGTACTTCAATTTCAGCCGTCTCAGCGCAACCAGTCACTTTCAGCATCACTAGTCATTTTCAGCGCGGCAAGTCACGTCAGACTGCCAGTAGCTTAGATGTTCAGCTGTTTCGTCACATTCAGAGGTTGTCAGAATATCAGAGTATCTTTCTGTCAGACTGTTTGATCACATCAGACCATCAAAGTATCAGACCCTCAGATTACAAGTCATCGGAAAGCACATCAGAGCAGACAGACCATACAGGGGGCAGAGTTGTCAGGTTAGCTTTCAAATGGATGCGAAGCGCGAGAAATAAGCACGAGAAATGCACGTATTATAAGCTGAAGAATTGAGATACAGCAGAGGGAAAACCACCGGCGTCTCGCTGCACCTCCTTTGCTCCAGCAAACAATCAAGAACCTAGCTATTGAGATATCAATGAATGCAATGATGTATATGCAGGAGAATCACTCACCGAATCTCGAAAGAGGTGGGTAGAACATCAAGCGTCATCGTAATCATCCTCGTCAGTCTCACCACACTGAGTGCGATCGAGACAATCCTCATTGTCCTCATAATCATTATTCATACCATCATCTTCGGCATACCGATCGTCGCTGTCATTAAGTCTGTCGTCATCCAATAGATCGTGCTCATCGTTACTTGGAGGGGGGCTGCTACGGTCAACGATCGCGTTTTCGTCGTCGTCAAAGCCCCGATCCTCAATGTCATCGCCGTTTGCCAAATAACGGCTGATTCGTTCAGCCAGCTCGTCCTGTCGGTGTGGTTTCTTGAGGAAGGTCCGAATCGTGAGTCCCTGCCGCAAGTCCTGTGTCTTTGTTCCACAGTGTTCCTCTGAGAAGCTCGTGTTTAAAGGCTTGAAGGAACCAGTGGAATACGCTAAAAACGCGCGTTTAACCTGAAAAGCTATGAATATAAACCAATTGACAAGAACAGCACACTCACGGCCAGTACAGCAAGGCAGAGCGACCCGACAGGGTAATACTTCTGTGTGAAAATAGACCCCTGCGTCGATTTGACGTGCATTGCTAGAACCTTCACAATATAGATTGATTGCATTGCACCCTCGGGGCGCTGTGCAGAGCATGAGCAGGACTCAAATAGAGAAAAATTACACGCACCTCGGGATCTGGCGTAGCCCAGTACGCAGCCCCGTATTTGGGCTGTAAAGCCTTCTGGACAAAAGCCTTCACAGTGTTCTTATTGCCCAAAGAAGCGACAGTAGACTTCACTGCCTGGATGGCCTTCGTTTGAAACCTGCGATGCCAATCATAGACGGCCTGGCGTGCCTAACATCAGCAAACTGGGAAGCGTCTGTACAGAGCTGGACAGATGCTCCAGAGCCCTAGATGCCCCTAGCAAGTCCCCGATTAGACAGACACTATGACTTCTGGTCAGTGTCTGGACATATCTGTCCAGATGCACCATATATGGAAGTGATTAGATAATTGATGTCAATAGATGACCGCAAAAATTAATCTGTACTAAGCAAGGATTGAACCCAGAACCTCTTGAACTATTCACTGGCTAAGAGCAATGTGAGTACCAGAATTATCCACTCCACCATATGGCCATGATATCTTTTGTAAACAATTAGCTTATATCGCACTTTTTGGGACTTCACAGAATTTGAGATGCCTAAACCCTGTGAGGTGTCATCTATTTTCGCATGTTTAGCATCTATCCATGGAAGAATGATGGCATATGATACATCATTCGAATGCTATGATACAGGGAAGTATCCCAATACCACTCATGAGCTGAAATCTAACAGATAGCATCAATGTCAATTAAAATCTTTGAAGTCCAACAAATGTATTTCTTGATTTTCCAGTACTGTGGGAATCTTACATACTCTGCCTTCCGGAAATGTGCTCCTAGTCAACTTATTGATAGAGCACCTTATCTGCCTAGATCTGGCCATACACAGATATCTAGCCAGATATCCCCAGATGACCTAAGCATCTAGGAGCATCTGGGGCTCTGGGACTGGCTGGGACCGGTTACAGGTTTGCTGATGAACGGTAGTTCTGGAGATTATTGTGCATCAAAAGGGAGAGAAAGTGGTGACTTACAATGAGATAAACTTTATCACGGACCGGCATCGGTGTGTACTTGATACCAGGACAAACTAAGTTGATGGTTTGCTGAAGGGCTGTACGGAAAAGCGTCACGCCATCGTCGCCGTCAAGATTCCAGGGGTCGTCTTGAATGCCGTAGAAGTCAAGAAGAGTCGGAATGATTTTGGAGTCCCAGTGTTTCTTCGCCCACTCAGGAAGCTGTGATTTCGAGAGTGACTTTGCTGGACCGACTTGAGATCGTGGCCGACGCAAGGCATTCATGTCTACGGGTGTTTCGTCCTCATTCAGTGCGACAACGACCGTGTTCTATTTCAGAGAAGGTGCAGAAGAAGGGGGATTACATTATACAATTCGAATCAAAGTGTTGGTGGAACGTACCAGCTTACGAGTAGACGCTTTTGCCTTCACGGCATCCTCCTTAGGTGTAGCAACATTGACATCCGTAAATCCCCCTTCTATGTCTGAATCCGGACTCCCCTCCTCAGAGTCGATATTTCTCTCTTCTGAACGAGAGATTCGAGGCTTGATGCGGCGAATTGTAGCCTGGGGAACGGACGGAGTTCGGCGAGCTTGTTGGATGAGGGTAGAGGGAAGCAGCATGCAGGAGGGTGTCTTCGAATGAAGTGAAGGGGACGTAGCGGTATGACCCTTCAGCTTAGAAGACACCTTCTCGCGCCAGTCTGCCTCGAGAGCAGAATGTTGTGCTCCCTTACTCTTCTTTCTTGCTGGTGCGGACAAATTGGACAATTCCGCAGTCCTAGTAGACGATAGATGAGTTGAAACTTGGAGAGATCACAGATAGATACTTACAATAAGGTTCGTTTCGGGGCTCGCGCTACTTCTCGTACAGCAGATACTGATAGGCGGACCTCTGTTGCCCTTGCCTTGCGCTTTTCTGCTTGAGTACGGTGCTGATGAGCGGGAAGAAGATAAGCTGTGATCAGATAAGATCATCAGGCACTTACCTTTTTTGAACTGGCAGGTGACTTGGTCGAGCCATCCATCACATCCATATCGTCGCTGACGATGCCGCCGTCCTCTTCATCTTCGTGAATGTGCCTCTGGTACGAGATCTTTCTGTCATGAATACTATCATCAACATCCATAGCTGTCAAGTTATTAGCTTCAACCAATCCATCTGTCGCCGGTATGTCTTCGTTCCTGTCTCTCTCGTCTACTGAAGCATTGAGATAAGCTTCTTCAGCGCGATCCTCTCGACGTCTCTGATCCTCAAGCTGAGCCAACTTCTTTATCCCTTCAGCCTCAGACTTCTTTGCTGCCTCTGTAGACTGGGACTTAGCTTGTACAACGCTGGCCTTTGCAGAGCGCTTGGCCTGTGCGCTCTTTGCAACCTCAGCTCGGGTACGTTTGAACAACCCAGCACTATTTGCGGGGTGTGGGTTGATTGACCGTTGACTACGGCGCATTGGTTTGTCCACATGATGCCCCTCCTTTGCTTGGAAGTCGCCTGATTGCCGATCTGCAGGGACCTGCCATCTGCTCAGTGTCTCCTTGTTCGCTTGGGGGTTGCCTGATTGCCGATTTTCAGAGACCTGCCGTCTGTTCAGTGCCGGTGAGTACAGCATTAGACTCTAGGGCATATGAGTCATAGGCCTCACGTTGACACCGACTCCTTTCTAACGACAGGCGAAGCGCTCAGTTCTTTCTTCTTCGATGAGGAAGAACTTGAGTTCGGATGTCAGCCAACAGTATTTGTTCAAGGTGATGTATATTCAACGTACTGCGCAGTCAAGCTGATTGCATTATCCTCGTCGATTATGGTATGCGAAGCTCTCTCTTGGGATTGATTAGTCGAAGCTGACGTCCATGTTTGTTTTGCTGTAGCCGAAACCATGAGGAAAATCGCAGTGCTGCCTGGAGAAGAGGATGAGATGACTTGGAAGAGATGAGTTGCTCAGTGCAACGTGGACGCGCATATACGCTAATTGGCGACGGAATTAATGTTTACCTCCACGCTAGCGACTGTTTGCTGAACCCCAACCCTAGTCTATCGTTGCACCTTTCACGGTCAAATCCATCATCCCTATCCCCCCCTCCCTCTCCTCTTCAAAGTAAACCTTGTATCATCTTCATCAATATGAACTTTTTTTGTGACCCCTGCAACCGTTCCTTCCGTAAACACGCTGGTCTCAAAAAGCATCTCGTTGCACACCACTGGCATTTCAAGGGCCCGGAAGTCCCTCGCTCGACATTCCACTATCACAGCAAGCTTGATGGTACATCTTTTATTAATAAATGAAGCTCATTCTGATATCCTTTCTGCCTGTCAGCAAGGCCCTGCAACAGTGGTGGCAATTTTGTGCCACGTAATGCATCCCCTGAACCGCCAGATCATGAATCTGTTGACTGGACACCCTTCCCTGACCGACCAACATTTGAATGCGCAAGCCTCCTATTTGAGAAGATGCGTGCGTCTATCGGCAGCATCAACGAACTCTTCAACATTCTCGCGGCTAAGAATGTGCTGGATAATGCCGGTGAGAATATATTTGCGAGTGCACGGGATATGTATAATACTATCGACAGCATCCCATTCGGCGACTTACCGTGGCACTCGTTCGGAATCAAATATGCAGGCCCAGTCGACAAACACTCTCCTTCATGGAAGACAGAAACATATGTAATTCACACTCGAAACGCAAGCGATGTTGTCGCTCGTATTGTGAATAACCCAACATTCGATGGAAAATTCGACTATACCGCATTTGAGGAGTTTGTTGGTCCTCATGAGCAGAGGTTTTCGAACCTAATGTCCGGTCGATGGGCCTGGAAGAAATCAGTCAGTAGATTCCTTTCTCTTGAGTACATTTCCTGATATTCTTTGCTAGGATGTGATTGCAGAAGATCCGGGAACCCACGGCGCGATGCTGGTGCCCATTGTACTCGGTGCAGACAAAACGACAGTATCCGTCGGCACAGGCAACACAGAATTTCACCCGCTCTATATCTCAGTTGGGAATCTAGACAACTCTGCGCGGCGTGCTCACGGATGTGGCTTGATTCCTTTATCATTTTTGTCAATCCCTAAGAGTATGTATCTCCTTTCGCTATCTCACTTTTGCTGACATACAAAAGCTTGTCGACAATTCACAGAAGATAATGAATACCGCCTTTTTCGCAAGCAGCTCTACCATGCATCGATTGCACACATACTCAGCCCATTGCGGGATGGAATGACAAGCCCAGTTGTCTTGCGCTGCCCAGATGGGCACTTTCGGCGCGCAATCTATGAAATCGGGCCGTTCATTGCCGACTATCCCGAGCAAGTCGTGTTGGCTGGAATTGTGCAAGGATGGTGTCCGGGGTGAGTTTATAATCTCCATGTGCTCTTATCTCGAACTAAGCATTTCACAATCAGATGTCTTGCGCAACCGCATAGGGGCGCTTTTGATGATGCCGGAGACCCGCGCTTTCACGCACATACCCATCAGCTCCGAGAGACTTTTGATTCTGAAACCCTATGGTACACTTATGGCGTCGTTGAGAATGTCATCGTGAGTATTAAGAATCTATTATTTCATTTGTCACTTAACATTCCTGCACTAGCCATTCACAGATTTTTTCCCTCGTGCCGATATCTATGAACTGATCACTCCGGATTTACTTCATCAACTCATCAAAGGAACTTTCAAAGATCATCTCGTGACGTGGATCCAGGACTACCTCGAGTTGACACATGGATCGACAGAGGCAAAGAAGATCCTTGACGATATTGATCGCAGGTATGTTTTTATATATGGATTCAACACTAGCCCAGACTGATAATTGCTGCGTAGGATTGCCGTAGTCCCTGCCTTCCCTGGCCTTCGACGATTCCCTGAAGGACGCAATTTCAAACAATGGACTGGCAACGATTCAAAGGCGCTCATGAAGGTACGCTTTGATAAGATGGCTGACTTAGAAATTTGATAACATAAGTTACAGGTCTTTCTTCCTGCAATTGTCGGATATGTGCCTGATGCCATGGTTCAATCAGTCGCGGCATTTCTTGACTTCTGTTACCGTGCACGGCATTCCACGCACACGACAACCACCCTCAATGCTATGGACCATGCACTTACCCGGTTTCATCACTACCGTGTCATATTTCAGGAGTCTGGCATCCGGCCGGATGGGTTTTTCCCCCCGCGTCAGCATTCACTCGTACATTATGTTACAAGGATCAAACAGTATGGCTCCCCTAATGGACTTTCATCCTCAATCACCGAGTCAAAACATATTGAAGCCGTCAAGAAACCGTGGCGCCGGACAAATAAGCATATGCCCCTCGGCCAGATCCTCCGTATCAACACCCGAAATAGTCAGCTAGCAGCGGCACGAACGGAATTCACACGCCGTGGGATGCTTGATGGAGATGTACTTTCAGATGCTTATCGAGAAGCTGGTTTGCGCGCCGAAGAAGATATTGAAGATGCCGAAGATGCAAGATACAGTGATTTACGAGATGCAGAGGATGTCGATGGGCCACATACCCAGTCGATGGTCAAACTTGCTTTGAAATCAGGTCAGCTCTTGCTCCTCATGCCGAAAATCATTTCTAAGTCGAGATCCTCTTGAGCAGCACACACCAAGATGATCTATGACCTCGCGCAGGAACTTGGCCGCACAGGCCCCGAATTGAAAACATTAATGCAACACTTCTTATTCGAGCAACTCTACGGACATGGCGAGCATGACATCACCGCAGACGATATCTCTGCAGATGACTTGCCTCGCTTTAAGGGACGATTGTCGATATACCATTCTGCCACCATCACTTTCTATTGCCCCACGGAGCTCGCAGGCATTGGGGGTATGCGCCGTGAGACAGTTCGGAGCACACCACGATGGTATGGGAAAGACGAGCGCCGCGACACCGTTCTTGTCCAGGTCGGCCCTGAAGATGATCTCATGCGGGGTATGCTTGTTGCGCGTGTGCTCCGCTTCGTTTCATTCATTCATCAGGGTGTGCGATATCCATGTGCTATAGTGAATTGGTTTGTACCGAAGGACAACGAACCGGATCGACTGACTGGGATGTGGATTGTGAAGCCAGAGAAGTTGAATGGACAAAGAAGTATCGGCATTGTCCATGTTGACACTATCTTCCGTGCTTGCCAGCTGATCGGGGTGTATGGCACGACACCCATTCCTCTCGACTTTCATTTTTCTTACTCGTTAGACACATTCAAAGAATTCTATGTAAACTCCTATGTAGATTACCATGCACATGAGTCTAGTATAATGTAGGCTCTCATACTTCAGATCTGAACCTCTGCACTGTCGGAAGTCCTGAAGTTCGATCGGTCTGAAACTTTGAGGTGTCGGAACCTCTGAATGCCGCACTGGCTGGTAGCCCTGGCATATATGAGACCTCTGATGATTCAGAAACGATCTTCACATTGTCCTGAAGACCATGAAAACTCTGAAGCCCTATCGGCACTTATCTGATGATCTGAAGAGCTCTGAAGGCCTGCGGCAAGTCTCACCAGGTCGTTCAGGCTCTCAGCAGACACGACAAAGTGCTGATGAAGGTACTTCCAGACCGCCGGATATCTATTTGACAAGCCAGTCTCTGGTGATGACAACTGGGAGAGCCCACGATCCCTTCGCGCATCCAGAAGGAGCATCTACTCATCGCTTCCGTCTCTGTCCTTTGCGTCAGCAACTAAGTCATCGTTGAGTCTGGCATCCTCGTTGCTAATGTCACGCGGCCCCTCTGTACTCGACTCGAGTGCAAAAAAAGATCTCCCCAAAGAGATCGTCCCATCACATATCCGAGACATAATCAAGGGATACACGGTTGACCCAGATCTCGACTTCTTCGACGACGGAGACGGGCTGCCTTTCGTTTCGGATGTTTCGCCTGTCCTAGACGTTCCCTCAGAGCCCCCGCAGAATTCCGACGCCGAGTTGATCGTCATCGGAGACTTCTCTGCAGACGATGGAGCCGGCGCGCGATCAGAGAGTCAACCCTCGCTGCTCCCACAGAGTTATATCATCAATACGGTGTCCAATACGACGTCCACGGTGTCATCTCTGGGCAGCTCGATGTTCGACACGTTCACGTATTACAAAGAGCTGCGCGAGGCCCGCGCCGATTCGGATTATGAAGCGATATTGAAGCGGCTCTGGAGCGAGTGGCTCGCTGCGGGGGCATCGGTGGGCATTTTCACTTTACTCTCATAATTAGGTGACTCATCCGTTCTGTGCGTACAACAGCTGACTACTATTGCTGGGTTTGTAGTTGTCGTTCTATGGGACCTCTTGGTGCTGACTGCGCCTCCTCCGCTATGATTGGATGCTTAGTTTCAGCTTCAGCGTGTTTGGGTACACGCCTGATACTGTGTTTGGCATCGAGGGGTTTGCGAAGGGTGCGGTTGCGTTGTCCAGCGTCACGGCTGGGATCGGCATATGCGTCGACGCCTGGTTCCTCGCGACCTACAGCAGCGCTAACGCGCAGAAGTTCAAGGTACGCTCCGCGTCCCCGAATGTGACTCGTTCCAGAGACCATTCTCGCATGCCCACGGTTATCCGCACAGGCGCTCGCCACGGACGTCTACTCCTCGTTCTTTTTCTTCTCCATCGCATCGCGCCTGCCCATCCTAATGCTGCTCTGCACCTCGGTCGCGGTGATGCTCCTGCTGTTCGCTATCGCGTGGTCGAACTGGGGCGACATCGTCGTCGTCGCATCTGTCTTCGCGTTCACGGTGTACTATCTGCAGTATATCGTCCTCGCGGTGCACTGTGCGCTGCGCGCGGCGAGGTGGGCGGCTTGGGCTGCGCTGTGGGTGTGCAGGACCGTCGTGCACGCAGAGGCTGGCTCTGTTCCATTGCAGCTGTATGCTTGGCTCGTCGGCGCGCATATGTGGTGAGCTGCAGCCCGCGACACTCTTCGAGTGTACCCCTACCTGTTGATTTTTCCAGTTTTTTCTCCTCAGCCATAGGACTGTCCCACAAGCGGCATCTGTTGTACATTGCATCTGAATCAAATTAACTTACGAGCGCGTTGGGTGCCTCCTCCTGCCGGCCATTGATTCCTGTGCTCAAGGATTGCAAGGACCCATGGCAATAGTCTTGGACGTCCTAGGACGTCTGCGGTCTCGCACGAGCTCAATTGATGTAAATGCCCTGCCAGAGGTCCTGTTGCAGAGTCTACAGGTCCCGCAGACCGTATGCTGCGCTCGCGTCGCGATTCGGATTGTATGTATGCTACGCCAGGCCTGCTGATGGTAGTATGAAGTGGCGCTCAGAGTAGCTCGCGGTTGAGTGTATACGACAATCTAAATTATTTTGGCACACGGGTGTATATGCGTGATCCGGCTGTGCACGGCGCAGCAATGCTTGACACGTCGAGAGTAGACATGTGAATCGATCAGAGCAAAGATTTCCAGGTCAGAGAAGTTGGCGACCCATTCAACCAGATTGACAAATCTCCAGGCATGGTGGGTCCGCGGCTGTCCTCGGGCCGCTGAGTCTACGGAACTTCCCGAGCGTGTTTCGGGTCGAAGTGACATCGTTCTCTTCCGTGTGACCTCTCCTCCAATTTTATTTCTCAGCGACGATCGCGAAACACCACACTTTACTGGCGGGGGTTGAGTTCAGATGCCAACTCTGGCGTGGTGTACCGCAGTGCCAAATTTGGGTGGCAAATGAACAAGTTGATTGAGTAGTCATGGAACTCGGACTCGTCGGACGTGCAGACGCCACCAACACATGTACTCGTATGTATCTATTATTACGGTTTGACTTCCCGAAACGTCTGACCACCTCACACTCACACACGACGTTTCAGGGCACGCTGATGATGCCAGAGGACCGATGTATCCGCCCGTGTCCCAGAACGGGCATGCCAGTGCCATGCCTTAGGAACCGAATGCCAGTCGCCAATTTCTACAATGTTAAGCTTTCGAGTCATGTTATCGGCGGTTTGCGAAGAGCCATATCGTGTGCAATGATGTAGAGTCAGGTGGATCCTTTCGCAGATGGAGATGCACGTACGTCCTCCGTTGTACGGTCATCTGGACATACTCCTACACACTCTCACCTCAGCGTCCTTGCGTCCTCACGTCCTCGCTTGGGGTTTTTGCCGGATCTCCATGATATAGAAGCGATCTCACCTTGCTCTGCTCTCCAAACACTTCTCGCGGCTTTCTGATCCAGGACATCCTTTTCAAAGGTGAGGACTGCCGGGGCTGCTTTTGCGCACATGGAGTGGAGATAATTACCCTTTCAAGACAGACCTCGTGTTTCCTCGTCATCAGTCTGCTGGAGTTATGCCAGCACCTGACACGCAATCTTCTGTTGAGCTGCCAAGGTCTGAACACGAAATCCAAATAGCCCCATCAGGCGACGCATTATCATATCAACAGGCGCATCTCCGGCGACAGTGCAGATAGCGAAGTGAAGATGATATTAAAGTGGAAACTGGTGGAAAAGCATTACTTTTTTGGTGAGTGACAGAGAAGCCCACGCCTGCAGGGGGCTCCATTCTATTTTGATTTTTCAAGCGCAAAGTTATTCAACCACGGGTCATATGATATTGGTCCAGAATAATCATTGGCGGCTCACTCACTGCGATATCGTTTCGACACGGAAAGCATGCGGGTGAAGCACGGAACATTTGAGAGTGGGAACTCCGGAGCATCGCTTGCGGTCGGAGCGTGTACCTCGAAGGTATGAACATCGTGAGAAGGCAAGGCTTCTTATGAGTAAACACCCCTCAAATTCCATCTAGCATCTTATCGAGGACAATGGGGCGATTGTGCATGACCAAGACACCGTAAATTTATGCGTAGAAAGCTCATCCATTCCACGGTCAACAGCCATTTATACTCTATGGTGCTTCTGCGCCGAATTCGACTGCTGTAACCCGGTGCACTACAAATAGCTCGCTGACCTGCCTGTGTGGTAGCATCTGCCTCTTTACTGACTGCGTATCACAAGTTCACAATGACCGCAAAGACTTTTTCGAGCCAATCAGACCCGAAGATTGTCGTCGTTGGAGCGGGGTATGGTTTCATGTAATCTTGATCTAACGTTGTACTTACCTCTGTTCCGTTTTGAATGCAGAATAGGTGGGTTGGCTTTCGCAATTGCTTTGAAGAGGCAATGGGCATTCGAAGATTTTATGGTGGGCATTCACATTCCTATATCAATTGATAGTGCGACTTCTTGTTTTTGCAGATTCTGGAGAAGACCAATGACATCGGTGGTACATGGCGAGTGCGTATCGTTCCCTTCTTGCCTATCAAGCCTGACAGACCAAAAAATCCCAGGATAATACCTATCCAGTGAGGCATGAACAATACCTTCGAAGTTTATGCTAATAGCATTGTAATGAAGGGATGTGGATCCGATGCCGCAGTTCATTGGTATTCCCTTTCCACGGACATGAAACCTGACTGGATCAGCACGTTTGCCAGTCGGCCTGAGATCCAAAGCTACTGGCAGGACTTGACATCGAAACATGAACTCCGCCAGTCCATTCGATTCAATACGAACGTGGAGTCCGCCACCTGGGATGACGACGAGAAACTATGGATGATCGCGGCAGTGGACCGACATACGGGTGAGAAGGCTGATATCAAGGCTAAGATGTTGGTGTCTGCAATCGGTATTCTGGCTGAGCCGAACATGCCGAAGTTGAGTGGCGTTGGATTGGAAGGATTCAAGGGTGTGAGCTTCCATTCCGCGAGGTGGAACCACGATGTTGAGCTCAGAGGAAAGAGGATTGCTGTTATCGGGAATGGTTGCTCCGCGTATGTCCTGTTTGATATGGCCGTACACTGGCTTCTGACTTCTGTTTACTACAGGACGCAGTTCGTTCCCATCATCACTGAGGACCCAACGGTCAATGTCGTGCAGTTTTGCCGTACGCCGATGTGGTACATTCCGAGAGTTAGCCAATCCAACCCGTCTTGTTTGTTCCTCTCACTCACTTGCCGTCAAAGCCTCAAGGAGAATTTTCAAATTTCTCTGTTTGGCTTTTCCGATACGTGCCACTTGCTGCACGTCTTTATCGGATGAGTGTAGCATTCTTGGTGCGGCAATGTATTCTTATTGCATGAACACAATCTCATAACTTGTTTAGAACGATCTTCGTTATATTGCATTCCGCGGCGAGAAATCATTCATAAGTAGACTCTTGGCTAAGGTCGGTTTATACTTTATGCCCGGAACTACACATATCATAGTCAGTCTTCTTCTCTAGGCACTCACATCTTATATGACCAAACGAGCGCCTGCGGAATATATGGAAAATTTGACTCCCAAGTATTGTAAGTATTCTGAGCATCGCCTTCGTATGCCGAACATGAGATGCCAATCCATCATTGTAGCCCCTGGGTGTCGAAGATTGATCGCGGATTCAGATTATCTGAGTGCCTTGCATCGACCCAATCTCACCCAGAATTGGGACAAGATTGAAGGGGTCGCGGAAGACGGGATCGTCACATCCAAAGGTATGCTCCTGAAATAGAATTCCAACATATCGGACTGATGCATGCGTAGGCTTTATCCCGTTTGACATCATCATTACCGCTACTGGATTCGTCACGGCAAGTCGTCTCCGGATTGACCTGCGAGTGTATATATTCACAAAGTAGGAATATGCACAGGATAAGTACCTTTTGCCCGTACGAGGTCGGACCGGACAGACAGTCAACGAGTTCTACGAAAGTCAAGGAGGTCCGGCTGCTCACCTTGGTACTACTTTACCTGGTTTTCCCAACTTCGTCATGATCTCAGGTACTAGGTTGTTTTGGGTTGTCATAGTCGTCAGCTAAACCGCTACAACAGGACCGAACACAGTGACCGGACACGCATCAGTCATATTTGTCAATGAAGTTCAGGTATGCACTATCTGACACGGGACTCGACGGCATCTTGAGGATTTGACGATCGTGACTCTTTTAAGATAAATTACGCCCTGAAACTTTTCAAACCTGTTGCCGACTCTATTCTCGCGAGTGTGGAGCCCACTCTTGCAGCCATGAATTTGTACAACGATTGGCTTCGTCGTCGCCTCGAGAACTCGGTCTGGACGCAATGTCTCTCTTGGTATCGAGCGGGATCAGAGGGAAAGATCTTCAGTACATTCCCGGGCCCCGTGCTACTACTATGGTGGTTCATGCGGACGGTGAAATGGACCGATTATAAGGTGACTCCTGTCAAGGGGAAGGCACAGGAGTGGAAGAAAAGCAGGAGGATTAGCCAATCTGTTACGATGATCACCGCGCTGGGGATTCTCTGTTTGGGTGGACTAGTATGGGGAAATAAGATTGGTTTGAAATCAATCGTGCGCGTTCTATCTTAATCCTCAGAGTAGCTTCAATTGACACGTAGCCGCGCAGGTAATCTCTAACACGTTCGATAAGTACCAGGCTGCAGCTCGCGCTCTCGTAGCCTGATGTGGAGAGCCTACAATTTGTTTCAAATCATTGCTTGGTGTGTGTGCTTTCAGTAAGGATTTGATGGTCAAGTATGATCATGTATCGTTGACGGAGTATTCCTCGTCGTATAGTGTTTGATCCTCCATCCGAAGTGAGGTCAAGGTGTCAACTGGTATGAGCGAGCGCTACGATAGCACAACTGAGTAGTCTCTTTCTGAGGCCAATTCATTATAAGAGATGCCACAACCTGTCTTGCTATTATACCTTCACAGCGGATTCAATGAGTAAACTATGATTTGCGGATGTCCCTTGACTTCAAGGGAGCTTTGACGAAGGGCAAGTTCGTACCGGTATAACTCGGGCTGGATCCATATCTGTTTAATTTGGTGAGAATTTGACCTTCATCAGCCTTCATCACCACCGCCGTCTACGACCACAGTTCGATGAATTACTCTCAGAACATGCATCACAGCGTCACTAATAATAGCTCGTGTATGATAGACCCCCCAAACCTTGGCTCATCCTCTCCAAATGTCGATCTACCAACTCAGCAAAGCGAATAGATGCGCGTTTTGCTCGGAACATCGTTCGACGACATGACTGAGAAGAAGTTGTATCAGAGGAATGCAAAGTGCGTTATTAGATCTTTTATACCTTGCGTCATCGTTTGCACGGTCATGTTGCGGTTCTGCCGAGTGGAAGCAAAAATCGTCCTTGTCCGTTCTGCAATTGAACAACCTGGATATCAATGGACACGGTTTTTTGCACAAAGCTCATGTGCAGGTCAACTGGTAGTATGCTAAAAAGGATTTATCACCCAGAGACATCCACTCCACCTCCGGGTTTGATAGGGCCCATTGGCGGATGACCTCTCTTCCTTTCCATTACCGATCTTCACTTAGCTCTCTATCGAATGGGGTGTCCAGTTCGTGACATGAAGTGATGCCGGTCGCTGTAAACCTGACCCGTTCTCGCTCAATGCACAAGGGATGTCGCCTCCGGATGCTTTCCTGGATTCTCTCACCAAGGTATGAGAACGAAGGGCCCTTGTTGGGAATCGGCGTAATTCGAACTCAAGATCCGTCTAGTCTCTCATTGCCTTCAATGGATCGGCTATCCTTCTCAAGGGCGCATGACACACAGACATCAGCAAGCTCACGAAGGCTCCACGATCCTCACTCATCATGGTGCTTCTGCCTTCGACGAACACGATCCACCCCCACCATAAATACGTTTCTTGACTGTGAACTCAGTGGTACCCATCCCTCTTCGTCTTTATACAATGTCTGCGAAGACTCCATCCACAAACACTGACCCGCAGATTGCCATCATTGGTGCAGGGTGCGTAAGGTTCGTAGACTTGGGGATAACACGCCATGCTTACTCTGCCTGATCGTAGAGTCGGTGGTCTAGCCTTTGCGATAGCCTTGAAGAGGCAGTGGGGTTTCAAAGACTTCATTGTGAGCGCTTGTGTTCGATCGACCTGTCCTGTGTATGACCCTGACTCTTTTCTTTGCAGATTTTTGAAAGGACAGATGACATCGGTGGTACATGGAGGGTATGTCATGTTTTGCTTCTGTACTTGCGTAGTCTAATACAATGTATCTTGACTCTAGGAAAACACTTATCCGGTAAGAATTGAGCTGTCACCCTTTCAGGGCGTTTGTGGTATATTTATCATCTCTACAATAGGGTTGCGGGTCGGATATTGCCATCCATTGGTATTCTCTCTCCACAGATCTCAAGCCGGACTGGACTCGCGCGTATGCAGGCCAGCCTGAAATCCAAAGCTACTGGCAAGATTTGACATCAAAGTACGATCTCCGTCCTTCCATTCGCTTCAATACCAACGTGAACTCTGCTACATGGAACGTGGATGAGAAACTGTGGGAGATTAACACAGAAGATCGCAAGACGGGTGTGAAGACTCACATCAGGACCAAGATACTGGTATCTGCGATCGGCATCTTGGCTGAGCCGAATACGCCGAAGTTTGGAGGTGTTGGGCTGGAAGGGTTCAAGGGAGTGAGCTTCCATTCCGCGAGGTGGGATCATAGCCTCGTTCTGAGCGGGAAGAGGGTGGCTGTTATTGGGAATGGATGCTCCGCGTATGTCTTGTTCACGTATTTTTGGAAATACCTCTTCACTGATGCTGATACCATATAGAACTCAATTTGTGCCCATCATCTCTGCAGATCCTACGGTCAATGTAGTCCATTTCTGTCGTACGCCGATGTGGTATATCCCACTAGTAGGCCCCGTTGACTCATCACCTATTACCATGCATTCAAATTCTCCTCCAGCCGCAGACAATTTATTCGAGCTTCACTATCTGGTTATTTCGATACGTGCCGTTCGTTGCGCGCTTGTACCGTCTGTACACGGCTGTTAAGGTGCGTCATTCTTCATCTCATTTTGAGTAATATCGTAAGATGTTTTTCCTCTTAGGAAGATACTCGTTTCATAGCTTTTCGCGGCGAGAAGTCGTTCCTCAGTAGAGTTTTAGCCAAGGTAAGTTGACGCACTCCTTCTACAATCTGGCTCATGACACACCGATGTTCGTCTGTAGACTCTAAGGTCGTATATTACCAATCGCGCACCTGCAGAGTATGTGGACAAATTGATTCCAAACTACCGTAAGTAGTCTGGATGTCTACACTGGAGAAAGGAATCAGAGCTGATATCTGTGATGTAGCCCCTGGATGCCGAAGGCTTATTCCTGGTACAGACTACCTCGGAGCGTTACATCGGCCGAATCTCACCCAAAATTGGGACAAAATCGAGGGAATTGCGGAAGACGGGATCGTCACAAGCCAGGGTAGGTCCCCGAACATCTTAAAGGCATCAGATCGTGTCAGACTGATCGACACATAGGACACCTTCCATTTGACGTGATCATCACGGCTACTGGTTTCGTTACGGTGAGGCCTACTTGAGGTATATACGAATATGAGCGCTTAGGAAGCCTGGGGCGCGCAGGACAAGTATCCCGTTCATATTCGAGGAAGGTCAGGTCAGACAGTGGATGAATTTTATGACGGTCAAGGCGGCCCCACGGCCTACCTTGGTACCACGCTGCCCGGGTTTCCAAACTTTATCACCGTTTCCGGCGAGCATCTCTTCCCGTTCGCTAACTGCACGAGCTCACGAAAGCCGTGGTGACAGGTCCTAACACGGTGACTGGCCACGCATCAGTGATATTCACAGACGAGGTTCAGGCAAGCATCATTTTTTCTTTATAAACCGGCGGAACAACAATCTGATAGACCTTATCGCGTTTTGCCGCACAGATCAACTACGCCTTGAAGCTTCTCAAACCCGTCGCCTCCTCCCTCCTCACTAGCGTAGAACCCACCGTCGCAGCGTTGAACAAGTACAATGACTGGATCAGTCGCCGTCTTCGAAATTCTGTTTGGACACAATGTGTCTCTTGGTATCGAGCAGGATCGCAAGGCAAGATTTTTAGCACATTCCCAGGGCCAGTGGTACTCCTGTGGTGGTTCATGCGGAAAGTCAACTGGGCCGATTTTGAGGTGATTCCCGTTGAAGGGAAAGCCCAAGCATGGGAGAGGAGCAAGAGGATGGGCCGGAGTGTGACGATGCTTACCGTTCTGGGAGTTCTCCTTGTTGGCGGACTGGTATGGGGTCGACAAAATGGCTTGGAAGTGAACGTGCGTGTCAAGTTCTGTTCCAGTGTTGCCACTTGGCCTGACGACTTATGGCAGGTACCCGTTACATTTGATAAGTATTGGGCTGCAGCCCGCGCTCTTATAGTCTAAAGGAAAGCCCAACATCGAGCACCCATGTATTTGTCCTGGCTAGTTCTCGTTATGCATTGAGTGTACAGTATACGAGTTTCTTTGCACATTATGTACTCGCGAAATGAAATGCGTCTGTTTATCCAGAGAATCAGAGTCCCCTCGCATTGAGCGAGATGCATTGATCGAGACGGGGCCCGGACCGACTGAGCAAGTCCGGACTCGTGACCTCGGAGTGCCCGGCCCGCGGGGAATGCTTTCCAAGTCCACGATTTTCGACATGGTATATAAGTTGAATAGTACTCAGACCATCCCATCTCCTATCAGTCCATCATGATTTCCACGACGACGACGACAGTTACCAGCAGCCTTCAGCTAAAGCCCAACATTGGTGTCTTCACCGATCCGCAACATAATCTTTGGATCGATTCTGCATCTCCGTCAGTGGAGGAGATTCAGCGAGGTGACACTCTTGCGCCTGGGGAAGTCGTCGTGCAAGTTCGCAGTACAGGTATCTGTGGGTAAGTCTTACATTTCCAGCAGCGAAGAATTGCACTGAGGATGTTTCTCCGTAAAAAGATCAGATGTGCATTTCTGGCATGCGGGGCGCATTGGCCCTATGATCGTCGAGGACAAACACATTCTAGGTCATGAATCGGCTGGTGAGGTGTGCATACACGCTTCCCCTTTATATAGATGTTCATAATTGTCTTCTTTTGAAGATTGTCGCAGTCCATGAATCTGTAAAGCACCTCAAACCTGGCGACAAGGTAGCGATCGAGCCGAATATTCCTTGCCATGCCTGTCGTCCTTGCCTCACGGGACACTATAACGGTTGTGAGAATGTCCTGTTCCGTTCTACTCCTCCCGTCCCCGGCCTCTTACGGCGTTACATTACCCACCCGGCCGTGTGGTGCCACAAACTCCCCGACACGATGTCATTCGAGGACGGGGCGCTCCTCGAGCCGCTGTCTGTGGCCCTCGCAGCGCTTGACAGGTCGAACCTGAGGTTGGGAGATGCAGCGGTGATCTGTGGTGCCGGCCCGATTGGATTGGTCTCGCTACTTTGTGCCAAAGCGGCTGGCGCTGAGCCTATTGTCATCACGGACATCGATCAGGGAAGGCTGGATTTCGCGAAGCAGCTTGTTTCTGGGCAGCCGGGGACACTCAAGACTTTCCTCGTTGAGCGCGGGAAGACGGAAGAAGAGAATGCGGCCGGGATCATCCAGGCACTTGGAGGCGTTGAACCAGATGTCGCCTTAGAGTGCACAGGTGTGGAGTCTTCTATCGGTGCTGCGATTCATGCGGTCAGGTTCGGTGGTACAGTCTTCGTCGTCGGCGTCGGGAAGAACGAGATGAAGTTCCCGTTTATGCGCCTTTCGACTAGAGAGGTCGACCTGAGGTTCCAATATCGATATGCCAATACGTGGCCCAAGGCTATCAGGCTGGTTAACTCGGGGTTGTTAGCACAGGTTCGGAAATTGGTGACGCATCGGTTTGTGATCGAAGATGCAGTGAAGGCGTTCGAGACAAGTGCGGATATAAAAAGCGGGGCTATCAAGGTGGTGATCACTAACCTATGACAAAGATCGCATGATTACTTTCTAGGGACTTGGAACGACGGGAGCATCTGTAAACTTGAATTGAAAAATTAGATCAGACTGTACCATTCACGCAGAGGAGATTTTGCACCTATGCTTCTATGAGTAAATTTCCAGTTCAAGAGCTTCCTCAATGCAAAGCAAGCTGGTGAACGAGCTTTGCAGTCACTGCTAATCAGCCGCCAGCCTGCCTATTAGATTTGTGCTTGTTTGGCCCCGGAAATTAGGGGACGCGACGCGTCTTTTTCATGAACATCCACCATCCATCGCTAACATGAGTAGAAATAACATTCGTGGCCCTACCTCTGCTCTCACGGACTTTCTTAGAGTATGTGCCAAACCTCCCTGACAATGCACGGACAAGTCTGATCCTTCTGATAATCAGGAGTCGGGTATCACAGCCACTACCATTGCTCGTCGAGTGAGGACGCAACAAAGCGCAACAGATTCGCCGGCGCAAGAACGGCAGCCTACTGAGAATGGAGCTGGGCCGAGCAACAATGACAGAGATGATGAGGAGCCTGGGAACGAAGCTGGGCCAAGCAGGCGGACACGGACGAGCGGCGTACGCCTTGTCTTTACCATTCGCACAGCCTGGTGCTCAGAATACTATGATTGTTTTAGGATGCTGCAGATTACAATACAGATCACCTCGATGATACGGATGAAGAGCCTGTCAAGAAGAAGCGTAAATTGACCAAGGCTGCTGAGACCAAGCTGAAGGCGAAAGCGAAGAAGAAAGCCGGCAAGGGTGATGACAATGACAATGATGACGATGACGAAGATGCGTACACCGCGTTATCAAAGTCCATGTTCACAAACGGCGCAGGGCCGAAGCCCCCAATCGGTAGTTTTGAGTCCTGCGCAAAGTGCGAGAAACAATTTACGGTGGCAAGTTTTCAAGCTTCATCATCGGGCATCTGGAAAGCGAAATAACGACGCGCACATTACTCTACAGACAAAGTATACCATGGCTGCACATCCTCCCCCCGGCTTCTTGTGCCACCAATGTGCTAAAGCGTCTGGCGCAGACCCGTTTAAGAAGCCAGCAGCTCCGAGAAAGCGCAAGACACCCGGGGAAAAGCGCACGATAGTCAACTTTGAGGAAAGACGATTCCCTAGTTTGGCTTCGCTCTGTATTCAGGTCAGTCACATTACCTCAAGGAACTGTCGTGTCTGATGATCTTTCAGGTTATATCAAAGTTTATCAACGATGTCGAGGCACTGGGCGATATTGGATCCGCTAATGTTGACAATATTGTTCGGGCACTTTCCAGAAACCGGAGCTTGTACGTCGTTCAAATTCACTTTCACCATAGTCTCTCAATCGCTATATGACCAGAACGCAAGAGAACGCGAACTTATTCTACAGCGCAGAGAATACTAGCCTGACTTTGTACGATGCTACAAGTACGTCAATATCTTATGTTGTATACATTCGACATCTGATACACTGTAGAGCTTGTGCCCGACGCTTTATCCTCTCTCGCTCTCCTCAATCCCAATCTCACCGACCTGCGTCTCGATTTCTGTGGTCGCATGAACGACGAAGTCCTTAACACTTGGTCAACATCGTTACCAAACTTGGAGCGCATTGAACTCCTCGGACCCTTTTTAATTCGTGTTCCTGCATGGGTCCGGTTTTCAAAGTCGCATCCCCAGCTGAAGGGTTTCCTCATTACACAGAGCCCACGCTTTGATCTCGAGTGCATCAAGTCATTGTGTCAGAGCTGCAAGAATCTCACTGAGCTCCGACTCAAGGAGATCGGGAAACTAGATGACAAGTTCATTGGACACCTGAAGAAGCTCACTAAACTCACCCACCTTGATTTGTCTGACCCCACAGAGTCACTTTCTGTAAAGGCCCTCATCGATATGCTCAGCGTTCTCGGCCCTACCCTGACCCACCTCGATCTGTCTGGGCAGAGCACAATATCGGACGACTTCCTCAAAGACGGCTTAAAACCTCATCTTCGTGACATCACCTCGCTTTCCCTTAACAACATTCCACTGCTTACGGACGTCGCATTCGCTTCTGTCTTCGAGGCGTGGTCGGAATCGCACTCTAACATGAATCTTCATATCCTTTCTCTGTCCCGTATATTCGAACTCGGCAGTAAAACACTGCTTGCCCTTCTGTCTCATCCGTGTGCTTCAAGCATGACACATCTGAATATCAATGCGTGGAGGTACAGTTCCGAGGAAGCTCTGAAGACGATCGGCGAGAAGGCAGGACAGCTCATCAAGTTGGACATTGGATGGAATAGGGACGTCGACGATTTCACAGTGAAGACTATCTTAGAAGGGTGCCCCAAATTAGAAGAGCTGAAGGTGTGGGGATGTAATAAGGTGACGGCGAATTGCCCCAAGAGAGTGAGTACATACTTGTTATTTGATTCGGACCTTCATTTTACATCGCTGACTTGTGTTTCATAGCGAGGCGTTAGCATTTTCGGTGTTGAATCGCACACGTCTGCTTAGAGCGTGTATAGTCTCTATTTATTTTCCTTATATAAAACAGGAAATTCCTGTGGCTTGTCTATATACTCTATGCATCCGTTTGCAGCGAATGGATAGCCCATTCACAACTGAAACTGTATATGGCCCTTCGAGTTTTAACGATCATCTCCCGCCCGCTGTTCGAGTAGGGGTAATACGGCGGGATCAAAGCCCTGGATTGCGATAACAGTATGTCTCCGTCAATTCTTGTCGCGATTCTATGTTGGGTCCGCATTGCAGGATAAGCTCTCGATAGCAGATTATGCCGTTATGCGGCAAGTCTCGGTCGATACCATGAAGCCGAATTTGTGATATCACCTTCCTATACACCCCTTGGCCGGTTTGCTCCACTGACATCAATCAAGACCGCAAGCTTGCCGACAACATATCAAGGAAGCGAACTTTTCTAGCTACTGGTGACTCATATTGAGCTCCAACGCATAAAAGGAGACTGTGATGCAAGTTCGCCTGATAAGACAAGGTAGCGGCGTTAGCGTTTGGCATAAGAAGCACTGCGAGCGTTCTCATGATGGAACTGATACGGCATACTGTATACGCTATCTGGACTCGGATGCAGGGATATAAAGACGTCTTAACTCCCTCTCCTCCGATTCTCTTGCTTGCGTCTGCGTTGCTCATAAACAATGTCAGAGACTGCCGCGTCGGACTTCAAGCCGCTCCTTGGTGAGTTTTATTGTCTATCAATCCATGCTACATCTAATGGCAGTGCAACTGCAACAGATCAGAGTGTTGGATATGGTGTAGTCATCGGTGAATAGCCCCGACTGTTTATCTTACTATGAGGCTGGACTGGTCAAACTTGTACAGGTGTTGGCTTTTTCTTCGCAGGTATCATGCTTCTTTTGACGCTTCTGCAATCAAAGTTCTCGGGTATCTCTCCTTCTGCTTCCGAAGAGTTCTCGGTGAGTTTTATCAATTTCAAGCATCCATGTACATTGTTTAGATTGACTGTGTGACTGTGTGGTGATTACTCGCAGAGTGCATCGAGGAGTGTCAAGGCAAGTGGTCGTTTCGGCCTATGTGACAGCTGACTGATTTATATCTTATCAGCCGGGTTTGGTATGCTGTGGAATGTAAGCAATATGTTCTCACATGAGCGACCATTGAAACAAAAGCAATCCGATAAGTGTGAGTGCGTGGACGTGGAGCGCAACTCTTCTCCAATCCAGTACAGCGGCATATACTTTTGGTTCGTCATTGATTTGATCATTGACCCTGTAGTGTCTGACCTGAACAACAGGGGTGAGCGGGCCATGGTACGTATCTCTTGGCTACAGAACGCAACGTGCATCCAATCAAGACGAGCACAGGTGGTATGGCGTTGGAGGAACGATTCAAGTAGCCATATTTGCAATGGTAGCGGCCAAGGTAAAAATGAATGCAAATGGCGCGCATACCTTCCTCGAGGTATCTGATTACCATTTCTACCCTTGTTCGCCATTAAGATGATTATCTTTGTTGAGATTGTCAAGGTTCGGTTCGGCATCGGAGCCCATCTGTTGTTCACATTTTATGGATTTCTTTGCATTCTCGTTGTGAGCGGGTCTCTCCTTCGTAAGTTGGTTATATTTTACTTTTCGCGCGTTGGATGATACGTTCATCTATATACATAGTTGGAGGCGCTGCAACCGTCAACGCGCTCACTGGGATGAACACCATTGCAGCTTGTATACTTCTACCTATTGGTATTGCCGTCTACGTCGTTTTCGGTGGCTTGCGCGCAACATTCATTTGCGACTGGAGCCATACGATTATTCTATTCGTCGTCATCTATATCTTCTTCTTCCAGGTGTAGTGAGTGGGACCGACCGGTATATGTTTCCAATACTGACATATTCCTTCCCAGTGCCACATCCCCAGAGCTTGGAAGTATAACTCGAATGTATGCCCTTCTGCAGCAAGCGGGGATTGACACGCCGGTCTACGGAAACCAGGGCGGAAGTTATCTTACCATGAAGTCCAACGGTGGACTCGTATTTGGTGCTGCCACCATTCTGTCTGGGTTTTCCGGCGTATTTTGCGACCAGGGTGCGATTCATTCGAAAAATGTGCATAATAATCTCATGACCATTATTCACCCTAAGGATATTGGCAACGTGTGAGATGATTTCCTCTGACTGCGCGATAGATAGATGACATTTCTACACAAGGCCATTGCCAGTGCCCCTCAGACGACTACTAAGGCATATGTGTGTTGTCATTCCTTTGTTTCCACGGTCTTTCTCTAACTTTCGTAAAGATGCTCGGTGGACTTTCCTGGTTTGCTATTCCGTGGGGATTCGCATCTTGCTTAGGTTTAGCAGCGCGCGCTCTTGTATCTAACGTATGTCTCAACTTGCTCTCGATAATCCGTGCGACATCGCTTAGATCTCACATTCTGATGGTAGCCAAGATTCCCAACATACCCAAATCCCCTCTCTGCGTCTCAAACTAGCGCTGGACTTGCGGCTCCTGCGGCAGCCGCAGTGGTTATGGGTAAAGGCGGCGCGATCGCTATGCTTCTTGTAGTCTTGTAAGCGCTACATTCTTATCAATATCACAGCTCATTCCAAAGTCACTAGCATGGCTGTCACATCAGCAGCAAGCGCAGAGTTAATCGCTGTATCTAGTATCTTGTATGTATTTCCTGCAATCCACGCAAGACGGGAAGTACTCATTCTGTACGGGTCAAAGCTCCTATGAGTACGAAACATGACATTTACCTGACCGATTGACAGACAGCTCATCATTCCGTAGCTTGTACAGGACCTACTGGCGCCCTCAAGCATCCGGGCGCGAGATTGTTCGAGCGTCTCATATGTTCATCTGTTTCTGGGCTATTTGGATGGGCTGTTGGGCCGTTATATTGCACAAAGCCAGCATTGATCTAGGATGGGTACGGGTTCTAAATTTATATCTTCGAAGGAGCTTTGATCATCTATGAAATTCCAGCTCTTTTATGTCCAGTGCGCCTATTCCTTCCATCTCGTATACCTGATTTTCAATCAAACATAACAGAGGCGTCGTGCTGAGTCCTGCAGTAATCCCTATAGCACTAACTGTGACTTGGCGGAAACTCACTCGCATTGCTGTGTTCAGCGGCTCTCTATCTGGAGCTGCCTTGGGAATGGTCGCGTGGATGATAGGGTGCCGAAAAATCTACGGATCGATCACCATTACGAACCTCGCTCAACCTTACTCAGCTGTCTGCTCAGGTCTGACGGGGCTCTTGATCTCTGGCACCGTGACAATTGCTGTGTCCTTGATCAGTGAGCATATCTTCCGCTAAGCACTGGATCGTACAATTGAAAGTGAAGCCAGAACCTGCTAATTACGATTTCACTGCAACAAGAGATATGAAGAGCGTTCACGACAGTGATGACGCAACTATGGAGGTACAAAAAGACCTGGAAGGCGCTTCAGTGGTCAAGGTTGAACATGAACATGCAATTGATGGAAAGGAGTCGGTCGTCCGCGACGGGATTCGACCTGTGGAGGATGAATGCCACGATGCGAGGTCCCCGGAGAGCCTGGAAGACGGGACACATAAAGCATTGGAAGCAGTGTACAAGCGAGCCGCAATTTACTCGACACTGCTTACTGTCTGCGTCACAATCATTGGTGATTTTCCTCCTCAATATTGAAGGCACAGGACTGACCCGATTGTCTCTGATTTAGTGCCGCTACCTATGTTCTTCTCGCACTACATTTTCAGCGAATCATTCTACACCTTCTGGGTGGTCTGCACCATGTATGTTGGGACATTTAGCCTAAATTTTATCGACACTTACCTATTTCATAGATTGTGGGCCTTCCTCAGCGGTGCTTTCTGTATTATTCTTCCGCTATGGGAATCGCGTTCTCAAATCTGCGCCATTGCGGTCGGTGTGTACAAACTTGTATCCGGGTCTTTGTCGTTGCGATCGCCACAAAGAGATCGTCGACGTCTACACTAATGATGCACTATGATGATCACAGCCGAGTACACGCAACAGATTCACTAGTAGTACATTTACGGAGTGCTGAGCCATCGTCTGATCATAATTATGAATGCAGCGGAATACCTATCACAGAGCCTGATGCTCGGAAGGCAAGGACGATGACGTGGAGACATTGATCATCGACTCGATTGTTCGAAAACGAAAGGAGAAATTGAAGAGCAAGGAGCGTTAGGCAGACGTCGAGCCTGCGGATTTGAATGTTTCATTTGTCGGCTGTGAACCGCCTCCACAGTCGACCAGGAAAGAGATTTTTCAGCCCTTCGCCACTGAGCGGTGACAATGGAGCTTCTGGGTCAGACCCGCTTTCGCCGTCTATGTTTCCTCCTTGCCTCACAGACGCATGCAGGCGAGGACGATCCGGCTGGGCCAAAGGAGAGCCAGGGTACTCTACACCGAGAGGGATTGGAGCAGTTTCATAGACAACGGGTTCACGCTCGCGAGAGCCTTCCCGCCGTTTGTGCTTGTGCTTTGGCACTGGTGGAGCAAAGCCGATAGGGATATTGATGAAGTCTTGGAGAGGGGAGGGCTGGGACGACAATAGTGTAATAGAGTCTCTCGGCTGATCGTTGTGCATCGGCAGACTTTGAGGTGCATATTCGGGGCTCAGGAAATCTGGATGTGTGACTACTGTACCATCATTTGGGGAAGGTGGAGAATCGTTTGGGGACTGAAAGAGATATGGTCAGCCAAAAAAATCTTCAGGCCAGCAAGAACAGAACTGAAGGGCCTCACAGGTGGCTCGACGACAATGTCGATCACGCCGCTTGACGTTGTACGTGACCGACGGGGTCGTGAGCGTTCAATTTGAGGAGAGAACTCTGGTTCGCGGCGAGAAGAAAAATGGCCTGGATCTACAGCAGTGCTTGGTCGGGAATGTGGGCGGGCCAGCTGCTCAACAGGTGGAGCCAGAGGCACAGGAAGCACAATCTCGCGCGGAGGACGTGGACCGCCACGTGATGAGGCTCGTCGATGAGCCTATCAAGAGTTTCGGAAAATAATGTTGAGCATTCTGAATCATAAGAAAGAAAGAAAAATACAGACATGTTCACCGCCACGATGATTCTGACTAGAGTGAGGACGGAATGGCGGCACAGCTCTCGATCCTTCTGAGGGACTATGCGCATACTCGCGATCTTCTCTGTTAATTTGTGTAGGCGTTCTCATTCGTCCCATGGCGCTCTGCGTACGGGGCGGATGTAACAGCTCGTATTCTGATAAATGGGTGGATGCTCGTGAATGACTAGAAGGTTCCTTTGATATGCGTGGGGGAATGGCTGACGGTGGTACAGGTGGCCGACGAGGGGCGCTTCCGTTGCGCATGTCTCCCATTCTTGAGGTTGAAGCTCTTGGGCCATCGTCAGAGGCGGAGCCAACTGGCGCAGGGCTACCGCCTTCGGGAGTCGAAATAACGACGACAGGATTGTGCCTTCCGCGAATGGGGTCTGCGAGCTCATGAGGAGGGGGAAGTCGGATAGCGGCCTGACCAGTATCATTTGCTAGGTCCAACGCATATGGTATGAAGCCGTCTGGTGGTACCGATATGGGGCGATGAATGGGGGATAGAAAAGATGCAAGTGGGCGTATCGGGGATGGCTCATCATCGTGGGGGCCATAAGGTCGAGAATGACTCGATGGAGTGGTCGGGCGTATTGGTGCGGGAGCTGAATCGACAACGTAGTCATATGTCGCGGGCGGTGCGAAACGTGGTTCATGTGTGTGATGGCGGCGAACATCGGGAGCCTGGTAGCGGATCGGGACAGGATCAGGTGTCTGGTAGCGAACATACGTAGGTTCAGGCGTCCGGTGACGTGATTGCTCTCGTACACGTTCATGCGTGCGTTGCCGCCCGAGACCAGGATCGAAACGAGTAGAATCTGGAGGTGGTGGTCGGAATGGCGTTGTGAGGGTTGGTACGGGCGTTGTGATAGCTGGAATGTGATGTGTTTGTTCATGCGGTGCGCCGTCGAACGGGAGTGCAAAGCCATTTCCAGCTCTGATGAGCGTGTCAACAAAATGGCCTGGAGACTTTAAATCGGAAAACATACTCTGGAACCCCTCTTGAAGGAACATTGACGAGGGAAGATTCCTCCGAGCTCTGCTCATACTCCACACGAGGTTCTTCTGGTCCTTCATCCTCGAACAAGACCTCTTGCAAGCTCCTTCTCGGTCTAGGTCGTGTCCGCCCATTCCGTACTCTCCTCCCTTCAAGGGCTTCTTCCCAGCCCATTCTCCAACCTCGCTCTACACCCTCCCTCCAGCCAGCCTTTCTACCCTCTTCCCGTGCAAGATCCACTGCTCTTTGTTCCTGTAGCTTCCTCGCCACACTCCTTGCTCTTGCCGCCTCGTCTTCAGCATCGCGTCGGCGAGCTTCAAGGCTGTCGAGGACTTCTTGTGCTCGAAGAATTTCACGCTGCGCCTGGTCAAGCTGAACCTTGTACATTCCAAGCTCCTCGCGTGTACGGGCGGCTTCTGCTTCAGCAAGAGTACGTGCGTCGATCGCGTTGCGTGCGCGCACTAAACACTCTGTAGCGCGGCGTTCGGCATCAACGGCACGTTGGGTTTCCTGATCCAACTTCGAGAAAGCGAGCCTCAAAAGTTCATGCACTTTTTTAGCATCCCTGTCCTTGCGTGCCAAAACTTGGGTCAGCACGCGCCGATTCGAGGCACTGACAATGAATCAAGGCTTCAGGGGCAAGTTCGGTCGTGAAAAGATATCTCTCGCACCTAAAAGACTTGTCTTTCTCTTGTATGATGTCGTCCGAAGAGGATGCCGATGATACGTAATCACCATCCTCCATGATCGGGAATTGGGTCTGTCTAAAGAACAACGACCGTACTGAAATTTCTGCTACAAGAACCAAAACTAAGCATTTACCTTTGTTCCGCCATGGGCATTATAAAGAGGTGGTGGATGAGGTGGGTGAGAGGAAGGAGATGGTGTTAGGACGGATGCCTGAAGGCGAGGGTGAGTCGAGCGAACACGCCCTAAAGTCGAGGAGTGGACATGACGGTGAGAGAGGTGGAGAGTGAACACAATGGGAAAGTGGACACGATCTCGTGCGATAGCGATTGATTTTAGTATCCAGTGACGCCTCCAGTGACCTCCAGTGACGCTCGAAAACGAGGCGTGGGTAGCACGTGTATCTCGCCATCGACCGTATCAACAAGTCTGAGGTAACGCGTAGGCAGAAAGCAGCCTTGCATACACGTCAGGATGGCAAGAGATTCTGCACCGCATACGTACAGAGTCATAAGAAATGCATGAGATTGTTGCCGCTCTGTCGTGGCGCTCTCTTGAACAATGGAAAGAAGTGCCCGCTTTTGAAAGGAGGCCTCATGACCGCATCTTACGGTTCGAGAGCCGGATAGGAAGGTACATGAGCGTCAGAGATGTCGGACCTACCAAGAGCTGTCCGTATGGGCCTTGATCTTCCAAAGTCAGCCTTTCACTCAGCCAGTATTCAAGCAGCAAGACTGGACTGAAAGATTCTGGACGCAGCGAAACATAAAGACGAGAAAATGATGCCTTCTATGACAGTCAATAGGACCAGAAGGATGCGTGAGTGTAAGAGTAAACGAACCAGTAGAATTTCCGGTGATTCTTGATATCGGGCTCGAAGATAATCTCGAAGGTAGGTCTTGGTGACAGGTGTTGACTCAGGTTGACTCCCACAGATGCCCGAAGAAAGGGAAGTCCTGATTTGGCCCAATCAAGGTGCAGTGACAATTTCCCCTACAATATCTCTCAAGTCATTCCTGTTTCGGATTGATTACCTATCTAATATTGACTGTTCAGCTCGCGGACCAGCGAGCTTTAACACCACCCCAATGATCGATTCAGTACCTGCTGTACTCCGAAGATTGAAAATATGACACAATAGTGGGCTACAAGGGCAATACGCGATCAGGCTTTGCCGCATCGACGCCATCCTCGTCAAACATGCTGGTGAGTCTTTCGGCCGCGCTAAAATAGAGATTGATAAGATAATAAACGAATGTGCAACTTGTGAGTCATTCACGTCGAAACCTGTGGGCGAAGCGCCGAGTGGAGGTCAGATTAGAAATATCGACTGCGGGGCGCCGCGATAGAAGCATAGAGATTTCGCGGAACGCGCTGCCCTGTAATATCCACCCTGCATGGACCTCCGTGAGACAGAACGTTACTCACGTTCTCCTCCATGAAAGGAGCTTGAGGCCTAAAGAAAATGTAGTACGACATCAGTATCTGTAAGGGATCAGCCGGCTATAATATGCTTTTCCCCATCGTGAAAGAGCAGAAACGACCCCTCCTCTCAAAGCTTGAGCCTGATGTCTTCCGCAACACCCCCTACTCAGCTCGCTGTCATCATCCAGAAAAACAAGTCTTTTGCTGCCGACATCGTCCCTGTTCTACGGCCAGGTGACGGTGAAATTCTGATCAAGGTTCACGCTGTCGCTCAAAACCCTTCTGAGTGTGCGTACTACACCTGCGGGACAATGAGTGGTCGACTTGGTTGATATACGAGTCTTTTAGGGAGAGGAGTCGAGTACGGACTCACTGTCGCAGGTCGTGGAACAGGAAATGACTTGGCCGGTGAGGTCATCGCGCTTGGACCTGGTGTTGATGGTGTATCTATTGGCGACCGGGTTCGTAGCGGTTTGAATCGTGCATCGAGTGCCCACTAACCTCTCTTTGAGCCCTTAGGTCGCCACTTTCGTGCGAGGTGGTTGGACAGACCGGCTGGGAGCCTTCCGCGAATACGCTCTCGCTCAAGCATCGCCTATCCTGCACATTCCCGATAACGCCACCTATGAAGAAGCATGCACTGTCCCCCTCACGGCATGCACTGCAGCGCTGGGGATGGCTCGTTTGTTCGACTTCCCGCAGCCTGCACCTCTGGGACGAACAATCCTCATTTGGGGTGAATCATGTATGTATCATTCACGTTCGATCTAAACATACTATGATACTCACGATCGTCGACAAACACAAACAGCCTCGCTCGGATTGTACGCCATCCAGCTTGCGCGCCTCTCAAATCTGCGCGTCATCGCGACAGCATCGCCGAAGAACTTTGACTTGGTCCGCAGCCACGGCGCTGCTGTTGTCCTCGATTACCGCGACCCAGAGGTGATCGCTAAAATTGTCACCGCCACTCAGAGTGGCGGGGTGGACTACGTCCTAGATACCATATCCGAAGACGGGACTGTTAGGCTATCGAGCAAAGCGCTGAGGGCGAATGGCCCCAAGAAGTCCGTAGTCGTCCTTCCTGTCCCCAGCGAGGAGCTCGATCCAAGCGTCGAGTGCCACTTTGTGTTCATGGCTACCCTCCTCGGCAAGGAAGTCCAATTGTTGAACACGTATTTCCCGGTAAAAGTCGCTCATGCGGCACCGAATCTAACCAATGCTGTTCCTGAACTCATTATAAACATAGATCTATATGCGGGATTACAAACTTGGGACGGATTTCTGTGCTCTCGTCGAGGAATGGCTCAAGGATGGCCGTTTTAAGGTGAATCCTGTCGTTGTGCGCCCTGGTGTTTTGTATGGGATTCCTGAAGGCATTCAATTCATGCGAGATGGAAAGGCATGTGAACTATACACATCAAACGTGACTGACGCTGATGCCTGGCGTTAGGTGTCTGGGACGAAACTTGTCTATCGCGTAGCCGAGACATCTGCAGCAGCTTCAATGGAGGTGTAAGAAGCAACGATAGCAAAATATAACTCAATAAGCTCTATTTTCAGAAGCCCGCGCCGGCTCAAATGTGCTACCAATCCAGTATTCTTTCAAATAAGTCTCCTTGTGTGCACCTAAGCGAACGCTGAAAAGTTTCTGCAGAAAGAATTCAACAACCAAAAATAGTCACATACCCCCCGTAATGAACTAACACGCTCATATAATTGGACGATTCAAATTGACATTCAGTGATGGTTCTTTTTGAGACCGAACGGATAGATTCAAATCGCATACAGATTGTCTGTGTCGGCATCAGATTGATTGAAGAGGGCAGACATAGGACAGACTGAGACTCGTACCAGCAGAATATATACAAGGTGATGCAACAAGCAAGGTCGAAATCGTTACAAGGAGAAGACACATGGCTCATCTTCTCCTTCTCGGCGGTGACCGAGATCTCGAGCGCGACCTATCCCTGTACGCATCGCGACCTACGTCGTCCCACCCGCTATTCCTTGGCGGAGTGTCTCGCCGTCTCCTGGCTGGCAAAGGTCGACGGTCTCGGTCCCCAATATCGCCACCTCGTCCTCCACGCCCTCTGGGTGCTTCTGACCCACCACGCCAATGACCACCTGCTCCTCGGCCGGCACCAGAGCCTGGACCGAATCCATCACCATCTCTTCCCGGACCCAGAGGACCAGAGATCTTCCATCCATTAGCTCCACCTGCGGCCGCACTACTTCCCTTTATGGATAGTTCAACATTGGGTCCCGGAGCGGCTGTCACACTCTTGGGAAGGTAGACGGCGATGCAGAGATAATCTCCTGGAACGAGTCGGAGCTCTTCCAGAGTGCGTGCTTCCTTTTGTTTTGATGGGTCGTCTTCTGCGTCCTCAAGCAGGCGTGGGGCAGGCGTGTCGAGAGTACCAGGTTCGCCGAGGATGTCGCGAGAGTACACCATGCCGAGATCCTTTTGAGCATACCGACCGCGGCTTGCAGAGTCAGCAAAGATGGCGCGAAAGGAGAATCGCGCGAGCGGGTGCCGGTACTCGGCTGTCTGGGGGGCAATACTACGAAGGGAGGTGATTATTTCTGACAGAGTAGCATCCTTCCTGTAGTTTATGTGATCAGAGCGTGCCGTGGCGTCGACCGGTTGCGTGCGCACCATGTGAAGATCTGCTGCTCGTCGGCAATAGGAAGCGGGCCCTCTTCAAACTGGTTGAGGCGATGGAAGCCGCCTACTTTGATGAACGCGCGAACGAGAAAAGGCACGGTCTAGAGCACCGGGAACGTCAGATCTTAGCGACTATAAATTGCGCGTAGAAACATGCCTTTTCGCGGTCAACGATGGGCTGACCTGATGCTGTTGTTGTAGTCTCCATTAGAGTGCGCGGTGGCGAGCTCAGAATCAAGAGACTCAAAGTAGCTCAAAACTTGGGTTAGGTCTTGCTTGCTGTTGACGTCCGTTTGTGCCTGGCGGCTCAAGCGTCCTCTGCCAGCCTCTGCCGTCCGACCGAGCTTGATCCATGATCATCATGACACTCTGGTTCCGTGGAAGTTTCGTCTGTGTTTGCTCTTTCATGGATGGTCTCTGTGCAGCTCCGGTCCTTCATCAAGCATCCTTCAACTGAGAACCATGGTCGGTCGTCTGGTAGACGTATATTTTTCCGCGCAAGCCCGGCCCTTCCCGTTGAGTCAAGGCTGCGTGAAGACCGGATACACCCATCGATGATTGCTAAAGTTCTTTTCCGAGAAGATCACTATGTTTGACAGGCTGTGTGAACCCAATGCTCGAGCTCAGGCCCTGACAGGACCTCGGTGGGCATAAACAGCCTGTAGCCTCTATCTTATGACACCTACCACCACAGCGGTTCGTTATCCCATCTACGTCCGATTCCGAAGTGGTCGTAGCACCCTTCTTCGACCATTCTAGTTACCTTCCATCTAATAGAACGATATCTTCGTACCATTGTGGCATGCTTTTCCGCCGCGCAATTCCCGCCGGAATACCCCTTGCGTCCCGTCCGTCATTGCTCAACGTTCCTCGTGCTTGCCGAGATCAGCCATGATTCTCAGGCAGATCCTCATCGCTCCACGACTGGGTTTCGCTATTGATGTACCCCGTGTTGCCCTTTCTCAACGTTATCCTTCCACTGGCAGCCTGGGACGTACCTGTTGGTGATATGCCCTGAACAGAAGCAGCACGCCCCGCCAAGGCAGCTGGCTTATTGATTTATTTTATCATTCTCTTGTCATACAAAAGCCTGACACTCAATAGTCCTGCGGCTCCTCGTAGGACCTGTTCCCGTGTCCTTCGTCCTCAGCCAATATGGCAGTTCGAAACCGTTGTCGAGGCTTCAACCCTCAAGCCGTCCTCTCTTTATGTTTCTTGCTCATTGTTTCCTCGCTCTCTCTAGCTGATGCTGCACAGAACTCCTCGCATGCTGCTGGAAGCACTACTCCACCTACCAGTGCTTCACCTACATCACGGACCTCCGTTTCATCTGCTCATGGGTCATCTAGTCCCGCGAAGTCTTCGGGCTCTACCCTCTCGGCCCAACCCTCTGCTGTGCCTCTGAAACCGGGACAGCTCCCAAACAGCTTTCCGCATAACTACACTGAGATCCCTGCAGGCGATTTCAGCCCTGAATGGCAAGAATGTACGTCATGTTTTCAGCTCTACCAGTCTTCTAGGATATTCTTTCGACTGATGTACGTCTATCTTCTTCGCAGTCTTCCTTGTAACTCAAGGTCTACCGAACATAACATTTCCTTTGCCGCATAATTATGCTGGCAACATCCCCGTCTCCAGACCTAATAACACGCATCCGAACAACACCTTGTTCTTTTGGGGTGCAGAATCGACACAGGGCTCGTTGACAGCACAAAGCGGACAGCTCCAATTGCTGCCTTGGATGATATGGCTAGGCGGCGGTGGCGGGTACGTACGCCCGATTTAGTTACCTCTGTGCAACAAGGGTTAGGATCACTACTCAACAATGATCAGTACAGACCGGGATCGTCGAGCTTGTTCACGTCAATGACTGCGGTGCGTTTCTTTTCTTATACAATTGTTTACGAATAGTACCATCTAAGCTCGACTCTCGAAATAGAACGGCCCTATGCTTCTCCATAATGATTTTACTATCACACAAAATCAATTCGGGTTTAGTGGGCTCATGGACATGTTCTGGGTTGATCAACCAGGTGCTTCAGCTCTCCTTTTTTCTACTCCATGTCACCTTTGAAACACACATACTGACTTGACTGTACTATAACGCAGTGGGTACTGGTTTCTCGACTGTTGACTCGGATGGCTATGGTACGCCTGTTTGAGCCCCTAAGATATCCTCGAGTATCTCACATGTTGCCGAAAACCCAGTCAAAGACGAGAACCAAGTGGCGTCTGACTTTGTACGTGTGCTACAGGCTTCATTTCCAGCAAATTCAATAATTTTGCCTCATCTTGTAGATCGGGTTTCTCAGTAACTTAGTCAAGGTATTCCCTAGTCTTGCAAGCAGGCCTTTCATTCTTGCAGGCGAGGATTACGCTGGGATTTTCATCGTAAGCTGCGCTTCTCTCTGGCATCAGCAGCCCTATTTCCCAAGACCTAACGCCTTCACATCATGCTCTAGCCCTATATCGCCAATGCTCTCTTTGCTTCCTCTTCACCTCCTGTTCAACTCCACAAGATTGTCATCGGAAACGGTCTCATAGGCGGATTCGACGTATTCCCCAATCTGGCTACCGTTAGTATCCTCGAGTCATTCCCGCAACTGATCAAGTTTGATCAGAACGTCTTCAAATCTTTCCAAGCACAGTGCGTTTTTCCTGTTTAATCTGCAGCATCATATGCCCTCAACATTGTACTCGCATTGCAGAGCACATCTTTGCGGGTTCGATTTGAATCTTACTTATCCTCAAACAGAACCCCTACCTTCCTTTTCGCCTACAGCGCATCCTTCCCCATTCTGGTCATTTGCGCCCAATGAAGCTCCGTCTGCCCTTGACAGACGGGAGATTTTAAAATCGATACTTGACAGGCGACATTTTGATGGCTCATACTCATCTGGTCGGCCAACGAGTCGTGCTCTCCAGTCACGTCAGAGCTCTGAACTCCCGGGCACGGTCACTCCTTCGTATGGATGCGCGCTCTTTGATGAGATGATCGACTATGCCGCGAACTTCTCGTTCCCGTGGAGTATGTTTTTCTCTTCCATTTTGGGGATATATCTTAATCACGCTTGTCGCGTTGTCGTTCAGCTCCTGGGAATTTTGACGTGCGCCGTTATCGTAACATGGTAGTATTAAGCATACAGGTTTGACGCTTTCATGATAGCTATATGACATTCCCAATGTTGTCTCGCCTCAAGCTTCCCTTGACGCAGGCGTTTACTTCAACTGTAAGCACTAATCATCCTCTCGTTCACTGCGCCTTGTGAAGGATTGAACACCCGCTTTCCCCACCTCATACATGATAGCTATCCAAGTTCGCGGTGCCCTTCATGCGCCCCTCAGCAAAAACTGGTCCTCAGTCCCTACATACCCATTTGGTTCGACAACGAAGTTTTGTGAGCACACCTTGCATTTCACGAGGCCGTTGAGGATTCATCGGTATTCGGTTTAGCTTCGACGACGAACATATATGGAGATCCCAGTACGTATTTTCAGCACTGCCTTGCATATCGATTGCTCGCGATTGACCCTTGACATTTATAGGCCCTGCGTATGTTTTCAGGAAAATTTATTTCTTCTGCTCTGACTCACTCTCGCCCCCATGCTTTTGCAGGCCTGCATCTTTTTTCAATGACTTCATCTCGATGGCCGAGTCCAAGGGCGTTGGCCTCGTCTTTTATTCTGGTGCTAACAATGCGATCGCGAATCACCGTGCGCTCGAAAGTGTGCTTCCCTATTACCTCCGATGTCGGCCTTACTGATCTACCAACCGGTCTTTTGGTCCAGTCCTCATTCAAGTGCGCCGTGCCTTTCCTCCACGATGTTGACTGATCTGTGAATTTGTGCATAGAACGCAACCTTCGGGGGAACACGAGGCTTCACACGCAAACCTTCTACCCCCTGGAACGACGACAGCGGTGACATTGCCGGGATAGTCCACCAAGAACGTGGAATTGTATACGCGTTGTTCGACAACGTAGGGCACCTGATTCCGCACTGGAAACCCAATGCCGTATGTTTTTTCTCTGATGCGAGACTGAATATGTCCACTCAATACTCATGCATGCTCGGCAGGCATACGTCTTCTATCGCGACTTCGTCCTGAATGCGAACGGCACCGGCTCCATCACAGTCGATTCCAACAACAACCTCGCCGTCCTAGGAGGTGAAGATCCCACCCGTGCTGACGACGCGCCAAGGATCGCAACGGCACTCTATCTCGGGTCTGCTACTACCGCATCTACATTGTTTGCGCCGGCTGCGACGGTGCAGGCATGGAGCACCTTCTTGGGGAACTTCGATGCTGTGTCAGTCCAAAATGACGGGGTAAACGCTGCTCCTTCTCTTTGGGTGGCTGGGATGCTGGGCGCTGCAAGCTTGACTATTGTATGGCTTCTGGTGGCATGAGCAACTGCAGTTGAAGCATAATAGAACATGTATTGTGTCGCTTTCGAATTCAGTTCGGTCAAGAAGTTCGCTACGCCCTGACTAACTGATCTGTCATGATACGCTGGATACTACACTATCTGGCCCTCCAGCTGTCAGAATCTCGAGGCGGTCTCGCGCAGGGGGCTGTAACTGTAAGTACGAGCACTCAGCCTTTCTGCGCGGCGCTAGACAGAAACCCTATTAATATTCACCTGTAAGTACGAGCACTATAGAGAGACAATGTAAGTACGAGGAGTAATAGCATGTAAAGTAGTTTATCTTACCTCAGCCTTTCTGCGCGACGCTAGACAGAAAGCCTGAGGTGAGGATCCATCTATAGGTACTCTTATACTGCTAATCTAACTTCGGTGATTTGCTACTGTACAGGTGATCGAGAGGGTGAACAACAGCGGGTGGTTTACCCGCACCGATAAGGAAAGTAAGTAAGCTCGCGCGCGGCAGGCGGCGCGCGCTCGCGACGATAAATAACAGAAAACATAAGGATACCTACGCATGCGCTTGCACTATACATAACACCAGCTGCAGCAGTGTTTTTACGAGCCATCCGCCCCAGGTAAATAATTCTCACCTAGAATTTTTGACGAAGTCTTTCCAGCGGGATATCAGAATGCAGAAACGATCTGCACGGTCGAGTGACTCGGTAAAGGTACCCTACCGTGGGAATCTGATACTTCTTCTAGCGACCAACTTAGTGCCTGGGATTTCTGCGAGGATTCGTCTTCTCTCGTCTCTTCTGAGATAACGAACGGACTGACCTGACCTAATTCTTCTGGAGCTTGCGCAGAAACCCAAAGGACATGGCAGCGCGTACAACCTGTTATTTCCATAGTCTCGCTCACTCTAGGGCCTTTCTTCACCCTAGTCGCTCGTGAACTGGAAACTGCACAGTAAACCTCGCACTCACGGCAGTGCATTGTTCTCATTCGTCAATAAGGGGTTATTTCTGCTTGCTCTGCGATTGACATCTCAGCGGACAGATCTCCATGGGCATGAATATTGTGCATTTAGTGCATTTAGGTACTCAGAACGGCAGAGGCTCAGAAACTTTGCCCACCGCCAGCGACGTATGAAGTAAGTCCATTACTCTTTGCTGCAGTCGATCATCTAAATTCGAAACGCATTCTTGTTTTTCTCGTACTTTATTTACGGCCGGAACAAGTACCACTCCTACGTAATGATCTATTTCACAAGATGTTCGTCAGGTAAGTCGTGTATCCTCTTACGACTAGACCATGCCATATGTTCTGACAAGAGACCATTCTCCAGCACTTCGAATGAGAACGTATTTCTCGAGATGTTTCGATAGGACACGCTGTTTATCGGAGGTAGCCGCCAAATATGCCTAAGTCCGTGAGCAGCACGCTGAGCCAAGTTCGTAGGTTTGTGTACTACTTGGTTGAGCCGAGTTTCACACTGAATCAGTGTGTAGCTAAGTGTTCGTCTCAAAATAGGTCTAGTACCCTGTCAAGCAGGTTGACATGCTGCTTTTGACCACCTCGCACCTACAACGATGACCCCACGTGTTGATACGAGTATACTCGCGTTGGTTGTGGACCTTGACTTCCGTGCCATCTTCAGAGCAGTGTAATATGTGCTTTAATAGTGCCAGTCTGCTTCGAATAGCCGTTGTTGGTGGTGGTATGCGCAGATACGCCGGCTGGAAACTCTTCTTGGGAAATGTCTCTGTTTATTACCCTAGTTGCTTTCACACTTCAACGTTGACAAGGACCACGAGGCGCCCCTTTGCACGACTCCCACCTCCCCACTTACTCAAGCCTGAATTCAAGCGAAACGACACAGAGACTATCATCAGCGAGTTCGAACGTCTCACCATCCAGAAGGGCTGGACGAAGAAGAGCAAGATTCAAAAGGAGCGGAAGAAGTTCATCGGAAAGGCTGTTGTGGAGGATTTTGAAAAGGAGTTTGGGACCAATGCGGGGAGTTTGCGGTCATGGCAGAGCTTGTGCAAACGACTGAGGCTTTTAAATGGCGACGACGAGCCTCCAGAAAGCATCCAGCAGTGCAAAGCGGTATGTGTTCACCTTTCTGGACTGCGGGATCTTACCTCTAGTGCTGAAGGTTCACTCTATGACGACATATCATTTGCTCACAGATGCTCAAAGGCGCATATGTTAATCTTGTCGACCTCGTTGATGCACGCAGAACAAATAAAACTGTGAAAGTCTTCAGTTCTCGCAAAAAGCTCTCTCAGTACATCATACTAACGGACAAGATATTTCCCTTAAAGAAGGCGACGACGAGCCCACTTTTGGAACAGTTTCTCATTCATGTCTTCCGAGGCATTGCCCGGCATCGCTGACAGGGTGCGTCCAGTCCGCATCGTCGCCTTCATGACTGGATCGTGTATTGTATAGCCTCTTTGGACTAGACCGTGCCATACGTTCTGACAGGAGACTATTCTGCAGCACTTCGAATGAGAACGCACTTCTCGAAATGTCTCGATAGGACACGGTATTTATTGGAGGCAGCCGCCAAATATGCTCAGCATTCGTGCGCAGCACGCTGAACCAAATTGTAGGTATGTGTACTTAGTTGAGCCAACTTTCACACTGAATCAGTGTGTAGCTACGTAGGCGTTTGATAATAGTTCCAATAACGGTTGACATGCTATTTTTGGCCACATTACACATACAACGATGACCCCATGCGTTGATACGAGCACACTCGCGTTTGTTGTGGACCCTGATTTCCGTCCAATTTCCAGAACAGCGATACTATGTGCCTAACCGGCGCCAGTCTGCTTCAAATAGCCTCCGTTGGTGGCAATATGCGCAGATACGCCGGCTGGAAACCCGTCTTGGGAAAGGTCCCCGTTTATTACGCCAGATGCTGTCATACTTCAACGTTGACGAGGACCACGAGACATCCCTTGTGCACGACCACCACCTCCCCACCCATTCATGCCTGTCTTCGAGCGAGACGACACAGAGACTATCATCAGCGAGTTCAGACGCCTTGCCATCCAGGAGGGCTGGAAGAAGAAGAGCAAGATCTACAAAGAGGAGCGGAAGAAGTTCATCGGAAAGGCTGCTGTTGAGGACTTTGAAAAGGAGTTTGGGACCAATGCGGGGAGCTTGCAGTCATGGCAGAGCTTGTGCAAACGACTGGAGCTTCTAAACGATGACGATGAGCTTCCAACGAGCATCAAGCAGTGCAAAGCGGTATGTGTCCACCTTGCTGGTCCACGAGGCTTGTCGTCTAAAGGCGTTGGCCTGAACCAATGACTGCGGGATCCGCCCTCTACTAGTGAAGATTCACTCGATGACGGTATATCGTTTGCTCACAGATACTCAAAGGCGTGTACGTCAATCTTGTCGACCTTGTTGATGCACGCAAGGCAAATGGAACTGTGAACATCTTCGGTTCACCCAAAGAGCTCTCCAAATACATCAAACGCACAAAGAAGATGTTTCCAAGAGAGAAGGCGAAGTCGAGCCCACTTTTGAAACAATTTCTCATAACTGTCACCTAAGGCATCGCTCGGCATCGCTGACAGGGTGCGTCCAGTCTGACTTGTCGCCTTCACGATTGGCTCGCTCATTGTCTTTAGCGAATTCCCATAGCCATCTCCTAGTCCATCTCTATACATCTGTATTTCACATCGTCTCGAGGATCTCCGCTTGAATTGTTTCAATCAAATATTCCACAGCTGCTAAGCGCCGACATCAAGTCATCGAACGGGATACTTCTGAAATGGTACAGCAAGGGTTTCTAAAGTACAAAGTATACTAGAAGTAGACGGGTCCCATATTCGTAGAATCACGACTGACTCGTCACTCTTCATTCAGCCGCGATTGCTCGAATCCATAGGCCTCCCTATCAAGTGTAAAACCTTATTTGGAGTAGGCAACGTATAACTCAACACAACGACTCACCTTGATGTATGGTGTGATCGAAATACTCGGCCAAACTTTCTCAATCGCCGGCCTTCCCTTGAGAGTCTTCCAGTTTGCAGGGGGCAGCGATGCTGGCGGCTGTGCGTCCCTCGCAAGTTCGAAGCGGTGGAATCGCTGGAGCAACCGAACGAGGAAGAACGACATTTCGTTATACGCGAAGTTCTGACCTAGACACTGTCGAACATGAGCAGCATACACGGTACGCATCGCCAGCTTCGTTAGAACATCGGCACTAGATATGAGAGGCGAAGCAGACATACCACGCGAGGGCCTGCATGGAACGGGATGTACATCCACGGGTTGTTGGTCACTTTCTTGATCACGTCTGGTTCGAGCCATCTGTCGGGCCTGAATTCCTCGGCATCGTCACCCCACAGGTCAGGTCTGCGATGCATGAGAGCCGTGTTATAAAGAATCTCTGTGTTTGGCGGCACATAGTATTTGGGCGCGTTGTCCGAATCAGAGGCGGGATACGTGTGTGGGTTGGAGTCAGAGATGCGCAGATTGACGGGAACAGGCGGGAAAAAGCGCAAGGTTTCGTCGATCACAGCGCGCACTACGCAGATGTCAGAAGCATCATGTCAAATGCATCGTTGAGATAATGAGCAAAAAAATGCACGAACAGTATTTGAGCTTCCTCATCGTATCCATAGTAGGTTGCCCATCGACGCCATATTCATCAAGGATCTCCTCTCGCAGGCGGTCTGAGATATCAGGATAAATGGTGAGGAAGTACACGACAAAAGTGAGGGTTATCGCAGTCTGGAAAGCGGACGGTGAGGTTACGATGGCACGTATTTCAGTTTAGGACCCACTGTGTCGCGCCCGGCTAGCAGCATATTAAGAACCTGGAAGCGAATGGCTTCGGCGTCTGATATAGCCCGCCTTCATTTGTGCCGTGAGGAGAAAGACTGCGATGCAGCTTACCATCAGTGCTGTCCACCAAGTGACTCAAAAACGTCTTCTCCTCATCTTTCCTGCCACCCTGAGTCCCAGCTCTAGCCTTCTCCTTTAATGCATTCTCGACGAGACCCTTCAAATATCCGTGAACGATCTTATTACTCTCAGTCGTTTGGTCTTTGAATAATTCCAGCAACGGCCAGAATTTCCCTATTATCGAGCGTGTACCGGTTTTCAATTGCAGATCCTACAGCAAATATCGCTCAAATGGGTGGGTTTATGTTGAAAGAGAAGGCTGCGCACCTCGAATGCCCATGCAAAGGTACCGAATTCATCGTCAATCGAGCTGCCTTTGGGGCCCATCTTTGCCATTCCGGCCACAGGCAGCGCGCCGTCCAACGTGTTCAAGCAGGAGCCGAACAGGAACTCAGAAGACACATCAAGGGTGAACCGTCCCAAAAGATCTTGAATATCGAACGCTTGCTGCGATTGGGAAAAGGAGGCTATAAAGTCGAAGGTGTGCGCGGTGTGCCGATCAAAGAGATTGAGGTCTGAAACGCGATCCTTGGCGAACCATGGACGAGCAATGGCACGGTGCTGGTGGGTATAGTGAGTGGAAACAACGATGGCAGCTATGATCAAGATTCACATTTGCCCACTCCTGCTTGTCCCTAATGAATACTTAGCTTCCCATAATTGGGCGAAGGGCAAGCTGATTAACCTGTTGAAAATTCCGTTTCCCAAAAAGCTCTCACTACGAAGAATGAGATGAGGACGATCAAATGTAAGTGGGACGATGGTAGCTCACAAGCGCTCGCGCCAATAATAGCCCTTTTCAAACCACTCAAACCCCTCTCCGCTCAACATGTACCTGATGTTCTGGTCACTCTTCGATAGGAACTGTGGAGGTAGATCAGAAGATCAGGTACAGCGGAGCGCATACAGACCGGGCGATGCGTACCTGGTCCGCCCAGAGAATTCTGGTGTTCACAGTATTCGACCCGTATTCATCGAAAAGATCGGCCATAGCTTTTATGCTGAGATAATCGTCATTTATCGAACGCACGAGTCTGATCGCGATGTCTAGGTTCCCTGGCCATTTACCTCGTACACATGGCACGGGGACGGCTCCAAGAGATGCTGAACGAGTGACAAACGGTCAGTTGGTTTGAACATAAGGGCTGTCAGCACGTAAAAGTCGTCCCACCTGCTATCCTCGCATTTTTGTACGAAGAATACCATACCTTTGAGGCACCGACGACAGGGATGGCGATCAAGTGAAGAAGCGTGCGAAGCAAGGGCGCTGGACTCCAATGTGTGAGATAGAGTACACCTAGGACCAATAGCTGAGGGACGAGACATGCACGGGCGATGTCCCGCAGGATGCGGACGCGATAGTAACGCGGATTCATGGCTTCCGGTGGAGGAGCTATGACTGCGCTGTATGCAGCAGCGCAGTCGCAGGTCTTTTATAGGTGGAAGTCAGGTGTGAGCCGGAAGGGGCTCCAAGCGCGAACCGCTTCCGCGCTACAACCACGTTCCCCGCATGGCCACTTGACGCTTCCCAAACCTTCCAGGCCTCCTCGACCAACCAGAAACATCTTCAACGCCTTCCACTCGTGTACCATAACCCAAGAATGGCTCCAAAACTACCGCTCAAAGTTCTGGAGATCATTCTCACCCAAATTTATCTCTCATCTGTCATCGAGCTCGAACAGAACAGCTCGAAGACATATGGATCAGGTTCCAAATCGCGCCATTACTGTTCGCTCGCGCACCCTTGTTCGTCTGCCCGGCCATCTATGTCTTCGTTTGGCGATCTGCGCCTGGTGTGCAGGGATTGGGACAGGGCTTTCGCATGCGTAAAACATGCTTATCCGTTCTTTCAAGACGTTGGAGACGTGTTCTATCCATATTCATGCTGGATCAAGTCAAGGGTGCGTACCTGCTCCATCAGCGGAAAATATAGGGTATCTATGACACTTCAGGCTGATTGGGGTGCGTTCATCACATTCCTAATCTCCCCATCTTCACCCCTTCGCCGTGAAATTGGGCGCTCAGTAACCTCACTTTTTCCTAGTTCAAGGCGTATTCTTAGCGCTCGATTACTCAGGATCGGGAGGATGCAGTGCATCCCGTCAAGTAGTCATCAAGGTGTTTCAACGCCCCACTCCGGAGATGGTGACGGAGCGGATGATCTACAATCAATTTCGCCCGTTCGAGCGCGCCGACGGGATCCAGGATGGCATTTCTACCATGCTCGAGACCGGGTACGATCCGATGTGTGGTGTGAACTTCATCGCGATGCCGAGACTAGGGCCGAGCCTTGAACATCTCATCAAGCTCATTCCAGGCGGTCGACTGACGCCGAAAATGGTTGTAGCCGTAGCGTTCCAGCTGGTGAGTGCTACCCTGCATCGCAGAACGGCTAAACGAAAGGGATTCAAGAGTCGCGTAGAATGAGTTCCTTTGAGCGTTAGCACCAAAAGCCCTCTTTCAGACCTGAAACGATGCAGTTCTGCTGAGATGGAATCTACGCTGACCGCATCTTGATCTACTAGATCTGTCGCCTAGAAGAGCTCCACAGACGGGGCGTCGTCCATAACGGAATCAAACCTGGAAACATATGTCTGTGTTCGGAGTCTGCAGCGCACTCGACCCCCGGCACACTCTGCATCATCGACTTTGATCTTTCGTATACACTTCCCGGTCCAGGGAAGATTCCGAGGCATACAGATCTCAAAGGGAACAAGTCGTTCCTGTCTCTGTGGGCACATCATGGAATTAGTAAGTCTGGTGTGGTTATGAGTTCGTGGGATATGGCTTGATGACTGGGTTCGTGATGTGCAGCTCAGTGCCAGCGGGACGACCTCGAGTCTCTCGTCTATCTGCTCTCGTATCTTCAAAGGGGTCCGCTACCGTGGGAGCGGGACGCTCAGTTGTCTTATTACGATGAGTACCAGCCACCTCCACATATCTGGCAGTTGAAGGCTTTGACGAGCGCGAAGGATTTGTTCGAGGATATGGACGAGGCATATATGCACTTTTTTAAGGAGGTGAAAGCGCTGGCATTCGCGGAGGTGCCAAACTACGCGGCGCTGAAGGGACTATTCCGTGACGCGTGGACCAGGTTGGTGCCGGGGGAGGTGGATGTTTCGGTCAACTGGTGGGATGTATTGAGAAGGCTTCTAAAGGGGGAGAGCCTCAGCAGCATCGACGCAGTACCAAGCCAAGCAGAGATCCTAGATCTCACGCGACTACCAGTCTCCAAGGACATCCAGAGCATGAGCACATCGAGTATGACGCCTCCGGACGGCACAGAGATCCGGACTCCGTCGAAGCCTGTTTGAGGGCGCATGATTACAACAGTCGAAGCAGTGGTCGTTGGCTTTCTCGCGCAGTTGAGAAGACTAGGGAGGCAGGTGACCTTCTTTCCATTGGCGCCTTTCAAAAGTGGGGGCGCTTTTTATGGTCAGCTGTGATTCGTATATCGACATATGATTGAGTAGGCATACGGTTACGATTTCTCGTGGTACATTAATGGGCACATATGTTGAATGCCTTTTCTCTGCTGGTGCTTCGTAGCTGCAGAAGTTTCAGCCTTTGGAGCATGGAGCATGGACGGACGTGGAACAGGCAAAGGATGCACGTCTCGGCGCTCCACGCAGTCAGCTGTCCTACCGTCACGCGACGATGAATCCGAACTCGTGGTCTGGTCAGAACTACCATGCTTGTCTCGGCGATATCCTATGTAAACGGCGGAGTCGATGGCTCGTTGACCGTGCACGCGCGCATCGTCTCGAAATTAAAGATCGGCGGTGATTATGACGAGCGAAGACTCGCTCTGATACTTGAATGACACAGCGGCGCTCCCGCGGGCACGTCCTTCGGCAATGTGAAGTGACCAGCTCTTGTAAACCGCAGCGGTGGCAATCTGCGACAATGTGAATCAACAAACGCATGCAGCTTCCGAAAATCCACGCGCTCGCTTTGCATCAACAACGGTTCACCAGACAATATTGCGCTCCAGCGTCTCTCTTGGTGCGCAGCGAACGTCGGCCATGGGCAGGGAAAGCGTGAGGTGCATGTATCGGGGGCATGCCGGATGCTTGTCCTGACCAGTTCCCTTAACGCTCCGCTCTAATCTATTCTTGGACCGGACGTTCATCTTGAAATGGGGATTTTTTGCAGTGTATCCAGATCGCCCATCGAAATGGCAGCAGCCATCGGTCGAGCCATTTTCACTTCCGACGGCAATGGTCTCCTGTCAGACATTCGTGTCGTCGCAGACAATAAAGCGGGTGTTGGTGCAGATCATAGACGATACCGTGACTGGAACAAGCAGTAAAGTACACGAGATGGCCATAAACACACACACACAGAACGCGCCGACGCACTCAAACGCACACGCCCAGACGGAGGTCGATGATCGGGCGCGAACGCGAACGCGACAGGGACGATAGATATTAACGCGGCACCGAAAAAGAACGGAAGAAGCACTAAAAGCAAAAAAAAAGTCCCGCGCGAGGGTCGACGCAGGCCGACGCCGAACGCCAACGGCCGCACAGCGGGGGCTCGGAACGGTACTCGAGGAGAAGAACACTGGCGAGGCTCGCCGCCTCGTGGAGCGGCGAACCTCAATAAAAAAGGCATAGATGGTGGACGGAAGGAAAGGCAAGGGTCGGGGCGTCCGAATATCGACATTTAGAGCTTAGATGATAAAATACTTACTCCTCCATCGCGTCGCACTGGGTATAGGCACGACCGCGCACGGCTGCGCACATCACTCGTTCGCGACCTGCACCGACGCCGGACATGATCAGTCGCCAGAACACCTTTGGGCGTGAATGAGAAAACACGCACCCTGAGCACCCTCCTCTCGCTCTCGTAGCCATAATCCTCCTGATCACCGAGGCTCGCCCGGCTATCCCCAAGCACGTGTTGACCAGCTGAGTGTGCGTCATGGGCCGAAGGCATATGATCATCCTCGTCGTCCGTGTCGTCCGGGGAGGTCGTCTGCTGGTGCGCGGGCGACATCTCCACGAACGGCGAGTGCGGGTTCGGTATGGGCATCCCCGGCGATGGCGACGCGTCGATATACCCTCCATACGGGTCTACGTCGTGTTGCGGCTCGGGCATGTGCCGCACCGCGCCCTCAGCGCCGTTGTACGTCGCGTACGAGTCCGGCTGCACCTGCGGGGAGTAATACGCAGGTGCCCCGTGCCCATCCGACGTCCCCGCGAACGCGGTCGTCAGCGGGTAGTCCTCCTCGACGCTGGGCGACAGCATCTCCCGCGCGTTCTGCGACTGGTTCCGCGACAGCGCGCCGCCCGAGCCCGAGCCCGAGCCCGAATTCGAGTACTGCGTCGTGCCCGTCCGCGTCGACGGGCCTCTCGCGACCGCGTACGGGTCCCCAGCGGTGCCCGTGAGCGCCGCCGCGTCCAGCAGATCGTAGTCCGGCCCGGTCGTGTTCCCGCGGTAGCGCAGCCGCGAGTCCTGCATCTCGTACTGCTCCTGCGGCGCGGCCCCGAACGCGTTGTACGGCACCTGCGGTTGGCCGTCCCGCCTGCTCCTCGCGCGCTGCATCGCGGCCGTGCCCACGCCCGCCCCGATACCCGCCGCGCCCGCCGCGCCGCTCGCGCCGACGCCGAACGCGGGATCGAAGTTCGGGGGCACGTCAGGCATGCGGTAGTCGCTCGCGTGGCCGATGGACATGGGCGGCTGCGCGAACGTGCCATGGCTGCCGTCCGAGTACCCGGTGTACCCGCCGCTGGCGGCGTGCGCGGGATTGTAGTCGTAGTCGTCGAAATCGGGTCCTCGAGATGCGGCGGCGGCCTCTGCAGCAGCCTCGTCGATCTCCTTGTCGAATTTGCGGGCGCGGCGCTTTCGGATGAAGGTGGTCCCCAAGATGAAGAATATTATGAGGGCGATGAGGCCGACGACGGTGAAGACTCCGGCGACGGCGCCTTTGTTGTGAAAAAAGCTGCACGGTGGGCGAAGAAGGGGGGGGGGGGGGGAGGGGGGAAGACGTGAAGATGCCAATGTGATGATGGGAACTACGCGAGATCAAATATAATAAAAGTGCTTACCCCGTGGAAGCCCGATCTTCACTGGTCGTCGTGCTTGACGTAGGGGTGATCACGACGACGGATGTCCGAGTGAAGACGACATTGCCTGAGGTGCTCAGCTGAAGTTGAGTGGACAGGGACGAGGTGGACGACACAGAGGAAGAGGCGGAGGTAAGTGATGGGGTTGATGAAGTTACCGGGGTGGAAGACGAGGAGCTGATGGAACTAGAGGTGGTCAAGCTCGCAGCAGAAGAGGATGGCGGGGGCGAGGACGAGGTTGGAGTGCTGGACGTCGACGAGATGGAAGAGCTCGATGGCGTCGACTGGGACGAGGTGGTCGGTGAAGTGATGGACGGGGACGAGATGCTGCTGGTCGTCGGGGGCGCGGACGAGGAAGTGAGGGCCTCTGAGGTCGTCGTTGTGGGGATTGCGGACACCCTGGCAGAGTGCGTGAGTGTCAAGGCTCAAGAAAATGATGGCGAGACTCACGATGGGGTTGTCAACGTCGGAATGCTTAAAGAAGCTGGGGTAAGGTGAGATCGAGGATGAGTGGGATGGGAGGTGGGCCGACGTACGAGAAGAGATAGTCGTCATTTTTTGGACGCTAGTACGTTGTGTGCAGAACGAATGTGCTTGAGAAAGAGAGAGTGAGCGCAGAGAAGACCATACGCTCAGGCCGGGCGCTGTCTTTTCGAGGCCGTCGTCGACGAGCAGAGCAAAACAGCTGGTCCTTAGGTAAGCATTTTCCCCACTTTGTGCCGAGGGACCGACAACCATCGGCCTCACTCGCCGTACTGGCGCATGGCCGTCAGCGTTTGGGAGAAGGACGGTCGGTGAGCGCTGCAGGACGTGCGTGCAGTCGCTGGCATGCGAGAGCAGCCATTACGCCATCAGCATCGAATATCGAACGTTGGAACGGTTGACCTTGGCATGCAATCAAGCGTCAAGCGCAAATGCTGCGGACTGAACGCCACCACGAACGAGTAAGCTAATAGGAAACACAACCTCCCGATACAGCTGCACGCTCTATCTACTCTGCTCTCTACCGCTTCTGCCGCCCCCCGCCATCCTGCTCCTGCTCCTCCTGCTCCTCGTCTCCCGAGTCCCCATCGCTCTCCTCCCCACGCCCCTTCTTCAGCCCCTTCATCTTCCGCGTCTGCAGCTTCCCCAGATCCTGCCGCGCGACGTGCACCCGCCCGCGCAGATCGCCCATCTCGTCCACCTCGAGGTTCCTCTTCCGCTTCCCGAGCCCCTTCTCCACGTCTTGCTTCCGCAGCTTCGGCCGCCGCATCGCCAGCTTCCACACCTCCGCGTCTGCCTCCTGCCGCCGCCGCAGCGACAGGTCCAGCGCCGGGCCCATCGGCACCAGCTCCACGCGCGGCGTCCGCACGCCCGACGCCAGCAGCTTCAGCGTGTACCCCCGGATGTGCACCCGCGGCAGCGCCGCCGTGTCGTCCGCCGCCGCCGCCGTCGTGGACGTGAGCGAGTCGGGGCTCGGCCCGAGCGTCACGCTCAGGACGTGCTCGAGCCCCGTCAGGTGGATCTGCTCGATCTCTTCCCCGTTGAAGAGCGACATGAGCATCGACTTGAGCTGGATGAACCGCGGGTGCGTGTCGAACAGCTCCGACGCAAAGTGCATCATTGGCTTGTGCCCCGGTGCCGGCTTGGGCGTCTGCGAGGCGAGGCAAGGCGAGGCGAGGCGTGCGGCGGCCGGTGAGACGGGCGGACGCAAAGGCGGTCAAACGAGAACACGCACGCACCTTGAAATCGTTCATACTGATAAAGTTGTCCACGCCGACCTCGCACATGTCGAGCACCTTCCCGTCGAACGTGCGCACCAGCGTGAGCCCGTTCGGCCGCTTTTTGGTCGTCTGCCCGACGATGAACATCGACGCGTCGTTCTTGTTCGCCCAGAACTCGAGCGACGCCGGGTCCTCGAACGGCCGCACCGTGTTCTTTTTCGAAAACGAGATCGCGTGCGGGCGCTTCAGCGCCATCTATCGCAAACGGGACGTTGTGAGACGGAACAATAAGTGCGATAAGAGCGAAGGCGAGACGCACGAGCTCCTTCATGACGTTGTTCAGCACCTCTCCTGTATGTGTGCCCCGTACGAAGATCGCCGTCCGCGCCTCCTCAACTTCTTTTGGCTCGCGGGCCTCCATCGCCCGCTTTGACCGCGCATTTTTGGGTTTCCTGTCCCTGCAGCATCAGCGTCCATAGTCATCGTGAAAAGACGTCCACTCACACGACGCGCAGCATGTTTGTCTCTGCGCAATCCGACGATGCTGAACGAAAGGGAAAAAGCAGCGATCACGTGTAAGCGCACCTCTCCTAAGCAAGAGTTTCCCAAAACGGATGCGGCCCTCGATCGACCCTCTCCTGGTCCAAAACTCCCAGCTTCACGCGGGTGCAGAGACGCTCCTGCGCCGCACTGGAGTGGCCATCCCCACGCCCGCTATCTCCGTTCTCTCGCGGGTCTGATGACGGCGACAGTGGAGCGAGCGACCCGCTCGGATTTCGCAATATCAAGTTGCGCAGACTTGTATTCCAGAATGGCATCTCCAGAATGTCCATAGCGCCACGGGCGTGTCTGGGTCCACGCTTACAGCAGTGTTCGCTCAAGGTTCATATTATAAGTACGTCCTACGGTACGTAGACGTAAGTAGGTGCGCATCTCCTTCGCGGGTCCCGAACAACGACGCGCTCAGCCATCCACGACCAGCGTCGCCGCGCATGCGTACGTACGTACGTGCGTCAAGAACGGAGAGCTCCAGAAATCGGAATCCAGCACCTCTTTCTCTCCACAACACGACATGTACATAGCACTCGCCGCCGGCGGGGTTCTCGGAATCGGAAATGACGTTGCTACGCCCACGCAGACATTAAACTCTGAGGCTCAGGCGTGCGATGCGATGCTCGCTCTACGCACGCACAGTCGTTGGGCAGCGACGCAACGCGACGCCACGGCCGTGGTGCATGTCCCGAAGAGGTGATGCGGGAGCGCATCGGGTTCGCAGCGTCCATTCGGCGAGCGCAAGCTCACGCATCCGGACCGCGTCTTCTCGAACGGCGTCTCGAACGCCTCTCTTTGTGCGCGCGCACAATCGCCACCCGGACACACGCACACGCGCACGCGCACGCACGAGCTGCAACCCGCTCTGAAAACGCTGGACGAAGCCAACTCTAAAGCGCGTCCCGTCACGGGCTTCGCGCATATGCCCAAACGGACGCGCCCTTTCTTCCCGGATGCGGAAGGGGACGGACGGGCTTCTGTGCTCCCGCGCGGCCGCGTGGCACACGAGGCTGGGGATCGGTCGCGACCTTCCTTTCGCAGCGGGCGAGCGAGCTTGTTCTCCGTGTGTGAGAGCACAGTGGATGGAGGGAGACCGGATCCCGCTCCGAGGCTCGCCACAGGGCTCACAGGCTCTCATAGGGCGTCGAGGAACGATCACGTCAGAGCCGATCACGGGACGCGCGAGCAGTCAGTCCGTCGGGGAAAAGGAAGGAGCTGTCAGCAGTCTGTCAGCGAGCCTGTCACGGTGTCAGCCGCGATGGCACGCACGCTCGGGCGGCCGTCGCGCATCTCGCTCGCTCTCGTCACCCCGCCGCGGCCGCGGGCTTCGTGCCAGTCCTCCCTCGCCCGCCTCACAATTAGCCCAGGCGTTCGTACGGCGCTTTCGCATCTCCGCGCGCGCGAGCCCAAACAGAGCGCGTAACGGGACGACTGGGGCGGAGCGCGGCTAGGGAAAAGCAAGGCGCTGGCCACGCCCACGCCCACGCCCACGCGCGGCGCGTCGCACCCACACCCGTGCACGTCATCTATCCATCAATGATGGGCTTTGATCGTCCGTGCGCGAACGTGGCGGGTTTCGATCTGCAGCGTTTCATCGCGCGTGTGACAGCCCGCCGACTGCCCGCCGCCGTGCCGTGCCGTCTCGACTGATGCGGATCCGCCGCGCGCCCGCCCGCGCGCGCGCGTGACCGGCCCTCGGCCCTTTCGACGACGAGCCCCCCATTCCATTCCATTCCATCCCCGCTGCCTTCAAAGAGCGGGGACATCATTCCCCGAGTCGAGTGGACGGGCACAGACGCGCGCGCGCGCTCTCCGCCATCATCCCATCAAGCAGGTATCGGCCCGGTGGATCCCCAGCCGCAGGGTGTCCAAACGCAGTATCATTGCAGCGCAGAGCCACACAGATCTGCGTCCCCGCGCACGCTCGCGCGATCTAGGCACGCGCCGCCCGCCTCCGTCCGCCCGTCCGCCCGCCCGCCCGAGCGACCGAGCGGTGGGAGCCCATCAGCAGCCCATCACGCAGACCCGGCGCACGCAGACCCACCCACCCCCTCGCCTTCGCTCCTTCGCCTTCGCTCCTTCGCCAAATCTTCCGAATGCCCCCGCTTCCTTCCTATTCTTCTTGAAACCGCGACCGGTACGTGTCCGTGCCTGGACCCTTCTTCCCGCGCGCCCCCTGCCCGTTCTCGCAAGAGTTCTCGTGCCTGTCTCCCCCCCCCCCCCCCTCGCCGTCCCCATCCCCCCTCGTCGATCTGCGCGAACGACTGGGACGTACTGCACACCATGTACTTCCTACCCTAGTCACCTTTTTTGTCACGCGAGCGCACAGTCCCTTCGCCCGAACAACGCAGCTCACACACGCGAGTCGCGACAATGATATCCCAAATGAATTCCATTCCTCGATGCGCACGCACGCACGCACGTATGTACCCATTTTTAACAACACCTGCCGCGGGCGTCAGCTACACCGTATACATACAAGTAAGTAAGCAAGCAAGCAAGTGAGCAGCGTGCACGACAGGCGATCGGGGGAGTCCGCAACAACAGGGGGGAGGTATAACCGTCCCGACCGCCCAATGACCATAATAAACAGAAGAAAAAGGCGCAACTTGGGGACGCGCGGATAATAAGTACGCAGGCCGACGCGGCGTCATTAATTACGGACACGAATCGAGTAAGAGACAAATAAAAGGAGAGGAGGGGAGGAGGAACGACCGGTCACAAACGAACGGAAGAGCGAGCACGAACAGTCCGTCACATTATTAAAGGGGGCGCAGCGCGCGTAAGCCGAGACGAACGAAAGGAAGGGGAGGGGAGGTTACAGAGGCGCGAACGAGGGGGGCGGATATATCAGTATATATATGTATATGGATACGCACGCGCGAACAGAGCCGAACCAATTAGCGAGTCTCGAAGTGAAAAGCCGAAGAGCAAAGAGAACGAGGCGCACGACCCAGAAGGAAAGAAAAAAGAAGAGAAACAGCCGATTTCAAGTCCATCCACATTGCACCGCCCGCGCGCGCGCGTCAGGCCCTCATTCCAACAGCAGCGGGGGAGTGGGCAGGAGAGACCGCGACTCGTACTTGATCGCCCCTGGACTCTCCATGTCCTGCCCCAGCTCCATGCCCATCCCCATGCCCTGCTGCTGCTGCAGCCCCAGCGGCACCCGCTGCCCGCGGAGCTGAAAACCCTCCTCGAGCAGCTGCGTAGGCATTGGCGGCGGCCGCCCCGAGCGGGGATCGTGGGCTCCGTGCGGCGGCGGTCCCGCCTGCGTAAAATGCAGCCCCGGGTCCTGCATGTCGAAGAACGGGTGTGGCGGTACCGCTGCTGCTGCCCCCGCTCCCGCTCCCGCGGCTACTTGTGCTGGATGTGGGTGACGGAGGCGAGCGTGCTGCTGCTGCTGCTGCTGCTGCTGAGCTTGCTGCACCTGCTGCTGATGATACGCCGTAGTGAACTGGCGCAAATACTCCTCTTGCGAATCCCTGCGCGCCCGCTCGTGCTGCTCCCGCTCCCGCTGCTGCTGTTGCTGCTGTCGATGCTCCTGCATTCGCAAAAGCTGCTGCTGCTGCTGCTGGTGCAGGTCCGCCGAATAGTGACTGTGGGGGATCGACGAGTGCGAGCTGAGAGGCAGATGCGACGAGCCCAGATGAGGTAGTTGGACGCGACGCTGCTGCTGCTGAGCCGCCGCCTGAGCTTGTGCCTGGACGGCCTGCTGATGGTGATGGTGCTCCAGCTCCAGCTCCCGCTGCTGTTGCTGATAGTGGTAAAAATGGTCGAGTTGCTGGATCTGCATCGGTGTCATTGCAGAGCTCCATGACGGAGAGTCGGCGAGACTGAGGTCGTGACTCTGAGGACGCGAACTCATAAGCTGCGCCATAGGACGAGGTTCCGCGCTCGAGGAGGAGGTCCTCGTCGGATCCTGGGAAAGGTCGCTTACGAGGGACGGATGAGGGAGAGTGCTGCTGCTGTTGCTGCTGCTGCTGGTCGGCGAGGCCCGGTGGGTGGAATGAAAAGGGAGAGTCGTATCCGACGGGAGAAGTTGGGATGTCTCCTGCATCGACTGAAGGGAATCCGGATGCGGGGTATGGGTATGCGGATGGACCGTGTGCGAAGGATTGCGGTTGTGGGAGCGCGAGTGTGTGGGGGGGTGCCAGCTCTGGGCGTCCATAGAGGGCTGGAAAGGGTAGCTCTGATCGAGAGGCCAGTCCAGGCCCGAAAGCAGGGTGGGAGGAGTAGTACGCTGCGGGAGCGGTCCCTGGGCGCGTTGCGGTGGAGGGTCGTCCGGGGCCGCCGATGCCTGGACCTGAGGGTAGGGGAAAAAGGGATTGTGGGGCGACGGACCACTGGGAAGAGGCGAGGGAAGAGGAGACGACAGATGCGAGGGGAGGGAGGGATCGAGTATGTGCGTCTGAAGGGTCGCGAGAGGCAGTGGAGGGCCTGCTTGCGCTCGATCCTGGGCGAGCATCGCGGCGTGGGCCTGGGAGGTCGGGGACACCGAATTGGAATGCGTCTCCGGAGGCGAGAAAGGACTGGGTCTGTTGCTGTTGTTGTTGTTGTTGTTGTTGTTGTGCAGATGAAGCTGCTGCTGATGAAGCGGATGGGGCGGCTGAGGAAGGGGCTGGTGGGGCACGAAAGGACTGGGTTGGGTCACGAAAGGAATGACTGTTGACCGGACGGGAGTTGGGTCGGTCAACATTGTTCGTTTGGACGTGCCAGGAGCGTGCGGCGGCGGAGTTGTAGAGGAGGCCGTTGGAGTCAGGGCCGCTGCCCTCGTAGCCAGTGCTGGTGCCAGGGCGCTGGTGGAGGGGGAGGGGGTGCTGGATGTCCTCCTGCTTGACGATGTCGGGCTGGAGGGCTTGGCTGTCGATGTCGTTGTTGGAAGGGTTGGGGTGGGTGGAGCGTTTTCCGCGCTGCTGGGTGGCCTTGTTGGCGGCGGCCATGGTGGCGTGGAGGGAGGTGAGGTCGCGCATCATGCGCTCGTTCTGCTCCTGCTTGTCGGCGTGGACGGTCTGGGCATGCTGGCGGAGGTTGTCGAGGCGCGAGAACTGCTTGCCGCAATGGCAGGTGAAGGGGCGCTCGCCGGTGTGTTTTCTGAGACATGAGGAGGATGAGCAAGGGGCGAGCAGGAAAAGAAAGGGAAAAGGGGGGACCTAATGTGCCTGGCAAGGTGTTCGCTCCTGGAGAAGACCATGCGACAGTCGCCGTAGCCTCTGCATTGGAACGTCTTTGCGGGAGCGGGGCGGTAGCGCTTGTTGACGCCCTGAAGAGGCTGCTGCTGCTGCTGCTGTTGCTGCTGTTGGGAGTGTTGTTGTTGCTGCTGCTGTTGGTGGCCGTGGAGGGGGAGGAGGAGGGGCTGGGAGTCGACGAGGGCGGCCATCTGTTGCGGCGAGGAGTCCATCGGACGGGGGCCTTCGCACCTAACGCGCCACGCTATAAGGCAAATCCGTGCCTGGTCCCTCCAGCCACCGCGGACTTCCAATCCACCGGCCAAGGCACACGATCCCGGCCTCCCCCCGGCCCGTCGCACGTGCTCCCCGCCTTTGTCGGATCCTCGACCCGGCTTAACTCCCGCTCCAGCCCCTGCGTGGCGGTGTCCCTGCGGTGTCCCGGGCCCTGGCCCTGGCCGTGTCTCGTCCTCGCCCGCTCGCACACGGACGCGCCCCATCACACAACACCCGTCTCGCGCCACCTCCGACCCCCCAAACAGGCCACCTCCGCGTCTCGCGCCCTTCCGTCAGAACAGTTCTCCCTTCGCTCCCGACACACGCGTCCCACTTCCCTTCCGCCTCCCCACACGGCCACTCCCTCCTTCCACGTACACGATCCCGTACACGCACACACACGCACACATACGTCGCAAACACACCTCGCTTGATCGCAAAATGAAACATCCCTCCTGACTCACCCCCCCGCTCCCGTTCACACCGACACTGGCTCGCTCACTCATCCCCAACACGTACTCCACCCCCGCAGACGCCCCCGTAATATACTCATATCTGTCTCTCCTCGGGCCCTTTTGCCTTTCGCACCCGCGCGCGCGCGCGCGCGCTCTTTCTCTTCCTTCGGCCTGCCGTATCGACTCGCACGTAGCTTATCCATCTCTAACCTACCTACACCTGATCAAATCGATCGCGATCCCGTCCGACAACGCTCATCCGCACTAGTCCATATCCGGCCACTTTCGACCGAAAAAGTCCCAATTAAAAACACAGACCCCACGTCGGCGCGTAGTACATGGCGATGACGGACAGAACAGCACAGACCGAGCGAGAACAGCGTGCTCTGCCCTCCTATCCAGCTCGTCGTCGCGACAAACCGATGCGCGGCCTGCCACGCCCGGCGTCGACCTCATTCGCCGCGAGTGCCCAACCGCACGGTCGCCGCCGTACCAGCAGACCCTGACCGAGCGTCGCGCAACCCAAAAGCATCCCGCTCGAACGAGCAGCCCCATTCTTTCCCAACCTAAAACCGCGCTGACGACACGCTGTGGAGTGGGGCACAGAACACCCCACCGCCGGCACCGAGCGCCGCAACTCGGCCACAGCAATCGCAGGGCCTCATTCGTCGATCAATCGCGCCATGGGGATACTCGATTCGTACCGCGTACGCACAGGGAGGAAGTGCCACCTGCTTCGCCAGCCAGCCCGTGGGGAGCGATGCAGGAACCAATACAGTCGCTTGCAGGATCGCTGAGGCGCTGTGGGGCCCCGGACGAGGCCTTCACGAGCCTGGGTGCACCGAGTCCCCCCTCGTCCCAGAGGCAACGAGAGCGAAACCCGCCGTAGATGCCGTCCACGGACTTTGCGTGAGGGTAGGGGGGCACGTCCAATCACCGAAGACAAGCAGCCAGTCGGCCAGCGCGCGGCCAAGCCAAGCGAGAGACCCTGGCTGGCCCCGAAGCATCGTTGACGTGGTCGACGCCGTCGCAGAGCGGCAGAAAAGAGGACAGACCGTGCAGAGACCGTGCAGAGGCCCGGCGCGCGCGAGGAACCGGAAACCCGCTCGAGCGTCGGGCGTCGGTCGAACGAGCGCCCCCGGACCAACACCTCCCCAGATCGATGGCGGTCAAGGTAGAGAGAGCACAGTCACAGCGGCTGAGGCCACCGGCCGTCGCCTCGCGGTTCTGCGTCTTGTCTCCGCCTCATGAACGCTTGCCGGGGAGTGGGACGCGAGATCGTCCGCGTCGAGCGGCTCGCTTGCTCGCTCGCGACGTCCGTCGCGCTAGCCAACGCGGCCGCGACAGACACGGCGTGAGTGTCAAGACGATGGCACCGCGTCACGCTGTGCGCCTCGCCATGGCTCCACATCGATCTGCGGCAAGCCGCCGTGTCCACAAGCAGGCAGATGGCTACGCGCCCGCGTATCCCGACGTAAAAAAACACGAACCCCAGCGCGCCGCCCATCAGGCGGTCGGTCGATCGGCTGTGATCGCGACGGCGTGTGAGACGGGCGGTTCGATGCGCTGGACGACGCGGTGATGTCAGCGACGGGAGCGAGCGGCCGTCGGTGCGCGGAGCCACCTTGTTTCTTTTCTTATTTACGGATCCAGGTCCGCGCGCGTTCACTGCATCCCGAGCCAGACCTCCTTGGACTTCGAGGGCGGCAGCCTAGAGCTCGCAGAACGCCCAAGGGGTGGACTGGCCAAGGGCGGGCAGCCGCCGCGGAGCAGCTCCAAGGTGAATGATCGGAGGAATTATGCATGGCGCCCTGGCGCCTACCTTGGGCTTTTTGCCGCGGGTCGGCTGAGTAGGAAGGGATAGGAAGCAAGGAGCGCGAAGAAGTATCGCTGCGGTGTGTGTAAGGGATAAAGGAAGGGAGAGAAACACTTACGGCATGTTGGGTAAATGCGTTACGCGTCCGCCGCGTGCTCTCGCTGTCGCGGGCGCGGGCGGGCGTTGGAGCCTCGATTCAGAACTGCGCCAGACTGCGCCTCGGGCTCAACGGTCCATCGCAAATCCGAGAGATCTGCAGCTCGCTCGACGAGCCCACCGGGGCGGCAATTATGAAGAACCTCGGGGATAGGCGCGCCTGCACGACGACACATGTGGTGTGTGTGATAAATTCCTGGCGATATAGAACTCGCTTTGTCCTCGCTGTTCTGAAACCGTAAGCTACCGTACGCCTGCGTATCGTCGCAAGGAGATCTTCGTCCGAGTCGCTGTGAACGCCTGTGTGGAACAAAATAGACAGATCAGAAGTCGAGGCGGTTGGCTATTCGCTCTCCGACCCACATACGAAATTGAGTTCCCTGCGTCGTTGCGAGTTCTCCCGCCTTGACGATCACATGCCCGCATTTCGTAAGGCAATAATAGACCTTGAGAGGCTTCAAACGGAACATGGACCAGCTTGACTCAGAGGAGAACGCACTGGTCACGACGCATGATGGAAAACGTACGTTCATTGATGCGTTACGGGCCGTCTGGGCGCCCAGACTTGACAGCCGCGGTGCACTTCCACCCTATCAGTGATTGCAATCAGCAAGACGCGATGAGGACAAGCGGAGGCCCGTCCCAGACAGATAGCAAGGCGCTCGCAGAGCGGTTCGAAAGAAACATCCAGGATGATGTCAAACTCCTGGGAACAAAAATCCCGCGTGAGGATATTCGAAAAGCTCGCACATGGTGGGTGATGGATCGCGATATTGCTGGGGGTGCATACGTGGCAGAAGCTCAGTCGGCGCCTAGCACTCGAGTGGCCCTCGACTATGTGAGCCCGATGCTTGTCCAGTCTTGCATGCCGGGCACCTACGCGCCCACAAAGTCTGATATCCTGTTCATGAGCTAGGTACGGTACCTTACCCCACACTCTCTGCGCTTTCAGAACTGCTCGTCGAGCCTCTGCCCCTGAGATACAGCCTGTCGGTCCCGAGCGCAAAAAAAAATCGCAGGAGAAGCTCTCGGCGATCCGAGCATGCCGTCCGGCCGTCCGGCCGGCCGTAATCAAATTGAGAGCCAGCCAAGCCTTTGAGCCAAACTGCCGTGGATTCACATCAGGTCAAGGCATGACTCCATTTGCCGTCCAGTCATCCAGCGCTCCACGCTCACAGCGCAATGCTGGCAGGGTGCTACACAACGAGACAACTTGACAGTGATGAAGTGACGTCCGCACGAGCCACAGTTATGCAGCTTCGTAAAAATGTTGGTCAAATTCCAGCTTGATCATTGTGCCGATAACGGCCGATCGTGCGTGATTGGCTCAGGGTCGTATCCACACATCTGGTCTGGCCCGCCGAAAAACTTTTCACTTGGCAGCAATCGGTCGTTCGTGTTTCTGTGTTGACATCCGGCCTCGGTCGGAGGACACAGTGCGCGGTTGTCAAAGGATGAGCGCGTCTCTTATGGCAACAAGAGTTGACGACGTGACTGCGCGTGTACTTACCGTAGATGCTTGAACATGCATGGCTGCGTGAGTGGACAATAGAATGCGTTTGCCTCAGTGATCTGATCAGACTTCATCGGCATCACTGTTCGCAATTGCGGTGGCGATACAAAGTCGTGCATTCCGACAACGGAGCGCTGCGCAGCCTTGTCCCAGCTAACCCCGAAGACTCTAGCGACGTTTCGTGCAGAGCCTTGTTCCCGTATTCGCGAAGGAAACCGACAGCCCCTATCCAACCGACCGAGCAGCAGCTTGTGTGGTCGACGGGCCGGCTGCTAGACGCGAGGACTGTGCCGCGCGAGGAGCAATTTTGTTCTCGATTTCGAGCATGTCAGCGAATGCATCCGTTTGGGGATTTGCATACAGCGGTGCTAAATAGTTCATCGCCGCGATCGTCAGTTCCCCACCGACGAACCGAGAAACGAGCAAGGATGATCCTGATACGCACGCTGCTGGTGCTTCGGACCCCCCTCTTGCCCCGGCCCTGGCGCCGTCATCGCGAACTTCTGGCAACTGTCAACGCGCCAGAAAGCCGGCCGCGAAACGTGCGCGTCGTCCGCGGCGAGTTTCTTTCCAACGTTCTGCTTGACCCACTCGAGCTCTTTCTCGATCATCGCCCATGCCTGAGCTTCTTTTGGGAAGGGCGGCTGATGGCGCGTAAGGGAGAAGAAAGGCTGGAACGCTCGTGTGATGGCAAGCCATTCAGGGTCGTAGGAGAGGATGGGGGGAGACGTTTCGCCGAATTCAGGGTCGCTTTCAACGTCAATGATCTAAACAAAATAAACGACGCGGACAATAATGCATCTAATCACAACAACAACGATGGATTCTGCTTGCCTCCAGGAATTGTCTGCGCGGGAGACATTTATCAAGCGATAAGAATTTTGTCTCTGATCGGGATGGAGGTGGGGGTGGTGGAGGAGCGACCTGCTCTTCTTCATCGTCGAGCAGAATTTCATCGGGATTGATACGAGGCGCCGACTGGGACACAGGCTCCGAGGCATCCTTCTCGACGACGACAGCTTCAGTGGATGGGGCCGCATCAGGCTCATCGATATCTTCGATGACGATTTCGTCGGGATTGTGAACTGTGGCGGGCGGAGGCTCGTTGTTCAGTGACGGACCAGCATCGTGAGTGAATAGCGCCTCAAAGCGGACGTGGAGATGCGCAGCGAACCACCACGCAGGCTTCAGAGTTCTCAAAAGGTGCATCAGCGGCGGCGAACCAAGGTTCCCCGTGTCAATGTCGCGTCGGAAGAAGGGTTTTCTTCTAATAAGACCGCGAGTGTCGCCGTGATGCTCGATCCCTTGCGGCCAATCATGGGAAAGGAAGATGTGTGGCGACGAGAGCTAGAACCTAGTCAAAGCAAAAATCACCGCAGGTTGCGGCTAAAGACATACCAGCGAGAGTCGACGAACGTTGTACTCTCTGATATGATAGATACTTCTCATCGACGAAGCGGTGTAAGGGAGTCGTTCCAAGTGACCTGGGCATTTTTCGACGCAACTCGGGTATTCGCGCAGTCAGTGAGACTGACCTTGATGAAAATCCTGGGATTTGAATATTCCTGACGCGCCTGCAATGCGTATCCCGTTGACCTGAAGGCAGCCGGCGTGCCCAAGGAAATATATATTCGGGGCTAGCCATCCGCCATGGTATCTACTCTACGGTCAGGAAGGTATAAAGTTCACGAATGCGAGGTACATACAGTTCCCAAAGATAATTTGAGGCTTCATGATTACCGCCAATGATGATGGTCAGGACGGGGGCAGTCATCTCGCCTGTATAATACCTGGGGTAAGACGTCAGACATGGATACACCCTGGCACGGGATTCGGAGAATGTATGAGATCGGTCCCCCCTGGGGTGAGCGGGACCGACATGTTTATATCATGTGGATGGTCAGAAGCAGGACTTCACTTGTAAAACTCGCCGAGCTGTTTGTACTTGTCTGGGACGGCCATGCACTGGAGGTCCTGATGGTTCCTGATGGCCTGGAAGTCGCCACATATCAGTAGAAGGTCAACTTTGTAGCCGTTCTGGCTTTCGAGTTTTTTAATCTGTTCATAGATTGCAGGAAGCTCTCCGTGGCAGCAACCCTCCACAGCTATCTGGAAGGGTAAGGAAGTGGTCAGATGATGGTACGTCCTGTGAAGATGTGAGTGCGACCTTCATGGCTGGCGTCGAATGGAAGAGCTGAGGCTCAGCTGGTGGGAGAGAGAATAGAGTTTAGAACAGGTCTGAATGATTTGACAAATGGAATGTGAGCAACGGATTGAATTTACACGGTCAGAAGGGGATGCTCGCCTAGGCTGATCGTATGGTAAGTTCTAGTCAGAGAGGAAGCGGAGACGCGCGTCAACATTGGCAAACAAAGTACATTGGTTGTCTGCTTCGACTTCGCCAGAACTCTTCGCTGCACTACCGGCTACCGGCCTGCTCCCCTCGCGATCCAACAATCTCGACAGCCTCCATGTCGCCCTCGCCGTGGATGCTGTCTCGGACGCAGTCAGAGAGATGCGTATCGTGGCAGGATCAGTGTGTTGCACACGACGCCTCCAAGGAACGGTTTGAGATCGCGCGCGATATCCGAGGCACCAAGTGTGCTGAGCTGGATTGACCACACATCGTGCCTGTGCAAGACCAGATCTCGCATCACACAGCCCGCTTCCATCTTGGTCCGCAAATATCAGCGTGGGCCGCTTCGCCCGCGGACCTCCCGCCGCCCTTCCCTCAGCCCCACCCACACACCATGGCCTCCTCCCTCTCCGCACGTTGCTGAACGGCGCACTCCCTCCCCCAATCGTTAATGCGATACTATCGCGTTCGACTCTCGGTGCACGCATGAACTTTACCTTGGATGATTCGGCGCCTCAGTTGGTGTATTCCCCGACGTGGGATACCCAATCGAGCAAGGATCCTGACCTCGCGTCCTTTTTCCAATCCACCTACCACACCGCTGTGGCCGACGGAGCCACTGTCAACTTCACCTTTTCAGGTACGTTCTGGTCCTGTCCAACGACAGGGATCGTGATTTGTGACCACGAATTTCACAGGATCTGCCATCTTTCTCTATGGCTCCAAAGGACCGGGACACGTACGTAGCTGTCTGCATGACATTCGCGCTGCTTACCGACATGACGCGCTGTTAGGGAAAATACAGCGTACAATGCGACAACGTCATAGCCAACCTGGACGCGCACGCGAGCGAGACACAGTTCCGCCAGTTGTTGTTCGGCTATACGTTCCCGAACAGCACCAACGCTCAAGGGCACTTTGTCTCCTTCACGGCGCATTTGGCTCCTGGCAGCAACTGGGTGGATCTGGACTATGTGACATTCTCTCAAGGGTGCGTTTTGGCCTGTGAACTTGTTTGCTTGACTTATGAACCTGAATGCGCTAGGATTTCACAGACGTCGTCGTCTGTTGATGGTGGGGACTCGTTGACTGCGCCTTGGGAGACAAGGTGTGTGCGTTGTCTCTCTGCCCAATACTTCGTGTTTATCGCCTCCTCACAGCTCTACCGGAGCATCGACGGCCGCGCCCTTCGCATCGAGCTCAAGTGCATCCGCAAGCTCAAGGTGAGCTCCCTTGATTCAGCTAATCACGCATCCATCTTGAACTTCCCACAGCCTTGCGAAAACATCAGAGAGCAAGACCCCCATCATCGTCGCTGCTGTCCTCGGTACCATCCTCGGCATCATCCTCATCATCGCTATCGTGATCCTGATTTTCATGTACCATCGAAAGCAGAGGGACAGGCGAGAGGCCCGCTTCCGCTCCGGGAGCGCAACTTTCGCCAATCGGGAATCCAATGCTGGTTCGAGCGAAGAAGACAAGCGACGGGAGTCGCCGTTCCCTTCCGCCTCGCGCGGCCTGTTCCGGAGTAGCGATCGGGGAACTGTCTCGTCTGTGGCCCGGTCGGATGAACCCGCGATGCAGCACCGTGCGGGTTCTCAAGTCAGCATGCCCGTCGTGCCTCCGCGGCCCAAGCGGGGTATCCTGTCTGGCCTCATCCAACCTTCGAACACGCCCGGTCGCTACGATGACGGCAACTCCTTGAGGACGGATTTCTTACAGGTCTGATCGCCAGCGCTCGCGGGCATGCATGCATTGGGGAATCGCATCGGACTTAGCAAGCAAATTCGCTTCCATATCACTATTTATGTTCTTCGTTCGCGTTCATTTTATTTGACATTCGTTCTCGCCACCTTCGTTCTTCCCGTTCAGTCATTATATAATCCCGACCCATCTTCGAAGTTCGTAATTCTCTTACTCTCACACATATGGGCTATCTTTATTGCACAAGGACAGTCCTGCGGACTGCTCTGTACTTATGTCTCACTTGCTCTCCGTGCCATGATTACCATGATGCAGTCGACGCCCACCGGCGATGGAGCACGCGCTGTCATATTATCAATTAGATTGAGATCGCTTCGTCGATCTTGCGTACTACCCTCAAGAGCGCCTGCCCACTCACACGACGTCAAGACTCTACGACAACACTACACAGCACTGGGGACCTGATACATAGGACTCAACAACAAATCACCAAAACACGAGCGTGCGCTGCGCAAGAAAACAACACGAGAAGCAAAAGATACGGGGGACTTGGAAACACCGCTGTGTAGGGCTACTGTGCACTTGGCCAATAAGCAGGTAGCAAGGAGCATCTGAGGCGGGAAGCAGAGAAGAAATACAAAACAGGGAGGTGAAAGAAGATACGGGGAGACAGGCGGCGACGATCAGCTCCGTTTCCGGTCCTGCGACGACGCGCCGGGCGTCTTTGCAGGTTCTGCCAGCGCTTTTGGAGGGCGAGGCGCGTTCTCCTTGGCATTCGCGGACGAGGGCCGCGGGTGCGGGTGGGAGAGCTGCGGCGCGTTCTTCGGCGGGGGCCGTTCGTCCTCCGCGGGCGGCAGCTCGTCATCGACGGGCTTGAGGGCGTCTGCGTCGGAATCGTGCTCGATGAGATTGGGTGGGGCGGCGCCGTTCACGGCGGATGGGGCGGTCAGCGCGCGCCGCCGTGCCTCTTCCTCCTCCGCGCGGCGGATGACGTCCACCTCGCCTTGGACGACGACTGCGTCCAGCCAGCGGTGGTGTATGAGCTCGCCCGCGCCCGCCCGCTTCTCTGGGTTGAGGCGGAGCATGGGGTTCAGGAACGAGCCAATGGTGTCGGCGGTCTCGATCGAAAACTCGTATTTGTCGCGGAAGACGTCCTGGAGCGGCCAAAATCGCAGCTTGTTGATGTGGCGCAACTCGCCTGGAGCATTCGCGGGCCCATCAGCGATGGGTGCACAGAGGAGAGGCGTGGATCCGGACCCACCCTTTCGATTGAAAAATCGGGAACTGTACTTTCCCGAAAAGGCAAGACTGGGTGGAAATTCGCCCATGAGCTCGATTATCTGCGCGATGTGATCTTCGTCCTTGCTGTATCGGGAGCCCGCCTGCGGATCAAAGAGGTAATCCCCGCCAGCGAGGAGCTCGAACAACTGAACGCACGTCAGCTGGGCGCGCACGTATGCTAGATCTCACGACACTTACCACACAAGCCACGCTCCATATATCAGCACTCGGACCCCACCGCGCGCCAAGCAGAACTTCCGGACACCGGTATTGTCGCGTCTGAATGTCGTCTGTAAAGTGGTGCTCGACCCACGTTGCTGCAACGCGTCCGCGTTGGTTTCTGGAGACGTACAGAGAATTGTGCAAGATACTCACCGTTGCCCAGGTCAGCGATCTTGACCGTGATGCGCTCGACGCCCTCGAGCGTCCCAGGCGAGACGCTTGTACCCGCCTCCAGAGACATGGCGGAGGTCGACAGCGAAGGGGCTTCGGCGGGCGGCGACTCGGCGGCCTTGCCTTTTTCGGATATTGGTGGGTGGTCCTGGGGGTGACGGGGCGCTTGTTGGGAGAGCAGAGACGGTCCAGAGGGCTTAGAGTTCGCGGAGGAGGATTTCTCGCCGAAGCCCGGATCACGCAGGAGCTGCGAGATGCGCTCGGACGCGCTGTCCATCTCAGCGGACAGCCCGCGCGGGCGCTTCTCAGGTTCGTCTGCGGTGAGCGAGCTCGGCTTGCTGTTGTCGATCTTGCTCATGCCAAAGGCCCACTTGTCGAGCATCGGGGACGCGCCGTGAGACGAGGACGGCGAGGGGAGTGGCTGCGAGCCGGTGATGAAGACGGACTCGGAGCGGGGTGTCTGGTTTCCACCGCGACCGCGGGAGGGAGGGACGCCGACGAGCTTTGTGGGCGGGGGAGTCGCGTTTGCAGTCGAGGCTGCAAGCTCGGCTTGGATGATGGATTCGACATCGTCGATGCATATGAGCACGTTCTCAGGCTTCAAGTCTGGTGAGAAAGCGTGAGTCTAAGGCGAGACAGACAGGGAGAAAAGAACGGACCGGTGTGGATCACGCCGCAACAACGATGCATGTAGTCGAGGCCGAGGAGGATCTGCTTTGCGATTTGCTTGACCAGGTGCTGCGGGACGCCCTTGCGCTGATGGCGCTTGATGAGGCCGAGCAGGTTCTCGCCGAGGACCTCGAAGACCATGCAGACGTGGGTGCCGTTGGGGCCTTTGTGGCGGAAATGGTCGAGGAAGGAGATGACATGGGATCGCCCGGGGTGAGTCTGGGACGGAGAGGGCGCGGGGTTCGGGTTGGATGGGGTGGGACCGACGGGAGGAGTGGAGGATGTGATGAGGCGCTGGAGGAGCTTTATCTCGTCGAGGGCGGTCTCTGTGTAGCGAGGGGCTGATTTGACGATCTTGAGGGCGACGTGCCGGTTGAGTCTGCGGGGAAGAAGGAGGTGAGGGTGGGATGTGGGATCGGTTAAGGGGGGCGAACCTTGTGTCCTTCGCGAGCCAGACTGTGGAGAAGTGGCCCCAGCCGAGCTTTCTGACGACGATGTAGCGGGCGTCGGAGAAAGCGTCGCCGATGTGTACGGGGTGGTAGCCGCCCTTGCAGTAGTCCTCCCAGTCCTCCTCGTCCTCTGTCATGATGGATTGGGAATAAGAGGAATAGGAGCCGTGCGACATGGTGCCGTCGATTGATTGTAAATACTCGGTGCAAACCTGGCTGCCGTCCTCTCAGCAGATAAGCTGTCTGCTCGATAAGACAACTGCCCCTTTCTGCTATCGCTCACCGTCGTTCTTTCCTGCGAGGCCTGGCTCAATGTCGTATGTCGCGGTCGCCGTGCACGTTCTGTCGACCCTTTCTCCGGCCGCGAGTTCGCGTTCGTTCTTCTCCACAGTGCGGGGCAGCGTCGGGCCACAATCTGCCTCAGAAGCACGCGGCTCCCGTCCGCTCACGTGACTCCCCGCAGCGAATCGGCGCGGGCCCAACTGTAGCTTCTCCTTTGCTCGTTCGTCCAGATCGCTCGAGCTCCCTGCCGGCGACAGCGTCTCGTTTAACACGTCAGAACACAGCTGGGCGCTGGGCGCTGAGCGCTTTCATCATGGCGTAATACAGCAAGTCATCTGTACCGTTTGACGTCCGTGCCGGAGCTCGGTTTGCACAACTCATCCCTGCTGTAGTACTCCTCGAAACATATGTCACTCTGCGCAATAAAGCGGCTCCTCGAACCCCCGACCGCCCCCGTCATGTACATACCAGGCCGATGTGCGGGTCCTAAAACGAGGCGCATCGCCTCCCATCATTCCATCAGTTCTCATCGCCTGCTGTCACTCACGATATTCGTCTACTTGCCAGTCTCCTGTGCATCTCTCCCATGGGCCTGCGCCACTCGCTCAAAGCCCTCATTTAACACGGGTCCTCCTCCGATGCACTGACACTTGACATCTTTCTCGTTGTACCCCACAATTCTCTCATCGCGACGCTTATCAGCACTCGAAATGTCTGCCACCTGCCCGAATGGGATTCTTGCTAACGCAGACGTGTCGGGAATCGGAGTATGTTCCTTCGCTCCATCTTCACTTTCACTCGTGATCCTCACCCGGCATCAGATCCGCGTCAGCTTCTACGTGACCACGTTACTCACAGCTCTGATCCCTTCTACTCCATACACCGACCCTCTTCTCGGCGCCCTGTTCACAAACGCGAGCATCAACGGACTCGGCCTGCTGATCACCGCCATCGTGCAGACTTCCCAGAATGGCCTGTCCTTATATCACGCCCTCTTCGTTCAGCATCTGCTCTTCTTCCTTGGAGTGGGCGTAGCCCCCGCCGGTAAGCCAATATTCCCATCTCGCATTCGTTCAATCTAACGCGCGCATCTGTTTGCAGGAAAGTACAAATTGAACTCCCTCCGCGCGGGCATGCTGCTCGTCACCCAGTTTGCTGTGCTGATCGCCTATTTGGGCTGGTCGCTCTATCTCTGGACGCACACAAAGTCGTTCGGCTCGCAGCCCGGCTGCAACGACCAGGTCAAGTATGTCTTCTTCTTCGTCACCGTCCGCGCGACTGTGCCATGGCTACGCATCGTCTGGATGATCTCCCTCATCGGCGGCTGTATCGGCTTATTCACCGGGCTCGTCGTATACGTGATCGTCTACACCTGCTTCAAGACGGCGGCAACTAGGGGGGAGCACCCGATGATGACGATGCAGGGTGCGGGCGAGGAGCAAGCTTCAAGTCGCGGCTTTTATTTTTCATTGGGTCTGCTACTGTGAGTCACGTCGGTTGGTTATTGTGTATTCCTTGTCCCAACCTCTCGTTCGGTGTAGTCCAGCTGTATATTCTGTCGTCACCGCCGAGCTCTTGGCATGTCCCGATTTCTTCGTGAGCGTGCGGCGCCATCTAATCCCTGCTATCATCAGGCCAAGCGCAACACGATCGTTCAACCAGGCGAAGGGGCATGGACTTTCGGCCAGATTCTCTCCCTCGTGATGATCATCAGCAGCCTGAACGAAGTCTTGCACTTTGTCCTCAGCTTATTCTCGCCGCGCCACGATTCAGACTCGGACTCGGGACTCGGCGAGGTCGAAGGCAGCCCGTCGAGAGGGCGGCCGAGAAGTAAGCACGTATTTATCCTGCGCGCGTCCCCTTCCATACAAACGTTGCTGTATCGTCCAGGCCCGGAACGGAGGTTTTTGCCTTGGGCCCGCAAAGACAAGTCGAATAGCACGCAGCTGCAGGAGGTCAGCTGAGCTAGCTCACAGCGTCCTATCGGAGGCGCTGCCGGCCGAAGGTGCGGTCCGACTCTAGCTACGCAGATGACCTGTGGCGGGCAAGGCGATCGGTCTGATATGGACATTTGTTGATTGGTTTGAATGCGGCGGAGCCACTGCTGTTGGCGGTGAGAGCAGCGGACGCTGAAAGTGCTGATTCTGTCGTATCGACATTGGTCGTATGGAGACGGGGCTGCCAGGCTCTGAGAGGCTACTTACAGTAAAGGAAGTTGGCAACAGATGTTGCCGACTCATTTGATTCCACGGAAAATGCGAAGCTCCCCTTTGTAATGTTCCTCCGTGAGAAGCCTAGGTTTTCCGTGGGCGGGTGGCCTCATTGGAAAATATCGCCAGTATAGCCGAGGGCGATGCTCAAGTCGTATGCACCAGTTTCCGTGTAGCAAGCGCTAGGCGTTGGAGAGAAAAGAGCGCTCATTTAGGCTGCTTGGATTGGCCACGGCCCACGACTGTAAATTTCAAAGGTGGCGCATCCCGAGCGAAAGCAGAACAAGTCCAAGTGAGGGTCCGCCTCACATGACACCATCCGAGAAGACCACCTCTAAGATCCCACTGACACCCCTTTTGCCCCGCCGCAAGTGAAGAATGTCCTTCAGGTCAATGCGCGTGAGTAGATCGTGGCATTTTTAGAGTGCCTGCTGTCTAAAAATAAGCATGCTGACTTTGAAAATACCGTCGAAAGAATGACTGTGTCTTGATCCGTGACCTTCCAGCCCACAGCAGACCTGCAGATGGCGGTATTTATGGATCGCTTGTGCTATAGATATCTTTGACAACGGCATCGACCGTCCGAGGGGTGCTCGAGTATGAAGGGGGGTTTCAGAGCAGTCGCTGCTCGACGTGCTGAACAGAGGACAGCTTGTAGGTTCAAGTTCTTTCAAAGCCGGTCATATACGGTCGCCTTATCCCTTGCTACTTCTAGTGCTAAGGAAGTGCTAAGGAGGGACGGGACCGATGTTGATGACAACACTGTTGTGACAGCTTGCCGAAGTTGCCGTACCTGCTGCGGCAACTGCGGCTGCGTTATCAATAGTAGTGCCCCCGTCCGAGGTCGCGCGACCAACAAGTTTCGAACAGATTAGTATGTCCTAAAAATACACCGGGTTGTAAGTCGCCCACCTTATTACTACATGCCAACCGCACCACTTTCGTTCACACTGACCTCCCCTCTCTAAACAACCACGTTCCTTGTACCACGCTGGATTTCAATGGGCATTTCCAACGACGAAACTGTGAGTCTATCTCTGACGCGTGTGCTTAAAATAAATGCATGGAAGATGCTGAAGGGCCTACAGCATGGTCTAGTCAAGAATGTCGACGCAAACCGCCATGGTTGGCCAACTTCCAATATGCATCCTCCTCCCCCATACTACCTCCTTCCGACCGACGAAGAGCTTGTCAACGGCTATGTAGATGAAGAACTGGGATCCCCAACATCACCCCTCGTTTCATCAGTGTCCCGATCATGGCCTCCTCATATTCCATACGGAAAATACAAGGGCTCGTCGATTGGCGGACTATTCAAATTCTCTCAAACAGGCTGGTCAAAGCGGAGGCTCAACCACAGATTTCAAAGAGTTTGCTTGCGAAAACACCTTGTTCTTCTTCTTTCTGGTGCAGGTATCGCCATCATCGTGCTCTCGATTTTTTATATCGGGCTTGTCTCGTCTGCTTTCATCCCTGTCTCTGTTTTTTTTGGAGCTTCGACATCGGGAGATGCATCGAATCTCCCTCCACCTATGCTATCCCACTCCCTTCTCCGCGGAGATTGCCTCGAAGCATGGGTCGCTCGTGGCGAAGTATGCAATCATCTCGACCTTAGCTCGGTTGAGGTCTTGGACGCAGTCTGGTCGTGGGTCAATGGCAGGTGCGCCCATATCCTCCACCGAGTTCTATTTATACATGCATCATTAACGTCTCGTGCGACACTTCATCTGACCCTGAAGCGATCCCCGACACCAGGCCTCGCGATCGTTTTGGGATGACAAACCGGTCGAATATTCTGTCGCAGTCACTCAGCAGCCATCTTCGTCAGTAAGACAGGTCCCTTCCTCGCAGGCGGCGCTGGACGAGGCGCCAAAATCTGCTCTCAGAAAGGATAAGCGTGCCGAAAGCCGCTCGCCGCCTTCTAAGCGACTCAGCCGTCAATCTATGCCGAATACACAAATCAACGAAAAATGGTTCCGGTAGGTGATGCGTCATTTGATAATTTCAGCATATTTTATCTTCATACAGGGATCACGACGAACTGCGCTATTCGATGCGTTCGGTGTATCAGCACTTGGCACCTTACCTTCGTACCGCACACATTTTGGCTACTGACTTCTCACATCCGTTCGTTGCCCCCGCCGTTTTGGCTCGCTCTCGACCCTCGGCATCCAATCAATTTATTGACATCGACGGCCACGTGAATTCGTCCCTTGTCGGGGTTTTTGATGTCTTCGGGAACCCTGATAGCGCAACCAATGGGAGCTGGAGGGAGGGTCAATGGCCCCAATGGCTAGACGCGGACAGTGAATGGATGAGGAAAGAATCCGATAGCGGATGGAAGGGGGGGGTGCGCGTGCACCATCACTGGAATTTATTCTCTGTTCCCCCCAATTTGCGACGGCAAGAGAACGGTAAGGACGATTTGTCGACCAATGAAAGCAGCGTTGTCGACGAACTCCACTGGAAGGAGCGCGTCCTGCCTACGTTCAACAGTTTCGCTATCGAGTCGCAGATAGCCAACATTCCAGGCTTGAGTGAAAACTTGTGAGTCGGTGACCCCTGCATCCTGCTGAATGACGCTCACGGACCGAACTCGTCCGTTTTTACAGCATCTACAACAACGACGATTTCTTTCTCGGCCTGGATCTGTCGCTGTCCGACTTTGTCACTCCCTTGTTCGGCACCGTGTTTAGGATGCTTGGCGAACTTCGTGTGGAACCCCTGGAGAACAGCAGGGCCGACCCGAGCGGCGAGTGGCGCGCGTTGCATAGAAGCAACTGGGTCCTAAGTCAGCGATTTGGCGTCCGGAAGCGACCGTACATCATTCACGGCGAGAGGCTTCGTTACAAACTGTTATGTTTTCGCTGATACCAGCGTCTTTTAGCCACCAAGACCCTTTCGACCCCGCTACTCCAGGAGGCGCGCATGATGTTTCCTGAAGCTTTTGCTCTGACCGCTACCCATCGGTTTCGGGCGAAGGGGCATGACATCAATGCTGTATTTCTCACCAACCATATGACTGTGGAACGGCACAGGGAGGCACTGCTGTGGAGTTTTGTCGTTGCTCGCGGCGATAAAAACGCGGATGGAATCTTGGATGAGGCAGAAATAACGGACCTCATGTCCATCGTTGAACATGGCACCACAAATGCTCAGAAGCCTAAAGTGGTCACTCTTCCCTTTCGCAAAACCCTCCATGATGGAAGATCGGATTCCATTCTGAAATCTGTGGGGCTTCCAAGACCAGAGCGGACGGGTGAGTGCAATCTAATTAACTACCACTTGCTCTCCTCCCGTCTCGGAATCTGACCAGTCCTTGCTCGCCTTTGAAGGTTACCTCTTTTCCTCTCGCGACGGATATCCATATATCGGCGGCTTAAATGGATTCACGAAACACAGTGTCTCCACTTACCCTGACATGTCGCGTAAAGATGCCCCGAAACTATGCTCGCTGAACATCGACCAGTGCTTCCCCATCGAAGGAAATACTACTCAGGCCGATACCTTATTCAAGAGGTTAGCTTTCGAACAGCCAAATTGTGGAGATTGTCGTGCGTACCAAGTCTCCGATTCCCAGTGCTGTGTTGACAGCGTTCTTCTCTTGCCAGTCATCTATCATCTTGTGAATCTTTCAGGAGATCTTGGGCTATCTGCATTTCTTCCACCTGCCGAGTCTCAGTTCCCCGTCAATACATCGACCGTGAACTCTGTCGTCGAGCCCACACCGTTCCTTCCTCTGTCCACCGAATGGGGCGGTAGCAATTTCTCGCTCTCTAACGTTGCTTTCGAAACTGGCTGGCCAGGGAATAGTCGACGCGAATTTGCCATGCGTCTTATTCAACGTTACTCGTATATCATGGGTTCGTCTATGTGTCTCACGTATCCGTGCGGTTCGATAGCTAATTTGCTGTGACACTTGATGCCGGCAGGCTCTTCCCCAATAGAATTTGCCGCTCTCAAGACACCAAAGCAAGCTGCTGAAACAATAGGGAACCTGAACAGGACTGAGAATGCATTCATCTGCGTGAACGACGATATCACGAGCGGGCAGGAGCAGATAAGCAGTACGTCCAAGTCGGTCGCACCGCCTAGGCTTTGTCTGACATGACTATAGAAACATTTAGCAGCTGGCTTCATTTTGCATTTCCAGACGCGCTGCCTTATGAATTAGCTGATTAGTGCTGTATGCAGACCAGGTGTCAAGAGCGCCAGATGGAGTGTAATTCGATAACTTATTGTATCAATATACTGTACCACCGATTCTCACCCACTTTTTACTCTGCCTGCGAATCTGGAAAACAAAGCGCGTCTGGCAGGTTGAGATGGTGTGGTGGCGTCAGATGACCTTCAACACAAATATTACCTAATCTCGCCTCCTTCACCCGTTCTCGCTCGTTCCGCTCACTGTTGTTGTCTCCGAACCACGAGACCACCACCGTTTTTTCTTCTTTCTTGTTGGAGCAAGCCACGCCGGGCGTCGCTCGCAACGAACATTCATCAATACATCTTCTGCAATCATGTTTCACCTCCAATCCTTAATTCGTGCCGACTACCGCAAGTCGCTCTTCACGTCGCGATCCGCTCTTGTCGAGAACACTAATGCTTCGCTCAACGCGTCTGACCTCCCGTCCAGCCTCTCGTCTTGGAATAGCAAGGCGTCGCCTACCGTCGCACTCTCCAGCGCATGTGCGCGCCCCCATTGCGAACCTAGCACCAATATCATTCCTTTTCCTACCAATAGCCACCCCGATCCTTCCATCTCGTCTGCTCTACCGCTAGACTATGAGTCTTTATCGCGACCGAAACGGGCACTCCCGCTCGACGCGCCCAGGCAACGATGCCAGACGCCACCGTCCCACTCCCTCGCACCGCGCCGCAAAGCTCTGCCTCTTCCTGGTGTCATACGCCAACGCAGCGCCAGCCAGTCGAGCGCGACCGGAGTTGTGCGCAGCCAGAAACGGCTCAAGCGTGGAAAGCGTGTCACTGCCGAGCTAATGTTCACTGCTGCCGTCCATCGTAGCATCGTCTGTCGGATGAAGCGTGCCAGAGAGCTCAACGGGTCCTGCGAGCAGAATACAGATGTGGAGATGAAGAGTATGGGAGCCAAAGATGACGGCTCGTTAATACTGAACGCACAGGAGGAATTGCTCGTCGCTCGACTCTGGCAGCGGCTGGTGGACCAAGGATGTAGCCCGGTTTTATTGGACGACAGGACTGTGGGCGTGCCTGATCGACCGAGGACTTCGAATTCTGTGGGTGTTGTTGAAGACCTTTCGATGGATATCACTCCCAGTCACCGGATGGAGTCATTGCTCCCGACGGGTATCTCAGCTCTTATTCACTCCCCCGCAGTCCTTCCGCCGCCTCCTACAATATCACCGCCGCCTCCTCCCGAAGCATCTGTTGCCATATCTTCTCCTTTCAGCATTGTGTCTTTGCCACCGCCCGTGCCACGACGCCATGCTCCCATTCCCTCCTCCGCACGATCGATATCGGTCGCGCCAGACGCATTGACTGTATACACCATGCCACAGCTCGTGGCAACGCTTACGATACGTTACCGTGATCGCAAAGCCGTCAAAGCACGAGCGTCTCTCCCGCAGACAAAGAAGCTCAGTCGGACGAAGAGCGCGTTGGCCACAGGACGCGTCGTTGTCGCTGAGGGTATGCTTTGATACTTGGTTTATGTGGGCATCGAATGTGTTCGATGCAGCTGCGGTTGGTTCTCGACTTCATGTTTAACTGTCTCATTTCTCTCGTCTTGTGTGATTGACACCACGCCATCTACCATTCAATCATCTTCCCAATGCATTTCATCTATCACAACATTCCATCACGGCGTGCGTCGTCCATAAAAACCTCATCATTTGGTTATGTATTTTTATCTTTTTCAGCCACCATCTATGATCCTACCCTCTTATGCTCCTCTATTTAATGCGGGACCATCGGCGCATGTTCCACCATGCTACTTAATTGTGACAAGGCACACGTGCCATCCAGCCTTTCATTGCCTTCCGCTTCCTTCCCCACCGGTTTTTGACACATCCACCCAATTCACTCGTTGATAGCCTTCTTTTCCACCGTTGATATCTTCTTTGGTACACACTTACTACTCTGCAGCAATGTTTCTGGACAAAGCATATCAAGCACAGGATCAGCTCGACACTGAGCGATCGCGAATATGACAACACAAAACATGCAACGCAACTTGGATATGGCAAGCCCTGTACCATCAGAAATTCGGCTTGATGACCTGTAGTACTAGTTTCCATAGCTGACCTCATGGAGAAAAAAGATGTTCTGTGTATAGGAGTGTGGCACTTAACATCGGAGTTGGGAATGTTGGAATCAAAGGTTTTATTCATCATTGACAAGATGCACTCCTGCAGAGATCTTGAAGGATGATCTCTGTATAGACAACCATAAAGTAACCCATCGCTTCTCGAGGAAATGCATTCGAGGGGGAATACGCTTTCCTCTGTGCATTAGAAAGAGATAAAGCCGTTGGGCCAACACAACTCCCGCGACTGCGACTGCCCATACGTCCGCTCATTGGAAGCCTTTTGGCATTCTAATTGCAAAAACCTCTGGCTTGTCAGCTGTCGGCCCTTAAAGGGTCTGCACGAAATGATCGACTGCCTTGACATTTGTTCTTGGCAGCGGAGGAGAGAACTGAGTGAGGCACGTCAAACGACGGCGGCGCCCGTCCCGCGCTCAAAAAAGACGGCGCCTGAGTCGGTGAGTCTATACTGCAAGGCGCGGGTGCGGGGGATGAGCGGCGGAGTGGAAGCGGCGGGATGGAGAGAGCGTCCAGCATGTAGGGCGACCTGTCAATGTAATCAGCGCGCGTGTTTTTAGTGAGAAAACGACCAAGGTGAGGGAGCATATGTTGAGCCCGTGAGTTCAAAGTATTTAGGGGTGGGTCAGGGAGAATCATAAAGGTGGAGGGACATGCCTGACCACTGACGGCACCGCTCTTGCCGCTTGCGAGAGGGAGAACGTCGAAGTGGAGGGAGGAGAGTTGGAGGAGGATGCGCAAGAGGTCGTCTTGGCTAGGTTCGTCAGGGATCACAGTGTGGTGCCGGATGACGAGGGCGATGGATTCCTGTGAGAGGGGTGTCAGCACAACAGAGCGAGAGGCGGTGAAGCAGAGCGACAAAAAAGTAAGAGGACTAACCCGGGTACAGAGGGCGGTGAGGGCGCGGAGGAAGCGTGCAACGTCAGACAATGGATGGCCAATCCATGAAAGTGCAGCGATATCGTCGACGACGACGAGCACTGGCGACAAATTGGGTGTCGGGCGGTCAGAGGCAGAGTTGGGCTTGAGGCAAGCATCGCGAAGGGCGTGGACGGTGGACCGGACGCGATCGAGGAGCGGGCGCAGGGTCGAAGGACCGTTTGGTGGGACGTCTAGGAAGACGAGTGACTGGTCTTCGATTTTCTGCGTCAGATTTAGGTTCTAGTTTAGTAAAAGTTAGTACTCATCACTTGCAGCAAAAGACGCGTGCTTACCGACCGCGCCGCAACCGCCTTCCATCTCGCCAACGGCTCCGACACCGAAACTACCACCGCCTTAGGCCTCGTGCTGGCACCGTCATAGGCAGCGGTCTTGATGTACACAGCGAGAATTTGATGGAGCAAAAAGTCGGCGGGAGCAGCGAGCTGGTCTGTGATGAGCACAAGTTGGCCAGCGATGGGTGCTGAGGGGAAGAGCATAGAGAAGGTGACGTCACGTCACACGCTCCTCGACGTCGACAACGATGTCCACGACATTGGCCAATGCCGGTGCGCGCGGGGCACCGCGGCGGGCGCCGGTATCTGCTCCTGCGCAAACACACGCGACAATCAGCGTCGAGCAGTGGGAGGCGCTGGCTCCGCTAGGCGACATGCAGCTGAAGAGTGTCGCCGCCGTGAAAGCCGCTGTCGAGAAATCGTCTAGCACGTTCAGAGTGCGTCTGGCATTTTCGATGCCTTCGTGTCGCTCACTTTGTTTCCAGTTCCCACAAAACGAGGCTCGTCCATCCCGGCCATCCACGCCGCTCGCCTCATTGCCTTCAAAACTCCCATCGTCCCGTCCATCTACCCCAACTCCTTCTCCGCAATCCCAGGTCTCACATTTACACCCACCACACCCGATTCGCACTCCAGAACAATTCTATGACTGGCACGCATCTCTCGACCGCGCCGTTGCCCATGGACAGGAGGCTCACTTCCGTGCCCATCTCACTGCGCTCGCCCGGCACCTCGAATTGTGCGATCGGCTGACAGAGAGAGGGGAGGAGGTCGATCAGGATGTAACAAGGATGATGGAAGAGTGGAGACGCGTTGAGGAGGGAGGCGAGAGTATGAAGGAGGCGTGCGAGAGGTTGTTGAAGGAACGGGTTAGTCTGTTAGTCCGCACCAAGCGTTCTCTATTACTGGATTTTTCCTGTTTTTTTATCAGAATCATCTGGCATATCAATATATTGGCGGCTGACGATGACTCCATACGATTAGGATGCCCTCCTCGAGCTGCAAGACGCGCTTGGCGCTCGGCTCGACTACTTCGCCGAGCTCGAGCACGCGACCCGCATGCTCAACCATCCGGGCGAGGCTCTCGTCCTTCAAACAGACTTTTTGTATATGGTCGAGCGTGTCGATGTGTGCATAGAGTTTCTGAAGGGTCATGTACGGTCTCTCTCCCGATCATTTTCACACCAAGTCTCGCATTTACGCGTTGATTTTTTCTGGAATAGCGCCATTACAAGGAAGCAGACATCTACCTTCTCCGTTTTGAGCAGTGCATGACACGTGCTATGACCCTCGTCAAAATGTACGCCGTCGGTTCGCTTCGCGCGCTCGCGCAGGACGTCGCGAGGCGACTGAGTGAGAATGTGTGGTCGCAGCTTTCTCTATGAATCCAAGCTGTTTGCTAACCTGTTCTTCACTTACTTAACCATCTCACGCATGGTGAATCAACCTCACAGGACGTGTCCCCTACCGCCCAGTCTCACCTGCTCTACACACGTTTCGCAACCGTCGCTGCCACCTTGTCCCCGCTCCTCTCTGAGCTCGAGCGCCGCGCCGCGGCACACCCGGCATCTCTGTCTGCCCTCCTTGATGAGTGCCATGCTGCATACTTCAGCGCTCGGAGGAGCTTGTTGGTAGCTAGAATCGCGGAGGAGGTGAAGGGACTGGAGCCTGGGAGGGCTGAGGTGGTCGAGTTGGTGAGTCATCTATGCTTTCTCTGTTTATTAAATTTTTGAGGAGGCTTGTTGATATTTACGAATTCATCGATATATGCGTGCCAGACACGAGCCGGATGCAGCTATCTCAAGCAGCTATGCACCGACGAATTCGAACTCCATAGGTCGTTCTTCGCCTCGGGCGAGGACCATCTCTAGTACGTTCTACAATCGGTCTTCGCAAACTGATCGCTAACGCATAGACTTCCCCTCCCCTTTGCCACATTGGGCTTGTCTTACCATCGAGGACAGCGCATACCTCGAAACTCTATGCGACTACCTCTACGATGATCTACGCCCACGTATCCTCCACGAACAACGCATCTCTGCGCTATGTGATGTGTGCACCGTCCTCCAGGCGCTGATGGTACTCGACGCGCCCGCGCCTGAGATTAGCACTGGAGTTGATTCCGACGAGGAAGACGTCTTTTCGACCAACGCCGGAGTCTCCCGTGGCAATGCAGGCACGCTGCACATTAGCCGATTGTTGCAGATGGTGCTTCAGGATGCGCAGACACGGCTGTTTTTCAAAGCGCAGGCGGTCATCCAGAGCGAGATCAGATACTATGTGCCCAAGACAGAGGACCTGGCATATCCCGATAAAATCGTTGGTAAGCGGCTCTATCTCTCTCCTCTGGGGGTTCCGTCAACATGGTGCAATCCCTTCACTCCATTATTTCCATCTATATTCTCAAGAAAGGAGGCTGATATGTCCTTTTTCACGTTGTCAGCCGCGCGTACGCCCATGACGGGGTTGCGGGAGAAAGAGCGCGAGAGCGTGCGCCAGCTGTTTGGTGCTCAGAATCAAACCTCGCTTGCCAGCCTCGAGCGTCGCGACACGTGGTTCCCGACACTCGATACGACGGCACGCGTGCTTGCGCAGCTGCACGACTTTGTTCAGGTAGGTCTTAAAGTTTCAACCTCTCTTGTCACTGCCGCGTTCTGCTCATATACTTATGGATGTATCATATCATTCATGTATGTGCGTGCGCTGCACCCCGATTCAACGCACCCGTGAAAGCCTGCAATCTTCGATGATCTCGCGCAAGAAGCCATTACACTTTGCCGACATTCGCTTTGCGCTGCCGCTGAGATGATAGAGGCCAGAGCCACGGGTGCTGCGCTGGATGCGCATCTGTTCCTCATACGCCACCTCCTCATTCTCAAGGAGATGACACGAAACCTCGCATTCGGTGAGACAAGCCGAGACGAGGCGGGTGTCGGCGGACACGGTATTATGATTGGGAGTTACGGTATGACAGACACACTTGCGGCAATGGTCTCGCGCACGACGTCGATGCTACCTGATTCGCTCGTCGCATCGCTCGGTATGCCGAGAGGAAATGCAGACATCCTGGACGCTAAGCATGTGAGTGTGGCGATTCTACTGTACGAGATCATTGGCTGACCTGCTATTTGTCGTGCATTGCAGGGCATCGATATGGAACTTAAGCGCACGTGCGAAGGAGTCATCGACAACCTTGCTGAGCCCCTCTGTACGCCACTACGAGAGTTCGTCGCGCAGGTCGACGCGCATCATAATGCGGCTTTGGGCTCTACGAACACGAAGACTGGACCGGTGACTGCACATTCTTGGGCACAGCAGGAGGTCGCAGAGAAACTTGATGCAGACTTCCGCTCGCTCTGTGCACGCGAGCTCCGTGCGGGTGCAGCCCGCGTCGGGCTGTACCTTGAGGATCGGCGCACGGCTGATGTCCTGTTGTCGCATGTGCGGGAACGCGCTGCGGAGGTGTATTGTGATTTTGCAGATCTTGTCAGAAGCATGTATGCGGGCACACTGAAGGGACGCGTGCTCGATGCAGTGAGGGTAAATGAGGTACTGAGAGAGGCAACAGACGAGAGGGAGGAGTAAGCAAGGTCCAAAGTCGGCACTTGCAATGTTTCTTAAATAGGTCTCAACATGAATTCATGTGGCCCATAACGATCACTTGTAAACAGGTTTTACGTTGGCATCCCGATTTTGGTCAAACATGAGGAGCGTGCCAACTTAGTTTGTGCGCGTAGCACAGACACTTGCCTCCTGCCCTCAGGTGCAGAATACGAACACCCCCTTCTCTCCTCTCCTTCTTTTGAGCTGAAACGGCTGATTGTCTTGTCGGCCCCAGGCTCGGCGGGTGCACACGACACCGACAGGGACGATATCGATTGGGTGGAACATCGTAACCGTGAGCGCGCGCTCGTCTCTTGAGTCCCCCCCCGCGACCAACTACGCCGTCGCCGTCGCCGCAGCCAGATCCGCATCCGCCCAGATCCGCCCCTCCTTCATCTGCCTTCCCTCCGAGCCCTCGTACGCGTTGTAACGCATTGCTAAATCTCCTGAGATTCCATAACCCTCAGTCCGCCAAAAGCAATCCCATGGTTTGTCAAATCTGCTGATGCGTACAGATGCGTACCTTCTCCCCATGGCCGCCAGACTCTGCCAGCGCCATCTCTTTCCGGCTTTAAACTATCTAACCGACTGTGGGCACTAGTATTCTCGAGACACGCACCGAGCCAAGCGATACAGCAGTTTGCGCTCACATCCCGCTTCTCTCTCATAACGCAGAATATCGATGCCTTTTCCTCGTGTCCCGTCGCACGAGCCAAACTGCTCCTCGGCAGTATCCTCGAGGGATCAAGATATCCTGACATCATCTTTCTCCAGGAAGTCATGTTCGACGTCCACACTTTCATCCTGGGTAATCCTAAAGTTTGCGAAGCCTTCCTGGTCACGGACGCCGAAGACCAGACGTCGTTCGAGGGAGTACCCTTTGCGAACATGACGTTGCTATCTAGTAAGCAATTTAACCTCAACCTGGACTCGCAGAAGGAGGAAGATGGGGTCGAGGGAGGTAACAAGTTCATGCTTGATCCCGTTTCCTGTGTCAAACTCCCCAGCAAGTATGGGAGGTGTGCGCTCTCTGTGGACATTATCCCCCCATACACACTATCCACTCCCACCACAGCCTTTTGTCTCATTAACGTTCACCTTGACTCTCTTGGGGACACGCTCCCTTACCGTACGGAGCAGATGGAGATCCTTGCCAACCTCCTGCGTGAGCCTGAATATAGCGGTGGACTGATTGAGGGAGACTTCAACGCCATCAGCCCCAAGGATCATGCTCTTCTAGACAAGAATGGACTGGTGGATGCATGGGTTGCGTTGCATGGAGAGAAAGGGCTTGACGGAGCCACGTGGGGAACGGACGTGGAACGGCATGACAGACTGGGATCAAAAAGGTTGGACAAGGTTGCGATGTTGGGCATAGAGGCGAATGATATGGAGATTCTACGCCCCGGTCTGATCAAGGTCCCCAAGCCCGGCGGGGATGCCGACTATATCCCTTGTAGTGACCATCACGGGCTGAGACTTAGCTTTATAGTCTGAGTACCATTGAGTACGTTTTGACTAATCGTAACCAACTTTCTCCCCTTGACCAGTCCCTTTTTGACTACTTGAGTCTCCATCGCAACACCCCCTTTGACTTTCGTGGTCTGATACCCATAAGCTATCGCTAGTCTAGCCATAATGGCCATTTATTGCATCGTTCCCATCCCATTCCTCAAAGTCTTGAAGATCACCCTTGGTTCTCAGGATGTAAGCATTGAGGTCTCACGTACCGGAGGCCTAAGCGATGCAAAAGTGAGTCCTAATCATTAATTACAGCGGAGAGTTGACCGTTGAGCATTAGGTTATCAATGTCGTCTTAGGGGGAAAGGAGAGCTCTTGCAATCCATTCATTTAGCACTTCCTGCTCCAAGGCGCGTACATACAGCACTACCAACGGCTCCCACACCACGCGTCTCCTGTGGGTCCTTGCTATGGTTCACTCTCGCACAGACTCTACAGTAGCGCTTATCGTCGAACGACTCAGATCACGTCCAGGTCTGTCGTCTCGCACAGCCATCTGTCTGAGAAAAATAATCAGCTGTCATCGAAGGCCATGTTCTTGTCTGCGGGGTTTTCCTTGTGCTCACGTTTGACGCATCGCCATCTGAAAAAGTATCATGCATCGTGTGTAGGCATTCCTATTTCTTGCCGTGCTTATTTCATGGGTACTCACCTTGACACGCTTCCAGGGTTCATATCATCTTGCATGGCTCCAATCAAACTGCCTTGGCGTCGCGAACTGTTTCATTCCAGCACAATACATACATCAACGAATGACACAAGTGGCACTACACCTCAATATGAATGAACGGAACCTGTGCTCATCGGTCAGTCATGTACACACCCAACATCACAGATCGCTTATCCAGTGGAACAGCTGCGCCTCTGACTGCTGCAGCGCACGTACCACCCGGTGCACCCCAACCGCCACGTCAGACGACCGTGCAGCCCGGGCACCGTCTCGGAACATGTACTTGTACACCTCCCTCGCCACCACAGGACCGCCGTAATCCCCGACAGAGTACATCGTCCTCACAATCGACCTGAACCCCATCACCTAAGTGCAGCCGCCAGGCTCATCGACTCGTTCTGCGTGACGGACCCCACCACCATGTGGCACGCGCTCAGGTATGCAAAGTCTGCCTGCAGTAGCTGCGCCTGCATCAGGGTCTCGACGTTCAGATGCCTGACATGGCCCAGGTGAAACGTGCTCAGCAACGGCTGTTGAGCGTCGACAGTCCCGTAGCAGCAGAGGTGCACTCAGCTGTGCGTCCACAGGTTGTCTAGCACAGCCACTGACGAGGCCTGTATCGTCGACGAGTGCTGTCATAGGAAGTGACACGCATTCTTGCAGAACCTTGACCTTTGTCTTTACGCAAGGCAGATCGCAAAACCTGGCCGTCTGGCTCTGTGCCACGGCCAAGATCCTGGCAGTCTCAGCTATGAAGGGCATTGTCGGACGAAAACATTCCAATTTTCCCGACTCGGTCTGAATCTTAGCAGTCCTCCACATATGTCAGCTAGCTGATGGAAAAGTTACCAAATACCAACAATGTTCAGTGTTTTATCCCGTGTCGGGTAACTGTCACGTGCTCAGAAATGTCAGCTATTGCTACCAATTATGAACGGAGGATTTCTGCTTCCGCTGATCCAATGAATGCTTGACAATTGCCGAGTATTGGCAACCATCCGCCTCCAGATTCGGTGATCGCACTAGGATGGTGAACTGTTGACAATTGCCAGCTATTATACGATGATTTCCATCCCTCCGTCCCCACACTTTCCCAGATCGATTTGGATCTTCTTTAGTTTCTCCACGTCTTTTTTTCAACCTTCTGCGCGTGGAACCTGCGACCCGTCAGGAGCCGCTGCAGCGACAACCTCCTGCCCGCCCCTCTGGTTAGATCTCTGATGCTCAGTCATCCACCGTCCACCAGCCTAGAACTCAGCACTGATGCATGACACGGTGATACTGAAGCATTATGTTGGCTCAGGAGGGCGCCGCTGCGAGAGGCTTACAATCGTGAGCAAAAAAATCCGGAAACCACCGGTTGGACAACGTAATGGCAAGTTTGCGAGAGTGCTTGTTGTCAAAAATACCCAATTCACACCGCCTGTCTCCCTCGAGCCTTAGTGCGCGCAAAACAGACACCATCGCTATCTGATCAGGCTTGAATCCGATTCAAAGACGATCAAGCGTTTTCAGTTGGTGTGTACACCCTTTGCAATCACCCACCACTTGCTCTCGTTTGCAGGATGCCGCCACCTGCCGATGAGCCCATATACTCACATCACAATCGCATTCAACGACCACGAGCTGATACTGAGATTGAATTCTCTCTTGCAGTGATATCCGCCTTGCATCAAACCCCAGGCCCTGACTTTGAGAAGATGGCCAAAGACGATGTCCAAGACAACTTCTGGACTATCGAGACCGACACCTTTCTGGACCACGTCCTTGGCTGGAAGACCGCTGACAACGACGTCTGCAATGTCCTCCACACGCTGAACTCGTCTTCAGCCCAGTGGCTTTCCCTACCGAAAGTTCCGAAGCTAAAGAAGGAGCTCTACTCTTCGTTTGCAGATACTGCCAACGCAATCGTCGCTGCCTGCAGCGCCACTAATCCCATAGTTGAACTCGCGCTTGACATCTCCTGGCAAGCGAGTCCTAATAAAAGCCCGAAGTCTCCCGACCGGTGGTCGCCGCAGAATCGCCCTGACTTGCTGGCCGTTATCGGACTAAAGGACGCCCTAGATGAGTTCAAGAGACTCGACACACAAATTCAAGATCTTGAGCACCAACTGGGCTCTGGGCCAGAGGAAGAAGCTGAAAAGGAGGAGTTGAAGCTTCAGGTGCGTCCGTTCTTCGATTTAAATACAGTTAATTCGGTCTCATCGCTTTGTCTCAGCGAAAGGAGGTGCTGAAGAAATGCGAGTTATGGTGGTTGCGTGTTCACGTTCCCGTTGAGATGAAACTGAAGGACAGCGAGGAGGAGATGTTAGAAGGGATATTCCAGCTCTGCAGCTACATGCGGATGGTGCTCGCCGAGCAACTGGACCGGCGCTTTGCTATAGGACTTCTGTTGTGCAAGTCGAAGCTCACAGTATGGATGTGCGACCGCTCTGGTTTGGTCGGAACACGCACCGCGATCAATATCCACGCCGTAAGTTTGTATTCTTATTTGTTCTTACCCGCTCTAACGGGACATCTATTCATTTTTCCTTTTTGCACAGGAGCCTAAGAAGTTCATCAAGGTCATCATATCTCTGTCTCGTCTCAATCCCTCTAGGCTCGGTTGGGACACAACGATGCGTATCTATCGCATGGAGATGGCTACATATCACTTCTCCACAGACAAGGGCGTGACCGTCGACTACTATGGTGCGAGCCCGCATGAGACGACTTGGACTATACAAGGTCCGAGATCTGACGGAAACGAGGGCGAAGACAGGTACTTGACGGTCAAAGCTCTCAGTACCGTGCGAGCGCAGGTGATGGAAGGTCGAGCGACGATTGTGTGGCTTGTTATGAACGAGAGAACCATGGAGGTAAGGTCTCTCGGGGTACATATAATTGACTGATCATATGTACTGACCTGACATGCTAGTGGTTTGTGCTCAAACAGTCGTGGCGTCCGGAGATGTCGCAGACTGAAGCAACGTTCCATAAATCCCTGTCCAAGCCGCCCTCTTTTCACATCTGCAATATAGTCAACTCAGTCGACATCAGAGTCATGGATGACGAGCAGGGAGGCATGGTGGTCGACGACACGGCCAATCACATTCGTCGCGGCGTGGAGGTCCGAGCCTCTTCACTCAAGAGAAATAAGTTGCCTAAAGATCCCGGAGTGTCCGAATTACGCTCGACCAAGCGCAAGAAGCCGGAGCTCGATGAGTCCCAGCCCCATGAAAGCTTTCTTCACGTTACATCGACTTCTTCCGAGGTCTTGGAATTCTCTGTCATTGCCGACGGACGATCGGCGACAAATCGCGTCTTGACGCGCACTTTGATGCGGACGTACGGGTGGCCCATCAAGTTCTTCAAAGACGTTCCCGAGCTTGTCAATACCCTAATCGATGCTGTGAAAGGTGAGCATCCTTTCAAGCTGTCCGAATCTTATGAGCATTCTGCTGGCACCGTATTGACCGCCTTTCTCCAGGACACCGCGATTACTGGTTTAGTCTTATGCTTCATCGAGACGTCAGCACCGGCAACGTGCTTATCTGTCCCAGGTCTGATGTCAATGTCAAAGATACTTGTGGTAAACTCATCGACCTTGATTGTTCGAAAACATCGGACACACGCGTAGAATACCCAGCACCAGGGCCTCCCGACAAGGACACGGCTGGATTCCTTCAACTCCGCTGGCAGATGTCCGTAACCGACGAGGCCGCTGGCATCCTCATCGCTCGTTACCCATCAGATTTCTTGATATATATAGACGTAGCTCTCAGCATGAATCCGGACCTCAGAACCGCTAACAAAAAGGTGATTGATGTCGTTTATTCGATCATACTCCAGACACTGACCCTATGACTTAGCTGACAGCAGAAGATCTCTTTTTTGGAAACACCTTTCGTGAGCTTTTATGCTGAAAATCCGACCGGCGTCTCTACTCACTGCTGTCCATCAGGATCGCCCTCCAGCTTGGGATGGGCATCTTCCACATATAAGACATAAGACAGTGAGCAAACACCTTCGTCTATCTCTCGACTTTCGTCTGACACCAGATATTGTGCTCCAGGGCACCAGGGCTTTCATGAGCGCCGAGATTATATGTTCTTCAAATGTGCTTTACCGAGGTACCGAGGCGCTGAGGCCGGCGGGCCGGGTTGTCCACAGCGCCATTCACGATCTCGAGTCTTTCTTCTGGGTCCTTCTTTATCTCTGCCTCACGCGTGATGGTCCTGGCGGAGGACGTCGAATTGAGCTCTCCATCAATGAACCTTTGACCGAAGAGACCAAGCCGATATATGCCGCTGTTTACTGTCTATTC